GTAGTCTACTAGATACTTTTACTATATACTAGTATATACTACTTAAGATAAGGAATACTACTATTAACTTCTAGATCTATCTAAATTCAATTAGTATAATTAAGTAATATACTATAGAGAGTATAGCTAATCTTCTCTTATAAGGTAATAACTCTTCCTTTAAGTTATTCTTAAATTACTACTAGTAATTCTATAACTTCTATTACTAATTTTGCGTATAAATACTCGAGGAAAATTTTCGTATAGTTACTCTATACATTTCGTCTATATTAAAAAAGTCGGTGTTAGTAAGTAGTCTCGAAGATAGCGATTTAGCCTAACTCTTCCTTGGACCCGTAAGCCGAGCTGGAAGTGGTCTGTGCGGAGATAAAGCGTTTGCGGCCGTGTACGCCTCTTGCGCCTCCGGCCGATGCTATAGTGCGACACACAACTCCAATAGTACACAGAGTAGATTCTGTATGGCTCCAGCCGTCAAGTTCCGACCGCACTGCTTGAGGGCATGCTGTGGATTGATCTTTCATCCAGCCTGACAACGCTGTCGCAGCCTAAGGTACCTCCTTCTCAGGCGCGCTTTGTGACTTCCTTCCATCTTCCATACCCCCTTTCTATATTCGGTTAGAAGATGCTCAAAACACAGTTTCCAGAACGCCGATACATCGTCAATACTGCGTGCCGTCCGAACGATTGCTTCAAGCCGGCTGAGCAGGGTTGTTCAGGATCGAACCGGGACCGGGTTGAGAAAGCTGCAAGTTTGCACTGAATGGTACGGGCTGTTGTCCTTGCTGTTGTTCAATGTTCTGGTAGGATTGGACTGGGTTCGCACCCGGAAATGTTTTTTCCTGCCCCTGAAACAGTCCTTGTCGAATACTTTCCGGTTGAATGTTTTGCATGTGGCCGGGCTGCATCTGGTTTGCATACGTCTGCATAGCGTACGTGTTCATTGGCATCTGCGACGACTCCGCTTGACGATTCTGCTGGTGCATTTGCCCATATTGCTGTTGCTGTGCCTGCGGGGCGAACATCATTACCGGCTGTTGATTCCACATGTGGTTGGGAAACTGAGGCTGCTGTTGGTTGCTAGCATATGCCTGTTGATGATTGAATGTCCTGGTCTGGCGGGCGTACGTAGATGGCCCCGAAGCCCCGGGTTGTGTCTGCACTGGGTTGGTGTTGAAGTCGTCATATCTGACCATGTTCTGGTACAGAATCTTTCCGTCCGTCATGCCATGTTTGGTATGGTACAAATAGTTGTTAAACGTGTTGGAGACTTGGGCCACCTTCTCTAAATTTCCCACGTTAACCCTTGTTGTAGGTTGACCCTTGCAATCGGATTTGGCCAAGGCAGTAGCACTCTGGAAAGCGTTTCGTATTTGCCTCCCGTTCCACACAGGTCCGATATTGCCCTCGTTGCTCTGCTGCTTCTTGAAAGGTTCTTGCGCAAATGCAAGCAGCTCGTCCGGGTCGCATTCAATCTTTGGAATATGTTCGCTGGCACGTTTCATTTGTGACTGCCAGATCTCCCTGGTCTGGATCCAATCGAGCTCTTTGTAGTAGAGCGACATATGTATACGGCTTTTGAAAGCCTCGTCGAAAATGCCCACCTGTTGAAGTTAGCTGCTAAATTGGCAGTCCAAAACGAAAAGACACTGTCCATACAGTGTTCGTGGTCAAGAATAATATACCCTATCGATGAATTAGCAGCTATAGTAGGCATTGGAATAGTCATGTACTTCGTAGTATTCCAGTACTCGTAGGAATACAGAGACCAGTGCATTGCGCGATACATCCTGAACGGTCCTCTCGGCTACTCTGGTTAGTTTTGGCGCACTACAACGAAATTACCAAGCTTTTATGTACTGACCTAGAAAGATGTCGGCTTCATCCAACAGTAGCACACAATTCCACGCTTGTGCGAGCTGGAAAGATTCTTGCAGCTTTGCCTCCACCTTCTCTGCTGTCAGGCCAAGATCTACACATGTAATGGGGAGTAGCGGTCTCCTGTATGCTTCTGCCACACATTCTGGGTCGACATCTTATTTGGGTTAGCGCAAAACACAAGTGAAGTGTGTAAGAGGGATGGATTAAGGAGCCTTACTTTACCGACGCCCGGCACACCATGTAGAAGAACAATGACCCCCTTGCCTTTGTCTCGAATCAGATCGAACTCGTTGTTGCCTGATTTACCCTTAGCAAAGTGTGATTCGATGAGCGATCTAACGATATGCTTGTGACTCTCCGGGATCTTCAGGTCATTCCAAGCATCGCTGCGTTCCTTCACATCACGGAATGTATTTCCGCTGCAGCGCAAGCAGGCCCACTCTCGAGTCCGTAGGATGAACGCGTATACTCGATCTGGTAACAGCATAAGATTGTCTCCACACGGTTGCGCTGATCCACGGCTCCAGCTCTGCCATTCACTTGCTTGCTCGTCCCGAAAGTTCGTTCGGAACAGCGTGTCCCACTTACGGTCATCCTCAATGAGGTCGTCGGGGTCATCGGGTTCGTAAACTTCAGAACCCGACGCTCTGGCGTACATACCCGGTTCGTTAGGTTCTTCCGGCGCCCACATTGGGTTGACTTGCAACGCCCGCTCGAAATCGATGATGACTTGGCTCTCGATGGTCTTCTCAAATACCTGTGTCAATCCGAGATCGTCAGCTTGCGCACGCTGTAGCGATGTCCCCAGAGGAGTTTTATCGAGGCTTCTTCCGCTATAATAGCGATGGCGATGATTGAGGCACTGGATGAATTCTTGTCCCTGTCGGTGCAGCTCATCACGATTAGCGAGGCCACCTGACGCTGCAAGGAAAAGCGGAAGGCATGGGAGCTCCGCAGCGCTCTGCAGGCCAGTGTAGCTCGCAATCGTGAAGCGCCTCTCAGTGCGAAACCAATTTGTACCGTCATAGTCGATGTAATAGCAATCGAGCGCCAAAGGCGTCGGTGTCTTTGTCAAGTCATCGAGATGCCTACGCCCGCCGGTGCAGTGATTATTGCCCGGATGACCAGTTTTAGCCACACGGCAGTGAGCTGAAAGCTTCCAGCGACCAGTGAGAAGCATTTATGGTGGTGCATTGCAGCAAGGCTACAGAAGGCTGTGGGAGACACAATAAACGACGCGAACCTCCGGCCTCCTTGAAGCACATGGAGTTCAGAAAACGGGCTAGCGTGCACGCGGTCGTTAGCCGAACCAATCAGAGTGCGCGATCTCCCTGGAGATGTCGGGTAGCACTGCCTGTAGCCGACCTTGGCTTCTTCGCTTCGAAGCGTGAGCCGTCAAAACATGGACAAGGCATAAAGATAAATCCATATTCCCTGCAAGGCTGCAATGGGACGCAATCGCGATTCGGGATGCTTGCGTACTGTTCCACAGCTCTACGCTCGCGAGATCAGCTGGGTCGCAGCTGCTGGCCTTGCCCTCAACCTCAAGATGCTGTTTCCTTCACGTTGTACTCTTTCTGCCCGTCGTGCTTTTACTGGCGATGTCGACCGATCCAGTGACTCCTTTTGTTGCTCGTCGAGCTTCTCAAGTCGGTTCGGCCTGGAGTACGCCCACTTGGAACAAAGCTCGTGAAACGTGGGAGCAAAAGCAAGCCCAGAAAGCTGCTTCTAAAAGGTTCGAACCCTCTGAGACGGCAGGACACTTTGAGCTGATCGAGCGTATAGAGCAATCGAGCAGACCAGCGGCTGGCGAACGTTCATTGCAAACTTCAAAAAAGCAAGCAAATCAGATGTTGTCAGGGGATTCGACCCAGGAAAGACGTACTTGCCGCTAGACGTCAAGGCTGCAGCAGACATCGCTATTGAACGTTATCGTGCCAGAGGCGCCATTCAGAAAAACCTGGCCATTGCAGCGGCTCGTCTGATGAATCCCTCTACAATGCAGGCTTTGCTACAGTTCGTCCCATCCGGAGATTATAGTTCCGTGCTCTGTGGCGTATTGACACTCTTGTACACGGTCTGTTCAAACTCAATTCCGTCCGCAATCAGGCTCGCTCACACCGTTCTAAGGCCGCCGCTGAAATAGAGAAAGCCCGAACGGTCATAATAGAATGCCTGCAAAGTCTCCATACACGCATTAAAGAAACAGAATCGTACCTGGAGGTCTACAACAGCGCTTTGTTCAATGATGGCCTCTACAGTGCTGCTTAGGATCTCTATGTAATACTGCTCGAGAGTGCGGAACGAATGGTTGGTTGGCTCGACGAGTCTGCGTTGAGTGAGCTTCTTGAAACCCCTTGCACTGCGTTTGCGCGTTGACCCATGTCAGAACATCTCTCCAAGTCGCTTTACAAGCAACACGCTTACGCATCCAATATCCAAGCGCAAACGCAAGACTCGATCAACCTCGGCATAGCTCGCTTCCAGGAACAGATCAAGCAATGTCTCCATAAACGGACGCAGGCTATCGAGCAAGGAGTGCAAAGCCTCGAGCTCGGTGTGCAAAGCTCAGGCGAAAAGCTTGACAGAATGAACAGTCGTACCAGGGAGGAGAACAAGATACTTTTACAACGCCTGTCCGTTATGGAATCCGCCATGGAAGAGCGCGATGCCCGTCGAGCTGCTCGTGAAGCGGCCTGGGAATTGTCAAAGCAACAGACGCTGGACGTTTTTTGTCGAGAAATTGTGAAAGTGTCTGCGTGTGAGTGGCGAGTACCGTGTCTAAAAGCACTCTGTTCTGACTACAGTAGGGGTCAATCGTGATCCGCCCAACCCTGCTCCGGTACAGTACCACGTCACATTGCAACCGTCAGCTCCATGCTTTCCGGTTCGCAGTGGCGACCTGATGAACGTCTTGGGTGTCGTGTCTGATGCTGAGGGCAACTATATTGACACGAAGGATGTGAGCTACACATTTGCCCTCGGCCGCATGCTCACCTCGAGCAGGCAATCTCGCGCAGCTGCAATCCTACGCGACGAGGACTTTCAAAGATGGCTACAGGGGCCCCAGTCACACGTCGTCGTGCTGAATGGAATGGACCGCGCATCGATCGATACATGCTCAGCAGTCACTTACTCTATCGCACTCTTACGTCAGACACTGGACCAAATGGAGGTCGCAGTGCCCACCAGTTTCCTATGTGGTTTGCATACCATGCCACACGATCCATTTTACGGCACGATCGGAATGCTGCGAAGCCTATGCTCACAGCTCGTGCTTGCTTTTCCTGAAGGCCTTGTATTAACTTCTGCGGACGAGCAGCTTCTTTACCAAGTTGCCTCTGGAGACGTCGTGGCTGTTTGCGAGCTCTTCCGATTACTTCTCATTTCAATCGCTCAGAAGTCTCCTGGTTGCGTTATCTTCTGCATGATTGACGATATCTACCACCTGGAGCAGAGTGAAGAGAAAAGCTCTTTCGAACAGGCCATCTATTGCTTGCAGTCTTTGGTGAATGAATTGGTGTCGGGAGGCAACCCTGTTGTCTTGAAGTTGCTGCTCGCAAGTCGGACAATGAGTATTCTTGCGAGGCATTGGGTGGACGAAAGCAGCTGTATTACAATACAGGAGCGCCCGTTCGGTCATGGCCATGGGTATGGAGAAACGCAAATGCAGATGCAGGCCTTCGAGGCCGCTGCACGTTGATCTGTTTGCCTAAAGCAAGCTCAGTCTGCAGGGCTTCATGGGGACTCGGGACATGGCAGGACGAGCGACAATGTCGTCGACTAGTCTTGCAATGCATCTCGTCTATAACACAAATCTCTTGGCTGTCACTATCTCCAATCAGACTCGTGCGGACTAGCACGACACAAAACTCCGACGGTAGATCCTGCATGGCTGCACGGCGCAAGTTCGACCGCGCTGTTTGGTGGCATGCTGGGGTGTCAAACGAATCCGTGTCTGATGATATCCACACAGCCAGAAAGATATACGAAATCGACATAGTCTACAACGGCGAACTGACAAGTCAGAGTCCGGCGCCGGATACGCTCTGGAACTACGTGAGGGACGAGAGCAGTGATATACTCGGGGTATCCATGCCCTTTGATAGTCCTTACTGGAAATGTCCTCGGAGACCCTTCGCGCGGCGACCATTTACTTCACCTCACGATTCAAGTGCCCAATTTCAACTGGTGAACGATCTGGCCCAAGAGACAACTAAAGATATAGCTTCCAGTGCAAGCTCATGTGGGATTTGGCTGGATTCGAGTGGTCCATGAGTAATACCCCTTCTTCAGCGCTTGCCGGAGCGGATCGACTAATATATGAAGCAACACGTTTTGCCTGCAGTACAGTGCTTCCGCCGTCGAAAGATCAATGCGAGCCTGCCTTATTTACAGTAATTGGTAGCTTTGCGATGCTCTTCTGGGATTCTGCTGGAGCGGATTCATAGAATGGGTCAAGCATCACGTTTGCCTGCAGGAAGCGACGGAGATATGCGCGCCATCCAGATCTTCTTGAACTTCATGACAGAAAGAGGAAGTGCACTCCCCAGTCGATTGGTCTCCTTCGCCTTACGCCCGTTCCTCAAGCTGCTCCCCTGAGCCTCCACATCTCAAGCTTGAACGGTGAGGTTAAGCCGGAAATCTTCTCAACGGAATGGACACAAGCACGGAGTCATGTAAAGACTCTCCGGAACACCACGAGACCCTCGCTGCCGTGGCTCCATCGCTCAAGCCTTTGAATCATCACTACTCTCTGGGTCTTTGGGGCGCTTGCAGCGCTCACAGACGCGACCTCGATTCCAACCGCTTACTCTGTGGCATTGACGGGCTATCTCAATGGACGACAGGTCGGTAGCCAGACCGTCAACTCCGATCCCGAGGGACAACTTGCGGCAGACATGTAGCTCATAGACCTGAATTGCGGTTTCCAAGTCGTTGATACGGTAGCGTTCAAGACGAATGGGGTCGTCGGGCAGACGTTAATGGCCACGCTATGCGACAACATGGCATATGATGCATTTTTGAAGCAGGGACATCCGCTACCACAGTAATACTCGCGAGGAATTGTGATGTTGGAGACGGCGAGATCAGTAGAAACAGATGCCGAGAGCGATCTTTACACTACATCGTATGAAAGTAATTTCGCATTGCACACCGGGCGACGGGTTGTTGCCTAGCGAGGCTTCCACCTGGGAAGGGGCTGGGGATATGTCCGAATAGTGTGGCATCGTAGTCTTGCCCAAGGAAAGAATCAGCTTTGAGGGACCTCAATTGAGAATCGTGATCAATCTATTGCGTTGGTCGCTCAAGTAAAGCCGCGTCCGAAGCGAAATCCGAGCGACTTGTTCACCCTGTCTATACCGCTCATGTAGATCCGGAGTTGTCCGCACAGCTGAATGCCGATCCTGCAACGCATCGTCAGTCAAGTCACATGAAAATAGGGGGCACCTTGTTCGACATACCGATTTCTCCATCAGCGTACGCTGCAATGATCTCCTTGATAACGCCGTAAGTGCCGCCAATCAAGAAGAAAAGACCAAGCGGAATCAGCAAGACGTGGAACCAGAAAGCAATCTGCTGCACGATGCTTCCCTTCCTCCATTCCATGTGATCATGCAGCCAGAGCCAGCCGGGTAGACTGATTGCCAGCGGCGCGAAGCACACGCTTCCCGTGAGGGCGAGAAGGTAGTTGAAAATGGGAATCGCCTCGGCCAGAATGAACGAGAGAGAGGCCAGCCCAAAAGTACATCCGAGCCATGTGGTCCAGTGCACCACCGTGTTTGCTTGCAGATGTCGACTGTTGCGGAGGATTCTGACGAACACGTATTTGGCAGCAACGTGCAAATACAAGCACGCGGACACAATCAGACCGATCAGACCGACTCCGTACGCCACCATCTTCATCGTCTGTCCAGCTGAGCCCAGGCTCGGCGATGCTACCCATTGCCCACACCAGCGGTAGACGACGAGCGAAAAGGCCAGATACGCTGCTGTGACCAGGCTCATGCAAAGAAATAAAGCCTTGCGGTAATCGTTGGGATTCCTCATCTCGCTGATGACGGGAAGAAATGCGCTGGTTCCCGCAGATGAGACGAAGACGGTGGTGGAAGCGACAACGCCCGCTGCGAAGGTCACACCAGATGGGATCACGTAGTAACCCAATTCGTAGTCGCCAGTGGCTGGCGCCGCAGCTGGACGATCTCTCGTGGTAACAGCTACCACGACAATGAGAACAGCGGTGAAAATACTGAGGAAGCCAGCCCAGGTGAGCCAGCCGATCTTCTGGAATTTGCGAACCGATGCCGCCAGAGCGACGACGATGGTGGCGAGGAATGACCACCAGACCGTGCAAGCAGCGTGAGTCGAGAGCGCATTCAGTCCGATGGCGACACCCAAGATTCCGGAGCCTTGGACAATCAGCCATCGCCGTGAGCTGCCTTGGCTGCTTGCGGATACGTACCAGAGCAAAGCACATATGCGATGATGAACAAAGCTCCGCAGAGCTCCCTCATCCAGAAGCCGCCGACTTCAGCAGCCATGTCCGCGATTGAATGGCATTTTTCATGTCGATTGCGGAAGTCTCCCTGAATGACTGCAGTGTATGTGTTAAGGACTGACCATCCAATGACATTGAGCGCGCCGCCGACAGCGCCTAGTGAGACCATCGCAGTCGGGATGGAGAGGACTCCTGTAGCGAATATGATCTTCAGGAAGATGATAGAGGCTCGCGGCCAGCCAACTGTTCGGAAATCTACATCTGCGTCCTGGTTCATTCACCGTGTCAGCGTTCATGCAATTTAGAGCCTCACGAGAGACAACAAGAGATACCACCAACCTTTCGAAAGACCTCACCAGCGTCGTACTCGTCGATCTGGCCCACGACAGCCTCGGGATCCGCAGGAGACGCATCGTAGTGGTACTTCTTCTCATCGGTGGGAGAGTGAGGCGAAGTCATCTTCAAAGCCCGCTCAAGACGCAGACAGTAGCAGAAGAACAACAATATTTGAGACTCTCGAACGGTTGCGACAAGTGTTCCAAGTGTTGCTTGCAGCTTGACCTGGTATCACAGAACCGGTCCCACTTTCATGAGAAAGGCGCTCGAGTTGCTCTCTCACCACATAGATAATACCCAGATAGGCGAGAGCTTTGGCCGTCGTCCATCAACCCAGTGGCAGTCCATGTCATCCAGATGTCAGTGCCCCAACAGGAACGATAAGAATCCTGGCCAACTATCCAATAGGAATTCTTTCGCTTCATGACGCATTGGCCTGTACTGGTGGGAAGCATTTCGATCCAAGAGATCGGTTGGGTGAAGAGGAGGGCAGGCACAGGGGTCGAATGGGTTCCTCATTGCCATGCCAGCTCTTGGAAAACTGCCACATGGTCTGCTGGAGCTCGAATGTTGCTCGCAGACTGTTATCTTTAGGCCAAGCGAGGTCAACGATAAGGACGGCCGCGGCGGTCGTCCTTCCCATGTCTATAATCCACGGGTCATAATGTATCCGATGTTGCTTCTCAATCCATTCATGGCGTTTTCTCTTCATAGAACATCCAACATTATATGCATCTTGGCTGCTGGAGAAGATTGCGCGAAGTGGACAGACTTTGGCCGTGCCATGTTGACGCCAAGACACCCCGGCGGCCTGTGCTGCAGCACTACCTATCGAGAATCGAGAGGACATGTGCCACTCCGTGAGACGTTTTTGCATGTAGCAGCTCTGCCATGACCATGGCAGAGCGACCTTATCCTGATCATACTATTGTGCGCTCTGCTCTCAGCACTGACCCGTCCCACAGTACAGTACCCGTGCGCTCAGGACGACTCAGACTCCGCTCTTTCCCACTCCGACTCGTTGGCGTCTGATACCACGCTCGCCTTATGCTCAATCGCTGTCTGCGCTTCCTTGACTTCAGGCTCTTCCCCTTCTGGATACTCTTCCTCTTGTTCCTCATTCGTTGTTGCTTTGCCCTGCTCCGTGTATTCCGTCTGTCGCGTGATGATTGTGCTGATCGACCCCTGACTTCGAGAGGCCGCAACAGACCAACGATTGGAAGTATTCCCCGAGTCCACCGATGAGTCTGTAACACTGGAGTCGCTTGGTGGTGTTGGTGCAGTGGGCAGTGGTCGATGTGAGGAAGATGACGGAGAAGGAAGATGGCGGACCAGATCCGAATCTCGATTCCCACTCTGCTGCACAAGACTCGCAGTGCCGTTGTAGTGAACATCTCCTTCGGCTGCTCTGCCTTTGCCTTTGCCCTTGCCCTCGATAGATCTAGCTCTCAAGTTCGGTATGGAGCTATGATGACTGAAGTACGCTGGCCTTTGACGTGTGGGGCAAGTCGCACCCAGTAAACGGTGAGTGGCATTGCTGCTGTCCTCTGCCTCTGTCGTCGCTCTCTCGAACGGGGTCACCAGGCCTTTGTTGCCGCTCTCAACTTGCCGGCTGTGCGAAGCATAGTCTGAAGTGGGATCAACAGGCCGAGCACCGGGAACTACGCCTTTCGCCCAGTCAATGGTCGCGATAGACCTGGCGTCTCGGTGCCCTATGGGACTAGAGACAGACCTTAGCGATCCCGGACTTCGACACCACCCGGAGCTTGATGGGGCCCCTAATGATGCTGTGGATGATCGTAAGTCCATAGTTGAATAACGATGCATGTGCAGCTTTGGATGGACTTCCAAAGGCCGCTGTCGACCGGATGTGGATGGTGAAGCTGTGTTGAATCCAATTTCTGTGCATACATGTTGCAGGCGTGCTTCTTGAGCTTTTGCAACAAGATTTGGTCTCTGTGTCACCGGCATGGAAAGCATCATGTCGCGTTCCGCGTGTCGTGGTCTGTAGAAGGTTCGGCTATTCGATGTGCCCTGTTGTTTTGGTTGAGCTCCTGATGACACCTCTGAGGATACGGACAACTGTGAGGTGGAAGCCTTGCGCTTGGTATGTTGAAAGAATGCACGTAGACCGGCAGGTTTGGCATCTGGCTTGTCAGGCTTGTCAGGCTCGTCAGGCTTGTCAGGCTTGTCAGGCTTGTCAGGCATTGCAGGCATGGCAGGTGACTGGGCGATGGATGTGAATGCGCCCGCAAGTCTCGTCTGGCTGATCTCAACCTGCAGCACTTCTTCGGACTCGTGTTCACCGAGTAAGAGGTCGAAGAGGTAGCGGAGTTGGTCATCTACAAATCGGACAAACGAGCTCAGAAATACAACAGTTTATTGCTGAGAGTACGTGATCCCGAGGCATAAACGAGCGCTGCGAGTGTAGGAAGACGCAGAGCAAATCCAATTGCATTTTCTCCTGGTGCGCCAAGTCGTCCACGCATTGGGTATCCCAGAGCATCAAACATAGCCATGGGACTGGGTATCATTCGCATTGATTGAGGTAGAGGTAAGCATGAAAGAGTCAAAGCTCCCTGTCCCATCTTGAGCCGCCGAAAAGAATGTCTTTGGTCCACATTCTAGCCACATGCATGTCTCGTCTCGTTAGGCGATCTTGCTGTCCAGAGCACGCTGTACTGTATTCCAGCTGACCTGTTATCCAAGAAGCTACATCGAAGTGCAGCGGAGAGAAGTGTATGTTCACTGTGATAGCAAGCGCCCGTGCCGTGATCCGATTGGGCACCCGAAAGCTTGCATTACCGAAGCTTCACCAGCTTTTCGGACCGAGTTGTTTTGAGGCGATGCAACAGACGGGCAGATCGCGAGCGTCAAGTTTCTGAAGAACGTCCTGAAAGTCGCTTTAGTCGAAGCATCGTCAGTTCCTTTTCCTGAGGGTCCTGCCGCCTCCCACGGCCGGAGCCGCTTCTTGCTTTGCTGCTGCTGGCTTTCGCCCTGTGGTTGCGGTCTTTGGCTGAGCCCCTTTCCTGGTAGCTCCAGGCCCTTTCTTCGTTCCAGGCTTGGTTATGATGGTCGTGCCGGCACTAGAGTTGCTTGCTTCGCTCGTTCTGCCGTCTACATCTGCGGCTGGTCTGTTACGCTTCGTTTGACGACTCGGCGCTCTTGTCACTGGTTTCGTAGCTGCTGATTGCGAAGAGATCATCGGCCGTGCAGGCTGTACCTTCTCTGGCGATAGCGTGGACGGCTTCAATGGCGACTGTGGATATGTTCGAGAGTTGTGAGATTTGGGCGACAACACCCCGGCTGGACCGACTTTGCGTGAGCCCGTGCGCGTTGCTTTGGAATTTGCGATGGCAATGTTGGTCTTTGTGCGCTTCTTAGGATTGGCCAGGTCATCTGCGTCATTGGACACGACGTTCTCCTTGTCGTCGCCTGTTGAGATATCATCACTATCCGGGGTTAGTGCTCGTCCGAGTGACTTCTCACGACAGACGTACCTCTTCCTCTTTCCTAGCTGTTTCTTCTGGGCAACACTTTGTTTGGCCGGCTGTGCTGGGTCCGCCTCCCGTGCTGCTGGCATGAGTGGTGGTGCAGGGCCTGGCTTGGCCTTTGCGGCATGTTCTTCCACCAAATCGTGAATATTCCTCTTCCTCAGAGCCTGAGGTATGCGATTGACGCGCATCTCCAGACGCGTCTTTAGACCTTGTGCTTGTAGAGCGTACTGAGCTCGTAACTTGCGCGCCCGCTCCGTAACTGTCACGCGTCAGCAAAGACCTCATGAACGCCCGGACCTACGAGCACATACTCTCGAGCTGTAAGTTGTCGATCAACGCCTGCTTCTGAACCTGAGTGATTGATGCCATGCTCTTTGCTGGACTCTGCTTAGGGGTATGTGTCGTGAGGGCGAACATCGTGGGGGGTGCGGGAAAGGCTGGGATGTCGTCGTTGGACGAGATTGACGTGTCGTGCTTTCGCGTCCGCGCCGGCGCCATTGTATGCCACGAATCTGAGTGTAGCTCCAAGCCTTGGATTTGAGTTATTCTCGGTGATGATGTCTTTCCAAACGGATTGTCCTGGCAAGCTTTGCGAGTGTGTTGTAAGACGTAAGATATTCGGAGCTGGAGAAGTGTTTGTTTGGATGTGTGTTGTGGGCAGCAGCTTCCCCAGTGATGCACGCCCGGAAGGAGCCGAACAATCGCCGACTCCGACGCCAGCTCTCAGATGCCTTCACCTTCGCTATCCAACACCAAATCACAACTCCATCAACCAACACTCCTCCTTCCACCACCTCTAAAGCTCGTCGACAATTGGCGCAAATCCAATCATCAGCTTCCGAATTCCAGCGACGTATCAAACCCGACCAACACCGCCAAGATGGTGCTCGAGGCGACGATGATCGTGTATGCCGCCTCACGTGCATGTAAACGAACAGCGATACTGACGTCTGCCGCAGCGTCGACAACAGCGAAAGCAGCCGGAACGGAGACTACGTACCTTCGCGATGGGAAGCCCAAGTCGATGCCGTCAACCTCATCTTCCACTCCAAGACACAAGCGAATCCCGAATCATCAGTCGGCCTGATGAGCATGGGCGGCGGCGGTCCAGAAGTCCTCACAACCCTCACCACCAACCCCGGAAAGATCCTCGATGGACTACACAGGACAAAGGTGAAGGGCGAGTCACATCTCTACACCGGTATCATGATCGCTTCGGTATGTGGTGACGAGAGAGCATACAAGTTGGCAGCATCACATGTGCTGATGAGAAACCCGGGAAACAGTTGGCTCTCAAACATCGGCAGAACAAGTCTCAACGACAACGCATCATCGTCTTCACCTGCTCGCCCATCGCCGACTCCACGAGCACCCTAACAAAGCTCGCCAAGCGTATGAAGAAGAACAATACGAGCGTCGACATTATCGCCTTTGGAGACCTGACCGACGAGAACCTCGACAAGCTGCGCCAGTTCAACGAAGCCGTCAAATCAAATGAGGGATCACATCTAGTGATCATACCACCCAGCTCTGATCTCCTCTCTGACAAGATTGTCTCGTCGCCAATCCTGGATGGCGAGGGTGGCGGCGCTGCAGCGAATGGCGGAGGTGCCAGCGGTGAGGGCGGAACTGGAGGGGACATCTTCGAATTCGGTGTCGATCCCAACTTGGACCCGGAGCTGGCGCTTGTGCTACGTATGAGCATGGAAGAGGAGAAGGAGCGGCAAGAGCGGGAGAAGCATGCACGGGAAGAGGCTGACGGCAAGACAAATCTGGAGAGTGTGCCCGAGAACCAGGAGGGTGAGGCCAGTGAGAGCAAGGCCAAGGACAGGAAGGACGATGACAAGATGGATACTGCATGAGATACCTTGGCAAAGTACGTCGGGTTTAGACTGCGTTCAAGCAGAGGACGTTGTGCACGTAGCTACCCGCTACGACACTGTAGTATAGAACAGCTGGCCCAGAATGACAGAGCTCGAGAGGCCTTGCAACTTTTCTCGATCCGTCTGCAATCGAATGACACGACACGAAAGAAATGGCAAAATTGCAACGTTGAATGGCCTTCATTAATGGCTGAATCGTAGCAAGAAGACGCTGAATGGCCTTCTCTCCACATCTTACCGCTTCACCGTCCCACGGACGACCATCTCTTCCTGAGTTCCAAAGACTCGGCGACTACTGACCTGCAAGATCGTTAAATAAAAGGATAGCGTCGGCGGTGCGGTGACTAGTGTAGTAATATAGCAAGCAAGGGCGGCGAGGCGGGTGCCTCGAGGGTGGCAGGTCATTACAGGGTCAGGGGTGCCGGTACAGCGCCAAAGGAATTGTCTCCGTTGGCTCCAGCATCTTCGGGCTTCATCGTTCCGTTCAGCAGAGGGCAAAGCCTTATAATAGGTATATACGTCAGCTTGGAGTCGCTTGATAAGACAAACGTGTTTTGCTGGGGAGGGGATAGGGTGTCGGTGGTAGTAAGAAAACAAGAGAGCAAGAACGCCAACTCAGCAGCCCCATCACTCAAAGAACGAACTTCGCAAGAGCAGCCTTGCCATCCTCGACGCTATCACCGTCACCAGAGCCACCGCGCTTCTTCTAAGCGCTAGCACTCTTGCGTCCATGGTTGCTGCTATTGCCTTCGTTCACATTCTTCTTCTTGTTGCGGTTCTTGTTGTTGGTCTTGCTCTCTTTGTTCTCCCGCTTACAATCAGGACAAATGAAGGGGGATACTGACTTGCGGTTGGTCTTGATGTGGCCGACCTGGCCGCAGTTGGCACACTTGCGTGCTGTGCCATCCTTGCTGCGGCCTTTGCCTCTCTGTGGAGCGTTTTCACCTGTACCGTTTATGCCAGACACTGGTCCATCCATTTCGGATGCCTCAGGTGAAGCAGCGTTGGAAGGTGAGCCGGCGGCATTCTTTGCCTTGAGCTTCTCGCGCGCGATCCTACGGTCCGCGTTGCGTTGGATGCGTGCGAGCTCCTTCTGAAGCTGCTCACGAGCAAATCGGTCATGTTCCGGATCGCCGGTGGGCTTGAAGTCGGCCATACTAAGGCTGTTAGCAACACATTCTGGTTTAGTTTCTTCTTTTGGAGTGGACAACTTACGTCTTGTTGCCCCATTTCCGTTGGTTGTGCTGTTCTCTGTACGCGGCGATCACGCGGCGATCGGTGATGACCTCAGTGACTTCTGGTAGTGGATTGCCCTGTGCATCCGTTCCTCCGCCACGTCGAATGGTGAGACTTTTCTGTCCACGACCGCTCTGTCCGCTAAACTGGCTCATGTAGTCGTCATCGTTCCGAGAAGCGAACGCAGCCGGAGTGCTGAAGGACGATCGGGGTGTAGCTTCTCGCCCGTAACCAGACTCGGCGTCGTTGTCATGCTCGTCGTCCATGTCATCGTCCGAATATACTTCAGGATTGCTCAAGCTAGACTGCTGTGCGTTCCAGATCCGCTTGATGGATTCCTCATACGATTTCTGTTGCTCCGCGACATTATAAGAATGGCCACCAGTCTCCTTGCGCTTTTTCGCGTTGATCTTATCTTGAACACTCTCGCCTTGAGCTTGGAAGCCACCTTTCATGGAAGTCTTGACGAAGCTGAAACCTTCGCCTCGGCTCGTGGGATCGCCGTCGCCGTGCAACTTGAGCATGGCTTTGCCTTGATTGGCATTGAGGAAGTTCTTGGTTGCCCGCCATGGCGCCAACTGCAGCTCGATGTTGGAACCTTCGTCGATGTCTTTTTCATCATCACCAGCATCCTTTGACTCATCAACGCCCAGATCAGAGAGATGCTGAACACCCACTTGCATAGAGTCGAGCAGACAGACATCTTCCGGTCGAATCCAACTGCGCAAAGTCTCGGCATCGGGAACGGGCTGACCTGGTTGAGGAACCCAGACACCACTGCTTCCATCGCCTCGGCTAGCCACGCGCTCGTACCTCATAAACTCCCTCATCTTGCTGCGTGTCTGCGGCATGTCATGGCCGGGAAGATGCGGCATGAGCGTTGCGTTGTCGAGGACCTTGTCCCTTCGATCCAAGCTCTTGGTGTAGATGCGGTACGAGAGGGCACGAAGCCGCTTCTTGGCAGCATCTGTGACTTTCCGGGAGTGCTGACCAGGTATCTCCAGCAGTGGAAATTGCTGTCCAACCACGTGAAGATTCTCCACATTGCGTAGGAAGAAGCGATCTCCTAGCTCGTATGTGCTGCTGACACCGACGACAAAATCAGTGGTTTTAGGCTGATGCGCAAAGACCGGCGCACGGAAGAGACCGTTCTGGATAGTGGGCACAGTCTCACCAACGTCGACGTGACCGAAGTTGCCAAACGGGCTCTTGTCCTGAGTCAGGAGAACTTGAGCTTCGCCGATCTCGCGCTTGGGGCGTTCCTGATCATCTGTGCCTCGCTTTCGATAGTAGTTGATCAGTCTGTTGCCCATGCCGAAGTTCGACATCATCATAGGAGCTTCCTCGGAGTATTCCAACAGCAGTAGAGCGCCGTTATCACCGAGTGACAGATCTTCAGCTTTGGCGAAGACCTCTTTTGCTTCGCGGCCTTTGACGTTCTTGCGTTTGATATGCTTCGGCTTCTGAAAGCGATGCTCACGAAGCGAGGGACCTTTGAGCTCCAGTTGGGGGCGATGAAAGGAGCGCTTGGCCTTGGAATCCAAAGTAACACGGTAGAACGGGTACTGCAGCTTGGTAGCCGGATAGCTGTGCTCAACAGCCATGCCGCCAATGGTACTGCGGACCTTGTTGTGGTGATTCTCTTTCAGCAACTCGTATGCCTGGTCGTTGCTGATGTTGTAACGCTTGGCAATGTCTCGGCTCAGTGCAGCATCGCGCTTGTCTCCAGGCACGCGTCGCAGCTTGCGCTTCTGGCGAGGCGCATGCTCATCGATCAGGAGATGCGTGTCGTTTAGATCTAGCGCGACAGCTTTGGCAAGCTTGGCAACAGCGCGCTCAGGATCCTCCAAAGATAGATGGATGTCCCGATATGAGAGGGCAAGGCCGGAATCCAGAGCGTTCATCTTTCGCTTCTTGACTGGACGCATGCCCTCTTCGGCATCCCAGTCTCCTTCAGAAGCATCGCCATCCAAGGCCTGGCCAGCATGATCGAGGACAACAGAGGCAGTTTCAGTGGGCACATCCCAGTCCTCGCAAATAAGCATGAGATCTTGCATGGTGATTCCCCCGATACGCTCATTGTCGTCGATACTGCTGGAATCGTCGTCGCCATCGCTGTCGTCGTTGGATGCAAATAGAGGGCCGAGCGAGATGATGCTGTTGTTGTAAGTGCTCTCGTGTCCAGCTCTATTGATGGGCAACGATGTCTTGAAACTGCGCTCTTGGTCATGCAGAAGGTCAAGTGAGAGTTTCGTCGGCTGTACAGCCTTTGGCGGCTTGAGCGGCAACTTCCCCTTGTACACGACAGGGTGCGGAGGGAACAGGTCGATGAAGTTTGGAGCATGCAGCTCGTCGTACCCAGGGTAGAGCGTATTGAATAGAGCCACATCCGTTTCCACTGGTCCCGAGTCTACATCTTCTCCGGCAAGCTTTCGCTTGGCATCGGCGAGCAAGCGCTTCTGGAGCGCTACGTTCGGATCGGCGTCATCCTCTGTCGTGGAGTCGCTGTGAGCCGAATGAATGGAGTGCTTGCGATCTGCGTAAGGCGGTGGACTAGACGATGACGGACTCGGTGCTTGTGAAGAGGGATACGTGCCGTTGAATGTGGGCAGCGCAAGGCCAGACTTCGAGGGAAGCGCCAAACCGCTCGGCCGTTGCTGGGGCTGTACGTGACTTGGAGGGCGGCGCTCTTCTTCAGGAGAGGATGTTCGGTCCCCAAAGAGGTCGTTAACCTCATCCGTGTCCCCGAACAGGTCCCCTGACGTCTCTTTCGCATGGTGGTATCCATTAATGGGCGGCTGCACGGGCAGACCATTGAAGCCGCCTGTTGCCGACTGCAAGTATCCTTGGAACTGGTCATCATCCTCGCCGATGCCTCCGTTGGTTGCTTGCTCCTCCTCAGGGAGATCGTCATCACTCATATCCTCGTAGTCGACGGCATCCTCGTCTTTGCCCGTCTGATCAAAGCCGCGCTGCTCGTCCTCATCCTCCAGCAGCCCACCATTCCGCAGGAAACTGTCGATTGCCGAGGATTCCATTCCTTCCTCCTCGGTCGCGTGCGGCATCGCGGCGGCGGTTGTGAGGGTCGAGTGTGGAGATAGTGTTGTTTCAAAGAATCATTCGGTGATGTATCGGGCATGAGTTATGCAGGCTCGAAGGTGGGATTTGCCGGAGCGCGCATTGCAGAGGGTTGCGCGCGTGTTGTCGCGGGGGCTCGCTGGCTATTTATGTTGTCGACGGCAGTTTTTGTTTGCGCAAGGCAGGCAAGGGATGCGACTGCTAAGCGGCGTGAACTGATGAAGTGAACTGGTGCTGCGGAATGTAGGAGCGCATCAGGTGACGTCTGCGGTACGGCCCTCCCGCTCTTCTGCCTGAGGCAGCATTCGCCCCCCGGAGTAATGTAACTGCATCTCGAAAAGCAGATTATAACCTTACTCACCAAGAGATCGACTTGCATCAAAACAGCGCGATTATTGCGGTGCCATCACGAATCAGTGGCCCTCGCAGGTAACAAACCGTATCCTAATCAACAAGCAGCTCGCATCACGTGCTGATTGGATACATGTACTTGCAGAGAGTACAAGCTCCACAGCCGGAGCAGCCGAGAAAGCATCGCAGGACTTGGCGCCAGCAAGCGGTCGGATGCCAAGTATGATCGTCGGATGCGATACAGGACTGGCAATGTGCACTACCTGGTCCAATGTTCCCAAAGAGACAGCTCGGACCTTGCGCTGTGAGCATGTTGTGGACAGGAGCGGCAATCTGACTTCGACGACATGGCCATCATGACTGGCGCCTGCAAATCGTCGTCGGGGATGGCCTGGATCGCGCGTATAGTGAGTGACTTGATGATGATTCTACAGACATCGGGGGTACATCTATCTGATGTTGCGGTAGACGTCTGTCGCTTGTTTGACACGCGCGACATGGGATAATATCGCCAGCGCTGGTCTTATAGGGTTGGGGCGCGCTATCGCCCAAACCAACCTTGCGCGTTGTGCTGATTCTGCTCCTTAGCGTGAACTGAAAAATGGGCCAATCCGTCTTCACGATATCTGCTGCTTTCGCTCGACGCTCGCAACGGCAACTGCTGCCGGGTCTTCGCCGGGCATCAGTCCGCGTGTCCGGGGAATCATGCTCTCGCACTTCACGACGATGAACATATTTTTCCCGGGGTTACGATGGCCCCTCGGCGTCTGACGTCTGTCCGAACGTACGCTTGGACATCGAAGAAACGGTGGATGACAGGATGGTGGGTCGCATAGAAGAATCTTTGCAGCGTAACACGAATAAGGCGTCGGAGAGCCTGCATTAGGCGATGACGGACAGCCAGTGGGCGTCTCTTCGGCCACTTTGTCCTTTCAACCTGGCACGCGGACAGCAGGATTGCATCGTCTGCGCAAATTGGCGACCAATTTAGGGCGGCCGCGTGGGTTTCGTATAGCCGTAGCACGAGCCAAAACGAATCCCGGCAAGTGCGCAGGCAATTCGCACTAGTTATTATACCTATCACCAGATGGTCCAACAGTCGACAATCTTGGACTCGCCAGTCCGCGTCGGCTGTGCCGCAGGAGGCGCACCCTCACTGGGAATGGCCATGGTCCTGGATCCTGGTAGGGACGAGAGCCCTACAGTGCCGGATAGTAAAAGGTAGCGGGCGCGGTAGGGCACGGGCATGTCTCATCGCATTGCATCACACCACACACGCACGGAGGCGGTCCGTCGATAGTTGGAGGGATCCGGATGCGGAAACATGACGACGGACGACGAGCACTTCGAATGCAGCTACAGTTGTACGGGTGCACGGGTGCGATGGGAGCAGCAACAGCAATCCTGCGCGACGCACGAGAGTAGAAGAGTCGGGTGGCGCTAGACATTACAAATGGGACAGTCCAAACTCTGATTTGACATTGATGCTAGCTCGCCTCCTATATACATTTGGCAGGCTAGCCCGATCTGCACTACTAATCTGGCGGCTCCGGCAGCATATCACAGATATAGTAGCTATTAGTACCGCTGCGGCCGGCGAGCCTGCCCTGTGTCGTTTCTGTAGGCCGCCTCTCCGTTTCACATCCCTTGGCGCATCGCCCTACCGTACGTCTCGACAATTTTATTATATTGCTCTCCGCGCGGTATGTACTCATCATCTGCCTCATAATAATACTCGTCCGCCGCCGACCTTGTCCCCTCTGCCTTGATCCAGTCCAACCCAATCCAATACAATACCTCTCGGCACACGTGCTGATTCTGATCCTGATTCTGATTCTGATTCTGACATTGGACCAGGCCCCCGGGAAGCGTAGCGTAGCGATTATACTCGTCAACGCCCGTGGTGATTACCTGCCGCGGTTGCTGTGCTCTACTGGTGCCATTGCTGCCATGACACCCTCGTAGCGAGGTAGACGACGACAGCGACGACTCATGCCACAAAGGCGAGCATGGAGACGGAGAGACCGGCAGAGGGCGCGGAGCATTCCCGTGCCGCATCCAAGGCCCACGATGTCGCTATACGACAAGATGCCGCTATACGACAAGATGTCGCCATACGAGAATCTGCGCCTCCCATCCCACGAGCAGCACTCGACCACTCGCGGCTATCATCCCGACCAGCTCCCGCCAGCGCCGCCGCAGCCGATCGAATGCCCAGCGATGTCTGGACGAGCGCCATCTCCAGGCTGCAGGCCCAGGTCTCCTACAACACCGGCATGCTGGAATCCCATCGTCGCCAGTTGAGCGATGTCGAGACGGCAATCACGAGACTGCACCAGGAAATGAACCACGTCGTGGCCACCTTCAACAACGATGTGAGGGCTGAAACGCGCTCTCAACCCGCTGCCTCTGAGCGTGCGAAAGCCGATCCGGGCGATCTCGAGGTTCTGGCGGGACAGCTTCAGCGCTTGACGAACCGCGTCAACGAGATCGATGGCCTGACGATGCAGATGGACCTGATGAAGAACCGCATGAAACGGCTGGAGGGAGGCTCGGCGGCCACACCGCTACCCGTCTCCGCGCCGCCTCACGTGCACGCCGAACGCCCCGCCGCTTCTCCCGCCGGGGCGGCGTACAGAGATGCGGCCATGTATGATGCTGGACCGCCACCGCCGCCGCCACCGCCGCAACCACACCAACCAGCTGGACACTCCCAGCCCGTCCCACCGCCACCGCCACCGCCGCCACCGCCGCCACCTCACCACCATGCTGCTCAACATCAACATCCCCCCTTGCCGCCCATGCGGACAGCCTCCGTTTCCTCTTCCGCCGTCGCTCGTCCCCCGAGCTTTCCATCCGTGACAGAGGCACAGGTCACCCATCGATATCGCCCCTCGTCCGAGTCAGGACCCTTTTCACGTGACGCGCCCACTTCGCAGCCCCAGCCCCCGCCCCCGCCCCCAGCGAGCTCGGCGTCTGCTTTCCGCCCCGGCGAGGGGCTGCCCCCTCCATCTGCACTGTCCGGATGGCGTCCGGCGGAAGCTTTCCCCCCAGGCGCTTCACCACGAAATGCGCCCCTTGTCGCTCCCGGTTTCCGACCACAGACGATCGATTCCGACTCTCACGGCGCTCCAACAAGCGGATGGGCTGCTGTCAATACGAACCCAGCCATCAAGCGTCCTCCCGAAGAGACACGCTCTCCTTATGAATCCCCGCAATTGGATGGGTCCAAGAGGCCAAAGCTCGCACCGCTGATGCCCAACATGCCAAGGACCAGCCATGGCGAGGAGGCTTTCGTTCCCTCACATCCTGCCTACCCGCCCGGTGTACTGACCACGAACCCCTCCGAGGCGTCGGGACACCCACGGAGTCGAGCGCCTTCGGACGGCTCGCAGCCTCCTTCGCACCCCGCGCATACACCTGCACAGCAGGCACTGCAACACAACTTCCGCTTCATCACCTCTACGCAGCAAGTGGAGCCACAGGAACCATGCAGACCTGAAGGAGAGCGACTGCCACCACCTCCCGAGCATGGACCTGGCTCTGGACCGCGTGGCGGGAGAGGTGGGAGGGGGAGAGGTCGAGGAGGCCGCGGGCGAGGAGGTCGAGGACGGGGTGGAGGAGCTCATGGCCATCACGGACCCCACGGACACCACGGACATCACGGCAACGGCGGCCCTCCACCTCATCCAGGAGAAGCACAGCAGCAGAGCACGCCAGAGTGGGAGAAACCAGAATGGACTGGTGGCAGCCATGCGTCCCCAAACGGCCACTATCACCCGGAAGTAGCCAGGGCAGGCGGCGTCGTTCGTCGAGCTGACCCACCGGTAGCATTCGCCGGCGGAGAGAGGAGCGCCGATTTCCCAGCAACGCCCGTCCAACAGCCAGCCGGCCCATACGACCCATACTCCCAGGCGAACATCGATTCCTCCCAGATGAGTTCCGGCAAGAAGACCAGGACGAAGCCCATTAGGAATGCAGAGGGGATTTTGATCCGCAAGGACGGCAGGCCAGACATGCGCAGCGTCAGCTCTGCGAACAATCTGCGCAAGGTTCACGCCAAGAAGGAAGCCGAGCGAGCGGGAATGGATGGTAAGTCTGACTCTGTCATTAGTGATGATACTGCACACGATCTCATCTCCTTCGCAGACGACGATGACGGCACGCGCTCCGGCACGCCCACGAGCACAGTAGCCGTCGAGCACGAAGCCTCCGAGGAACCCACGGACGCCCAGGAACGCCACCGTGAGTTGATGGGGAGAATGTTCCCGCAAGGAATGGAGAGCGCCGGGAGGGTAGCCGAGCAGTTCTTCCCGCGACACGAAGAGGCGTCGTCGACGATGAAGACGGAAGAGAGCGAACGAGATAGTCAGGAGGAGAGCAGGAGCAGGAGCAGGAGCAGCCAATCGAATGACGTGGTCATGAAAGAGACGAGCGAGGCGCAAGCCGAGGAACGAACTGCAGCAGCAGCAGCAGCAGCAGCAGCAGACCAGGACTCTACTAATGTTAACACTAAACAAGCAGAAGCCAGCAGCCAGGAGCAGGCTGGTAGCGGGGAACGCGAAAGTAAAACGGAGGACTCCTAAGAGCCATTCATGGATGTTTGGTGCGCGCGATGTTTGAGTCTAAAACCCCTACGCAGTTTGAGGCATGCTTCAGTTTTTTGTAAATACTTACCCTCGAGATACCCATGGGCGCCTCTTTTTTTGCGGATGTACATAAAATACGCAGAGCTACTGTTCTGCTACACGGCAACGGAACGCGATGCTGTGCGGTTGTGCGAAGCGGACAGCCATAGAGTGAGTCAGTCACCTGCGCAGAAGATGGCAATCGAACGACCCTGTTGTTCCAGCGGCGACACATGATCGAAGGCGGAGGGCTCACTTGACAGTGATGAATCCGATACCTTTCCGAGCCGTCTCGCAGGCCTTCCTTAGCCTCTGCTCCTCCACGTCCGTCCACCGCACGCTGAGCTCGTCCCACTTCTTGACCCGATACTCGGCCTTGAACTTCTGCTGGAGACTCTGCAACTCGGTGAGCTCCCGTGGATCACCAGAGCCGCTGTAAACGAACAGAGCTGTGCACGGCGGCAAGGCCTCGAAGATCTCCCGAATACGTTGCACCGTGTTCTTCATCATCGTCTCCAAGGAGTCGCCTTGAACAGTTTCCGTCGTGTTCGAGCGGAGCTCTTCTGAATCCGCGAGCTTGGAGCGGTTCCACCAGCCGCGATACGCCTCGAGCTCGCGGAAACGTGCCCAGATGAAGTCGCAGCCACCCTGAGGCACCACACTGCTGTTGTCGTCACCCGAAAGCGCACGTTTGACACCTGACACGACCTCCGCGTCGTTCTCGCAGCCGATGGCAACCTTTGCCTGTGCGCCATAGCCACGACTCGGGTCTCCCCAATCGACCACAGCACCAATTCGCGTCTCCTCGTCAGCGCTGTAGTTGACCTTGTGTTTCTTCGGCCGGGTTGCTCGCGACAGACGCTTGAATATACTTTCGCCGCTCGCTTCCGAGGTCCCCCACGTTTTGCCCTTCTCGGTCTTCTGTTTCACGAGATCAAGACAAGCCCGGGCGTCTTCAACGCTGTCATGGCCTGTCGAGCCGTGGCCTTTCTGGATTTCGCGGGACAGGTACTTCTGCGCTAGCCACTTCAACGAGGACTTCAGAGGCGGACCACGTGGGTGCGGGAACAGCAATGCCGTGTCGATGATGTAAGGGTGGGTTATTTGGAGGGCGTTTAAGTCGCTATTCAATGAGTGGCCAACTAGTATCGTCTGGGGCGTAAGGATGGACTGCAGCTTCGTCTGAATATCAGACAAGGTCGTGGTAACGGTTTCCAGCATCGCTGCCGTCATTCCGGAGTAAGGAGTGAGGTAATCCGTGATAGGGTCTGCCGGCTTCACCAACTCGTCCAGAACGACGTTGCCATCCCAATCTATGAGAGAAATGCGAGTAAGGCTGAAGACTTGTGGAGTGTGTCGTTGGGGCGAAGTAATGCACATTTCGCAGTCCATAGCAAGTATCCTCCTACCTGCGGTCACAGAACCGCTCTCGATGTCTTTCTCTGCAATTTCACCGGCCGACATGTCTGGAATATCGGCAGTGTCCATCCAGCCGTCAGAGCTAGTGGTCTTGGATGATTTACGGCGGGCAGCCTCTGCATCTGCAGAGCTGGAGCCGGTGAAGTGGGCAGGATGCATGGTGTAGCCTTCTTCGAGAAGCTCTTCTGTCGATGCGAGTAGCTCGGTGACTGGGGTGCGCCTGTTCTTCCATTCTCTGCTCTCAGATGGCGGTTTCGGTCCTTTCCATTTCGACTCTTCCTTCGCCTTTGGGAGCACCTTGGGAATGGGCGAGATGAGGATCGTGGCCAAGGGAGAATGCAACTTGGCGTACTTGTCGTCGCCAGGAGCTTTGATCGGCCAAACATGGTCGAAAACGTCTGCCAATGGGCGAAGAGGCACAGCTAGATGGTCCTTGCTCAGTTTGGTTGGGTAGTAGTCGTCCGGTGAAGCCTTCTGTTTGGCGTAAGAGACTTGCGTGAAGCCATCGGTTGTGGTATCCGTTGCCTCGGGAGACCGCATTTGCGTGGCATGACCATTGGCGGCGGAATTGGATTCGTCGTCGACAACAGGTATGCGGCCATCGAACATGCCAGCTTCTAAGCCAGGAACCATGAGGGCAACGACCTTTCTCACGTTCTTGTGATGCTGGACCGAGCACCATTGCGGACCGGTCCCGTCGGCCAGCAGGTAGAGGATGAGGTTTTGCAGATCGCCCAGCTTGACGAAGCTTTGCAGTCGGGCGTGGGTCGAGTGGGAGACGGAGGGATAGTCATTCGTCTTCTTGCGTTTCTGCCTCCGCTCGACAGTCTGCCACTCGCCGCCCGAGTCTGCAGCGTCGCCGTCGTCCTTGGCGCCACGGGTAGGGCCATTGTCGGAGGATGGTGACGGTATTGCGCCACGCTTCGGTTCTTGCAGGTGCGACACGGTGTTGCTGATGCCCATGAGGTTGTCGCGCTCGAAGTCATCGCGCGAGCGCTTCTTGCGGCCTTTTGCCATGTCTGCGGGTGGTGGTATCCCGCGCAAGGAACCTCGACAGCGACAGGATGTGCGAAGTGTGATGCGATGCGATGAGATGGATGGTGGTAGTCCAAATTCGGGATCGGGATCGGGATCGGAGCGGCTCGGCCCGAAGCCGGTGGCCGTCGTGCAGCACGTCAATATGTGTGTTGATACCTCAACTGCATTATTGTGCGACCACCCATCTGCATCTGAATGTGTACCTTACATGGTATAGATAAATAAGTAAATATGTCCTGCACTACCCTGCCCTGCCCTGCACTGCTCTGTACTGCATATAAAACGGCCTGACTCCACCCGCTCCTCATCCTACGGTGGTCGCTTGTCGCTGCATTCCTGCCCCTTCAGCGCCGTCTCACAGCATGCGTCTATCGCCCCCTCAATGCGAAGGCCTCACCGATGCGTATCCGGCTTCACCGGTCCCCAAGCTTCAGGAGCCCGGTCACGTACTCCCTTCGCTTCCGGTCTCAGGAGTGCTCGGATTGCTAGCATGGCCCGCGGCTCACATAATGGGACAGAGGGCGATGCCGGTCAAGGTCGCTGCTTACTCGTTTCTGGGGCTGTCTTTGGTATCCATTCCACCCGTTATCTCGCAAGACATCGCCGGCAGGTGGACCTTACAATCCCAGGGCCTTGCGTTACCACCATGGAGGTTCATCGACCGCGTTGGCCATTTTGACCACGACCCGCATCTCGACTGCGAAAGCCTTGGGCAGTCGCTGGCTGGCGAAGAGCACTCGGATTCTTCTGCTTAGGATCGGCAGTCGGTGTCGCGGTCAAGACCGCGCGTGATGAGTTCTGGAAAGCCACCCATCCAGAAGAGAAAGCTCAGCTTGACGCATGGAATAAGCAAAGGGGACAATGGCGAGAAAGACTTGGACAAGGAAACCCACGACAGCCTATCAAAAGCAGGATTAGATGCATATAGTACAGCTCCTCCCAAGGGGCATGTCCTACCTATCACCGACCCTCTTGCCACGTTTGCCAAGGGGTCAGGGACAGGAGGTACACCTCAAAATCTACCCGGCCATTCTGGCGCCTCTGGAAGATCGGGAGCCTCTGGGTCGAATTTGACCTCTACCAACAACGTCGAACCATCCGCCTCAGAGGATGACATTCACCGGACAGTTCGCACCAAATATGATCCAGACTCGATGCCGACGCCGCGTCCTAATTACTTCTGGTCATCTGACCGCCCGATCGAGGATCTTGAGGCTTACATAGGCAGCCTGCAGGCAAGGCGCCAGCAGCTAGCCCGCGAGGCCGAGATCCTCTGGGCTCGGCTTTCCGAGAAAGAAGCTGAATATTACAATAGCCCTGAAGCCAACACCCCTCCACCGCAGGAAGAAATCGACAAGCCTGCAAAAGTCGTTTACATCGAGACTCTCTCCATTCTCCACCGTAAGGCATGGAAGACAATCGGATATTTCGACTGGATGATTCGGCATTCGCAGAAGAGGATCGAGCAAGTCCGGTCCGCCCAATCCAACCCGGATGGAAAGGTTACCTGGCGCGCGGAGGCAGGAGCGGAAACCAAGCCACGCATCACGATCAACAGATTGAAAGGAGTCGAGGAAGGGGTTTCTGCACGGCTCGCTCACCTGCAACAGATATACGGGGCAGTTGCCATGAGCATGGCTGCCCCTGATTGGGACTCTTCCGAAGAAGGCAATGCCCTGGTCTTCAGCCCGTTCAAGAATAAGATGATGCCGCAGCGAGAGGCTATAATGGAACTTCGTAACGAAACTGAGAAGGCAATCCGGGTTTTGCAGCGGGAAGTTGACATTGCGAAGGCTGTCATCCGGGACCTTGAAGCCGGGGGAAAGGAAAGCTCAAAAGAAAAGGACTGATGAGATAACTTGGCTGGAGCGGAAAGCAGAGAAGATCAAGACAGGGTAGAAGAGAGCACATTGTGCAGAGGCTCCGGGCCTACATCCACGTGCACAAGACGCACGGCTACCTCCCAGATGCGGAATCCGCTCCAAACGCTTCCAGGTTCACACAGCAGGATCGGCAGCCGAAAGGTACGAGATGATCAAGTATCAAACTCTCCACGACTCCACTGAAACAACCCCCCCCCCCCACCCCATCTTCTCCTTCGACATCCAAGCCAGGTACAACCGTTTCATGACAATGAATCAAGAGGGTGAAGAAGTCCGGAAATGTCTCGAGGCGGTAAGTATTCGCCACCATTCAAACCATGCTCCCTCCACTTCAACCAGCAAACTCGCTGACATTCTCTCACGCCCTCATTCCCTCATCAACAACCTTGAGGCCGTTTGGAATCCAACAACACAACTCCCCACCTGTCTGTTCCACGGGAGGGAAACAAGCAGCGCAGAATGTAACGCACGTTCCCATCCATAGACAGACAGACAGACAGACAGACGGACAACCAGGGGCCCCACTGCAATCAATCAATCGCACTGACTTTTTTCAAAATCACAAATCTCACCACCAGAAGCCATCCGACATGTGTGCCAAGAAGAAGAAGAAGAAGAAGAAGAAGAAAAAGAAGAAGAGGAGAGTATACTGAGCATTAAATCGTTTCGATTCACGCTGATAGGCATTTGCATCCGTCGTAGTCGCTCTCCTTTTATGGATAAGAGAGAGACAGAGAGAGAGAGAGAGAGAGCCGGAAGACTCATCATCATCGAATCTTCTGTTCAGTTTTCTGCACATCCATGTCAATTCTTCTTGCTTTCTTGCTTTCTTTCTTTTCGACTTCAAATCAAAGAACACACGCCCGAAACACCTCGCTGGTAACGCTGCCTGACTGCCGGGTATCTAAAATGCTCTTCTTCTTCTTCTTCTTCTTCTTCTTCGTTCCCGAAGCCCTCTCCTTCATAATCATATTGAAAAAAAAACGCCAGTTTCATTTCACCCATCAAGCATCCTGAGTCGCTGCAGGATCGTAGTCACGACCCACTCGTGTCTGCTCTTGGCCTTCCGGGGATCCAGTTCCAGACCTGCGGAGAGAAAATACACCAGTCAGCCCATTGTGGACGATGGTGGTCGTATGGATTTCGTCAAAAGGGGGGCACTCGTCACAATGTACAGATGGAGGGAGATATTCGTGGCGCCGTTTTGCGTATGGCAGAATACCACCGTCGCCGCAACAGAGGCCTGATGATGCAGACAGCGGCAGCTGCAGCTTCGGCAAAAGCATGTTGCATGTGGAATGTTAAAACTCACTGGACTCCTGGGCGCTTCTCCTGAGCTTGCGGTTGTACATCTTGCGCGTCTCGGCATTCCAGTACATGTCGAAGATGTCTGGATTCATCATCGCTCGAGGATCGTACGCAGCTTTCTTGTCATCGATGGCAGCCACAATCGCAGCAACATGAGACCCAATCTCGTCTGTTTTCTCGGGGAAGTAGCAGAGAGTGCCGCGGCTGCTGACTCGGTGATGGTGAATGGGAGTCTCGAAGGTGACGCGAGGCTGCGCTTCTGGGAAACTGGGTGGAATGTGAAGCTTCAAGTTGAAGATACCGCCGTCGAGATTGGACATCGCTTCGCCGAATACCGTAATGTGCCACACGAACGGATTCTTCTCGTCGGGCAGACTGATCTGGAGCTGTGAGCCAGGATATTGACCCTCATTCCACTTGTACTTCAATTGTGTGAACTGGAAAGCCAGCTGAGTTGCGAGTTGAGTCCCCTGCGATACTTGCTGAGCTCCCTGCTTCTGCCAGATGCGCTTCTCGTCCTCGAGCTTGCTGAAGATTGCCTGAAGACGAGTCCCAAGGCCCTTATAGTCGAAGTGGCCGTCCATGCTATTGGGCGGGTACTCAAACTCCATGCGCGTGAACGCAGTACCGTCGCTCTGCTCACGCCCATACTTGTCCACCGCACGCATGTAAGCATCATAGTACCACAGAAATCGCCGCTTGACGAGATCTGCGAATGGTTCCCATTGGCCTTGATCCAACGCTTGGAGCGCAGCCTCCGCGTCGTACTCGTATGCCGAAGCTTCGGTCTTGGGTGTGAGAGATCCGTCTGTCGAAGAGCCGTGGCTAGTAGGCGAGTACGGGGGCTCGACAAGCACGGATTTGCCTGCACCGCTCTTCAACTTCTTGTAGACCGGCTCCGCGGTCTTCTCAGGCCGAAGCTGCAGCAAACCCTCAAGACGTTGAATCACTGATATACGAATCGTCTCGTGCCGAATCTTCGCAATGTAGGCGGTCGGCATTGGCTCCTCTTTCTTGGCCGTCTCGTAGCCGGGTTCGTTCTCGTAAGGATGGGAGCTCATCAAGCTCTGGATGCTGATCAGGACGCTCTCGAGGGATTGTGCGCTGGACCATTCCTCTCCAGGGTTCCCGCGCCATGTGCCCAAGATGGAAAGGCAGACCTTGCCTTCGGAGTAGATGTTCGGGTTGAAACGAGTCTTTCCGCCGTTTGTCGTGATACACTTGACGCTCGGTGACTTCATCGGGTAGTCCTTCGGAAACTGTCCCAAACATGAGCACTCGTCACATCGCCGCCGGGCCGTGTAATGGTACCCACCTTCATGTCAAACTCGAAGAAGCCAAATTCGTAGGGCGAGTCCGGCGGACCGATGATGAGGGCGCGAACATGGCGAACGTCATTGTCCTTGCATGCGACTGCAATGGAGAGGTCGGTGCCCTTCTGTTGTGTTGCTATCTCGCGGGTCACGCGCTGGATCGCGCCATTGGCGTTGACCTGTGCCATGATGTTTGATGTTGGACGTGCGGGGAGTGAGTGATCTAGGACGCTCTCGTTCTCCAGAAAAGTCGCAAGATCATGTTCGAGCCCGTGGTTGGCTTTTGTAGTAGAGCGTGAGTTGTCGAGAACGTGACTGGAGGCACGCGGCGAGGAAGAGAGGAGCGTGAAGCAGCTGGAAGTGCAGGTGAAGGTGCAGTGGTAGATGAAGCTCCAACTTGGTGCTTGCCCGTGCAGCTGCCTGCTAGCGCCTAGTCCCTGCGTTCACCCGCACGCACTTAAGTGCCTTAGGCACGACAGGGATACAGCCATATGCTATATATATGGCACATTGCATGCACTTCCAGAGCCGTGGACGGTGAATCGCCTCCAGGCAAATCAGCGAAGCGGCAGTATGGTCGTGTTTGCCCTCCTCATCATCAACAAGGCCGGTATATATCGCCCAAGCTTGCCTCACGGTCCCGGTACATCTCGACTGACGCTGAACAGGTGGTCTCATCTACAACCGCACCTTTGCCCCAGGCCTCCAGAAGCTCGACTCCAATGACTATCTCATTCTCGCCGGGACTTTTCACGGCATCCACGCCATCTCGAGGAGCATCAACCCGGCGCCGCCCGTACCGCCTCAGCCGGGCAATCGCAAACCGCCCACGACCGGCATCGAGAGCCTGGAGAGCAGCCATTTCCGATTGACGTGCTTCCAGACACCCACGGGAGTCAAGTTCTTGCTGTTCACCAGCCCGGAGCAGCCGAACACGGCGCTGGTGATCCGGCGGTGTTACGAGCTCTACGGCGACTTCGTCATGAAGAATCCGTTCTACAGCATGGAAATGCCCATTCGCGTGGAGAAATTCGACAGAGCCCTGGGTGGCTATTTGCTCAGGCCATCATGAGCTTCGGGTATTGGTGGATGCACATATGCCACCGTGATCGACGAGTCATGCTCTCACGAGGAATGGGTTTGCATTCAGCTTCACTCCTTGACATCTAGTGCGGCGCAAATGGACGCATTCAGGCACTGCACTCTGTACTACGGCACGGATTCTCAGGAGTTGCAGGTTTGGAGTCTTGGTAGTTTCGCCAAGCACAACCTTATGAACCACGATATAAGGCGGACTCATATAGCGTGAACCATTGGGTTGGCATAGCAGGGTTGCTCGTGACATCACAGTTCGGGCGTGCAGAGATATGATGGAGACGTGTGTTGGGAGATCCAGACTGTCGCAATGACCAGCATATACACAGCAAAACAACCGACAAAGGGAAACCACGAGTGTGCCACAGCTTTGTACGCATTTCCATCACCTCCAGAGAGATCCAAGGTCTCCTGTTAGACCGTATCGCAAAGCACGCTGCCGTCTGAGTGGACGGTGCTATTCCTTAATCCTCGCCCGATTGTACTCCGTGTGTTGTGCCCTAACATAGGTCGATACAGCACTCGCAACAGTCCGCACAACATTCACAGCCCTCCTCGCAGACGAAACAGCAGCAGAGTGTCGCCAGACAAGCTCCCAGGCATCCTCGTTCCTTACCGCCGCCTCGTTGTGGTGGTGGTGCTTGCTGTTGTTGGTACATTGGCGCCTGCTGCTGGTAATACCCCTGCTGCGGAGGCGGCCCTCCGCTACCAAGAAGTCAGCAAGATCGCGCTTTCTCTTCCATGCGAAGCTCTTACTATGACTGGGGAGGGTACTGCGGGCCGCCGTATTGAGGTTGGCCGTATTGCTGCGGCTGTCCGCCGTAGTAGCCTTGGTTCGACATGGCTGCGGTCGTTTCTGCAAGCTGTCAGCTGGGCGCATCATCCGAGGGTGTCGAGGTTGGACGTCGCTGGGCACATACAGGCTGTGGGTTGGCGAGTGATAGAGCGAATGTATGCGACGCCGGTGCCGAGGAGGGAGAGTGCGATCGCGAAGGTTGTGAGATGGGAGATGGATGAAAGGCGGCGGGAGAGTGGAGGAGGAGGATGTAAGGTGTCAAGTAGTGTGCTTCGGCGGAGAGTAAAGTCAGATGACGGCGATCTGGACTCTGAAGGTCGGCTCGGTGGCTGAGAAGCTTATGATAAGGTGAACGTGGACGTCCCAAAGCTCGAAATTGGTGGTGTCGCTTGTTGTTTGAGCGACGATGATTGTGCACAGAAGAGTGCAGTGATGAGAGTGGAGAGGTGGAATTGCTTTTAGGTACGAAGCGGCGCTCCTCAGCCACCACACGACGCCTGTGCGCGCCAGCGAGACCTTTACGCTACTAAACGAATCATGTGCCGCGCTTGTCTTTGCCTCTGGGGCTTCTGACGAAGCTCTTCTGAGGCGCAGCCACTACTGTGCCTCTTCTTCTTGTAACGTTGTACAATAATCCAATGCGGCCACGATGTCGGCGATGCGTGCGGACAGCGAGACAGGCTCAGATGTGAAGGGCTTGTCGCGCGCTTGTCGCTGCCGCCACTACATCCAAGCTTTTCAGCATCGCTCCGTTAATGCTTGCTGTGCTTGGCTTCATGGCACCACTTTCCTCTCACACGCGCTTCACCCCTGCTCCCTGTTGTACCGAGTACCTTACCTTATGCAAGAAAAGAATGCGAGGGATACACTATGATCCTGATATGGCGCAGAAGATCAAAGCTTGATCTGATGCCAAGCTACTCATCAAGTATCGCTGTACAGGTTCGCCATGCCCTGTGCCGATACGCAACACGATGCACTCCCTGTTCCCCGTCGCCATGCATGCTCGCTTTTCAACATGCAAACAAAACGCTCCATTTGTACACCCCTCGCTATCAGCCGATTCAGTCGTCCTCTTCCAGTAAACTCAGCACGTCCAGCTCCGTCTTGACGATGCGTGTGAACTCCTCGCGATCCATGCCACTGGCTCGTGCCAATATGAATAGGCTCTTCACATCGGTGCTGATGTGTTGCTTAATGGCCACCTGTGCTGCACCCCCGCCATCGTTGCTCATGGCTGCGGCGCGCTCCTCTAGTCTGTCCACGCTTGAAGTGGAATTTGCCGGGGAGATGGCTCGTGGCATAGAGAGCTCATGCTCGCCATTCACGCTGCGATCCAGCGCTGTGTGGACTACGGGGTCGTGGGGCTTCCATTCGGTGTGTGGTCGTAACGAGCGCAGGTAATCTGCCTGCTCTGCGATAGCCCCACTCGATGAAGGTTGCGGTTGTTGTCTGGACCCCAGAAGAGAGCTTCCATTCAATGTGCTCTCTCCAATATCTCCAGTGTCTTCGTCAGGGTCATGAGGGTCCATGGACGGTTGTACTTCGTCGCCATATCGATTGTAATAGTCCGCCTCTTCGCCGTCATGTGAGCCGTTGGTCATTGCGTACGTGGATGAAGGCACAGGTGCTGGAGAATTTTTGGCAGATGTCCTTTCCGCAGGCGTTCTGTCATATGAGGCCCAGTAGTCGTCGTTGGCATCATCTTCCTCCTCCTCCTCCTCCTCCTCTGCTTGCCGTCCGTAAGGATCACCATTCGTGCTTGGCACAGAGATTGAGTGAGTTTTCGCAGCATCGTCTGCTTCTGGGATCGAATCAAACCACTCCGTACCATCTTCTTTGTCTTCCAGTGTCCGTAGTTCGGACAGGTACCACCCGGCCTCAGTCCCGCCCTGCTCATCTTTCTCACACCATAGGTAAATTGGCAGCAGCTCGAACTGCTCAACCTCTAGTCTTGCTTGCAACGTCTCCTCGTCTAGCCTCTTATACTTTGCCGGGCCAACCTCTTCCAACTCGAGTTCTCCAGAGACAGGATGTGGCTCGAGGTCTATTCTCTCGACTACGGCGGGGAGTTTGGAGCCCCGTCCATGATCCCACGAGAGCAGCGGCAGCCAGCCGTCATTGCCAATGTTTTGCGACAGAAAGTTGACACGTTGTCTGAGGAGTGGTGACAACAGAGGCAGGAGTGCGGGAGGCGGCCTCGGGGAGACGAAAGATGTGTGTAGACAGGCGAGTAGCGGTGGGAGGATTTCGCGAGAGTTAGGTGGCGGGGATACGTGCATCGTTGTGGTGGAAATGGGTGGTTTTAGATGTGCGGACCGCAGCGGGATACGACTGTCGCAGAGCTACCACTCTTCCTGAGAAGACAGCCGTAGTTTATCGCGTTGAGCAACGAAGCTGTAGCTTTCAGCTGTACGGGAGCAACGAGCGGTGGTAGTGGTAGTGGTAGTGGGAGTGGGAGTGGTGGTTGATGGCGCAGTCACGAGAGAAGCGAGCGTGATCAGAGTGAGGTATGTGAAGGCAGTACATGTACTTAGCTTCCGAAGTGAACAACAGGTGCCGTGCGGGAGACGAGACGTCGTAACACTACCCTGAACGAGTGTAAGTTGGTGGATCTGTGAATCCACATAACCGACGCACGAGTCCGGGCTGAAGTTGTATTCCTTTGCCCCGAACGCCTGTGCACAGTGTGGAGGCTAAGGTAAGATAACGCCCTCCGACGGGCCCGGCCGACACTTTCCGCGGCTGGACTGCAGCAAGCACGTGAAAAGGCTTGGCATTCTGGGGAAACGTTTTGCCGTGTCTGTGTTTCCACATTGCTACCGCACAGCACGCACGCACAGCGTCAAGACCGATTCTGGCGCGTGAACCGGCGCCTCATGCCTCAAGCGACGTTCTGCGATGCACTTCACACGCTCTTGGTCACCTGCAGTGCCCGTGTCTTGCAGCATCTGCGTTTCAGCCTGCTTGCTCTGTCGCGAATTCCAGGCGCCTAATTGGCTCCGCACCGCATCGACGACTTCACTTGCCCACAGCTACCGCCAAAATGTATTCACGGCGCCTCGACGTCTTAGAAACGAATAGCCTGTTGATGACATGTGCCTCCTCGCTTCTGCTGGATACCGCGCGCGAATACGAGGCCTGTCTCCAACACAGAAGCATCCTCAGGGCCGGCTCACATTGATCCTCACAGCATCTCGAGTGGATCGCCCACGTTTCGTCTGAGCTTTGACTAGTAGTGCACAAGACGACGGCGGGCGCAGGTCTTGATCTACAGGCCCGGTCCCCTTCGTCTCTGTAAGTGTCTTTCCGTTCACTTCTTCTATTGTGTTCTGTGTTGTACGCCAAAGGTCACTCGCTTGCGTTGCATTTCCACGCCGTGCTGGCACGGCTTCCATTCGTTTGAAAAGTCCATATTCCTAATCCTTAGCGGCCACCGGCTTGGCTGCATACAATGGACGTCTTCTTGAGGAACCTAATATTCGCCTGGCTATTGCTACCGGCCCTTGTCGTGGCGGCGCCGACATCCGCTCCTGCTCCGACTTCTCCTTCATCTACTCCAACATCTCACCAGGCTGGCGGCGAAGAGCATATCGTCATCATTGACAAGAATGCCCCAGTCATACCACAGGTGGCCGAGGTTCTCAACCGGTTGGATCTGCACGAAAAGCACCCCGACGTCCGACGTGTGTTCAACAACAGTGCTTTCCAAGGCTTTGCTGCATCGATGAAGTCGCATTGTCTGGATCTCCTGGCGAATATGTCGGATGTGTCGACTGTTGAGAAAGCAGTCACGGTCAGCAGAGCATCCATTGATACGAGACCAAACGCACCTTGGGGTCTCCAGCGCATCTCGACAGCTTCATCCGTTGGCGGCAGCCCTTCGGCCTTGGCCTACACCTACTCTTACAGCGACTCGTCACTCGGCTCTGGCTCCGACGTCTATATCATCGATACTGGCATTTACACCGAGCATAACGTCTTCGGTGGCCGGGCCAAGATGCTCTGGTCCTTCGATGGCAACACAGAAGACAAGGACGGCCACGGAACGCACGTCGCCGGCACCGCGGCTGGAGCAATTCTGGGTATCGCTTCCAACGCCAACATTTACGGCGTCAAAGCTCTCGACGCCGACGGAGGAGGCTGGTCCAGCAACGTGGTCGCAGGAATTGACTACGTCCTCCAACGCCACGATGCTCGGCGCGCAGCAGGAGCCAACTTCACCGGCTCCGTCATGTCCATGTCTCTGGCCACGACCTCTCCCGTCACAGCAATCACCCAAGCCGTGAACGCCGCCGTCGAAGCCGGCATCCACGCCTGCATAGCAGCGGGCAACAGCAACACAGACGCCTGTTCCTCCTCCCCGGCCTCGACGGGAGGCACCAACGGCCGTGCCATCACCGTCGGCGCCATCGACATGAACACCCAGCGTGCGAGCTTCTCCAACTACGGTTCGTGCGTAGATCTCTACGCCCCAGGAGTCGGCGTCGTCTCGTCATGGATCGGCGGCCAGAACATGATCAACATCCTTGATGGAACGAGTATGGCTACGCCGCATGTGACGGGGATCGTGGCCTATGCGATGAGTAACAACAGTACCTTGGCGCAGAACCCGGGACTGATGAAAGAGTGGATTCGCATGGTTGCGTTGCCCTTGCGCGATGGAACGCTGATGGCCACCAACGGAGCCTACTGAGTCTTCGCTCCCAAAAGCGGGCGGCCAAGGAGACGGTGAAACCCATGTTCGAGTGTTCGACTACTGTTGTACCAGTCGTCGGTGTTCCAAGACGCTCATTCTCCGGATCCAATTCCGCGATGAAGCGTGCAAGAGGTTCTGTTGCGGCAGCGTAGCTTGGTAACGCCAAGAATCATGGATGAATCTAGTGTGACTTCGTCCTGTTTGCATGGCGGCCAAATGAAAGTGTACTCATTGTGAGGGTAGATTGTGTCGTTCTGTCTTGTACATAGGCATGCTATTGAGACTACAAAAAACTGCTCCCTCAATTGTCCTTGAGCCGGAGCGAGTTGGTCCGCCTTAATGCTTTCAATGCTTCTCTCAGATCTGTACCACTCATTAGCCGTTTCCTCTTCGTCACATCCCAACATCTCATCCTCTCATATCACTTAATGCAAGTCTTCAAAGACTTCTGTTTGTATCATCAAATCACTTCATCCAGGTCATCAAATCCGGCGCCGGCCGCGGCGTCTGAGTCCTCTTCGACTACTACTACTGCCCCCTTCTCGTTCTCCTTATTCTTTCCCTTGCGCTTGCTCCGTGATGATGTGGAACCCTTCTCAACTGTGAAGCGGGGCTCATGGCTAGGACGAGGCTTGATTCCATCGCCGCAGTAGACCTCTACCTTGAATTTCAGACCGCCTTTGCCATTGCCACTCGTTCGTGAGAATATCTCAATCTCATCACCGGTGTGCAGTTTGCCGTACGGCTGCTTGCCCGATGTACCTTTCTTGAGCTGCACGCTATTGATCCGCACGCCGATACTACCGTGCGTGATAACACCGCAGTACAGTCCAGGAAGTTTGGTAAAATCTTCGCCTTCAGAGAGCATCTCGATACCGGGTGCGTGAAAGAAGATCGCCAGTGCTGTTCTCGCGACTCGCGTGTCGTTGCTGTCGTGGTAGACGTAGGTGTTCTCCGGTGCTCGACCCCAAGTGGTATGTCGTTGATTCAACGGTAAGGTGATCCGAGCAACGGAGTCTTTCGTTGACACCAGCTTGCCGTACATTGGACTCGCCGAATCGTCTTCGGCCTGTTCATCTTCAGCCGTCCCACTGATCTGGTCTTTACTTTGAGCTTCGTCTTCGAAAATCTCTTGCGTCACCTCAGCTGACGGATTCTCGGTGGGAGGCAGAGAAGTGTCATTCGGGTAGAACACAGGATCCGAGGCGAAATCGTGGCCACTAACCTTCGATGCGTACTCCAGATTGTGGGTGCTCGGGTCATCGGGGACGTAATAGAAAGATGCTGGAATAGGAAGTTTGATCTGACGACTGAAGGCGGCTGGTCGGGGCGTTTGGTCAAAGTTCCCAACTGGTGTTTCCTGAGAGAGTTCTTCATCTTGGCTGAGGTGCTCAAAGCTGTCCGGTGTGCCAGGTTGCTCACGCTCTGGATCGCACTGCATATTCATGTCGCGAACCAGCGACTCCGCACCCTCAAGACTAGGCGAATCGCCATACTGCTTCGAAGGATGCCGCTGCGTGTTTTGGCGAACAGGACTCGCGGAATACAAATCTTCGGAGTCATGGGAGCTGCTGCAAGTGCCAACAGCTTCGTTCGCATGTCTGCCGAACGCTGAAGCCTGAAGGTCTGATTGACTGATCTCTCCAAAGAGCTTGGCCGGTTTGGCCTTGTCGAACGGGTTGGAGTGCCCACCCTGTGGTTGGCTCACACCACGCATGATGGGGATCTCTTGGTAGATCTCACTGCTCGAGTCGAGAAAGTTCTCCTCTTCATTGTCGGGAAATCTTGCTTCGCTCGGCTTGAATCTCTTTGATTGCCGCGGGTCGAAGAAGTTCATATCCTCCGAGTTAAGGCTGACCTCACTGTTGTGGCTCGCGACCCGCTCGTCAAGGCTCAGCCCAGCGACGTCAGGATTCTGGTGGAATTCTCCGTCCAGCTCCGGATCTTCTGCGATTGCGCCGAGTTCCGCTGCGGTCGAGTGTCTCTCCGGCCTCACCGGCACTGGAAGACCGCCAAACCACTCGTGACGCAGACAATCTTCTGCAGAAGGCCGAGCGGTAGGGTCAGTGTTGAGCATGTGAATGAGCAACGCCACAGCCTCGTCCGAAACTCCCCGCTCGACCAGGTCTGTCTCGTCCAAAGGAGTCATCATGATCTTGTCGAACATTCCGCGGCCGGTATTATCAGCCACGCCCTCAAACGGAGGTCTAAGACATAGCGAATACCACAACACTGCACCAAAAGACCAAATATCGACCGCTTGGCTGTAACTGTGGAACTTCTTGAATTGCTGTGGTGGGGGTTTGCGAGGCCGCTTCGTGCCCTTACCGCCGACGTGCGCGTCGTAGTGAGGGAACACTTCCGGTGCGCAATACAACAACGTCCCGCAGAAAGTCTTGAGGAAGGTATCGTTATTGTTGACCACCTTTGACAGGCCAAAATCCGAAAGCTTGATGACAAAATTCTCCTCCTCAGAATGGGCTAGCAAGATGTTGTCCGGTTTGATGTCACGGTGAGTGATGTTCTTAGTATGGAGATAGTCAAGCGCATCTAAGACCTGAGCAGCCATCGACTTGCCGACGTGCTCGGGCAGTCGTCCATGCTCGGTCAAGTGCTGCTGTAGATCACCACAAGGAACAAATTCCATGATGATGTAGAGGTGGTCCTTGACGTCCTGATACTCGCGGTATTGTACAATGCTGGTATGGTTGATAGACTGCATGATCTGCATCTCGTTCTCAAGCTTGCGGTCCAGGATCCCATTTTTCATGAACCTGCGCTTCTCCAACTCCTTTGCAGCGTAGAAATGACCTTCGCCCTTAGTTGCCAGCTGGTACACGCTTGCGAACGCGCCCTTCCCAATCTGTCCGACTACATTGTATCGGTCGCCGCCGTTCCAGTGCATGCCGTGGTTGTTGCGAACAAGGGGTGTCTTGAGTGAAGAGTTTCCACGCCTGTGCTGACCTGGTGTGCGCTTTAGTATGAGCATCGGATCCTCGCCACCGTTGTGTACATATTCATCCGTGGCTTCGCACATTCTCTCCATGTAGTTCGTGACCTTTCGCTCATACTCGGCCTCATGGCCCTGACGAGATGGAAATCGGACTATGAATCTTAGCGACTCCTCGGGTTGCTCCGACAGTATGTTGATGACACTGCCATTGTTCAACATCCGTTGCTTCTGGTACTGAGTGCTTTTGCGTTTCAACAAGGCATCGTCCACCATGGTGCCGTTGGTGGACATATCCTTGAGCATGAGTACGGCCGACTCATTCATGTAGATGATGAAATGCATATTGCTCACACGTTTGTGGGCATCAGACGCGACTACAATGTCGCAGTGTGAGTCATTCCGTCCGAACATGAAGCCGAGGTGTGGGTGCTTTGTCGTGGTGGAAAAGCGAAAGGCCAGGTCGAGGGCTTGGCTTGGATGGTTCTCAGCGAGAATGAACGTCTGTTGCTCTTCAAAAGGTGCTGGACTTGGCTCGCGCTCAGGTTCCGGCGCTTTGTAATTCTGAAGGACGTGTTGTGGGGCGCGGACGGCAGTCTCTGCTACCAAGCGGTAGGCAGCTGGTGTGGAAGGATGGAGGATGCACATGACATCGGACACATCCTCGTCAGATAGACCAGAATTGTTGCGTCCATAACGGCGTGGATCAACGACACCCTGAGTGCCCTGGGTGAGCTGTGTCAACTCGTCGCTATCCATGATGAGAAGGACGGTATGCTGATGAAAGGGCAAGAGGCGTGTCCGTAACCGCTGACAAGGTACGCGATTGATATGCCAGATCACGCGTATACCTGCCTGGCCTGTGAACTTCCAGTCTCTGGCAACAGCCGCGCTCGACGCCCTGAAGCCTGACCAGGCGTCCTTCTACAAAGTCAACGGTCTGCAATCCTCCTCGCTCCGCCTGGAGCAGTCCCTTCGGCAGTTGCCGAAGACACGCCTGCACACGCAGTGTTCCTGCTACAACTTCATCCGAAAGGGCTCTCAGCTCGCTTTTCTAGCGGGTATCGACACGATTCTCGGTTTGAACAGTCCGCCTCTTCCTCGGGTTGTCTTCGAAGTCCTCAATATCCTTGCCTGATCGAGAGGACGGTGAGAAGCAACGACGCGTCGCAAGCGGGTATGAAAGTCGTGAAGGTCGTGTCGGGCGTAGCAGAAGGCAGACGGGCGACCAAAGACGCGAGGTCGAGTTGAGTGCGGCCTCAGGCTTTCTGTTGCTAGGCAGCCATTGGGTCGTCCACGTGCGATAGCGGATTGAGCCAATGGCAATTCAGCCAGCGAAACGACGAGAAGAGGAGGTTGAGTAGGAGAAGGAGACTTATTGATTCCGGATATGAGAGAGAGAGAGAGAGAGAGAGGCCGGTAGTGGGGAGTGAGTAAGTGAGTGAGTGAGTGAGTGAGTGAGTAATCGCTCTCTCTGCACTCGTCCCGTCTCCTTCCTTCCCTCGAGCTCGAGAGACTCGAGGTCCGTCGTCCAAACAATTTGGTGCACGGTGCCTCGGCCAGGCTTACCCGCGAAACTCTGTTTTAGCGCGTCTGGATGCCGCTAGCGCCAGGGACGGAGCAGGCAGCAATTGGCTGTCGTCCATCCTGAAACAGCTGCCCCAGAGCTTGTGATGCATCGATTTCACTTCACCTCTGACCTCACCTCTCACCCTCCCACCGCAGACGTGTAACCTGCACGTCCAAGAGACAATTACACAATTACAATGTGAGATCCGGTATCGTACGTGTGGCAGCTAGTTGATGTTGTCCACGTTCGGCACCCCCGCATCTTCTTCGGTCTGCTAAATTGCTTTTGTATTTTTACACGTTCAACCATTGCGGTCCTATCCATCCACATTCACACGCTTACTCGTTCAGACGCACATAGTTCGATGGGAACAGTCCGACCTGACCGTTGTACTCACCCTGCCACCAGTTCTCGTCGGGAAATTCCTGCATTTCATTAGCACTTCCTCTCGCCTATCCTGCAGCGGTGCGACAAGCTAATACTTACCACATTGTGAATCTTCGCACCATCTGGGAAGCTCAACTCGTTCTCCTCCGCGGCCTCATAGTCGTATTCCGCCGTGGCTGTCGGCAGTCCGCTGCCTGCGGGTTGCGGTGGAGCTGCCGGCGGATCGACGGCCGCCGGTGCGGGAGGTGGTGCACTGTCGCCCGAGCTTCCCTCGGTCAATTCGACATAGTTGCTGGGGAACAAGCCCCTCTCGCCTCTGCTGTTCTCTCCCATCCACCAGTCTTCATCAATCATGTCAATGTTGGTGATGCGCTCGCCCTCACGGAGTGCAATCTCGTTGTCCTCATCTTTCTCGTAGTCGTACAGAGCAATCGCTTCCTTGCCCCCGGAGCCGTCAGCACCTCGAGGGTCCTCTGCGTATCCAAAAGTACTGACGGCAGCCGCCTCGGCAGCGCCTCGCGCTGCGTCGTGATCCTGCACTTGTGCCTCAGGTTCGGGCTCCCTGTGAGAGTCGATAGCCTGGGAAATCGAGTCTGTTGGCACGGGTCGTGGGGGCAGCGGTTCCGTCGGCTCGACAGGCTCAGCGCCGCGACCGACCGGCATGGCAATCCGTACAGGAGACCCTTGGGGAACTAGATCTTGTTCCTCGTCCTCTTTCTCTACCTCATCTTCGTCCGGCTGCGGTCTTGGTGGTGGAGGCGGCAAGTTTTGATGCTGCTGTGCAGGTACACCTGATTGCTGAGGAATCCCAGGGGGAGGAACTCCACGACCGCCTGCATTCGGCTTGCTGGCAGTGTCGAGAGGAGGCGGCTCGGAAGCTTCTGATAGCTCACGCGCGGCGCCCATCGGGGCATTCCCTGCGAAGCGGTCTCTGATTGAGCCGACACCACCACTTGGCACTTCATTCTCTTCTTGCGGGGGCTCATCATGTCCCGTGCGTTGCTCACTTGTCGCGCTGCCTCCCGTCCGGGTGGGAATTTGAACACCCCACTTCTTACCACCGTAGCCACTCTGCCAGCCGCCACTTGGTTGACTCTGCATTGGCGAGGCCGAAGCACCGTAGGCAGCAGAGTCTGCTGCACCACTTGATCCACGCTCTCGTGCTTTTCGCTCTGCCCACACCTGGGCTGGCGTTTTCCCTCCTTCATCTGCGAAGGTCTTACTCGCAGTCCCCACCGGAGCGGCCGCTGCGACAGATTTCGCCTGGAACCCTCCTGGCGCTGGCGCTTTAGTGCCAGCGAATGTGCTCGCAGCTGATCCGAATCGATTCGCAACCTTTGGCTTTGGCAGTTCGGTCAACGGTTGAGATTGTTGGAAAGCAGCCGAACGGTCCGCAAGAGACTTTGGTCGCTCGTCATCGCCCGTCGCTGACTGCGCTGGTGCAGGGACAGGAGCTGGCAAAGGTGCTGCTTGCGCCTTACGGCGGATTTCTGCGATGTCTACTTTGCCAACCGGTTCGTAAGCACCCTTAGTCACTGTAGGCCTACTATCTTGCATTGTACCGGACTCCTGGGCTTGCCGTTTGATCGCGGCAATGTCTACCTTTCCGACCGGCTGATATCCTCCACTCACAACGTCCGCGCCCTGGCCATTGCTATTGTTCGAAGGCTGAAACTGCGGAGCTTGAGAGTTCTGCTGCAGCTGCGACATGTTCACTTTGGTAGGTTGATATGCCGGGGCGACCTTTTCCAATTGCGACCTAGTGACCGGAGGCGCATCATCGCCCCATCCATCTTCATCCACTGGTCCACCAGGTGCAGGTCCACGGGAACGCGAGCCCAGAGGCTGAAACCCGCCAGCAGTACCAAAGCTCTTTGTAGGTAGGACAGGCTTCGATGCAATTGGAGGAGGCGGCCCAGAAGAAGTCGGCGCCGGAGCGGCTCCTCCACCGCTGTATTTGGAGCCGGATGAATCTGCCACCTTTTGCACGATCAGTTCGGGCGTGAGGTCTCGGTCCGATCTTGCAGTGACTTGCACGTGGTATCCATGTAGAACCTTGGCTACAGCGTTGAGGTGGCTTGTGAAGTATCCTTTGGTCCTCTCTGGCACTCCCTCGCCGCACCACGCAATGAGCACGCTCTTCGGCAGGGTCGTGTTCGGATCCTTCACCTTAACGAATGCGAATTGGATGCGCCCATCTGAGAATTCCTCGATCAGATCCGCCAGCTCGCCCTCTCCCGTGGTCTGCACGTTCAACACACTCTCTTTCCCAGAGTCGGCTTGGAAGGCATTGGCGAGCGGTGCCTTGACAGAGAAGACGGCCCAGATGGCGTAAGTTGGTGAGGATGCCGCCGGACCGGAGGGATTGGAATTGACAATCTTCTGGTAGCTAGCGGTGATCGAGGGTCCGTTTTGGGACAAGTTCAAGGTCGCCATTGTGAGATGTGTTTGATGGATGCGGAGGAAGCTCGTTCGGGGCTGTGGCCGCACTCCCTCGGCGCTCTTATAACGTTCAAACCGGTAAGGAGGGTTCGGAGAGAGACGCAGGAGGTGGTGTTTGCGTGTGGACAGAAAGAGGAGAGTAGATGTATCCGGCAAGCAGTGCTGTTGCGAGAGCTCCCGGGCAGTGCCAGGCTGCTGCTGCCAAGAGCCCGGAGCGTCATCGCTTTGCGCGTAAGGCAGAGACTTTTTGATGCCTGAGACGGCCCGGCACGGAGCGATCCGCGCTCGTCCGCCCTGCTATTTCAATTCGACGACGCTGCCTTCTCCTTTCACACCAACACACGCACAACCACACTGACTGTACTTGCTACTCCTGCGCTGCTCACAACCTGCAAGAGGGCGACGCCTTCTTCATTTCTAGAGCAGCCTCTTCTTCCAGTCTTCATCGTCAGCACTTTTACTGCTGTATCTCCGCAAGTGTTCTCTTCTCGCTTTCTGTCTCTCTAACCGCAGTTCATCACGCGCGCGCATCACACCGACAGCCCATGGCGCTTCTCCGCCCTTGATTCGGCGTCGTGTTGTGTGTGCTAACCCTCAGCTGCCACCATGGAGAACGCTGATGGGAGACGCGCCAGCGAGGCATCTTCCCTCGACTCCACCGACTTCTACAGCGCCGACACGCATCATGACCAGCGCGTCGAGGACGTGTCGAGCCCTGTCCAAATCAATCAGTCCACGGATACGAGTGAGCCTACGGACTCCGCTGTATTGGCTAGCGCCCCAGACCCAGCCCCAGCCCCAGCCTCAACATGCGATGAGAAGGACGATGATAACTGTTCGGAGGACATGGACCTCTCTGACAGCCGTGATGCGACGCCAGAGCCCCAGGACGCGACTGCCACTCCGGATGCCGGTGCCACTGCTGCCACTGCCGTCGAGACTGCCACTGCTGCTGCCGTGGATCATGCCGGGACCAAGCGCAAGCTTAGCGACACTGAAAATGCTGACGTCGCCGCCCTAGGTCCCTCGCCCGAGGGAATCAAGAAGATCAAGGTGAAGCAGCCGGATAACAGTGTTCCCAACGCTGCCCGTTGTCCCGAAGTCTGGCAGCGAGTTTTCCTGCAGCTGTCCCCTGCCATGCTCTGCCGTTGTCTCAGAGTCTGCAAGGACTTCAGATTCTATCTGACCGGAATCAAGAGCGGAAACAAACAGACCACGAAAGGACCAGTGGACAGTGATTTTATATGGGGCCAGTCCAGAAAGACTCATTACACTTTCCTGCCGCTCGCAAAGCCACTCTCCCGGTTTCAGGAAGATGCAATGCCGGAGCTTGCAATGCTCAGACTCATCTGCAGCCAGACGTGTCAGTTCTGTGGCAAGTCAGCAGCGCCCGTCCCTACCAATTCACATATCAACGCAGGCCCGGGTCGTTACGGCGTTCGAATCGCCTGGCCATTCGGTGTCTGCAGCTGCGGTCCGTGTCTTGAAGAGAGAAGCGTCAAGGCAAGTATCTTAAAAGAACAAATGTGGTTAAGCCTGACCTTTCCTCAGGATACCGAAATACTGAGCCTGAAGCTCGACCCTCGACTGCGGCTGGGAATCCCGCACGGGTTCCTTAACCAGGAGCTTCACTTCGCACCCGAGTTACTCCGCCAGCGTGTCGGTATTCCTGGCGCGATGCGCTTCTCCAAAATCTACTACAGACCAGATTGGGATAAGCTTTGCCGCGACCTAGAAAATGCCAAGGCATTTGGTGACGGTGCTGCAGAGGAATGGCTCAAAGGCCTTGAAGGTACAGGAAAGCAGGCCATGGCTGAATCCGCCCGATGGGAAAGTTTTGAGCTGCAATATCCCCCAGGGACGGATCTCGTCGAACTGCTCAGGGAGTATGATGTCTCTTCTTTCCCAGGCTATCTTGAGCAGAAACAGAGCAACCCTGCCGGAGAAGCTGTGTTCCCGCCGTCTCTGGCGGCAAACGGTAAGCAATGCCTTTTCCGGACATTTCTGTCGTCCTTTTGTTTCGATCCTAACGGCCATCTGAGTGATGGTGCTATTTATCTCCCCCCCCTCCCTCTTTCTTGCTGCTCAGAGCGTCCCACCAACCCATAGGACGACATGGATCTGACTCAGCTCCTACAGGTACACATCCCTTGCCTCAGCCTGTCCATGTTTTTCAAACCCACTACGCTCCTCAATACCCGGCCGTGGCGCCGCAACTCCCATCGCCAACTCATGCTAGACCTGCACGTAATCCGCACGAGGTCGAGATGGCCCGCCAGGCCAGGAGAGCCGAGATCGAGCGCCGTTGCAGAGAAGAGCTCATGCCACCCCTTGAGCCGGATGTTTTAGTCCACATGGAGTCTTTCAAGAATGCCCTCATGATTGTGCGGCCACTTGCAGATATTGAGTGGGAAAATCTCAAGCCGAAGTTGGAGCAACAGCGAGAAGCCGCCGAACTCGCCGAGCATGAGAAGAGATCACAGCTAGCCGCCTTACAAGCTTCTGTTCCTTACATCAACTCGGACACTACAGGTCCGTACCAAGCAAGAGACACAAACGACGTCGAGCACGAGCTCGCGCAAAGGCCACTACGTCGACTTCTGGCTGAATACGCAGACGACTTTATCAACGGCCACTGGCGTGGAGGCCAGCTGCTCACCAAGAAAGATTCTGCTCCTATATTTGCCATTCAGGTGCTTATGGAAGTCCATCGCCGCTTCAAGACGGCCGAGCAAGACGGCTCGCTTCCCTCATTGATCAACCAGGGATCTGAGCGATCCACTACACCTCCAAGAATTTACCTGTCCCTGGAAAACATGAAATGGGTGTTCGACAACAAGATCAAGCACTTGACGGATCCGTACTGTCGCGAACTTTTTGTCTGCGCCGGCGAAGGATGTGCAGATGAGGCAAAGCCCAAGTGGTTTCCTTTCGAAGGTCTGATTCAGCACTACGGCGCGAAGCACACCAGTGATTTCAGTAAGGGAAACGTGGTCGTGCACTGGCAGTCTGGCGAGTGGCCTGACACGCCTCCATTCGACGTGAATCCGGCACGTTTTCTTAGTACGGAGCGTAAGGCATCCGGCAATAAGAATCACCATCGCGCGCGTAACGCAGCTTCGAAGTTCCAGCAGACCGGGCCCACTACGGCTTCAGACTTTCATACCAACACATACCAAGGAGAGGGTGCGTACTCGGCTGGATCCAACGGCTACCAGGTGGACCAACTGGCATATTATTCTGCACCGCCAAGTTCTGATGATCAGATCAACAAGCTGGCCAGTGATGCGCTCGAGATTTGGAACGCATTGAACGGTATCCAAGATCTCGAGAACAGCGTTCGGCTCCAGACCGTCATCCGTCATGTTGTGATGCGCTTCACGGAAAGCTTTCGACAGCAGCCAAAGTTGGACGACTTGACCAAAGCGCTGGCAAGTAAGCCTGAGACTCGGCCGCTGAAGAGTGCACATGGCCTGGTATGCAAGATCTGCGCTGCGCAAAATTCTGACGGTTCGTATTGGACCAGAAGCCGCCATGCCGCGAAACATGCCAACCCTCATTCTCTCATTCGCCACTTTCAGCTCTCGCACCTGTCCCATAACGCATTCCTCGATTGGACTAGAGAAATGCTAGACGTGCCAGAGGACCCAATTGTGCGAGAGCTGCTGCGAACCCCAGGCATGGACGACACCAAGCTTGAATTGATCGCTCTTGCGTTTCCGACCGCGTTCCCGGCACCCTTGCCCAAAATCGGAACAGTGACTGAAGACTCAGTCCCAGTCACAGCTGAGGATGAAGCCACCATGCGCCTCCGCAATCAACTGGAAAGCCGGCTGGGCAAGAAGCAAAACAAGCAATCGAAGAAGAAAGGTGCCAAGTCTGCGAAAGCGAATCGCGATGACTCCCAAGATCCATTGCCGGAGCCGAAAGAGGATGAGTATGACCCGCGAAGACCCATGTTTGTCGAAGCGAGGAAGCGCGAGGTGGATCCAGTGGAATTTGACTATGATGCCGGCAAGCCACAATTGGTCCATTCGCAACTACTGCCAGGCGGCCTCAATCTCGCTCCAGAGACCCTCCAGGCACTAAGAAGCGTCGCCGCGACTCAATCGCAGCAAGTTGTGAGCCCTCGTCATGCCGAACAGAGTCGCAGTCCATCAGTAGGGCGTGATGCACCGCCGGCCAAGATTCCTGCCAGTGGTCCTGTCGTGACGCCTGCCGGCCAACCAGATATTGCTGCCATTCTTGCATCCCTGACGGACCAGACGGCTGCTCCGTACCCAGCTGCAACACCTGCTAGCAATCGATCTGGCAGTGCTCCGCATCAGAACTATGTTGAAGTGAGGGCCAAGCCCCGTGGTGGGCATCCGGAGGTGTATCGAAGCCAAGCGCCTCGCCCTACCAGCGGGTACAGTTCTGGCTATCATTCCGTTGCCAACGGCGCTACCACTCAGAGCATTCAAGAACTGCAAGCGGCACTCTCTCAGAACAGTCGAAATTTTGAGCAGAATCAGCAGCCGGTCTACGCCGAGGCGTCCCACTATGGACGTGCAGCTGCGCAACCTGCGCCAAGGTACTACTCTGTCTACGAAGAAGATCAGCCGTCATCAGCACACATGCCGGTGTACAGGGAGCCGCCTGTGCAGTACGTGCAGGTACCGAGACGAGACCACGAGTACCCGTACGAGCGGCCAGCACGCCAGCCCATCTATGTGGACCAGTATGGTCTTGAGCTTATCCCTGTAGAAGCACCGCCTGCTTCGGCCTCCTTTCCACCAGATCAGTACGGACAACAGCAGTACTTGAGGCATCCAGAGCAGCAAGTGTATTCTACAATGTCTCCGGGCGCGCGTCTCCCGCCTGGCTACGAGGAGCGACGTCTGGTGTACCCTCCGCCGCGTTACACATACGAGAATGGCCATTGAGCACGGCGACCATGTGAAAACTTTCATGGAGGCGGAGTGCGTGTTGAACTACGATCGCTTTCGACTAATTTGCTTCCGAAAGCAGTGAAGGGATGTGGGGCGTTTTTTGGAGGTCCTACTATTACGGTTCTGGCGGTGGAGTGTCATCGAGATACCCAAATTCGTGCCTTGGAAGTGTTTTCGCTGTAATCATAGCATCGTGTAACCAAATAGTCTACGCTGACATGCCTTCCGTCTGGAAAGCGAGTGGTATTTTACTTTTCGCGCGTGTCAGTGAAATGGTGGGTTTGTCATGAAGAACGCAGTATCTTCTCCCCCCACCAGCGGGAAGCTTCCTTGGCCGCTGATGGATCCAAGGAAATCACCACTCAGGTCTCCGCAGGCACGCACGACAGGCCCATGCTGCATCAACGTGACCATGTGCAACATTCCGGCCGCATCGGCCTCGAACAACAGGAAGAAGAATTATTCGACTTTCTGCAGCACTGGGCAGGAGCTGTCCCCATCAACGAAAACCATGGCTACGAAGGATACGACCAAGTCAGTCAACATTGCCACAACGACGTCTCCGACAGCAGCCGGAATAGACAGCTCCACGGGCAGCCTCAGGGAGTCCGAAGGTAGCGAATATGATGAGGCCACCACGAGGGCTGTGGAAAGACGACTTCGACTGAAGGTCGACTTGAGACTCTGCACCATTGCAGGTCTGTTATGCAGCCTCAATCTGCTCGACAGTGGTATCATCAGTTCAGCTTCCGTCACCTCTATGATCTCGGACCTTGGCTTGAGCGGCCAGCGATACAGCGTCGCCATTTTCATCTTCACAATTGCCAGCATCGCCTTTCAACTGCCTTCAACGATTGCGGCCAGGACATTTGGACCCCGGGTATGGTTCCCGATCATCACGCTGGGCTTCGGACTGATTACAATGTGCACGGCGTTCATGCACAACTGGAAAGAAATGATTGGGCTTCGGGTCTTGCTTGGTGTCGCCATGAGTGGCGTCTACCCAGGACTCACCTATTTGATTAGCACATGGTATCCAAGGCACGAGCAACAGGTTCGTTTTGCGTTTGTGCAGACGGGACAGCTCATTGTGCTGGCTACTGGAGGCATCGTAAACTTTGGACTCAATCACCTGAATGGAAGGGCTGGGTTGGAAGGCTGGAGGTGGATGTACCTGGTCCAAGGTCTGATTACCATCTTTCTCGGCTTCGTCACATACTTCTGGATCGTCGACTTTCCCGAAAACTCCCATAAGAGCCTCTGGTTCCTGACAGAAGAAGAGCAGAAAGTAGCCGTCGCTCGGATCGAAAAGGACAGGCATGATGTCCAGGCAGAACCGTTCACCTGGGCAGCAGTACTTCAGCATGCGAAAGATCCGAAGATCTACGGCTTCGCTTGCATGTACTTCCTTGTCAACATCGTGACCACGGCGCTCTCCTACTTTCTACCCATCATACTCTCCGGCATGGGCTTCGATGAGAATGAGTCTATCATCCTGTCTGCACCGCCGTACTATTATGCGACCATTCCAGTCATTCTCTCTTCGATTGTCGGGGACAAGTTCAATCTACGAGGACCGATCATCATCTTCAACAGCATCTGTCTCATTGCCGGCTTCGGTATGCTTGGCTTCGCGGACCAGGTCGCGGTGCGCTACATCGGCACCTACCTAGCCACTGGTGCCTACGTGAGTAACTGGGCCGCCGTGACGACCTATCAGACATCCAACATTGCAGGCCAATGGAAGCGAGCCTTCGCAGCCGCGGTGTGTACTGCTATGAATGGAGCGGGTGGGATCGCTGGCGCATACATTGTGAAATCAAACGAGGCACCGACGTATCCAACTGCAGTCTGGGTCTCTATCGGGTCGCATGTACTTCTGATCGCACTTGTGCTGGCGTTCTCTGGCTACTTCTATACCGCCAATGAGAGACAACAGGCTGGCAAGGCTGTGTTGGAGGGTATCGTTGGCTTTCGGTACACCTACTGAAGACGCGGGAGATGAGTATGCAGCATGCGAAACCACTTACCAGAGCGGCGGGGAAGAGACAACATGGGAAGAGGCAGAATGTGTCTCTTCAGTGTTGGTAGGATGTCAGTATCTAATATCAATAATAACGAATTAAATGCTGTTGGGTGTTGTAGAGGGAATAATTAAGATGAGGTTGGGCAGATGTGGAGCAGGCATGACAACTTAAGGTAAGCTGAAGCTGCCCGCCAGATACGGGCGAGGAAAGCGCCAAGGCAGCAGAAGGCAATCCAGTCCAGTCCAATCCAATCCAATCGCATCCCCATCTCGCTGCTCCGGATGCTAGATACCGAGTACCTTACGCCTTGCTTCCTACCGCGAAACAATTTCCACGTAAAATTCCTCAGCACCGTCTGCTAAGGTAATCATCATCCCTCCTCTGCCGGTCGCCGCGGGCTGAGCCTCCCACCGACGCCTTCACTGGGAGGCAGCAGCAGCAGGGTCAATCATCTCCTGAAACACTCTCCCGTTGCACGACGTCTTCCACGCACACACGCACGCATCTGACTCGCTTCGCCTGAGCAAGGCCTCCGACTGACCGCACGCTTCTCCTTCACTACACCACACTCAAACCATGCCGGGCTTGTTCGTCGGAGTCACGCGCGCCCTCTACGATTACCAGCCCCAAAGCGACGAGGAGCTGGGTATCAAAGAAGGAGACCTTCTGCTGGTTCTGGAGAAGAGCACGGAAGATGACTGGTGGAAGTGCAAGAAGAAGGCCACGAGCGAGGATGACGACGAGCCCGAAGGCTTAGTGCCCAACAACTACATTGAAGAAGTGACTCCAGTCGCCGCAGCGCGTGCCCTCTACGACTACTCGGAGCAGACGGATGAAGAATTGAGCTTCAAGGAAGACACACGGCTGGATATATACGATGAGAGCGACCCCGACTGGACTCTGGTGGGCTGCAATGGCGAGTACGGCTTTGCTCCAGCCATCTACCTCGAGCGCATAGAGCCGGCCGCGGCTGCACCAGCAGCTCGCTCTCTGGCTGCTCCTCCGCCAATGCCGGCTCGACCACCTGCGGACGACGAGCCCATTCCTGGAGAGGCCGATTATCATGACCCTGGGAACAGCCCGACCCGATCCTACGAGCCGCCTGCCAACAACCCAGCCGCTCAGCTGGCCGGTATTATAGCTCAGAAGACGGGTGGGACACAACCCTCACCTAGTACAGATCGCGCATTGGCTTCGCCGCCGCTGCCACAGAGATCTCAGTATACCCCAGAGGAAAGTGACGAGGAAGCTGCTCCATCTCTTCCACAACGGCCACCCTCGCAAGTCGCACCCGCTTCGCCACCTCCGCCACAAGTGCAGTATGCATCTCCTCGTTCACCGGTATCTCCGGGCGTTATGGCCTCGCCGCCACGCAATCGAGCCGTATCGAACTCTCACAACGATGACTACGAGCACGATTCATTGCATTCCCCTCGCAGCTTCCACCTATACAACATCCACGAGATGGTACAGCATATGGGCAAGAACAAGAAGATGCCCACGACATTGGGTATCAATGTTGCGAAAGGAATCATCATGATCAGCCCCGAAAAGAGCAGAGACGGACCAAGCAGAGAATGGACAGCGGACAAGCTCACACATTACAGTATTGAAGGGAAACATGTCTTTGTGGAGTTGGTGCGGCCCAGCAGAAGCATTGACTTCCACGCTGGTGCCAAGGATACCGCTGGGGAGATCGTGTCCATGTTGGGCGAACTGGCCGGGAACGTAAGGCAAGAGGGTCTGAAGGAGATTCTGGCCGCCAGTGCTGGAAGTGGAGCCGGGGGCTTGAAGAAAGGCCAAATGTTGTATGAGTTTATGGCTCAGAGTGAAGACGAAGTGACCGTAGCGGTGGGCGATGAGGTAATCATCCTTGACGACACTAAGAGCGATGAGTGGTGGAATGTTCGTCGGCTCAAGAATGGCAAGGAAGGTGTGGTACCTTCTTCCTATGTCGAGATTACTGGGACTGTCCCACACCCATCAGATAGTATCTCCGGCTTGAGCGCTGCTCGTAATACCGTGGAGCAGAACAGACTGGAAGAAGAACGACTGGCAAAAGAGGCTGCCAAGGGAGACAAGAGGCGTGATGGAGATGTCGTGCCACCGGAACGACACAGTAGCCTTGCTGGCGACACCAGACGGACATCTTTGCGTGGTTCCGACAAGCGGAGTTCAAAGGATCAGCCCAAGAGCAAACCGAACTCGTCTAGGGTGCGGACATGGACTGACCGGACAGGCACTTTCAAAGTCGAAGCCGAATTCATTGGTCTCAGAGAGGGTAAAATCCATCTGCACAAGATGAATGGTGTGAAGATCGCCGTGCCAGTAGTCAAGATGGCTGTTGAAGACCTCGAATATGTCGAGCATGCAACGGGCGCCAGCTTGGATGAAGACAAGCCTTTGTCTGATATCAAGCGCAGGGGCACACAGCACAGGAAGCAAATGGAAGGCCAGAATGGCTCTCGATCCACGTCGGGTGCGACGGTCCAGAAGAAGGACGAGTACGACTGGTTCGACTTTTTCTTGCAGTGTGGTGTCAACCCGCAGATCTGCGAACGATATGCCGGTGCTTTCTCCCGGGACCAAATGACCCCGGACGTTCTTCCCGATGTCAACGAGCAGCTTCTCCGCACGCTCGGGTTGAAAGAGGGTGATATTCTGCGTGTCATGAAGTACCTCGATAACAAATACGATCGCAAGGCTGGGCCCTCAGAAAATGGTGCAGGCGGTGCAGAAGGAGGACTATTTTCTGGCCCAGGCGGCGCTTTGCGGAACAACACTCGCAAAGGCAGACCCGCACCGGCTGTCCAGACCAACGACGTTGTCGATGAAAACGCATTCAAACCAAAGACGGACAGCACATCGTCCAAAGATCCCCCTGCAGATGCGAAAGCGACGCCGCTCACTAACGCGCCGGCGAGGGAAGCGAAAGGCGGTTTCGATGATGATGCATGGGATGTCAAGCCAGCGAGAAGTCAGACATCAACGACTACTGCCGCTCCAGCTGCTGTATCAGTGCCGGCACCTGTCGCTACTCCGGAGCCACCGCAACCTAAGGTCAACGACGACATTGCTTCGCTGTCTATCTCTGTTCCTCCTCTGCAACCGACGCCTGCAGCGGCGGCGCCGCCTGCTCAACCACCGATGCAAGCACAACCTACGGCGACAGAGCCGCCCGCACCGTCAAAGCCTGTCGCTGATCAGGCGATCTTCGATAAGATTGCTTCACTAGCGCCTGCAAACCGGCAGCAACCGCAGCCAACAGGATTCCATCAGCAGCCTATGCAACCAATACAAACTGGATTCCAACAACCGCCTCTACAACCTCAGCAGACGGCAATGCCACGGCAAAGGCCAGCACCTCCAACGCAACAAGCCAGCGGCGGGGTGTTGGCGCCGCCTCCCAGAGCGGCTTCCGCACCTGGATTCCCACCTCAGCAGACTGGCTTCGGTGCTCCTCCCTTGCAGCCCCAGTTGACGGGCTATCAACCGCAGCAGCAATTCCAACAAATGCAGCCCCAGCCGACTTCGTTCCAGCAGCAACCAGGCTTTGGTCAAGGCTACCCGCAACCGAACGGCGCGCAGGCAGTGCAACAGAATTATCCTGCCTTGCAACCTCAACCAACAGGCTTCCAGCCTCAGTCACAGTTCGGCCAACAGCAGGCACAGCAAATGGGCATGGGCCAGCCAAGCTATCAGCAGCACCAGCAGCAGTTGTTCAACGGCCAGCAGACTGGGTCTCCTTTTGCGGATCCGCCCCGACAACCATTCCAGCCGACGCCGTCCGGGCTGTCAAATTCCTTCTCGGCGCAACAAACGGGTTTCCAGCCGTCCTTTAACATTTCACAGCCCACAGGCATGAACGGATTTGGAGCTCAGCCGACACAGCCAGCCCCGCAGTTGCCTCCTCAACAGACAGGCGGCGTGTTCGGTCCTTCACAACCGGTGGGCATGCAACCACCAGCAGCTCCTCTGATGCCACAAAAGACGGGCCCACCGCCGCCAGTGAGGTTCGGCGTTCAGCCTGGAGCGAAGCCGTTAGCACCTCAGCCAACTGGCCGGGCGAACTTGTCCAAAGCTAGTAAGTATCTAGCGGTTATCGTTCAACACGGATCACATGCTAACAACATATCCAGCGCCGCAGAACCCATTTGGCTTTTAGATGCGACATATACCCGATCTGCCTTGTTTGTAGGATTTTGCAGGGCACGGAATTGTGTAAATGTACATAGCAATAATATCCTCGCTAATGCCGACTCACACGTGGTCTTCTTCTCATTTGAGCAATCTGGTAAGGCCGTTGAATGGGCCATACGCACGTGACGTCCGAATAATCCGCGCTAAGACGCCGATGTCCCGTTCGTTAAGTAAGCGGCCAAACGTCATTCGCTGGCTTCGGCTTCAAAAAAGTATCGACTTTCAGTGCACACACACTCTTGACTCGCTAAAAGAACGAAGTTATGAGATATGAGCGACATTCAGATCTACCTCCTGGAGGTGGATAAGAACAAGCCCGAGGCACATCGCATCGCCTCTCAGAGCGCGGCTAAACTGGAGACGAAGCAGTTGAGACTCATCGACCTCATCACCAGCTTGGAAGAGTACATCAACAACAAGGACGATGGCAGCATTCGCGCCAAGGCGGTCGCGTACATTGCCGATGTTTTGGAAAGACTTCCTCCCCGACTTCTCTCCGGGCAGGAGAGGCGACTGCTGTGCGACTTCATTCTCGGACGGATCGAGGGCGATCTAGAAGGCGTTGGGGCATCGGCAAGAGCACTGCTCGCTCTCGAGGAACGTGGCAAATGGGACTCCGAGACGGCGCAGAGGGTGGTGCGTACCTTCATGGAGCACACGCATCCGCTCCGGCAGTTCAAATTACAGACTGAGCGTTATCCTGTCATCCAGCTTGTGGACCGATTGCTGGCAAAATACAGGACGGCGATCAAGCAACTGCATGAGGACGATCGACGGTTCATGGATGGCTTCGTATCGTACTTTGAAGGAGAGAAAGACCCGCGAAACCTGATGATTGTGTTCTCATTGCTACAGGTCCCTATGGCAGAGTGGGATGTCCAGGGGAATGCCCAGGATATGTTCGAGGCCGTCTTCAATTATTTCCCAATCACCTTCAAGCCACCTCCTGACGACCCGTACGGAATCACAGCGCAGGATCTCAAGGATAGACTACGGAACTGCATTGCGGCCAATTCGGATTTCGCTCCATATGCATTTCCTGCTCTTTTGGACAAGCTTGATTCGACATCTATGAACACAAAGCGGGATGTTCTCACAACGATCCAGGCTTGTGTCGAAGGCTACGGCCCAAACACAATCAATCTGTATTCCGTCACTCTGTGGGATGCTTTGAAGTTTGAGGTGCTGAATGTACAAGAAGAAGACCTTGCGCAAGAGGCGCTCAACGCCCTCGCTGCTATTGCGGGCAAGTTTTCCAACGCTGAAGGCCCGTTGAACTCTTACATTCGACCAATAGTCAAGGAGTGCAACGAGCATCTGGAAGACGCGCCCACGAAACAGTCACAAGCTGCTGCTCGTATACTGTATTCGATATCGAAGGCCGGACCGTTGGTTGCTGACAAGTTGGCCAAGGGCATCTTTCCGGTCTTGTTCGATCTCTATCAGTCCTCCGAATCTATTGCCAAGCGAAGAGGATTGCTGGAGGTTTACAATCAGATTGTAAAAGCCTATCTGGACGCTCAAGAGGTAGGGTTTGAGTTCGATCCTGAGGCAATCAAGTCTTTTGCAGAGCAGGCTTTGGACGCGACGATACGCGCGGTGGTACAGGCGCCTAAAGCAGAAGTTTCCTTCCGATTGACCGCTTTGAATGGCCTCTCGCTACTAGTCGGTGTTCGCAAGGTCTTGTCAGAAGTGCAAATTGCTCGAACAATCGACGCTGTGGATGAGATCATACTCCATGAGCGGATAGAGGGACACGGGGATATCAGCACAGAGGCTATCAAGACTCTGATTCAGATGGCACATTCCGTACCGGAGGCAATACGGCTACAGGCTGTTCCAGCTTTCATGGTTGAACTACCCGACGTTCCAATGGATCGAGATGGCCATGGGCAAGTTCTTGAAGCCTTCGCGCAATTGAGCAAGGAGCAGCAGGTCTTTGACACCATAGTACTTCGCCTCAAAAGCAAGCTAAGCTCAGCGAGACAGCAAGGCGCGTCCAAGGACTATCAACATGCCCTGCTCCTTGCAATACTGTACGCCTTCTCCCAAGGCGCACCACTGCGGGATGAGGAAGGAATAGTGCGGAGTGGCTACTTTTCAGAGTATGCGGAGCCCTTGATTGTTCATCTGCATAACAGTCTGCCTTCCGAACGAGATGATTTTGCTTCAGAGGTTATTGGGCGTATTACGAACTTCATATTACGGCAGCAAACGCCACACTTTCAAAGCACGGTATACAACAGGAACCTCGAATGGCTGTCTCCTGGAACTACAAGCAGAAGTGGTTTGAACGATCAAGTCCGGATCCTGGCACCATTCTCACTCTACTATTACGCTGCATTCCGACCGGAAATTGCAGATGCTGCGAATATCGTGTCAATGCTACGGGCTCAGGCAAACTACCTTCTCAGCCCAGAGCAAGACCTCGTCGGCACAAGCGTCGTTTCAAGGCACCTTTCCCTCTTTATCAACAAGTTCCTGGAGCCAAAGGCAATGCAGACTTCTTTGGAGCAGGCCGGAATCGAAGTGGAAAGCTTACTGGCCCATGATCTTTCCATTCAAAAGATCTCCGTGGCATTCGCCGTGGTGAAAGCCCTCCTCGTGCAAGGCAGATGCGGCGCTCTCACGACAAAATACCTCAAAGTCCTCCTCCAGACTCTCACCAAGGCAGACAAACCCTTTGCCAGACGCTTCGTCACTCTCCTCGCACCCGACGACATTCTCGCAAAGGGGAACCACTGTCTCATCTCCGGCCTCTACAAACAAAAGACATTCAGTCAGACCGTCCCTCCCCTCATCGAATCCGTCCGTACCGCCGACCCGCAAACGAAACCAAACTACCTCATCGCGCTCTCCGGCATCCTCCGCTGGCTCCCTTACTCCATCCTCAAACCCTTCCTGGCATCGCTCATCCCCTCCCTCCTGCAGAGCCTCGATCTCCACGACCCCGCAGACCAGGAAGTGAAATTCTCCACGCTGACAATCTTTGAATCCCTGCTCATGCACGACCCGTCGATCGCGAGTGAACATACCGCTTCGCTCGTTACCCGGTTGCTCAATGCGACTTCGACTTCGACGCCGGGCAATCCCGCCAGGGTGCGCGCGAAGGCGTTGCAGTGTTTGGCGTTGGTTCCTCGCCAGTTGAAGCGCGAGGCGGTCGTGCCGTATCGAAGGCCGGTGGTCAAGAAGTTACTGGGCTGCTTGGATGACGCGCGGAGAAATGTCAGGGCGGAAGCAGTACGGTGCCGAAGTGCGTGGTTGGGGCTGGAGGAAGGGACAGAAGAGGAGGAATAGGTGAGAATAGATGGATGCAAACAAACAGGTAGAAGAAGCGGAATATTGTATACAGGTGGCGAAGACGATTCATACATTAAGACAGGAAACATCATCACAAGAAAACCATTTCCATGTCTAGATTGAATCACTGCGTTCATTCTCATCGTTTGAACTAGCTGAAGCAAATGCATGGCAGACTTTGATTCGGCAGAACACGCTAAGAGGTATCATCATAACGAGGAAAGAGAAAAGCAGCTCAACTCAGCAGTCGCGCCACCGACTGCTGAGAGGCATTATGCAGTAGTACAAAAGCCACCCAGGCTCATCAACGCCAGTCCCCAGTCCATTCCGACATTTGCACACCCATCCGATAACGCCGTTCCCAGAACCCTTCAAATTCACACGCATCCTTCAGACGGCCTTGCTTAGAGGTCGAGATCCATCGAGGCACTAATTTCCTCGCTGAGACCTCGGACATGGCGCGGCTGCCACGGATCGTCCTCCCCATCTTCATCAATGAAGTTATAGCCACCATCCAGCAGATCGCTGCGGATATCGTCCAGGTTCATATAAGGGACTTCGACCTCATCATCGTTTGGCTCGGAGATGACCATTTCATCGTCTTCGTCCTCCCCGCAGCTGACCATGTCGATGTCCCGATCCAGCATGTCACTACCCAACCAGAAAGAGGCGCGTTTTCCAGCACCATCGCCAATTGGCATACTTGAGACCTTCCGCTGTACTGGCTTCGGTCGATACACCTCGGTAGCGGCATGGACCGGACTATGGGAGATGACGCTGAACCCACGGAGGTAGAGATAGCATACGCGACGCTTCTCCTTGCTGAAGAAGAAGTAGTGCATGCTCCAGATAGCGCCCTCTTCGCCGTCGAATGGATCCTCATCCGGTGCGTACGAGTACTTCTCGCACTGCCGGAGGCGCATCTCTTTGTCGATCAAGTCCCACATCTTCTGGGTCCAGACGTCGTTTCCGATGCCGAAACCATGAGGTGCCGGACTGGATAGTGAAGGAGGAGTCAAATAATTGTTCATCGCGGCCGTCTGCTTAGGTCTTAGATTCTGCAGGGTCGTGTTAACATTGTGCATGATTCCGCGAAGACTTCGCTCCTTACGAAAGTCCGAAGGACGGAGAACATGCGAAAAGTCGTAGTCCGGATGCGATGCGTTCAATGTTGCAATCAGATACGCGAAAGTCCGCCGAGCCGTGATCTGGCTGAGCGGGCCAAAGGGCGATGCGCGCGACAGGTCGATCTCCGGTACCGGGTCCGCGGTGCGCCCACGCTTGCTATTGCTGCCGCCGTGCTTTTCACTGCCTTTCCCATCGTCACTAGCTGTCCGATACGGCGGGCTTAGCGAAGCAGAGAGCCGAACCAAAGATTCATACTGCGATTCCAAACTATTCTCGATGTTCTTGTAGAGCTTCTTGTCGCCTCCGGCCGCTTTCGTCGTGTAGACGTCGCATCCTCCAATGACATGGCAGTCGGGAGTCGAGAAGTTGAGTGTGTTCGTGACAGTATCGATATCGCGGAGTGGAAGATACTGCAAATCGTTAGCCTTTGGGTCTTAAACACAGGATGAGTCAGCGGGTGGGCATGCGTCCTGGCAACCTGCACGCAACCTGCATGGAGTGATGCTCTGCAGAACGCGAACCGGATGGAGCCTCGAGTACTTCTCAGAGTGTCTCTGCTCGTGCGTTGCCAGGGGTTTGCTCGCCGCCTGCCCTTTCGCAGCTCCCTCACCTTCATCTCGGCGACCGTAAGCGCATCGGCTATTTCTTCCAAAGTTGTTGTTCTCAATCGGCGCGTCCGTAGTGTCTGTCGCGGACAGTATTCAATGCGATACGCGTGGACGGAAAGCCTGACGGCCGAATTGTACGTTGGCGACTGCCGCGACGGCGCCGGCGCGGCGGTGATGTCGGTGGTGCGATTCGTTGAGGTGCCTGATAACACGCCCCTCAATCGGGCGCCGGTCGTCGAAGAGCGATAACTAGACGCGTGGAGCGTCTAGCAGGCGAGCGGTGTCATGGATAACATTCCGATGGATACTCAAGAGGTGTTGATGGGATAGTTGGGGTGTTGTTGACGGTGATGACGGGGCCTCAGGGAGCTGCGCAGTCGCTGAGTCGAAGGTGGCAGCTTCGCTGACCCTGGGGCTTGGCGTTCAAAGTCCCGTGAGATGGGGGAACACAAGGCGTGATTGCGTCAGCAATTTAGCCAATCAACGCTCCCTCTACTCACCACGCCCTTGGCCCAGGTGGCAGTGAATGCCATGCCGGCAGCTGTCGAGGTATACAGTCAGCCAGTCAGGTCAAGCCGTAGAATACCGGCACCCTCGTGCGGCATCGAGTCGCTCCTGTGCATCCGGCCGCATGACAGCTTGGAAGAGCTCAAGGCTGTGTGCTGAGTGGAGTTCAAGTTCAGCAAGCACTCTGCATCAGAAAACAAGGACCAAGCAGCACCTACCCGGACATTTCCATGCCAGCACGGTGGATCTCGTGTTCAGTGAGCTTTGCTGTGACGTGAGAGCCGTGTTGTGATATCAGCCTTCAGACAGCAACAGGCATTGAGATATGCACAAACATGGGTTTGACGTGTATTCATTAGGGGCTTTCTTGAGCCCGTCCTTGCGCAAGCGCAGGGTGATGCTATACCTACAGATGGCAGGCTTCGGAAACAACAGCCATCAAGCCATGGGGTATCTTATCTCTCCAATCGACGCCGCAAACGCCATGCATTGGAAGCGTACTGTTCCCGCTCCCAAGCAGTAATGCTTTGAAAGGGTACTACGTAGCTACAGAAGACCAGCATCTATCAGTTGCTTCTCGAGCTCCCCGCTGATTTCCGAGGTCGACTGTGTGATGGTAGATGTGTTAGCCAGGCTACGGGCAAAAGGTTTGCATACGGAGGTTGGATACACATGTGCAGCCAAAGCAGGCTGGTTCAGCCGATCTTTGTCACAGCATCGTCCTCGACCTAGTCGGGCAAGGGCATCAGCGGGTGGTGATACAGATGGAGATCATCATGATGAGGGTGAAGAGGAAGAGCAGGTAGCTTTGCAGCTCCAGTGTCACTTACCTCCATATCCTCGAGACTGTCCTGTGCGCCAATCACGCGGAGCACATTCTTCTTGCTGCTTTCTTGCATCTCGCCGGCGAGGAGCAGTTCGTCGAGGATGAAGTAGGCTTTCTGGAAGTTGAAGATGATGTCGAGCTCGCAGACGTTGCCGTAGTACTTGTCCATCTGCTCTACGTATCGATGGACGATTTCGAGGGTGATGAGCTCGTTGTCCGACGGGTCGATGGCGGCGATGAAGAACAGCGAGGCATAGCGGCGATAGACGACTTTGGAGTCTGGATGAGGGAGGACAAGAGTCAGAATGAGGAGCAGATCGAGAGGAGGAGAGGTTCGAGGGTGACCGCAAGCAGCGTGTGATGAGGCAGGGAAATACCTTTGTACTCGAGGAAGTTGCACATGCGCGTGCGACGAGCCAGCACCAGCTGCGAGACGTCCTTGATGATCTTGGCCTTATCCTTGGGCGACAGTGTCGTGAACCATTTTGCGAGGCGCTATTCCAGGCGAGAGTTTAGCACACACAGTGCTGCTGGCGGTGCGACGATTCCGAGACTTACGACCTTGCCCTGCCGGGACAGCAGGATCATGTACCTGCATCGCCAGCATCATGTTAGCATGCGGCCAGGCAATGATGCCGCGGTGGCTGGTGGATGATGTTGGCGGTGGTGGTAGTGGGATACGCACCTGATGGCCATGTTGGGTGCAGGAGGAGAGATGGAATTTTGAAGTGTCCCCGCCAAAATCTGGTGGCCGAAGTCAGAGCGGCGCCCGTGACTGGATCCTTGCAGGTGGGTTAGCTCATCTCATGTCATGACCACTCCCGTATTAAATCCATTCACCACTTCTTCCTTTCTTCCTTTTCCTTTTGCACACACCATGTCGCCTCTGCATACACCTGTCGTGGCGTGTCAAGGGCTTCGCGCTGTCTCCTACTCATAATACCGCCTTCCATTACCCAACGCGTCCAGAGAAAACCCCCGTGTCCCGGACAAGGCCGCCGCATTGCGCCGCCTTACAAATCCACCACCATGAAGCTCTTGCTTACCACTTCGTACGTTGCGCGCTGCACATCTTCTTCACACGCCTGCTGACAGCTCAGGAATGCAATGCGCGTAGGCTCATCTATACGAAGATCTCCAACCACCAAGTCCAACACCGAATTCATCGAGTCCCTACGAGCCAACTTTGCCGAGCATTCTACTGCACACGAAGGCCACGTGAACGGCGACAGTAACTCTAAAAGGGCAAGCTACCAGACCTGGACACGAAGAAAAGGCGACACCTTGGAGATACCCGCGCTCGATTTTGCGAATTCCGCCTTGGCTGAAGAGAGGGATCAATACGATATTACAGTGAAGCTCTTCTACCTCCCAGGCGCGTCAAGAGAAAAGCGTGCAGCGCAAACACGAGAGGCGTTGGATCTCGTGTTGAAAGAGTTACACGTATCATCAATTGATCTTCTGATCGTCTCATTTCCCGGCATCTACTTTGATGAGGAGGAGGACTGTCCGGACAAGATCAACACTCGGGGACCAGTGGAAGCGGAGCCAGAGCCGCTCGAAGGCCAGCTTGAGGCATGGAAGACTCTAGAGACCTTCTACACAGAAGGCCTCGTTCGGAAACTAGGCATTGCAGAATTTGGAAAGGACCGTCTTGAACAGCACCTGCAGAAGGTGCAGATACCGCCAAGCGTGGACCAGATCAATCTGCGCGATTGCTGCTCTGTGCCCAAAGATCTGATGGCGCTTGCCAAGAGCAAGACCGTCGAACTTCTGGTGCACAACGACAGCTCGAACATTCTCCCCAGAGGCACCACGCGCGAGCTCTTAGGTTGTGGCGAGGGCGGTGCTGGCGTGCTAGCGGATGCGAGTAAGTCTGGCGACAAGCGAAAGAGTCTCCACGGAGAAGAGAGTCAGAATGGAGATACTTCGGCTGGTCTAAGAGGAGAGGTGCAACCGCAATGGGTAGTGAAGTATACTGCCGTGGTTCGGAATCGAGGCGTCGTGGAGAACAAAGGCTACTTTGCCTGTGCTGAGTTGACCGGATGATCGACACGCCCAACTCATTCATGTGGCCAGGGCTGAAGCTTTCTTCACATGCACTTCGCTAGCCGCAACGCGCGAAGGCATGTGCGAAACGCACCGGATACAGCTGGCAGTACAGGCTCAAATGAGACCCTTGCCAGGCATTCGGTCCAGCTTCATGCAGCCACGACTGAACGGGAGATACGAAGCAATGAAGTTAAGACCAGCTCGCGGGCAACCGAAATTTTCGATGTGTACATATGCCCAATAAAGGACCCAAATCCTGACAGGCTTAAGGACCCTTTGAGCGTACCACCCGTTTCCTCCAACCTAGCTTTCCCCAGAACCTAGAAGTCGCTACTTTTCCGTCATTTGACCTTCTTAATTCGGGACTCAAAAGTCGAAGGTCCCAAAACGCCAACAATCAGCTCCGATGACAAAAGCTGACTTCCCCGCTCCATGGACCCACGCCAAGGCACATTTTCCGGCCGCTCCAGCAGCTTCTCTCCCACGCTCTGCCTTTCCTCTCGCTTTCCTGACTGACAAGCACTGCGAATCGAAACCATACGCATGACCCGGGCGGGGTCTTAAATGGTTGGGTCCGGGTCCGCAAAGCGGAAGGAAGGACATCGCTCCATGAGAATACGGGTGCGAGGATGACCGCAGGCATAGTAGCGGTGTCGGGTACGAATTCTCGCACCTTTTACTGAAGAAAAAGTGTCGTCAAGGGGTTGATGATGTCGGCGGTTTTTCAAAAGAGTTGTGGCGGACAGGACAATAGAGGAAATCGATCTATGGCGGTTGGGATTGATGAGGATCGATGATGAATGCTGGATGAGATGTACTGTTCATGTTGATGGTGGTGGATAGGGAATGCTATTGTGATTGTTTAGGATAGAAGAGTGGAAAGGGGGAACGACCACCAGGGCTTATCTGTCTTCGGAGAGGACGTGGTATGCGCGCGCAGTGTTGAGTAATGCTGCGGGAGGACCGCAGCAGTAGCTAGAGCTTATTGCATATGCATGGAGAAGCCTGAACAATTCGTATCCAGGTCCTCCCCTCTGACTCCTGTGGTTATTGGATCTATACCCGTGACCGGTCATGTTTGGGAAAGAATGGGCGGTCTATAGATTCCGAGTACTACAGAAGACAAATCGAGACACGGCCGTGAGGACGCCGAGCTTGCTTATCAGATACAACATCTGAATAGGTTGGCACGTCATTCGCTTTCCGAGTATGATGGCGAGGACCCAAAGACACGGACAAAAGCAGCCAGCACTCATCCAATGGGTACGTCGATATGCTGTACAGGATACTCCTACAGCCCCTCCCACTTGCCCGACCTCTTGTAGTCTTCATACAGTGTCCTCAAAACCGCTCTCTCACTGTTGTTCATTGCAGCGCTCAGCGACTTGATGCCTTCCGAATTGTTGATCTCCATGGCTTTAATGACAGCCCACAAGCCTTGCAACAGAGCATCCCTTACTCCTTCTCCCAACGTACCGGTCAGGACAGCACTGCAGTAATCATGCAGGATGTAGCGTGCATACCGACCGGCGTGTGCTTGTGCTCTTCGAGCTTCGTCGACAAGCATAGAGCTATTCCTCTTGGGTCGCACGAGGGGGTTGCAGAAAGTCTCCAGAAGCCTCGCGAGAGCATTTGCGTGACTGACTGCATTCTTCGATGGTCTCTCGAGTAAGCAGGTGATGAGTCCGTGGAACACGGTCAGCACCACGTGAGAGCGTCCTTGCAATCGCGATTGGTGCTGTCTTAACATGGCTGCAAGGAGGTTGCAGATGTCCAGGTACAATTCAGAGCCAGACGCAGGCTGGAGAAGGAGGCGATGTATGCTTGCCAGCGTTTGCTCGGTGCCATATTGGTTGAACAGGAACGGTTTCAATTTCACCATCTCAGCAATTGTCTGCAGAGCTGTGCGGCGGACATGCACAGTGTGCCCTTCTACAATGACCTGTAGGCTCTTATGGATTAGATCTGATACGCCGGCCTCGGGGTGGGACTCAGCCTCTTCCTTGGTCAGTGCCATTGTGGATTTTCGAAGAAGCATCAAGGCAGACGTCGACTGCATGATCTCGACTTCATGCAAGCTGTTGATCGCAGATGACTTCCAGTCAAATGTTGCGTGCGTGAGGGCATACTCGTATGCAAGCAGTACTTTGTGATGTTCCACAGCTTCCAGACCATATTGGAGGAGGCGCAGAGCCAGAGCTGTGAGAGCATCGCCTGAATACCTGGCACGCTTGCAACACAGTTGGAAGTTGGCCACCAATACGCCCGTGTTCAGGGCTCTGTCGAAGTCGTCGGCAAGGACGGTGTCAAAGACAGATCGACAGAAATTTGTGATCTCTTCGTTTGGATCGGAAGAGGGCCAATAGAGATCTGGCAATGATTCTAGAGTCTCCAAAACCCCACTCAGGCGCTGCAAGCGGCCAGTAGTAGCTGCATTCAGGCCACTGCTTTTCGCCAAGGCCGATATTAGCGACTGAGCGTCTTTCATCAAAGTTCTGGAACACAGCTCAACCGTCTTCTGATCTCTGTGCACGAGCTCCTCCTTGAGTTCTTGTTGAGCGCCGATTTCCAGCGCAGTGATAGACGCCTTGACTATAACTAAGTGAGCTTGCTGATTGGTAAAGTCGTTATCCTTGCTGGAGTTACGTATGTGCTTCTTGATGCGCTTCGACCATTCCACAAGTGCTTCACGACATTGCTTTTTATCTTGCATCGCCAGCCATGACCCAACTGCAGACCGTACAACTTCTTCGAGCAGAGGCAGGCTATCCTCGTGGTAGTCACGGCCAAAAAGGTCGGCTAGATTCCAGAATCCAGTGACATTACTCAGAAGATTACCTTGAAAGCGTGGAATTTCGAGAATGTGAATGATGGTTGACAGGCGGTGCTGAAGTTGCGAAGAACCAAACTCATCTCCATCAATCGGCGGAAGTGCAATTACAGCGTCGATTATTTCGATGTGCTGACCCGGTTCCAGTAAAAGAGCATCCAGTCTTGTAAGTGCAGACAGGGGCTCAAGCTCACGGAGCGTAGCGCTTTTACCACTTTGACATTCCTTCAGTCGCTCTACGCAAACCTGCGCAAAGTCGCGGAGGCACTCGCCATTGAGGCAGCTTTGCAGAGCTGCTGTCATTGGCTGCTTGCTCCTGTCATCCAGCAACGAAGAAAGGATTCGCTTGCGCGTGTCAGGCCGAAGCTTCGGTATCAGATTGGGGAATTTGAGTAGAACGGGAAGAGGATCGCGCTTTTGTTGGCCGAGGTGCTCAATCGCTGATTGGCATAGACCTGCGCACTCGCCATCTTCATCGAAGACTTGAAATCGATCGCATACAACAGCAACGAATATTCGAGCTGCGAGAGATGCGCTAGCTTGGCGGCTGGTTTCATCAGATGCTTCACACTGTGAAATTGCCTGCTTGAACATCGCGCTGGATAAGACAGACGTTCCTCGCTGAGAAACCTGGCTAGGCTCTTTACCATTCACCCAGAAAGGCAGCCATAGCTGGAAGACCTGAGTGAGTGTCTGCCAGAACGGACAAGGCATGACACGCGTTAAGCCTAACGTCTCGCCATCAGCTAGTCGCACTAGGCTTTCGAAGAGTAGGTCTACTTTTTCTCGCAGTCTTTGCTTCAGGTCATCGCTCTGCGCACCACGCAGCAAAGCTTCAAGCAGGACTAAATCGGCATGTATAGACAATTGTGCTTCATTAGCACCATCAACGTCTTTCTGAAAGGCCGAAGAGATGATTTTGGAGCTATAGTCATCGATCAAAGCAAAGATCTCATCGGTGAGAAGAGACCCTTCCACGACGGTGGCAAAAGGTATGCCAAGACGGCTCCAGACTGTCTGTGTCTTCATGACGTTTAGTTGGGCCAGCTGCGTGTGCCACATGTGCATGAAGGATCCCAGGTTTCGGCTACGTGCGTAGACCTTCATGATCGGGACAATGATTCTTTCTTCAAGCAGACCCGGAGAAAAATCTGCTTCGGCCGCTTGTTTCTTGCCAATCATGGTATCAGAGGCCACGGCCTCAAGGACGGATTGCGTGAGAGTTTTATCAAGGAAGATGTTCGCATCTACTTGAATCACTTTCGCGATCAATTGCCAATCTGCGGACAGCTCTGAATTGCCGTTTGAGAGCCCATGCTCCTGGACAATCGCCGCTAAGACTGACGGCGATAGTAAGGTGGAATTATCAAGCAGTACCTCAGCCATGGCAGATAAAGCGATGTTTTTCCGTGTTCGTCCTTGGCTTGAAAAGCAGCTTCGTAGTGATGAGAAGACTTCTTCTACCCACGGTCTTTCACTGATCCGATGGCGTGGAGTTGGGGTCGACTTTGAGCGAAGGGCTATGTCCAGCACCAAATGCACCGTACTGAGAATCTTTTTGGAGTCGCTGCTCAAGATTGCCATCTTTAGGGAGCCCAATCTCTCTTGGAGGGCCGGCTGCGTTCTTCTGACCTTTGGCCCGGTTGGTTTGCGAGCAGAAAGGCCATCCTTTTTGAAGAACGCCGTCCTAGCGGGGAGGACGGTGTGATTAGCTACCAGAGACTCCAAGGAACGCTTGTAATCTTGTCTTATGTGAGCATTCGGCGCTGCCCTCGCACGCTTTCGAGGACTCAACGGTCTCCCTTCTTGGAGCAGAGTCAGCAGCTGCAATGCGGGGACTAAACAATTCGCGTTGAACAGCTCGTCATCAGCGTCTGTCTTCTTGCGCAGGTCCCAGATGCGTAATGCAGGATAGAACATCGGTTGTTCAGAGAGGAGGGACTGCGACTGAACATTCCCACTGCATTCATCGTACACCTTTTGGAGCCAGTCGCCGCAAATTGTTGCCGCAATAGAGGAGTCGGTCATGAGCAGAGACTTGATCGGCGCTCCATCGTTTCCGTCCGCAATCTCAAGCAGAAGATGGACGAGTCCAGCAACAGCTCGCAGAGTAATGAATGGCAAATCCGAATCCGCACACGTCGCGTGCAGAGCGTTGATGAATCCATTCTGAGCCAGCACAGAAGCTACTCGCTGAGGCGACAAAAGCCGCAGACACGAACATAGTAAGTCCCAGCTTGCAGAATCCCGACGTACATCGGGTGATGCCTTCAATTTCCCAAGCAGCCATCGCAGGCTCATCTCCGCCCTGGACCAGTGAGTGCATAGTTTCCGGGCCTCATCCAGTTGCGCCGCCGTGGTGAGGAGCCCATCCAGAGCCTTGAGCCGCTCCAGAGATGCTTGCTCTGGAACTCTGGGGCCTCCCATGTCTGAGTGAGCGACCCGTAAGTCTCCCAGAAAGGATGTTGATGGATGTGCAAGTGGAATTGGAAGTTCGTAGACATTTTCCCATAGACTTTGAGCTTGGACCACTTCGCGGCGGCCAATCCCGCAGCCAGGAACGACCGACGTCGTTCAGTTGTTTCCTGGAACGGCACAACAGAGCTTCAGGTCGTCTCCCTTCAATCGCCTCGCCTCGCCTCACCGACACCTCTTCTTTCCCCAACCAAACAAGCTGATAAGCCACACAATGGCCGACTCAAATACCTCGAAATCTGTCGCGCCGCCAGCCAGCCGCAGCAACCGGCCCATGAGCGAAGCGCTCCTCAATGAAAAGGTGAAGACGGCAATGCAGCAAGCAACAATGTCCGCTTGCTGCAACTGGCCTTGCAACGAGCTCTGTGCTAATGTCTGCTTCTCCTAGTGGGACCACTGCCTCAGCACACTCTTGATCCGCAGCACCCTCGGAGCCTCTTTCGGCGTCATCTTCTCCGTCCTCCTGTTCAAGCGAAGGTCGTGGCCGGTATGGGCAGGTCTGGGCTTTGGTGCCGGAAGAGCGTGGGAAGAATGCGACAGCGTACGTTGAGATTGCGCAACATGGCAGAGATTAGGATTGGCGTTGAGCGCAACACTGACACAACATCATACAGAGCTTCAAGCGCGCAACAGCACCTTCCAGGGACGGACTTCGCGTCCTCAGGCCTTGAACAGCTTCGGCGTGGACAGACTGTCGAGTAATGCCACGAAATCCACCCGCGACTCTGGTCTTTGTATTCTAAGAGCCTGGAATGACCAGGCGAAGCTTCCTATGTTATAAAGTTGTACATACCTCTTACGCGCGCGTTTGCTATATTGTAGCAAGAGAGCAAGAGGCAGGAACGAGAGTAGACATACGCGAACACCACCACTTCACCCGACTAAACTCATTAGTGTCCACTCCCCGATGGCTACCTTGACATCTCTGTACGGCAGAAGCAAGATGAGCTTATGGGGACATCAGCTTTTGCCTGGCAATCTTCCAACATTGGGCGGATCTTCTCGGCTTCCTCGTCTCTGTGCGACCTCTTCACACACTCATGCAGTCCATGCAAGGCCCAAATATTGTTCGGATGTCGTAATGCCCGCGGAAGGGTGTCATTTAGACCCAAATCGGCTTCATAGACTGCGGTCGCCTCTTCGATGCGATCTTGTTCCAGCAGAAGAGCACCGTACGCGTGTCTCGGAGGCTGCATCCATCCCCAAGGCTCATCATATGGAAGATTGTCACTAAGATCCACTGCTTGGCGCAGATACTCAAACCCCAGGTCGATGTTTGCAAGCCGATATTCGAGCTCGCCATTGAGCATCGCTGCGGCTACTCCAAGTATATCAACAGCTGTGTTGTTGAACAACGTGCGCGAAGGAGGCACCTTGGAAACTGCGTCGTGGAACAGTCTCCTGACCCTCTCTGCATCTTTGACTTTGTCAGTAACGGCATAGGCCACGCCCTTGGCATAGTGTATCATCGCCGTCGTCACGCAGTACAGATTCCGATCTTTCGGCAATTCCAATTCCAGGATATCGCTCCATCTTCCAAATCGAATGAAAACATGCACTCTCATCGCGAGAAAGCTCTCCAGCCAGTCCGCCATGGGTGGAGACTCTACACGCAGGAGCTGCTCTGGCAGCGAAGCATCCAGCATCTCAACAGTCTCCATGGCCACTCTGAACTGCCCAGCGAACATTGCAGCGTAAATGCGAAAATGATAATTATGGGATCGATACAGTGAGTAAAAGTTCAGAGCCCCGGCGCGCGCAAGATATCTCTCATCCGCGAGGATAGCCTCGGAGTTGGATACGATGGCACGCTCCCAGTCGCCGCAGAGAACGTCCAGGTGTGTAGGCATGTGATGTAAATGCCCTGCGTCGGGTACCAATCCTCGCAATCTGACCGCGATGGATATAGCAGCTTCTGGATGGGCAGACATCTCCATGAGGTGAATGTACAGATGGAGTAGGCCCGGATGTTCATCGCCCTCTGGTTGAGCAATAGCTCTCTCCAAGACTTCTTTTGCTTCAAGTGTTCGAGATCCGTCCGTGGGTTCACCGGTGCGAAGGTCCCATAACACCCAGGGAGTCAGGTTCATAAGGGCATCTGCATACAGAGCAGCTACGTCCAGATCCTCCCCATACTGTTGATAGACTCGTGACATGGCTTCGGCATAGTCCTTGTTCCAGATCGCATATGCCTCACTCTCAGTTCCAGCGACATCTTGCGAATAACGATGCTCAAGTGCCGCAACCAACGCACTTTCAACGGGCGACGATGAACCTTTCTCCTTTGCTTCCATAAGAGCAGATCGAGCACGCCGCAGATTGGCCGCACGCTCATCATCGTCAAAGACCTCCCAGGGCTTGTTATAGTTGGGGCCCAAACAGTATGCGGAGCCAAACAAGGGCAGCGCGCAGTCGGGATCTTCTCGACTGGCTCGTTCGAAACAGCGAATGGCCTCTTCGTGGTTGAAGCCGTACGCCCATTTCCATCCTCGATCGAACCATGATTGTGCGGACTTTGACTTCGTGCTGATGGAACGGGTGTAGGTTCCAAGATCGAAGTATGGTTCTTGTTGCATTGCTGCATCGTTGTATTGAAGGTTTGGAGCCTTCATCGTGTCCTGTTCGCCCACCTTTGGTATCCCCACGCGTACTCTGAATACTCAATCGTCGGATAGTTTGAGGGGTGACGTCGTGCTGTTCTGGAGGGCGAGGGGTAAATATATCAGCGTTAATTAGGACGCAAGTCAGTTGCGACGCACAGAAGTGGTGGGACAGCGTCAGAAATGCTGGTGTATGTTTTTAAGTATATACTGGAGGTCTTATCCATCCAGACCTAGGTCCTCCATCAACCGCTCTATCTTTCCTAATAAGATCTGATAATTTATGGCGTCCTGAGCAAACTCGTCGCCAGCTATCTCACCGTCCAAAGTGCGCACGACACCTGCGACTTGCTCTAAATCAGGCGCAAATCCAGGCTCGGAAGGCGGAGTGAGACCAGAATGGACGTCAACGCCTTCGTCCTCCTGCGGCTTTTGGTCCTGGTCGCCAGGTGCGATTTCTGGGGGTATTTCAGACTCGTCCATCATCTCGTCCAGCCCTGCATCCTCGAAGCGTAGGCGGAATCGGTCACTGAGGTAATACCGTATATCATCGATCAATTCGACGGTATCGGTCTCTTGACGACCCTGAATTCGGCCAGCAGACTCCTTGACCAATTCCTTGAACTCTGGCTCGTCAATATAGCGCTCCAGGCGATATGCAATGTAGCGAGCCCCAAATTCTTCCAGTCGATGTACCCGGGTATCCCAACCAGCTCGAACAACGTCGTAAATGTCAATCACTTCCTCCAAGTTGGTCTCTCCCCGCGGGTTCTCAGCTTCCACGATGCTCGCATCTCCATTCCCAAGAGTGCTGATAAGCAGTGCAGCCCTCTGTTTCAGCCTTTCAATGAAAAGCATATCTGCAGCACTGAGTACTTCCAGAGCGATCTGCAGCGGGAAGTCGGCCTTTTCTGTATATAAGAATTTCAGGATAATTTCCAAGACATCGGGTGAACAGTCGACAGGTACAATCTGCAAGTGCTTGCTTTCTTGCCCTTCCCGGAATGGCGAGGCGAACATCGTCGCGAAGACTTCCGATCGGAGAAGCATAGCTCGATGGCATGGGTAAAGTACCGCGCGCTTTGGTTTCCGTTGTCTTGAAGGAGATCGGGGAGCGTCGTTCTGGAAATGCCCAATAGGAATGCCTTTCAATGCACCCTCAGCTTGCCGGACCTTGGGTTCTGTTTCGTGTTGCCGCGTTTCGGTATTTTCCTCGCCTTCTTCCTCATCCGCTCGCAACAACACATCTGCAAAGATCCCGTTGTCTCTGTCCCACTTGACACCATTGGCCTTCTCGCTTTCAACCTCCATCTTGTTTTTGAGCACATTGTTCTCAAACCAGCCCGCCAGCTGATCTCGACCTCTTTCTACCTCCTCCGTCCGACGTTGCCGCGCTCGTCGCCTATCTCCAGACGCGAGAACATCTTCGAAGAGCTGTTGAATCTCCAATTGCCGACTCAATTTGTCGATGCCAGTCAAGATTGCTTGCGTCTCTTCGCCATCGCCTAGATCGGCACCAACCTCGCCCATGTACAAGTACCGGATGCAAGTTTCGAACGACTGTGCCGGTATTGAATTCGACAGCTTCCAGAAAGTGGTCTCCGGGGCCGCTGAAAGCTTGTGGGAAAAGTAGGGACTTCGTGCGCTTAGAACGAATTTGTGTAATTCGAACTTGGATTCTCCCGTCTGAACGGTGATATCTGTCGTCCTTGGTATCTCTCGAGAGAGCAAGCTTGTGATATGGGCAGCGAGAGGCTGCAGCGGATCTGTTGATTTGCTGTAATCATATTGGAGCAGTAGATTCCGTATTCGGTCATTCAAGGCATTGTACAGACAACGCTCGCCTTGGAAAGTATCTCGTTCGCAGAGCGCGCCTTGCTCGAGAAGCATCTGCACGACTTCGTAATGCCCACATAGTGAAGCCTCAAGAAAACCTCATCAGCCATCAGCTCGCGACACCCTCTGCTGGACATCCTGCTCATCACTTACCAGAATCAAAGGAGTATAATCGAACTCGTCTCTTGCATTGATGTTGATGCCGGTGCTTATTGTCTCTTGGCAGACTTTCAGATCTCCTCGCCTGCAGGCCTCACAGAACTTTCTGAACTCTATACTGGTGTCCAATGGGTTCTCCTCCTTCAATCTTCCAGACGATATGTCTTTGTTCTCCTCGTACAGCGCCTTTTCCAACTGATGTTTTCCTAGGAGTTTCGTATCTGCCATGGTCTCTTAGAGCGTGGGCGCGAGCTGGATCGTAGGTGCGCGGAGAAGCGTGGAGGATGAAGCACTCAGATGTTGCCACCAGACAAGAGACGTACTCGCTCTGCGCTGCGATTGTGCGATGAAACGCAAGAGGATCACAAAGTGGACGCGGTGACGTCGCCACCCGTTCTTGACAGATTCCGAACAGTCGGTTCGGTTCGCGGCTTGAACCTTGCCCGCAAGCTGCCGGTTGCTGCCCCAACGGTCAGTTTACAAGCGCTCCAGCAACCGCCTCTCTACACTTCGACCTACGCTTACAACGCACCAGTACCTCGTACCTCTCATGTACACACAGAGCGCTGCTCTTCCTTAATGCTCAGCATACGGTAGTCCTTCTTTTGCCACAGGCACAGCTCAGCATACCACCACAAGTAATGGCTACGGACAGCGACTATGAGGTCTTGGAGAAGATCGGCCAGGGCTCCTTCGGCGTCATTCGCAAGGTCCGAAGAAAGGCGGATGGCGAGATCCTGTGCCGGAAGGAGATCTCGTACACGCGCATGTCCGATCGCGAGAAGGAACAGCTGCACGCCGAGCTCCAGATTCTACAGTCTTTACGGCACACCAACATCGTGCAGTACTATCATCGCCAGCATCTCAAGTCCTCGCATGACCTTCACTTGTACATGGAGTACTGCGGGAATGGAGACCTAGGAGGATACATTAGAAAACTGAAAGAGAGGAATAAGTACGCAGACGAGGAGTTCATCTGGGCCATCTTCGCGCAGCTGGTTGGAGCGCTGTATAGGTGCCACTACGGCGAGGACCCACCTCCGCCAGGCAAGGAGGGCGACGCGAGGAAGGGTAAGGCTCTCGTGAGCAAGCAGGGTCATCGGGTCATCCTACATCGAGATCTAAAGCCCGAAAATGGTAAGTATCGCAGTGCTGTGCTACATCTTGCTGTTTTGCTGATCAAGTAGTCTTCCTTGGGGAGAACAACAGCGTTAAACTGGGAGACTTTGGCCTTTCCAAGATCATTGCATCTCACGACTTCGCAAGTACATACGTCGGCACTCCGTTCTACATGAGCCCAGAGATTTGCGCCGCCGAGCGATATTCACACTATTCCGACATTTGGTCACTCGGCTGCATCATCTACGAACTGGCGACGCGACAGGTGCCTTTCGAGGCACGCAGCCATATGGAGTTGGTCCTCAAGATCAAGCAGGGCCGCGTCAAGCCTCTTCCCCCACAGTACAGTGCAGATCTTTCAGAAGCCATCTCCTGGTGTCTCAAGACCGATGCGCGACAGCGGCCCGACTGCGCTCAGCTCCTGACCGTGGCCAACATCAAGGTCGCGCGCACCCGTCTTGAGCAAGCTTCGGCTCTTGGCCACCTTGACAAGCTTCAGCAAGAACGCGACTCTGCCTTGAACAAGCTCGCTCTTGCCCACAAGCAGATCCAGGAGATGCAGGCCGAGGTTGCGAAGCTTCGTGAAGCGAACAAGAAAGTGGAGATGGAATGGCATGCGCGTGCCGCCCTGGCAATCGACCAGAAGGTCCAAGAGGCTCAGCAGAAGTACATGAGCGATCTGAAGACCCAGTTCGACGCTGCCGTAGAACAGCGTGCAGAAGAAAAGCTGTCACTTCATCTGGCCTCCCTGCCGTCTAGTCGCGGAGCTTCAAGCAGCCAGGACACCTCGGTCCATGTTCGATCGAGCACACCACCGCCAGGCAGGCAATCAGCAGCTCGTTCCTTCCACCAATTCGACGGCGTCCTACCCGATACCAGTGCATCATCGCTACCTGAAGTATTGGAGGATTCAGTGCTCGATGGCGAGCTAACGTCGCTGTCACTCAACGACAACGTCGAAGAGCCAGAGGAAGCGTCGCCACTTGCCCGTCGCACCGCCAAACCACCTCCCAAGAAGGCTGTTCGAAAGCCCTTCACACGCGCCAAGACTCTTGCCAACTACAACTTCGGCGTGAAAGACTCGCCCATGGACGTCCACATGGCAGACCCCAGCCCCATGCCAATGCACTACAAGGGCCTGGGCCTCTCACCAGGGCGCCGCAACAACGGGCCTCAGGAGCGCCTGACGAGCGAGCCTCTGAAGAGGAACATCTTCAGCGTTGCACAGGAGAAGGAGAATCGGGCCCCGATCCGTGGGAGGACGCTGGTAGAGCTATCGCAGAGCCCTGCGAAGTGGAATCCAATGGTCCACGGCGAGGAGATGCCCTCTCCATTCGTCAAGAGACGATGATCGAAGCGCCTCATTCCCGCCCACATTTCGTATTGGTCTTGTGTCGGATTATGGTATTGGGCGTTGGTCAGGTAATGGTTGTGGACAGCGCGCGGAGTTGGAACCAATGGTTGGCATGGCAAGGCGTAGGGAAGATTGGCAAGCGCCATTTGATTCAGTCATCAGCAAGCGTGCACATAAGAAATGACAGATTCCGTTTGTATCGATTTCAGGCGACATGCCTGACAGCCAGAGGTGTTGGTTCTGGCTCAACGCGAGGGCTACTCGGGAGGAGTCTGTAAGGGCAATCTGCCAGCGGCCGTACGGGCGTAGAGGTTGAATAGTTCAAGTTTGGTGACAGTTCGGGGATTCATGGTTAGTACGGGGTGATGTTTCAGATCAAACCTAATTCTTCAGACTCTGCATCCCCTGCCCAGTCTGCCCACGTGAATAGTGGACCCAATATCTGCAGCGAGGGCGACATGATGGTAATACCTAGGAGCGACGCTGCATAGTCGCAACGAAGCAAGCAACGCGACGCTCTATGATTGGTGCATATCACATCAGCCACGTGGAGATGGCTGCCACTCGCGCAGCTTAAGACCAGGCAGGACCAGGGAAGGCTGCACTGTCAAGAGTTGTTGGCGAGTCGAGGAAAGGCGTTCGGATGAGGTCATATCCGAGGCGAGGGGGGCCAGCTTGTAGAGTATTTACTCTCTACGTTACCCTCCTGGTAGCTGAAGCTACCGAGACTGATTTCGCAGGCTCGGACACGGAAGTACGACGCGTATACCTCTCTGCTTGCTCCGGCTGAGGTGGTGATGGAGAAGCACAGTCAGATGATGGCTCATTTCGTACAGAAGCTTTCGCGATCGAGAACGTGGCGCGCAAGCCGTCGACATCGAATGGAGCTCTCATGAACGGCGAATGGACTGACTGTATCTGGACGGCCAAGAGAAGGCAAAGAGGGCAAAACGAGCGGAGGAAAGGACATCGCAGATGCAGTATCCGCATGCTCCGGTGGCGGAGGCGTGGTCAATGTGCCTGGAGAGGAGATATGGGAGTAGGAATATGAGTGTGATGGAAGGGTGGAAGGGATGAGGTGAGCTTGGCAGCCGACTAGACACGGGAAGTCTGCGGGTGCTAACCGAAAGAAGTCGGACCGGAAGCGGAGGGTCATATCTCGCCGTGCCGATGGGCGGGGCGAGCCGGGATGACACTCTCTGCCTGTCACGTGTCTGCATCGAGAATCCGATCTGGTGGTACGCAGACGGGGACGGGGACGGGAACGGGAACGGTACTAGGGAACGAGAGGGTACGAGAAGTCTGCTGCTGCTCTGCTCCGCTCTGCTCTGCGGTGGTGCGGTGCGGTGCGGTGCGGTGCGGTGCGCTGCGCTGCGGTGCGATGGCTACCGCCTGCCACCCTACGACGTGCGCCCTACGTCTCGTCTCGTCTGGTCTGGTCTGGTCTGCTTAGAAACCTGTTCGTTCGGACCGGGGCTGTCCTGTCTCTGCCTACCACACGGCTCCGACGTCCACTTCGCCTGGTGACGGTACTGCATGTGTCGTTCTCGTTGGACCAGCGTGATTGCCAGGATCCCTCGCTCCCTCACCACCGCCCGGGCTGCCTCGTCTCTTTCCATGTGCATGCCGTATCACATGGCCATGACGCATTGGAGAGATGCAGTAGTAATTTGATTCCGAGCGCTAACTCCGTAGTCGTCGCGACGCACCCTGCACCTGCTCTACCCTCGAACTACTACTCATCCCACCATGAACACCAACCACCCCACCACCAATCCCCAATCTCATCCGCCCACCACTGCTCCGCCGCCCATTTTCGCACGCGCCTCCGCGTACGGAGCCCCGCCCGACATGGCCACGATGTCCGGCAGCGGCGCGCACTGGTTTCAATCCGATCTCGACTACGGCTACGACGACCAGGACGCAGATGGCGACAATGGCGGGAACGGGGACCACGACCACGACGGCGGAGACACTCGCGATTCCAAGCGGAGGAGGATTGCGCGAGCGTGCGACATGTGTCGGAAGAAGAAAATCAAGTGCGATGGAAAGATGCCCAAATGCAGCCATTGCGAAAATTACAAGACCGAATGCATCTTCACGCACGTGGAAAAGAAGCGAGCGCCCCCCAAAGGTGCCAAATATATTGAGGGATTAGAGAATCGATTGGGGAGAATGGAGAGCCTGTTGCGCCTGTCAGGCTTGCTCGCCGAAGACGATGGTGGCCGCACTGATCTGGGGACACTGGAGAAGCGCTTGGCGGAACGACAACGGCAACCAAGTAACGCTGCCAGCCCCATCTCACAACACTCCTCCAATCAACAAGGGACCAAAGCGTTCAACACACCGGTGCAGGCTGCTGGCCAAGACCAACATGCCAGTCCACCTGCTAGCGGTATTGCAATCTCGCCCGACGCAAACAAGAGTCAACCCGACGTGTTCAGAAAGGATGCGAAAGAAGTCGATGCACTTGCCGATCAGATGTGTAGCCTCATTACCAACAACTGCGGCGAGACCCGTTACATTGGATCTTCTTCGGGCTTCAGCATCTTCAGTCCCAAGGGGATCCAGTGGGTGAATGAAAAGACGGGAGACAGCAGCTTTCAGTCAATGATCGCTGCCGCCACCCACGAAGACAGACACACGTGGGACCATTGGAAGCCTGAAGTCTTCAACGACCTCTTTCAGAGAAAGATATTCAAGCCACTCCCACCTCGTCAGGAATGCTACGCTCTTCTCAGAGACTACTTCGAGAATTTCAACTGCATGTTTCCCCTGTTCCATGAGCCGACATTCATGCACCTCGTGGATAAACACTACTCTCTGGAGCCCTACGACAGCTCTGGCTGGTGGGCCAGTCTGAACGTTGCTCTCGCTATCGGGCACAGGTTACGAGTAATGAGCAATGTAGTTGGCCAAGAAGAAGATGACGTTGCTTGGGCTTACCTGAAGAATGCCATGGCGGTTATATCGGAGTTGACCATGCGCAACACTGACCTTCTCTCGGTTCAGGCGTTGCTGGGCATGGCACTGTTTCTGCAGGGAACGCCGAATCCGCAGCCAAGCTTTTTCTTGGTCGCCGCTGCCATACGGCTCGCGCATTCGATCGGCCTGCACAAGCGTGGTTCAGGTTTCAACCTGAATGAGGTGGAGAACGAACAGCGCAAGCGTGTGTTCTGGATAGCCTATCTCATGGACAAGGATATATGTTTACGATCGGGGCGGCCTCCGGCGCAGGACGACGATGACATGAACGTAGACCTTCCATCGGAAGACCCGCCTGACAATATTGGCAATGTACCTCTGGCTCATGAGAAAGAGGGCAAAAAGACCATGAACTTATTCAGATTGATGTGCCAGTTTGCGCAAATCCAATCTAGGGTGTACAAGCAACTGTACTCTGTCAGGGCAAGCCGCCAGAGCGATGGCGAGCTGCTCAACACAATCGGCGAACTGGACGCATCACTAGAGGAGTGGAAGGACCAGATACCGATTGATTTCCGACCAGAGCACGAAATCAAGGCCGCTCATACGCCGCTGATCCTGCATGTTGTTGTGTTGCATTTCGCCTATTACAATTGTTTGACCACCATCCACCGTATGAGTGTGCACCACGGATACTGGACCAGTCGCCTGAGCGATTACGCAATTCAAGGACTGAATGCTAGGCCACTCAACCCGAGAGTGTTCATGAGCGCTGCTTTGTGTGTCAACGCGGCGAGAACGAGCATTGGCCTGATTCGCTACATTCCTCAAGGCGACTATGCCTGCGTCTGGTGAGTCCCGCTCCTTGCTTTTTTATAGCTGCTCCTGTTCTAACGTACCTAGGTTGATTCTCTATTACCCGGTATCGGCGTTAGTCACGCTCTTTGCAAACATCCTGCAGAACCCTCAGGATGCCCGCGCTCGCTCTGACTTGAAGCTGATGAGCAGTGTGGTCTCGTTCCTCACGATGCTGGAGCGAGATGTCTCCGAGGCGAATGGAAACGTGCGCCGCATGCTTTCTGTCTGCGCCGAGTTTGAGCGGATCGCCCGAGTTGTGTTGGACAAGGCCGAGCGGGAGCTACGCGGACGCGGCAAGAGGAAGCAAGCCGAACGTGAACGGGAGAAGGCGCTGAAGGAAAGAGGAAGCGGTGAAATCGCACAGGGCCTAGAGGATGGCAAGAGCTTGGAGCAGATCCAGGTCGAGACTCAAGCGCCATACAGGAAGCCAGTACATACACCAAGCTTTCGAGCATCAGTCAGTGGCAGCCAGGCTGGCAGCCAGACTGGTAACAGTCCTGCATGGTCAGGAAGCCCTCCGGGTGGTACCGGGCCAGAGTATCGTGCTGCAAGCAATTCACGACCACAGAATCAGCCACCCAACGGCCAGGGCCAGCCTCCGTACATGCCTTCGCAACATCCAGATAGGGCGGGCCCCTTCAGTGCTCCCCAGCCGTTCGCGATGCAAAGCGGCATGGACCCCGGTTTCAATGGCTCGCCTATACAGCAGCAATTCTCCGCACCTCAGCCCATAGGCCCGGATGGCTTCCATGGGACCGGCTTCTCCCCGACGCCTGTGACGAACGAGTTCGGCATGCACTTCACCCCGGCCTCCGGGCCCGGCGACCTGAGCGCCGGAGGAGCAAACGCCTTCCAGCAACCCTTCGTCCCACAGGACCTCTGGCAAATGCCCATGACGCTCGAATGGGACTGGGCGGAAGGCCTGGGTCTGGGCAGTTTCACGCCTGGGCCCATGTTTGACCCCTCCGCTCCGGGCTTCGATTCTCAGCAAGCACCACCGATGGGTCCTCCGCAATGATGAGAATGCCTTTGCTGCATTTTCCAAAAAAACGCCCCCCTTTGATGGCTTGTAATTATAATGCAGCCGGGCGAGACTCTTAAGGCAGATGTGTTTGTTGTTGTTGTTGTTGTTGTTGTTGTCCTTGAAAGGCTGCCTTTTTAAATGATGTTACGATATGCGCACTGAGGGACCCCGAAATTTTTTTCGACTTATCTATCTTATCTAGATCGTGGTGGTGGTGGTGAGGTCAAGGTGTTGTTGTTTTTGGGAAGTCTTCCGCCCCCCGGGCCCTGGGAAAGTGTCGTTTTGTTGTGCAGGCAGGCATTTTTGTCATGTCCCGGGAACTTGGGGGCTCAACCAACGCTCTGTGTACGTTCATATGTATGTATGTGTTTTGAGAGGGAGGGAGAGAGAGTCTGTACAGGGACGATGAATAGCACGGTGAATGGAAAAAAGTAGTGGAGTTGTTTTCAAGACGAGAAGCTGCCTACCTACCCTACAAAAATAAGTCTGATGCTTCCTGTCCCTCTCTCCTGCGCCGCTTTTCTCACCAGTCTTTGCATCCCACATAGTAGTGCCATTTGAGAGAAGAACGCCAGACTTTCCCCCCCTTACAGGCTATGTACATCTCGGGAAGAATCCGAATATGGTGATTTGACGCCGCTAATGCTATAAAGGTATTCCAGGAACGAAGTATCAACACAGGAGACTCTCAGATCACTTCCATCGCCGAGATAGCTCTTTAAACTGTTGGTATAGCGTTGGAGCCGGCTCCTCGCCTCCAGCCCCCCGGAGAGGCGGGGGCATGTTCCCCTCGCCAGGCTGTTCAATAGAGCCCGGCTCAGCAGGTTTGCCGCCAGGTGGAGGGCCCATGGGGCCGCCGCCAAAGTAGCGGCTGAACTCGCCTGGGTCACTCCACGGTCGTGGACCGAGTAATCGGACCATGTCATCACGGCTCAGCACCTCCTTGGACAGCAGCTCCTCGGCGACCAGTCCGACCTCCTTCTTCTTCTCCTCCAGCAGTTGTCGACATTGCTTGTATGCTTCGTTCACGATTCGCTTGACTTCAGCATCAATGGCTTGTGCAGTCGATTCGGAGAAAGGCTTTTGCAGCTGCGCCTCTTGGCTCTCTGATGAGTCAGGGTAGTAGATATAGCCCAAGTTAGACATTCCCCACTTGGTGACCATGGCATTTGCCATGCGTGTGACTTTGTTGAAGTCGCTGCTGGCTCCGCTAGTCACAGTGTCGAAATGGAGCTCCTCGCTAACACGACCGCCGAGAGTCATAGCCATGCGATCCATTAGTTGTTTGACGTTCATGAGAACTTCATCGTTGCCACCACCCGGAAGGTATTGTGCGTAGCCCAAAGCCCCTTGCCCACGTGGAATGATGCTGACCTTCAGTAGAGGATCAGCGTACTGGAAGTACCAGCCGCAGATAGCGTGACCGGCCTCATGGTAGGCAACGGTCTTCTTCTCTACTGGGCTTAGTACCAAGCTCTTCTTCTCAAGTCCACCAATGACACGTTCGATGGCTTGTTCGAAATGCTTCATGGCGACGGACTCCGCAGAATCGCGGGCAGCAACCAGAGCAGCTTCGTTGACACAGTTGGCAATATCAGCACCAGCAAATCCAGGGGTGAGAGCCGCAAGACGGCCTTTCAGGTACTCCAAGTCCTCGTTTGTGACGATGTTCTTCAGATGCACGCCAAATATCTGTTTCCGGCCATCCATTGTCGGTCGGTCGATGGCGATGTGTCTGTCGAATCGTCCTGGACGCATGAGGGCCTTGTCCAGAACGTCTGCTCGATTCGTTCCAGCCAACACGACAACTTGCTCCGAAGTGTTGAATCCGTCCATCTCGGTCAAAATCTGATTGAGTGTGCTCTCGCGCTCGTCGTTGCCACCACCAAAAGACTGCTTCGCTCTCGCCTTTCCAATGGCATCAATTTCATCAATGAAGATGATACATGGTGTGTTCTTCCGTGCGTTCTGGAATAGATCCCGTACACGGCTAGGACCAACACCCACGAACATCTCGACGAATTCGGATCCTGACACTGAAAAGAAAGGCACACCACTCTCTCCGGCGGTCGCTTTGGCTAGCAGTGTTTTACCTGTTCCGGGAGGCCCCGACAGGATGGCACCGCGAGGGATCTTCGCACCAAGTTTCTGATAGATAGAAGGCTCTTTCAAAAAGCCGACAAACTCCATGATTTCTTGCTTCGCTTCATCCATCCCTGCAACGTCATTGAACTTGACTTTGATGTCTGTTTCGTGATTGAACTTTTTGGCCCGACTTCGTCCCATGCCGAAAATACCGCCCTGGCCACCACCTGCGCCTGAAGCGGCTCTTCTCGACATATAGAAGATCGCACCAATGAACAGCAGCGTCGGCCCGAAAGCAAGGACGGTGTTGAACCAGCTGCCCTCCGAGTGATAGGAGACCGGAATCCTCTCCGAATTTGGAATGCCCAATTCGTTTTGTGCCTCGTCTACTCTTCGCTCAAAGGCTTCGACTGAGCCAATGCTAAAATAGTAATAGAATCCGGGCTGAGCAGCAGGAGACTCCGGGTACATGGAGGCCACAGCTTCGCGGTGCAGATAAACTCGTACAAGGTTGCCATTGACCACGACTAGCTTTTCCACCAGACCTTTGTCGAAGAAGGTGTTTCTGAATTCTTGCCAGGTAATCTCCCTGCTGTTTTCACTGGGTACCACAAGACGATAGAGGAGGTATGCAACAAAAGCGGAGACCAAGAAATTACTGAGGTCGAACTTGAACTCTGTCACGTTCGCCCACATGTCGTCTTTCTTGTCCTTCTTCTTGCCATCCTTCTTAGCTCCAGCCGGACCCGGGTCTTCTGAACTCTTCTGCTGTGGCTCTTCCTTCTGCATACGGTCGCTGAACTCTCTCTCCGCTGTTTGTCGTGCGATGTGGGTAGTCAGCCGCCACAGTTTGGCAGCTCTCCCGGGAGACATGCCTTCTGTGCTAACCTCTTCGATCGTGTCCCGAAGTTCCTTGGGCAAACCCTCTCGCTTTATCCGTTGTAAAGCCTTGTCGATGTCTTGTGTCATAGACGCAGGCATGCCTTTCTTGACCAGGGCGAATGTATCGTCAAGAGCTTTCTCCTCTGCCGCGTTTAGCTTTGTGCGGCCTGGGAGAGGCCCATCCTCTTCACCTTCGGGCTTTTTCCCTGGCGGCTGTGGATTGGATGACATCGGAGAGCTCTGTGAGTACAAATGTTCCATTCCCTTGGGCGATGAGCCAGGCGCCGGCTTGTCTGACTTGTTGCCATCCTGCTCTTGGGGCTCCTTTGGATCCTCTGGCCTCGTCGCATACTGTCGACTCCGTGCGTATGCATACAGTGGTCGCGGCAGTGAAGCTGGTCGTCGCGCTAGGGTCTGCGAGAGCGAGGCTGCTTCAAGCAGTTTTCGTGATGATTTGGCGAACGTATGCGGCCGGAGGAGCGACGCCATCATCGGAGAAGTGAGATGATCGAGGTCAGGTCAAATCCAGGGCGACCTCAACAATAGAAACTGTTCATCGGCGTCACGGGAGGTCAGTGGCGGTGGAAACGACCGGGCGGAGTGGTGGAGGTGGTCGTGATGGTTGAATTCAGCTTGCGAAGATTGATGGCGAAGGCGAAACGAGATGGATGACGGTAGGATCGTCTGGGAGTCGGCCGGCAACTCCCGACCTCGCTTCGACTCATAGCTGGGGCTCTACCTTTCCATCTCCGCCGTCCTTCTTCTCTCCAGGACCACGACATCACACTCTATCTACCTGTCTCACTCGTCGAACAGAATCTATAAATTATTGGCCCAGGGAGTTCTCGACGCGCACGCTAGGATTGATCGATAGACGACCCGCAGAGCGCCGCTGCGCCCATTGTACTGGTGACTGGCGACTTGCAGGCTCAGGACTACCTCGCACGGTCGATATTGAGACGAAGCTGAACAGTCAATGCTTGGGTGCTGGGAGCGCAGAAAGAATTAGCGAAATGCGTTTGGTTCGTTCGCCCTTGGCGAACTGAGTCTCTATGCATTCCAATGCAGGATTATGCGGCGTCCATCGTCCTGGATGGACCTCCCTTGTCTCGGGGATGGTTTCTGGTCGAGTTTGTTGCCTAATCTGATGATTGGTCTGCTCTCTGGAGAAGCATGCGACACAACTTGTAGTTTCGACTAGAGAGCGAAGCACGATTGTATCCAGTGTCAGAAGGGCGTATAAGACTGGACGCGGCCATTAGTCTTGATTCAGACTTGCTCTTGTCGTTCGTGGGCGCCGGAACGGAAAGAAAGCAAATGCTGATGCTGAGCACGTCATGAAATCTCGTGGCCCGAACTTTCCAGCTGTCAAATGTGCACGCACAGATTATTCTGGTAGATGTCCTTTCGATCAGTCGAGCGCAAGCGTAGAGGCAGATACTCATGCTTCCCTCGCAAAGCCCAGCATGAGGCCATCCATTCTTCTGGCACATGCCTACTTGCTCATCGTGCCTCTCACGCCACCGACTAAGGCCTGGGCCGTGGGCTTCTACGGCGGCCAGAATTGCTACAACGATGCGGACTTGAGCGACATTCTATACCAAGGCAGCGGCAAGAAGGGTCATACACAATGCCTATACGTTAGTGACACCGCTGAAGACGTAATTTGCGAGAGTATGAGTTGCCTCGATATTGAGGGTGGGGAAAGGATCTGCTAACACGGTCTCACGCAGTATGCGCACAACGGCGGCGCCGAGCAACTTAGCTGTATATCATATTGGGTAGCCATTAACCATCGCAAGCTGGCCGACAGGGCGCTCACGTTGTTGCTTTAGCATATTTCGCCAGACGGTCTATTTTCCTTGTGTAAACCTCTGCGGCTGTGGATTTCCTTTGGACTGCCCAGTAGGTTAAGGGATTCCGCGTCCAGAGCAGGAAATCTCCTGACTTTGCCCTGGCCCAATGAGAATCAGACGCACAACATGTAGATTGTGTCAACACGAGCCGTATTTTCTGACACTTGAAGCCTAGCTAATCACAGCGCTCTTGCTTGCAGGCAATGCATCATCCTCACGGATCTCTCTCGCACTCTACACGCAGAAAGTGCGAATACCTGTCTCAATCCTTCCAGCCAAAAATCAGCTAATAGGCTCTCGCATGCAACATCGGTGGACTGATCACATTCAGCTGCTTCGACGGCGGCTCCATCTGGGACAACGAGGCTGACTGTCCAATTAGTGACGAGTGGCATTGCTTACTCAGAGCAACATGAGATGGTGACGAGCCAAAGAAGTTGTTTGGCTCAATAGCAAGAGGAAGTGTTCATTGGGCACCGTCTTGCGCTTCAATGGATTGGGCGATAGCGACACAGCTTCATGACCCGTATACGGGCTTTGGTCGGATTCACAGGCAAGCCAGAGTTGAGCAGCTTGAAGTCTTCCGATAGCAAATCAATCTGTGACGCTCACGAAGTTGTTTTGTAGATCCTACGAAGAGTGTGAATGGCAACGAGAAATGAATCCGGTTCATGGCTTTACATGTGAAGATGTGATGTGAGTGCTTCCAAACGCGGTTAGCGTCATGGGGATCCGGCCGCTTGCCGCGCGCTAGAATGTTCACGCGCCCGGTGACTTCCTCCATTGATGCTGCAGCGTTCTTTCTCTGAACTTCGACGCCGTTACGCGCAAGCTTCGTCTCCAAACTTCCATTGCACTAATTGTAACGTCCAGGATCCTTCGCGAACACTGACATCTCAACATGAGCGATGAAGCAGAATTACAGGCCAAAATCGCAGCTTTGGCAGGCAAAATCAATCAACACAAACAGCAGCCATCAGCCCTTGCACCTAATCACTACGGCGCATCCCACCCACCGCATCATGCATCTCATAACGACTACCGAGGCTATGACCGCTGGACGCCGTACGGTCACGCTGCCCGCGGCGGGCGCGGAGGCCGCGGGTCCTTTCACCGCCCTCACAAGAACCGTACGCTCGTCCTCGGAGGCGCCCAAACTGGATCGCCTGCGGCAGCGGCGGCGACAGCAGCAGTAGCAGAAGAGCAGAGCAGCGTCATTCCTCCCACCTCAAATGCATCGGAGGCATTTGTGTCGACTCGCAGCGCTGGCATGAACCAGTTGATGACGAAAGATACGTATGACCGAGAACAACAAGTAAAGAGGGAACCGCAGGAGAAGCACACACGACAAGGGATCTATCGTTCACCTACCACAACTAACCCTTCAGCATCACAACATCGAGTGCTGGAACTGGAAGGCATCAAGTTCAAGGTTGCGCATGATGGCAGCAAGCTGTTTCGAGTGGACGGTAAGTCGTTAGCGCACAGGATTGTGCGAGCTAGACTGAAGGTTACAGATCCCATGACCGCGCATCAGGAAACTCCGAAAAAGGCCAGAATCACCGGCGTTGATTTTGTACGGACGAAGCACGGCAATCTACTGAAGTTGAACCCTGCGAAAGACGGCAAGAGGTACCACACCAGCATCGACATTGACGCGCAGCAATGGAGCTTACCATCTCGTGTCAGGCCTGTGAAGCGCAAACCCCAATGCGAGAACTTCACGAAATACGGTACCGTTTCCAATCACGACCACTCTGGCTCTGCGGCGGCGGCGGCGGCTCACCCCGATCCCAAGCGCTCGAAGCATGCCGGTAGGTTCCCATGGCATGTACTAACTCATTACTAGGTACCTGCTCCTTCGGCCCTGCCTGCAAATTCGACCACGACCCTACCAAAGTTGCAATCTGCAAAGAATGGCTGCGCAACGGCTGGTGCAAGCCCGGCGCCAATTGCGACATGTCGCATGATTCGTCATACCATCGCGTATCCGCCTGCACCCATTTCCTTCGCGGCAACTGCACAAACCGTGCATGCCGTTATCCTCACGTTAATGTCTCCCCTTCTGCGCCTGTTTGCCGTCCTTTCGCAACTCTCGGGTATTGCGCCAAGGGCGAACAGTGCGAAAATCGTCACGTGTGCGAGTGTCCAGATTACGCCAACCGTGGAGTCTGCGCAGCCCGTGAGAAAGGCAAATGCCAGCTCCCTCACATTGACCGTGCCGGCACCTTGCGCAAGACCGCCAAGCGGCAATCTAAGACTGGCACTGACGAGGAATCAGACGTGTCCAGCGATAACGACGACAGCAACGAGGACTCCCGTGTTGTGATTCACGATGACTCGGACGGTCCGGAAGACGAAGACGAGCAAGGAACTGGATTTGTGGACGACGATACACTCATGGCTCTTGACACTGCGGGCTCGGATCGTGCAGTGAAAGAACAAGAAAGTTTCATTTCCTTGATAGAATGAGATGTGCTCAAGAAGCGCTACGCTGCGGGCAGAGCTCTGTGGCATTGCGACAGCATCATCCTCCACCCTAAAAACAATTGAACGGTATGCAGAAGAGCAATATAAAGCATGAATGCGAAACGATTTCAACACCCTAAGAAACAGTTGTCCCTTGTCGCCATGTCCAGGGCGGGGTTCTAGGCCTGTACGCGTTTACCAACGCCGCAAGCAAGCATCTACACCTCTACTCTGCAAGCTCAACATTATCAATTTCATTACAATCACAACCAATGGTGCGCCTTTTTCCATAAATACATGTCCAGCCACGCTGGCTTATGCGTGATGGCACTGCCTGCAAGGCTCCACGCCGAACACAGCCCTGCCACAGGTCCAGTAGTGAGCGCCAAACGACGGGAGATCGTTCGCGGTCGAAACGACTGAGCGAACCTTGCAGGGCACTCTCAAAACCTCCTTCACATTGACACACAGACCGTTCATTGCCCGGTAGGACGACATTACCATCTTTCCTTTGCCCTTGTCCCTGCTTCGTCGCCGATTATCACGTCCAACCCTCTCACTCCCCGCCAATATAGCCGTGGACCGACATGCCACATCTCCGAGACCTCCTGAAGAAGAAGGAGAAGGTTGGACAGGAGGCCGAGGCGGCGCAGAGAAGAGAATCCAAATTGGACGTGCCCGAGTTTACGTTTCTTCGAACTACGACCGAAGTGCAAGAGGTGATACAGCCGCCCTCGTTCACAGAGGACGATAGCAAGGCCGGTCCCACGGACAAGAAGGAGGAGCGACGCCCGCTGGGCTTTCGCCAATTCTCCAGCTCGTCCTCCACGAAGGACCCGACCGCTGTGTTGTCGCCGGTGGCCGAGAGATCTGGGCAGCAATTGCCAGTGAGACCGAAAGGCGAGCGACGACTGTCGCAAAGACTACATCTCCATCGGCGCGACCGGTCGCGCTCCGCTTCGCTGGAATCGAGCTCCAATCTCCCGCAGGATCTACCAGAGGCACCGGACTCTGTCGGACCGGCGCATGGAGGCCCCGACACCAAGCGGGTGGTGGAAGACAAGGGGACGAAGGAGGCAAAGGAGCAGCGAGAAGCACAATGGGAGAGACGCGCGACGATACTGGCGATGAACAACCCACTGAGGGACGGACGACTACAGACGGAACAACAGGAGGGCAAGAGTCTGCCGGCCGGCGCACGTAGCAGGAGCGGAAGTCGGAGTATATCCGATGCTGCCGCTGGCGACGTGAACATACAGGAAGCGATCCGACTGCATGAGGCCGGCGATCTCAAGCTCTCCACTGAGATGTTCGGCCAGCTCGCGAACCCCGAGGGGGACAACAGTGCTCTCGCCCAAGTGCTCTACGGGCTGGCACTGCGACACGGCTGGGGCATCGCCGTGGAACCGGAGAAAGCGATCCACTACCTCTCGCGCGCCGCTTCCAACTCGGCGTCCATCGAGCAGCAAGCGCTCGCGTCGGGGATGCGGAAAGGCGGCGCGGCGAAAGGGGAGTTGGTGCTCGCCATCTTCGAGCTGGCCAACTGCTTCCGGCACGGCTGGGGAGTGGCGCGGGATGCGGTCGCTGCGAGGCAATACTACGAGACGGCCGCCAACCTGGGCGACACGGACGCGATGGAGGAGGCTGCCTGGTGCTATCTGGAGGGATTCGGGGGCGCAAAGGATAAGGTACGTACCGCACTTCTCTCTCTCTCTCTCTCTCTCTCCAGCCTCAGCAGCGACCTGTCCACATCCGTGTCTCCAAAGAGCAAAGTACATGTACTCCACGTGAGCGACGGGCAATTCGTTTAGATGACGATACGCTCGTGCGCTTGGAGATGGGCAGCAGCAGCAGCAGCAGCAGCAGCAGAAGCGGCGGCGGCGGCGGCGACGGCGACGCAGTCAAAGCCAGCCCGTACAGGATCTTGGCCGAAGCAAGTTTTCCGCTGCAGCATCCCGCTTTTTTGCTGCATACTGCAAAACAGCCGGCTCCATGTGCATGTGCATGGGGCATGAATGAGCATGGGCATGGCATGCTGCTGCGCCCTGGGAATTGGGCTCCAATATGCACGTCATCTGCACGTTGGAAAAAGAAAACGACAGAAACACACACACGCACGCGTAAGGTAGTCGAAAAAAATAATACCCCGGGGCTGACACACATTTTTCGCGACGATGAACAGTACAAGGCCGCTCAGTATCTCCGGCTTGCCGAACAGAAGGGAAGCAAGACGGTTGGGAATTCTTGGTACGTACCATTGCTGTTTCATTGCCAGTCCATATCCATCGATATCCCTCTTCAAGTATTTTTCCCCTCCCCTCCCCCCTTTGCCAACGCCAACGAGGACGAGAGACACACAAAAAAAGAAAAAAAGAGGACACAAGCGGAAGCAGCGGCAATCGATTGTACCTGCTTTTTTCCCGCATTTCCAGGCTGCACTGCTTCTAGTGTTACCATTGGGCCGCGGCCGAACCGGCTCTCTCTGGATCCTCCTTCCCTCCCTTCCCTCCCTTCCCCGAGAGAGAGAGGAGAGGAAAAAAACAACTCTCTCTCTCTCTCCCTTTCTCTCTCTCACACATGCATGCATGCAGCTTACCCTCATCCTTCCCCTTACCCCTTCCCCCTTTTCGCGCGCGGGCACCGCAATTTTCTTGGAAGTAGTAGTGGAAAGAAGCAAGCAAGCAAGCAAGTAGGATTCCAGGAGCTGACAACGTGTTGGTCTACTACCAATTAGGATCTGGAAGGACAAGTACCATCCCAAGTGAGAAGAAATACATCATCCAACCAACCAAAAACCAAGATTGTAACCAAGATTGTGGGGGCCAAGGTGAAACACGGATGATGATGATGATGATGATGGATGCTGATGGATGCTGATGGATGATGATTTTGGAACGTTGATGTCAAGTTGGGAGGCAATGATAGCAACGTTCAGGCTGTCATCATCACGTTTGATGTTCTGGCAGCTGTCGTCAGTCCTGTCGAATAGGAGGAGGAGAAGGTAGAGGTGGTGGGCCGCTTGCAGGCAAGTGGCTCTCGGATGTACAAAAATCGGTACCTACCTATGCACCATGTTCTCACGAGACACAGCGGGCACCACCACAAGCGTCTTTGGGAATGTGAATCACATGCGCGGATGCTAGCAATGAGACATGTCTAATAATGATGAAGATGATCAAGATGTTGATGATGGATTACAATTTTTTAAGTAGCCTCGTAGATACAAGCATGTGATAGTGAAACACACACACACACACACACAAAATGAGTCTCCTTTCCTCTGTTCGCTCTCGGTCGTGAACAACAGTGCCCGTAAGCGCCAGATTTCCTCTCATCTGCCGCCTAGGCATCTTCAAGTACATTTGTACAACCGCCGCGGGCCTGACCTTGCTTCTGGGAGAAAAGAGACATAGTAGAATCTTGTCGAGCAAAAATCGGCCTCCAACAAAAACAGAAGGCTCTTCCAACAGGTGAGGATTGGAACCCCCAAAAAAAAGTGTGGCCAATCATTTCAGGGTATCGCCAGGAATCAAACATCGTTCTCGTCGTCGTCATCGTCAAGTCTTTCTTTCTTTCAAACAGCCATTTCTGCATATATCTCGTAAATCGCCGTCACATAAAAACACAGGCTCCAACATATAGGTAGAAAGTAGTAGTGGTGAGGAGAAGCCGAAAGTCTGACAGCTGGCCAGATGCAGCTGTCGAGTGGAAGGTTATTTGTTGAGTGGTATGTCGGTCGGAGAAGTGTGGTAGTGGGTGGTGGTGGTGGTGGTGGTATCTTTCATCATCGTAGAAATCGTCGTTGTCGTGAGTATAGTAGTCATCTAACCAATCATTCATGCACGTCATTGCTCAATCTTATACGTCAAGTCGTGGCTTTGTCGCCTGTTGTTTTGCTGTTGTTGCTGATGCCGAGCCTCGATGTCGTTGTGATCCCGGACAATCGTCCGGAATTGCTGGACCACGTCTGCCGGAATCTGATCCCACAGGAGGCTACGGGTATACACTTCGGCCTTGCTTTTGCGACCGTTTTCCTGTTCCAGGTTGGCCAGAGCCTCCGCAAGATTGCGTCGTGGGGGTGGCGCAGGCTCGTTGGGATTCGGAGCGTGTACTTGGCCGTAATTCGAAAAGTCCATGTTGGTCATCGATGCGTACTGGGCAGGAGTCAGGGCAAAGGCCTGGTCGATCTCCTGCTGCTTCGTGGGAGCGGTCACAGTGCGGTGCATCCGGTCCATTTTCCCCTGCCTCACGTTGGTGTACGCCAAACCGGATGGTAGCGGCTCCTGGCCCATTCTTGCAGCGGTCGGAGTATGCTCGTGATGTGAAACTGGCGCGGCATCCGAAAGTAGGCTGTTCAATATTGTAGGCGCGGCCGCGCGCACATTTGCGGGCATTTTGGGCAGGTCCGATGGTTGCGAGCTGGCAGGCTTCGACGCCACAAACGCACCGCAGAGAAGCAGCATGAATAGTAGGCCCGACGCGATTGGCTGATCCGAAGACCCATCGTTGTGTTTCTTCGCCTGCTGCTGCGTTTGAGCGGGTGCACTCTTCTTCTCCACTGCTTGGGAGACGGCCTTCGGTGGTTCTGGCTTCGGCTCGAACTGGAAGTCCTCTTGCGCTTCGTTCTGGAGGTCGTTGACCATGATGAAGTTGTCCCAGTCGTGAGGTCCCATGTTCAGCGCTTCCATTTCAGCATTGAAGTCGGTAAAGCCATTACTGCTGGCGACGGTGGACATCGGTGGTGCTGGGCCAGCTTCGATTTGGTCGGTAAGGAACTGAACCTTCTTCCTGAGAGTCGATGCCTCCTCGTTATGCCTCATCGTGAGGTCTCTCTTCTCGTCCTGCATCATGTCGATAATGCGCTGTGCCTCATCAAGTCGTTGGCCCATAACCTGTCGTTCCCGCTCACGGTGGTCACGCTCCACCTTCAGGTTGTTGACCTCGGTCTCGAGCATGGCGATCTGGTGAGTGTAGCCCTTCTCCTTGATCTCAAGATCCTCGGTGTGTTTCTTTTTCCGTTGCCGTGATGCAAGTCTAGGGGATGAGTCAATGGTACGGAGGCAATGGCAGTGCGGCGTTGTACTTACGCAGCTTCGCGGTTTCGTAGTAGCCGCTTCTGTTGTTTTAGTTCCTTGAGAAGCTCGTCGTCGGTGGTCTTCTCGATGAGCTCGTCGATGGTCTGAATGTTGCGCTCCTGTGGAATATCGATGCGACCGTTCTTCTTGCGAATACCATCTCTGCGCTGGAATTCGATGAGGTTTCGTGGCGGGCTGTCTGGTCTCATGCGTTTGTGCGAAGGCCTGCCTTCCATTTCCTGCTGAGCCATACCCATCCAGTCCTGGTGGGAGTGAGGGGACATGGGAGTCTGCACTTGAGGTGCCGGAATGAAACCGGCTTCGGGATGCGTGACATTGAAATGTGCTTGGGGATGTGGCTGACTGAAGCTTCCATGTGCCGTGTCCGTCGATTGATAGGAGGGTGCATCGAAGTGTGCGGGCGGTGGCATGAAATCAACGGCAGTGGTAGGAGTGCAGTCGCCAGAGGGATGCTCGAAGGACCACGATGCTGCTTGGTGTTGATGGGCAAAGGAGGGGGGGTGTCCGTTGGTCTGGCGCATGAAGGCATGTGCGTCGTCGTGGAATGGATTTGAGGCGCCGGCTGAGGCTGGTTCCACCGATAATGCGGCGCCATATTGATGATGTTCCCAGGCCTGCGAGTCGGCCGGGGAGAGGACGCCGTTGCTGTTGGCGAAGGAGTCCTTCCGGAAGGTGTTGCTGGGGCTTTGCATCATGTCAGCGTCGAGCAAGGAGGGATCCAATACGGCTGGAGAGTCGTGCTCGTCGAGGAACGCTGGCCGTTTGCTGTCAAGCGGCGTCGAGTCTGCTTGTGGTTGGGGGTACCCGAAGCTGCTGCTGGCGAAAGCCATGTTTGGGTTACTTGTATGCAAGTACCGGCGCTCACCGCTCATCTGGCAAAGAGGTGAGGACGGGAGTAGCCGGGGGCAATGGGGCGCTGAGGTGCGCGTGCACGCGATGCGATCGGAAGCTGCCAGGCGGGCGGGCGGGCGGCTGGCGTGGAAGCTGGGAAAGAGCGAGGCAGGACACAGGCAGGTGGCAGCCGGAGCGTGACTGACTCCGATCTCGTTCAGGTTGCAGCGTCTCGGGGTCGGCAGCAGCAGACGGGACAGGGTTGGCCGCGGCAGCGGGTGTGGGAGGTCGAGCAGCAGTATCTACCTAGTAGTAGTAGTAGTAGTAGTAGTGAACGACGACGCTGGAGGGGAGGCTAGGCCAGTAGGCTGGGATGCTGCAAGATGGACAGCGGCGTGCGGCGTGCGGCGTGCGGCGGGAGAGCGACAATGTCGTGCTGGAAGAGTGATAGAGAGGTGGCGAAAGGGCAAGGACAGGCTTGCTTCAAGTAGTAGCTAGTGTGTGTGTAGTAGTAGGGCAGCGCAGGAGCACAGAGGGACTTGTCGCTCACAGGCTGTTGCTGCCGCGTGCGGGTGGGGGGAGAGGTCAAGCCAATCCGGGGGGAGGGAAGCGGACGGGAAGGGACGGGAAGGGACGGGAAGGGACGGGGAGGGGATGGCAGCGGGAGCGGGAGCGGCAGCGAGGATGACTGGCAGACCGACGACGTGATTGGGCGCGGCGCGTGGTGCGTGGTGCGTGGTGCGCCGTGCGTGGGTGCCCAGCGTGAGTCTCTCAAGGAAGGGCTCCGAGTAGCTAGGTACCTACCTACCTTACCTTGCCTTACCTCCTACTACAGCGACTGAATAGGTACCGTCGGGTGAGTGTGAGTGCGAGAGGGAGAGGGAGAGGGAGAGGGACAACAGGCAGCGGGAGAGAGAGAGAGAGAGAGAGAGAGAGAGAGAGAGAGAGAGAGCGCGCGCGGAGGGCAAACGCCTTCCAGTCTCGGAGGCCTTCGTCCTCGGGCAAGCGCCAGCTCGGGCAAACGCCTACTCGTCCTTTCCTCTCCATCCCCTTGTGGTCGGGTATGTCTGCTTTAACCTGCCTTAGTGCCTGGCACTCGTCCAATCGTGCAAGCTACCTCATTAGCACACTCATACCTTCACCTTCTCCTTCCCACCGCCGGGATGAGAGCGAGCACTACTACTGTGAGAGAGGACTGCGTCTTTCGGTACGCAGTGTCGACGGGGCGCCCGCTCCCGCTGCAGCCTTTGGGCGCCTCTGCCGAAGCGATCGTAGGGGAAACGATCATGCGGCTGCATGCGCGTGCGATGCGAGGCCGTCGCCATACCCTCATCCGAGCGAGGTACAGATCAGATCGCAATGGCTGTTCGGGTGACATGGCAGGCCATCGGCTGGGGCATCGCATCGCATCGCATCGCATCGCATCGCGTCGATGACGAGCATGTGGCTGCCGCTGTCGTCTTCGTCGCCCATGTAGTGCGATGCCATGGGGCTTGCAAGCTGTGCGCGCGAGAATACCCCGCGACATGTGAACACGAGGCTCCCAGTGGTGGCGGGTCCCGTGACCAGCGCTCGCAGCAGTCGAATGTCAGCCAGTCGCTGTGTTTCAGGGGAGGCGCAGGAGAGGGCCAACTCCCGCCGTCGGGCCTGGAGAGAGACGTGACTGCCTGCCATGCTACTATGCTGCTACGGGTTCAACCGCTTCTGGCGATGATGAGATGTCGTCGACGGCGGTGGGCAGACAGCAGCCGCGCTAGCAGCGGGCGAGAGGCTACGAGGAGCTACGGAAGCTTCCAGGAAGGCCCGAGGCAGCGCCCGACCGAGCCCGCACCTTATTATTAGTGAGATGCAGCTAGAGAGAGCTCCCGAATAGATACAGTAGTGCCGTACAGGCGTCAGGCACACTAACCGCGGCTTGGTATAGGTGGTGGTGGTGATGGTGGTGATGGTGATGGTTGTTGTTGTTGTGTATAGGTAGGCTCGGCTCGGCTCGGCTTGGGCGACTCGACGGGCTAGTAGGAATGCACGGAATGCGCGCCTCGCCTTTCATGCCCAACGGCGGCGACATCATCGCATCATCGCAACAAGAAAACTGCTCCGAATCGCTGATTCCCCGATTTCATCTCCTCCTCCATCCAGTGTTGTCGACTCACATGCAGCTCTGCTCCGGTCGACTGCAGCTGGCCTCTCACCACCCAATGCCCGCCATGTTGCGACGAGCCGCTTACGACGAGGCCTCGGGGAGCCCTCCTACTAGCTGTCTCGCAATGCAACGGCCTCGAGTGCCCGGGATGCTTCCTTCATTCTGACGACGGGAGAGCGGTACATGTATCGTCGTCGACGACCCCACCCCTGCCTTGACTCCCAACGCAATTCTTGAACGAGCGCGAGCATCATCCACTCACCGCCCAGCAGCGACCAGCGACCAGCGACCAGCGACCAGCGAGCAGTGGAGTGAATGGGAATGGCCCGAGGAGACCGAATGGACGCGTCCTCCGCCTTGGCCCGCCCCATTGGACCGTACTGGCACGCGAAGCAGCCGACGCGGGGGGGGAGACCGGATCATTCGGCGACCTACAACGACAATAAAGCAACCGTGCCGCCCGAGACGCCAGAATAATAAATAATAACAACATCGACATGTGAAATCATGCCAGGGCGAGCACAAGTCATCATCAGCATCATGCCATGCGCTGCCATTATCCATCTACGGCGGAGATGCACGTCTCGGTCGACTAGACGCCCGCCTCCGCACTGCTAACGGATGCTGGATGCGATCTTGCGCCTCACATGCAGCGCCTCGCAGCGTCATCCAGGTCGGCACGAGTCAGCTCACCGTCTCTCTCCCACTTCATCTCTCTCGAGACTCTGCCAATGCGTGCAAAACTCCATCCATCATCTGCACACTCGGCGCCCAAGGACGTCTCACCTGCGCAAGCACTACTTGGTGCCCTGCAGCTTGCGACCGGCATCTTGAATGGCAGTAGTGAACCCGAGCAATCGGTCCCCCGAGACGCTATGCCAGACTCTTCCAGATCCTGCCCGACCAAGAGGCTCGCCCGAGGAACTCTGTGCTCTGGCCGCAGCTGCTGCACCTCGGGACCGAGAACCGGCTGACGGTGTTTGCCTGGGACGGAGAGATTGCAAACGTCGTTGAGAGCGAGCCCGGCCGTCGATGGCAGACAGCACAAGACAGGATAGGACGGGGGCAGAACCTTCTTCATCCTCTCGTTGCGCAGCACAAGCCCTCGGGAACAGGAGCGAACACGCTTCAATACGCCTCTCAATAGCGTGACCAACTTGTGTAATAACAGGCTCCAAGACCGCAAGAGTACTTGTATGCAGGGCAGCGGCACGGTCCGTTCTCTCGCTGTTTGCATGCCCGGCAGCTTCGCGCGCAGAGTACAAAATCCGCCTCAGGCGCGCCGTGAGCCTGCATACAAGCCTGGTAATCTTGTTTTTGTTGCAGGTGCCCAACAGGCGGGGCCAAGCCCTCTCAGAAACGCCGGCCCTCTCGAAAGAAGAGCTCCCGCTGCCTTTGGTGGGGGGGGGGCTATCGACTTTCTTTGGTCTGTCAGGAATAAGTTTCACCTTTTGGCTGTGCAATTGGTCTGCTCATCACTGACGCCCGACACTGCCGAGACGCTGGTCGATTGCCCTCTGATTCCGCCTGACATGTCGGGCGTTGAGATCGGGAGGATATGACACCCGCCAGCCGAACAGCTTCGACCAATCGCTTGGCCTGTGGCAGGCGCCCACCTGTTCCAGGGCACATATCCCTTTCTTTACTTGGACATACCTCACGCTTGTGAACGTGCTGAGTTAGGCTGTATACGCGGATTTAGTATCCCACTCCGATGCCGAAAATTGGTCATAGTTGGAGATGTTCAAGGTACGGTATTGCCGGCAAACTGTCATGTGTTGCCCGCGGATTGCAAACAGCATTTCTAATCGCAGCTATAGAACCTCAAAGGCGAAAAGTGATGTCTCTAATTCGCAGCGAGATCGCTTGGAGCAATTGCGTTGGCCTATGAATATTCCTGTTACGGAACCAATCGATCATGAGCATTTTCTCCGAGCGTGATCGCTGCGCATCCAGAAGCGACAACGCTGACTGGTGTCCCCGGCTTTGCTTCTCTCATACCTATGCGGACCCTCCTTCCAACACGCCCAGAACTTCGGATGATCACGCTTGAAGGCTGTGTGTCGTCTCTGGCAATGAAGGCTTGCGAAGTGTTTGGTTGAGAAGTAGGTATGGAGTATGAATAGGCAATACTGATCATCATCATCATCATCATCGTGCTGCCCATCAGGATGACTGCTCGCTCGATCAGGGTTACTACTGTTCCGTCAGACCATACGCGCTCGTGCATTTCCAGCTCTGCGCCAGGTTGGGGTCCCCTTGGCCCAGATAACGCGCATGCTGCGGGTACGGACACAACGGCCGCTGCCTCAACACCTCGTCGTGCAACGTCTCGTTCTGCCACGCCGTGGCGATGATCGCATCCGGAGCAGTCCCATTCTCCGTCCACGCCATCAGGGCCAGCAGAGCGTCGTGCTTTGCATCTCGGAAGCCAGGCACGCCGCTGACGCTCGTTGAGAGGGCGGCGGCTTGGTTTGCGCCGCCGAAGTACCAGGGCGCGTCGACGTCGGTCGGCGTCCCGAGACAGTGTTGCATGCCTGGGACTAGAAAGAAGCGATACCAGGAGTCGAGGTCGATGCCCTTCGGCGTCAGCGTCTCCAGCACCTTTCGGTGGAAGTAAATCGAAGAACCCGTCGCGATGAGCGCGTCGGCTAGGCCATGGTAGCTATGGGAGACCCACACGTGATCAGTACTTCGCTTTGGTATACGTTTGCAGAGCGGGTTGCTTGCGACCCCGTGGGACCTTCGTATCGGCACGGCACGCCGAGAGGTCTTTGCAAGTGTGTGAAAGACATGATGCTGACAGGTACTGTATGTCTCGAGATTCAAACTTACTGTAAAAGTTTCCCACCTCGGGCATGGAAAGGGGAGATGTTGAAGTTGCTCGCCGTTGCACCACCGGGTTGCAGCCGATCCGCAAGCTCGACAATGCTGTAGTCGAAATTGTGGAAGTCCCAGGTGCCATCGTTGAGGAGGAAGTATCGGACGTATTCGATGCCCAGGCTGTTCGGCTCCCCTAGACCCAGGAGTGTCTCCCACTGCGCTTCCGCGCCCAGTTCCACGTGCGGAAAGACAAACGTCTGGGGGAAGGTTTGTCAATATAAGCTGACGGCGAAGGAACTAACGGTCAACGATTGTTCCGCTCGACTTACCTGGTTGGTCTCGACGTAGTCGCCCCAGATCTTGTCCAGGGTATCCAACTGCGGAGCCGTGAGACATCCGGCAGCCGTCTGGTTCGTTACATTTGCGCCGCACAGGAGCGCCTCGGGGTAGAAGTGACAGCCTTGCGGATCCGAGATGATGGAGTCCACCAAGCCGTCTTGCGGATCGCATTGCTTGAGGACTTCTGCTCCGATGACGGGGAAGAGCTCGCTGGGGATGTGATGCGCCGATCCGTTGGGGGAATTGTACTGTCCCATCTTCACTGTTTTCCCAAAAATCAGCACAGAGCGCGCTACCACCCAATGATCGTCCCCTCCCGACGACTCCAGCTTACCCGTCCACGTCTGAAGATGAGAAGTCCACCACGCAGGCGCACCGGCCAGCACGCCGTCGAAATCTTCCGGATACGCTTCGACTTCTTTGAGACCTTGTCGCCCGCCGGTCGAGCAGCCGGAGTAGTAATTCCACGTCGCATTCGAGCCGTAGTACGCCGCTACGATTCCTTTTGCGTGGACCACGGAGCCGTGCATGGCCCGGTAGCCCCAGTCGGTCAGACGCTCCTTGTTCAGCGCCCAGCGTCCGTCGCGGCTGGTACTGTTGTGCCCGGTGTCGGTCGACATGACGGCGAAGCCGTAGCCCACGCCCGCGCCCTGTGCCCAACATCAATCATCAATCATCAAATCCCAGAGACCAAAAGACTTTGCTTTTCCCCTCCCCCTTCCCCCCAACCCTCTCCAGGGCGGTCGCAAAGACGTACCATATCCAGCCAATTGATGCCGCCCGCGAACCCTCCATTTCCGACGGCGAGAAATCGCTGATTCCAATTCTCGGGCAGGAAGAGACCAAACGTATATGCGGAGATGGGACTGGAGGTCACGTTGACTTCGATCGCGCACAGGGCTTGCAGTTGGGTCGGAGACGTCGGGTATGCGATATTGCTCGCCGGCACGTGAAAAGTGGAATTGGTCGTCAGCGATGTGGCAGAGATGATCGAGGCGTCCGGGGGAAGAATGGACTGAAAGGCCGATTCGGTGCACTCGAATGCTTGTACGAGAGGCAGAGCCAGGAGCAAGCCGCTCCTGCGCAACCACATCGTACCGTTCGTCCGTTTGCTGGATCCAAGCAGCATCTTCTGGCGGAGGAAAGGAGCATTCGCGGCTATTTATTTGCTGCACCAAATCAGGGCAGCAAGCAAGGCATTTCATCACGGCAGTTTTTTGGTCAACGCTAGACTCGTTTCCATTCGTGCACCTACGTGAAACAGTGATATTTAGATCGACCGGCTAAAATGTGCCGTCATGTTGTGCTCCACAAGATATCGCTTGCGCGGTGTTGTAGTTGATGTGACTGTGCGGGGAGGTGGGCGAGTTCGACTTCTGCTTGTAGTGCCGAGTGCGCGAGGTGGGTCTGTCGGGCCTGTCCGCGTGTCACAGAGCAACCTCACACGTGTCGGTAGCCGATGTGGTCGTCGTGGTGCCAACACCCTCCTTATTAGTAGGCATAGGTGAATAGGTCGGAGGATTATATGGCTTCGACGATATGGAGTCGGTCGAAGCTTTCAGTGCCAAGGCACATCTCCAGACTGAGCTCTGCTGACATGCAGAATGCCTCGGAGAGCTCAAGCACTGCAACAGCTGTTGTGTCACCAAGGATTATGGCGGGAGCTTCGGAGTCCTGGTTCTCTTCGTGCGAACATGTCAATCTCCGCCTCGAAAGAATCGTGGCACTCTTACCAGAAGGTCGTGCTTCGTCGAATATGCCAGAGAGTCGCCGCATATTCACAAGCCTGCTCACATCGTGCAGTGTGATAGATCGCATGATACCCGGACGTTCATGCATCGTAATCCCTGCTCCCCTTCTACAGCTTGGACTTCAGCATTGGCTTTGAACTTTTCTGCGCAGGCACAGCATCTTCTTCCACCGCGACGCAGACTACCACAGCGATATCATCTGGCTTTCCGCCTTCCCATCCCTCCTGAGGGTAATGTTGCTTGACTTCTTTAGCAAATGGACCTTCTCGTCTTCTATCCAAGCCGGCGAGCTTCGCAGCACGCATGACAGCAACGGCGATCTGACCCGGTAAATATGATTCTTGAACGGCCTCTTCTATCTTCCGTGGCATTGATCGCACGAGTGTATCGTTAAGCATGGTCTCAGCTCCCTCAAAGTTGTGCGACTTGAACCAGTAGCCTTCCTTCTCCATCACCCGGGCAACAATCTTAAGCGTGTCTTCGGCAGAGAGGTTGTCCCAAACTCCATCGGTCGCAAAGAGCACGATATCGCCATGTCGTAATTGGTGTATGGAAACATCTGCGTCAGCTGGCGTCTCGCTAAAGTAGGAGGAGCCAAAGATCTTTTGTTTTGCTTGCAGCTGCGCAGGCACTTTTGACATTTGGAATGGCGTATTGAACGCATGCGTTTGGGCCTCTGATCGGTGGGAGACCTTGCCAGGGCTGACGACGAGGTAACCAGAATCGCCAAGGCTAGTGCATGTCAGTTGTAGCACTGCTTAGGTAGAGACATACGTGAGGGCTAATATACTTGGCCGTTTCTAAGCTTCCCTCAGCATTAGCCACGCCGAGGCTGGCCGTACAACCTCCTGCCAAAATCCGTGGATTCGACATCACTGCATCATAGGCTTGCTGCAACAGAGCCCGAGGTTTGCAATGGTGACCCGCCTCACTTCCCTCGTGAATATTCGCAGAACCGGCCATCAAGCCACAGAGTGCTTGGCTGTACTCTGAAGGATCGACACCTTGATCTTGCCATCCGCCCACACCGTCTGCGACGCCAAATGCTACGTGGTGCGGGCTATTTCCAACAGTTGTCGCAAAGAATGCGTCTTCACCCGAGTCTTTCTTAGTAGAGCGTAGGTACGGCGGAGATGGGTTCTCGTGGGTGGAGGCATAGTTCCAGAAGTCTTGACTATACTTGGGCTGTCGCGGAGGAGATTGCTTGGGAGCAGAGGCAGCGGCCAGTCGATAGGTGAAGGAGGAGACTTGTGGAGTAGAATAAGACCTCGACGATGCGATTGGCAGCGGCATGGCGCGATGGGGGGCTGTGGAGATCAGAAAGCCGCTCCTCTTGACGAGCAGGGAGGAGAGTATTGCTGACATGGCAGCTCCGAGTAGAGGATGTAGCAGAGGACAGCGCCGGTGAGCAACATCATCGGGACATACTATCGGTAGGAATACTGTGGTCGGTCGGGAGAGGAGAAAGGAGTTGGGACCGTGAGGGTAGTAGATGGGATGAACTATCCCCGAAAACAAAGATGGATGGATGTAGCGAGAAGGGAACTGGAGCATCTGACCGACTGACGTCGTCTGGTCTGACTTTCCGTTGTGCGTTCCTGGCGCGACAAAATCGTTCCCGCAAAACCTACCTAGTACCTACCTCCAGATAGCGCAAACCTTATTCCGGACATAGAACCCGACCCCACAGACTTTGATGCTGTGCACTTCGAACATTGTCTGTGTCCCGAAGAGTCGAGCCACACAGACACCGACACCGACGCCGCAAGAATGGCCATGCACCCGTCGCGACAGGCATATGTGGAAGAAGCGCGCGAGGTAAGCCGTCCTCTCCGACCAAATCAAGCCGCGACGAGCAGATCATATTCACATGCAAACCCAGACCGACCACGGCGGACGGCATACGAGAGGGAACGGTTGACTGATGTTGATCACTGCAGGATGACGGGAGGATTGACATTGCAAACCTACGTGAGATCTCCTGGATCTCTCGTGCGATTACACCAAGCTGATGAGCACACAGCCTCCGATACCAACTACCAGATTCCCAGCCTAGCCGCAGGCCAACAGTCTCAGCATGCCTCTACAGTGCTTGGTGAAATGGCGCGGAAGCGCAAAGCTGCCGCACTTGCTGTGCCGACAGATGATCAGCGAGTGCGAACAGAATTGCGGTCGAGAGGCGAGCCCATCACGCTTTTCGGCGAGCGCAAAGAGGACAGACGGGACAGATTACGAGAGCTGATGCTCAGAGAGCAAGAGGGTGGCTCGAACGAAGATGAATCCATGGCCGATGCAGACGAAGATGAGGAAGAGGGTGCCGAGGAAGGAGAATTCTACATCGAGGGCAGTCAAGCTCTCCTGGCAGCAAGAAGAGACATTGCACGATATTCGATACCACGAACGAAGCAACGGATCGCACACCAACGGACCGAGAGCAAGATACCCGTGGCTACGCATGTCAAGCATCGTAAGGAGATCAAGGAGAAGCTTTCGGGAATCGAGCTTTTTGGCAGTCAGATCGCAAGCGAACGACCCGTGGGTATTGTGCGCTTTGCACCGAACGGAGAGATGTTGGCGTGTGGTGATTGGGGAGGTAGCGTCAAACTCCTGGACGTGCCAAATCTGGAAACCAAGACCGTGCTGCGAGGACACAAGGGCATAGTGGGAGGTCTCGCCTGGTTCCCTGGGGCGACGTTGCCAGGTTCGAACGTAGCGCCGGAGAGCGTCAACCTTGCATCTGCCGCTCAAGACAACGAGATTCATTTGTGGTCACTGATGCAAGATACGCCCCTTGCAACGTTGAGCGGACACACTTCACGGGTGTGCAGAACAGAGTTCCACCCTTCAGGGCGCTATCTGGCAAGTGCTAGCTACGACACGACATGGAGGTTATGGGATGTCAACACCACCACAGAGCTCTTGTTACAAGAGGGCCATAGCAAAGAAGCTTTCACCGTCAGCTTCAATGATGATGGTAGTCTGATTGCCTCGGCCGGACTCGATTCCATAGGGCGCATATGGGATCTGAGAACTGGCCGAACCGTCATGCTCTTAGAAGGGCATACGGCCCCCATATATGCCCTGGACTGGCATCCTGACAGCTACAGAGTGATGACCGGAAGTGCAGACGCATCTGCTCGAGTGTTCGATATTCGAGCGGTGAAAGAAAGTGCTAGGCTGGGCGCTCACACCAATGGCGTTTCGGATGTGCGCTGGTTCAGGGGCACCGATGGTCCCTTGTCAGGAAATCTTCCCCAAGCCGACGCAATCATGACAAACGGAGACACTGACCATGAAGACGAAATTCAACCCAAGAAGAGTGGCACATTTGTTGTTACTGCCGGCTTCGATAAGGCAGTCAATGTCTTCTCTGCGGATGACTGGGCCCTCTGCAAGTCTTTGACTGGGCACGACAGCACTGTGTATGCCGTCGATGTCACCGCGGATTCAAAGTGGATCGCTTCATGCGGCAAAGACAGAACCGTCAAAGTATGGGCACGGGACGACATGGATGGAATATGAGTGGCGAGCCTCGGATTGTGTCTTTTCCCAGCAGCGGTGGGTTTGGATATGAAGCATCCCTGTCGAGCTGGTGCTCAAGGATATAGCCCGACGTTGGCTACCTCGTAGAAGCCGCGGATAGATAGTAAGCCGCTGTACGTTCTTGAGATCAGTAAAGGCGGATTTGGCGGCGAGCTAGATACTTGGGAACAAGGATGCCTGTCGAGATGCTATCAAAAATATAGCCCGACGTTAACTCGAGAGGGCATCGAGGTATAGCGGATAGGATGCGGCTACGCGGTTACTAACAAATGTCTTGTAACGTATGTTGCTTACATTAGAAGATATACGCGTGGGCTTTGTTTTGCATCACGTGTGCGACAGAGCCTACGCCGCATCGACTTTGTTGTATCAATCAGCGGTCGGCTTGGCGTAGCTTGGCAGGGCCTGGCAACACACTCGTCTTATACTAGTATATTGAACCCCGAGGAGCTTCCACCCAAATGCTCCCAGACATGCTCGACGCGAGAGGCGCCCCGATTCGACGAACGTCGAGCGTTATCTGCGGTTCATTCGCACCGCGAACTCGCTGCCGGCAATCTACCTCCCTGCAGACTCCGTCTCATCAGCTGGCGACCGGCGGTGAAGCTATGAATAGTACAGATGAACAGTCTTCGAAAAGATGCGGGATAGGACCTTGGGCTGCTTCTTCCCTCGTACTGACTACTAGGAAGACATGTTGGCTGCGAAGGGGTTGTCTTCCGAAACTATGGAGCTCCTACCTCACTTCTATATAGGCCCCTTACAAACCGAAATACGCTGTTTCCCGCATAACAAACACCTTAGCCCTCCCGAACCCGTTTGCATCTCTCGTCCTCTTCCTAGAAATGCCCCACTCTTTTGACGATGGCAGAGAGAGCGTTGGAATGCAGCTCTAGGTTGACCTGCCCAGAGACCTGAAAGCCTGCGAGCCGAGATACAGAGACTTGAAGGCTAAGCAGATCCCTGTTGCTACCGCGGACGATGGCAAAGTAACGATCAAGGTGATCAGTGGGAGGAGCCACGGCGTTGATAGCGTTCAGGAGCTTGCTTACACGCCAGTGTGGCTTCTGGATGTAACTATTCAGCCGGGTGGCCGTCTGGTCCAGCCTCTGCCAGCGGGATGGAACAGCTTTGCATACACTTTGCAAGGCAAGGTTGTCTGGAACACTGGGGCTACCAGCCAGGAGGTCCCGCAGTATCACAACACAGTATTCGAGCAAAAGGGCGACCAGGTCATTGCGGAAGTCTCTCCAGATCAGAAGAACCCTTCTCGTTGCATCCTTGTTGCGGGTCTGCCCCTTGATCAACCGATCGTTCAGTATGGCAAGTAATACCTGGGAAGCTTTCAACTCCAGAACACAGCTGACTTTGTGAAATAGGACCTTTCGTTCTGACTGACCCTACTGAGGTTAGGCAAGCCATGATTGATTACAGCACATACAGCAATGGGTTCGAAAGAGCAGATGGATGGGCCAGCGAAATTGGAAAGGCAATGGCCTAGAGAGGCCGGTTTGTATGATGGTACACAGATGAAGTCTTTTTAGCGAGGCGTTGCTGTGCGTAGTCTGTCGAGTTGCCATGAAACATTTGTGCTTCTCCTGATCACTTCTCGCCTCACTGAGCCAGAGTCAGAGTCGTCCTCTCCTCGGGTTAATTGCCGTCTATAACATGATGGCGGCTTGGCGGGCTTCTGACGTATCGACCGCGTCGTGGCCAAAAACAACGTTGCCTCTTCGATCGCACACGGTGGCTGAATCAGCAGTTTCGCGCCTTGGTGCGCCTGAAGAGCCTGTCTCTGAGGACTCAAGATCGGCGTGCGTGGTATTCGCATCCCGATGTTGCGTTCTTCCCTGTCACCAAACTGCCTAGTGACGGAATTGAGAATGTAGATCTCAAGCAGACGTGTCGACCTAGGGTAACCAGTATCCACGAAAGGTACGGACAAGCGCGTTCACGCGCTGTTGCCAGTCTGCATGGTCTGCTTCAGGCGCGTTGGGGTGTTCTCAGAGCGTATCGTGTTGATACCTCAAGGCGTATCGTTCTGATTTTGTGACTGTTGTGATTTCCTCGTATCGAGTGGCCGGACGACGACTTCTGCCGACTTTGAACGTTCCTCATTCTTGAATCCCATAAGCTGGCCGACGAGTCCTCCGGGCTTGGGTACTGGACACTCTCGCTTTGATCTGTCGTGCTTGGCCAAGTCCGACGCCGCATCCCCAACTCCTTCGTGTTCGTCGCCGCCATCCGTTACCTCCTTCCGCTTCCTGCGATATCTCTTCCCATCAGGAGTCTCGAAACTGTCCGCAAACTGCCGTCGATCCACGGGGCACGGCAGTAAATGTGGTGCTGCAACGACAAGAAATGAGATGGCCAAGGTCGTGGTAAAGAGCGTGCTGGTCGACCTTGACCGCGGATGGAGATAATGCATCTTTGCGTAGCCGGTGCAAGTGAGCGACACAGCACTGTCGGAGAGGAAGAGTCTTGATGCAATGGACATGGAAGGGTAATCTGGAGTCTCATTGGTCAGTCACCCCCGTGCTCGCCGCACCTTCTCTGCGAGTACATGACTCGCGCGTTCTATATGTCTCGACACCGAATCCTGGATCTTGACTGCGACATGCGAAGCGCGACACAACTCTCAACACTTTTCGGCGCAAACAGCCCGTTTACAAGACGAGCTCAAGAACTCACAAGCGCTCAAGGACCATTCATAAGGCGCCATGACGACCATTGAAACGGCAGTATCCGCTGTCACAACGTCAGAAATTCCAGCCGAGATCACCCAACATGCAGCAGAGGCCGTGAGGAGGTCCGCAAAGAGGACGCGCGAGGTCTTTGCAGCGGATTTTGGCCAACAATCAGCCCTGGAGAAGCCACCGCAGCCAGAAGTGGCGCCGAACGATCCTTCACCATACGATAGAGCGCAGAAAGCCAGCGTCGCGGCACGGATACGCGTTGAATATGAGGACGTCAAGGAGCTTCCAGCAGCACTTGCGCAGAAGCAGGCAAATTCTGCGGCAGGAATCGCGGCACGGAGGAAGAAGCCAAAGACTGAGGAGCAAGCAAGTGACCCGGCCATGGCCAAAATGATCGAGGAAGCAGCAGCATCAAAGAGAACGTCGCAACAGGCAAACGGGACATCAATGGCACTTACAAGAATAAACGGCACTGCAAGTGCCAAAGCACCTCCAAACGCGAATGGCCCTACTCCACAGCGAAACACGCAATCTACCAGCCTAGTAAGAAGAGACACAGTAAGACAGCAGAAACCCCAGTGGCATCGTCCGTGGAAGCTGTTCCGCGTCATATCAGGGCACTTGGGCTGGGTTAGGGCTCTCGCGATGGAGCCGGGCAATCAGTGGTTCGCATCAGGTGCTGGAGACCGGACTATCAAGATCTGGGATCTTGCAACTGGAACCTTGAAACTGACACTCACTGGCCACATCTCCTCCGTGCGTGGACTGGCAGTAAGCCCTCGGCATCCATACCTGTTCAGCTGCGGCGAAGACAAAATGGTGAAGTGCTGGGACCTTGAGACCAACAAGGTCATCAGACACTACCATGGCCATCTCTCGGGTGTCTACACAATGAGTTTGCATCCGACTCTGGACGTTCTTTGCACCGGAGGTCGTGATGGCGTAGTTCGTGTCTGGGATATGCGCACTCGCTCAAACATCCACGTGCTCAGCGGACACAAACAGACTGTATCGAGCATTGTCACACAAGCCACGGACCCTCAAGTCATTTCAAGCAGTCTCGACAGTACAGTAAGGATGTACGATCTAGCAGCCGGGAAGACCATGGGTGTCTTGACACATCACAAGAAAGGCGTGCGCTCGTTGGTCACGCACCCGACAGAATACACCTTTGCGTCCGCATCGCCGGGCCAAATCAAGCAGTGGCTCTGCCCGAAAGGAGACTTTATGATGAATTTCGAGGGCCATAATAGTGTCATCAACTCTTTAGCCGTCAACGAGGACAACGTGCTATTCAGCGGAGGAGACAATGGAAGCGTAGCGTTTTGGGACTGGAAGACAGGACATCGCTTCCAGTATGAAGACAGTGTCGCACAGCCTGGGTCTCTCGACGCGGAAGCTGGCATCATGACCAGCACCTTCGATGTCACTGGCTTGAGGTTGATCACAGGGGAGGCAGACAAGACCATCAAAGTCTGGAGAGAGGACGAGAACGCCACGGAAGAAACTCATCCCCTCGATTGGAGACCAACGCTGGGCAGACAAAAATTCTAGTCGTTACACTCTTATCTTGAGCGTTCAGTAGATACCCACTATTCAAATGTTCTAGCGTGGCTACAGGTGATGTCCTGTCAGATGCCGAACCCGAGTCCTCGACATTCTTCATCTACCCTCAATGCATCTCGAACGTCTTCCTCGCCTACACCGAGCCGGACTCTGCCCACACGGTCTCCATGTCTACTTTCAACGCCAATGATGCCAGCGTCCGCAAGCTCCCGCGCTGCTGATCCGAAACCAAGGACCCTTGCCGCTCGCTCCATCTCTTTTTTGGCTGCCGGACGGCCACGCTTCGAAGGCGTGTTCGCCGCCAATGAGCCTCCGATGTCGTCGTCGGGCTGTTGCTCGGGGATAGAGTCGGGGGTCAACAGGTACTCCACAATGTTCTTGTTTTGCGCCATGGTGCTCATCCGACGTGCTTCATCCACTACATCTGCCAACGTGGACTCAACGATACCCGTGCGTCGCAGTCGCGCAAGAAGGGCTGCCAGGAAGAGTTTATTTGCCAGGGGCAGCGAGCGGAGGTGGGCTGCTAAAGGCGTGGAAGTGGCTTCATTAATCGCACGCTTGATGGTGGCTATTGTCACGATGCCTTGTTTCTGTGCTGCAGGAACCCTCGCAGCAGGAGGATCGTGGCGTGCAGGCGTCCTGCTTGGTGTATCGGGGGCCTGATTTTCTTTCCCTGGATCCGTTTGTACGGTCTCTTGTTCCGCAATCTCCACAGCTCGTCTGCAAATATCCAGAGCACGTCGGGCGTCACCGGAAACTGCAGCGACTTTGCGGCTCGCGAACTGAACAGCATCTGGATCCACGATCACTTTTCCAACGCCTTCAAGACGGCTTTGGATGATTGTCATGAGCTGGATGTGGGTGTAGCCTGGGAATGTTATTCGCGTCAGGCCTAGCCTGCTGGAGATCTTGTTGGAGAGGGTACGTTCGGGCAAGTCCATGGTATTTGCGACAGCCAGAACGATCAAGCGTGAGTGTCGCAGTTGAGGCCAGTTGAAGAAGTTGTACATCACGCCCTGGTTCCGCGTCACCAGTTGATCAAGCTCGTCCATCAACACCACGCAAGGCACACGCCGCGGGCTGGGAGTAGTGAACTCTCGTTCCAGTAGTTCCAGAGCGTGAGCCGGACTCACTCTGTCGCCCTTGAGGGCTTCCCATAGTAAGCTGTACGATTGATGAGGTTCGGTCACTTTCATTCCGTTGATCTCGACGAAGTAGAAATCATCTAACTGCTCCTCGCCAGTGGCTGCTTGTAGACTTGCTACCACTTCCCGTACTGTTGCAGTCTTTCCAGTCCCAGGGGTTCCTGATATGTAGATGCATGACCCAGTACCTGCGGAGATTGCTGCTTCCAAATGTGAGTAAACGTTGTCGAACTCTCCTTCTCGACATGGAAGAGCGTGCGGCACCGCCGAAACGTGTAGGGTGGATCGGGCAATCTGATAAGGGGATGACTGTGTCTGCGAAAGGGACAACATTCTAGTCCCCAGAGGTGTGAATTCCAGCGGTTTCTTGGTGATAATCTTGCGACCTGACGGAGTGGTGAACTTTCGAGGCGTAAGCTGCTTCGCTTTGGACGGCGTGGGAGTGTTAGAAGTCAATTTACGTCTCTTCCTGGGTGTTTCCGGTCCGTCAAATTCATCGTCGTTAACGACAAAGTCGTCGGTCTCTTTGTTGCTCTTCGTGGCCTTGCGACGCCGCGTCTTCGTGGTCTGAGACTCCACCAACTCTACCAGATTGTCCATGTCCTGCTTTCCTCGGTACACATCGTACCAATTGAACTCCTCCGTGTACGTAGTAGTCTTTGCATTGACGCCTCTCCTGCAGACAAAGGTCTTGCCGTACGCCTTGGAGCTCCTCGGGACCTTGCCGGAAGGGTACATGCGATTGAACTCGGTCTCGGAGACCACTGTTGCTTTGCCATTGATCGACTCAATTGGATTGTCGTCAAAATGCGCAGTGATGTATAGTTCGTTGCTCAAAAAGTCTGTCCGCTTCTTCTTGCTCTGAATCTCTTTCTCCGACGAGAACCAGAGCATGCTCGCTCGTTTTTCTGTTGTGATCTCGCCGTCATCGTCCTCTTCCTCTCCCTCCAGGAATTCGTGTAGTATGGCAACCCAAGCCTCATTATTCGACGGTGCTTTGAGAAGAACCGCTTCTCCAAGATAGCACTCGAAGTCCCCATTACGGGCGCCAACGATCTTCTTGCCAGTCTCGTCCCGGATCCATACCCAGGGATGGTCTTCGTCGCCCAGTTCGTCGTCTGAATCTTCTCTGAGCACGCCGCCGCCGGAAAGGTAGTGTCTTGCCTGCTGAATCTTGGAATACTGTCGTTTGGGAGGCATCGTGGTAGTTATTGGAAGACAATGATTTGTCGAAGACTGGCGGGTGAAAGCTGACGCGGGAAACGCGTCTGGGCGACGCGCGGTCGCGTGATTTGATCGATCGGCCCGAAGAGGCACTTCAGTGCCGGTGTCTCGGAGGTCGGAGGCCCCTCCTCACTAGTACTGCACTTCACTTCCATTCGCTCACCTCAGCCTTTCACAGGCAGACAGGGGCCGAGAAATGGAAGCGCTCTCTGCGGAAGCATAGACACCCGTCCATGGATGTGCCAGTGCCTCGTTTCAGAGCGTAGCATCGTTGCAAGTTCGAAAGCACCGGCACACGACTCGGCCACAAACACTTGTAAGTCCGCTCGCTCTGCTAGATGCCAACTTCGATATCCGTGAGCGATAAGGCATAAGGCATAAGGCATAAGGCATGAGGCATGTAAGTTATGTGAGATGTGCATGCTCTGTACTTTCTAGAACGCATCGCTCCTTCCTCGTTTGATTGTCGACACCAAGCGGGCGCCGCTCGTTCTTTCTTCATTAACAATTAACACACCCCGCCTCTGTTTTCCGCGCACTTCCAAGCTTCTCTTCGAGCAAACAAAGACCAGTACCAGTACCAGTACCAGGACCTGAGAGCTCAGGCTTCGTCAATCCACTCGTCTACATCGCCTGGCATGGACGACTACGAGCTCGTCAATGCCCGCCAGTGGGACGGGACGCTCAAGGACGCTTCCACTGCCGAAGACTCGTCCCCGTCCGAATGGCACGTGGTCTCCAACACGAACAAGAAGAGGGCAAAGGGCAAGGAGAACGTTTCCGCCGGTACCCAGAGGCTGCCGACACGAGGCGCACCACCATTTCGACAACGCCCCCAGCAACTGCGCTCTGCTCACTCCAGGTCTCCTCAGAAACCGGGTCCCGTGAGGGCCAGAGCGCGCCATCCTGTACCGCGACCAACACCGCTCCCTCCGCGTCGGGAACCTCCAAGACTCGTCGATGTCGCGGACAATGAAGCGCAATACTCTTGGCGGGAGCGCAAACCGGCGACTGATACCATCAAAATCCCAGCTATCATAATCATGGGAGACAGAGGCCCCGACGGTGACGGTCCGAATATCATCGAGCGGTTGGCTTTAGAGAAAGGCGCGTTCATACACTCCGACGAGAAGAAAAGTAGCAATGCGAGCCTCACGTTCGGCATCTGGGGGGATGCTAAGAATGCGGCTGCCGCAAAGAAAGCTATCTTGAACTGGATTGAGGTAGCCGCGCCCTCCGGCAAGTCTGATTCGTCAAGCAACTTCGCAAGAGTCGTATCTCTTACAGAAGAGCTGCGAAAGAGAGCTGAGAAGTCTTGGAAGAGAGGTATGTACACTAAGTGTGCTCCTGAAAAACCAATCGTCCGCTGATTCGCGTCGTAGATATCAAGAAGAACCGCTTCCGACAATTTCCCCCCAGCGATATGGCCTTCGAAGCGATTGGTACATTCCATTGGCCTGCCACGGAGTCTCGCCCTGAAGACGCCTTCGGAATGAGCTGTGAAGTTCTCGATCCTATTCGCATGGACTGCGAGTGCTACATTAAACACTCCAGCGAACGTTCTCTATTCCAAGTCTGTGGGAAATCCTCATCCGTTCGCACAGCACTTGTGCGCATACGACGGACATGCTACCAGATGGCTGCGCGATCTCTCAACCCCGTGCGAGCGTATATGCTGCATTGGCGCGATAGGTCAGCCATCCCTTCTCACGTGTTTCTTGACGAGTACCACGAGCCAGATACAATTCCGATTCCCGCTGCATCTAGGGATGTGCCGAGTCATTCGCCCCGTGCGCAAGGCGACGTCCTGGAAGGGGATGACGAGAGCGCTGCACTGGGAAACTCTACCTTCAATGCTGAGCGCGTTCGCATCACATTCGCCAACGCTCTGACGAAGTTGCACTATTACCGAGGACGATTGCAGCTCCGTATCCACTTGGGAACATTTGTCCTCGGGACCTACATTCCTCCTGAAGATGATTTCTACGACCTCGCCGAATACGAAGCAATGACGAAAGAGTCTCAATTCACAGGTCGCGTGACAGAAGAGTAGGTGCTTTGATCTCACGTTCTAGAGCTAGCTGATCCGTATCTAGGCTCGGAGACAAAGCACTGGAGAGTATAGCGCTAGCCAGACTCCAAGCTGCTCCTGACCTGGTCCATACTCACGACTTCTTTACCAGTGGGCTGTTCCACGCAAAGCCGACGCTCTCCGCCGTGTTCACGTTCCCCAATGAGCGCGGCGATTTGCGTCTGTCGATGAGCTGGCATCAAGCGCCCGACGAGGGTGGTGAAATGCAATTCGCAGAGCCAAGTGTAAAGTGGTCCCGTCTCGACCGTGACACCGGCCGAGAGACGAAGCTTGTCGACATGTCATTAACGAATTTGCACCAAAGCTCAGCCTTGCAATTCGAGCTGTCGACTACCGAGACAGTGGAGAACCTACGCATCCCGATCATTTTGAAGAACTTTGCCGACAGAGTGAGGATCGACCCCTCTGCGATATCGGATCCTTTCCGCGGCAAGCCATTCGTGATGTTTAGCCCGTATGTTCAACCGAAGACTCTGCGGCAGTCTGTGAGCTATCAGTACGGCGTTAGACCGAGCGATTACACACTGGAGATTGCCCAGTTCCAGGACAGAGTCTACACGGATCCTCGGAAGCCTCCAGAGGTGTACGAACCGCGCTGGAGTCTCAACGTTTTCCGCCCAGAGTGGGACACCCTGTTCAGCGAGAATGAGAGACTTCCTGTTGGCACTCGGGCGGACTGGGATGATGCGATTGAAACCTGGTTCCCCGCGGGCTGGGACTGTGAGGAAGGCACGGATGGCTTCCAGCAGTTGTTGGAAATGCTTGGGCGGATTGAGAGGATTGTGAGAGAAGAGCCGCTGCAACAGTCAACACAGGAAGAGGGGGAAATGATCTAGCTTCTTGGAAAGATTGGCGCCGCTAGTAAGCAATGACGAAGACCTTGCTGGGTGTTGGAAAGAGTGATGGAAGATTACGACTACTGAGATCGAAGGAGGGGAAACCTGGCTTCTATTGTGATGTGGTTGTGCGTGAGCATAACTGCGCCTGTAGCATACATACTCTGTGGAGTTCCAACCGTATTCTGCCTGCACCGATCCCTCAAAATCTTCACTCTCTACATGTGTCAATTCGATGGCAAACCGCAACCAGAGCTAACGGGACCGGTGGGCCCGTAGTAGCCATTGCAGGTATTCCTAGCGGCCATGCGGCTCGTGACCTTGTTCGAGGGCTGCCAATTTGTCGAGCTGCTACCGCTAGGAGGTCGTGTACTGGAGGGTGTTACGCTCGCACTCGCAGGGCGCCACTGCATGCTTGTGTTTGAGGTGGATGTGTTCCCGCTAGGGCTGCTATCCATAATCGCTAAGCCCGTGGTAGGACTGTAAGGTAGATTGCCGTTTGGAGAACGTGTCCAAAGGCCGGGTGACACATGTTGTTGGGATGATTTTGCGGCTGCACCTCTGAATTTGAAGGAGTCATTGGTGCTCGGCGGCAGATTTTCGTCGTTGGAGACATTGCCATTGGTTGTTGATTTGGTTGTCATTGATAATGGCGAGGCCTGCTGCGCTCGATGCCCGCCTAAGCTCCTGTGGCCGTGCTACAGCTTCAGATGCAGGTCGTTGTCGAACACAACAGCCAAGTTGCGGATGGCGTTGGCTTCTCTCTGCGCGCCCTTGTTTGCTGGCGCGGTCTTGGGAAACTCAAACAAGGCGTGCTTCAGTGTCAAGATGCCGATTTGGCCGTAGAAAGCGATAAAACGGGGGATCGCGGTCTGGTGAAGAAGACCTTGAATGATCTGATAGTGGATCAGGGTCTGTCGCTCGGTTGGTGTATTGAGAATGCGCGCCAGTGCTTCCCAATACAAGCGTGCTGGAGCTGGGTTCTTGGGTAAGGCTCTGCTGTTCCGAAAGTCGCGCAGAGTGATCGAGGCGAAGCAGGAAGCCCAGGGGATAATGAGCTCATCCTGCTGTCCGCCGCGGACGCCAAAGAGAAGCGGTAGCTTCTTGTGAAATTTGGCCCACAAGATGTCGATGAATGTGTAGTTACCCTCAGCCCAATATTTTGGCGTTGCGAAAACCTGGACGGCCATGTTCCCGACATGATCGGCAGCATGACTTCGCTCGTGTGGTGGCAGTGGAAGAACCTCGCGCTCGATAATTCCGAAGAAGAGCTTCACGAAATGGTTCAGCAAGAACAATAAGACGAGGTTGCCTTGGATTGGCTCTCCCGGGCCCTTGGGGTTCTTGTAAAAGAAGCCCGATACGTCCGCAGTATATGCTGCCGAGAGCGAGGCTCCTCGATCAAGCGTTTGTTGTACTCTCTGGATCTGTGAACGATACAAATTAGCTGACTATACTCAGCGTGCCAAGTGCATAACCTACGGTGGCCTTATTCCCTTCTTTGTCGGTCCTGCTGATCTGGTTCACCCGTGTGCGAAGCTCATGTCGCCATTCAGAGAGATTTCTCAAGTTCGGATCTCGCAATTTCCACGCATTTGGGTTCTTCCCACCACCGTCGGCCTGAGCTCGCAGCTCCTTGAGACGGTTGTGAATGTCAAGGTACGCTGAATGGACCTTTTTCCGCTCGTCTGCGCTTGTGACGATTCCATCAGACAGACCACTGGATGACGCACTGACTGCGGTAGGCTGTGCCGGAGTTGAAGAGGAAGCGACCGGAACTCCGTCTGCTTGCGCGGTTGCTGATGACGGCGGTGGAGGTTGTTGCTGCTGAGAAGCCTGTGCCAGCGCCTGTCTCCGTTTCTCTGCCTCCTTTGCAGCCGCCTCTTGAGCGGCAGCTTGCTCACGGGCTTTGCGATCCGTCTCCTCTTTCTCCTTTGCAGCTTTCTGGAGTGCTTTCTCAGCCTCTTCCCGCTTCTGTTGCTCGGCCGCACGTTGTGCCTCTTCTCGCTCGCGCTGGGCGGCGATTTGACGCTTCTGCTCTTCCTGCTTGCGCCGCTCTTCTTCCAGCTTCCTACGAGCCTCCTCCTTCTTCTCCGCTTCTTCCTGTGCGCGTCTTATCCGGGCTCGCTCCTGATCGAGGTAGTATTGCTCCAACACATCCTCAGCTTCCTTTCTGCTCGCGTTGTGCTTGGCCAACGAATCCTCGAGGGCTTTGACTTGTAGCTTTTGCTGTTCTAGGGCGCGCTCGTCCAGCTGCTTGTGCAATTCGCGCTGATCATTGATGAGAAGGCGCTTCAAATCTTCCAGAAATTGCGCCGATTCAGCACCGTTCTGGCTCTGTCGATGACTGTGGCGCGTACCATTCACATGCTGTCGCGATGGACTCTGCCTCGCGTGGTCGGTACGGCGGAAGGGCGAACTCATGTTGGCTGTGGTGTCAGGCACTCCCACGAAATTCCAATTGTTGTCGAAATCCAGATGGGCGATCACCGAGTACGGAGGAGTTTTCGAGGTGACACACCACGGCAGGGATTTCGACGAGAAGGCGCATACAGCATGGTACTTGAAGCAAAGCGGGGCGTGCGGTATGTTGTTCGTAGAGTGTCAGTGGAACTCGCGGAACGCGAGTAACGAGAAGCGCGTTCGTGGTTGCTTCGGAGCTGCGCTTGCTTGACGCGGCGAGGCCCGCAGCAGGGCACGGTCCCAGCCGCGCGGAAGCTTAATTTGGCGCACGTGATGACGAGTCAGGCTTGCATATGCTCGCAACTGTATATTCCCTTGCGCATATCGAGAAGCGCGAGTGAAATACTCTCGAGGCACTAGCCGGACTATTGCACCGAGCTCAAGAGCACAAGATCTCAATGACAGGATTAGAGATTGCCCCTATTTAGTCACCATCATTAGCTGCTTGGCTGGCCACAGCAATATGGAGGGTACTGATGATATCTACAGCCACCGCTCTCGGATACATTTCAAAGAGGAGGACAAACGCCGAAGCAGATGACATCTAATCGATCGTCATCTTGACTTGATGCGTGCATCTGTGTGTTGCCGCCGTCGTCGTCACCCAGTACATGCACCTGAATAGCTGCGTCGTGAACGTAGTTATGTCTACAGGTGGAGGCCTGGAGTGTCTCCCGTGCGTGTCTTGACAGATGAGGTGATGAGAGCGATGGCGCTTGGCATTGTTGTGGTTCGCCGTGAGCTGCTTTCAGGTAGTGCTGCCGCAAGTTTGGCTTTGTGTAGCAGGTAGTAGAGCGCACGCACGCACGCACCCACGCTCGCTGTTCCACATTGCCGGGAGTGCCATCATCGCTCCGCTGCCTGCGAACCAACACTTGTGACTTGACCTCTCTCTCGCTCTCTTTCCCTCCAACTTCCTCCCCACCAACAACAACTCTTCATCTTCACACCGCACGCTCCCTCTCTCTCCCTGCCCGCTCCTGCCCGCAGCGCATCGCGGCTTCTTCGAATCCCTCACTGCACCCCCATTTGGACGCATCGCATAGCTTCGAGGCAAGCATCGCTCCTTACCCAACACGACACCACCACCACCACCACCACCACCACCACCACCAGCAACTGCCACGCAGCTGTCTTTTGTCGCCGCCCGCTACTACTCTCCACTTGCTCGCCGCCTGGCATCCTCCAGAGAACAACAACAACAACCACAACAACAACAACACCACACAATACACTACTGATACCGCTCGCATCTGCCACGCCCGCATCCTCCGCAGCTTGATCCCACGCACCCACTACTCGCACGAGCAACGATTAGCCATCACGTCACACGAGTATCCGGAAACACGAGCCACCCAACACCGGCCCTTTGCCTCGCACACTGCCTGCATTGGCACCATCTACTCGGCATCATCTGCCTCGTAACACCCACCGCTTGTACAACATAACTCCCGCAGCATCGCTTGTCCGCCATGGATCAGCAGGGTCAGCAATCCGCTCCGCAGGGGCCCTCAGGGCGTCGTCTGCACATCGCCCATCGACGCAGTCCCTCGGAGATGACCCCTCTGATGAGTGAGTCCTTCCCGCCGCCTTCCACGTGATAGTAGCTGCATTATCCGTTTCTTTCTTCCATCCATCATCGCTGACATGGCTCATCAGTGGAACAACTCGCTCTTGCCCAGCAGATAGAGATGCTCCAGCAGCAACAACAGCAGATCGCTGCCACGCATCAGCAATACGTCAATATGGGCATGATCCCACAGCAGCAACAGCTCCCCAACCAATTCCAGCAATTGCAGAGTCAGATGCAGAACCTCAACGTTTCACCCAATCCTCAGGCATTCCAATTCCCTCAGCCACAGCAGGTGGGTCAACAACATCTTGGTGTTCCCATGGGTGGTATGGGACAGCCTTCTGCCCACCGAAGAAATCAATCTGCCATGCCGAACATGGGCATGGGCAGCATGGGGCCGCCTCCTGCACCATCATCCGGTGCTGCCGGCTCGGGTTTTGCCGACTTTGGGAACTTCGGTGCTGGACATAGCAGGAACGAGAACAGCGCACCGAGCCGTGGAAGAGGTGGTGGTAGCTCAGGGGGACACACCCGCAGACACTCTCTTGCTCTACCTGAGGCAAAGAAAGCCGCCGAGCTCGCAGAGGCCAAACGGAAGTCTAGCGGCTTCCAGTTCCCCAACCCTGGAGCTGGCAACGGCTCTCCGTCTGCCACCAATCGCTCGGTGAGCCCGGGTCAGGCAGCGGACGCAAGCCAACAGGCACCAAGCAGTGCGCCACGAGGCGGCATGGGCGGTCGTGGTCATGGTCGAAGCCAGAGCATGGCCGTTGGTGGCCGTGGCATGGCACAGAGCACTCGCGGCGGTCCTGCCGGTTTCCAGTTCCCGCCACCCCAGGCGACCAACGATGGAGGCGCCAACAACCAGACTGAGCTGGGTCGTCGTGGGAGCCAAGGACACGGTCGGACCGGATCCCGCAACTTCGAAGGAAACTGGCGGAATCCCAATAACAACAATCAGAATGCTACTGGAAATGATATGCAGAGCAACATGGGCAACTTTCAGATGAACCAGCACGCCAGCGCTCAGCCGTTCCAGCCCGGCCATAGGGCTCGCGGCTCTATGAACAACCAATCTGTCAGCTCCATCCAGGGCTTCCAGTACCAGCCGCAGCCGCAGCTAATGCAACTACCGCAAGGCCAAGTCCTCGTTCAGCAACCCGGCATGTTTGGTAATCAGCCACTGAATGCCCTTCAGCTTGCACAATTGCAAGCTTATCAGCAGGCGGGCATCCCAGCACCCAGCCTGGCTCAGCTCACTGGTCAGCACAACGCTCCCCACATGGGAATGCAGCAACAACAGCAGCAGCGCAAGACACTGTTCACGCCGTACCTGCCTCAGGCAACACTCCCCGCTCTGCTCGCTGATGGCCAACTTGTTGCTGGTATTTTGCGCGTCAACAAGAAGAATCGCAGCGACGCATATGTGACCACGACCGATCTTGACGCCGACATCTTCATTTGTGGAAGCAAGGACCGTAACCGAGCGCTGGAAGGCGATCTGGTTGCGGTCGAGTTGCTCGACGTTGATGAGGTGTGGGGTCAGAAGCGCGAAAAAGAAGAAAAGAAGAAGCGCAAGGACGTGACCGACCAGCGTGGTGGCAGCGTCACTGCTGTCAACGACGCGACAACTCAGCCTGAGAGCTCTTCTGCTGCCGAGGGCGGCATTCGCAGGCGAGGAAGCTTGAAGCAACGTCCCACGCAGAAGAAGAACGACGATGTCGAAGTCGAAGGCCAGTCCCTCCTGCTCATGGAGGAGGATGAGATCAACGACGAGCAGAAGCCACTGTATGCTGGCCACATCGTCGCGGTGATTGAGCGCGTCGCCGGCCAAATGTTCTCCGGCACCCTCGGCTTGCTGCGTCCAAGCAGCCAGGCTACCAAGGAGAAGCAAGAGGCTGAGCGTCAGGCCCGCGAGGGTGGTAACGCCAACCAGAGGCTCGAACGCCAACAGGAGCGTCCCAAGATTGTCTGGTTCAAGCCCACCGACAAGCGTGTCCCACTCATTGCAATTCCGACTGAGCAGGCCCCGAAGGACTTCGTTGATCGCCATCAGGAGTACGCCAACAAGATCTTTGTCGCTTGCATCAAGCGCTGGCCCATTACCAGTCTTCACCCATTCGGTACTTTGGTTGAACAACTTGGCGACACCGGCGACCTTAAGGTGGAAACCGATGCCTTGCTGCGCGACAACAACTTCGGTCCAGATGACTTTTCCGACGCCGTCATCAAGAACGTCGGCTACGAAGACTGGTCTGTGGCCAACGACGGGGACGCTGCGCTCGAAGGCCGCCGCGACCTGCGCGCTGAGCAGACTTTCACCATCGATCCAAATGGTAGCAAGGAGCTTGACGATGCTATCCATTTCAAAGAGCTCGCAGACGGCCAAGTCGAGGTCGGCATGCACGTCACGGACGTGGCACACTTCGTCAAGGCAAATTCGCTTGTCGATCGCGAGGCCAAGAAGCGAGGTACTGGCGTCTATTTGATGAATAGGACTGTCAACATGTTGCCACCTAAGATTGCAAACGACATCTGCTGCCTCATGCCAGGAGAGGACCGCTACACAGTCTCGGTGGTCTTCAAGATCGACGCTGCTACTGGCCACGTCATCGACGATGCCACCTGGGTTGGCAAGTCCATCATCAAGAGCTCTGGCAAGTTGTCGTACGAGGAGGTCGACGCTGTTATCAATGGCTCCGACACTTCTGCGCTCGGCGAGGAGCGTTCTAAGCAAATCTTGATGCTCCATTCTATCACGCAGAAGTTCCGACAAGCTCGGTACTCCAGCGATGAGACCGTCATTCCACCGCTCCGCCTTCTCTATCAGCTGGACGATGAGAATGTCCCCGTTGAGCACAACATCTTCGACTCGAGCCCAGCGCATGAGATGATCGAGGAGCTGAGCCACAAGACGAATGCTCTGGTGGCTCAGAAGATCTTCGCCGGATTGCAAGATCGCGCCTTGCTGCGCCGCCAAGCTTCGCCTAATCCCAGGCGCCTGCGGACCTTCGCGGAACGCATGACCAACCTTGGCTACGAGATCGACATTTCCAGCTCTGCTTCGCTGCAGAACAGCCTTTTCCGTATCGAGGACGACGAGATTCGCAAGGGTATGGAAACCTTGGTCGTCAAGGCCATGGGCCGTGCGAAGTACGTTGTGCCCGGCAGATTGCCTGACTCTGACTTGGGCCACTTCGCACTCAACCTGCCGCTCTATACGCACTTCACCAACCCGTCTCGTCGCTATGCGGACGTCATCGTCCATCGCCAACTCAAAGCCGTCTTGTCCAATGGCACGGTCGAGTTTGGGGAAGACGTGGAATCCCTGAACAAAACCGCTGAAAGCTGCAATACCAAGAAGGATTCCGCCCACAGCGCTCAGGAGCAGAGCGTCCACATTGAGTCCTGCCGCAGGATGAACAGACTATCCGAGGAACAGGGCGGCGATCTCATCTCTGTCGGCATTGTGGTGTGTGTCTACGAATCAGCCTTCGATGTGCTGATTCCGGAGTACGGCTTCGAAAAGCGCGTGCACTGTGACCAGCTTCCTCTAAAGAAAGCTGAATTCGACAAGAACTCTCGTCTCCTGGAGCTCTACTGGGAGAAGGGTGTGCCTTCTTCAGCCTTCGTTCCGGAGGATGAACGTCCGCAAGCGAAGGGCCATCGACCGACGAACAGTACTTTCGCACGCGAAGCTGCTGCGAAGCAAAAGGAGGCTCAGGAGGCCGATCGCAAGGCGATGAATACTGGCTCGATCGATGCACAGGACGTCGATGCGCTCTTCGATGATGACGACGACAACGCTTCAGAAGCCACCGACAACGCAGCAGGTGTGGCTCTGAACGGGGAGCGTGGCACGCAGAGCGGTCCCCCATCGCCCACCCGCAATGGACTCGCCCCTCAACGATCGAAGTCTGACTCTCGCGTTCTGAACAACAACTCCGGGCCAGAGGCCAAGCTGAGCAACAAGGATAAGTACCTTGGCTTGTTCACGTTGAGAGAACAGAACGGCGATTACATTCAGGACGTAAAGGAGATGACTAGAGTTCCTGTGCTGTTAAAGACGGATCTCACCAAGAGCCCACCGTAAGTCGTCATTCGTCCAAAACTTTGTGACAGCCACTAACTCGAAACAGTTGCTTGACAATCCGCTCTTTGAACCCTTATGCTTTGTGAACGGGCTCTCCTTGTAGGGTACCGACGGCGACCTGACGCACGACTGTGTTTGCGGCGTCTTTTACAAAACTTCTTCGACAGGTGTCTGGTCCTACACACAAATATTGGAATCAACACAGCAGAGCCAGAATGTACAGCGAAAGCTCAACATTGGCTTTCGACCCCTCGAACAGCTCTTCGAGCCACTGACCGAATACCATCATTTTACTGAAGCAGCCTTCACGCAAGGCACATTTGACAGCATGTGAGCGGGAGAAGCACATGACTGTCTTGAGGAGTGGAAGACGAACGACGATGTTCTTGACCCAAAGCATGCTTCTCGAAGCACGTTTACCACATATTCGATGTTGTGGAATTGTATTGCCTGGGCTGGAAAAGCGAGCTAGTTGTTGTGAAGACTACTACAGATTGTATATGTACTCGTCCGAGGAAGCGGTGGATTCGTGGACGATGAACATTGGGCTATCAAGGAGGTTGATGGAAAGGCCTTCCATTGTTATCAGGTGCTTTGATTTTGTGGAAGCGTGTTTGTGTTTGTAGCGTGTTAATGTTACAATTTTCTTGATACCTCTTTGCGCCGGTAAATTTTCGTGGTTACCTAGTCAGCTGTACTGTCTTGGCGGCTGTAACGAGCAAAACCGACACGGAGACCGGTTGACCGGGTTCGCGGAAGAAAAGAGCATCATTTCATACCACGCGCAAGCACCCGTTCCATCGTAATATTACTTCCGACCGGCGAGCAGCTGATGTGTCTCAGTCCTACGTGCATCGCGGCAAGGTGGGCAGGCGAAGTTCTCGGTAAAGTGGTAGAATGGAAGATGCGGCGCCTCGCAGCGTGTGAGATCGAAAGGCTGTGCAAAGGTGCAGCGCTTTAAACCCTGATAGACGTGACCACACGAGTGGATAGCCACCATGACGGTGCACATTGGACTGCAGTGATCTGGAACTGGCGGGAGACCGGTGTGAACGAGCGCGCTCGGGCGCGGGATGACTTGCTCTCGGAACTCCCTTTGGTCGAGAAGTGCAACGCAGTGCCTGGAGCCGCTGGCTGATTTGCGTGGTTCGTCTCTGGATGCGCCTGCGAGATCTGCTCGATGAAGTGAGGTTTCACAGGATTAGAGAGGAGAGTCGAATTGAAATTCTGATTGAGCGCCAAACAATTCCGCGCCACATTCACGACGCATCAGACGGGTTTACCTGCGCATTCACTGATTTCACAGGTATCGGAGCACTCTGCTCTGGGACTGAGCCAGGAGAGCGTATGAAGGCGCCAGTATCAGCTTTCAAGCGGCCTCCTAACGCCACAGGCCAGCTGCTCTATACCAGTCTCCTGCTCGGTCTTGGTAATTACAGCTCGAATTCGGGCGGCCGAGGGAGACACACGCCTTCGTGACAACCATCTAAGAGTTTCTCTTGCCATCGCACGGCGAGCTCATTGCTTCTTGTTATCCGGGTCTTCCAGAATGCCCTCCGCCTCCAACCGTCTCCGCGCCTCCTCGAGAGCCCAAGTTTGTATGCTGGTAATGCTCAGTCCGCATGCTCCTGTCTCGAACGCGCAGTGGTCTTACCTCGTGTCCGGTTTATAGCAGTATCCCACCACGCCAAACAACAGGCTGCCAAAGAAGCCGTAGAACCAGATGTTCTCCCAGCCCTCGTTCTCGTACTTCTCCCCGGGCTTTACGCCCCACAGCCACCCGCCAGGTGGATCATAATGGTCTTCGTGGGCGTGGTCGCCGGCGGCCCGTACTGCTGTGGAGGAGAGCTGTCTTAAGTGCGGGCGAGCGGCGATGTTGGGGATGATCTGGAGGCGCGCTCGAGGCGTCGTGATGAGTCGTGTGGATCGTAGGAGCGACATGGCGCTGGGTCTGGTGCCCCAGTGGTGCAGATGGGTGGAGAGCGGAGAGGGTGCGGCGGTGAGGATCGCGGTGTGTGGTGCAGCAATCAATGACACCGGCGACACTGGCGACTGGAGCACTCGGTGATGCGGGCCGAGCAAGGTCACGTGACGGCGGAGCGAAGTTGTATTTGAAAGCCGAGTTCTTTCGCGCTTCCTCGCCGTTTCTCTCCGCTCCTCTCCTCTTCTCCTCCGCATCACAACACCACATCGCAACCCACAGAACGCATCGACGGTGAGATCGCAACATGGCGCCTGCATCCCAGGCCCTGTGTCCGTGACATCTGCGCTGTTTTCGTGAATCCGCCACGCGCGGGTTGTCCGCTGCTGTAAAGTCTGTCTGCGGAGCCATCGTCAGCTCCAGAGAGTGACTCCATTTCTCACCCGGCTTCACCTGTTGCGTCCGTGGTTTGTGCCCGCCAAGGAGGATAGAGCGCGCATCATATCATCGCATCGCTGGAGAACTGCTTTTTTGGATTTTCTTCTTCGGACTGCAGGGCCGCCGCGCCGCGCAGAGGACTCGGGGACACCGCCGTCATTTCCTTTTGAACGTGCGCGTTTGCATTGCTCGACCTATCCTTTCTGTCTTTGTGACTGGGAGCGTGGCGTTTGGGTGGTACTTTTCCTTCCTGCTGTTTCACTGATATCCTGTTTGACCTGGCAAAATGACCACGACCAAAGGTAGCAGATCGCGAGCTACCAGCTTGCGCCCTCAAAGCGTCGCTCGCGAGATCTTCCGGAAGCGCGACAACAAGCCTTACAAGACGGAGCAGAGTAAAGTCCTTGCCAAGAAGAAGAAATTGAACTACCACGTTTGTTGCTCTACTCAATCCGCCGGGACCGGATACTAATCTTGGGATGCCAGACTACATTTCGCCAAAATGCGCCCCCGGGCTTCCACTATTTGCCAGTTGGAACGCCGGACCTGGCAGAACGATGCAAAGAACTGTCGCGCCAGCGAGGACTTCCCGTGAGCGTGGTCAACGTATGTTATCCACCCATCGCAAAGGAAGCCGGTGCTCGAACGACTCCCGAGAATCCCGCCATCGAAGATTAGACATGCGTTTTCAACTAACTAATTTCACCTTCTAGGCAAAACCTGTCAGCAGGAACGCCGTGGACCCCGACAAGGTGTCACATCACATTCATCGTGTCGGCTACCATTTTCGCGGCGAGATCCTGGACCAAGCTTGCGGTGAGCTCGGATACGTATTCTTTGAAGACTCTTTCGTCAAGGAGAAAGACCTTGCCGCCCAGCATGAGCAAAGCAGGATATCGCAGATGATGGCGAAATTCGGGATAAGACCCGATGCGCCAAATCGTCGTGAGACTGACGATCAGATCAGGGCCGCCATCAAGGAACTTTTCCCAAAGATACCCGAAGAAGATCTTAAGGAGATCCTCCGGCACGCTTGGGAAGAGGGAAGCAAACGCGTCGGCTTGAGCTCTGATCTGAATCTGCCTCGCCGTGTGCAGCTTGCCACGATTGCTCGCATTCGTCACACTTACACAGACTATGACACACTACTACGTGCTTTCCCATGGAAGGAAGCGCGTTTGATGGTGGAGCCCACATGCTTAGCGAAGTTGATCGAGTGGCGTGGCGAGAAAGATGAAGGTGACGACGAGGAGCTCGAAGAAATCGTCAGGGAGACGATTGTGATCGACGACGACGATGACGATGAGGCTTTGCGCAATGGAGATGAAGCCGATGACGAAGGCTCGAATGATCTTGCATATGCTAGTGATACCAGCATTGAGATCAGCCATCGGCCAGCAGAAGAAGCCGACTTTGGCGCCGAGAGTACCGACGAACACTCTCGACAATTCCGAGAGCGTTATCAAGCTGGCCCGGTCCGCAAAGTCCAGCGAAACATCGCTCTTCGTCAAAAGATCGTCCAAGTCAGAGAACAAGTACGCAACGGAGCCACATTCCCTGGTCCCCTTGTGCAGCAACCGTACGTGGACACTCTGGTCAAACCGGTTTCGGCATTGCTAACAAAAGCCAGTGAGGTGATTCGAGTCCACGTCCCGGAAGGCGCCGATGCAACGGTGAGCATCGGCGGGCGACTGTTCAAGAAGGTATGTCTGCTTGCATTCGCGGATCATGGGCCATGCTGAAGTTCGACTTTCTAGGCGCCAGGATCCATTGAGTCACCGAGGACCCCGATCTACACGGCACCATCCCAACTTCCGCAGAACGTTGCACGTAGATTACAGCCGCAGTCGCCGCATTTCCGCCCGCCGTATGAAGCGCACAACTCCCCACAATTGGCCAATGTAGCAGAGGCCTACGCATTGCACGACCGGCCTATAGCATCTATTGAAGCGCATGAAGGGTCACGTCGAGCGGCTAAGACGAACGCGTCAACCAGAAACGAGCACCCATTCCTTGATCCTAGGGCTCGCCCCGCTTCTCCTGATAGCGAGAGATCTGAGAAGCGTCGCCGCATGGATTACCCAACGCCAGTAAACACCGCAGACCAATACCGACAACCACGATCGCCGGCGGGATCTGCCCGTGTGCATCCTGCTGAGCAACTTGCCCGGCATGGCGGTAGAAGCGGCACAGTCCCAACGTATTTGGAACACTCGCCTTACAACCAGCTCGCCAGTTATTACAATGGAAGGAATGGGGGAGCTCCTGAGCCATACGATCCTCGGCAACCCCTGCTACCAGTCAACCAGGGTCCTTTTCGACTGCAATCTGATGTGCAGCGCGACGGAGAAGCTCGCCCACCGTTCATCGACGCCCAGGTGGCACCAATACAGTACATGCCGCTACCGCAGGAACAACGCAGAATGGATACTGTTGCACCTCGACGTCACGAAGTGCGGCATTCAGGCCCTGTTGCTCATCAGCAACCACGTGTGATCTATTTGCAGGCTCCGCCACCGCACTCATATCACACTCCACAACCTGTTCACGGCGCTCCTGCAGTAGTGCAGCAGATTCCAAGGACCAACGAGCAGCAGGTTGCTTCATCTCCGCCTGTTGCTGGCTTGCAGCCGCCTCCTGCGGGATATGTTCCCCAGCCTCAGTACTATTACCCCCGCTGAGGAGACTGGAAATGCCATGGTTCCGCTTATGCCTTCGCCACTGCGCTTTGCGAAAACATTCTTGAGCGCGTTTGCAATGATCACAAAACTGACACTCGAGGAATTCTTCAGGGGGCTCCGTCCGTGGCAAGACAGACTTAACTTAACGGAAGAAGGAGGCATGTGAAAAATCTTGACGGCTACCATTTGCAGACTGAGAGCTAACTTGCCCTACCACAGGGGCAACGGCCAACTATCGACAGACGAATCGAGTCAGCCGAGTATGAGGGTGGTGCCGCCAGTATGCACTTGCAAATGACACAGCAATCTTGGAGGAGCGTCTTGATGGGTTGAGGATGGAAAGCTAGAGGAAGGAGCGCAACGGGCTCATCTCTGCTTCATGAGTCTGGTCGGTGACAGAAACAATACTTGATCGAATGCAGAATTGCAAACGTGCCGCTAGAAGTTTTGGGTGCCGAACTTGTCTCAAGCTAGATACTCTTGAAGAGAAGGAACCGAGTATCTGAACCCGCACAAAATCCTCTCACGGCCCCTTTCTCTCTGCATGTGAGAATGTGATAGGTGAGCATTTGCACGCCATTGGTGTTCTCTCCGTCGCTTGACCAGTAGTCACCGGTCTTGAAAGATGGCTTCCTTCTCTGACAGCGCTTCTCACAACGGCTGGTGGGGGTCTGACGATGGGTGGGATGGCTTCGTAAAATCGCCGGGGCCAACACCAGTGCACTGAAGTGCATGAATATACGATATTAAGTCTGCTCTGCCAGACGGAACATGAAGAAATGTCACAAGCAGGAGCAGAGCAGATGATGGTACAAGTCAGGCATTATTGCGATCTTGGCTGGACGCCGTCTCTTTGTCTGCAAGCCTTCCGGCCATCTTTGTGTTTCGAATAACTCTTACTCTGTGGGCGGAAGAATGTTGTTCAGGGCGGTGGAGATAGAGTGAGCAGTGTGAGCAGAGAGTAGGTAGAAAGCAGAGAAGGAGAGAGAAGATGCAGCGGCGGCGGTGGAACTACTCTGATGACGTAATCTAACCGCTGCATCACATGTAAAATGGGTTCCCACATCTTCGGCCAAGCCCGGAACGAATCAAAGCTTTCCAAGTTCTCTTCTCTCGTGTGCAATCAAATTCCAACGAGGAGGCATCAACGTCGACTCCAACAGTCAAAATGGAAGAGAATCACATCTATCAGTTCAGCCTCCTCAACGCCCTCATGGACGGGGTCTGCGAAACGGGCATCCCCGTCTCCAAGCTCGAGAGCATGGGAAACCAAGGACTTGGGACGTTCGCGAGGATGAATGGCGAGCTCATGTTTCTGGATGGGAAAGTATATCAATTGCAGGCGCAAGGCAATGTGCGAGAGGCAGACGCGACGGATCAGATCCCGTTTGCTGTAAGCACGAATTTCGTGCCGCAGAAGACGGAGGAGATTGAGTTGAGAGACAAGACCGATATCGATCATACACTCAATGCTTTCAACGATCACGCGAGGAATTTGTTCATGACTGTAGGAGGGGTTATCTCATATTTTTGGGGATTGGAGTGCCTGGGCTGACCATTCTCTAGTATCGCATAACGGGTCACTTCGATTATCTCAAGTGCCGTACGGTCAGGGGCCAATCTTACAAGGGCGAGCCGCTGTCGGACCTCAGCAAGAAGCAGTCGGTGGAGACTTACGAGGACACAGAGGGCACCATCATCGGCTTCAGGACGCCAGCCAACTGGCAGGGGTTCGGCGTTGCTGGGGAGCATTTGCACTTTATGAGAAAGGACAAGCAAGCCGGCGGCCACGTCCTTGAACTCAGAGCGAACAAGGTGGAGATGCAGATGGCTGTGGCCTCGAATGTCCACGTGGAGCTGCCGACATCTGATGATTTCAACGCAGCGTCTCTGGTAACGGATGACGAAGGCGTGAAGAGTGCAGAGGGTTGAACAGGCTTCAAATCTCCAGCAATGGGCAAGCAATGTGTCGAATACGACTTTGGTGGAGGGATCGACTTCAAGTTCAGATTCATGGCGGATCCACCGCATTAGCGTCTTGTAGCCTAGCTAGTTCTGCTTCGGCCTTGTCAATACGTTTGAGCAGGAAGGATAAAGTCGCATCTCGGCCGCGCTCAAGCGCCACGAGGCGATCGAGCTCCATGGAGGTGTAATCAACCGCCGCCTTTACGCCTGGGTTTGATGCCTCGCCTGGAGTAGTGCTCGATTTCTCCTTCTCTTCAGTCTGTCCACGGGTTTGAGCGTCTTTGAGCTTCTTTTCCTTCTCAGCAGCCAACGCTCTCAGGACTGCGATGCTCTGGTCGCGCTCGACGAGCGTTTGAGAGAGCCTTGTGCGCTCGGCGTCGTCCTCTTCTCTCCGTCTCTTTCTCGCTTGCCGTTCCGTCTGGTCGTCTTGCCATTTGCGAATCGCCTCCTTCGCGACATTCTCAATATGGGCGAACCTTACAGGTCCGAGCAACACGCCACCATACCAACGCGCAACAACACAAGAGCCTACGACGTTGGAAGACTCGAGGACCCTCTCCACCTTCCTTCCCGCGTACTTCTCGCCGTCGTCATCCGAGCCGGTCACATACTGCGTCGCTTTTGTGATGGACTGTTGGTTGCTCTGTCTCCGCCAGCCGAGTATCTTGTGCGAAGCGCTCTCGATCTCTGCCAGCTTCTGCAGCTCTTTGGGCTTGAGAGAGGGGGAGAACAAGCCGACGAAGGCCGACTGGCGGTCCTCAAGTGGCTCGGAGCGGAAGATTTCGGCAGTCGCGTCGGGATCTTCGTCGATATGCTTGCGCTTCATCGCCATGGCTCTGTATGTTCGGCAGAGCAGCGAGGCCAGTCAAGGCTCCACTGGAGATTTTTCCAGATCACACGCCTAGCATCACATGCTAGCGTGTCGTGTCGTGTCGGGTGGTGGACAGATCAGTGAACGGAGCTTGAAGCTTCGCGACTCAATGCACGAGAGCTTGGGTGGAGCTCACAAATGCCGGCACGATCCGGACGACGCGCGATGCAATGACATAACAAGAAGAATCGTTCTCACATGCAGGTGCAGTGGCTAGATCCACTTCATTTTCCCAGGGTAAGTCCAACTCTCCATAGACTATATGACTACTCATTCCTCCCGTCTACTAAGTAAGCTCTTCACTCATCTCTGGCCATCCTCAAGACATCACCATGGCAGACAAGGAAGATCAGGTGGCCGAGATCATCGTCAACAGCATCTACAATGCCGGAGTGAAGGTTGTCTTTGGTATACCGGGCGCCAAGGTCGACGCGGTATTCGACCGCCTATCCGACCATCCCGAAATCCGGCTTGTGGTCTGCAGACATGAGCAGAACGCAGCATTCATGGCCGCGGCCGTCGGAAGAATCACAGGTATCCCAGGTGTGGCCATCGCAACCTCCGGTCCAGGGGCTGGGAACCTGACCACGGGCCTTGTGACCGCAACGACAGAGGGAGATCCCGTTGTCGCGATTGTCGGCTCGGTCCCGAGACACCTCAGTACCAAGCACACCCACCAGTCGATGAAGGCGTTGGATATCTTGAGGCCGACAGCCAAGTCGGCTACCAACGTGGACATGGAAGACCAGGCTTCCGAGGTCGTACTGGCGGCATTTCGAACGGCAATCACCAATCCCAAAGGAGCTGCTGTCGTCTCGATTCCAATGGACGTCGCAGGCGGGAAATCGACCCTGAAAGCGTTCCCTCCGGAGGCGTTCAAGGCACCACTGTATGGTCCTGCTCCCACGGCACATGTCGAAGCCGTGGCCAGGATGATAGAGGATGCAAAGCTGCCCGTGCTCTTCCTCGGCCAACGAGCATCAAGCAATATCGTCGTCGGAGCTATACGGGAGTTCCTGAGCAAGCACCGCATCCCCATTGTGGAGACATTCCAGGCCGCGGGCGCAGTCCCCGAATCCCTGGCATCTCAGGTGTTCTTCGGCCGGGTGGGACTCTTCCGCAACCAAGCTGGCGACCGGCTGCTCCAGAAATCCGACCTGATCATCACCCTCGGCTACGATCCCACAGAGTATGACGCCTTCTCGTGGAATCCCGACGGCAGACTCAGGATCGTGCATGTAGACTACACCTCCTGCGACTACGGCGCATACTACCACCCGGAAATCGAAATGCTCGGCTCCGTCAAGGAAAACATCCTCGCCCTGAGCAGGGAGATCCAACACGTCACCGACCCAGCACAAGACGAATTCTGCCTCAGCCTCGGCCGGGAAATGCGCTCGTGGCACACGGACTACCAAAACGCCCAGGGCACGGCCGCCAGCCTGGTGCACCCCCTGCAGTTCATCGCCGCGCTGCAGAAGCGCGTCTCCAAAGACACCACCGTCACCGTCGACGTCGGCACCGTCTACATCTACATGATGCGCTACTTCTACGCCTACGAGCCGCGCAAACTGCTGTGCTCCGACGGCCAGCAGACCCTCGGCGTCGGCATGCCCTGGGCCATCGCCGCCTCCCTGACCCAGGAACCCCCCTGCTCGCGCAAAGTCGTCTCCCTCAGCGGCGACGGCGGCTTCATGTTCTCCTCGCAGGAACTCTCCACGGCCGTGCAGCAGGGCTGCGACCTCACCCATTTCATCTGGAACGACGAGGCGTACAACATGGTCGAGTTCCAGGAGGAGATGAAGTACGGCCGCGCATCGGGCATCAAGCTCGGCGGCGTCGACTTCGTCAAGTACGCCGAGAGTTTCGGCGGCAAGGGCTTCCGGATCGAGGATTCTTCCCAGATTGAGGAGGTGATGGATCAAGCCCTGGCGCACAAGGGTCTGTCGCTTGTTGATGTGCGGATTGATTATTCTGGCGCCAAGGACCTGGCGGCGAATCTGATCCAGGACAGCGTGGGATAGATGTTGTCGTCGTCATGACATGGGGCCTCAAAAAGGAATCCGGCTGGACGAATGGAGAGAGAGAGGATACCTTTGGCATGCAAAATCTGGGAGTTTGAGGCCGTCGCTAGCAATGCATGTGTATCATTACGCTATCGCTCTGCCTTTTCCAATCCATTCGCGTCAAGGTACGGATCTCCATTCTCGAGTCCTGATTCCCGCCCTCTACTCTCCTTCGACATCTTCTTCTCGATTTCCTGATCCATCACGCCACCCTGCTCATCCAGCGCCAATTCCTCGTCAGTACTGCTTTCAGCGCGCGGTGAGGAAGGCCGTTCGGTCTGACCAGCCGGCTCTGCCGGCTTCGTCGGGGCAAACTTGGATTTCTCTCGAATGGTTCTACCATGTCGATAGAACAGGAACGGGATCGGCGCCAAGAGACATGCCACGCCGGCGATGAGGCTTCCTGCTCCACCTACACCGAGTGCGGTGAACATCTGTTCTGTCCAGAGTGGCGCCACTGCACCGAGAGCGGAGCGGCAGACGGTGTTTCCGGCTATAGCGGACGCGGCGTACATCAGGTAAGTATCCGTGAGGTCTGTTGATGGTGTGAGCGTTCGTCCACACCCCCTGAAGGACCTCTGCGCGATACGTACAATTCAAGTAGGACACGAAGATCAGAACGATGGATGTGGCCAAAAAGACACCTGCGATAGTTGGAACGGCCCTGCTTGTATGTCAGTATCGCTTGTGTGGGTATTGCTCTCCCACACACCACATACCAATTCACTGAATTGAAGTTGGCAGACCACGCGAACCTGAGAGCGAGAGAGGAACGTAAGCTGATGTCTACAATGTGACAAGATCCCATGCGCGAATCTGTAACTCACCAAAACATCGTGATTGGAAATAGCACGCCACCGATCATGGCCAGAGGCATACGGTCTTCGGGTGATCTTTCAATACCTGCCAACATCTTCTTCTTTCCTAGAGTAGACTCGTAGAAGACAATACCTCCGGCGACAAAGGCTCCCACCATTGTGCCTATCAGCGGTAGAGCGCCGACACCTGCATTCCACCCGCGATGCTGCTGGAAGACAATGGGATATATTGTGAACAACCTGTCGCGCGCATGTCAGCACATGTGCGGCCAACAAGTGTACCACAACTCACATGTACAGCAACGCGTAGACGATGCTCATGTAGATGGCGACCAAGAACGAGATGGGATCGAATAGGATGATCCACGGTCGAGTGAGCGCGACTTTGAAGATGCTCGCAAGTGTCTTGTTCGATGCCTCGTCAGGGGATTGGACATTCTCGTAGCCAGGGATCTTGGCTGCACGGATCCGCTTGGCCTTGTTGGTCAGGACCTGGGAGGGCAACGTCTCGGGGATCGTGAACATGGGAATCATGGTCGCAGCGGCCAGCCAGAGTAAGACGTAGAAGGACCAACGCCAGTTCTCGGTGAGCTCGAGGAAACCCGAGACAACAGGACCCAGGGCGGGACCAGCGAATGTCATCATGGAGAAGGTCACCATTGCATTGCCGCGTTCGATGGGCCCCCAGAGATCTGCAAGCACGCCTAGGAAGTAGAGAGAGGTCAGGTCAATCTATCTCACTGTCTGACAGGATTGAAGAATCGTACCAGGCGCATTGCTCAACGCAGCACTTGCAAATGTCCCTGTTAGGAATCGTCCAACAAGAAGACCTATCGTACAGAAGGGTGAAAGGTTAGTCGAGGTCTCAAACATGGCGAAGTAAAACGGGCGGCTAGGAGGCTCTCCCATGTCGAAGCCATAAGACGGGGTTTGGGGATGGCGTTTACTCTCCCGTATCGATACGTACCTGCGAAGTCGGGTGTGAAGGCGCACAGAAAGTTAAAGGCGAAGTAGGCGATGAAGGTGCTGTAGAAGATGTATCTCCTCCCGTAAAACTCGGACAGAGGAGCCCAGAAGAGGGGGCCAAAGCAGTAGCCTAGGAGGAACAGCGTGGTCACGAGGTTCGCCGCTTCGGTGGACACATTCAGTTCTTGGCTGATACTGCCGATGCATCCTGAAGGGCTTGATGAGGCAAAGGTGGCGCTCACGACCAGGGAGACACAGACAATGGTGATGTACCATCTGCGTGCGGTGCTCCAGTTCTTGGGATTCTCAATGTCGTTGGGCGAGAAGTCGACGTGGCCGTGCGCGTTGAGATGGACGGACTGGTCGGTCACCTTGGCGCTTCGATACGGCTTGGCGGTTGGGCGAGAGAGGATGCGTTCCAGGTCGTTACCGAACGCCATCACGGCCGGGTGTTGCAGGTGGGAAGCGGGAGGAGCAGGCGAACGGGATCGGTTCCAAGATGGTTTGGTGAAAAGAAAAAAGTTGAAAAAGAGAGGGAGAAAACAGCGGGCAGAGGTGGATGAGAGCTGCTGCAGAGAGGTGACTGGAGCGCAATAACCTTATTGCATGTTGCGTGTTGCGTGTTGCATGGGATTGGGTTGGATCGTTCCTGCTGTCCGGCTCACGGCACGCCATCGCATGGCAAGCGCGCAGCTCAGTGCACATGCAGCTTGGAAGGCGCGCCGCGACGATGATGATGATGATGAAGCGCCTTATTAGGTAAGGTTGGTTCCGTTCCGTACTGTACAGTGCAGTACTGCAGTACAGCTGTACAGCAGTCACGAGTACATCTGCCGTGCCTGCCTACCTCCGTCCCTAAGCCCGAGTGTGCCGAGTGTGGAGGTGGTGGAGGTGGACGGCGGAAAGTGCGGCGCGGCTCTGTGGGTGGTCCAAAGGTTACCTTACCTTAGGTTGCGTTGCGGAGCTGCACCCACTTGGACAACGAAGCATTCTCTTCTTCACATTGCTGCTTGCCTGCTCGCTCGCCGACATGACGGCGACTCGGTTTTCGTCGACTCCTGCTGAGATGGATGTATGTCCCGCTCATACGCCCACGAGTCCATCTGCCTCCACCGAGGCAGGGTGTGAAGACTTCTACCGCTCGTCGACCGGCAATAGAACGACAGCATCAGTCCATCGCAAGACGTGAGGTTGAAACAAAAGTTATCAGCGCTCCGCCAAGTCCTCCTCCTGGGAGCAAGCTGACATACAACTACTACTGTGCAACCATCCCATCCATGCCAACGCGGCCAGTGACACAGTGAGGTGTGAAGCTTATCTCACGGCTGAGTCCCGGCCGACTGGGAGCCCACAGCATGCATTAAAACTTAATTGGCTCTCGAAACTTTTAAGAGACTCTCAGACTCGAAATCCACAATTGCACGAGCCACCATTAAAAGCAAACGGAACGAACCTATAAATAATAAGTCTGATCTGTCGGTCCTGCACATCGTCGTGGCTTGCGAAGAATGCCAATTCACCCTCAGGCAGAACCTCAGGCAGAGCCCTCAGCGAGGCAGAGGTCCAGGACGCGGGGAATGATCAAATTTTGGCTGGATCTGCTCAACCTCTACTGCAGAGCTCTTGCAAACAATGTCCGCATGCTCTTCAAGAACGCCCCCAGCTCTTTCGTCTCATTCAACCCTTCTTGCACTGCATCCACTTCATCGCGATCGAGACGCGGTTTCGTACCAGTCACTTCGTACTCGCGCCCACCAATGTGCAAGTCGAACCAGCATTCCCGCTCAGCATCACCCTCGTCTAAGCATACAAAGACAAACTTCAGCCTGTCCTCCACACCCGTTCCTTCCATTCGCATGCCGAGACAGTTCTCCCAGAAACGCAGCTCCGGTGTGTTATGTCTGGCCTGAGCATCCAACGATCTTTGATGTGCGGCTTGCGCCTCACGCCGCTGTCGGATCGCTTGCTGTACTGTCGCGATTTCCGACTTCACCTGGTCGCGTCGTGATGTGTGCTCTTCCTTTTGCGCTTGGAGCGACTGGATCGCCTCGTGCATTTCCTCCGTCTCCTGAGCCTCGCGTGCGACAATATTGGCATGATTGGAAGATTTCGATTCAAGCTCAGTAATTGCTTGCTTCCGCTTGCTTTGTTGGTCTAGCACCGCGTCAACATGGGTACACATCCTGAGAACATCTCTCGATTCTTACCCTCAATGTCTGCCACGTTCATGCGAAATGCGTTGCGCTCTTCCAACACTCGCTTGCGCCCGCGTTCGATAAATTCGTCGAATCTTGAAGTGAACTGAGCCATGCGTTCGCGCAGGTCGCTGAAGTTGAAGTCGATCGACGGAAGGGTGTCTGCCATCGATGGTGCGCCGGATGCATATTGCTGGTGGCCTGTGTGAGATGAGCCGAAGCGACTCGGTGTCATTGTGCTGGCGGCCATGGCGTGGGCGTTGTGTAGTGTGCGTGACTATTCTGTTGTAGATGTACAAGTCGTTGCGTCGGCACACGTCGCGAGAGTGTCGATGTTTACATCCGATGGCAAGCGCCGTTGCTAGGACGGGAGCAGCCTTCGGTTAGTCAGCTTCTAAACTTTCCTCGACAACTTCTGGTTTCTCCATCTATTCCTCTTCACAAACATCTTGCCCGCATTCAAGACCGTCCTTCCATTCGCCCTTCTCGCAATATCTCCGAGACCACATACTATGACTGAGATTCTACCGGACAGATCGGAACGACATTCCCGCGCAAAGCCGAATGGATGAGAAGTCAAAATGCGACCTGCCTTACGGTCATTTTGGTCGAGTGAACTACGATCCCGGCGAGAAAACTTGGCGCTTTGGACGGACGCTGAGTGCTGGTAACCGTCTTCAACGTCTTGAGGCTTCTGATCTATCGCCGCTTCCTGTCGCCTCTGGCTCATGCCGACGAGCGGAGCCTCCCAGCGTGCGATACGCAAAGCAAATCCAAGCTCTTGCCACAGATTTTCCAGAATTGCAGCCCGCCAGCAGCATCTTGCCACCTCTGCTCAGAGTATCAGAAGCGGCTGTGGAGGCAGCTCATCGTCATGTGCCCATCGAGGGAGATTTAATGGCCTTCGCCAACATCAGGTCTGCCGTGCTCCATCGTTTGGTACCTGTGGCTGCTTTGGCTGCTGGCGCAGACAAAACTGTCCTTCGTCTGATTATCGTATCCCTGAGAAAGTATGGATGGGAAAGGGACCCGAGCACCTGGCTCGAAGTGCCTTCCCTGCGCGGGGAGGAGATCCAGTGGTCATGCGATGGGGGACCTATCCAGCAGGTGCACTTTGCGCAGCCAATTGAACATGGTGAAGCTCTTCTTGCCGTACGCCTGCTCGGGAAAACGCTGCTCTTTCGACCAACGATTCGCAGAGTGGCAGTCAAGGGCTCAAGCTCTGCCCTCGACCCAAATTTGTTGTACAGTATAGGACTTGAGCAGACCGGTGGCCGGTCACACGTGGATGTGAGCTTCAATCCATGGTTCCCGCAGCAGGTCGGCGTGGTTGATGTAACCGGTGCTTGGAGGGTCTTGGAATTTGAAACACGCACTATGGAGCGCGTCGTGCGCCTTCTTGAACCGCCATCCAGAAACAAACGGCCGGAGCCTGTCTCAGTTGTGGACGACGGATGGGCTCGCATTTCTTGGGTGCTGAATGTAGACATTGTCGCTGTCTGCACTCGCAGCAGTTTGGACTTCTTTGGCATTGGCGGCGAAGATACCAAGTGTGTGAAGCAAATCTCGGCCACTCTATTTGGACATGGGACCTGGCTTTTGGACTTCGTCGTGCCTTCTGATCAACCTGAATACTTCTGCCTGCTCTCTTCGAGACATCTCGCTCTCTACAAGACTATGAGGGAGGGGCCAGGCAAGATAGGAGTCGGCCTCAAGGCAAGGATTCTGCATTACAGGAATCCAGAAGACCTCACACTGAAGCTCAAAGTGTGGAAAGAGGAGAGCGGTATCCATGTTGCCGTTTGCTCAAATGTCAGCTCCTCTGTAACCTGCTATCGCTTCGACGTCGAGGACGGGCCGGATCATGCCCTCATAAAAGATCCAGCAGACTTCACTCTATTCTCTCGGTATTTTCAGCACCACCTGGACTCCATCAGAGACTTCCGCATCCAGCCAGTGAAGATGACTTCGAACAGACGGCGCCCTTCTGAGCTGGCCAATCTACAGCACAGGCTAACGCAAGATATTCAATTCTACTACGCGGCAATTTGTCTCAAGGATGGCTCTCTGGATGAGAATGTTTTCTTTCATGCTCTTCAACAGACGGGACAGTCACGAGGCGCTTTGCCGAAACCACTGAACGCAAAACCAGTCGCCAGCGGGTCATTTTTACGCAGTGAGAGCTTCATTGTGGACGACTACGATCTAGATGAGGCAGTTCTCAAGCGTGCCGAACCCATCGGTCGTTGTGCAAGGCGTACGGCCACACCGACTGAGCAGCCAAGCTCCAACATCAACTTGACCGCAGTTGTGAAAGCCCTGTCTGGTCAACTACCTGAGAGCCGAACAATCGAAGATGTTGAAACAGAAATTCGGAAGGCGCTTTCGGAAAGAGTGTCCGAGACGATACCCTCCATGAGAACCTTAAGTGACATTGCTGGCTCTGCGGTCTCTGTAGCCGACGTAGAACAGTCGTCACAAGCTCTGGAAAGATGCTTCGCCGAGCCACCAGGCGTTGCGACTGCGACAGCTCCTAAATATACGGAAGATCCAGTCGACGAGACCACGAAGTTCAAGCTCCGCGCGATTGCTTTACCAGGTGTCGTGAATCTCGAGAGCGACCTTTCTAGTGGCAATTTAGCTTCCATCTATGAACAGCTCATACCGAAGTGGATTAGTCCGTTATCGTCGCAGATTCCTGGATGGACACGACTGGGTAAGGTCGCGGTAGCACGTCAAATAGCTGCTGAAATCTTGCTTGCTAGCCAGGCGGTACAAGTACAAGAGGTTGTCGAAGAAGATGACATGCAAGAGGGCAAGGTATTAACACAATCTTCATCACAAAAGCGGGAGTTGCCAGTAGAACCTGTTGCGGAGTTACAAGCACAGTCATCCAGTCCGAGTGCATCGAGATACGCTACACAGCCTTCTGCTCTACCTACGCCTTCCCCAACAGGCACGCCATCTCTTACCACAGCATCAGGGCACTCATCCAGCTTTGCTGCGCCGGAATTGCATCGACTGAGTAGGTACACAAGCTTCGCAAATCCAGCACCCACGGTCCTCCCGCGTGGTCTGAGGAACGTCCTCTCTCATTGGGAAGTTGGAGAAGATCCGAGCAAGTACGAATGGGTGTCGACTTCCAAGAAGCTGGCGCAGAAAGATGACGAAGCAGATGAGGGGACTACAGAAAAGGAGCGCATGCGGTCTTTACGCCGCGCCGAGAGGCATCTACGGCGCCAACGAAAAGAGGCTGCTGCCAGTCAGGCGCAGCAACTTGCGAGCAGTCAGGCGACGGAAATTGTTACTGCCAGCCAGCCGCCTACGATGAAGACTGACAATCCACCATCTGCTATCGCTGGTAGCAGCCAGACTCAGACGACGCAAGGCCCAAGTCAAATTGCAATTGCGGCAAGCCAGATTGTTCCGGGACGTTTCGGAGGAAGACCACCGCCAAAGAAGAAAAGAAAGCAGGGATTCTGAAGATATCATGCTCGACGAAGACACCGTTGCGCTAGATGTTATGGACATGGTCTTTGGTGGTGCGTCGCCGGCAAGCCGGGTCCACGTGATTTCACATGTCAGTTCTGTGGATGTTGATCGCGAACGCTGATCTCGCCAAGATCTGGGGTAGCGCCGATCTTTGGGAGAACTTTCATCCTTGATCGTTGACGACATCATTGCAGACTTGTGGAGACCAGTCGAGATGCCGCGGCATGGGAGCACAAATCCGCGTTGAGACGATGAATCTGATAGATACACCGAATAGTGACTTCGACTCTTACTACTCTTACTTGCGAGTTTACTTTAGTTCTACTGCACTTATCAATATCCCGTTCTCTTGACTTGTAGTTATTAACATGGCTCCATCGGTATGATTGCCCACCCACCAGCTTCAATCTATCCCGCACCTGGAGCACTAATCATGGCCCCCCTTCCCTGCACCTGCAGAACGATAAGAAGAGCCTCAAAGACGTCGCGAAGGACACCAACCCTTCGCAGCTCGGAGATCCCGTCTCGCTCAAGGCCGAGACATCCAACACAGTAAAGACAACCCCCCCCCTCCACACCCTACCCAACCCGCATCGCAAACCACCAAAACACATACTGAAATGAGATTGGTTCGTCCGTCCATAGGAACCTACAGACGACGATCGAGGCGCCAAGAAGAACGAAACGGAGGGCGGCGACAACAAGTCGCTGAAAGAGGTCGCGCAGGACAAGATGAAGACGAACCCGTCGCAGTTGGGGGATCCGGTGTCTCTCAAGGCGGAGACGTCGGATACGGAGCCGACGGAGCATGATCGGGGTGCTTTGGGGACCAGCAGCAAGAGCAGTGGGAAGCCGAAGATGTGAATGATTGTAGAGAATTGGGGGGGGGGGTTTTTTTTTTCATTTTCCTAAGAGACGCGGAATTTTTGGTGATATGGGTGGGTGGGTGGGGTTTCTTTGAAGGTGTAGTAGGTAGGGATCGGTTATAGGTATTGAGATTGCATGTGAGAGTCGTCTTGTTGAAGTGTACAGGCAGAGCGACAATTTCACCTGCTAACATGTGAAGATTGACAAACGAGCGTGAGAGCCCGCTGTCTTGCAGCCTACACCTGGATCATGCCTTCAAGCCCCAGACATCATCACGGATTTCCACGACCAACAAGATCAAAACAAGCGGCAGCACAGAAAGCAAAGCAGCACAGAATATGCCTTACCTCACACCGCCGCCAACGGTCCAGAAGGGCATCTTCACGCAACAACTTCGGCCAGAGTACTACGAAGACATCTACGGCGAGATCAATCCGGACGAGGATCAGCATGCAGAGCGGTGCGAATCGGAGTCGGAGAGCGACGGAGATCGCGGTGAGCGCTACAGCCAGTCGAGGGATTACCAGCGCCTTTTTGGAGGTTACGAGAAGACGCAACAAGAGGGGAAGGACGGTGAGGCAGGGGAGACCAGCCGGCAGAAGTACAAGATCGCACCGCGTCTGAATTCGCGGCAGTCCGTTCTCGTGCAGCGCAGGAAGACGCTTGTGCCTCAGAAGTTCGGCATGTTTGGCGAAGCTGCTGAGCATGCGGACGGCGACGGCGACAGCGAGAAGGACGGAGCAGATGTCTTCGCTACTGGCACAAAGCGCAAGAAGCTGGTGCCGGTTATCCAGAGGAAACTCCTGCCAAAGAGCGTCGGTATGTTCGGCAGCCCGATGGAAGCCAGTGGAGATATGGGCGAGAGCGATGAGAACTTCTTGACGGCCAGCGAGAAGCGCAAAGTGCCGCCAGCGGTGGTCGAGATCAGCGATGGTGGCAGCGAGGACGAGACGGCGCTCTTCATGCCTCTCGCCAATGACCCTTCGCGGCGCACAGGTGCTCCAGTCCGACGTCCCGCGCACCGGCAGCTGATCTCCCAGCAGCTGGCGGAGCGCGAGAAGGAGAGGAAGATGGCCAAGCGGAAGGGGCGTGCGGAGCAGATCGAGCTGAGGAAGAAAATGAAGTCTTTCAGGAAGGGAGAAGCGGTCGTGGTCGTCGACAAGGGTGAGATGGAGCGGACCGGATTCCTTCGCTATGACGGGTAAAGCCATATGGCAAGCCGGCAGGAACCTTACCTTGGGTATGGGGAGGTGACATCCTCGGCTACGTCATTATTGGCCGGCGACTGCGGGAGACGGAGGAGAGCTTCTTCACTTGGAGCTGTACATGTACCTTGATCGATACCCTCCACAGTACAATCCATAGTGCAATTCATAGTGCTACATGTATGCACGGTGCCCTCCAACGATATGTAAAGGAATCTGTTCCTGGACCAGCGAACGTGCTCTCAGCAGAGCAGAGGCGAAGCTAATCTCTCCGCCAAGAGAAAGCCAAGTACGCTCGCTCTGCGCGCCGCGGAAAGGTGCCAAGTCTGTGACCATCTAAGCTACACGGTGCTCTCAGCCCGACCGAGTTGGCCGGTAGGAAATCGCTAAACTAACAAAGGGAGGAGACGGGACATACCACTTGGTTTCGAACGAAACGCTTACTGTACAGGACAGGCACTGACAGGTCATACGCCTGCTAGGAATACCATACGACACCAAACCGCCTGCGCGACCCTCATTGGCTCTCCCCAGTCACCGACGCTCCCGCTTGACTGCTCTCAGCCCGGCTCAGCCAACGTTCCACGCGATAGCTGTCTTGTTTCTGGCTTCGTATCTCCCGCGACTACGAACCCGGGCGCAGCCTGGTACACTCTCGCTGTACACTCTCGCTCTCTTCTTCGACCGCCTCCCGCCACCATAGGAAAACCGCATCGCCGCTCTTTCCCGTCTACGGCTTCCCATCCACGCCCTTCCCACGTTCTCTACCCTACCACGTGTCGACCAGCTCTACGGTACCATCCCGCGCATTCGTACCGCTACCGAAACCCCGTCGATTGAGACATGTCTACAACGAACCGCGAGAACCATGAACATGGCAAGACCAGCGCAGCGGCCGAGGAACTGAAGCAGAAGCTGGGCCTGCACAGCGTACCCGCCTTCGCCCAAGATCACCTCGTCGATGCCGAGCAGACGCTCCAGCCAGTGTCTGCCCAGGCAGATGGCATCGGCAAAGGGCCTCAGGTCCTTAGCACCTCGGACAAGGTGGAAACGCTCTCAGGGCCGCTCTTGAACTTCAAGCACATGTCCCAGCAGTTCAGCGAGCGCCCAATCTGGCACGGTAGCGTCCTGATCGTCACAACGCCAGGTCAAAAGCCTGGTCAGCTGTCACTGCGTTCGTTGGGGCCAGTTGGCGGCAATGCTGCTCGTGCTTCCGAGACGCGCACTTTCACAGCCGAAAAACTGTACGAGGATCCGCGAAAGGGCTTCTGGAGGTTCTCGATCGACGCTCCATTTGAAGAGCAGGAGACAACGTGGGAGTATATAATCCCACAAATGATTTCGGCCGAGAGCAAGCAGCCGATCGACACTCCAAAGCGATTCGTTATTCCGTCAAGGCATGAGAGCATGCGTATCATGTTCCACTCTTGCAATGGCTTCAGTGTGGGGACAGACATGGAACAGTGGACTGGTCCAACCTTGTGGAATGATGTGTTGCGCGTACACAAGGAGCAACCTATTCATGTGATGGTCGGTGGTGGAGACCAGATCTACAACGACAGTGTGCGTGTGGATGGTCCTCTCAAGCCCTGGACGGACATTGCCAACCCAAAGAAACGAAGGGACTTCCCTTTCAACGAGGAAATGCGAGCAAAGTGCGACGCCTACTACTTCGACAACTACGTCAGATGGTATAACACTGAGCCTTTCCGAACTGCTAATGCGCAGATTCCTCAGATCAACATTTGGGATGACCATGACATTATCGACGGGTTTGGATCCTATACCGACCACTTCATGAAGTGCTCGGTCTTTCGTGGCATTGGAGGTGTTGCGCATAAGTACTACCTGCTCTTCCAACATCACATTCCGCCACCTCCATCCACGTACACGACAGATGCGCCGCAGACAACCAAGACGACCGGCAAGACGACTGCGGTCGACTCTATACAGATGAAGGACACTTACGTGAGGCTCCCGAAGACCGAGGACCCAAGCTTTATCGTTGGAAACAAGCCTGGTCCCTACGTTGAGGAACGGAGCCGTAACCTCTACTGCCAGCTTGGAAAGCGCATTGCTCTCGTCGGAATAGATGCTCGAACGGAGAGGACCAGACATCAGGTCAACTACCCTGAGACCTACGATCTCATCTTCCACCGTACCAGCGAGGAGCTTGCAAAGTCGAGCGGCTCCATCAAGCATTTGATTCTTCTGCTAGGAGTACCAATTGCATACCCGCGTCTGCAATGGCTGGAGAACATCTTGTCTAGTCCAATCATTGGACCCATAAAGTTCTTGAACAAAAGGTTTGGCATTGCTGGAGGAGTGTTCAACCAGTTCGATGGTGGTGTTGATTTGCTTGACGATCTCGACGACCACTACACGGCCCACCAGCACAAGAAGGAGCGCAAGAACCTCGTCTTACGACTCCAAGAGGTCGCAAAGAAGCACAATGTACGCGTTTCCATCCTTGGTGGTGACGTGCATCTTTCTGCTCTTGGCCGGTTTTACAGCAAGCCCGAGCTCAAGATCCCCGCCGAAAGAGATTGGAGGTACATGCCCAACATCATCAGCTCTGCCATCACCAATAAGCCGCCTCCTCAGGCTGTTGCGAACTTGCTTGCACGAAGGAACAAGATCCATCACCTGGACCACGAGACTGACGAGACGCTCCTCGAGCTATTTGACAAGAACCCGGGTGAGGGCCGGGAAGGCGTCAAGCCAAAGACCGCAGCGAACAATCACGCTACCATGCCTAGTCGCAACTATGCGCTGATCACAGAGTCCCACTCGCACACGAATGCTCAAGCAAACGGCGTAACGACCAACGGTGTTAATGGGGCCGTGAACGGCGAGGCTGCTGCTGCGAACACCAATGGTGACACTGCAGGCAACAGCGATTTCCAGACACCCAAGAACCCTCGCGAACCTCTCCACAAGGGCGAGGAACACGCGGGTACACAGCATGCAGCCGCCAGCGGAATCAAGAAGACAGGTCTCGCAGGCGTCGATGGCCTCGACGTCACCATCCGAGTCGAGATCCAGTCAGGTGATCCATCTGGGGAGACGGAAGGCTATGGATTCAGCATTCCCGCGCTTGAAGCTGGTGCGTACAAAGGGCAAGGAGAGAAGTGGTAGTTCCATCATTTTCAAGCCCAGCGCGCGCGAGAGAAGGAGGACTTGGCGAGTGAGGTAATATATCGGAAGAGTGATAGTCGTTGTTGTCTTTGTTGTTTCAGAGGATGAACAGCACTCGGAGAGCTTGTAGTAGTCTATACCCTGTATAATTCTTATGCTTGCACAGGAGCCTGGAGCTTGCCTTGTGAAAGGTTCGGTAATGAAGTCGATTTATCCAAGTAAATCGATTTTGGTGAGCAGATGGCTCGGTAAATGTGTGGCTTGATGGACGGACGCAATGAAGCAATGTTCTTCCTATATAGCTCTTTGAAGCCGCAATTAATTGCGTCCGAACCTCTTCTTGAGTGCTCGGTACTTAGCAGTATCCGACACAGAGCCCTTTACTTGCTCGGCCGCGCGGTAGAAATCTTCCACCTCGATCCTGCTGGCTTTGCGGTCGAAAGCCGATGCGATGGCCTCATTGATGAGCTCCTGCAAATCAGCGCCGGTGAAATCGGTGCATGAACCTCCCCGAACAATCTCCGCCATCTCCGCCGTCCATTCGCATGGCTTATTCCGTAGCAGAGCCTTCATGATACTGACGCGCTCCTCGGGTCCCGGCACGTCCACGAATAACTGGGTTCCAAACCGACCCGGACGCAGCATGGCTTCGTCGATCATGTCGGGACGATTTGTCGCTCCGACCACGTAGATGCCGGCACGGACACTGAGTCCATCGAGTTCTGTGAGGAGGGTGTTGACGACCCTCGCGCTTGCTTCGGAACCCGAGTCATCGCGCCGTGGGACGAGGGCGTCGAGCTCGTCGAAGAAGATGACGCATGGCACACTGGACCGGGCGCGGTGGAAGACTTTGCGGACGGCGGCCTCGGATTCCCCGACGAATTTGTTCAGGAGCTCGGGGCCCTTGATGGAGATGAAGTTGGCCTTGCTCTCGGCTGCGACAGCCTTGGCAAGCAATGTTTTGCCGCAACCGGGTGGTCCCCAGAGAAGCACTCCAGACGGCGAGGTACGGCCAAGGCGTTCGTATTCCTCGGGATGTTCGATCGGGTCCACAATGGCAGACGTCAATTGTTTTCGCACGATATCTAGGGCACCAATGTCCTCCCATGACACGTCGGGAATGGTCGAGAAGCCCTCGCGTTTGCTGGAAGGTGTGATTCCGGGGAGGACGTCGAGGAAGTCGTGCATGGTCAGCCGGATCTCGAACGCAGCAGGCATAGGCTCGGCTCGTAGGGCGCCTCGAGCTTTGAGGCAGCGGAACGACATGACGGCGGAGCTCTGCGAGCTTTGATGTTCGAGACCAAGCTCCACAGCTTGCCTTTTCAGAGCCGATCGATAACGTTCCATCTGGTGGGCTCCCGCCTTGCCAACGAGATCTTGCAGATCAGCACCGACAAATCCCGCGGTCATCTTTGCCAGTCTTAAGAAATCGACATCGGGGGCAAGTGGGATCTTCCGAGTCTGTCTCTGAAGTATCCGTTGTCTCACCTGTTCATTGGGAACATTAATGTTGATTTCTGTGCCAAAGCGGCCTCCTCGTCGGAGAGCCGGGTCTATGCTATCGGGCCGATTGGTGGCAGCCAAGACTATCACATGCTCATTCGCATTCTGCTGGAGCTCATCCATGCTCACGAGCAGCTGTGCCACGATTCTCTTTTCCATTTGACTTTGACTTGAGTCGCGCTTTGGTGCAATGGCATCGATTTCGTCAATGAAGATCATGCAAGGTGCGTTCTTCTTTGCCTCTTCGAAACGGTCTCTCACTCCCTTCTCCGACTCGCCACTCATGCCAGAAACAATAGACGGCCCGAGCATCTCGATGAAGGGGATTTCGAGTTCCGCAGCAACAGCGCGAGCAAGCATTGTCTTGCCACATCCCGGTGGGCCATGGAGAAGAATGCCTCGAGGTTGTGGTACATGAGTCTGTTCGTAGATGTCCGAGTATAGCAGCGGCATGAGAACGTTTCGCTCCATTTCTTGTATCACGTCGTCCATACCACCGATATCATCGAGGCTGATGTCTTGAGGCGCGTTCGTGGCGATTTTGGGACGCTTAGGCAGAGACTCCCCATTGGCCTTTCGCTTCCTTGGAGCATCTTCGCTATTGGCCGTGGGCGTCTGAACTGTTGGTGCAAGGTTCGCTCTAAGTGCTTTGTTCATCTGCTGAGCTGCCAAATCGTCTTCTGGTGGTGCGTCTTCGATCACTGCGTCCGAATCGTGTCCGTCGTCCAGAACGCCAAGAAACTCAATGACTCTTTCAATACTGGCCTCGATCACTCTCTTCGGTCTGCGCTTCAACGAAGAGTTGGATTTTTGTAATGCAGCATAAATGGCCGGAGTGTTGGCCGGGATGCCTTCGGCGAGGAATTTTTGGACGGCAATATGGACCTCGTTATCCAGGGCACCTTGGAGTCTCATCGTAGAGATCAACCTGGAACAGATTTGATTTCAAATGAAAAGATCAAGGAAAGTTGTGCTGGGGCATATCTGGTGAGCTCACACTTCCCGCTGTCGTGGAAAAAGGGTTCTGATATCGAGTGGTATACAACCTCAGGACCCAACCCCGAGATTTTCTAGCGTTGGAAGCACGTGGCATCCGAGGGCTCGGCCCGACATCTGCACGCATGACGTCCCTCAGGTCCGATCACCTACTGTGTGAGCGGCATATCCCACTCAAGTATTCCACGATGCATCAGACATGGGAAATTCGAGCAGCTCAAACAAGATCTCGGCCCAGGATAGGTTCGCGACACGGCCAGAGACACCCAGTGTAGTATCAAGGCTGATGCGTCGACAGGGCGATTCTGGACCTGAAGATCCAACGCGATAAGCTACATCAGTATCAGAAACGAATATCGATTGTAACGACTCGTGAAACCGAGATTGCACGACAATGTCTCCGAAGTGGAAATAAGCAGAAAGCCTTGCTCGCTTTACGGAGAAAGAAGTATCAGGAGTCATTGCTCGCAAAGACAGACCAGCAACTGGCACAACTGCAAGCGCTCACGAGCGATGTTGAATTCGCGCTTGTGCAGAAGGATGTGCTATTTGGATTGCAGCAAGGCACCGCAGTGCTGAAAGAGATACATAAGGAGATGGGAGGCTTAGACAAAGTAGAAATGATTTTGGGCGAGAGCGAGGAAGCGCAGGCATACCAAAAGGTGCGTTTTCTACACAACTGTGACAGACCGGCATTGGTTGATTGGACAACTTAGGAAATCAACGAGATGCTTAGTGGGAAGATGTCCAACGAGGACGAAGACGAGGTAGAGGATGAGCTTGAGGCGATGGCACGTGAGGCCGAGGCGAGGGGCACCGTGAGCCTTCCGGACGCGCCTTCAGTAACAAAGAATGAGCTCCCCGATGCCCCTCAAGAGTCTCCCGAAGAGCGTGCGAGAAGACGAAGAAGAGAGAGGGCATCAAGAGAGCAGGACTCAGAGCCAATTGCAGCATGAGCACGCATTCTCTGATCATCGTTGTGAGCAAGTATATGGCGGCCACGAGTCTTTATGATACCCGATCTGGTGAAATATCATCGATCATACACTTAAATCCAAACTTCGCGATCGATTTTGTCCCTGCCATCATGGAATGTTCGCACTCGCCCACCTACCCTTACATTCGCTTTCGGGCTTTGCCCCACATCCCCCCGTCCCCATCTCAGTTCTCAGTTCTTCACGGCCTCGCTTGGTCGCGAACAACAATGTAGAGACCAATTTCTCCTGATCAGCCACGGCTAGATCATCTACAACACAGTCCGAACATGTCGCATTGTCACGACGAGCACCACCATCACGGCCACGATCACTCCCACGGCGCACACGACCACACCGACGACCTCACCCCCGCCCTTCAAAACCACATCTACGAACAAATAGACTTCGGCGCAGTAAACACCTTGAACGAATCCGTCTCCAAATCAGGCTCACAGGTTCTCCAAAAGACATGGACGGATCGCCTCAATCCCGAGCCTGAACTCAAGAGCGACGCAGACGAGCAGCTCCTGATGCATGTCCCGTTCACGGCGCAGATCCGACTCCATAGCATTCTCATACGAACGTCGGCAACGGACTCTGCGCCCATGACGCTCAAAGTCTATGTGAACAAAGATGGGCTAGACTTCGCAACAGCGGCTGACATGCCACCAACACAGACGTTGGAGCTGGCTCAGTCGAATGAAGTGCAGGAAGTGCCGGTCAAGAGAGCTCTGTTCAATACTGTCCGAAGTCTCGACCTGTTCTTTGAGGATAACTGGGGCCAGGGCGAGGAGGATGAGACACGAATAAGCTATTTGGGCTTCAAGGGGGAGTGGATGAAGCTGTCGAGAGAACCCGTGAATTTCTTGTACGAGGCGGCTGCGAATCCGGGAGATCACAAGCTTGCTTCTGGAGTTGGAGAAAGGCTGGGCAGCGATATTGGTGGCGCTGGAGGCGGAGGACGACACGGTCTGTGAGAATGCTGAATTGTGGAGGGAGAGGGTAGGAGTACAGCTCGCGACACCGTGCCGGAGTTGGCTTGATTCACAGGCCAAAAACTATCCATGGTAACAGAGAAGCCTTCTCATGACTTCTTACCACTGAGAATCTCTTCTGCAGCCTTGTCACGCACCCCACCACTGTTCTCACTCTCCTGCGGTTTGAGGTCGCCCGCGGTACCAGCACTAGCACTGTTTTTGGCGGACTCTTTCAGTCGCTCAGTATCCTCTTTCCGCAGGTCATCGCCTTTCTCCTTATCCTCATCGTCATCACCAAGCGAGAAGGGGTCGTTGTCATCTTCGGGGTGTGGTGCTACGCTGGTCAGAGGCTGCCACTTCTTGTTCTTTTCCGCTTCGGAAGCGTCCTTGCTCGAGGACCGTCGATCGGCAGCGTCAACCTCGTCCACAGGTCCACTCTGCGGTGGCTTTACATCTGACTTGAACAGGTCAGGATTTGCACTCTTCCTGCTGCTTGTGCGAGGAGGCTGAGGTGGAGCTGGAAGCGTGTCAGTAATCCCATTCGTGAACTGAGTCTTAGATTTGCACGTACGGGCTTCGTCATCCCTAAGCTCTAGGCGCTCAAACTCCTCCGGGCCGAGCTCATGGGGGTCTGCATCGTAGCGCTGCGCCTCAGTGCTCCTCCGTGCTTGTTCGGCAGACCTCCTGATGCCGTGCATCTGCTCACTCTGACTGGGGCCAAAGTTCTTCCTGCCGCCCAAACCACCAGTGTTTTGTCTTGAGCCGGCCTCTGATGACGAGTACAGATCATCCTCTTCGTCCTCACCGTCAATCTTCTTCTTGAAATTCGTGATCCAGCTGTTCACGCGCTTTTGCGTCTCCAGAAAGCCTTGCTGGATATTCTTTCCGATCTCTGGAAGGTCGTCGTCGAAGAAGCTTCGCTCCTTGTCCTCATCGTCGACATAAGTCTGCTGATTCGGACCGCGGCGACCAGGTTCGCGCTGGTTGTAACGGTTTTGCGATCTCTGCCCACCACTATTGTATTGCTCTGCGAGCTGTCGCGCGTACATCTCGTCTGCTTCTAACTGGCTCATAGGCTGCTGCTGACGCATGGCTGGGCGGGGCGGTTGTGGAGGCGCAGGTAAAGCTTCTTCTGGCTTGAAATCGGGATCTGACATACCAAGGAGAGCATTGAAGGCAGGCTCAACTTTGCCGTTGCTGGCCATGAGTACAGCCTTGACGACCTTGGTATCGATAGAAGGGAATGCTTCGATGAGAGTGTTCTCGGCTTGTTGCGCTGGGCTCAAGGGTCTTGGAGGCTTCGCGGGTGGAATCTCCTCATGGCCTTCCTGAAACGACACTCGCGGCCGTGGAGATGACGACTTCGCAGGCGGTCTCGTAGAAGTCTCGTGGCCCTGTGGAGAGACGGTGCCAGTCTCCTGCTCGTTGTCATCAAAATCCATCTCTTCTCTGGTGGTTGCGGATTCTTCAGGCTTGATAGGAGACACTGGCTGATGATCTGCCATGGTCGAGGTTGTTGCTGGAGCTGGAAGTTTGTTGCCAGCAAATAAGTGGGTGGGCAAGAAGTTTTCGAGTGAAGCCGGTCGTTTGGTAGAGATGCTAGAAGTGTTGCCTGTTCAGCTTCGCCTGGTGACGACAGCTGCTGGCTTGGCGGCTTTCTGTCACGAGCCATTTCCAGACTAGCGGCTCTGCTCGAACTTCCAACAACATCGGTCCAGAAAAGAATACATGCACCATGGGCAGCCCACGGATTGAGGCAGATATGGACAGAAATGCGCACGTATGAAGCTCAAACCGTGCTAAATACGTCTGATTTCGCATCGCCCAAATGGCGGACCTCGAGTCTTTCATACCCGCGCTTCATAAGCCAACTTCGCTTTTGCCGATTGCCCGTCACAAGGATGCTCTTCTCTACACGATCGAGCAGCATCCCGTTACCGTCTTGATTGGACAGACGGGCAGCGGCAAAACGACACAGATCCCACAGTATCTGGAGCAAGCTGGATGGTGCAACGATGGCAAGATCATTGCCGTCACTCAAGCATGTCTGCACTGTTCCCAATATAAGTTGATGATGGTTGACGGCTTCTTACAGGCGCATCATAGCCACGGAGAGTGGCCGCGACAACGGTGGCCAAGCGAGTGGCCGAAGAGATGAGATGCCAGTTGGGACAAGAGGTCGGCTATTCAATTCGATTCGAAGACGCCACCTCTGCTTCCACCCGGATCAAATTTCTCACAGACGGTCTGCTCCTTCGAGAGGCCCTTGTGGACCCTCTGCTCTCCCGATACAGCATTATCATGGTCGATGAAGCGCACGAGCGCAGTCTGAGTTCGGACGTACTGCTGGGTCTCCTGAAGAAGATTCGAAAGCGTCGAGCAGACCTGAAAATAGTTGTCAGCTCTGCCACTCTGCAAGCCGAAGACTTCTCAAGATTCTTCGCCGACAGTCAACCAGCGGCAGATAACATTGAGGACAGCTCTGCCCACATCGTCAGCGTGGAAGGTCGAGCTTATCCCGTGGACATCCACTATCTGACCGATCCGTGTGAAGACTATCTGGAAAGAGCCGTCAAGACAATCTTTGAGATTCATTCTTCTGAATCCGATGGCGATATACTGGTCTTTCTCACAGGCAGAGAGGAGATCGAGACCGTCATGGAGATGATTGCCGACCGTCTGCCTTCTCTGCCATCTGGACTCCAAAAGATGCTACCGCTTCCTCTTTTTGCAGGCCTGACCACGGAGCAGCAGATGTACGTGTTCGAGCCAGCACCAGAGGATACGCGCAAGATAATATGCGCGACCAACATTGCCGAGGCCAGCGTCACCATCGATGGCATCATCTATGTGATCGACAGCGGCTTCGTCAAGCTAAGGGCATACAATCCCACCTCTGGCATCGAGACACTCGCTGCTACTCCGGTCTCGAAGGCTTCTGCCACACAACGCGCCGGGAGAGCAGGACGGACGAAACCAGGGAAGTGCTATCGTCTCTACACGGAAGCCGATTTCCACTCTCTGTCTGATGCCACAGTACCGGAAATCCAACGCTCAAACCTGGCACCTACCATTCTCCAGCTCAAAGCGCTGGGAATAGACAACATAGCCCGTTTCGACTTCATCACTCCGCCACCGGCAGAGCTCATCATTCGAGCCCTGGAGCTACTCTACTCCCTTGGCGCACTGGACGACTATGCCAAGCTGACCAAACCCGTGGGCACAAGGATGGCCGAGCTTGCACTGGAGCCCATGCTGGCCAAATGCCTCCTCTCCGCACCAGACTTTGGCTGTCTCTCCGAGCTGCTGTCTATCGCGGCAATGGTGAGCTTGCAAGGCAACGTGTGGTTCTCCCACGACACGAAGAAAGCGGAAGAGACCGCGCGGAGGAAATTCGCCGTCGAGGAGGGAGACCATCTCACTCTGTTGAACGTCTATCAAGCATTCGTCACCAAGGGCAAGAAGGACTCCAAATGGTGTCAACAGAATTACCTCAATTTCAAGTCCATGAGTCGAGCCGTCAGTATCCGAAACCAGCTCCGGCGATACCTCGAGCGCTTCGGCATGGACGTGAGCGAGTCACTGAGCGGCAACGACGTTCTCCGCGCGGGCGGCAGGCCCAAGGAAGAGTCCATTCGGCGTTGTCTCACGAGTGGCTTCTTCGCTCACGCGGCTCGCATGATGCCCGACGGTACTTTCAAGACGGTCGATGGTGGCACCACCTTGCATGCGCATCCATCGAGTTTGATGTTCAATCGCAAGGCGGATTGGGTCATCTTTACCGAAGTCATGGAGACGGGCGACAAGACGTTCATCAGGGACGTGACCAAGGTGGAAAAGGCGTGGCTGCTCGAATACGCTCCGGAGTACTATAGAATCAAGCAGTAATGCGCACGCATGCACGTGTCTTTCTCCGCTGGTGTGAAGATGCTTGGCCATGCGTTGTCGCCTTCTATTTTTCTCCTATTACTCTGTCTTCCATTACGTTGTATCAGCTCCCGGGGTCAGTCTACCGAATCTCAGCTTTTCAGCCAGCTGGCAGACCCGTGAGCATGCACTGCATAAGTTGCATATTGGCCCATGTCGCACGTTCGGGACCACTGTCCGCGACAAACCTCAAAACCATTTCAGCCTCGTGAATTCAAAGGTGCTCTAGAGTAATAGCATGGTCGATCGATTGGGCAATTCTTTCAACTAACAGCCTTGCCTCTACGGCTCTCATCTGAACCACCAGTTCACTGAGCCGGTCATGCCGTGACCGATGCCCTTGACGCTATGCCACCAGCCCTTGGGAATGAACAAAGCGTCTCCGCTGCGAAGCTCAGTCTCCCAAACGACCTGATTCGTACCATCATCGCTCTCGCTCCACACTTCGTCTTCCAAAGCCTTCTTTTCACTGCCCTGCATCATTTCCTCACCCCGCATCGTGGCGGAAGCAGTCCCACCAATCCTCTCTTGCACTTTTGCAAAAATGCCCTGTCCGACCTCCGGTCTGCACAGTCTCACAATCTTCCTTCCAGCAAGCTGCACGAAGAGATTGGGATTCGGATCCCGGTGCAAGGGCGTGTAGGTGGGTGCCTGTCCCAACCAGATCGAAGAACCGTAGATATCTCCCTTGCCCGCCTTGAGCACCAATTCGGGCGTGGGAACGTCCTGCGCGAGAGCACGGGGGAGATCGGCAATGGGTGCCTGGGCGAGGTAGACTTGAGCCGTGGGCGTGGACAAGGACGGGGAGGAGGTAGAAGAAGCACTGGTGAAGAAATCGTTAGATGTGGCAGTCTTTCGCATCGCGCGTGCCCCGGGCACGTAGGAGCTGAAATATCGATTGCGCGAAGCTTTTGTGTTGTAGCGGGAGGTGGAAGCCTGGACGCACTCTAGGAAGAAGCTGAGGGATTGCTCGATTCGAGCGAATCGGTCGGCATTGCTTATCTCCAAGGGAACGATGGTGGCGCCGAATCTAGAGAGATACGCGGTGTTGAGGATAAACGTCCTGCTCTTGCTATACTCTCCCCTCGTGAACCACTTCTGTGCTGCTGGTAGGTCGCGGAAGTGCTTGAGAGGGAGGCGGGCGGGCGTTGCGGCATCGAAGGCCTCTATGCGAAATGTGTCCAAGGAGGCATCGCGGAGGGTGGGAACGGGAACGGGGCGTGGGCCGTGGTCGCTTGCGAGGAATCTACATTGCGTCTTGGAGACTGTCGCGATGCGCCTGCAGAGCATCAGCGTGGCGTTGAGAGCGGCGAAGGAGTCTTGTCAGTAGTAGATTGAAGCGATGCCATGTGATTGACGTGAGGATGCTTCGGGGATGGACGGAGGACGGGGGACGGAGGAGGGGCACGCCGCTAAGCCTGATCCGTCGCTGTATGAGAGATGAGCAGTCTTTCCATGGATCTTTCTGGAGAAGAGACATATTCCATGCTGCAGGAGAGACATCCCCTCGCCAGCATGTGACAATCGCCATGAGCCCGTCGAAGCAAGAAATCCTCCACGCCTACCGCCATCTCTACCAGCACGCCCTCCGCGCCGTGCAATACTCCACACCAGCCCGCTACAATGTACGAAACCATCTCCGCGCCGCCTTCCGCTCCTCCCCCATCGAATCCTTCGACTCCAAGAAGATCGCAACGACCCTGCAATTCCTCCATGGCGCGGCGAAATACAAAGGTCTCGAGCACAAGATCGTCAAGGGCTTGATGCACGTCTGGTGGGATCGCCACCGTCCGTCTATCAAACCGCAGTATGTCCCGCCATCAAAACGTTGCCCCCCCCCTCCTCCCCTTGACTTTCCACGGACCCGGGACAAAGCTGATGATGATTTTTTGAAGCCCGGGCAAAAGTATTAGACTTCCCACCGAGGCTCTACGACGCAGTGCGTATGCCAATTTTGATCGGACGCTGGAGAAATTGAACGAGACGATGGGGATGTGCATCAAGTGAGCACATGCTCCTCGCTTCCTACCTATCAAACCAGCCGATGGGTCTTGAGAAGGTGCATGCTCGGATTTTCCAAAGACGTGGTCTTGGCCTGTGATGCAAGTTGAGGATCAAGTGCTTCACCGTTCCTGCGTGCCAGGCTGTCGAGATTTGAGGCGAAGAGCGATGAAGATCCGCTTCCAGGGCTCTTGACGTGCCGGGTTTGCAAGGACTGAGGGCGCCAGTGCAAACCTAGGCGAGGCAACTTGATGGTACGGGGCTTACACTGATAGAGCACTCAAGCTGAGCGTTGAGCTTCTCCCGGCAGAACTGTCCTGTTACAGAGACTGAGTGACTAGTCGAGGATTGGAAATGGAAGCAGGCTCGCGGGCAAGAGACCATGTAATGAGGAAGGAATGTTGAACTGGAAATACTGGCTTGCTTTTCCCCCTGCGTGGTAGCTATCTGCGCCGTTGAGGTTGTCTGTCTGCACGTCTACCTGCACGTCCCAACACTACCCCTATAACATGAGCTGTCCAAGATTACTTCGTCGCCACAGAACAATCGTTCGAAAGGCCGTAACAAACAAACATCTATCTCCTGAAACTTTTTGGTATCTTTCTTCACGCCAGACGCCGTCGCTCATGTTGAATGAAGCACTCAGATCGGGGGGTATATCTCGTACTATGCAGCACACACACTTCTTCTACTTTGACTTCTTGCCCGCCTTCTGCTCCCGCTCTCTCCTCGCGTAGATCTCCGACGTGAACGGGTCCTCGAAGCCGAGCGCAATCTGGTAGACCAGCAAGACCAGTCCGCTGAGCACAAAGCCCGCCGGCTTGCCGTACCAGAACGACGTGCCCAGAAAGCTCATGAAGCTGCCGTAGTACATGGGCGAGCCGGTGACGTTGAAGGGGAACCCCGTCACCATGTGGTCCATGAGGATGCCAAAGTAATCGCCCAGGTACGTGCCCGTGACGCCGAGCGCCCACATACTGCTGAGGACGAGGACGTTGCCGCTGGCCACCAGGCCCACGGCGAGTGCCTGGGGCACGAAGCCCAGCAGCATGGGATGCGAGGGCTGCGCGCGGAGGGCGCGCTCGAACAGGGCATCCCGGATGAGGCCGATGGAGAAGATGGTGACGGCGAGCGCGTAGCAGCCGTAGTACGGATTCCCGCCGGCGAGCTTCGTGATCGTCTTGTACTTGTATTCGGTCCTGGCGGCAATGTTCCAGAAGGTCGGGTTGAAGATGATGGATCCCGCGGCAACTGCACAGATCGTTAGCGGGAGGCTCTGCTTCGTGTGCAGCTCTCTTTCTTTCTCTCACTCACTCCAGAAGCTTGGCTGGCTCAAGTCGATGTAGCTGGTGAGTGAGGCCATCGTCGTGGGAGTGGGGGGAGGGTTGGGTTCGTCCGGATTGGGGGAGAGAGAGAGGCTCAAGCTGAGGGTGCAGTCAAAATTTGGAGCATTGAGGACTGGCGGCTACGTCAATAAAGGAAGTTGTGGGAGCTCCAAACCGAAGCAAGCTCCAACGAGCAACGAGGGGCACGCCCGCTCGCTTCGGAAAGTATCGGCATTTGGCGAGAGGCGGATAGCCGAAGTAACGACGTCCAGCATGTATACAACACGTGACAAGGTAAATAAATGGGTTCACTGTGAAAGAAGAAGAAATCATGAGACAACGGCGTGGTAAAGCAAAGGCCAATCGTTAATTCGTTGCGTCAAGCCATGTGTGCTGTGTCCTGTGCATCCCAATTCGTTACCCGATCCGTTACATGTCCTACTCTTCACAGCGCGTTGCTGGCACACGTAAAGGGCCCGCCAAAGTTGTTGGATTCATATCCCTGGATGATACTCTCCACTGATGCATACGTTCCTGCACTCAAGAACAAGAACCCGATGGCAATCAGGATGCTGTTGATCACCGCCCCGACGAATCCCTTCACTCCGCGAGTCTTCCAGAAGCCGCTCCCGTAATCGGCCTGTCTCATCCGGTGATATGCTGTGCCCCAGAAGATGAAGCCGAAGAAGCTGTCGAAGAGCGAGCTCATGAGAGACAGGAGGTCGCTAAAGAAGGGAATCACTTCGGCAATGATGAAGGCAACGACCCAGGTACAACCAAGGATAGCGGCCCATGCAGCCCAACCCGCTACGGTGTTGCTACTCATGTGGCGGGATCCAGCGAACAGACGGAAGAAGACGAAGCGCGAAGAGACCGAGGCATACAGGACTCCCAAGAAGATCATGGTGGGGATCATGAAGCTGAAGCTGACCTTCAGATACAATTCGTTTCCAAGCGAGCCAAAGGCGGGCGCCGTGTTGTAGTTCGTTCCAGTGTAGGCGTAGATGATGGAGCCCACCAAGGAAAAGAGGATGACCTCGGCAATCGTGACGGCCCACAACGCCTTGGGAAAGTCCTTGGGCTCCCTCATCTCGGCAATGAAGGACGGAATCGTGATCTGTCCGATGAATGTGTAGCTAATGTTCATGAATGCGTTCATTCCAGCGACGAAGGTCGTGCCCGCTGGCGGAATTGCGAAGACGGTAGGCGCGCCAAGAGCAGGCCACTTGCTGCCTGGCACACCTCCCGGGTGGTCTTCGATGGCTGCAAAGATGGTAGCCAGGAGGACTGAGACGAAAGTGAAGAAGGCAGAAGCGGCCGCAAGCTTTGCCAGCGTGTTGAAGGTTCGAGGGAGCGAGCAGACCCAGGAGATGACAGCCACGATGGCACTCCAGGCAATAGTGCAGAGACCACCGTTGGTCATGGTGTTTAGGTACTTGGAACCCGTCAAACAATGGAAGCCTTGGATAAAGGTGTTGTTGAGCAGGAACATGACGGCCGTGAACCACCACGCCCATCTGCTTCCCCAAAAGATGACTTGGCCGACATCACAGACGTCCTTGACCTCAGGATGGCGCATGCAGAATTCCCTTTGCGATAGAGTCAGGTTTGGAGCGATTCAATGCGTTCCGCGAGACTTACCAGACAATGAGAGAGGTGTAGAGCACCATGCCTGCCACGACGAAGGTGAGGATGATACCCGGCACGAGACCAAGGACGGAATACGAGTACGGGAAGGACATGATGGCCAAGCAAATGTACTCGGAGAACAACAGAGCCGCAGTCTAGAAGCGTGATTAGAGCCGAACTCTCAACAGCGATGTTCTGCGCAAAACATCATGCAGGGATCCTGTGATTTGTGAAGGATTGCGACATAAGCGCGAGGTCATCGGAATGAGCTCAGGGAAGTCGCAAATGCTAGCAGCACGAGCGCGGAGAAGCTGCAGTGAAGAGAAAGAGGAATCATACCTTCTGCCAACTGCACGTCCTGTACTGAATGGCATTGCCCTTCTCCGACTCCATCTGCTTTGCGATGGAAGTGGAGGGGTCGGAGGCATCGTCCTCAAGGCCCCTGCCGGTGACAGAAGCGGTGATGGATCTGGTCCTGGGCTGGTCGATGCGACTCATCTTGCGAGGCGCAGGCATCCCGCCAGCTTCGGCCCTCTCGGGGGAGGTGGAGAAGTCGGCATAGTAGTCCTTGTCGCCAAAGGCGGCCTTCTCATTGCCCGCAGGCTGATTCTGTTCGCCACGAAATAGAGGCATGGTGTCGATGTAGATGTAGATGTAGATCTAGGCGGCGGGACCGGCGAAGGAACCCAGATAGTGAAAGAAGGTGTCGAAGGCGGAAATCTGGAGCATTTAATTGTTACTCGAGATGGATGAACGCAGCTCGCGAGGGACGGGTTGATGTTGGAGCAGCAGTGGGTGTCGCACTCTGGGGTGCAAGTGACGGGAGGAGGATGAGAAGGATGAAGTGGTGTGTGGTGGTGGTGGAGGCAAGTAGTGTGGTTGTTGCAACATATAACGTGAAGAAGCCGAAGTGGGAGCGGGCAGTGGGTGGTGGGATCACGGGATGACCGATGGCCGATGGGTGAGGATGGACGCGGGCATCTCCACTACGATGAAAAAAGCCAAATGCTCGCCTGGCACTGACAGCCCTATCCCGTCGCGTCTAGATTCAAGCTTCCCACCCACTTCACTCTTCATGGCTCCGTGGCGTGGGTGAGTCGATATTTCTTTCATACCTTGTGAATGGACACCAACGTGACTTCTGCATCCACCCTAACTGGGACAATTCGTCCTCATCCCAACTCCACCATGCTCGAGAAGGGTAAACAAATCTTGCTCTTGCTATCGCCGCATCGCAAAGACCCGGTGCAAGAGCGGGACACTGCCGTCATGTGGCGGCGCCGCGAGTACAAGGCCCATGTACGCACTCCTTCGCCTCGTCCATATCACGTGCTGATTCCAGCTATTCCGTCACTTCATCAGACTGCCAGTGGAATGGCTTCTCGTGACTTAGTAATGATCTTTTCCAGCGCTCGGCTCGGATCTTCCACTTGGTGAACGTTGCCACGCCCGTCTGCGCCTGCTCCACACTCAGCCGTCTCCTCAATCAATGCTCCATCGCCTGCTAAACTCCATCTGCCTTTCTGATTGTCGTCGCACACGAACCAGCACGCTGCTCGGATCACCCTCAGAACCACCTCCACCTCCTCGTCGTTCTGCGGAGCATACAGCATGATGAAGCCCCGAGGCAGAAATTGGTCGTAGAAAACGCCCGCGAGAGGATGTCTCTCTCCCCATCCGCATTCGAGAACCATGTTGGCATCGGCTGGATGCAGTGTCATATGCTGCACACCGAATCGTCAGCCTTCTTTCGCACTGTTAAGCTTCCGCAGCATCAGGGACGAGAAGAACAATGCAGACGCACCATGGACCCATCAGAAGGATGTACATGAATCACCTCTCCCCTACACGTCTGGTTTGCGGGACACGTCGAAAAGAGCCCCGTTCCATGCTTCTCGAAACACGAGGTGCCGATCACCAGATCGTACTCTTTCCCGGGCGCAAGACTCTTGATCCTCTCGGCGAGATTGTAGAATACCTGCTTGGATGCGCGTTGCTCGACCTGTCGGTGTGGTGCAATCCCTCGCGTCCTGGGCCGTGGCCATTGCCGCTTTGGCAGCTCCTTCAGACATCCGCGTGCGCACTTGAGCTCGGCCGGAGTGGAGATGGCAGCGGCGTAGGGGTCTTTCAATGCGAACAGTCCGAGGAACTTGATTCGGAGATATCCTCTGAATGTCTGAGGTGTGCCTCCCGGGCCGAGAGAGAGCTGAGGCCCGTCGATTAGTTCATTGTGAAATTTGCCATCCAGGGAGCGCTTACGAAGTCCTGGTAGTCTTTGCGGATCGAGAAGGCCACGGGGAGGACTGCGGCTGTGATCAAGAGGCAAGCAAACATTCGTGCAAATAGTGAAGTTGCAGCCTGGCTGATGATGCCCGTAGCAAGGACATTCATGATCATGTCTTCTTCCGCTACCTTGCGGCAACTCTTGCTTCGTGCTTGTCGAAAGTGAGATTGTCTCGCGAAAGCAATGTCGGTCTCGACGGTGTGATGTGGTGCCCGGTAAGTGTCCAGGTGTCCAATGAATAAGTCAATTTCAATTACCACTTTTTCAATTTCGAAGAGGCAGGCACGTTTTGGCAGTTTCCCCCAAAGGGATAATGCGTTCTCGCCCGAAGACGTTCCGGTGATCCAACAGTTACATCACTTTGCGCCGCCTACGGCGGTTAGGGAAGTGCTACGAATAGCCCGAGCACTGCATGTGCATGTCTTCAGTGACACTTCTCATTAGTCTTTGCCAGACATGTCGTCCTCTGCGCTCACCTCCAGCCGTGTCATCCCCCGTGGTGCGGCAGCCTGCAGTGACAGTTCGTCAATGGTGACACGCGAAATCCTCACCCACATGAACATGGAAAAACGGCAGGCGCAGAGTAACCAACACGCGACCTCCTTCCAAGGAAGGCACACTTTGTTTGACTTGGCGGAACCCTCCTTCTACAACTTCGTACTCTTGACGAGCCTCTTCTTGATACCTGTAAGCTCTCCGCCATATCCTCCCCGACCCTCGCCGCCTTTGTACACCGGTTTCATCGATGCCAGTTTCTTCTTCTTCTCGTCATACTTCTTCCTCTTCTTCACGCGAGGATTGCGGACATCCTTCTTGCGATGAGGCGTCAGGCCCTTGTTCTTCTCAATGGCGTATGAGATCTTGCGCTTCCCGTCCGCTCCAACGCTTTCCTCTTGTATCACTTGACCGCCTTGCAGAGCGGCCTGCCTTTGGGCTTCTGCAAATGATGCCTTGCCCCCCTTCTTTTTGGCAGCACGCGCCGCGACTAAGTCGTAGTAATCATCTTCATCCGCATCTGCACGGATTTGTTGGGCTTGTCGACGGTCTTCCTCGTCGCTGTCACCACCCAGCTCGGCGCCGATGTCTGCTCGCCCTTTTCCGCGCTTCTCGGCCTCGGCGTTGAGGCGGGCTTGACGATCCCTCAAACGCTCTCGGTATGGAATATCGTCGTCGCCCCCAGCATTGCGTCCGGCCGTGCTGCGCTTGTTGGCCTTCTGCGCTATCTGCGAAGTGTAGAAACGGAGGCTCTTCTTTCGATTGGCCTTGTCCGCGGCCTCTTGAGCTGTGAGCGGCGCTTCCTCGCCCAAATCAGAATCATCGTCTCCGGCGCGCGTTGCAGTTGCACCTCGCGACTTAGACGTCTTCCTAACAGGCTGCGAGAGCAGAGCATCCAGATCTGCAAATTCGGCTTCGGTTCGCTTCATACGTTCGGCCTTTCTCTCTGCGGCCGCCGCCCTCACGGCTTCGGCGTGACGCTCTGCACGTGTCTGCTTCGTCTGTGTATTACGCAGATCTTCCTCCACGTCGGCTTGCGGCGATCTGTCAGCAACCTCTGCGTCGGATTCATCGTCTGTTTCCGGAGCCAACTCCTCAGGAAGTTGCTGCACATTCGTCCAAAGTTCACGGCACTTGACAAGACTGTCCATAACAGGATGGTCACGTATTTGGGCCGCAGACATTGCTGTTGCAACTTGACCGTCTTTGGAGGCTGTAGACGTAAGGAGGGAGAAGTACATGGCCAAAGCTCCAATGTAGGCTGCAAGTGCTCGTAGCTTGATCTGGACTGATGGAGAAGAGCCGGACACGGTCTGTAAAGAAGCATATCTCTCTTGAAGAGACAGAAAGTCCTTGCTTAGGGGCTCGAATTCAGGGTAGCGTGATTTCAGGAGCTTCAATCGTTCCGCCGGTCCAAGATCTGGAGCAATTTGCAGTTGTGGCAGCACCTCTGTAACAACAGCGTCTCCTCCCTGCACGGCATCGGGCTTCAACTCGCCTTGCTGCCAGTCGTCCTCGTCGAAGCCATAATCTGTAGTGTTCATCGACTCGAGCTGCTTCTTCTGTAGTCTGCGGGCCTCTGCCTCTTCCTCCAGAGCCTGTTCTTCTGTCTCGATCTCATCCACGCCGTACAAATCGGCTTTAGATGTGCCCCATCCGACCGCATCCTCCTCCTCGTCAGCCCTCTCGCGCTCTCCATCGGCCTCGTCGGAGTCTTCTGCCTGAACTCGATTTCGAACGGTCCGCTCTCCGTCGTCTTCATCGTCTGACTGGTCTTCATCTTCCGAATAGCCAAGAACCTCGTCGTCGGAAGGCTGGAGGAACTCCTCTTGCTCTGCCCGTTTGCGTCGTCGCTTTGCCTCTGGTTCCTCGCCGAGTCGAATCTCGTCTTGATTTCGATGGAACTCATCATCTGAGTCTGCGACATCTTCGAATGTTCTGATCTTTTTGCGGGACTCGCGGGAGTCCAGCTCAGGATCTGTCTCTTCCCCAAGAGCGCGCTTTGGCGCCTTGCGTTTCTTGACCATTGTGATTCCCAGCTCCGAGCTCCACGCAATCGCAAATGGGCGACGAGAGAAGTGCGATGGGGAGGCAAGAAAAAGTTCAAGGGCCCTCGCTCATCGGCAGCCCGGAGCGAAGGCCCACAGCGGACGGGCCGCTGTCGCTTCGCTTCGCTTCGCCCCGTCCCTCCGCTCCGCTCCGAACCGGTTGGTTTTCTTCGCCGCCACCGATTTTGCAGCTTCCTGCATCTTTTATCGGTTGTCTCATGTTGACAGTCCCCTCGACGCGCTGGGGTCGAGATCAGTCTAGCGATCGCCTGTTCCGCGCCCAGCACACTGTGGAGCGCTGTCCATCGGAGCCTCGTGTGGTGTCGCGACACTCTACCGGCTCCTCCAGTGTCACCTCCCTTGTCTCTTGTTATGCACGTCCAGTCGGATTCGTCGCCCAACAGCGACATGTGCGCGCTTCCTTCCACCTTGTTGTCCGTCGCATCAGACAATCTTTGCACGTGTTGGGCTGTGCTTCATCATTTCTCCCAAACTGCTGCCCGCCCACTGCTCATCGTTTCGCGGCCTGACCAACTATAACGTAGCCGTCCCCAGCATCCGCAAGACTAAGCTACAAGACCTGGTTGCTTATCCTCCGTGGATTGGCTTGCTATGACCTGTTAGGCATACATGCCGACCCTACTCCTCACTCGAATCCGCCCGGACCCCCCCGCCAATTACCGCGTGGCCCAAGAAGGCTCCAACGGTCCGGAATTCGTCCACTCTCGCTCACGGTGATTGTTGCGTACCACTGACTCTCACTACCAACCTCTGTCCGTTGCCGGGATCGCGCAAAGTGTGGGAGAGACGTCAAGGACAACATCGGCGGAACGATCCTTCGACATGACAGGTGCTTCGCTGACGTCGGGAGATCCAGCACTACGGTGTAACTCCATACCAAGTCGGCCCGGTTCCGTGACATCAGCTCACACAACGGACGAGGGCTCAAAAGGCTCCTCCAAAAGATGGAAACCAACATGGCGGCTGAGCACAAGTGGGAAGAGTAGTGAGCAATCGTCTTCGTCTACCTTGAGCCGAAAACTTTCATCGTCCACCACTGCGTCTTCCCGGTACTCATCGGCAAGCGCTAAGTCTTCGGTTTCAGCAGAATCGTCCAGGACTTCGGATGGAAAGCGACTTCTAGGCAAGGAAACCAAAGGTCCAACCACCATCGAATCCTCCCTTTCGGCTTTCGAGACCGCGAGCGACGCTACCTTGGCACTGCAATCATTAACAACAACTGTTCCGGGAGATGACAAAGACGTTGGAGATGGAAGATGTGACGAGATTTCCCCATCTACTTCGCGAGGCGCTTCGGAGCTTGCAAACAAGAGTTTACCTTCAATGCTCAGACGGAGCGAGTCCAGAGCGAGATCGACAGGATCAAAGCTGTCAGCTATTCAAAGAGACGCCACTGCAAACTTTGCGGAAATCGAGCTGGTCGGTCGAGAATATCAAGGCTATTGGCGTGCGACATTCACGGCGCGTGTACCTCCCGCAGCTGCGCTTTGTGGGTGCATGTTACTCACTGCTCGGCTTCCCGCTCGCGACAGTGGATTGACCACTATCTCAGTGAATCCAGAGTCAACGGTATGGGCAGGCTCTCTCTGCGAGTGGCTCGGAGAGGCTGAAACACCCGACGCAGCGCTCCAGATCCTGCAGAAGAGTAGTTTCGAGACAATTGTGCTGGCGATAAGGTCAAGCTTCAATTCGGGAGGGATGCCGACAATACCCGACAAGATTGCTTGGACGATGTACCAGAAGGTCGCAGAAGTCAAGAACCATCCGGAGAAGCTGTCTGACCTATGGGGACACATTTCTAAGCTCTTGAAAAAGGTACCAGAAGACATTATGTGCATAATCATGTTCTTCCTCACCATTGCGCGGAGGTTGCAGAGCAGAGGTGTCACCATCGAGGATCGACCGCCTGCCGTGTTCCTCCTGAAGGACTTCTTCCCTCGCTATGTTGGGGAAGACATGTCGAAATTATTACTCAAGAACTTCGAGCATATTCCGCCCGATCTACCTTTGACTCTGAGGGCTGTCAACTACAAGCTAGGAAGCCGTCGGTGTAACGTGCTTGCCCTCGTCTCTAGCCAAAAGATTGTCCCAGCGAGTGGCGCTCGAGAGATTCGAGCCCCTGAGGAAAGACAACCAGAATGGTAGACGTCAGATCTATGTACTCTTTTCCAGGGCCTTGCTTGCCATAGATGCCTCTGTGGAAGCTAGGGAATCAGCCTTCTACGCGAACGCCAGCGTTCAAAAGATCTGCTGATCTTCAAGCGTGTCTGCTGGCGGTCTCGATGCGGAATACTGCTTTCCGTGGATCCAAAACATACAGATACATTGCCATTTGGTCAGATCCTGCCGACGAGGCCGCTGGAGCGAAAGCCGAACATTGTTGGACAGCGATAGAGCAGAAGTGGAATAAATCGGAATGCTTTCACCGCGGGTATGTCTAGTCATCAGGACTGTAGAATGGACGGAGCTCTATACCCCAAGGATATTGCAATCAGGCCGGGTCGACCACAAGCGTGTGTATCGCAGCAGCTGCCATGGCAAAGCTTGCAACACCTGCTGTAGCAAGATCAACGAAATACGAGTGACGGGAGCGCTACGACCGCGATAATGTCTAGATTATGAGATACCAATGAACCGAGGCATGAAGAGATAGGATCTAGTAGTACCTTTATCTTACTTTATTACCTTCGTTCTACGGAAGACTGAAATGTTTCGCTATCTAGTTGTTCGTCCTAACAAAGTCTAATCGAATAGATAAGTGTATATCTAGTAAGTGTTTCTAAACCATATTACCAGAGGGAGATATATTAATAGTAGTATATATCTTCTATGTCGCCTACCTACCTAGGTACCGCGCTTGGGTCCCGTCCCTTCTAGAGTTTCCTTCTCTCTGTGCTCCCCTTCTCCTTCCACGAGTATAGCCGCCCGACGCCCGATCCTTTTGATCTACCCACACATGACATTGCAGGCTGATGGAATCGATGAACCGACGGCGCTGTGGGTCCTGCAGCGGCCTGGCAGGACCTGTGAAGAGGCCGGAAACAAATCCGCTGGCCGAATCACTTCATCCGCCGTACAGATCAACTCATGCCGAGCTCGGTGGCAGACGAAGAACCTCTTCCTCATTTTCCAAAAAAAAAAAAAAAAAAAAAAAAAAAAAAAAAAAAAAAAAAATCTGTAAGGATCTCTCACTGTAGATACACCAAGTGAATACTACAAAGAGCATCGCATCCACGATGAACCACCCCGAAAGCAAGAAGCCTACCGTCCTCCACCTCGGAGAGGAAATCAAATACAACCACGCCTTCTACCAGAACGACTTCCTGCCCCGATTCGACGTCGTGCGCAGCGAAGCTCCCGACCGAGCGTCCTTCATCCGCGACTTGCAGAGCGGGAAATACGGAGACTTCTCGGCCATCTTCCGCCCTCACTTCCAGTCCGGCGGCGAGATGGGCCAGTGGGACGACGAACTCATCGCCCTGCTGCCCGCGAGCGTGCGCATCTTCGCCTCGGCCGGCGCAGGCTACAACTGGGCGGACGTGGACGCTCTGGGCAAGAGGGGAATCTACTACGCCAACGGAGCGGGCGCTTCCGACGAGGCCGTCGCGGACACGGCGCTGTACATGATCCTGTCCGTCTTTCGGAATTTCACGCGCTCGCAGCTGGCGGCGCGGACGTGTGATGGGGCAGTTTTCCAGGCAACGCATAGGCTGATCGCGACGATATCGGCGAATCCGAAGGCGCACGTGCTCGGGCTGGTGGGGTTTGGGAGGATTGCGCAGAGGGTGGCGTGCAAGGCGAAGAGGGCGCTGGATATGTCGATCCACTACTTTGACGTGGTGCGCGCGAGCGAGGAGGAGGAAAGGCGCGTGCAGGCGACGTATCACTCCTCGGTGGAGAGTCTCTTGGGCGTGGCGGATTGCGTCTCCCTCCACACGCCGCTCAACGAACATACCAGAGACCTGATCAATGCCTCCACCCTCTCCCAGATGCGACGCGGAAGCCGTCTCATCAACACCGCGCGAGGCCAGGTCGTGAATGAGGAAGCTCTCATCGCGGCTCTGGAAACAGGTCACATTTCCGCCGCGGCGCTCGACGTGCACTACCACGAGCCTCACGTCTCTCCTCGCCTTGCGAAGATGGAGAATGTCACGCTGACCACCCACATCGGCGGCGGAGCTCTCGAGACCAGAGTCAACTTCGAGCTGCTTGCTATGAAGAATATCCTTGCCGCGGTAGGGCCCAACGGTGAGTTTGGCGGAAGACCACTCACGGCTGTAAATCTGGCGACTTTCGACGCGGCATGATCGCCGAAAAGATTGGCCAGGAGTTTCCCAGATCCTAGGATGCCTCTCGGTTCTTCCGGAGGCCATTCTGTCAGAAAGCCAAGAGGAGAAAATCTTTACAAATTCTAACCTTCTATTGCTCTTGTTGTCAGCCCTTGTCCTCCTCGTCCTTGTCCCCAGATAACCATATCTCATGCCCATCTCCCTCCTGTACAAACCGACCAGCGAAAGCGCCGACGATCGCAACACACGCCATGGACCACCACGCAGTCCCCACTATTCCCTTCTCCAGCCCAACGCCATAGATCCAACCAAACAAGACCGGCCCAATCGTCCTCGTCGCCGAGCTGACACTCTGCGCGATCCCATGTATCGTTCCCAGGACCGAGGGGTGCGGACTCGAGTTATTCACCAGAATAGCCGTGCTGGGCAACGCAAATGTCCTCGCGATGACTTGGATGGTGAGGACGAATGTTATGCCGATCCAGACGAGGGTCCCGCTGGCTTGATGGGGTGCTTCCATTGTTGTGGGGATGATGGCGAGGAAAGGCGCGAGGAAGTAGGAGAATGGGAAGAAGCAGAGCGAAAGGCGGAAGGATCGGAGGGTTCCGAGGCGGAAGGACAGGCGCGGGAAGAGCAGGAGCTGGAGAGTTATGCCTATTACTCCGAGGATTGCCAGGGCCGTTCCGATTGCGGGTGGAGGCAGGGCGAGGCCGCCGGTGAACGTGAAAGGTAGTTCGGGGTGGTAGTCCTCGGGAAGGTGCAGTTCGGATTGATGAGTGGTATAGCGTGGTGTCGAGAGGAAGACGAACCAGAGGTTACTGAAGGTGCCGACATGCATTGCGAGAAGGCCATGGCAGAGGAGGGTGAAGAGGACGTTCTTCGTCCAGATGCGACGGAAGGGAAGCTTGGCACGCGATTTGGGCTTTTGTGCCTGCTGCGTGCCCAGTTCGATTTCGCCGGCGTGCTCGTGCTCTGCAAGGGAGGTGTAGTCCCGGTGTGTCTTCCTCCTGAAGAGAGTCCTCATGATCCAGCTCCCCAGTCGTCTGCCGTAATCAGGGTTGTCCTTCAGCCCTTCGAGAGTCTCCTCCAGTGCAAGAACGACACCGACCGCGCTCGCCAACAGGAAAGTTGCATTGACCAGATTGGGTAGCGCGTAGGGCCATCTCACGAACAACCATACGCCGTCTTTGCCGCCAAGCGTCCCCCCGGGTCCAAATGTCCCAGGATAGACCCCGGCCGGGTCTGCCAGCAGACCACCAAGCAACGGACCCACGATAACGCCAATATTGAACGTCATGGGCAGCAACAAGAATGCACGACTCTGGAACTTCTTCTCCTTGACAATCTCCGAGATCATGGTCCTCATAACGCCCATGTTGCCGTTGAGCATCCCGCCCGCTGCTCTCCAGAGCATGGCCACAGCGAAGGACTCACTGAATCCGAAGCCCAGACTGCCAATCGCGGTGCCCAAAAGGCCAATCAGGATCACGCGTTTACGGCCAAACATCTCGCTGTCCGCGAGTCGTCCCCACATGATGGCGGTAAGGAACTGTGCGCCTGTGAATGCTGCCGCGAGCAAGCCCGCTTGCCTCGCGACCGTACTATCCGACGGCGCGTTGCCTGTAGCAGTCTTGAAGGACTTGAGCTGGTAGAACATGTATGACTGGAGGGATGTTTGGGTCAGAGGCTCCGAGAGTCGAGCGAGGGTCAAAATGGCGAGCTGTCCTTTCCTCGGGAGCTCTTTCCATGATACCTGTCTCTTCTCTTGTGTCGTGTCTGTGGGAGGTGCTGGAGCCTCCTCTTCACCACCCAGCACGCTCGAGCATTCGGCCGCATCGCTCAAGGCTCGAAGCGTCGTGTCGTTGTCGTGCGCCAAGAGACCCTCGTTCTCTCCAACCACAGTCCGATCCTCGTCCTCTTCTTCTCCTTCCGTCTCCGCCTGAGCATCCCAAGTGTTCCGCCGCCTCCTCATGCTCTCGTCAAACCTCTCCAATTCCACATCCGCATATCTCTTCGCCCTGCCATCCTCGTGCACGGAAGAATGCGCTTTTGGAGAGATGTCCGGACTGGCAAGCAACGTCGTAGCCGCACTGTCTAACTCCTCGACAGAGTTATCGCGCCGGCGGCCCTCGTCCATCCATAAGACAGGTGTGTTTCACTGGGGCGTGACGTCTAAAGACCCGCGTCTGAAGACTCTCGTCGGAGGAATTTCCCGGCTCGCGGGACAGATCTGCAGTGGGGTGGTAACGTGTGGTGGGAGGGCGCGGCTAGTGGCGATATCGGAATTCCAGAATCCAAAGTCGCGTGCCAATAAGAAAACTCGTGCCGCTTTGGGAAAGCGCGATGCATGTGGGGACAAAGGGCAAGAATGAAACTTGAGGAGGAAGAAATGATGAATTGATTGAATGGGCAGAGAAGAAGGAAACGAACGTGAGATAGGCCGGCGGTCTGGACGGAATGCCGTCCTATGCAACGCGGTCTCGTCGGAATGATGCGTTCAGACTGCTTTAGCCTGCTGCACGAGAATCGCGGCCGTCCCAAACATGCGCGCGTGCCGATAGCCGTGCTCGTCAGCCGCCAGTAGGAGTACATGTCTGTGTTCTTCGTCATGGCATGTTCCTCGTGCTTCTGTACAAGTGCTGCAGCACTGCCGTAGCGCAATCAATGCTGTCTCTGGTCATTGACAACAATTGCTGTACGTCTTACATACCTCTTTTTGGAGGATCTTTCCAGGCCGTCGTGGGAGCCGCCATCGTCATGCTCTAGATACATTTTTCTTGTTAACCGCCAGACGCCATTACTTCGTTCGTCCATCAGAAGTCGTTCTCATCGCTGCCCGCGACAATGACATTGTTGACCTTGAGGACCATCCGGCAGAGTTGCGTGGCAAGCAGGAGTTGTTGACGCTTGGAGATGAGCGGATCAATCACGAAATGCTCCTTCATGTCTGCTGTGGTGTTAGTCGAGCAAGGATGAGCTTGTTTGCGAGGCTTACCGTTGGATCCAGTCTGCATGCAGTCCACGCCCAGACGCCCACTGCCCTCACCTTTGCCCTGCCGCGCCTTCAACTCGGAAAGTGTCTCGATTGGGCTGAGACCGCTGTTCTCCGCAAGCGCCATTGGTACTGAGTCGAGCGCATCCGCGAACGCTCTCATGCTGTATTGTTCCAGCCCAGGGGTTTGCATGGCCGCTTTCTCAACTGCCAACGAGCAAGCAATCTCTGCCGCACCACCGCCGTACACGATCCGGTCATCCTTGACGAGATTTCGGACGACACACAACGCATCGTGAAGTGATCGCTTTGCTTCGTCGATGATCATCTTGTTGGAGCCCCGAATGAAGCACGTCACCGCGCGAGAGTTGGCACACTCTTCGATGACAAGCATCTTTTCTCTCGTCGTACCAAACGACATCTCCCTCACAATCCCCGCCTTGCCCAACTTCTGTGCGCTGAGATCCTCGAATCGTGGAACAATCCGTCCGTTCGTGGCGATGGCGATGAGCTCGATTTCAGGTCCACCTACCCATCGTACAGCAGGTAGCTCGTTGGTGAGGAGGAGGTGATTTGCCTCATCATCAAATCCCCATTGGCATATCACAACGTTGGCGCCGGTGTTCTTGATTTGTTGGATCATCTCGGTGAATTTGGCTTGTTCATACTTCTGCAGCTCCTTAAACTCGGCGACGCTGGTAATATCAAGCTTATGCTTCGTCTTCGGCTTTGGGGGCTCGAACGCGCAAGTAAGAATCGCCAGCTTCGCATCTCGAACTTCTGATGGCATTTGTGGGTGGGAGAAGTCCTTGTCGACAATGACACCCTTGACCAGGAGGGAGTCTTCTAACGAGCCGCCCACCTTGCCATCGACTTTGATCAGTTCGAAATCCACGTCTTTTCTCTGCAGATCTGCGACAGACAGGACTGCATCGACTGCCATCTGCGCAAACTGGTCGTGGGCCTTGGAAACGATCTTGCTGCCCAGGGATGTCTTGGCAACCTTGAGCAGGTTGTCTGTGTTCTCCCTCGTAAACGGAATGACGTCTGAAATCTTGTCCAGCTCTTCCACAGCAACCTCACATGCTGCATCGTAGCCGTCAGCTATCCGGATGGGATGGATTCCCTTGTCGATCAGTTCCGACGCTTGCTCGAGTAGAGCACCAGCCAGAACCACCACACCAGTTGTACCGTCACCAATCTCGGCGTCTTGTGACTGTGATAAGGACACGAGGAGCTTTGCGATGTGGTCCTTGATCTCCATTTGCGACATGATGGTTGCGCCATCGTTTGTGACCGTGATGTCGCCATCGGGAGAAATCAGGATCTTGTCCAGGCCTCTCGGACCAAGCGAAGTCTTGACGATGTTGGAGATGGCGCGCGCTGCGAGGATGTGTTGCTTTACAGCTTCGGTGCCGTGTGTTCTCTTCTTCCTCCCCTGATCTCGCACGATGATGAACGGTCGGCCAGATTCATCTTGGGTTACCTGGGCTGCAAGCATAGCATGTCAGTTTTCAGTATCTGGGCGCGAGCACGTGCTTCCTTACCATTGCTCAGGTCGAGCTCTAAGATCAGATGTTAGTCTCTCTTTCGTATCATAAATCACATGCGGATTGTATACTCACGCATCGGTTGTCCGGCCATGCTTCTTTGTGACTTCTACCAAACACGCAGACCTCCAATTCTGCTCGCTTCCTTCAACCACAACTTCGACTCGATCTCTTACACGGACACTCAGGATGTCTCGACACTATCGGTATCTCCGTTCAGGTGCAGTTCGGCAGGGCGTGGCTCGGTCGTCGCGCAGGTAAGTGGAGTGTTTGGTTGCAGAGTTGTTGCGTTTCGATGAAGTCTCCCACAACTTTTCTCGAGAGCTGCGACCCGCGTCTGCAGCTCGGACCACCATCCAAACGCGCCCCCAACCTCTCGACTCCTCATCTCCAGCTTCGCTTTGCTCTACCACTTCCACCTTTCGTTGCGCAGACCATTGGGCGCGGGCATTTCACATTGCGGCCACTTCGCTTCCCTCCGCGCATTCCCAGAGCTTATAATCTGACTGCGAAACCACAGCGATCCCCCAAAGTCACGCCGTAAGCTCTCGCGCCGAGCTCCAGCAAAGATGCCTCGTAAGTCAGGCGCGTCGCAGACATCTGCGCATTGTGCTGAGCACGCGCAACTGACAATTCCACAGCTCAAATGTCCGATGACGAGAGCGATAACATGTCTATTCCGGATCAGATTCCAGCGAAGAAGTCCACGAAGGCTCCAGCCCAGGATGAGGAGGACGAAGACGAGGCAGAAGAGGGAGATGAGTTCCAAGTCGAGAAGATCATGGATCACAAAATCCAAAAGAAGAAGGTCTTGTACAAGGTGAAATGGCTAGGCTGGGACAACGAGGACGACATGACTTGGGAGCCGATCGAGAACCTTTCCAACTCTCCCGACCTTGTGGAGGCCTATCATGTATCAATTGGCGGCACTCCTGAGCCAGCGGGCAAGGGATCAGCCAAAAAGGGACCAGCTGCAGGCAAGCGAAGCGCATCCGCTGCCTTTGACTCTCCCGCCCCGACGGGTTCTGGCAAGAAGCGAAGCCGCAAGAGCGATGCCAATGGGGACGCGTGGGAACCGCCTGTAGGATCTTGGGAGGACCATGTGGAGCGTGTGGCGGCAATTCTCGAGGAGGAGGAGGAGGTGTCGGGCATCATCAAGAAGGGCAAGACCGACGTGCAGTCGCTCAAAGGCTTGCTGGAGTGGGTGAACGGCAAGAAGTCGGAACACAAGATGAGTCTGCTCCGCCAAAAGTGCCCGCAGCGACTGCTCGACTACTACGAGAGCCATCTGTAAGTACCGGCTCCTCCCCACACAGGTGCTCTAACTGGAGACTGAAAGCTCAGACGTTTTATAGATTAAAGCCACGGTTGGATGAGATGGCTAACTCTGGATCTCCTTAGTGTCTTTAAGGGTGACCCACGATACGTTCGTCCATCTGAAAGGCAGAAGCCAACCCCTTGACGTGCGAGAAAGCCGCTAACCTTCCTCTAGGTTGATTAGGTAGCAGCAAACTGGTTACTGGCTGGGGATTCACCGCTGGGGACTCAAACAGATCTCGAGACTACGATGCGAAGAACACATGCGGACGCGAGCTTGGCCTGCCTCCTCGACCTGACCGCATGTACTGCATCTGGGGTGGCCTCAAACCTCATCAAGGGCAGAAGATGGCGTCTTTCTTCGGTTTGCCGGGGTTCCGGAGACAAAATGGACGCGAGAGTGTCCCGCCCGATTAGCGCCTGGCGCTCAGGGGGCTTGTACTTGATACCAAGATTCCTTTTTTTTTTTTCTGGATAGCTGCTGTGTACTAGCATCGAACAGAGGGACATTTACTTCCGAAATGACAGATCCCTCGAGCGCCCTTCTTTTCGATGGTACCGTGAAGATAGTACATGTACTATACAGCCACTTGTGCGTCGCTGTTCACATCACATGGACGGTCTGGGCGATGCAGGATGCAGCAGCAGTAGTAATAAAGCAGAAATTGAAAGGAGCAGACGCGGAAGAGGAAAACAGGCGCAGCTTGCAAGCATCAAAAGTTTCGCGGAAGACTTTCTCCAGCGTTTCTTCCGCATCAATCTCATCATCAACGTGTGATGATGAACGCGTGTTGGAATGCAAAGACTAAATCTGCGACGAACTGCGCCGAACCTACTTTGCAATGCAATGTGTGATGGGGGGGGGCCCGGGCAACATGCACATGGTTCCAAGCGAACGAACGAACGGCCGGCCGCCTCTGCCGGAGTGAAGTGAGGTGAGGTGAACCTTGTTGGTCAGAATGGTGGAAGAGGAGGAAACGAACGGGTCCGGAGCGAGCAAGCAACACAAGGCTTCTTTTGCCGCGATGGATCGCGTGGGCCGAGACGCGAACGAGTGATAGTGTCTTGGAGATTGCTAATTGATGAAGAGAAGAGGAAAGCGTTGTCCGAGAGCTTCGCACGTGCGTGGGGCCCAATAATATGCATATATGCAGTCTTGATGAAGAGTCTCGGAGGAGGGAGATGGCTTTCGTACCACGATCGGAAAGCAGCTTGCATGCTTGTTGACAGCAATCATTACCAGAAGGTAGGTGTACCGTGCGTGGGTGAAGGGATGACGGATGATGATTGTCCTCGTGCGGCGAGCGAGAGGGCTCCATACCTTATTCACTTGAAGGGCCGAGTTCTGCAGATGGGGGGGGCTACGCTTTGGGGAAAGCACGGCAGTATATGGGATACTTCCGTTCTTCCTACGGCGACGAGAGAAGTGCGGTGCATTTCTGGCATGGTACATACTACACAGACCACGCGCCTTGTTGGGGGAGGAGGAGGAGAAGAAGAAAGCCATGTCGTTGGAAGGGGCAATTGCATGGAGACATACGAGATGCAGTGTCGCAGAGCATGGCAACGGCTCACGGCTCACGGCTCATGAGGAGGAGGAGGAGGAGGAGGAGGAGGAGGAGGGCTTGCACATGAAGGATCTGATACGGTGGCTGACGGCAGCGCGGCCCATGACTTACTTCAGGCGCACGACGCCGGAAACACGGAAAGGGCAGCATGAGCACAGCACGCACGGCGCGGCGCGATGCAGCTGTGCAGGTCACGCGGGTCCGGGGCGCTGTCGCCGACGATGGTGGCAGCATCAAGACAGTAATAAGGTGTGGTAAGTACAAAGTCGTGAGAGGAGGAAGTGGGGGTGGTTCGGGTGGCTGCAGGAATTGATTGATTAGTACCCCTTAGGGTGATTGGAATCGATAGAGGCAGCAGCCCCAGCTTCCCCTTCCGGCGCATGGCATGCATCACGATACCTTACCACATTACTTCTTCCTCGGGCCCGCCGCACGCACACTACTACCTTACTTACCTCCTTAGTAACTGCACAGCTGCACGCTGCACGATGCACGCTCTGCTGCCTGCCTGCACTATCTACTACTACACAGACTAGGTACTGCTTGGCCGAACAACGTGGCCTCCCTCTCTTCTCTCGCAGCTACCTTTTATTACAGACTCACCGACGATCGCTCCTCCTCCTCCTCCTCCTCCTCCTCATCTCCAATTGCCCATTCCTCTACGAATCCTCCCGTCTGAACCCCTTCTCCGTTTCCTTCCTTGTTTCACGAGGCCGAACAGGGCAACATCCCGGCTCGTCACCCGGTTCGCTGCTCGCGGAGAGTGGAAAGCAAGGGATCCTCTCCATCACCACCACCACCACCACCCAACAAGTTCTAGATCCAACAGAGCCGCTGTGGCGGAACCCGTCCTGTGATCAACATCAATAGTATCACTGATATTATTATTATTATTATTACAACATCAACACCCGATCGGATCCTATCACCGACACTATCACCGCTACCATCAATTACCTCGGTCGTCGTTGTTGTCGTGAGCGCCTGCTGCTCCGGCGGAACTTGGACATGGTCTGGCGACACGGCGCAGGGGAGGAGGCGCGATGATTGCGATACCGCACACACACACACGTGCTGCATCATTCTCGTCCTGCAGCTCAACACGCACCCCGCCAACTGCAGTGCCACGGTGGCGGCCGCGGTGTTGTTGTCATGGTGCGCGTCGTCAATACAATCCACCCGACAGCCTCTGCTTCTCCTTCTTCTTCTTCTTCTTCTTCTTCTTCTTCTTCTTCTTCTTCTTCTTCTCCTCCTCCCCTTCAAAACAAACGTCCCTCCGGCGTCGTCGTCGTCGTCGTCGTCGTCATGCCTCGATGCGCAGTCGGCCGCCTGGCTTCTGGAGAAGGTCCGAGTCCATGTTGACGCTGCTGATCGCCCTGCTCTTCCTATGTCAAGGAGTGCAGGCGGCGGAAGCATGGGCATGCGACACTGTGCTGTTCGATTCGAGCGAGCCACCACCTCTTCCCAACTGGATACTCGGCGATCATCTGGATAATCAGCTGGATAATCATCTGGATAATCAGCTGGATAATCATCTGGCTAATCATCTGGCTAATCATCTGGACCGGCGAGAAGATGCGACCTCCTTAGCATCGCCCACAGCGAGTGGCAATCTCCAAGTCGCCACCCAGACGGCAATGGCAGCGCTGCCAACCCCTTTCGACTCCAGCTTGGGCAACAATTTCACCTCCTCTACTTGTCCGACCTTCTTTCAGAATTTCCTGCACGCCCAGGCCTTCAGAGACTGCCTGCCTCTGTCCTTGTTGTTGCAGGTACGTAAAGGCAACCCGACCAACCCGCGAAACACGCCCCATCCTAACATCATCTTGTAGACCTCCAATGGCTTCTTCGAGGCCTCTCGCTCATTACTCAGCGTAACCCAAACCCTCGACGCAACCTGTAACGTCAACTTCGGCCAATGTTCCGCTCTCATGTCCACCCTCGCTCAACAAGTCCTTCTCCCAACCACCTGCGGCGAGGACCTACAAATGCTCAATCCACTCGTCACGCAAGCGCGAAACGGCTTCTTAGCCTATGCCTCCCTCTATCATGCCGGATGCCTTACAGACTCAGATGGCAATTACTGCTACGCCAACGCCGTCACGAACGTCTCCGCACCCACCAGCAGCTACATCTACTACCTCCCGCTCGGCGTGCAACTCCCGGGCGGTGCACGACCGGCTTGCAACGAATGCCTGCGGAACACCATGGCCATATTCGCAGATCAGGCAGCGAACTCCTCCCAGCCGCTGAGCAAAGACTACACCAGCGCTGCACAGCAAGTGCAGATGAACTGCGGGCCTACATTCGTCGAGACGGTGGCACAACACGTCGGTGCCGCCTCATTACCCAGCTCTCCTGGCTTGTACCTGACACTACCGGTGATGCTACTCGCTTATCTCATCTGATCTAACTTCACTTCTTGGATTTTAAAGGAAAAGATCAAGCGCTGATCTTTCCCATCTTTGCTCTCCCGAGCTTGGGAGAACCGTTGATTTTGGGGAGGAAACAGGACACTCTACTTTTCGAATCTATTCCGGCTTCAGAGAATCACCAATCTGCTTGTGGACGGTGTTTTGGGAGCTTCTTTAGCGATGGCGTCTCGGAATCTTGGACGGGGACGGAAGCAGGATTCCTTTTTTTGGAAAGGAACTTCCCTTGTTGGACAGCACAAAGTTGACGATGTCAGAGCATGAGGAATGAGGAATAAGATAACTCGTAGTGTCTTTTCGTGCATGTTGCGGTGGGGCAATTCTAATTGTACAGACTTTCTATAAATCTCCCTTCTACTACTACTACTACTACCGTCTCTTATTCTGTCTTTTGGTGTCGTGGTAAGATATCATATTCCTCTTTCTTACCCACCCACTCGAGCTGTGGTGTCGGTGGTAGGGTAAGTGGTCCAGAATCATCTCTCGTGATAAAGTCTTGTAAATCGTGCGGAGAATCCATGCTGACTGAAGTTAGGAAGGAAGGAAGAATGGCTGGGTACATACATGTACCTAGCTAGCTATTTAGGTCCTACAAGACCTGGTCCCTAACCCATGCGCGGCAGACAGGCTACGTACGATCGTGGGTTCTGTCTGACCAACGCGTGCGTTCTAAAAATAATAACAATAATCCCTAAATAATGACAATATTATTATACGATCCGAACGAAATTCCCCGGCTTATTAGGTAGGTAGGTAGGTAGGTAGGTAGGTAGGTAGGTAGGTAGGTAGGTAGGTAGGTAGGTAGGTAGGTAGGTAGGTAGTTAGTTAGCTAGTTAGTTAGGTAGGTATCTAAGTAGGTAGGTAGGTAGGTAGGTAGAAGAAGAAAGAGAGGAAGGAAGAAAGAAAGAAAGAAAAATAATACGGGGGATCCTCCTCCTTTTAATGTTATATATACTCAATACTTTCAGAATGTAACTGACGAATGACGCCCGTGTGATGGTTTATAGATACTATAGCAAGAATTAGATACCTACTCTCTCTCTCTCTCTCTCTCTCTCTCTCTCTCTCTCTCTCTCTCTTGAATCAAATCGACGCGGGAAAAGAGGAGGAGGATACGATTAGACAACTCGAATTTACGCAGTATGATATGCCCACGTCGGCCGGCTCAGAGATTTCCCACGTCCGATCCGGTGTCATCTTCACCTGTGAGAAGCGCTTCATCACAAGGCGTGTGTCCATGCTCACTACTACTGCACGCTGGAATCGAAAGCTTCCGACTAGCCTCCTACGCGCATTATTGCCAGCTTCGCTTGCGCCGGCATCATCAGCGACACCACCACTTGAATGCGCTCAAGGGACGGCGATGGGTGGGTGATTTTCGCATCGGCAACCCATAACGAGCGAGACCCTAGATGTTTGGATGGTAAGGTAGCGATATCGCCATGTCATAAATCTGACAAGACATACCTACCACCGCACTCTGATGCGTTTTGGAAATCTTGCAATGCCCTCCAGGGGAAGCACAACTGCCAAAAGTCTCGAAGTCTCGAAGCCTCGAAGAGATCTCTTCCTCTGCAACTTCGTCGGAGGAGTTCCATCACTCACTTCATCTTCCCATTGGTGATATCATCATCATCTTCGACTTCCCTGACATACGCTTCCCCCACGACATCGCCAGGCTCGTGGACCACTTTCCAGGATCCCATTCCGTAATGCTTCGGAGCTACGCGCACGCCGCGACCCCCACCGCCGACGATCAAGTTACCGGGACGGTAGTTGGGATCGGCTTGCATGCGCTTGACCACGGAATGGTGGATTTTGCAGTCGTTGCTCATGTCTCGCACCTCACCACGGGGCAGCGGCCATGAGATGGCCCGCCAGGACCCTTGGTCTAGAGTTAGTACATGCAAGAACCACACCGAGCGCGAGGATACTCACCGTCTTGCTGCAGGTCCATTCGGCGGAAGGGTAGCCACTCCATGAACTGCCATGCTGAGACTGCCAGCCATCCCAGACCGCCTTTGTAACTCAGCGAGTCGTGTACTCTGCTCCTAGTGGCGATACGGTGAACTTCATCCGTAAACGTCGTCGGTGTCATGTTTCGTTCCAGTCGGGGGCTTTGTGGGACGGGTTGGCCATCGACTTGGAGGAGAGGTGCGTCCTGGACCATGTCTCCCATACCTGGACCTGCGGCGGGAAGGAACATGTTCGAAGCCCGAACCTTGTCCTCGTCAAAGGGCATGCCTGCTTTGCGCGCTTCTCGCAGCATCCACATCAGCGCGATATCAGAGAGCGGTCTATCCTCTTCCGGACCAAGTGGCCAACCTCCCCCGATATCGCCGTGCTGACCCGCAAACCAGACTTCCAAGATATCTTGATCATCATCGTCGTCCGGGTGTCCCTCCTCGGCATTGCGATCATGCTGGCGGTGTGTCACGATCGTTTGCGAGTTCACGGATATCTCAGAAGCTGAAGCGTTGTCTTTTGTCACTGGGAGATGGAGACGTCGTCGAGTGGAGCGGAACATCTGCGTCTGTGTGTCATGAGACTTCTTCAATCTTGGCCTCATGTGTGAGTAGTCATTTTGCTTTGGCTCCTCCTTGGCATCTCCCTGCTCCCTCTCTTTATCCTCTTCGGCACGGTGCATCATGTGCATGTAATCACCAATGTAGTCTTTGTATCCCGGCTGTTCTGGTGCTTGGCGTCTTTCTGATATCAAATCCTGGCGGAATTTGGCTCGGCGCTCATCGATTGAGACGGCGTGACGGATCACTCTGGCTGAAGTCTTTGCGGTATAGCTGGTACTTCATTAGGCGGGATCCTTATTGGTGTTGGGGCCGAAACTTACGGGAATCGGGTTCGCGACATCCACGCTGACTCGAATTGAGGGACACTGTTCACACAATCGAACAGCCCAAGGAATTCGATGCGGCAGACCGGTCGACTGAACGTCTCTCTGAACTTCTTCATAAACTCGAACGTCTCCTTCTTCTTGTGCTTCCCAGAGGCGGAATCCTCGTTCCTCATTTGCCTGGAGACGCGCATGTCGGTCAATCACCATCGAACCCAGTATCTCTCTCGGAAACTCACCATCTCGAGAAGGTCTTCCATGCTGAATTTGAAAATAGTCAGCTCCCAGTGAACAAACGAATATCGAGACTCAAATCAGCGTCGCTCACCAAATCGCAACATCTCTTCATTACCCGCGCTCAGCAACCCTACATAATCGAGCATTTGCGCCAGGAACCTCGCCGTATACGCGCCGCGACTGAATCCGAAGAAATAGATGGCGTCGCCATCGTTGTAGTACCGCATCAGGAACTTGTATCCTGCCATGACATGCTCTCCGAAACTTGTGCCAATGGCTTGATCTTTGGCTTTGGCGTACCTGATGCAATTCAGCTTGGAGATGGTGCTCGACTGTCGAGAGGCTGTCGACTTACCATGATTTGATGCGGCCAATGTGCGATTTGCGCGAGAGCGAGCTTGATTCGACATATGTACCGATGCCAGGTTGGTAGTAATGATCTATTAGATTCATCATTTACTCTTCAGGGCGTGCTTGAAGTAGTTCCGTGGCGCTCTACTGACATTGGCTGGTATCCTGTCTGTCCAGCAAGGAGAAGATCTTGATGACTATAAGAGTCCGTCAGTATTCGCTCCTCTGCCGCAGCAAGATAGACTCTCACTATTGCTATCACTTTGGTTCCCTTGAAACTTATTGCCCGTACCTGCTCATAGTCAGTGGCGTCAAAGCAGGGTAATACAAAGCTGTTCACCATCAAAACACAAAATCAGGGACTTGCGTCCTGTCGAGGTCATGTTGTCAGCCATGTTGGCGTATGGCCTATCGACTGCTCGACTGTGCAAGTGATTGAGGAAGTGTCTTGATTCAGTCCCCATGGCGAACACGTGCTGATAGGGTCAACGAGCGGATGGTGCAACAGAGAGAGGTGTAACTGCCACAATCAATGTGCATATACGACTTGCGGAGCTGTACGAGCAAAAAGATACCAACCGATGAGACCCTCGCGAGAATTGTGCATAGATGGTGTGCAGACCTGCACTGTCACATTGATGGCAGGATGGCTTGATGATGAGCTATTGTCTCCAATGAAATGGGAACAGATCAGCGAAACATCGCAGTGACCCGAGGATTTCCATCAAGTAAGAGGATGAAGTGGGTGGCCATTGGCTCGCCTGTCAAGCTCCTAGGGCATGGTGCAGCACTGCAGTCTTCCTGCTTCTGTGCAGCCAGAGAGCAACCTGACGGCCACAGCGTCAGAATTCGTCCTCAGCATATGGATGAGGTCGGTCCAGCGCGTCGGGCGGCGGCATGCAGCCCTCAGGCGAGTCCAGTTCCGTTAGGCAACCACAGGGGATGCGTGCATAGTAGTTGCGTCAAAGCCATGCGGCTATCCAGCTCCTATAAGTCTTTCAAGACACCGTACAACTGTCCGCGGGCACGACGTATGCGTTTTGCACGAACAAAGAATTGCAGCGTGCGGATCCGCAACTTCCCTTGGGTCACTGGCAAGATCGAGCTAGGCGTATCAAGAGGTGTACACTGTCTCTGCACATTGTTCCCAAGGAGGTTACCAAGCAAAAGAGCTTGCTGCAGGACCTGCAGCGTGCCGCTTCGTTTTCGCCTGGGTGCATTGCTAGCTTCGCGTTTGCATATGCCAAATCAGGACAAGGTCGATGCGTAACCGGCAGAAGTGATTATTGCCAGGTCTTGAGGTTGTTTGCTATTGTGAGATTCAGTCCAATTGTCAGTCGAATCGAGTATTCCGCAATTCTGAAGAGGGTGCACCGAGATGCAATGGTCAGCGACAGTTGGAGTCTGCGCCATCTGCATAGCTACAGCATTTCTGCAGACTCTACCTCACCGAATAAATGTGGTGGTATGATCGTCGCTGTGGAAGGTGTCATCAAGGGCGCCAAGTACTTGCCTGATGATGCAGAGCAGACGTGATTCTGATCCAGGTCAACGCCGCAGCATTGGCGAAGCTCTGCGTACCGTCAAGATCGGCGAAGGAGAGCCAGGATGTGTCGCCACGGATGAAGACTTCGGCCCGCTCAGAACCAACTCAATGGAGGTGTACCTTCGGTGTTACCGAATTGACGACGCAAAAAAGAAGAAGAGAGATTTAGGGACGGACCCAAGAGTGGGATCAAGCTGGGCACAAGCAAGGCATCTGCCAAGATGCATGAGACTGGTCTGCCTACACCACATCAGGTCTGACGTGGACTGGTCTGCCTTACAAAGTTTCTGAGATGAGTCCAATCCTCGAGATATACAGATGGCCATTGCGACAAAGGAAGCGTTCCAGGAGCGCCACAGTCCGTATTGCGGCGAAAATCGCTCGTTGGTTGACGAGGAGAATGTCTTTTTATCCTCGAGTATCATCATGAATGCGTACGCTTGACGAAATCTGAGAGCCATTAGCGAGCTTCCACGGACATTACGCCGAATAGCAGAGGATAAGCGTGAGGTGGTAACGATCAGGAAAAAGAGGCATTTTGCCCCGTGCAAAGCTAATCCGCAGCAAAAAGAGTACAAGTCTTTCTCAGCCTGGTGCCAGCTGTGTATATCATCATAATATGGATGGAAAGGATAGAATCTAGCTTACCATGTGGTTCAAATCGATTCCGTCGTCGCTTTTGGGGGAGTGAAGACTCATGGAAACTCATGTGAAAGAAGCCAAGAACAGCTTTGAGTTTGAGATTTGTGCCCTGCCCTGTGCGGCGGCTGTCCGGAAGGAGCCGACAATGAGCCGCCCCGACCCCGGATGCTCCGTGTGACCACTTACCTTATCTACCCGACGATGCATGTGATAGCACTCACGCGAGTGTTTGATCCTCTCGCCTCGCTCGCATCGTCGTCGAGGTGGTGGAAGAGGCAACGTTGTTATACCTTCTTGTGCATACACCATCGCCGTCCCCCCGTACCGATACGCCGTCGCCGCCATGGCGAGCAACAGCCTGATTCCGGTGCTAGTCGCCATGATGCTCTTGACCGGCGTTTGCAACACCCTGCTCACCAAGTATCAGGCAGGTCGCTGTGATGACGCGCCATCACAGTTCTCGAGCTAACGCAGACGTTCAGGACATGCAATGTGTCGCCGACTGCGATACGAAGCGCCCTAAGCTGTTCGAACAGCCCGTGCTACAGACCCTCCAGATGTTCGTCGGTGAAGCGGGTTGCTGGCTCGTCGTGTTTCTGCAATACCTGTTCCATCGCATGAGACGAGTTTCGAATACCACGCCCATTGACGAAATCGAATACGAACGTGTGGGAACAGTAGATGAGGCAGAAGATGGGGAAGCTGAGGGAGACGTGACCTCTTCACAGACGCTCGTAGATCCGACAAACATCATAGCCAAGCCGGCCTTGGACGCTGAAGCTGAGAATGGACAACGACAGCCACTGACGGGGTGGAAGGTGCTGTTACTTGCACTCCCGGCGATATGCGACATCTGCGGCACAACCCTGATGAACGTCGGCCTTTTGTTTGTGGCGGCTTCTATCTATCAAATGACTAGAGGTGCTCTTGTGCTCTTCGTTGGACTATTCAGTGTTGTATTCCTCAAACGCCATCTGGGCGGCTGGAAGTGGGCAAGTCTCTTCATCGTGGTTTTGGGCGTGGCCGTTGTTGGCCTGGCTGGCGCGCTGGAGAACAAGGAAACCGAGCCAGAACTTCCTGGGCACACCAGCCCCGATGGCTCAACGGACCTTTTCCACAAAGTCACAGTGCTCGTCCGCGACGAAGTGTCAGCTATGGAAGCTCATACCGCCGCAGAGACCGTACTTGGCTTCTTTCTAATCGCCTTTGCCCAGGTCTTCACAGCAACCCAATTTGTTCTGGAAGAAAGCATAATGGAACGATACTCCATGGAGCCTCTTCAAGTTGTTGGCTGGGAAGGCGTTTTTGGATTTCTGGTCACGCTTGTCGGCATGGGTGTTTTGCACGGGGCCATTGGCTCTACACCTGCAGGGAAAGGAGGCTATTTTGACGCCCGCGAAGGATTCTACGCGATGTTCCACTACCGCTCCATCGGGATCACTTCGATACTGATCATGATCTCTATAGGGTAAGACATCCTAATACGCCTAACAGCAGTGACATGCTAACGCTTCAACAGTGGTTTCAACTTCTTTGGCCTCAGCGTGACGCGAGTGATCTCTGCCACCGCAAGGAGCACGATCGATACCTGCCGAACCTTGTTCATCTGGCTGGTCAGTCTTGGTCTAGGATGGGAGACGTTCAAATGGCTCCAAGTGCCAGGCTTCATTCTGCTCGTCTACGGAACCGCCATTTTCAACGAAGTCGTACAGCCACCGACAATTGCATTTCTCCGACGCAAACGACAAGCAGTTGCTCTCGGCGACGAGAGATAGAATGCATGTCAAGGATCCAAGTAACGCCGCAATGCATGTATTTCTACGTCTTGATGTCAAAACCCATGCGCCTTCAGATATTCCCTGTGCATCAGATCTGCCAATGCGCCACCCATTATGACATCGATGGGCGCCCAGTACCTTGCTCCAAGCTTGAAGGCCAACCTCCCAATCCAGCTGAGACTACCAAACGCCATGCCAACATCTACATGCTGTCGCACTTCCTCTTCATCCCGCCTCAATTCTCTGTCCGACGCCCAGCGCGGGATGAAATACCGATACTCGAAACCAGAAGCTTGCAATGCCAAAATCAAAGGCGCCACCACCAACGTGGTAGTGTGAATTGCCGTCAATGTCTTGACATTTCTGAAGACTGAAGCTCGTGCTGTGAATCCGAAGGCATGCGCTTGAGATAGATGTGCCAGACCTCCCACCCCGGCTATCACGGGGGCGGAGTCAACAACTGTGGCGGGCACGTCGAGCTGCTTGAGAGATAGTGGCAGATTGTCAATGTATTGGGTTGGGCTTTTGCCTGGTTCTGGATGCCATTTGTTATGTTCTGGGGCTTTCAGGTTCCAGAAGAAGAGGTATTGGAGTAGTGCCATGGTCGATTGTGGTGCTGCTGGACCATCGCTGGTGAGACCAAGACTCGTTGTTGGAGATAGCTCTAGGTGGGAGCATCGATTTGAGTTTTACGCCCAGTCAAAAGGATATCAAGACATGGTTGATTAATGTGAAAGACAGTATGAGCGGTCGAGAAATGGCTTCACTTGGGTCTGTAGATGAGGTAATCACTCTCCGAACAGGCAAGATCGATCTCAGTGTCGCGCTAGTGAACTCTTTCTTACCTCACGCGTTTCGTGTTTTGTAGAACTCTTCTTCCTCCTCTACAACTTCCTTGAGGTTACTTTCTCGTATACATGCTGCGTTAGCCTGGTGGACATTCACGAAGCAGGGACCGATGAGAATGTTGACTTATCAAGATGTCCCAATCCAGGGTAGCGCTCGAGACTCGCCGCATCGCGAGCAGAAGGACACCCAGTTTCGCGCATCGAATGCCACGGCCGCTACTGTGGGCTTAAGAAGCTCGTGACAGCGCATGCTCTGATGCCGCATTGTGGGGCAGATGGGCTTACATACGCATTTTCACGAGCCTCAAAAATCAATGACAGATATCTTCCACAAACACCACACTCAATTTCGACCTACTACTCTCCGCATTGCTTCACAGCGGCCGGACAACTTCCAGGATACTTCTACTTCTGCAACACGGGTGAATAGCGTCGCATCTATCGACCGGCAGAGTGTCTTAGAGGACATTCATATGCCACCACGCTAGTGCGATAGCTCAGCTCAAGTACCCCCAGTGCCCTAATGTCCTCCTTAGCCACACCACTGCTCCGCTTTATGAATTGATACGCGGCGTCCTTAGTAGCCTAACGCCTTTCCGGACTACCTCGAGTGAGACTATCCCTTCGTAAAGTCGTTCGTCGTTTCCTTCGGCTGCACCGGTGCCTCTCACCAGCTCTGGCGCTCTAACGTCGACTGCACCATTCTCAAACGGCATTCTCACATCGACCTTTACGAGCTCACTGGGCTCTTCCAACCCGTGAAGCTCGATTTTTAGTTCTGGACCCTCAGAGGTCTCAAGTGTTGAGAGCTCTCCATCGCTCAACAGTACCGTTAGCGCGACCTCTGGCTCGAGCTTCCTGTGCTCGACGCCTATAGATACATCAACAGGCGCAGCTTCACCGCCTCGCACGGCTTCAAGATCTACGCTCTCCCCAAATCCAACGCTTTCTACTTCATCATCGCAATTCTCGGGTAAATCGGGTGATGCTACGACCTCTGGCATTCCTCCAGACTTCCGGCAGACCCCTGTGGCTTCGCGAACGATATCCTGCGATCCGCTATGCACGGTATCTCTACCCTGCTCCGACCTTCGAGAGGGTTCGAAGACGACCGTATAAGCTGCTACTGTCCCAGCAACCTCGCGTCTGTTGATATCTGATTAGTCCCTGTCCACGACAACTTTACGTTCTGCCTGAACGAGGCGACCACGGCACAAGTCTTTCACCGTCAGACCTGCCCCTATTACCATTTCAAGCGAGTGACACGAAAGCAAGCATGAACAGGGCTTGACGTAGCCTGCTGAGGCCATTAAAATCTCAAGTGAAATATCAGTTCACACACCTCTCCAACATATCAATCACATTCTGCGTATTTCGGACGCAGATAATGCTAACACTGTACAAATACCTCGCCTAGCACCCGCTTATCACAAAGCATAGTTCTCTGTATGCAAGAAGACCTCATCCATCTTTCTGTTTCCACCCAGCACCAATTTTTGCAAATCCGCTACCGTGTTGCTGACATCCACTCTCATACTCGGCGGCCCGCAGACGAACACGCAGGCCCTCTTGCCTGTCCACTCCTGACTCATTCCTCTGAGCATATATGAGATCTCCGGCCTGCCCCACTCCACGCTCCAGCCGCTGCGACGAGACTTTACAGCGGCCGGCATGAACGCGAAGCGCATGAGATTCTTTTGGAATTCTGTTGGTGTAGATGGGAATCCAAAATCAAAGGTTGGCTCCTCTTCTCCCGCATCGGCGAATTGCTGCGTTTGCGTGGCCTGAGCGTTGTGGGCGGAGCTGATGTCTAGGGATATGGGTCCTCGAGAGCGACGCTTCTCGTGTAGCGTTGGGTGCGGGGGCATGTGTGATGTTGCTTCTGTGATATCGTCTGATGAGATGCTTTGGTCGAGAGAGGATCTCTTGGGAGAACAGGAGCCTGATCGGCGTTCAGCGAAGGAAGCGTCGGGATGGCCGCGAGAAGGCTGGCGGACGGGTTTCAGGTGGGCTTCGGGAAGAGGACGGAGGCGGTCTTCATCTTCTTCGCGAAGTTCCTTTTCGCGGTCTGGGTCGCCGGCTGCTGCTTCGCGAATGTGTGCTGAATTGCGGTGGCTTGAGCCCATGGAGTAGCGGTTGCTCGCTATGTTCTGGAAGACATCGTTTACTTTGTCGTGGAACACCATGCTGACTGGACGGTTTGGGGTCTGCGCGCTGACAACCTTACCGCCTTGAGACTGTCGTTTGGCCGCAGTGATGTAGAAATGACAGCTGACAGTGTCTGGCGGCGCGAACTCTCGACAGATGCGCAATTCCTCTTTGAACCACTCCATGGTCTCTGGGCGCTTCATTGCCCAGATGAGGTGAACAGTCTTCGTCACTGCCTTGCCGTCTCGCATGCGTTTGATGATATCCAGCAAATGCGAAACGACGGCAGTGATACCTGTGCCTCCCGCAATCAAGACGACATGATCGAACGAATGGATGATTCTTGTCCTGCCACCATAGGGCCCGTCAATGAATGTTCGGTACGTCCACCAAGGACCATGATCCAGAGCGCTGTCCAACACCTTCTTGGTGAAGCCACCAAAAGGTCGGAACACAACGACCATGTCTCGGTAGTTCTCACCATACTCGGAAGGATAGTCATCACTGCAGAGCGATGCTATTGTGAAAGGATGATTTTCGAAGAATGAAATGCCAGGCATTCGAAGGTAGACATACTGGCCAGGCTTCCAGCGCATCTGCGTGGGAATGGTGACTTTGACGGCGTTCTCGTGCAGGACAGTCACTGCAGCTTCCTCGCCGATGCAGAAGGAAATACTGCCAGGGTTCGTCCAGTTTAAGTAAAAGAGTCGAAAGAGATAGGAAGCTACCCAGATTGCCGTGGTGGCAAACAGATAATTCCAAGACGCGAGGTAGTTGTGGCAATGCCAGAATAGCATGCCCAAGAAGACGATTGCGACTGGCACATGCAGCATGACGAAAAGTTCGTAAAAGCGCCGTCGAATCGGGCCAAAAGAGTGAATACAGAGCACGAGTATTGGTACAAGCGCAGCAATGCCTATCATGGTCAGCTTCAGCGCCTCAATTTGTTGGAGAAGAGCTCTTCTCACCTGTACCGTAGATGTATACGCCACCCTGCTGCTGTTTCAACAGCTGATGGAACACCCGCAGACCGCCGTTGTCGTAAACAGGAGTGATATAGAAAGGTACAGTGTGAACTAGACTGAGGAACAGACAGATATATGCCAGCCATCGATGCAATACGTTGAGCCGTTCGTGTCCGAGGCCAGTGAGCAGAGAGATGAAATTCGCTTTCATGCTGAGGCCGACTATCCAAGGCATCAATGCCACTGCTATCATTCCCGATCGAATAGCTAGAGGCGGAGAGCCGTACTGGATTGATGACCAGTACAATGGCTGAGGTACGAAGCAGTACAACACGACAAAAGCCAGTGCTGCGAAGACAATCAGGCAAACTCCAGGACTAGGAAAGTTGACCGGCCTTAGTTTCCTCAACAATTTGATGCTCGGTATCGGATGGTAGAATACATGTCGAATCGATCCGAGCAAAATCCTAACAAACCAATTGGAGGAGGAGTCTGCATGTGCGTTGGGCGGCTGTTGTAATGGTCCCTCTGTTGGGAAGAACTTGCGCGTCGATCTGTCCGTATTCGGGGCGGAGACTGCGTAGTCCGTAGCAGGAGACGCGGTCTTGGCCACTTCTTCCATGAATGCCTCATGTGAGGCAACCCGAATCTTGTCGTTCCAGTAGTGATACCGTCGTACTGCGGTGGTTAGGGCCAGGAGGATGATGGCAAAGTATACCCAACCAAGCGCATATTTGCCCGACTGCTGCCAAGGGTCGACAGTCTCTGCTTCGACAAGACCAGGCGGGCTGCTACTGTTGCAACAAGGTATATAGACACGTTTCTCTAGTGTCGAAACACCTTCCAATATTCTTCGTTCCGGTAGGGCAGCGGACCGAACAAGCGTCTCTTCGGAGATCTCAGCCCGCTTCGCCAGAAGCTCAGCAATGGATAGCATCTTGGTAAATCGTCGAATGGATCTGATCTCTCCGGGTCGCCTGAATGCGGCCAGCACGGCCCGTCCCTGATGGGGTCCTCTGTATTTTATGCGAATGTCGTCTGATGACAAGAAGGCTGGTAACGTCGTACAGCTTCCATGTGTCGTGTGACGAGCTGTAGGACCTCGCGATGCTTCGTAACGATATGTATATCGTGCTGCTCGTATGGGTGCCTTTGATCGAAAGTTGGTCCTCTTCTCAACAGAGTGTGATATACATCGGTGTCTTTGTCTGTATGAAGGCTAATTAGGTAGCGTAGTAAAGAAAGGCTTTTCCTTGCGGACGATGAGTGTATAAACAAGGGGATGTGATACAGGAAGTGCACACTGTCACCCCAGTAAAGAGGCGTGAGATGCGAGTGTATATATCCAGTGAGTGCTTCCGATGCGCAGGAACGGGTGACGAGGGTGCAGGGACCTCCATGCGGGAGATCCGCAAACTCTCCCCAATCCTGTCCATTTCTTCCTGTGTAATGTGCAGCCGTGCTCGCATACCTCTTTGCACGCAATGTGATCTTCCTCCTTGCGCGCTTGACATGACGGCGCAGAGCTTGATGACCGACACCCCGTCCGATGCGTATGCTCAGCGCGAATTCGAAGAGAAGTCGAGCGCTTGTGGCATTGAGAAATTAACCTGCAGGCCAAAACAGGTAAGTCGTCACTCAATGGACTTGGGTCTAGAGGACGCCACATGTCTTCCCGTCGTCTGGCAGACATTGGAGCCGACATCATCGAATTGCACAGTTTCTCTTCCACACAGGTCCCGCAATGCGCGCTATGCGAAGAGACTTTCAATTTGCGTGTCCGCCATAATTTCTGGCTTCATGATACGTTGAGAGACGTGTCCAGCGCTGTAGTTGATCACAAGTCCGCTGTGCAATTCTTCACAGGAGGCACTTCTTTTACTCGTGGATGTTGCTATCGATCGCGCTCCCTTGTGCTGTGGACGAAGCACAGAGGAGAACGCGACTCGAGCGTATGAAGTGAGGTCTCTAAGCGCGCGGGAGTAACCGCCGTTCCCTCAGATACCTCACATGGCAATTCCGATTGGTTCATGTCTGTCAGCCAGAGCGAACTCTTTTCCAACAGGCAATTACTCCTCCGCCTACCATACGAATCGACGTTCTCCATCGGGCGTTCATCTGACTTGGGGAAGGGAGAGATGGAACAGCCACGGTGACGGTGAGAGATGTTCGAGAACCCAGACATGCGACATCGGGTACACTTGCACTACTGTATTGCCCATGGCTTGTGGCTGGAGGCTGCCACGTGAAGGCGTCCAGTAATTCTCCGGGTAGCATACAGCTCAAGAGCTTGACGAGGGTCCTAGATCAGAGCATGCGATGCCATCAGCTTCAGAGGATACTGGCGTGACTTCACGCTCTGGTTCAGGTGGATACTGCAACCCCAGTAGGCTTTACTCAGCGCCCCTGTATGAATTCTTGATTTGCATCCTCGCAACTTTGACCACGTCCTGGCTGATCTCCGACGATCCGACGCTTCCTACACAGTTTGAGAACGTTGTAGAAGTCTAATATTTCTATCTTTCCCCACATGCGCTCTTGTAGCCGCGCGCGACGTCTCGCTGATGGTAGAAAACAGATTCTCTTGCACTCTGTAGTGGAAGCGTTGTTGGTCGGTCAACACGACCACGCATCGGCAACTTGTGTCATGATTCTAATCCTCGAAGTTCGTCGAAGTTCGAGGTGTTGCACCAGCGGTCCTCAAGGCGCTCGCATGAACCCGTTCGAACCTTTCGCTTTCCAGGAGGTCCTTGGTCCTGGTCTTGGTGATAGTCTCATGATGTAATCCTAAGGTGTGTCATCGCGATCTAGTATTCAATTTCCGTCGTCATCGACTTCTTCCATCTGGACATTCTTGCTTGCGACTGATTCCGCTTGCGAGGGAAATATCTCGGTTTTCATCTCCTCTTCAAACCTTCGCATCTCCTCGTCCAGGTCAACCTCTGGCGCTTCCGCGCGCACTTCAGAAGCAGTCTGTTCAAACCTTGATTCGAGACTAGCCTCCTCAGCTGCTTTGTTGGCAGCGTAGTATCCTGATTTTTCAAGTCTGTCGATCTCTTCAGGTTCCAGCAGCCGTCCTTGACCCTTGCTTTGCTTTTTCTTTTGCGCAACAACGGAAGGCACAAACCGTGTGGCTTCCTTCTTCAGGTCTCTGATCTGTGGCGCGCTCGTGTAAACCAGCTGCGGAGGCGGAGGAGCAGCTGGCTTTGCCGGTAGTGCATGAGGTACTCGCTGACCATCCGGGCCTACTTGTAGATCGACGAAAGGCCTGCGCTCTTGTCGTGGGATAGGCGGTGGAGTGTCCCGTGGCATGGGTATATCCCGGGCCTCCGGGTCGCTGTCACTGCTTTCCGCTTCCTGTTCTTCTCTACGCCGCTTGCCTAGATTCTGTCTGCGTTCGCGCTGCTCTTGTCGAGGATCGTGCCTTTCCCTGCGCTCGTGGCTTGGAAACTTTGGGGCGGCATCGCCTAATGCTTCGCGTGCTCTTCTGACGCCTCTCAGATCCCGCTCAAGCTGGGCTAAGGTGTCCTTATCTTTGGGACGAAGGACGCCGCGAGCCTCCGACTCTTTCAACTCGTCGATCTGCTTCTGAAGGCGCTCCGGATTTCGTTTGGCAAGCTTCTCGTTGCGCTGATTCTGCACGTGCTTCTTGTTCCTGGCAATCTCTTTCTGCTTGTCGGCCTTGCGCTGCTGCGCGGCTGGGTTGATTGAACGCTCCTTCGGCATTGTCGACGTGTCCTGTCTTGTGATTGAAATGGTGCGCAAGACGACGCCGTCCACAGAGTTGTAGGAAGGGAAGAAGAGGACTTGAGCCAAACCCTTTGAGGTAAATGCGAAGCTGCATGTTTAGAGTTCACTAGCACAGCTAGCGTCGCTTAGCGCTGGTGTGCACAGTGACCTCACAACAACGTCTTGCTCTAGGGTCCTGCGCGTATGTACATGTATTCCTGCTTGAGATGACTGTTCTCACCATGCCAACTTCTTCCCCCTCCGCCATCGTCAGCGGTCAAAATGGCGCGTCGACAGAACGTGATTGCGACCTCCATCACCCACTCCATTCGACACAGCGACGAGAAGCGCAAGCCCGTCACGGCTCGCATTCCTGCCTTCTTCTACGTATACTGGCTCACCTTTGAGTGTGTGCGCGAGGATCTCTTCAAAGCTTTGAGAGCAGCCTGGCAAATCAGCGAAGATGAATACAGAAAGAGTTTCGGTGCCGATGATAAGGTTGCTGCTGCATTGAAACCTATGGGTACTCATCTCCCATTGTCAGTACCATTCCGCAGCATAGCAGCTGACTTTCCAAGGCGATATGGGATATTCCGGCTCCACTTTCTTCACCACAACTGACAGCCGATACCTCGTCAAAAGCATTCCTCGCCACTTCGAGCACTCGTTCTTCAAGAACGACTTGCTAGTGCCGTATGCGGAGTACATGCAGAACAACCCTTCTTCACTGTTATGCAGGATTACGGATTTTCTAGAATGCTATGAGTCAAGCATTGGCACCATGTTCGGCTCCGCACCAAGCCACCACATCGTCATGGACAACATCTTGTTCGGAAAAGGCGAGGACGGCGCAGAATGGGAAGATTGGGATCTCAAACCCATGAGCTACTTCTACCCAGAACGCGACGTAGCCGGCGGTGTCTTGTCTAGCGAAGCAACGAAAAGCAAGCTAGCAGACGAGTTCAACGACAAAATCTTGCTTTCTCTGGATCAAGCTGAAGAGTTCAAGGCTCAACTTGCAAAGGACACGGCATTGCTTGCGAAATCCAACGCTGTCGACTATTCGCTGTTTCTGGTTAGAATCCCTTACTCCGATCCTGCTGATCCTACGAAGAGTGTCGGCACCGAGAACGTGACTCCGGCAAAGGCTCCCTTCGTGCCTCCCAACCCTCCAAGTTGGCGCACTGGAGCGCGATCAGTAGACGGCAAGTACCTATACAGGGCCGCGATCTTGGATTTTTTCTGGGCGAAGCATAAGGTCCACGCAAAAGCAATGACTGGTCTGATTAACGTATACAATGCTGTTGACCGGCAAGGCCCCATGAGTGTTACAACGGAGAGTCCGGAATACAGGAGTCGGTTTATGAAAATGTGCACCGACTTGATCGAGACTCTTTAGTGATGAGAGATGAAGCGATGTTTGAATGGCTAAGACTGATCGAGATACCCCATTACTAATCTGCTTCGATGAATTGGATTCCATACCTGCGCATGTTAAGTGTTGAACAACAGAATTGGAGAGTCTGAATAACCGCCTGTCGAACTACGACGGCAAGGCAATAATGCGTGATAATTCACATCCATTGGCTTACACTGCTTACACCAACAAACACATGTCATGTAGGCCCGTCTCTTCCTCTACCCAACCCAGCGGTCGTTGGAGGTAGAGGTACCGTTTTTGCCTTCGCATTCGAACTATGCCTTCCCCCGACGCCCTTCTTGTTCCAATCCACCTCCTTCAACAATGGGCCTGCACGGCCACTCTTGCGGCTAAGCTTCTGATCCCCACCTCCCTCAGCATCAACCTCACCCCCACTCAATAAATTCGCCAAAGCACCTCTGCTCTCCATAAGTTCCTGGAAAGTCCCTTCCTCAGCCAGAACGCCCTGATCGAGCACGACAATCCGCTCCGCGATTTCCATCATATCCTTGTGATGCGTGATGATGATGACCGTGATATGGGGCTGGTCTCGGATCAGAGAGCGAATTGTGTCGCGGATGAGATTTGCGGATTGCACGTCTAGAGCGGAGGTTGCTTCGTCGAGGATGAGGACGGAGGGTTTCCGGACGAGGGCGCGGGCGATGCTGACGCGTTGGGATTGGCCTCCCGAGAGACCGGTGCCGCCTTCGCCGATGAGAGTCTCGTAGCTTTGAGGGAGGGAGAGAATAAACTCATGGATGCCTGCTTGACGCGCCGCGAGTTCAACATTTTCGCGATGGGGATGGTCGTGAGGGAGACCGTAGGCGATGTTCTCGGCTACAGTGGCGGAGAATAGTGTTGGAGTCTGCGAGACAACGCCAATGAGAGCTCGCAGAGAAGGCGTGTGGATGTGGTGAATGTCTCTGCCACCAACAGTGAGCTCACCCACGTCGTGGTGGTTGTGACCTTTCATGGTTGCCGTGCTGTATAGGTCAAGGAGGAGATTCGCAATGGTCGATTTGCCTGAGCCAGATCCGCCGACGATAGCGGTTGCAGTGCCCGGATGTAGCCGTAAGGAGATGTCCTTGAGAACGGTCTGGTCTGGTCTTGAAGGGTAGCAAAAGCGCAGCTTGTCAAAGACTATGTCGCCAATGGTAACTATGCGAGTATTGCCAAGATGCTCATGCGAATCTTTTGGTAAAGTTGCAAGGCGTAGCAAACGAGCTGCCGAATCTTTGGAGGCACCAATCTGAGGAATCCATTCAAGGATGTTGGCAACGTTCTGAATCGTGAAGATGAGCATTGTGAATACCTGGATGATGTCCGCAACTTTGGCTCCATCTGCGATGAGCCTGGAGCCAATATAGAATATCATCGCGACGGCAAAGTTTGCAGCAGAGTCGGATAGGCCATAGAAGAAGCCGGAATAGAAAGACTTCTGCAAGCCAACTCTCAAGGCAGCATTGGTAGCTTGCATGTAGTTCTTGAGAAAGTGTGGCTCCAATGTCAGCGCGCGAACGGTTTTGATATTGGTGAAAGTCTCCGTGAAGATGGCTGCTGCAGCTTCACCGGCATCGTTGCTTCGATTTTCCCACCTCTCGCTGATTCTCGCAAAGGCCTTGGTCACTCCCCAGATGTAAGGAACGACCGCAAGAGCGATCAGGGTCATCTTCCACTGGGTACCAAGAGCCCAAAAGATGGAGACCAAAACCATAATCGTAGCCACGTAGGCCAGAGACGCAAATCGGCCGAGAAGGTTGCGCATTTCTTCAGCGCTGCGGTCCAGGCTCATTGTCATGGTGGAAGTACTGTTCTCCTCCTTCTCAAAGAAGTCCCTCGGCTGATCCAAGATACGACTGTAAGCCACGCAGCGAATCTCGTCAACCCATAACTGACTAGTGTATTCGTGAAGGAAGCGATACAGCCAAGTATGCAATGCATCTCCAACAGCAATGCCAAGAATGATCATCGCGTACATCAGAGATTTCTTGCTGTCGCCTCCAGGTTTCGAGTAGAGCGTAATCATCTTCGATACCATGAAGGAGAAGGCCGGGCTGACAACGGCATGGAAGGAAGCACCGTAGAATCCGACAATCAGGTATACCCTGGCTCTCCAGCCTAGATTCGGCCACAAAGTCTCGAAAATGTAGGTCAGAGAATTGAGCTGCGGCCCTTTCTTCACATGCTGATTCGCCTCTAGTGCGGCGAGCGACGCCTCAGGTCCAGTAAGTGGAATAGCGTCATCGTCCTCTACAAGCGGACGACGCCGACGAGTTGCACCACGTCTGGCATCGACGGCGCTCTGCCCTGTTTGATTAACAAGATCTCCAAGCATTTGGGAGATGCGATTGGATGGAGAAGATGAGCTCTCCATATCTTGGGGTGCCGGAGTTCCAGCTTCTGTAGGCGACTTTCTTGCGGTGAGAGCAGGCCATTTTGACGTCCAATCCAGAGCAGGGGAATTAGCAGCCCGCATGAGAGGAGAAAACGTTCCCTTGAGACCTTGGGGCGGAGCTCTCAAGCCGACCATCGGGCTGCCACCCCCTATAACGTTGGGGAAGTACGACATTCTCTTTGAAGATCTCTTCTCGGTGAACGACAATTCCCGCTCCAGTGGATCGCCATTTTCGTAGAATGCATTCGGTGTTTGGTCGATAGAATATACAGAATCCGTATCAGTAAAGGCCAGCTCGAAAGGGGAATCCTCTGATCCCGCCCTATCATCCTCAGCCAGGAAGGCCTGAAAGGGAGAGTCTTTCATCTCCTCCATTTGCTGCCGATAGCCTTCTTGAGCAACTTTGCCGTTCTGCAAGAGGTAGACGTAATCTTCCGGTTTGATTTGAGATACATCGTGAGTAATCATGATTGTGGTCTTGCCTTTGCGCCAGCGGCGAATTGCCTCCATCATCAAGGTCCGGGTGATGTGGTCTAGCGCGCTTGTAGACTCATCTAGGAACAGTATCGGCGAGTCACGAAGCCGTGCTCTTGCAAGAGCCATACGTTGTCGTTGACCACCAGACATTGAACCACCCTTGAAACCAGCAACTGTATCAAGTCCATCAGGCATCTCGTTGATCATAAGCTGCAAAAGTGCAAACTCGACAGCTCCCATCACCTCGTCCCTGGTGACGGCCTCGTAGTCCCTTCGACCAAACGCAATATTACGAAAGATGGTATCGTTGAAAAGAACACTTGTCTGTTCCACAAGCGTGATGTTCGTCCGGAGCCAAGTGGGATCGAGTTTATCCAGTGGTACGTTGTCCACCAGAATCTGACCCTCAGATGATGAGTAGAATCGCATGAGCAACTGACTGATTGTACTTTTGCCGGAACCGCTTCGACCAATCAGAAAGGTAAGCTCTCCTGCAGGGAGGCGCATCGAAACGTCCTGTACGGCCAACACATCAGGTCGGGACGGATATGCAAAAGTCAGGTTCTTGACTTCAATGTTTCCACGACAACTCGTTGGGGCCAGGGCACCTTCTGCTTCTTTAGCAGAGGACTTCTCCTCGATTTGCACCATGATACTTCGCAATGTCGCGCCAGCACTCCGTCCCTTTTCGAACACGATCATCTGAGGCATGATCGCTGATATAGAAGAGAAAGCCGCGATCGCCGAGAAGAAGGTCGTGATCACGTCGCCAGAGTCGATAGTGCCGCTGGCCACCAGGACACCGCCATAGTAGAATCCTTGCACAAACATGGACACAGCAAGCAGGGCTAGTAGTCCCATCTGCAGAGCACTTGCGTTTGCGACCCGAGCATAGAAGTTCGCAGCCTCTGCCACACTTTTCTGATATTTCTCCACCTCAATCTCTTGCCCATTGAAGCATTTCACCGTCTCGATAGAGGAGAATGCGCCAGTAGAGTACTTCTGAGCCTCGGTGAGCTTGTCTTGCTGCTTGGGAAGATTGCGCTGCATTGGCTTGCCCACTACACCCATAAGAACCATGATCACCGGAACGGTGGCCAGAGTCACCAAAGTCAGGTCCCAAGATTTGGTGAAGGCCTGTATCAGGGATAGGATCGACGTTGCCGCGAGAGAGAATAGAGCGCCAAGCGGTTGTGCGGTCGCAAGCTGCAGTTCTCTGATCTGGGCCTGTATTCTGGGCAGCAAGGCGCCGATGCCATTCTTGCGCCGGTCGTACCATTCGACCTCCTTGCTCATCAGTCCATGGAAGAGTCGGTCGCGAGCGCTTTTGGCTTGCAACTCTCCAAAGGCCATCCAGAACATGAAGTCGAGAGAATGGAAAACCCAGCTACCAGCAGCGAGCCCAACTTGGTAGAGGACGTATTTGGTCTGTCGGCGCATGAGCTCATCTTTGGTGATTCTGCCCGCCGCGAACGAAGTGAAGCCCTCGAACAAATCGCCCACGATCAAATTCTGCGCGGGGCTCACCGCACCTGCAACGAACGAGACGAAGATGCCAGCAAGTAGAAGTGGGATGTGCGCTCTCGTGGAAAAAGCGAAGAGGGAGCGCCACTTCGCTTGTACATGTTCCTCTTCTTCATCATCGGCGGCCTTAGCTGTCTCGCTGATATCTTCGGATTGTGTCTTGCTCTCCTTGGAGGCTCGCCGCTCACGCCGCCGCCCCTTGAGAAAGTTTCCAATCGCCATGGATCAAGCTGAAACAAAATTCCATTGCACAAGATGTCAGCGGGGAGATGTGAGTTTGTTCGTTTAGTGCAGGTTGCCGAGGGCGGCGCACGGACCAGTCTAGAAGGTCGAGGTGAAGTTCATGTTGCCATTCACGGAATTTTCTCAAAGCATTGGCCGCTAGTATTGTTCTTGTCGCCAAGCTCGGGGCCATGATATATTTACTCACTGACAGACCATGTTAACTGTGTCTTCTGCTCATAAGTCATCACAGCTCGTCATTCGTTATCCCTAACTGCAATGTGCCCACCCATTGTTCAGATCTACCAGGACGTTCTCAGGGGAAGTCGTGGTACTTTCTAAGCCAGATCGCCGAGGTTCCGCTGGAATGCATCAAAGCTGTTTGGCGATCCACATATCTGTGGTATGGCTCTCTCTTTCTCTCCTCTTCATTCAGCACAGTTATGGTCTAACATCGAGTAGGCAGGGCTGGTTCGGCAGATCCTCTTGGCCGGATGGAAAGGCCCTCGAATTACTGGCAGGCTGGGCTCATGAGGCTTTGCCTGCATTCGCCTGGGCTTTCTCATAGATCCAGTCGTTCAGACCGGCGCGATTCCTGCACGCTCTGTCAGCATGTTCCTCAAAACAAGCCTTCCGACAACTGGACGTACCTCGCAATCTCGATCGCATAGAATTGCATTCGGACAGCTATGGAATCGCAAGTCAGTCAATAGCCTGTGCATATCCTTCTGAAGGCAGCACTCACCAAATATCGTCTCTTTCTCCCCATACTCCCAAGCCGGGTTGGCTCTCAACATAGTCCCAAAGTTGAAATCCTCAATCTTCTTCTCGTACTGGTTGATGAAGTTCCTCCACCTCTCCTTTCCTTCCTTGCTCTTCATCTCTTCCTCGTTGATCGTCGCCTTGAGGTCGAAGTCAGGAAAGTCCTTGTTGAAGTGTTCCAAGATTTCATCGTCCATCTTTGTCAGACGAAGCTTTGATCCGGGAAGCTTCTCGAGAATGGCCCAGTATGTTGACATGTGCTCAACCACTGCAGTTTTCACGTCAGCTTCAATCGCTGCATATTTCTCCGAGAAGGATCATGATCCGTGCCGCACCTTTGACAGCGAACTGCTTCTCGATCTCCTCGAAGTTATCCGTCTCCTCTGGGTTAATGGGCCCGCCGGGTCCGCTGAGAGACATATTTGCGGTTGTGAAGTGAGAATAATCTTGAGTTTGGTTTCGCGTGGAAGTTCGAATGACGACCTCGAGATGCTTGGCGCAACCTGGAAGATTCGTCGGCGGAGCTATCCCGGGAAAGCCGAAACTCTGTTGAACGTTTACTGGCCACTATCACATGCGGCAGATGAGACTAGAATGCTCCAGAAGACAAGCTTCAGTTTGATATAGAAAACGAAGCAGTCTTTTGAATAGCGCCAACGATTCTGGTATCTTCTAAAAGCAGCGACGGATCGAAAAGAAAGCATCCAACCGAAATGCATTACCCGTTTCCCCCGAAAGCCATAGACCTTCTCAAAGAACCTATCCACAGCTCGATCCAGTTATTTGGACGCTGTATCAACCTTCTCACTTCCACGTCCTGTTCCACCCGTGCTTTGTGCTTTCTGTCCTTCCTTAACACGACCAACTATCGCTGGATCCGCATGAGTAAAGTCATGTTGTTAACAAAACCCTCCACGATATCATGCACCGCACTTGCCTCATTCCTCTTCTGACGATCGATCTGTTTTCTGAGCAGATTTGAGTCGACTTCCAGTTCTAGCTCATACTTTGGGGGTAGTCCGGGGACATCCACTCTGGTGAGGTCCACGTGGTATGCCAAGTGCTGATAACTCAACCGATCTTTTCTCCGATTTGGCGCGACTGGATTGTCAGATGAAGCCTCTTCCGTCAATGTATTTGGGTCCAACCCTGGACGATCAAGGTTGACTTCCAGATTCATCGAGATGCGGACGTCATATGGGTCCTCGGCGCCGAAGATGTGCAGGTGTTCGCCGATTGGCACTTTGACAATGCGCGCCGTTACTTGGCCGGTCTTGTCATCGGTCGAGGTGCGAAGCTTCATGTCGCGACGCATTTGATTCTTTCGGCGATGTGCAGCCTCTGGCAGGGCGCGCATGCCCTCTTCGGAGAGGTTGCGGAAGGAGTCAGTTTCGCGACTATGCTTGTATTTGATCGATTGGCGGCCTTTGCTCGCAACCGACTCTTGCGTGGCCTTGTTCAGGAACTCGTTCATATTCTTATGCTCGATCTGGGACGACGTATTAGCGTGTGTTCATGAAGGAAAGCTCTGTGAACAGATAGCATTGTCATAGCTCGTGGTCATCACTCACCTCGTTCATCTCGCTTTCGAACCGCATTCGCCTATTGTAAGCGGGCGCAATCACGCAGGCATTCTGGACCGGCATTTGAATCCGGTCCCCGCTGTCAACATCTACAAGTGTGCCGATTTTCGCCTCGATCTCGATAATTCCCTCACGAGGATCCAGGCCAATGTCCGAGTTCCGATCCAAGTTCTGCCAAAGCCAGGTGGTGATGGCTCTGTTGAATGGCGTCAGAGGCGTGCTCCATTTAATCGACTTCTCCCAGGCACCCAGCAGCGCACGAGCGTTGAGTAGGTCATTGTCGATTGGTGGGTTCTGTTGCCAGGGCTTCTGATGTACGGCATCCGGATTCGAAGCAGGCATGTTGGATTGAGCTTGGCCATTAGCTTGTGACTGCGCAGATGGTAACCCGGTATTTGCACCGTTGAAGCCGCCGTTGGTCTGAGGCTGTGGCCTCGCCTAGAGTGATGTCAGTATGCTTCGACGTAGTTCTCACGAAATTCAAAGAGTGGCAGTTAATGAGATTCACGTTTCGCTGCCCAATAGAGGAGATCGAAGAGAACAGTAGGCGTACTTACAGATTGCATGCTGTTCGGTACTGCGCCTGGCTCCCGTGCTCTTGGGTTGTCCTTCGCCAAGTGAGCCCAAATTGGACGCTCTGTGTATCTGCGGCCTCGCCCACGTTTCGCTGGAGGCTCGACGGCAGGATCTGACTCAGCAGGACGCTTCAAGGGCATCTTCTGTTGGGTTGACGTGGGTCCGGCGGAGTTATTCGTGCGCGGATGTTGTTGTGCCGGAGCTGCTGGAGTTGTTGTAGGAGGCATATTTGGCTCCGAATGAGATGCCGCCGAGAAGGAAGATGACTGCGCCGGTACTTGAAGCTCTGTTTTCAGTGAGCCGTGCGTTCGAGGCTCATTCCTCTGCGACTGACTCGAATCACTCGGCCCCGAAGGTGTCGTCCGGAACTTGTCACCATTGGGCAGAGTCGGATGTGCGTGTTGAGTAGGAGCAAGTAAGTGGTTCATGTCCATTCTTTGAGGCGAGTGCTGAGGTGGGGCCCTATTGTCCAGATGTGACAAAGGGTTTGCATTCGCGGGCGGTCCCGACAACAGGCCACTTGTTTGTGAATGCACTTGTGCAACACCACTTGCCGTGTTTGAGGCTTGTGGCTGTGCGTGTGAAGACGTCTGGTGCGGCTGCACGTGATGAGGTGTCTCTGATTGAGCCGCCACGCTCGCACCCGGTTGCAATGAGCTGCGAGCACTGTACACCTCCTGCTGGCTGCTGTGGCGCGAACCAAGAGATGGCGGCCGAGGCGGTGGCACGGTCTTGGGACTTACTGACACACTGCGTTCCCGGCTCGCAGAACTTCGATGATCGCTTACTCGCCGTGTCTGCGGCGAAGGCCGATGTAACAAGCTTGGAGATTCCACTAGATTCCCAATGCTTGGGTGGTGCTGGGCGGGAGAGCCTGCAGTGATGCCATTGGATGCCCCAGAGGGCGATCGATAATGGATAGGGCTGGAAACGTCAAGCTGGCTGTTGTTGGAATGCCTCTGCGGGATCTGGGGAGGACCGAGGGGAGTATTCGGCTGCGAGTGTTGGTAGTGCGACGGATGAGGCGGCTGTTGGTAGGCAGACTGATGTCCTGGAGCAAGCGGACTCTGGCGAATGCCTGATGGTGTCTGGCTGTGGTGTGAGGACGGTGTTGGAGACATTGAGTTGTGATGAGCGTTGACTGCTTGCTGGTAACCGACCATCGACGGAGAAGGCTGTGGGTGTGCGGAAGAATAGCCATGACTGGATGGTCTCGGCCCCGGGGTGGTCGCTGAGAAGTACTGCTGTGCCTGACCCGGATGGGCTGAAGCAGGACTCTGCAAAGGCTGTTGCTGCGGCGGAAATGGATATTGTCCACTGCCTGCCTGCGAAGGAGTGTGCAGCGGTGTCAGGCCCCTACTCTGGCTAGGTGGCATGGACGCTGAAGGAGGCCCATATAGGGGTGTCTGCTGTCCGGGCCCTTGCCCAGGCGTCGGTCTGGGCGGCGCATATCCTGCGAGATAGCCCCCGTTCTGCGCCTGCGCGGTTGGTGGTGGTGATGTCTGCAGCGGCGCAGCAACTCCTCCTGCTGAGGGCGGAGGAGAAGATTGGGAAGACTTCTTCTCTGCCGGCGGCTTGTCATTGAGCATCGATTTGAGATCCATCCTGTCTGCAGCCTCTTTTCTCTTCCACGCCCTTTAAAACCCCGCCCTCTGTTTCGTCTCGTACAAGATCTTGTCTTAATCGGGCCCAGCTAGCAGCGCGCTGCGACGACGTCCCTCGCAACGATGGCGGCCATGTGAGGGTTCGCGCGACGGCCGGACGGAGCGACGATGGAGCTCCCTTGTCTTCCTGTTCCTTCGTCTGATCGGGATGGTCCGACAGCAGCTGTGGCCTCCGCCTGCCCTTGTCGGGTGGGATAGGTATGGTAGCACGCTCGGAAATGGGAGACCGGACAGCGTAGCACAACGGAGGGCAAGATGAATGCGACGGAGAGATGGAGCGCGGGAGAGGGATAGAGCTGGCGTTTGGTATGGGATATGCAGTAGAGAGACTGACAGATCTCAAACTGAGACTTGGCAAGGAGGACGCGTAGGGGAAGCTGCGGGCCTTGATCAGCAGCTCTGAGGGAGACTGAGAGGCAGCCGGAAGTCAAACAGTCGGAGAAAGCTTCGCAGAGTTCGCCGACGCTGCAGTTCCGGCGAGGCGATGATGCGTGTCTGTGCTTGCCTGAGGTCGCGCCCGAATGAAGCTCTGCTACTCTTCGCTCAGCGATCACACCCGTCCTCCTCCATCAACCAAACAACAACACCTTCACCACCATTCAACTCCACTTTGTATTAGTGCAATACTTTCCGACGGTCCTTTCGGCGGCTTCCTACCCTTCTCTCACCAGCCACAACAAACCTCCGTCACCAGCTCCGGCGCGGCACTGTTTAGCTCCCTATCTACGCCGTTGTTGCTTCCACCTGTTTCCACCACCACTCGCCATCACCACCATCGGCGCGGAGCACGATAAGAGGCAGTAGACATCAATACATTTGGGCCGCCAGCATGGTCGGCCTCACATCTGCCGCTGGCCTGGTTGGCTTCCTTTCTGAACCCGACCCGGCTTTGCAGGCGTTTGCGCTGCAGCGCCTCAACGACCAGATCGATGCAGTTTGGACGGAGGTATCGGGCTCTATCGGACAAATGTACGTGTCTTGTGCTAGTCATGGGGTAATGCTGCTGTTTGGCGATGGCAGCATATGATCAGGCGTGGCGTATCTCGGTATGACAAACGAGCATGAGCTGACGACTGGACAACAGAGAAGCACTCTACGAAGACGAATCATTCTCTCACCGGGACCTCGCTGCTTTGGTCCTTTCCAAAGTCTACTATCAGTTGCAGGAGTACGATGAGTCCATGGTCTTCGCCCTCGGCGCGGGTAAGCTGTTCAATCTTGACAACGCCGGCGAATACGAGGAGACCATCGTTGCCAAGTGCATCGACACTTTCATCTCGCTCTGCGCCCTTCATAACCCTCCCTCTTCTGTCTCCGCCACCGGTCGCCAGAGCTCCGTGGATCTCGACAGTGCCAACGCTGCGGGAACCTCGCCCACCACGCCGTTTTCACAATCCGCGATTCCATCCAAGTCATTGCTGTCGCGTGAGGATGAGAAGGGCTACAACTCCTCCGCACCTGGCGGCGGCAATGCTGGCGTTCCCGGAGCGCATCCTCAACCTCTGACCCTACCGAACGCTGTGAAGAAGAACTTGCACTCGGTCATTCGGAGGATCTTCGAAAGCTGCTACGAGGTCGGCGCGTATAAGCAGGTCGTTGGCATTGCTGTCGAGGCTCGTAATATGGAGGTTCTGAAGGAGACGATTCTGCGGTCAAGCCAGGAAGAGAAGGGCAAGGGAAAGAAGGCCGCGAGTGCTGGGTCAACCGAAGATCTCATGGAGTACGTGCTGGACATCTGCATGAACGTGGTGCAAGAGCGTGGTCTGCGAAACGAGATCTTGAAGCTTATCTTGGACATGCTGAATGACATTCCGAGCCCCGACTACTTCGCCATCGCACGATGCGTTGTGTATCTGAATCAAGAGTCGATGGCATCCAACATGCTCCGTCAGCTTGTCCAGAAGGGCGATGGGAGGTCACTGGCCATCGCTTACCAGCTATCTTTTGATCTTTACGAGAACGGCACACAAGAATTCTTGCAGAAGGTCATGGATGAACTGCCCGAGGATGAGACCGAGAAGGAGGACGAGCCAGAGATGAACGGAAGCGCTGTCCGACCATCAACACCACACCCAAACCAGAGCGAAGGCGCAACTGAATCGGATCAGCTCCTCTCTGAGCTCAACGACTCTGCAGGCGCACCGCAAACATCCACGATTGTTGCGTCGAGAACGAAACCAAAGCCGGAGAACGAAGATCAGAAGAAGGCTTTCACTTCCGTTCGAGAAATCCTGCGCGGCACAAAGAGCATCGAGTTGAATCTGGAATTCCTATACCGAGCAGCCCATACGGACCGAGCCATTCTGAACAAGATTCGCGATTCTCTAGAGGCAAGAAATAGCATCTTCCACACCTCAGTCACATTCGCCAACGCTTTCATGAATGCCGGGACGACTGTGGACACTTTCTTCCGAGACAACCTGGAGTGGCTCGGCAAGGCTGTCAATTGGAGCAAATTTACAGCTACCGCTGCATTGGGCGTCATACACCGTGGAAACCTCAACAATGGCCAGAAGCTGCTGGAACCATACCTGCCAAGGGAGAACGCGAACGCAAGCGCAGGGAGTACCTATAGCCAAGGTGGCTCTCTGTATGCACTCGGTCTGATATATACCAACCATGGCACCCATGTTCTCGACTACCTGCGCCGTCAATTCAGGGCAACCCAAGAAGAAGTGGTTCAACATGGCGGTGCACTTGGACTTGGTGTCGCTGGAATGGCCACCGGATCTGACGAGATCTACGAAGAGCTCAAGAACGTGCTCTACGCAGATTCGGCCATCAACGGAGAAGCTGTCGGCTTGGCCATGGGTCTTGTCATGCAGGGCACCGGCAATCTGAAGGCGGTGGATGACATGATTCAATATGCACACGATACTCAGCACGAGAAGATTGTGCGCGGACTTGCCATGGGAATGGCCCTTATCATGTACGGCCGACAGGAGGGTGCGGATGAACTCATCTCCGGTCTGCTTGACGACGCGGATCCAGCGCTTCGATATGGCGGTGTAATGACTGTCGCACTCGCCTATGCGGGTAGTGGCAGCAACAAAGCTGTGAGAAGACTACTGCACCTGGCTGTTTCAGATGTTAGTGATGATGTACGGAGATCCGCAGTCATGGGCTTGGGCTTCGTTCTCTTCCGAAAGCCTGGTAGTGTACCGAGAATGGTCGAACTGCTCTCCGAGAGCTACAACCCGCATGTGCGATACGGTGCAACCATGGCACTGGGAATCGCGTGCGCAGGCACTGGTCTCGACGAAGCGATTGACCTTCTGGAGCCAATGATGAAAGATTCCGTCGACTTTGTGCGGCAAGGAGCCTACATCTCCATGGCCATGATTTTGGTCCAGCAGAACGACTCAATGAACTCCAAGGTCAGCGACCTTCGCAAGCAGCTTCAAAAAGCTGTGGGCGACAGACACGAGGATGCTATGGCCAAGTTTGGATGTGCGTTGGCCCTAGGCATCATCGACGCCGGGGGTCGCAATTGCACAATCGGCCTACAAACACAGACGGGCAACCTGAACATGACTGCAATCGTCGGCATGGCCGTCTTCTTACAATACTGGTACTGGTTCCCACTGACCCACTTCCTGGCCTTGTCATTCTCGCCCACTACCATCATCGGGGTAGACTCAAACCTGGAGGTTCCCGACTTCAAGTTCCACAGCAACACGCGACCGAGCATGTTCGACTACCCGCCCGAGGTGGAAGTCAAGACTGAGGAGGCGCCCGAGAAGGTCAAGACTGCAGTCCTCTCTACCACTGCACAAGCGAAGCGCAGAAAGCTGGCCAAGGACAAGCAAAACCGCCGTGAGAGCATGGACATCGATCACACCCCTACGACTCCCAAACCGGATGCCGAGGGTGACAAGATGGACACGGACGACAACGTTGTCGAGACTGGCAAGGAAGACGAGAAGGAGAACAACAAGAAGAACATCCAGAAGGAAAAGGTTGGCTTCGAGCTTGGAAACCTGAGCCGTGTGCTTCCGCCTCAAATCAAATACATCAGCTTCCCGCTTGACGGACGGTATCAGCCGGTGAAGCAGGTAAGACGGCACGACATATTCACAATTGAAAGAGCATAGCTAACATTTGACTAGCCCACTGGAGGTGTCATTCTTCTGCACGACACGCGACCGGATGAGGAGAGAAGCCTCTTGGAATTGAAGGCCAAGAAGAAGGCACAACCGGCTGCCGCTGCTCCTGGCTCCGGCCGCGGCGCTCAAGTAGGCGCCGATGCCTTCCCACGCAGCGGTGGTGATGCTGACATGATGGACGCGATTCAATCCTCTCTCACGGGCGCTGCTGCTGGCGCCGGCGTTCTCACCGCCGTTGACGAAGACGAAGACGGGGGCGAGGAGGCGCCTGTCCCCGATGAGTTTGAGGTGGACGAAGACGAAGCTGAGGCTCAGGACGAGTAGAACTCGAGGCGCAGGTCGACCGACAGCATCGCAGCCGGGGCGTATCCTTCTGATGGCGAGGATTCGGATTCTACAATTGATGCACCAGATAATAAACGGTCGTCGGGCGAGGAGGATGGTGACGGGGAAGGATGGGCTCGTGCTGTCGATGCGGCCGATGAGCCCAAGGATACGGACCGCGACGATGAAGAGGATTATGTCATGGTAGAGCGGGAACATGCTCAAGGGTAGCTTGTTCTGGACCGCGTGGCCGTCGTCCGGCCGAACGGGGAGCTTCTTTGCCGGAATCGCTCTGAAAGGTTATATCATGTTACTACTACGAGTGAATATCACGTCCTTTCCTGACTTTGACCACCATACATGCGAGTTGGGCGAAGATGGGAGAGGGTAGTAGAGCTCTGTACCGTAGAACAGCGACGCTCGAAATGTATAGTTACTCTTTGGCACTCACGAGAAACTCTGCCAGTCAATCGACGCGACGCAGGGTGAGGATTCTGTGTTCTTTTCCCTTGCGCACACGTGGATCATGGGCCATCCTGGTTATCTGGGTCTTGCCATGGCATGCCGTGAGGATGCCAAATGCCGCCGCACCTCGAAGTGGTGGTGTCGCTTCTGGAAAAGGCTTGCAGGAAGTTGAAGAAGAAGGAGGATGCGGAAGCCTTGCGGAAGCCTGTCTTTTGGATGGAGAGGGATGTCGCCGATCACACACGGTCACCCAAGCTGCTGGTCCGTTGGTGCCACAATTATCTACAGTATCTGTGGTATCTTAGGCTGTCGCCATCCCGGTGTGGATCTGGACCTCACCCACTCGACTTCCACCATCCATCAACCAACACACCAACGTGCCAAGACAAGGCTCCTTTTGCCATGTGATTCTGTCCCTTTTCCCTTTGAAGGACGCTAGAGAAGCGCTGCTGTGCTGCCTTTCTTGACAACGAATCTCTCGGGACGCCGTGTAACATGGCACCGCGTACAGCATCACGCCGCTCATCAATCTCCACGCTTCCACGCTTCTGCACGCGGGGCCTTCCATGTGTTCCCTCTCGCAAACATGCTGACCTCGTGTCTCCCGGCATCATCCCAGCCGATTCCGATCTTCAAGCTTTTCCACCCGCCCAGGGCTGGTATAGACGAGACCTCCTCTGCTTCCCCTTTCGCCTCGGCGCCTCACTGCCAACACCATCTGTCGACTGGCGATGTGTAGAAGACGGAGACCTCCCCGGAGACAACAAAGACCCATCGGATCTTGACCTCAGCGCTGCGCAACATGCGAATACCGCCAGTTGAAGTCATCTTATCGTGGCCCACGCCCAACTACCTCGATCCTCCAACGAGAGGAGAAGCATTACTCGTTCTGATGGTGCTGTTCTCCGCCTTGGTCCTGATAGCCGTATTGGGTCGCTTCTATTCGAGAGTCATCGTGAAGAAAGGGTTTGGTTGGGACGACAGCATGATTGTATTAGCATTGGTGAGCTCTGGCATATGCGGATCGCGACGTCGGACGCTATCTCACGGCGCGATAGATCTTCTCGCTGGCCATGAATATCACCGTCATACTCGCGAACCGAAAGTACGGATGGAACCGCCACCTCTGGGACGTTGACCCAACCGATTATTCAAATGCAGGCATCATTGCTTTCACCGCGAAGCTCCTCTTCGTGGAAGCGGCAACATTCACCCGAATGTCCTTGCACTGCTTCTACTATCGACTGGTAAGAGACAGCGGAATTGGATGGTTCAGATACGTGCTGCACGCTAGCATGCTCTTCATCGTATTGCTGGGCATTGCATCCATCTGCATCGGCATATGGCTTTGCGTGTGAGTTCATGGGGTCTCGAGTTCACAGGAATGTACTGACCGCGGCTGCAGACCTGTTCAGTCGTATTGGGTCTTTCCACCTATGGAAGACGCCAAGTGCTTGGATGAAGGTGTGGTTACCCTGGTGATTGGAGTGCTTAATTGCTTCGCAGACCTTCTGACAACTCTCCTGCCGATACCGCTTGTCATGAAACTGCAGATGCCGCTCAAACAGGTGAGTGAATGCATTGCACTACCAGATATGACCTGGTGGTATACTGATAGTGGACAGCGCATTGGCGTCTGTATTCTTTTGAGTCTTGGTATAGTCGTGACTGTCGCCGGCGTGGTGAGGACATACTACGTGTGGTAAGCCACTTGAAACACATCCGCCCCGAGAGCTTTTCAGGTCTTGGAGAAAGGCTGACGTTATGCTTTGCGCCATTAGGGTAGCTCTCATCAAGAGTTGGGACGAGACCTGGTTCTCTTACCCTCTCTGGATATGCGCAGCTATCGAAATCGATGTCGCAGTGGTACTACATACCTCCCCTCGCTCCCTTCTAGCCTCTCTTCCACACATCGCTAACGACATCCAGATCTGTGCCTGCGCTCCCGCCCTGAAACATATCCTCCACCAGCCCCTCTCCCGCCTCAGCAGCCAAATCTCCGCCGGAATCTCTTCCCTCCACTCCTCCGTCCGCGGCGGCACCACCGTCCCTCGACCCACACACTCCTCCAACGCAACCAACCGCTCCGTCCGTCCTTTCCGCAAGAAGTCCGGCGATTCGCTCTGGGATGCCCACGAAGAATACAAGACACTGAAGCGCATGGAAGCGAAACAACAGCAGATGACCGCTACCACGGTGTCATGTCATGTCTCTCCAAGCGCGGAGCATGAGATCCATGAATTGCCGCCGCCGCCGCCGCAGCGCCCCGATGCTCCGAAACGCACGCCGACGCTGGAGATCATCAAGATGCAGAGCGTGGATCAGGAGATTTCGTACTTGACTCCCGAGAGGAGCCATGCGAGTGCGAGTGGGAGTGGGAGTCCGCCGCAGACGGTGGCGACGGAGTTGGGAGAGTCCTAGTAGTAGTAGTAGTAGTAGTAGTAGTAGTAGTAGTAGTAGTAGTAGTAGTAGTAACGAAAGGGGCGCTACTACGTCGCTGCTCGTGCTGATCTTGGCGGATCGGGTACTAACTATCATGCGGTTGAAACAGGACAGAGCATACAAAACTTCCCAGACCCGACCAAAAACAAATTCGATGGGCTTTTCTCCCAGCCTTTGTATAGGAATTAAATAGATACCCCCAATGATTCTTCGGCAGCGGCGCCGCATGGATGGATGGAATGTATGGCGTATTCCCTTTTTCTTTTTTGGAACAAGGTTGTATTGATATTGGCATATCACATGTATTTCTACCAGAAGAGAGAGAGAGAGAGAGAGAGCCCCCTTTCCGACCACCGAGCTCGAGCTCGAGGCGACGATCTGGACTTCTCATCTTATTTTGGAACCTGGCAGTCAGTATCCGTAGAAAAGGTGGATGAAAAGGGGACCGACCGAAACGTAGACGCAAGAAAAAAGTCAGGCCGCTATCTAGCAGATAGGAACAGGAAAGACGGAATTTGTACGTGAGAGATTTGATCGCGCTGGACCCCCATTTGCTTCTTGTGTGGAATTCCGTGAAGGGGGGAATTTCGCTGCCGGGCTTCTTCTTTCTTACAGACAGACCACTTGCAACATGTCGGTATACATCATGTCATCCACAGGGAATACAGAGGAGAGGAAAGGAAAAGGGAATGGGAACGTGAAGTTTTCTCTGAACATGTTATACGATGGGTTACAGTGACTTTTGACTACTAGAGTACAGAGAGAGAGCCTTCGATCGACCGAGCCACCACAAAGCGTGCAGCGAACGTCAAGCTTAACCCTCCTCCAGCGAGCCCCACGGCCTCTAAGTCTCGCACAGCAGCAAAGGCCGTCGCGCACGCAGCATGCAAACCATTTCTCGTCATATCTCGTCGCTGCAGTCATGTGTCCTCTTCTCGTTTCCTTTCTCTCTCAATCACGAAACCTCAAGCAGTCGGAAGCCCAGCAACTACAAAGCACAGCTCTTTCTCCCTCTGATTGCCAGTCACCAGGAGTAACCATCGCCCAACGAGAGAAGTTGCCGTGCAGCGTGATGAAGCACGTCCGTCAAACGCCAAAGTCGCCGATAACGCCAGGTTCTCGTCAGTTGAGGGTGCGGCCGGAGCGGGCAGAGCGCGCAGTGCTCGCGTTGCTGCCGGGACCGCTGCCGTAACCACCGGCGCCACCAAAGTCGAAGCTGCTGCCATGGCCGCCGCTACCGCTGCCACTGCCGCTGCCACTGCCCGTTGGAGCAGGTGGGAGAGGCAGGACGGCCTTGAGCATGTTCTCAACGTAGCCATACTCGAGCTTGGCAACGTCGGAGAGGGACATCTCGTCGGAGTTGCCGGGGTACTTGATCTTGAGGTTGCCCATGGGCTTGTCGATGCCGGCATTCTGGGAGGTCATGCGGGAAGCGAGACTGCCAGATTTCTCGGGCGAAGTGGCAGTGGCCTTGCGGAAGAGGCCTGCGAAGAACTGAACGAGATCTGAGTCAGCTTTGAAGATACGACAGTAAGAAGGGAGAGGTGTAACGTACGAGGAGCAGGTTCCGGTCAGTGCCTGGAATGACGCCCAAGGAAGCGAAAGGCCAAGTGCTGCAGAGCTCATGGTGGCCACCGAGGCGGACGTTGACGCTGTGGCCATCCGCCATGCTCTTGTAGCCGTGCTGACTCATCTGGAAGACGATGCTGTGCTTCTGCTTCTCGCTGAAGCCGGGGCAGGTCAGAGCCGCAACAACGAGCTCCTGAAGGATGGCGGGAGTTGGCTCGAGGGGGCTGTAGCGGCCATTAGACCGACGGAGGTGCTCAACTAGGATGCGGAGGAGCTCCACCGTGCAATCGAACATGCGACGGCGCTCCTTGATAGTGATGTAGTCAAGGGCGTACCATGGGAACTTCACCAGTGTCGTGATCCAGTGCTCATAGACTCGGCACGGGCTCTTGGAAGCGAACGGGGCCTGTAATTGGTTAGTATGGTGTAAGTTGACTGTTCAAGGAGTCACATACCCGATCTGACATGTTGGCGAACTTGATGAGCATGATGCACTCCTCGGGGTGAACGAAGCACTTGAAGCCGTCGGCATCAACGTCGGCGTAGTACTTGCGAGGGGCCTTGTCGATCACAGGCTGGCCGCCAGAGAACCGCGTGTGCTTAGCGCGCGGAAAGAGCTCAGACAGCAATTCGTCCTGAGACGAGTAGACGACCTCAACCTCACGATCGCCCACCTTTGGCGGACGACCGGCTTCGACTCGGCGAGCGAACTGGCGGGCGACGTATGCAGCCTCGTTGGGGCTGGCAAACTCGATGAAGCAGTCCATCGTCTTACCGGTCTCGCGCTCCATCATGATGTGGACCGCATGATACTGGAAGGTGTTAGCACCTCGATGGATAAATTTGGGCCGAGTTCGAATGACTTACCGGTGAGCCTTGTGGCTGGCGAAGGATCTGAGCGTTTCGGCCAACGAAGGCGGTCATCTCCTGCCGAGTGGTGGCATAGGGGATGTCCTTGATGCGGATCACTCCGGCCTTGCTTGGAGCGATCTGACGACCAAGCTCGAGCAATGGCAGAGCCTCATAGGCCTCGTCCAAGTTTGGCTTGCACTCACCACGTATGGCCAAGTCAAGCCAGTCTGGGACAGGCTTTGGCGTGAGCAGCCAGGAAGTCTGAGGCTGCGTGCTGTGGGCCAGAGAGGTGTCAGGCGAGCTCGTGTCAGCAGTGCTGAACATCTTGGTGTCCTGGAATCGCGCAGGACCGAGGCTTGGGGCGGGCATGCGGTCAGAGTGGTCGTAACGGTTCAGCGTGCGATCATATGGGTCTTCGGTCGCGCCGCTCATGATCAGATTGACAAGACGACGCGGTTCGATGTTGGCATTGACAGCGAGCGCGAAAGAGTCGTTGCGCGCTGGCTGCTCGCCCTTCTCGGTGCCGCTACGGCTTCCTCTCTCACTGCCTTCGTTGACAGAAGGAAGAGAGCGGTAACCGCCAATGTCGCCGCCGCTCATGCGCACGTTGCTGAGTCCAGCTCCAAGGCTAGGAATCGTGCTACCGCCGTTGTACGAGCCGTTGTAGCTCCAGTTCTGACCATAGCCGGGGCCAGCACCTGTCGCAGTACGCAGTGACTGCTGGAACGGAGTGAAAGGGGCGTTGGGAAGCTGAGTCGCGAAGGAGATGTTCGAGATGCTCGACTCTGGCCGCACGATCGGATCCATCTGCTGACGGCGCTGTGGTGGGATGTAGGGGCCTGGGTTGGGGTTGAGTCGCGAGTTGCCGTCCAAGGGAGCTGCTGGGCCGGAGTAGTAGGAGTTGTTTGGGATGAAGTCGTAAGCAGCGGTGCGCGGCTGCAGGTTGCGGTCCTTGTCGTCTTGACCCTGGAAGGCCCAGCCGCCATTGCTATTGTAGCCGGACATGTTCGCGCTGATCACTCGGCGTCAGATGGTTGTCGCGTGTGTTGAGGCGTTGCGAAGCGGGTGTGACTGAGTGTATTCAACGGCCGGTCAGTCTCTGAATAGAAAGAGGAGAAGAAAGGAAAGGGGGATTGTGATGGGGCGCATGAACACGTCGAGAAGAGGTGTGAAGGAGGGACGGTGTTGGTGGAAGTGAATGGGAGGGGGGAGAAGATGTGGAGCATGAAAACAAACGAGGAGAGCGCGCGACGGACGCTGTCGCGATGTCAGATGCTGCCATGTGACGACAGCGTTGCCGTGCGGTTGTCGAAAAGGGAAGGCGCCTACCTTTGCGCAGCTGAACACGCGAGATGCTCGTCTAACAAGGCCCAATCAAGGTAACGATTGAGTCCTGAAGTTTGCTTGCTGTTGGAGATGGAAAAGTTAGCATCTGAATGGCTTATGAGCCTCGAGTCACGTGAACTTACAGCTTGGTCTTGAAGGTCTCCCTTAAGCTTGTGTCGCTCGCTCGTGGGCAGGCTCTTGAGGCCCTCTGAAATATGTGTACCTTCGAAAGAAGACTCGGTCAGCAAACCCGCAATGAACGATTTTGTCTCCCGGTCCAGTGGTGCGATGGCAGTGACAGAGCGGCTTGGCGGGCGGCTTTGGCAGTGACACGGCTGGCGAAATATCCTGGGATCTAAGAGTCAAGTGTTACAAGAGAAAGGCTAAACGTACGAGCTTCAGGGGCTCAGCACTGTGTCCGAGTGTCAGCAGCGGAGAGACTAATCGAGGAAGTCTCGCAACACGAGTCCGGAGGCTATGCTCACCGAGATGTGCTTGCTATTGCGTGTGATGTCCAACTGTCGGTCTAGTCGAGATGATGTTGGAGGAGTGGTCGCGGGTGCGAAGGTTGTGTGTTGGGTGGGTGAAGAGGAGAGAACTCGGAGTCACGAAATTTCGAAAGTAGTTGTGTGCTGCAAACGCTGCTCTAGGCGGGTCAGAGCTTCGAGTGCCGGTCTCCGGAGAAGCGAGTCGAATGAGAGGTCATTGGCCAGGCACGGACACGAAGAACGGCCGCCGGGCTGAGCAAAGAGGTCCTCCTCAGCGGGATCGGTGATTCACACGCGGAGGAAGCTGGACAAATATGTGAAGATCCTTGGAGAGTCTGCCTCGGGATCCTGAATGTCCATGGCTGCTCATACAGCTTGTTTGCCCAGCGAAGAATAAGATCACCTCAAGAACTGATATCGCTGGTACTGTCCGTGGAATTGGCAGGAGGCCGTGTGTGACGGCAGGCCTGAGAGCACATAACCTCGAATGATCTTCCTCCGTGTCCTGAAAGGTCGCGAGAAACGTTGCAAGATGGTTGCCCACGTCTGACTGAGAGACTGAAAGACATTATCTTCCGGTGACACATGATAGTCTTCCACGAACAACAACGGCCAGCTCGAGCTTAGCCACTTCTCATGCTCATTGACGGAAATGAAAGAGCAACGAAATGAGCAACGAAATGAGCATCGAGATAAGCAACGAAATAGCAACGAGACTGTATAGCAAACAAACGACAGAATCTCGTCGGCTTAGAAGCTTCTTCAAACGTATAATATCGCTGCTTTGGTGCTGATGGTCTGGCTGTAGAATTTCTCCTCGGCAGCATACTGGAGATGAAATGTACAACCTTATACGTCTGGACAGATGCTGTAGAGAAAAAGATTATGATCAAGAAACGTGCGAACGTACTGATATGACATTGACGGCGAGAATGATCCCTCGAGGACCACGAGTAAGGTCCTGTCCCTACCACGATATGCAATAGCTAGCAGGGGAGGCCGCCCGTGAACCGTATCAGGCGCTGCTCGGCTCCTCCTTCGCATCCTTCTCAGCTTCTGAGCACTCGAAGGCACATATCCAGTCCGAGCGACCTTAAGAAGACTGGTCCTGGCTGTCTTCTTCCTCCAGCTGTTTTGGCCAGTGAGTCAACCCTCCGCCGAAGTGGAAGAATCAATGGCCTTAATCGAACTGAAGAGATGTCAGCTCATCTTGACATACGCACTTAGAATCAGCCTTACCGGAGTCAAGAAGCTCTCTGCCACAAATCGAGCTCTTGCATTCAACTTTGCAAAGTCAGTACCAGTCGTAGCACGCCATCTCCCCATGCAATACTCACAAAGAGCTTCATCTCCGAGATTTCCTTATCCACTTCCTCCATGAACTGTATGATGAAGTCCACCAGCTTGTGCTTCAGCATCTCCTCCGTGTGGAAGTTCGTGATAAGAAATGAGATATCGTATCCCTTGTCTACCGTCAGCATATCTCTCCTCCTTGGAATCTAAACCCACACGTACCGGCACAGGCTTCCGCCGCAGAATGAAGAAGTGCTCCGCTCTCTGCGTCAGGAACCTCGTGAACTTGTGCACCAAGATATGCTCAATCTCATCTGCCTGCTTTATTCTTATGCTGACCCGCACACTGTTGACCGATGGCTCTACTAGCACTCGCTCTTCTTGGTTGCGTGAGACGGTGAGCGGATTGAGGACCACTTCTGGTGATGTCTTGGCTTCAATTTCGGGGACATTGTGTCGCTCGGAGGCTTGGGAGGCGAAATTGGACAGCGAAAGGGCAGCCGTGAGTGTTTGCCGAACGCAGGAGAGGTAAGGACGGAGAGATTGGGACTGCGCCTGGTTAATGTTGTGAACGGCAAGGACGGCAGGAGATACCGACCATGATGGGCGGTGATGTTCTTCTCGCTCATGCGCAAATCATGCAAGTGATCGTATCGACCTCGGATGCCGGTATTTTGAAGGTAGGTCGAAAATTTTGCGGCTCATTGAAGTTGTAGAGAAGTATGCAATGCTTCGCGACTTCCAGGTTCCTATGGCTGCACAAGGTGACGTTGGCTAGCGGGAAGGATTTGGTGGGGCCAGAATCTCGGTGCCTGACACGAGATCTTCTCCAGCTTCCCCGACATGACAACCACTGCATCTACAATACCACGCATGTAGGATGCGATGCGTTTCGATATTGGGGGTGTCCAAACACATCGTCCAGAATCTCAATGTCACAATGAGCTGCATGAAGCCACGATTTTATTGCAAATATGGATCCCTGTGTATCGAGAAGGCAAAACGAGCGCGGCAACGTTTCGAAGAAGAGCGACGGACCTTGAATAGTTAAGTCGAGAGCATGAATTGGGGAAAGTTGACACCACGGTGCTTGTCCAAGGCACTTAATCTTGCTAAGAGACTATGTGTGAAAGCGTAGCTCCATGATCATGACCAAGGGGATCTGGTTCGGTGTCCAAGAGCCTTACGGCTTCGGTAGTTGGGCGTCGGTGGACGGAAGAATGATCTGCATTAAAGCGTTCGGTCTATTCCTTCTGCCTTAGATTACTATATCTACTGTGAAGATTCGAAGCCTCTCACACAGCGTAGGCCCAACTCGAAGCCCGAGGTATCTTCGTCCTCTACTAAGCAATATCGCCGAGCTGTTGTTTAGGCCAGCAGGGGACATTTGTGCTCATGTGACTGATTGACATGTCGACACGTGACAGAGACGGGACCAAGAAGATGCGGCTCAAAAGAAGGTCCCTGCGCTGGCGGCCTGCTCCGCAGCCGCTATACCGGATTGGGTGCAGAATTCTGTGGAAAGCTGCGTTTGATGATGGAAGCTGCGAGAAACTCTCAGCCCATGAAGCTAGCAAACGCTGCATAAATCATTGCAGACCAGCCTCATCTCCCATCTCACATCCAAATCACATCCAGACTCACTCCACACGTTGAGATACCCGACCACAGGTCACAACTGCACGACTTCATCACCTTTGAAGCACCCGATCTGTACGTCCACCCAAGCGCAAAGCTCCAGCCGCCGTTGCCAGAGCAATTTCTCCTGCCTGGTTCATCAACCACCAAACAACCAATCCAACTGACGTCCATCGCGAAGATAGTCCCCTCCGATCCTCTCATCACGCGTACAACCGCAATCATGTCGGGCGAAACATTCGAGTTCCAGGCGGAGATCTCCCAGCTCCTGTCGCTCATCATCAATACCGTCTACTCAAACAAGGAGATCTTCCTGCGGGAACTCATCTCCAACTCCTCCGACGCTCTAGACAAGATCCGCTATGAAGCCCTTTCAGACCCCAGCAAGCTCGACTCGGGCAAGGACCTGCGAATCGACATCATCCCCAACAAGGAGAACAAGACCCTCACCATCCGCGATACCGGTATTGGTATGACCAAGGCTGACTTGGTCAACAACCTCGGAACCATTGCCCGCTCCGGCACCAAGCAGTTCATGGAGGCCCTGTCCGCAGGTGCTGACATTTCCATGATTGGTCAATTCGGTGTTGGTTTCTACTCTGCATACCTCGTCGCCGACAGGGTGACGGTTGTCTCGAAGCACAACGATGACGAGCAGTACCTCTGGGAATCGAGCGCTGGCGGCACCTTCCGCATCACCCAGGACACCGAGGGCGAGCAGCTCGGCCGCGGTACCAAGATTGTCCTTCACCTCAAGGACGAGCAGACCGACTACCTCAACGAGAGCAAGATCAAGGAGGTTGTCAAGAAGCACTCCGAATTCATCTCCTACCCTATCTACCTTCACGTGCTGAAGGAGACGGAGAAGGAGGTTCCAGATGAGGAGGCCGAGGAGAGTAAGGAAGAGGGTGACGACAACAAGCCCAAGGTCGAGGAGGTTGACGACGAGGAGGAAGAAAAGAAGGAGAAGAAGACCAAGAAGATCAAGGAGAGCAAGATTGAGGAAGAGGAGCTCAACAAGACGAAGCCAATCTGGACCCGCAACCCACAGGACATCTCGCAGGAAGAGTACGGTGCTTTCTACAAATCGCTCTCCAACGACTGGGAAGACCACCTCGCCGTGAAGCACTTCTCCGTTGAGGGTCAGCTCGAGTTCCGCGCTATCCTTTTCGTTCCCAAGCGCGCACCATTTGACCTGTTCGAGACCAAGAAGACCAAGAACAACATCAAGCTCTACGTGCGCCGTGTCTTCATCACTGACGATGCTACTGATATCATTCCTGAGTGGCTCTCTTTCATCAAGGGTGTTGTCGACTCCGAGGACCTGCCACTCAACCTGTCCCGTGAGACCCTCCAGCAGAACAAGATCATGAAGGTCATCAAGAAGAACATCGTCAAGAAGGTTCTTGAGCTGTTCAACGAGATTGCCGAGGACAAGGAGCAGTTCGACAAGTTCTACAGCGCCTTCAGCAAGAACATCAAGCTCGGTATCCATGAGGACAGCCAGAACCGCCAATCCCTTGCAAAGCTCCTGCGCTACAGCTCCACCAAGTCCGCCGACGAGACCACCTCTCTTCAGGATTACATCACCCGCATGCCAGAGCACCAGAAGCAGATCTACTACATCACTGGCGAGTCCATCAAGGCCGTCGAGAAGTCGCCATTCCTTGACGCTCTCAAGGCCAAGGACTTTGAGGTTCTCTTCCTCGTTGACCCAATTGACGAGTACGCCTTCACTCAGCTCAAGGAGTTTGAGGGCAAGAAGCTTGTCGACATCACCAAGGACTTCGAGCTTGAGGAGACTGAGGAGGAGAAGAAGCAACGTGAGGCCGAGGAGAAGGAATTCGAATCCCTCGCCAAGTCGCTCAAGAACGTCCTCGGCGACAAGGTCGAGAAGGTCGTCGTCTCCCACAAGCTTGTTGGCGCACCTTGCGCTATCCGTACCGGTCAGTTCGGTTGGTCTGCCAACATGGAGCGTATCATGAAGGCCCAGGCCCTCCGCGACACCTCCATGTCCAGCTACATGAGCAGCAAGAAGACCTTCGAGATCTCGCCTAAGAGCCCGATCATCAAGGAGCTCAAGAAGAAGGTCGAGGCTGATGGTGAGAGCGACCGCACCGTCAAGAGCATCACCACCCTGCTCTACGAGACCTCTCTCCTCGTCTCTGGCTTCACAATCGAAGAGCCTGCTGCCTACGCCGAGCGCATCCACAAGCTTGTCTCGCTTGGCTTGAACGTCGACGAGGATGCCGAGACCCAGGAGGAGTCTGCGGCGACCGAGGCTGCTCCAGCAGACGCAGCAGGCGAGAGCGCCATGGAGGAGGTCGACTAAATGCGAACTTCCAACGCAGGTTAATGCATTGATGTGCTCATGTCTTTCACGCGTACTTTGGCATAACGGCTAGAGAAAGAGCAAAAGGCGTTCTGTGTGGATGGGTGATGCTGGTTTGCATCTGCATACAATGGGAAAGTAATCGCCATTGTAGAATGTACTCTATACCTTGACAATTCCAGAAAGAACGATTTGTTAATGCTCATGCTCATCATTCCAGTTCCTGTCTAACGCTGCTGACTTTCCAACCAGAAAGCCTAAGGTAAGGTAGTGCTAGATTATTAATCACGTGTACCTAGCTCCACTGCATCTCAACCAGAGCTTCCAGCCTCGGCCATCCTCCTTGATGCCGTACTCATATACAGTGGCCGACGTAGACAGACTTAACCCCTCAGTAAGTGCTCATCTTTTTCTTCCCATCTCTCAACATGTCGAAAAGCGAGAAGCCCGTAGCCATCGTGGTAGGCGCCTCTCGAGGCATCGGAAGACAAGTGGCCATCGATCTGGCAAGGAATGGATACGCAGGTAGGTACCTACTCTCGCCTGTCATTTGCTGAAGAACGAAGAACTTGAACTCACGAAGCTTCCACGCACAAGTCGTCGTAGCCGCCAAAACGACCTCGGACGCATCCAAATGCCACCCTTTCCCCCCGGACCCCAACTCCCCTGCGTCAACAATCAACACCGTCGCGCGCGAAATCTCATCCGAGAACAACGAAGCCTACCCCATACAAGTAGACGTCCGCTCCCACGCCGCCATGCAATCCCTCATCCAGACGACGGGTGACAAATTCGGCAGGATAGACGTTCTGATCTACAATTCCGGGGCGATCTGGTGGAGTTCCATTACCAAGACTCCGATGAAGAGGTTTCGGTTGATGCAGAGTATCAATCCGGAAGGCTTGTATGGGTGTGTACAGGAGGTGTTGCCCTGGATGACACGGCGCGGGACTGGCGAGGGGAGGATCGTGGTGATCAGTCCGCCCATCTATAGGAGGTTTTTGAAGGGGAAGACGGCTTATGCGATGGGGAAATGGGGTATGAGTGCGCTTACGATGGGTTTGGCGGTGGATTTTGAGAGGGAAGGGTTGGATGGCATGGCTATTACGAGTTTGTGGCCGGCCGTGGTGAGTATTCCTCTTCCTCCTCCTCCTCCTCCAACAGCAACCTCTCCTAAATCCCATACTAACCATGCTCCACCACACAAGGCAATCGAATCAGCAGCAACCCAATCCTCCTCAGCAGAAGAGACCCGCCAATCTCTCCGCAAACCCACAATCTTCTCCGATGCAATCCTTTCAATTCTGCGCGCATCTCCCAAAGACGTGTCTGGGAAATGTCTCCTGGATGAAGACTATCTCCGCGAGCACGATGGAATTCAGGACTTTAGCAAGTATGCTCTGGTGCCTGGATCAACACCGAGAAGGATCATGCCCGCCAGGCTTCCCGATTTACGAGTCGAGGAGGAAGACGACGAGGGCGTGAGGATAGACAGCACCGAGAGCCGTAGCGGAAGAGAAACAAAATTGTAGCCTGCAAGTACCCCTGGTCGTCTTTGGTGAGCCCATGTAGCTTTACGATTCATGATTCACGATTCACCGTTCACTATTCACCATCCAGACCCGGGCGTATGTTCGAGATCATTAAAAGTAATTATGATATGCTATGCTCTGTTCCGGTCCCACCTGTAGAACCAATTTTTGTCTTGGTTCCGGCACCCTTTCCCTAGCGAAACCCAGCATCCAGACGCCATCGCTGTGGTAATGTACAAAAGAGAAAAAGCTGCATCCAGATAAGTGCTGGCCCCAGATTGATGAGACTGCCGTACTGCATAGGAGGGTATCAAGGTGGAGAGGTGAGGTTTGGGCTGCCGTTTGTCGGTTGCATTTACTGCCCGTTATTGGTATTTTGATTGTTGTTGGCATTGTTATTGCTGTTCTTGTTCCCGCTGCTGAGCCTTCCAGTTGCTGCGAGATAAATGACGACGATGAGAACGATAGCGATGATGATCGCAACTGCAAGAGACAATCAGTACTGCGTTCCAAGAACGAAACCGTGATTGTGCAAGAGACTCACCAACAATACCAAGGCATATCCACTTCTTCTTTCTGGCGGCGCGAGCACTGTCCACCGCCTTGCCGACATGAACATTGCCTGCTTCAAGATGTGTGTGTGTCTCCTCGGCCTTCTGCTCAATAGCCATAACGGGCTCCTCTTGCTGGACGACCATAGCATCCAGGTCTTGGAACAGCTGCTGCAGCTCAATCATAGTGCGCTCGATCTGCTGAATGGCTTGGTGTCGCTGCTTGACGTTGGCCAATGTACTCTGAGCCTGTCCTCGGCGGTCTGCATTCAACAGCGCCTGTTGGAAGATCTGCGTATCACCACCCGCCTCAGTGACTTCTCGAATTTCCTGCTCCGTCGCATTTGGGTTCACAATCAGGTACTGTCTCCTCTGCTGCTCTTGAACCTCCTTGCGGAATTGCGATTCAACCTGCTGGTACTGGTTGATGGCCTTGCGTATCCTCCGGTCCAGAGCATCGACTTGTGCCTGATTGCGTGGACTTCTAGCATCGGGTTGGGACTTGATGCGCTTGACACGGTCCGCCAGGCCTCGGTAGCCGCTCATAATGTCCGCCGAGAGGCTGTCAACATCCTTATTCGAAGCCCCTGACCCGGAAGTGAAGTTCTTCTGGAGACGTTGCAGCTCGTTCAAGCGGCCCTCGAGGTCGTCAATCGCTCGTCCCACAGCACGGCAGTCGTTGAGGATCGCATTGGGGTCGCGAGGTTCGGGTGTTGGTGCATACGGTGCGCCATTGTTGGTGAGCGGCTGCATCTCGACATTCTGACCGTAGGAGGGAGGAGGATGCTCATAGCTGCCATCGCGGTTGTCGTATGGGTTGGATTGGCCGTAGCCACCGCCATAGCCACCAGCGTAGCCGGTGTTGTATTGGTTGTACTGTCGGTCCGACATGATTAGTTTCAGTCGTTCAGAACGTTCCGATTTCAAGGTCCCTCCTTTCTTATGTCCTTGTTATGTGGTCGCCTGGCGTCGTACGATTTGGTGCGGTTACGAGGCTCGATGACATATGGGAGCAAGACTTACGGCCATTGCAAGTTATCCTGATGCCTGGACCAGAAATGAGTAGTTGTGTTGGGGCTGTGTTTACTCCTGAAGCGGCTCTGCGTTCCTGCCTGAGACAGCACTTCGTGTCTCCCTGGATATTGCTGTAACAAAACTGCTGTTGTGTGAGGAGGTAGTGCGTGGAAGATGTCGCTTGTTTGCTGGTGGTGTGGTGTATGGAGAGGAGGTGTGACCTGGGCGGAGGTTGATGTTTTGCAATCCGCTATTTCACACAAGCTGAGACCGGGCGGTGCAAGCGCGAACCTGAAGCATCACCAAGCCTCAGACCCTGTTCTCCAGTTCTCCGCTCCGATTTGCTGCCGACGCCTTCGCAGCGGCTGTGCAGCGCAGCTAAACCCTAATGTCCATTTTAGAACGTCTCGCATCAATTGCACCTCGCTCTTTCGCCTCTCCACCGCATCAACGCGTCAAGCGCCCAGGCGGAAACTCCAGTTCCGTCCACCACGCCACCCAGCGCATAGAGAGAGACGAGAGAGTCTCAAATTCCCGGTGAGGGAACCTTACCTCGCCTCCCAAATTCTCTACGGCCACGAGAAAAACATGGCTACCATGCACGCAGACGACGAACATCGCGCCAGTGGCGGTCTGACGTTATCACGAATGCACATGGAAGCTTTGGCATCTGCTGAGATTCGCGGCTGGCCAAGCCATCTCACAACGATGAGCGTAATGTAATCCATGCCGATGGCAGCCCAGCCGCCGTTCGCTGAAATGGCAGGTGTTGGGGGTTCTTTCTTTTATACGACCTTCAGGAGAGGTGCCATACCAAGGCTATCTATGTCTACTCATTCTCGGCCACGTAGGTATCGAATTCATCCAGATCAAATAGGTCCAAGTCCGCCTCACTGGCTTTCTCTTCGGCCGCCTTCAACAACGCTAGAGGATCTTTCTCTACAGCCGGCAGGCCCATTTGTCCAGCATCTGAAGCCGTAATTGCGTCCGTCACACCTGCCTTATCAAACTCATGCCCACCATCCAGAATATCATCGTCCCATGAGATCTCATCGGAATCTTTGACGGTTGTTGGAGCCGGACCGGAGAGTGGCTGTGGTTGAGCTTTCGGAGGAGCATCCATGGGCTTTGCATATCCCGCGGGACCTTGAGCTTGCACTTGCACGGCATTGTTGGCTCTACCAAACGCCCACAACTGGTCTGGATGCGGCAGTCCGGCCAATCGATCAGCGTACATGCCGACGAGCTCCTCACATTTCTCCCGATGCCCATAAAGGATTCTGTAGCCTCTTTTGATGTCCTCCGCACTGACGGCCAACGCTTGCGCCAAGCGATACTGCACTCCAGGATCGTAGAACGCTTGTGATCCAGCCATAGCCGCGGCAATCTGCGGATCAACTTTGCAAGCGGCTGCGATTCTCTCCGCGGTATTCCTGTGCTTGCCTGTCACCTTGCTCGCAAGGAAGAAGCATGTTGCTGAGAGGACGTTCCAGGATAGATTCGGATTCCAGTTCTCCGGTTTGATGATATGATCGATGATATTGAGAGCGATTGTCTCGGTATCTGGGTCTGTCTCCAACTCGGATCGGTAAACGAAGGAAAGACTCGCCGTTGTGGATTTCCAGAGGTCGTTAGAGATTCGCTTTACCGGGAAAGGCTCTGCAGACGTCGGAATCGCACGTCTAGGTTCTCGAACCTCAGGCGGTATTGGAATTCTCGGTCTTGTGACTTTCTCTTCGTCATTCACACCTCCAAGCCATTCTGTCACAGGCTTTCCCTTCGACTGCGTGGACTTAGCTCGGGCTGCGGACATCTGCTTTTCCTTTCCTCGAGGCCCTTTTGGAGTATTGGCTGGCGGAGCTTTCTTATTCACCACTTTGGCATTCGCTTCCTTTGGATTCTTTGGTACCTCCCACGTACTGTCGTAACTCGTCCTTCCACTTCTGGTTCCGACCATTCTTGCTCGAAAATGGACGCCTCGTCTGAGGATCCAGTATTGGCGGGAGATAGGAGTTCGACGATCGTTCTATGGGAATGTGGGTTCTTTGTTCCTTGCCACTGATCCTGTTGCAGCCACGCTTGAAGCATGTCTTGTGGACTTTCGCAAGCAGCAAGACAACAAAGACAAGGACATGGGAAGCAGCTGCTTAATAATTGTTGTTCTATTCACGACTGTCAGAGACGGCACTCTTTGAAACCGCCGTGCAGCATTGAAGGAGAAATCCAGCACAGTAGACATGCTCGTTATCTCGCTGAACTGGAACTGTTAAAGTGCGAACGTCCGGGTGGTCTGCGTCTGTGGGAAACACCGGCATCTTTGTGTTCCAACTGCCACCGCTGCACTACTTTCCCTAGAACAAATCTCACGACATCCTCCGCCTCCTCAATAGTAAATCGCAAAGCTCGTTGTGGATCTCCTAATGCCGTCATCAACAAAGCACCTCCAATGCCTTGCCCTGTACCATCCCTCAATGCGCCATCTTTTGTAAAGCCTTGTGTTCTGAGCTCCTTTTGGAAAGCGACTTTCAATCTCTTCTTGGCCCAATTCCTGATTGCTGACCGCTTGCTGACTGCTGGTGGGATGTTGATTCTCCAGTGCAATTTGGATGGGTCGAAGGCGGCCAGTCTTCGTGTTGTTCGGATGTGGAGCGGATGGGCGATGTCTGAGGCGAAGATCTGGGTGATTGGCAAGGTGACGCAATTGATTGGACGTGGACGTGGTTGATATGTGAAGTTTAGGAGCGGCTTGTGAGATGATGCACTGGCTGCTTGTGTCGATCCCGTGGTTGGCTTCTGGGATGAGGTATCGATCCCATCTTTCACGGGGTGCTTCTTAGCTGGATTTGGTTTTCTAGACACATCCTCGCGGCTACGCGATGGTGCGTGGGCTGTTTCGTCCGGCTTTGTGGCCGGGATCGGAAAGGGGTTGTAAGTTGCAGCATTCACAGAGTATTTGTTGGCTGGCCCTCGCTCTTGAGGGACATCTCCGTCGACCGATTCAGCTGGTGTGAACTGCGAGACGCGTCTGGTCAATGAGCTTAGAACACGCCATTGCTTGCTTGCTCTCTGAACACTGCGGAATGCGTTTGGTGCCGCAGCCGTAGCAATGGACATGGATCCGCAAATGCAGCGTGAATAATGTAGCCAGCTCAGGACGCAAGAATCACATGTCAAGCAGCAAGTATGTCAAGCAGCAAGTGCATGGGAGGTGAATGCGCACACAATTATAGTTTGCACCAATCAAGTCACGTCCCACCAAAGCCAGGCGCTTGGACGAGTGTGTCATACTTCGCGCGCTTTCTTTAAACCCCGCCACGGCCACCGCACATTCTCGACGTCCAGCCAAGACGTGTTCTTCTCCCACTGCCCGACACCAAATTCACTACAGGCAACGAAGCCGCACCTCCTACTTCGAATCTTCTCGACTGAGCGACCGACATGCCGAAGAACAAGGGAAAGGTAGGTCATGCCGAAACGCACATAAGAGGAGGGTAGACAAAAGTCGGGGAGGCGATATGGGAAACATGTACTGATCATGTCGGATGTTCAGGGTGGTAAAAATCGACGTAGAGGAAAGAACGAGAACGACAATGAGAAGCGTGAGCTTACGTTCAAGGAGGAAGGCCAAGGTATGTTCAATTGCCTCACATCACGGAAGCATCGCTCAGGTGCTGATCTTGGAAAATAGAGTACGCGCAAGTCGTCAAGATGCTGGGTAACGGCCGATTAGAAGCGCTATGCTTCGATGGTGCTAAGCGTCTCGCACACATTCGCGGCAAACTCAGGAAGAAGGTCTGGATCAACCAAGGAGACATCATCCTGCTCTCGCTCCGTGACTACCAGGACGAGAAAGGCGACGTTATCCTCAAGTACTCTGCCGACGAGGCCCGTTCGCTCAAAGCATATGGCGAACTACCCGAGAGCGCCAAGATCAACGAGACGGACACATATGGCGGCGATGAAGAGGGCGGCATTGGCTTCGACTTCGGCGAGGACGACGACAGTGGAAGCGGAGAAGATGTTGACATTGATGATATCTGAGCGATACTACGCAGCTGCTGAGTGCTGCTTGGGCATGATGTCTCCTGGTTGGGCGCTTGTGGAGTCGCTCGCGTGCTGCGCTGGCCGGTGGAGTTGCGTTTGAGCCCGGTGGATTTCTGGTCAGCTAAGGGCGAAGGCCTGGCTCCGGATATGCCAACAGTCTTCATGGCCGCTCTGGCATTGCTGGCAAGCGTTGCAACAGCGTGGCACGCTGGCGCACAGGCGCTTGATCTGGGCTGGACAAATGAGGCTTTCTAAGGCTTATGGAATACTTGCGTTAGCGTTGCACGATGAACAAATGACATGAATTCCGTATCCACTAAGTGCTACATAAACTATCTAGCAAGAGCATTAGATTGTCCGTTCCCCCACACGCTCTGGGTCTACTGGCATCTCACCATGGATGACTCCTCAGCAATTCATTGACTTGAGACTGTTCACAGGGGCCAGTGAACGGTACAGCATCCGTTATGAACTATAAGAATTGTATCTCGAGAGTACAGTAAACGGGTCTCAGAGCGTCCTGAGCTGAATCTAAATCTCACGTCGGTGTGTTCCTGGACGGCTTCCCTGAACCCGACCTAACGCCAAGCCACCGCCCGAGCGCAGTGCCTACGTCAACCCGTGGGCTTTTACGGCAACTTGCAGCGATTCGCCCTCGCAACACTTTCTCGCCATATCGCCTGCCAGGCACCCGAATTGCACCGCGGGAACGGAAAGAACGCCGCGGTGTGTGGCATTGCTGAGCACCTTTCGCTACGCCGGCCGAGTAGAACACGCCGAGTCTTTGCTGCGGAAAGGCTGGAGAAGGACGCACCTTGGAACTGGATTTGGGACCATCTCACATGCTTTCTTGCCGCACACGAGGCGGGAATCGCACCGAATTCGATCACACCACTGGACGATCCACTCGCGCGGCAGTGACTGACGATGCCATCCATACTCAACGAAGAGGACAAACAGACCGTCAAGCGCACTGTTCCCAAGGCATCCAACAAAATCCATGCTGTCGCGGTCGCAAAGCTGTATATAGCATATCCCAATCGACAACGATGGAACTACACGGGCCTACAGGGCGCTGCGGTGCTCGCCAACGACTTGGTCGGCAACACCTTTTGGATCAAGCTGGTGGATGTCTCTCCCGCGAACAGAGGCGTACTCTGGGACCAAGAGATCTATGACACCTTCCAGTACAATCAGGACCGAACATTCTTTCACACGTTTGAGCTGGAGGATTGTTTGGCGGGGCTGAGCTTTGCAGATGAGAAAGAGGCGAAGCAATTCAAGAAGAAGATGGACGAGCGGGAGAAGAATGCGCATAAGAACACAAGAGGCAGGCCTTTCGCAAGCGGTCCGGCGCAGACAGCATACCAACAGCCGCAGCCTCAGGAAGTAGCAGGCAAGAAGCATGGCCGGTTTGGAGGGCTTTTCTCAAGCCACAAGAACAGCGCACCGCAATCAGCGCCGCAGAGTATCATTCCTCCACGAGGAGTGGATCTCAATTCTCATGGTGCACCTTCACCAAGCGCTTCGACTCCGAACACAAGCAGGGCCACAAGCGAGATCGATCTCACAGATCCGGCTGTACAGGCTGTCCTGCAGGATCTACTCCAAATGGGTATCACAGAGGACCAGATCGAGGAGCATGCAGGCTTCATCAAAAGCTATCTGGAGCAAAACAAGGCTACAGCAGCTGCGCAAGCTGAGAAGAACGAGAGAGCTGCGCGTGCACCTCCGCCTCCACCGCCGAATGCTGCCAACTTGAGTCCACAGAACACAGGCAGCTCAAAGGGCGGACGAGGTCCTCCGCCGGCTCCTCCACCATCTAGGAGGACGGCTGGAGGAGCAGCGCAGCGACCTCCAAGTCCCAGCCCAAGCCCTCCACGAGAACCTTCACCACCCCGGCCAAGATTCAAAGTTCCTCCACCGCTCGCAGATGCGGGAAGTAAGGTCAACGGTGCGCCTGCGTTACCTGGTCGGAATAGAGCGACGAGCCAGAGCACTCCAGGTCCACCTCCACCTCCACGACCGGCCAAGGAGCCACTCGATGATCAGCCGTCCACGCGCTTTGCTGTGCCTCCACCTTTTGAAGGGAAGCGGATTACTTCGAACCCTGCTCCACCTGCTCCACAAAGAGGCAATGTAGGTCCTCCGCCGCCTCCACCGAGAGAAAGTGCTGCTCCAGCAGGTATTCCTCCGCCTCCTCCGCCACGCCAGTCGCCAAACCCCAGCGCAGGCGGCTTTTCAGATTCTGGTCCTCCAGCTCCACCTCCCTTACCACCAGCAAGCTCAAGACCTGTGCCTTCCGCTCCAGCGAACGGCGCCCCTTCTGCAACAACTCTCCCTCCTTCAGGCACAGCAAGTCCGCCTCCACCACCTCCTCTTCCACCTACTTCAATTCCTGCTCCACCGCCTCCACCTCCGCCTCCTATGCCTCCCACCGTCGCACCAAACGTAGGCCCGCCACCACCACCACCAATGCCGCCGCGGGGCGGGGCGCCCGGTGTTGGAGACGACACTGCTGCAGCTGCAGCACCAAAGACTCCTCAGCCTGGTCGCGGCGGACTATTGGCTGATATTCGCGGTGGAGCCAGGCTGAAGAAAGTGTCAGACACAGAGAAGCGGGATCGAAGTGCTGCCATGGTGCCTGGCAGTGAGACTTCTGCTTCATCTGCGCCTGCGGCTGCAGGTGGCGGCGGCGACGCTCAGGGTGGACTGGCTGGTGCGTTGGCGAGTGCACTCGCAGCAAGGAAGAGTAAAGTTAGTCATTCTGGTAAGCTCGTCCCACTTTTCATCCAAAAGCACCGTGTAAATGTTGACCATGCCATGCAGATGACGAGAAAGACGATGATGACTGGTAAATGTTTGCAGCGACGCACAGCAGCCAGCGCAGAAGCGAAATCGCCCCAGGCCAGTGCATGTGTACATAGCTGTCTATTCGATCGGAACATGGAAAGAGATGTGCCAGTGCGATGTTCATTTTCCAAAAAAGTGGCTCATTCAGACAAGAGTACGAAAAGAGCTCTCGGCAGCACAGTATGTGACTACTACCAAAGCGCCATTTGTGATAGCCCCGAACAAACGTCCCTTTCCAGGTTTATCAGCAAATGCGTAAAGGCGCCATTACCATCTCCGGCCGAAAACATCATGCTCCCAATGGGTCGGCTTCGCGTGAAGCTTGGCCCTAGGACGAGATCCTTCGCCAGAGTCCCTCGTGCTATGACCACCATCCAAATGCCCAGGTCCATCCAGCAAGCGACTCTCCCCTCCAAACTTGGCCCACATCTCACGATCATCTTCGTCGTGTCCTCCATGCTCGGCATCGCGCTTGAACAAGCCCAAGATATCCTTCATAGACAGCTTACCAACTCCCTTGCCGCCTTCTATGGCCGCCTTGGCGAGCTCGCGCTTCTTTTCTTGCAGCTCCAGGATACGCTCTTCGACCGTGTTGCGGATGGTCAAACGGAAGACTTTGACGTCGACGGTCTGGTTCAGCCGATGGACACGATCAATGGCTTGTTCCTCGACGAATGGGTTCCAGAATGGTTCGACGATGACAACTCGCGACGCCGCGGTAAGATTGAGACCCAAGCTACCGCATTTCAGAGAGCAAAGCAGGACTCGTGTCTTGGGATCGTTGCGAAGAGCATTCAGGGATTCCTCACGTGCGTCAGGCCTCATGCTGCCGTCGTAACGAACGTAGCGCATGTTGCTGTGTTGAAGATGCGGCTGAATAAGGTCCAGCATGGTAGTGAACTGGGAGAAGACGATGGTCTTGTGCTCGGGTGCTTCCTTGCGAAGGATGCGCAGAAGATGGCGGATCTTGGTCGAAGGTGTTTGCTTGGTCTTGCCACTGGGTGCAACGCCTTCGAGAAGATCAGCTTCGGAGTCGGACTCGTCCTCTTCCTCTGTGTCTTGGTCTTCCTCCTCGTCATCTTCGTCGTCACTCTCAAGGTGAGACTTCTTGCTCCGACGTGCACGTTCTGGAGAATCTTCGATGCTTGAGTCCGCGTCCTCGCTTCTGTCCGAGTCGATTGTGTCCAATGTCTCTCCGCCGCCTTCGGCATCCTCATCGTCAGAGCCACCAGCTGGACCCAAGTCGACCTTGCGCTCAGGCTCGTTTGAAATCCACTCTCCTTCTTCATCGTCGCTGTCTTCGATGACTCTTCGGTTGCGCGCGTGACGAGACTTTGGCTTCTTACCATGCTTCTCCTTCTTCTTGGTGCGGGACTTCTTCTTGCTCGCCTTGACAGCCGCCAGGGCATCTTCACATTCTGAGCATCGAATGGCGCCGTCTCTTGCTTCCGAAGACGAAAGCGTGACCTGACACACATCACAGACCTTGCTTTCCACGGTGATGCCCCCCATCAATGCAGTAAGTCCATCAATATCGTCATCAACGCTCGTCTTGCGGGCCGTTTGAGATGCAGGCACGCCGGTGGTCATCGCATCTTTGTCCTTGTTCATCGACTTCTCCACCAATTGAGGGTGGTCGCATGCTTGTCTCAGTCTTAGCAGGAGCACAAGCGCACCCATGTAGTCGGTCTTATGGTTCGGATCCATCATGTCTTGGATGCGCTTGTCGGCTCTCTCTTGAAGACGATCGTAGAACTGCTTCTCAGACTCGTCTAGATCGCATTCAACAGTGAGCACCTCGCGCTTGACTATTTGCATGCCGCCTTTCTTCCCGCCGTCCTTATCAGATTTGCCGCCGAAGTTGAGTGCGCCTTCCTGCTTGAGAATATCCTTTGTGCGACGCTTCATGAAAGCTCTCAGGAAGTACTGAAGTCGACGCATCGCCAGACCTCCCCGTCCGCTCTTCATTGGTTGAGTAATCTGCTCCTTCCAACTGGGCAATTCGCAATAAGGCTTGATGCGCAGGAACTTGATCAGCGATTGAAGCTCGTCCAGATTGTTTTGCATCGGCGTGCCCGTCAAGCACCATCGGTACCAGCTGTTCAGAGCGTAGCAGGCCTGTGTTGACTTTGCATTGCGGTTCTTGATTGTGTGTGCTTCATCGAGCATGAGGCGGTACCAATGGACACCCATACAGCCGATCCTTGCGCCACCTGGCACATTCATGTTGGATCCGGCGTGTTCTGATGTTAGTGTCTGGTAAGTCGTGATGACTACATCGTATTTCTTCAGGTCTTCGGCCCTTTTGCTTCTGCTCGGACCGTGATGTACGAGTACCTTTAGAGCATGGCTTTTGGCTACTTTGGTCTTGATCTCAGACTCCCATTGCTTGATGAGAGCCAGTGGAGCCACAACCAGAGTGCCCTTGCCAACCTCCTTTCCTGGTAGCTTCTGCTTTGGGTGCTCCGGTTTTGCATCCGGCGCAGGTCGCGGATTGGTAAGTATCAGCGCAACCGACTGCACCGTTTTACCAAGACCCATGTCATCTGCGAGGATTCCTCCGTGAGGCAGGACTCCTTTCGTCTTCTTCATACCGATCTCCTTGTCAATCATCCAAGAGACGCCCTCGACTTGATGCGGAAGCAGCTTCACGGCAAGGCCTTCCACTGTACCGTCCTCCTCTTCCTCTTCTTCCTCTTCGTTCTTTGTCTCTTCCTTCTCATCCTCGACGCTCAGAGAGGCAAGTCTGTCAGCGAAGCTCTTAGCCTCTTTCCCCTCTTTCTCTACCTTCTTTGCGCGCCGTCTAAGCCGAGTCCTCCCCTTCTCTTCCTCGTCATCGAACGCACTTTCGAGCAGGTTCTTGATGTTCTCGTTTGCTTTGCCTGAATCCACGTACATGTACGGGTCCTCGGCGCCGAATCTGCCGCTCTCAGCGCGGATGGCGGCGTCCGGATCAAAGTGCTCTTCATCGTCCCTGCTAGATCGATTGACGGCAGTGAAGGAAGGCTCGCGGCCTATTGGCTTGAGCGGCTTGTAGGTGCCGCTGTGGCCTGTGGATGTGAAGGTCGGTTTCGGTGGTGGTTGCACGGTACGCAAATTCGTGTTCGCAGGATTGGGGATCTCCATCACATCGGGTTGATAGCTGCGCTGGTGATGTTGCGCCATCGGGTGCTGCGCTCCTGGCACACTCGATGGAGGTGGGAGCTGGCCTGGCATGTAGAACTTAGGAGCTGGTGGTGAGTCGTCTTCGTAGCCTGGTATACGCGGGGCCATCGTCGGCCTGACCGATTGCTGAGGTCGCGACTTGGGGAGAAAGATGTTGTTGGAGGACGACTTCTTGATGCCATGAAGCGGGTTTCTTAAAGGGCTGGCCTTGCCAAACTCGACGTCTGCTGGCTTCTTGACGCCATCTCCGTCTGTTGGCTTCCGCTGCTGCGGAGACTGAGACTGCATCTTGGCCGAGATGCTGATCGGTGGTCAGTGAATGGTCCGAGAATCAAGTACTTCCCAAGAGAACTCACTTTGCGAGCGGCTCCCGAGGCTGCTCTCGCTTCTGGGGGGAGGGATGCTGCCCAGAGTAAACTCTACTCGGGCCCTGCTGTTCACGAACCATCTCAGACTGATCGTCCAACCATTCACCCAACAGATCGCGCTCTTGTGACTGGAAGACGGGCTTCTTGGGCGATGCGAGCGTGTTCACCGGGCGGAAGCGGCGGCGGGGCGGAGGAGATGATGGAAGATGCGCCCTTTCTGGGCTGTCAGCGACGCACGTTCGCGTAACGCGGTATTCTGTAGAGTGTATTGAGAATGCTCACATCACAGGGTGGAGATGTTGTGAAAGGATATCCCTTACTGCTGCTGTCGCTTCGCCTGTCGCCGGGCCCGACGTCACAAGCTTTCAACCCGCTGTTGTTTGTTTGGCGCGTGGTTGCCTGGCGACTTGCCGAACTTCATCCGATGGACGGCGCATCGAACACCATTCACTTCACCTCCCTTTCACGTGCTACTGTCCATCCGCATTCTTAGCATTGCATTACGTTGCATCATGTCGTCATCTGAAGAACTGTCTGGTATTCTCTGCGCGGAGTTGATCGCTTCGTGGGCCTACTACGCTGATATTGCAGGATACTTCGAGAGGCTTTGCGGCGTTGCACGGCAAGGTAAGCGAAGAGTCATTGAAATGTTCCGCCTGTTTCAGACATACCACCCTCGTCTAAAAGGTGGTGCCCACATGGCTTGGGTTTGCCACCACCATGGGCGTGGGCCAAACTTTGCACTCTGGTAGAATCCTCACACAGGCAAATGCACAAATGCAATTTTAATGAACAGCTTGCAGAGACTGGGCGCAGCATATAAATGGTCCGCGTACCATGGTTGCGGTTCATTCTATCAGTGCGGAGTTGATGACTTGAACCGGCTGATCCCATCAAGCGCAGCACAACTTCGTTCAGCCACCATCTCATGTGTAATAGCACCAGGCGGAGTTTTAACTGAGACACGTAGGCGACATGGACGCCCATGAGAGAGGGAGAATAATATATAAAGCTACAAACCGCCAGACCAAGATCGGAATATCTACCCTTCTCCGTTCGCTTCAGTCCGCTATTACGCTCTTTTTTCCCTCTGTACAGTTCTCGCAGGCTCAAGACCTACTCCTGTCTCTCAGGCTTCTCTCATCATGCGGCTCTCAAGCATACTGTTCGCCGCTGGCACGGCCACACTAGCTCTTGCGGCACCTTCAAGCAAGAAGCGTGCAAGCGGCATCCAATTCTGGGGCGTGAACGAGTCGGGCGCTGAGGTTGGTTTCGAGGAACAAAATATCATACTCAGTTCAACTGCTGATGCTCTACGCTAGTTCGGCAGCAGCAACATCCCAGGAACTTACGGCACTGACTATACTTGGTATAATCTGAGCACCATCGACACATTCACTGCCAGAGGCATGAACGCTTTCCGTGTCAACTTTCTCATGGAAAGGCTGGCTCAAAACACCATGACTTCGACTCTGAATGCAGGTTACTTGGCCAACCTGACCAAGACGGTAAACCAAAGAAGCACCGGTCGCTAGAAGGGTGCTTGGCTGACAATGGCAGGTCAACTACATCACCGGAAAGGGCGCTTATGCTTTGATCGTCCCGCATAACTATGGCAGATACAACAATCAAATCATCACGAGCACGAGCGACTTTGAAACGTTTTGGAAGAATGTGGCCACCCAGTTCAAGGGTAACTCAAAGGTCATGTTTGATACCAACAACGAGGTGAGCAAACTGTGGAGCCCCTTGTTTGTCAGGCTGATGCTGATTCTTGATATCCAGTATCACGACATGTCTAGCACCCTCGTAGCTCAGCTCAACCAAGCAGCCATCAACGGCATCCGCTCCGCTGGCGCCACCTCTCAATACATCACCGTCGAAGGCAACGCCTACACCGGCGCGTGGACATGGACCACCACGGAGGGCACCGATGGCAAGACAAATGCCGATGCAATGGGCAATCTCACCGATTCCTCCAACAAGCTCATCTACCAGATGCACCAGTACCTCGACTCCGATGGCAGTGGCACTTCCGCAACCTGCGTCAGCAAGACAGTCGGATCAGAAAGATTGAAAGCTGCCACGACGTGGTTGAAGAACAACGGCAAGAAGGGATTGGTGGGAGAGCTCGCGGGCGGTGTGAATGACGTCTGCGAAGCTGCGGTCTTGGACATGTTGACTTACCTCGCCGACAATTCCGATGTGTGGACCGGATGGCTTTGGTGGGCGGCTGGACCTTGGTGGGCTGATTACATCTACTCGGTGGAACCGGCTAATGGTCCTGCCTTCTCGACTTATGTGCCCGTCATGGCTAGATGTGCGGGTCATTAATGCGGCGGCATCAACAGCCTCCAGGCATCGAAGTATCGTTCAATGTTATCTTAGACCGTTTGGTGAGCGTGGGTGGTCTCTTCCAGATCAAGCCCGCTGTCACATGAAAAGTCTTGGCGTTGGTCGCCGCTATAAATACTTTCCACTCGCTAATCGAACAACAACTCTTCAATTACAAAGTAGGATAACCTTCACCCACAACAACAAGCAAAATGGCGGATACTACGCAGAATCAAACCGTCGCCGCACAGACGAACACAAACTCCGAAGGCACGAACGCCTATCGCAACAACAAGTCGAAGAGTAAGTACCGATGATACTTCTCTGCTTAGAGACTCGGCTAATAGCAGTACAGAGCAGGGCGAAGGTAGCGACAAGGCCGAGACGGAGACGAGCGCCTTCGCGAAGAAGGAGATTGAGCGGCTGCAGAAGGAGGTTGATGCATACGCAGCCCAGTTGAAGGCCGAGAGGAACTGTCGTCGGGTTCGGTGAAGTACCACACATGACTCGAAGATTGGAGCGGGCTACTTTCTACTCCGAGAGGCTCTGAGTACAGTCTCACGGCCAGGCTTCTTCCACCGCGAGTTGTCCAGGTACAGCCGTAGGGTCGCTTCTGAAGATGCGTTCAACTCCATGGTCAATTGAATGGAGATACTGTAGCGCGCACATCATCGCTCGTGACGACTTAGAGGAGAAGTAAAGAAACATCGCAACCTGGCAGGCTGGTCGAATCCATTCTGCATCGAGCTTGTTATTCCAATTCATCAATATGAGAGTCAAGTCTTGGCAACTTTGACGCATTCTCGAAGTTTCGCACGCGCGCGAAGGCACCAACCTAGACAACCACACGAACCACCAAACCCTCCTTTCCACTCACCAACCACGCGCTCAAGGCAACACTAGACAAAAATGTCGAACACTCGCGACAACCTCACTCAACCCAAGCAAGCTCAGCCGAACAGTAAAAATCTTCGCCTCCCTCTTTCCTGCCCGTAGACAGACACCATGGCTGACACAATGGCAGACCGAATCGACACGGAGAAGAAGCTAGACGCGACAGAAGCGAAGATTGAGCAAGTCAAAGCCCAGCAAGAGCAGCTCAAATCCATCCAGGATCGCATCGAAGAACTGAATGGGAATAAGACGCGAGTCGAGAAGATCGAAGCGCTGGAGGAAATGCAAGACCGGCTCAAGCAGCTGAAAAAGTGAATTGCCTTGCTGGAGTCAATAATCGGATCGGGCAGCTGGTGAGAAGAAGATGCTACTCGAATAATGGGCCAGCTTCGGAAGGTGATGGGATGGCTTCAATAATCCTCCACAGCGCTCGGCACCAGACCCTGAATTCGATCTCGTGGAAGGAGGAGGAGGAGCTCCTGAGGCGTGGTCGGAAAGTTCAGGCAACATCCATCTGATCACACGACCGTAGCACGTGTGTGCGTGTATCGTACGAAGAACCCCACTTATTACGCCACATAGAGGGCGTGCCCAATGCCGTATGTCTCATACGTCAAGGCCCCTCTCCAATGCGAATTCCTTCTCAATGCGAAGGATCCTTGAAGGTGCGTGTGACCATCCAAGATTTCATAAACTCGCCTTTGGAGCGAAAATGTCGTCAAGGGCCTGTGTATTCAGTGCCTTGGTTGGCAAGCGTGATGTCGTCTCCGCTTTCTTCTCCAGTTTAGCGGGAAAAGTGTAATGAGGTACGTACAGCCTCCGTGTGGATGTCTGGGTAGCTGCCGTCGTCGACAGTGATGTCCGATTCCATCTCAGTCTCAGCCGTTCTATTACCGGATGCATGCAGGAACAGAACAACAGCCTTATTCCGCTGTCCGGACATGCCGCCGTCCCAACTTCAAACCCGATGCCGAAGTTCGTAGCCGTGATGCGAGCGGGAATGGCCTCGTCATTCAGCTCGTATTACTCTGCTCGCCCATTCCAGATCTCCAACCGGTCAAGGTCGAACATGCGCGTGACGTTCAAAAAGACTGCCAGCCTTACGGAACTTCTTATGACGTAGGCCCGCCAAGTCCCGACAGTCGACTGCATTGAGCAGAAGGCGGGTGTATCTCAGAGTGAAGAAAGTGGATTCCGACCGGCACACCGCTTTGGATACCGAAAGCCTCGAGACGAGGAAAGCGAAAGCATATTGCACCGCCACACCTTTCCCTCGTGCCGGAAGAATCAAGAGCCGTCAGGCAGAGAATACACCTGCTGCGCCCTCAAGAGAAGAAATAGGACTATAGAAGATGATGGCCGATATTCTCTTCGGCAGATGGCATGCTGCTGAGCCGTCGAGCAGGCGAGAGTAGTAGTAGTACGCACCTCTCACAATCGAAGCGTTGGGAACGAACAACACACAACAAGCAAAGCGCGGTCGAACGCGTGTGCTGTATCGTCGTACCGCGATCAGATCGAAGATCCACAGCGCGCAGAGGCGGAGAAGGTGGCGCCCATACTTTCGGGGCACAGGTCCAGCACGGCTGGGGAATGATGATGAGAGAAAAGTGCCGACTAGGCAGACACTCGGTTCTTTCTTCGTCGTAATAAGAGCAACATGGGCCCGCCTGACACTCTGTTGGTGAGGTGGTGTCATCGGCCTTTTCACCGCATACCCTCGGCACTTCTCCTCTTCTTCGCTCCTTGCCTCAGGACTGACCATCACTGATCAGGCGGGACGAGGAGAATCTTGGCGGTGACTCGGAATCACATGTCAGAGACCGTCTGCGCGAATGCAGATACTTGACCGCGCCAACGCCTCTCCAGCACCGTCTTTGGCCGCGGCCTTGGCAACCTGGGTCATAAGATCGGATAATAAGCAGCGAACAAGGTTGCTCTTTAAGCTTTCCACGACCCAGAGTCACGCTGTCGGCTCCTGAGGCGGGGGGCCATGCTTCCCCGGCCGCCGGCTCCAACTGTCTGGATCTGCGACAGGCCCGCAAACTGCCCAGAACCAGTAGCATCCGGCCGTTATTAAACAAACGGCGGTCACACTTGTTGAACTGGAACAGGTTTGAAGAGATCGAATCTTGGCTGCTCTCCCGCCTCGCGTCGCTGGCATCGTCGATATTCTAACGATCACGAGTAGTGCTTTTGAAACCGCAGGCGCTGTGCTGGCAGGTCTCGGTTGCCATACCTCAGTACTTCAGTACTTGTGTACTCGCGGCAATACACGTGAGCCTCACGGGAGTACCTTGAGGGAATCCTGCAAAGGCTGATCATTCAATGACCGTCTCGCTGATGAGGCAGCATGACCACAGCCCATCCTGGAGCGTTGCATCTGAACAACACGTCGGCCTGCTTCGCTGGCTTCAGCTCGGTAAAATGGGATCACGACCGTTCTTCTGCCTTGTCGCCGCATCCCGTTCTCGCGGAGGCACAGGCTTCACCGTGGTCGTGGTGGTCATCTGCTCACCACGTTCAGGTACGAGATCGGCTTTTGTTGGCAGGGGCAGGGATCTCGGCTACTTGGGTGACTCGTAGGGCCGAATTTCAGAAGACTTATCCGAGCCTGCAAGCCTTGTAATCCCGTGAAAGCCGTGATATTAAGATTTCATGACAGAAACCAAACAAGACAAGACTTGGAAGTTGGCCATTTCCCGGAGATGACGGGAGTCCAAAGACATTACCTGGCGATGCATCGGATCGCATCATGCAACCAAGCAGATCGCTCTCGTCGCTCCCGTGGCTACGATATCTGTTTACCGGCCTTGACTTGCCAGACACAAGAAGGTTGGCGAGAGGCCTGTAGGTTTCATACAACCACACAATCCTGCCTCCCACGTCAGCGCTTGTGCCACGAGCTTGTATTAGCACTGCAGGATGTTGACTCGCAAGTCATTGCAGCCAAGACACCCTCGTGAGATCGAACCGACCTCATTGGAACGAATGTCGAGGGTTGCTGGGGAAATCGAGTCCGTGTACTGCTGTGAGAGCCATCTGTGAGATATCGACCACCAGTGGGCCTCCAATCCCGATCATAACCTCGGGCATGAGGACTCAGCGTCGCATAAGAAGTCTGGGCACAGCTCAGACTCGCAACCCGACAGAGACGCTAAACCCGAGGCCATGTAGGGAAGACGTTCCCCGATCGTTCATCCCTTCTTCCCCGTGAGAGTGAGGTTTCTCGACCACGTGTTCCTGCTAATCTCCACGCTTTCTCCAGATTACTCCCTCCAGCGCGCCGATCCTCCGGTGGCTCGTAGCAGTCGTTTCACCAATCTTGATCCGATGCGCTGGACTGTGAAGCCACTGTGAGTAGTGAGTGTCAAGGTCGTCGCGGCGACCGTGTAGGCAAGCGTCCGTTGTTCATCCTGTCGTATCGATCAACAAAACAATTGTAGACTTACGTCGGCACCTATGCTCCCAATTCCCGGCAAAAGTCGTATTCGGTGCCGTGTGGGCTCTTCTCTCTGGCAACCTCCGGTGCCGAAGAACACGACCATATCCACTTTGGTGTGATGGCCACGGTCTCGTGATCCTCATCAGCAGAAATGTGAAGACTTTCATTGTTGTTGCGGGAGGCAAAACCAGTCGGCGCGACTGCAAGGAAAGAAGTGCCGAACGCGCAACCACCTCATCATCAGACGGGCAACATGAAGTTCTCGAACTTGTTGCTGCGCCTTCCGCCTCATTCTTTTCCCCACACGTGAAGAGAAAAAAAAAAACTCTCTTGATTACGAAGACAACAAAAACGGGAACGCGCAAATCCCTCAACGGCGTGTGAAGGAAGCTAAGCTTCGTGCTGCTGCTGCTGCTGAGAAGGGATGATTCCGAAAGAAACCGCGCGGGCCCTTCTTTTGCAAACGCGTCTGCCCCTCCACAAACACGAGACTGCGCCGAAGAGGCATGTGGATCCTTTACTCCTTCCTTGATCCCTTTGTTCTCGTATTACCTACCTATTAGGTATGAAGGTATAGCAGCAGGTTACGTTGAGAAGTGGGGGTGAGTGAGTGATTGAGTGGGGTGCGAGGTGAGGTAAGGTAAGGTACCTGAAGCACCTGCACCGCTCCTGGCAAGAGGACGGAGGACCTCGAGGGTGAGCTGCTGGAGGTGAGAATGAGAATTTGGCATGTGATGATTGCCAGCAGAGGTAGGTACTGTACCGTAGACCGACCCAGACCACCACCAACAAACACCACAGAGAGTGCCTTGCCCAGGGCGGGATTAGCCAAGAAGAAGAAGAAGCTGCTGCACGCTGCGAAGATCATCTGCGCCTTGTGTGAGCAACAACACCCTGCGTGCAAGCAAACAAACGAATAGGAATCCCCGCCCGGTTGCATTCGACTGGATCATGCAGCACGCACGCAAGCGCCCAACGCGACCACGGTAGCGTTCAAGACGTCAGGAAATGGCGGTCTGCTGTCCTGACTCCTCAGTAGTCCAACATCCGCATGCAACAAACTTGACAGGCACATGAGATACACGGAGAGGAAAATTTGACACTTCCATCGTGTGCTGCAAATCATCATGTGCGCATTCGAGTAATAATGAATTCTTGCTGCTACTCTCCGCCCAGCATCCCTCTGTAGAAATACGTCCTCCCTTGGGTTGCGATAGTAGTTGTAGTAGTAATACACACGGTATGGTACAATGTCATCAGATTCGCGCCGAGCGTATCGCTCAGGCCGCCCGGCCGTTCAGTTCTGCTGTGAAAAGAAAAAGTGCCCATGCTGGTATCATTGTAAAGATGTGCCCAGAATCCCTTGCCCATTCCCGTGTCCTCGTCCCGTTCCAAGTCGCAGTACGCTGGAGCGCTCAGACCTCCATCCGTGAGGATGCCTCAACGCCCGGTCGCTATGTGCAGTAATCGAATAACATTTCGCTAAAATGCAGCAAATAAAAGCATCGCTCGTGAACTACCAGCCTCGGGCGTGGTACTCTCCGAGGCCCGCATTGAAGTAATCGTTGGTGAACTTTTTGGTATTGTTGTCCTTCTGGGAAAGGACGGGAGCCGGTTCCGCATGCTGCTTCAGGTTCTTGACATCGGTCGATGTGTGTCGTCGCTTCAGCTGAGCGAGGTTGTTGCTGCTCCGTTGTTGCCGCTCCCAGAGGAGGTTTTTACGAAGGGATTCCGTTAGCTCCGTGGAGAGCATGTTTCGCCGAGTCGTCCGCGGTGAAGATGGAATGTGTTGGTGAGTGTTGCTTGTGGTCATGATGATGGGTTTCGAGCGAGGAATCTCCCGAGCCGCCGGTTGTATGGGAGATGATGATTCCGGTGAGGTGGCGACAGATGGCCCGTTTGGCGTACTGTTTCTCGAACGGCGAATGGCAGGTGTTGATCTCGAAGCCGCATTTTGAAGCGCTCTCGCCCGCTCGGGTTCCGTCATCAGGGTCGTGAGCAACGATCTCCTCGAGGTCAGGTTCGGCTTCGAATCCACGCGTTGGAAGAGCTCGCGGTCCACCACAGACGATGGGCCGCTCTGATCGTCAGAGTCCTCCCAGTCTGAAGAATCGTCGTCGTCCTCGATTGCGCTTTCGGAGACATCCTCGTCTTCGTCGTCCGACTCGAACACGGGGCTGTGTTCAGACGCTTTCCGTACGTTGTTGACTTCGTCCTTGAAGGATGTCTGCTTCTTCGCCTTCTCCGGGCTATTGAGGATTCCGGATCGTTTGAGAGATTCGGAGAGTTGGCTCTTGTACATGTGACTTTCCAACGAGCTCTCGTCTTCGCCAGACGACGTGCCGATAGTGAACATGGGACCCTTCTTCTTGAGAGGTGCTGGCCTATACGTGGGTGAGGTCTTCAGAATAGGCGTCGGCTGCGCGGACAAGTTGGTCTGCGAGCGATACGAGGACGGGTGGAAGCCATGAACAATGCTGTGGGTGCTCATTTCGGTGGATGAGCTTTCCTGGGAGCCGACGGTTTGAGAAGTCTTGGAATCATGCGATCCGTTGGTGCCCACGGTAGAGGCAGAGGATTCCAAGAATGTCGCTTGCGATGCCGAAGGATGCGGTGTGGCGATCTGGGACTGGTCGGGCGACTGCTCCTCGAGATCGAGTTTGGAGAGGACCTGCGATGCTGTGGTGGAAGGCGGCGGATCCTGGGGACGAGAGGCGGGCGTGCAGACGCGGAAATCGATCGGCTCCAGCGGTTTGGTCTCCTTGATGGCGAGGACGATCTTTTCCAGGTCAATGGGTGTGATATGTTTCTCGCGGCCGCGACTTCTGGTGCTGTCGGTCGACTCGTTCCGCTTCAGTTCTGGACGGGCCTTGGGCAGGCGAGGGGTGATGGTGGATGACGTGGAGTCCGGGTCGAATTCCTCGTCCGAAGATGCGGAGTCCAGACTGGACGAGAGGGCGGGTACGGCGATGTCACCACGCGCGGCTGCCGTTCTCGACGCAGTCGCGGTGCGGGTGTGGCGGAGGGTAGAGGCGCTCCTGGATTGCGATTCAGGCGAACAGCAGAAGGTCTGAGAGGGGGGCACGGGAGGTAAGCGTGTGTCTTGGACATGTCAAGAAGCGGTGCATTTTGCATACTTCTCGGTTCCAGAGCCTCCAGCTCAGGTTTTCCAGGCGTTTGCCGTCCTCCAACGCGTGCGAAGCCTTTGAGAAGAGCGACCACTGCGGGCGGGCGTCAGTCAGATTGCTTTGATGCATTGTGGGCGCGAAACAGGTGGAGAGGGCGTACCATGCCGAAGAGGTTCTCGACCGAGCTGGTGTCGATTGTGTGAAAGGCGGGCACGTCGACCCGTAGCAATTGGGGATTGAAAGGCATTTCCGCGTCGAGCCGGCGACGGCGAGGTGGAGGCGAAGAGGGTGTTGAGAGAGGAAGGGAGGAGGGAGGAGGTGGTGGTGGTGGTAGCGGTAGTGGTAGTGGCAGTGGTAATAGTAGTCGACTGGTCGCGATGGGCTTCCGTCTTCAGCCAGAAGGGTCCGCGCGTGACGCAAAGCCGCAAAGCACAAAGCGCTTCGGTTGGTAGTCGGCAGGGTGGGGGCTGGTCAGTCCGGCAGTAATGGCAGCGAGGATGCTGAAGATTGCGCGGGCATGAGTGTCGAGTGCTGGCAGGAGGGAGAGGAGGGGAGTGTATTGTAGTGTGGTGTGGGTGTTGAGTTGAGATGGTGGTGGTGGTTGCGTTGGTCGTTGGGGGAGTAAACAGCGCGGTGGTGAGATAATGGATGCAGTGGTCGGAGTTGGCAGTGGTGGAGCGTCGCGGTACGCGGTAGGGCGGTAGGAAGCGGTCGGCAGCCGGGCGGGCGAGGCGTGGGTAATAAAGAGGGCGAAGGGACAGACACAGACAGCACAGACGGGAAGTCTCATATGATATGACATGGGCGTTACTTCGGGTGGGCTGTAACCGGGGCATGGGTGCGCTGTGCGCTGTGCGCTGTGTGCTGCCTGCCAGGCCGATCTAACGACTCCGTCCGCTGGATCCCTTTAGACTTTCCCCTAGCTCCCCGGCTTCCATCCGCGCCTGCACGTCCCCCCACACTCTCGTCCCGTCGTCACTCCCACGGCAAAAGGCCTCCCTCGCTCCTTCCCTTCTCGCTTCTCCCATGCCCATGCCCATGCCCACGCCCACGCCCACGCCCATGCCCACCTCACATGCTTGGCCTCGCCTTCCTTCCTTTCTCCATTATTCCTGCGCCTGCCATTGCCATTGCCATTGCCCGCCGCAGCATGTGAGCCTATCTGCTGCTGCTGCTGCTGCTGCTGCTGCTGCTGCTGCTGCTGTCCCCCGCTGCATCCCTCCCTATACTACCACTCACTCTGCTGTGCACCAAGGTACTGTCTAGACTGTCGACCATCGACTGCCGTGCCTCCCAGATCGCCGCCACTCGGCTCGTCGCTCCTTCCTCCTCGCTCTCGCTGATGAGATGATGAGAAATGAGATTGGGCGTCGACGAGACCACGGACGCGGCACCATCCGGTCGGCACACGCACTTGCCTCGGTCATCTCCTCCCGGCCGAGCACACATCGGCACCGCCTTGTCCCTTCCCCTTCCGCCTGCTGGCTCTGCACGCTACTCGTCTAGTTCTTCAGCGCGCAGCACCGTCGCTTTCCAGAATCATGTGCCTTGCCTTGCTGCTGCACACTGCGACACCAGTACGTACCCTGCCTACGAATTCGCTGACTACCTCTGGCTATATTTGCACCGCATTTTCGTCAGCGCCAGAGAACCACCACCCAGGCCACGACTCACTACTACCACCACCTCCTTCATCCCTTCATCCCTTCATCCCTTCACCGCCCTGCACACTGCCCTCTCCCCTCTCCGCATCTCATTCCCGTCTCGTCATTCAGTCATCCGCACACGCACCACCCCAAAACGCAAACGCAAACGCAAATCCCCTTGTTTTTCTCGCCCATAGTCATCTGCCCACGCCTCCGCAGGCGCCTCTGCATCCGCACACCCTCGTGAGAGATCTGCCACTCGCACCGGCTTCTGCAAGCCAGCCGAAGCGGCCAACGTGAACATGAACGTGAACGTGAACCTCCTCGCCCCATCCTCGCCCCATCCTCGCAGCTGGGATGCGTGGCGCGGTCGGACGCACGTGGCTGAAGCGAGATGTGGCGCCCCGGCTTTCCCCCTTTTAGCATGTCTAGTCGGGGCCGTCCTCGACGCGAGGCCTCCGCTGTCTGTTGATAATAAAACAGAACGGCGCCCTAGATGCCTTCCTCACGTCCGCGTACTCTACACTCCCTCGGAAAGCCGTCTCGGAAATGCACCTCTACTGCGACATCCATCCATGCCTCAACGCGCACTGCTGTTCTAGCCGCCCACCTGATGGAGGGTTTGTGTGCGAGTATTGCTAAGACTCCGGACAGCGCATCTCATAGGCCTCCCGCACCACGACTTGTCACACGGGATGCACTACCTACTGGTGGTCATCATCCATGACCGTTGTCGCTACAGCGCGCCGAGAGATGTCTTAGACTACAGGACATGGTTGACTCGGAAAGGGATTCTATCCGTGACGGACATGTCACAAAAGGAAGCGTGTTGGACCGCCTGATTCGACGAGGACTCACAGATCACAGCCCTTACAGAAGCCTGTATGTGCGACCCTCGCAACCAGGCACGGCCGCAGCGCAGACGGGGAAGTGCCTACTCATCCAGCGGAGTTGGTCGTACGCACAATCCGGGGAAAGCGCTTGCTGTCGCCGGCCTGAGAGGTCGAGTTCGAGTTCGGACAGCGGCAAGGGCAGATGACCGGATTCGATGCGCTGGCAAGCGGCGCAGTCACAAGCGAAGGAAGAGTGATGCGAGCAAAAAGCAGAGCTGAGTTCTCGTGGGCTCCCTCCCACGAAGCAGTGACGACAGCATCCCTTTCGTACAATGTACTCCAACCGCTCCACAGAACTGATTCCAGAGCTGATTCCATTCGCTTGGCGGTGGAGAGCGGAGGACGAATGAAGGATGCGCGTGGAGGTACACATCGGGATCCGTATCCCAGAACTTACTCTTAAGGCAGGGTCCCTCGGGAGGCCGCAATTGCTCGGTCTGCACTCTTCCGTGGTGTTTTGTTTATTACGAGGCGCTGTCCGTCCGTCCGCTTCCGTGTGTTGTTTGCAAGGAGATGCATGGGGGCCTCCGGCATTCCGCGACACAATAATAATCTGGCTGGGGCAGATGACCCCGAACGCCCTCTTGTTTTCATTGTTTTGTTGTCTCACGGCGTGTCCGCCCACCCACACCCACACCCACACCCACCCACACACACTCACACATACCTTCTCCGCTCCCCCACACGCAGCCTCGAGGTACAAGCGAGAGTGCCGGACCCCTCTGCCGCGTTGTGACCTGTTGCTTGTCGCCGCCCTCCATCTCGACGCGAGAGGGTGTGGAGGCGACCGTGGTCATGGCGCTCGCATTGTCAAGGAGGGAGGGTCGGGCGGAATGCTGACATGTGCCAGCGCACAAAGGCACGCCGTCACCTGGACCATCAGCCATCAGCCATCAGCCACACACACACATGAACACACATACATACCTGCATACATGCATACATGCATGTCTGCGACGGATGTGTGAATGCCGCGCCTCTTGTGATCCGGACCCGTGGATACGGGAAGCCACAATCATCGTATGATGTGCGTGTCGTTGTCGTTAGATTGCGCATTTCTCGGAACATTGTTGGAGAGACACATGTGTCGCTCCTCCTCCTCCAGAAGAATCCGACAGAAACGGGACGGGGTGCATGTGAGATGGATTGGATGCAATCTTCTTTTCATCCTTTCCACGGGATTTCCATCCACGTTGCTTGATACCCTCCTTCATCCTTCCCTCCTTCCCTTCACTAGACAACACTCTCCTCGCTCCGAGAACATGTCGGTGTTGGTGTGGGTGTGGGTGTGCAGCGTTGTGTCATCCCTCCTCCTCCTCCATCAATAATCACCCCATACCCGACACAATCCTCATGCAACCCGAATCCAATCGAGAAATGTGGAAAGAAGCAAAATGCGTTTGCGTGGGCTCTCGCCTTCGATAGACAAGCCAAAACCCGCTTCCCGCTTTCCCGCCCCATTCCCCGAGATCCTAATTCCTATTCCTATTCCTCCACCCCACATCCCCTCTCAAACCAACATTCTCGTGAGTCGTGCCGGCCGTGGTGGGATTCTGCTCTGCTCTATTTCTTACCATACCATCACACACACATGTTGTCGCTTTTCTCAGCATCATCATCATCATCATCATCATCATCATCATCATCACCACCGCCCGTTATTTGTTTTAGTTTTGGTTTGGGGGATCTTCGCGGGATGTGCTCCCCTCCCGGGACCGTTTGATCTCCCACAGGCACTGTGCACGCCACGCCGGCGGCTCGGGGAAGTCATGTCTCGAGTGGAAGATCAAAACATTTATTAAGATTTAGGGGCGCAGGACTGATCTTCCTCTTTCATCATCAGCCCGGCAACTGACGGAGGTACAGTAAGGTAGGTGACTACTCTTGTATGGGGAACTGAATTCGAACTTGCGGAGTCGAACCTTTCTTTGGGTATGGGAGACACCCCGCGGGGTACGGCGGAGGAGGAGGTGGAGGAGGAGGAGGATGCATGGCTGATGAGGTGGGGAATGAATGAGTGACCTTCTTTCTGCGATCTGGAATTGTCCTGATGTAATCTATGCGGTTCATTCCTCCTCGACAAGGCGAGAAGAAGAAGAGCTTTTATTACGATCTAACAGTCCTCTCAGTATTCACAGCTTCCCCAAGATGGCAGGGCGGGCTAGATGATTGATTGATTGATTGATGTATGAGCGAGCTTCTAATGTTATATTAGGAAGCCGGGCATCTCATTAGAGCCGTCTACTACTACTACTACTACTACTAGCAGCAGAGGAATCTTTATCCCCGCACAATGGCATGTTGTTGGCCAACGCACAAACGAACGGTTTTCCTGGTACGCTTCCTCCCCCCCGCATGCCGAAGATGCGGTCAAGAGAGATAGATCTGTGCCTGGCATGCTTCTCGGTCCGCAAAGCCTGAAATTCAAGATTCGTCTTCTCTCCCGTCTCCGCTCACCTTATTATCAGTATGCCTCAACCTTAAACCTGTCGGTGTGTCTTGAAGGTTGCCGCTCCCTCACTACTACTACTCAACGACACGACACGACACGATTCCAAACATCTTGCTGATGATAATGATGATGATGATGATGATGATGATGATGATGATGATGATGATGATGTGTGTGAGAGGTCTTCTGGCGTCTGCCTGATGATGTGTGATGGAATTCGGACTCGGCCGTTGAGACGACTCCTCCCATGGCTTTCTCCCCTCTCTCACCTTCCTTCCTTCCTTCCTTTCCTTCCTTCTTTGGGTAGGGCCTACTTTCCTTTTTCCCGGTTCGGGTTTCATGACCACCTTGGTTGGGATTTGCGCTCGAGACAGATGGCCCTCTTCGTTATTATATTATATCATATGGCCATCTTCGTGTGTGTATATCCTTTCTTATCCATTCACCACCCAATACCAGGACGGGAAAGGATACAGCCAGCCCAGAGATGCCGCCGCCGCGCAGAGACAACGCCCCTTTGAGCAGAATGCCCTGCGTAGACGTCGAAACAAATGGAGTCGGGTAGGCTACAGGCCCTCGAGACGCCGTAGAGACCATCGCGTATGGATATACCAGAGAGGTCAAATGTCTACGTTCTAGTGCTTACCAATCGAGGAATCAGCTCCTTACCTTTTGAAAGGGTTTGCTCTATCTAGCGGAATGGCCCTACCCGGCGCTGTAGAGACCCGCGTGATGATCTGATAGACAGACTGTGGTCTGCGTCACAGAGTCTGAACAGAGACATTGGTACCCCCCGGCCGCATACGTTGTGGTAACGTAGAGATTGGGTAACAAGACAAGACTGTGCTGATTAGCGTGAAGGCCGGCTGAGTAGTGACCCGCGTCGTCGATATGAGGGTCTGAGTCTGCGCCACGTATGACACGTAGGTCGAAACCAATTTTGTCGTAGTTTTCCTTTTAGCAATTATTAGCAACGGGAGCGAAGATGTACATGTCTGCCTCGAAGAGGCCGCTCCGAGTAGGAAATTCGCTTAGGAGAACGATAGGATCGATTCTGGTAAGAAGCAGAGGAATGGTGCATTGTCGTAATGAACTCGAGAATGGAATTGCGTTGTAGCAACCTAAGAGAGGGCTTCGGAGTAGAAGAGGCGGAGGTTCGTGTCGAGTCTGTCGAGTCTGTCGAGTCGTTCGAGTCGTTCGAGTCTGTCGAGTGTGCGACTAAATGTCAAGGTCGCCGGGGATGTTGTTTGCTCCGTCGTGGATGCCCGCTATAGCAAGCGCGGCTGGCCTTTCGCACTCTACTATTCTTTACTTCTTGAAGGACTGGGATGAGATTCAAGTCTTCGGTACTAATACACCGGTTTCCGTGACCTAAGGCTCTCTCCTGTGCGTTCCAGCGATTCAGAGAGCCTTCATACCACTGCCGGTGAGCTATTGCTTTCGCATTCCAGTTGCACTTTATGTCGGCCTCGACGGCAAGCTGAACAGCCTTCTCGTCGATAAGCTTAGCTTTCTCTACCTCTAGTAGAGGGAGTATAAGCTTCTGCTAGCCGACGATTGCGGCCTGGCAGAAACAGAAGAACGTAAAGTCTCGAAGCTTCGGGGGGAACCTGGAGCTCGTCTCTGTTATTCTTCAGCTCGTAGAGATTCACTTCGGACTGGAGAGGCTGAAGCCATGCATGGTGGTTGGCAGTATACAGAGGGTGGAATGCTCTCTTCTATCGCCCCGGCGTCAAAATCGAATAGCGTAAGGGCTTCATACCTTACCCTCCTCCGCCTCCTCGGGGTCATCGACGTTATATTCAATGTATGACTTCACTTGAAGGCCGGGTTATTGCAGTCTCACTTAAGCGGCTCATCCGAAGCATAAGATAGGCACGATGTAAAGCGGCCTCCACTCTCGCCTAAGGATTAGCATTGGCCTTTTCATTAGCCGCGATTTGCTCTTAGACGATCTTAATCTCGGCCTTTACTAGGTAGATGTTCTGTTTACATGTAAGTACAACTACGCGTAGGCACCGGTTCGGGAGATGCTTACCTCCTTGGTTTTGCCTTCTTAACCACGGACCTAGAAGTCCAACTTTCTCCTGGATGGCCTTAACAGCTGCTTCGATGTTGAGATTCAGCGGCTTCATGCCCACCAAAGAGAACTTCCCGAACAATTCAGGGCTGAGCGTACATACGCGCGTAGACCAGAGTTTGTGGGTTTCTTGTTTCTTCTGGGAGTTTCCTCCGACAATGTAGTGCCCGTAAATTTTGTCCTCCTTTCTCTTCGAGATCGTGCCGCTCGTTCCGAAGACGTTAGGACTAACATCGTCTGACGGCAAGGACGGATAGGATGCACCTGCAGCGCTAGGCGGCATGTATGAACGTGCGTTGTTGAATGTCGACCAGCGCGAATACGGGTGCTTTGGAGCTTGGATGTGATGCGGCCTTGTTGAATGTCGAATGGCACGAATGCGGCCGCCTCTGCGCGGAGATTGGAAATTATGCGGCCTTGTTGATGTTGGCGCGGGTTCTGAGTAGGCGCCATGTTCGCGATCCGATTTCGAGAGAATCTTCTAAGGCTGCTGCTCTCGGATAGCATAGAAGCGATGGGTTCCACAGTGCCGTCGCAGTCGTACAAGCCAACTTGGAACAGGTCCATGGGAGGTCGTTAAGATGGGCCGCCTGAAGATAGTTGTGCTGAGGGATGTTGGAAGTGTCTTGTTCATACGTAGTCCTTGTTCTGAAGCTCATTTGCAACTTTCAGCGAGTGAGCTTTCTCACATGCTGGTGCCTCAAGTGGGCCCTGTCGCATCGCATTGCCACACTTTCCTTCGCCCCGCGTTCTGACGGTACGGGGAGATAGGTCCTTCTTTCCACGATAAATCTGACATAAGTAAGACCGTGGGATAGTCGACGTTCTGCGTAACTTGCGGACTCGCCGCGGCGGATGGAGTCTGATACGTTAGTGAAGTGCCTGGTGAGCCGGGGGGATGGTCGACGCCTGGCGTAACTTGTGAATTGACTGAATTTGCAGATTTGGTCTGGGACCCGCATAGTGCCAGGAGCATAGCATAGAGCGTTTTACTAGAGACATAGCATGAAGTGTTATGCTAAGGGCACAGTGTGGAGTCCCGCGGGTTTTCGAGCTCCGCGATGTCGGGCCAGATTTGCTCCAGGACTCATTAGTGCTAGGGGCATAGCAACGAGTGCCAAGCTGAGGGCATAATATAGATTGCGAAGGTGTTCCCGCTACCGCCATTGCGCGTCCAAATGGGTATTGAGGTCAAGTGGCCCAGAAAAGCGTACAGGTGCATACAGCATCTTCGCAAACTTGGAAGATGTCTTCTCCCCAGTGTGCGATCGAAGCCGGCGGCAACGGCATCGTGACCGCTGTCTGTCTTGCAACCAGCTGATTTTCATCAACTTCAACTTAAATCGAGCGAGTGGTTACAAGTTAAGCTGACGGAGGGACCATATGGCCATTGGGTTTAGACCTTGGTGCCTGAAAGGAAACCAGCAGCGCGAAACGTTGTACGATGTGTACAAAATCGACTGACAAAGGCATGCGCGGTCGGCGCTCTCCTGGCCAAATCGTACATGCCGGTGCCGAATCCTGTGGCAGGAACAGCAGATTCGTGGAAAGGACACGTCGCCACATTATCCACAACCGGGATTCCAAGCGCTAATTTGCTAGATGTCGCCAATTGATACTGTATGGCCGAGCAGTCGTTTGCTGCGTTGCATTGACTTACGCCAGCCTGGAAGGTCTGGACGGACATGAGTACATTTCTCGTAGGTTTGTGGACAGTTAGACAACCTCGCCAGCTGCACGAAAAGAGGATCCTGTATCCAGCCGCGCGTTTGATTCCCCAGGCCTATGCATCTTGCTGGACTTACGTGTTGTTGGTCGATGCCCGTTGGAATGGACTTGATTCCGTCTGGGAGGTGTCTTCCGCCCACATGGCTTGTTGAAAGCGCGGCTGATCCGCTTCCGTGGAAGATGTAGGCGCTGTCGCCTCAGTGACTGGTCGAACGGCGACTGGGTTGGGAGATGCAGTATATCCGCCCGAAAGATCTTGTCCGAACGCGGAGACGGCTGATGATGTCGACACCTACCGTTCATGAGCACCATGTTGTCACACCTTCCAGATTCCAGGCAAGTGAATGGGAGACAAGACCTGTGTATTCAAGACGCGAACAAGGGATGACAAAGCTGCCTTGTCGTTGCAAAGGAGGACGAGTGGCCATGTGGATGACGGGAATATTGCGAAAGCAGATCCGTTCAAGCTGGAGAAGGATGTTAAGGATGAAGTTCAAGTGAAGGTCGAGAGTAGGTACACATAAGGCTGGAGCTAAGAATTAGGTCTAACCCCTTCCGCCCCCGAACCTGTAAGAGACCGTAATGGCGCGCAAAAGCTCATCAGGGGCAATAGAACTTGGGTCAATCTCTGGTTGGGCACACTCCGCACACATCCATCTCTTGAACAGTGTTGTTTCGCCTCAGGATCGTCCGTTTTAGGCGACTAGTCCCTGACGAACATAGACCAGGATACGATTCGATCCGCCACAGGCTTCTGTCGAGTTTCCCGTGCAGGGATAACTGCATCCCGCAATCAATGGATCAGCACCAGACGCGACGTTCGCTGCGGGCGCCTTCGTCGATCCATAGCATTCCGAATAATACTCCTCTCCACAATAAGTATAGCCCTTGGCTGCACAAGCGTCGAGACAGTTGGCAATCGTGGCATTGCTTGCGCCTCCGTAAGTCGTTAGACTGACAGTATTAGACAACGTCCGGCTCGAGGGTTCGTCCACATAGCATGCCATCAGATTCCAGTCAGCGTATGATTGCCGTACGAAGAAGGTCTGTTTCCAGGTGTTGTCGACTACGACACTCAGACGATTGCTACCTCCGCACTTTTGTGTCGAATCACCTTTGCAAGCCATGGAGCAATCTGAGGTGGATGCCGCTGCGGATGTTGGTGGGGACGAGCCGCCACACCAGCATTCATTTGCATACTCTGTGCCTGAATATTTGTAGCCTAAGGATTGACAGGCTAGAGCACATTGCTGCGGTGTCTGTGTGGAGGATGAACCGTTTGATTGGGACAGTAGACGGGTGTTAGAGTCAACAAAACAGCCCAGCACGGCGAAGCCGGATGGCAGCGATGTTGCAGAGCTGGCGCTTGTCGAAGACGATGTTGTCAGGGCACCTGGCGAACTTGGCGAAGTAGAACTGGACGAACTTGAAGCCGACAGTTGGCTTGTCATGGCTGAAGAAGCGCTGCTCGAAATGAATGACGACAAAACCTCTAAGGTTGAAATTGAAGTGCTGGTGGCAGATGTAGCTGAACCGGTGATCGTCCCACTCGAGCTGCTAGGCACAGAGGAGATCGTGGTCGAGGGAGTCGTCGTGTCAGAGCTGCTGACATCCTGGCTTGTGCCAGTGGGAGAGATCGAGGATGCTGAACTGCTACTACCAGACAACAAGCTCGTCCATGAGGCAGTACTGAAAGTCGAGGACACAGTAGCAGAGGACTCAGACAAGCTGCCTGTAGGCGAAGCAAGCGAAGTAGAGCCGACAGCGCTGTTCGCATCGCTAGTCAAGGCAGGCGAAACCGACGGCAACAATCTAGCCCCTAGAACGCCATTGAAAACAGGAACTCCAAGAGTCGACTTCAAATAGCACGCACTTCCAAGGAATGAAAGATCGACGCAACCGGAGGTAGTCGCGCACGCATCGATACAGTTCTGAAAGTTTGTTCCGGGAATCGTCTTCATGTCGCCACCTGAATGGTCGATGCCGCATTCGATCAAGAATGACTTTCCGTTCGACAAGATGGTAGTGGTGTTAGAGCCAGGGCAAGAGACGGGTATGCTAGAAATCGATGGCATCGAAGGAAAAGATGTCGTTGAACCTGTAATGGTGTTCGAAACCACGCTTGAGAGCAATGAGGACGAGGATGAGTCGGTAGTTCTTGTTGAGGATACTTGGCTGCTGGTTGTACCGGAAGATGCCTGTGATAATGAAGTGGTCAAGACAGAGGCCGAGCTGGTAGCAGTTGTTGCCGTAGAAGATGTTGGGCTGTTGGAGGATAAGACTGTGGTGCTTGTCTCTCCGCCGGAGCTGGTCGATGAGTTACTGCCAGCCGTGCTGTTTTGAGTCGCAATGTTTGACTCCAAAGTAGAAGAAGGTACAATCGACGAGAGAACAGACGACGCCAAGGAACTGCTTCCACTCGTCGTCTGGCTCATCGTTCTGAGAGCGGTCGTGCTGGAAGAGGAAGCCAAGAGCCTCGCGCCCCAGACGCCATTGTAGACAGGTGCACCTACACTGCTCTTCAAATAGCACATAGCGCCAGAGAGCGAGAGGTCCACACAGCCTATAGTAGTTGCGCACGCATCTATGCATTGCTGGAAACTGCTGACGGCTTGAGCTTTCATATCACCGCCAGCATGGTCTATGCCGCATTCAACCATGAAAGTTAGGCCATTTGATACCGCGATTGTGCTGTTGGATGCCGGACAGACAATGGGCGTGCTTGAGGCAAGAGCCGATGCCGATGAGGTCGCAGCCGTTCCAGACACCCAGCTAGCTTCGGATGATACGCTCACGGAGGAAGTCGTTGAAGTGGTCGCCGTACCGGATATCATTGATGAGCTGTTCGTGAAAGCCAGACTTGTGATAGTGCTGGCCGCACTGCTCGTGGTCGAGACCACAGACGACACGGATGGCGAAGACGGGGTGATTAGCCTTGCTCCCCAGACATCGCCATTTGCGATCGCCGTACCAACGCTCGATTTGAGATAGCAGACGCTCGTCCAGCTAATGTCCAGACACTGGCTATTGTTTGCGCAAGCATCGATGCACTGCTGGAAGTTGCTAACGACCATTGAAGTGAGGTCACCAGCCTGGTGGTCAATGCCACACTCGATCGTGAAGTTCTTGCCGCCCGAGGCAATTATGGTATTATTTGCCGCTGGACAGGAGAGCGAGGTGGATTGGGAAGTGGCAGACACCAGCTCTGAAGAGGCACTGCTCGGAGCTACCCAATCTGGATCTTGGTAGACAGTAAGTCTGTTTGGACCTCCACAGAATTCGGACGTGGCATTCGCGCAGAGATACGAGCAGTCGTTGTCGCTCGTGCGAATGGAGCCGGGAGCGAAATCGTTGTCGCAGTAGCATCTTAAGCGAAATACAAGTCAGCAGTGCTTTCATGCATAGAAGATCTCTTATTCTGCGACTCACTCGGACGAGTATTCGGTTCCAAAGTATTGGTATCCAGAACAGAAGCTGGCACAGAACTCCAGTGTCATTGAATTGCTACTCGTTCCTTTGGCAGGCAAGGCGCGCCCGATCGTGGCTTCAGTGTAGCAGGAGACATAGTAGTAGTCGCCAATGGTTTCTGGAGTTCCAGGCACAGCGTTAACTTGTGGTAGTCCGTTGGAGAAAATGGACAATCTGTTGTACCCTCCGCACGTCGAATTGGAATCACCAGGGCAAGGTGATTGACAAGAGCTCTCAATGACTTGCAAAGCCAGATAACCTAGAGTGGTTCCACAAAAACATTGGGTGCCAAATTCGAGGCCCGCGATGGTATTGCCGCTGTCGGCGCATGTCTTAGTGCAAAGTTCGATCGTATTGGCGTTGCTTTGGTAAGTCATCGTCTTCAAGCTGGGCGGATTCTGGTCTGACCAACAGCCCCAGTACGTCATGTTTCCAGCGTACGTGTGATTGTTCATGGAAGCGGCTGTAGTGTTCAGGTTTGGATTTGGATAAGGGTCGTCGCCAGCTTGTTGACGAGGATATCCGAAGTCGTAGGACCGATTACCATCTCCGTAGAAGTTGTCAAGGAACAAACGAGCTTGACCGGCGGGTGCGGCCATCATGGCACCTGCATCATGCCCAGCATTGACGAAGTCGACGGTGTCACAGTTGCGGCTGGTTGGTTCCGTGCAGGAGGGAGGGAAAGCTTTGATGAAGTTGAAGAAGCGCTCGTTCCGGTCTTTACCCGTAGTAAATGGCGCGCAGGAAGACGAATCATCACCGAGGTCTTGAGTGCCGCGTGCATAATTGATGGCCTTGGCTTGGTAATTTGCTTGAATTGCAGCTCGCCCTGACGCCACTAGATTCGTGCCATATGTCATAGGATAGTCGGTGAAGTTGGAATATCCGTCTCGGTAGGCATCGTAATCAGGACAGCCAGAAGTAGGCAGTGGTCGACTGGTGCTCTGCCATGCATAGCTATCGGGGTTGCCGATCCAGTAAGACACAGCTGAGCGCGTATTGAGCTGCACTCCTATTGCTGCATAACGTTGCACTGTCTGCCCTCCGAGGCTGTGGCCAGCAATGACAATTTGTTTCATCGAGGGAAAGAGCGTGGCGTTGTCGAAATACTGCACAATTTGATCAAGCACCGTGTAAGACGAGGTAGTCTTGGAAGTGTAGGGGTATTGATTATTCCCTATGCGGTCGATTAGTATGTCTCTCAACTTTGTGGTCGTATTCGTTTTACCTCCTGCCGACCACTGAGAAGATTTCCAGACAAGTCTGTTATGTAAGGGACCATCAGTGAGGGAACTCAGCGCTATATGGCATATTTAGACGTACGCATTGGATGTGGAACCTTTGCCGGCGGAGAGCCCATCCGTCCACGGATAGCCAGTGCTTTTATCATCTCCATTAGGGAAATAAGGGGCCTCAAAGGAGAAGAACGACTTTGTCAGCACGCCTGGATGCTCAATGGAATAGATATCCTCACCATGATCGCAACGGTATCAAAGTTGACATTGGAATCCGAAGTGACTTGGCCGAGAGCGGACAGCATGTTCGACACATACGTCCCAGGATCTCTATCCAGCCCGTGGATGACAACGACAGCACGTTGCACGTTGCTCTCGACCAGTCGCTGGTTGCCTTTTCCTTGAGAGTAATAGTTGATGAGTGTTAAGTTCTTGTTCTTTCCTGACGCATCATTGATACGGAAGTAGGTGATTTCGGAACCTGGAACGGCTGGCAAGGAGTTCGTGATGATATCGCCGGCGTATTGTTGACCGTTGGCGATTCCAACAAGCCACGAGAGAAGCACTATGGCCACATGAAAGAGGCGCATGGTTGATCTGGGCATTGCTCTGCCTGAGAAAGCCAAGAGACGGCAGCGAGTTGAAATTTATCGTGAGGAGGAGAGTTGGGTGGCGCACTGCTTCTTCGGGGATTTTTCCACCTGTATATGTCTCGCCACCTAGCATCTTCTCTATAGAAGGGATTGAAATGTCCAGACTGCAGCCATGTTTTTTGGCTTCCGTGAGCGGGAAGAGCACGAAACCGCGGCATTACGAGCCCAGCGAAATGGAATCAGCAATCCAGAACAACAGCATTTGGCCATTTGTGGACTTTTGCCATGTTTCGAGGAAGTCCGGTTGGTCAAAGTCGTGATGTGATCTCCTAACTTGTGCTCTTGTATGGACACCTGCATTAGCCAAGACGCCTCACGCAGCTATCCGCGCTGAAAAGCCATTTTTCGAAGGGGCCACGCTCGACGGATAACTCTGTTCTCACTTCTGGCGGGTTCTGATGGATAATTCTATGCAAGCACTGTTTGCCAGCCAAGGGCGGCCATTGCCAGTTGACAGACGGGTCTCAATACCATTTGGAGCGCGGGTCTCAGCCGCATCTTCAGGGCCAGTGACGGGCACTGAATCGCCACGATCACTTCGCCAACGTGAGAGCGACACTCACTTAGCTGGAATGCTGATGAGCGTCAAACGAGCTTTTTCCGGAGGAACAGTCCTGGGTACGTCCGTAGAGGATCTCCGGATGATACGTCGATGATGGAGAAATCTCTAGAGTCCCGTGTCTCCTTCCACAATGCGCGAGAGACACGGTCATACAGGAGACTGCAGAAGCTTCACGGCTCAGGAGTATCCGGGTCGCGCGAAGGCCTTGGTAGAGATTGAAGGGCAGAAGTGGTCGAGAAAAAACCGACTCTGACTCTGACTCTTGTGGGCAAGACTCACGTCCGCACTTTTGCGACGGCGATGTATGTAGAGCCTAGGCTGATGACAAGCTGCGTGCCTAGCGCTTGCTTCCATAGCACGGAGGTCCCCAGAGTCCTGGACAGAAACTCATAGAACTATGGAAAATTTCCGTCCAGAACATGACTTGCCTTGGCAGTGCATGGAAGTGGAAGCTGACAGTGCTCGATCCGGGTTTGACCGAGCCGAAAGAGATGTGTGGATGTGGCAGCCGAGATGCAAGGTACATTTTGCGACATTGACATTTGCGTGGTTGGCTGAGACTCGTGCGCCTCCTGAGGCAGCTGAGAGGACCGGACGAATCACGCTCGGGGGACCCCTTTTATCGTGCCTCATCCGGGGCTGCGTGACATTTGCGCAGGCATCAGGCACGGCGGATGGTGATGGTGCTGGTGATGGTGTTGGTGATGGTGATGAAGGTGATGTGGAAATCGCAGAAGTGAGGCGCGCCCTGTGAAGACCACACGCAGTCACGGGATGCGGGAGAGCCCGCTTCTCCTGGGCGTACTTCCCCGGTTCGCTGGAATCTCAAGCAGCAGCAGCAGCAGCAGCAGCAGCAGCAGCATCCGGGTGTCTCACGAACTCTCCAATGGCGCCTGTTTCGCCCTGCCACGCACCCACGCACCCCGTCTTGCCCGTCTCCCACCGACCCGTCCACATATCTCGCCATTCGCTCTGTCTCCGTCGCGTTGCGTCGCCAGTCTGCCTTTCAGCGCCCCAGCATGACGTCGCAGAAGCTGCATACCAGAGTGCGGCCGTGGACAGCTCCATCTCAGCGGAATGCAACGGGCCCTGCAGCTGCAGCGGTTCGCAGGACGCAAACTGGTGATGTGTGCTGCCTGCGCTGCCTGCTGGAAGCGACGCGAGGCACGACTTGCAACAAGATTTCTTTTTTGTGACAGGCTCCAGTGCCGTTGGAGCTGAGTCACTGGATGGAAGGATTCGTTTCATGCCTGGTCTGGCCTGCTAAGCCTCGAGGCTCAACAGCCGCCCGTTCATGGGAGAGGCCGCCTGGGGAGAGGCACGGAGGGAGGCTATGACTGCTGCCCATCCCATCGCCCCGTCAAGGTTCGCCCTGCCACGACTGTCGCCTGGTTGGTGTGATGCCTACCTGTTCGCCCTACAAATACTCTCCCTATTCCTCCCTGCCTCGTTCATCCATAAACTTCGCAGTCGCATCTTCCAACAACATTGATAGCCGGTCTATCTATCTATCCCTTACTTCACCAGCAACGCAGGAACTGAGACAAGTCACATACTATTTCACCCGACTCCACACGCCTCATCGCCTCCCTCAGAGTATAAGACCAGTGGCGTCCAACCCAGCTTCGACGCCGCAGCTGGACATATACCTCTCCAGTCGGACCCTCTGTCAAAGCAGCCAGACCAACACTTCTGAGCCACAAACCCCACCGACTCCACCAATATGGCAAAGGAGCAGTACAAGGTCCACCGTTCGGCCTACTACAGCGATCCACCAAGTATGTCTAAGACATCATCCGTCGATCGACATAATAACAGGGCCACTAACATCCATTCAGACTCTTCGGCCCCGCCCACGTACTCAACAACGGGTAGCAGCAGGGAGAACAGCCCATCCTATAAGCCAACAAAGGTCGTGGTCCACAACACTGGCGGCCAGACCGACGGAAGCGAGCCCTCGTCAAGGGATGCGATGATGGCTAACTTCCGACGATAGCCACAACGGACTCCTGTATGAGTAATGACGGCACTGCATGGAAGACAACCAGTTGGAAAGCATTCATCGGGACGAGAACGGAATCAGGCGCAAAGGAGAAATATATTTACACAAGCCTCGCGGGCTTCGGATGGCATTTGTTGTACTAGAGATACCCCCCCAAAACCAAAGTAAACCAAACCTTGGTATGATGACAGAGAGCGAACAACTACAAACCCTTGAAACACTCTTCTCTCACCGAAGGAGATGTCGTCTGAATTGCATCGTGCATAATCCTCTGCCTCGTCAATGCGGCCTGGCCTGTAAAGCTTGCGGCGGGGTTGTTTCTGCATGCAGGTACTAGCCATTGATCTTGAAGCGGGCGAACTTTCGTCATCATTCTCGAGATTTCGTGAAGATTCCTTCAAACGCATCACGCTTCATCTTCCAGTCATTCCGGTTTTCCTGCTTTCCACCTTTCCACAACACCAAACGAGCGAACTGGTTGGTGGAATCACACGGTGACTCGAGGCGAGGCGTTCAGTCGATCGCATGCGCTAAGGTATTCTTCCAGCGCTTCATGATCTGCTGATATGACAGCGGCGAGCGACACGGCTGTAGTCGAAGATTCTCGTCGCTGCTGCTGCCGATGGGGCTTGCCGGCTGGAGGAATTCTGGAAAAGGCTGGAAGAGTGGGAAAGGTGGAGGGGATATATAGTCTTGTTCTCGAGGACACCCGCTAGCGCCCGCCTTGATACAGCCAATGACCATCGCCTTGAATCGTCTTACTCCAGAATTTAGACGGTAGCACACTCATTCCAATAATATACGGAGGCATAACAACATCACTTTCTCATTCAATACATATCGTGCTCATTAGCCTCCCGGTCTTCAAGAAAGTACGCCAGCGCCTCGCTCATTATGCATCGGAAGAAAGTCATCAAGCCCAGTTCCCTTTCATGAAGCCTTTCCATCCATCATCTCTCTCTCTCTTTTCCGAGAGTCTGATTCTACTCGAACTCAACGCCCTTTTGCCCGCTCGCGGCTTGCGCCCTCCTTGCTCTCTCCGCCCTTCTTCTTCGGCGATTGCTGTCAAAGGCACTCACATCAGTTCCAGTGCCCATGTCTGTCCCTGCGCCGGCAACGTTGGCTGGTGGACTACCTGTCACACCGCCACCGACCGCGCCGCTACCGGCTGGCCCAGCAGCCGGAGGTAACAGACCTCCCTGAGTTGGTATCGAAGGCCCAGGAACCCACCCGGCTTGCTGATGACTTTGCTGCATGCCTTGCGGTAGCGCCGGCGGAAGGTTCAGTTCGGAAGGAGGTCTCCCAACACCAGAGTTGCTCATCGCTGGCGGCGGGGGTATGTTTTTGATTGGCTGTTGACTAGAATCTCGGATGCCTCCAGTCCGTCTGTACCGGCCTGGTTCCTCAGCTCCAGAGCTCAGACTAGAAGCTCGTCTCGATCTCCGCTCGCGACGCCTCGCCGATCTTTCAGCTGCCGCTTCTTCCTCGTTCAGGCGTCGAAGGGTAACATGGCGACCGTCTGGGTGCATATTCACCTTGACGCTAACAGGAGGGCTACCTGTAGATCCAATTCCAGTACCGCTCTGCACCTGCGATCCGGACGCCGCCGCTGCGCTGCTGCCTCGGCGTTCAGAGCGGCGCATACGTGACCGTGAATCTCGTCTTCGCGATGGCGATTGCGACTGCGTTCTCTGGCTTGCTGCTACGCCAGCGGCTGCTACGCCAGCGGCTGCTGCTGCAGCTTCTGTCGCCGCCGCAGCAGTGCCATCGCGGTACAGTCCGCTCGAGTCTTGCTGCGTTTGCTGCGATGCCTGATGCTCCGACACTAACCTGGAAGGATCGGGCTCAACTGCTCCCTGCGGCATCTGCGCTGACCCAAACGCGGGCTGCGGATAGTCGCCCGGTCTGCTGGCATGTGGTGGAGGGCCTGGTGGCGGAGGAGGCAGGTTGTAAGGCACTTGCGCTTGTTGCATGCCAGGCTGCTGAGTCACGTTTGGTCTCACAGTGCTAGGTGGTGCTCCGCTGCCGGAAGGTATTGTGCCTGCTGCAGCTGGCAACGGAGGGTGTGTCGTGTCCGGTCGAAACTGCGTCCTCGACAGCTCAGGATTACTTCCCATGGTTGGATCTTGCGTAGGCCCGGTTAGAATGGTGTCCGACATGCTTGGCCTCCCTCCATGGGCATCTTGTGGCCGTGGGTATCTATTTGAATTGCGGCGGTTGTACAGCTGCTCCTCATTGTCCAACTCTTGCTGTCTTATTCTATCAAGCCGTTCTTGCTCTCTTCTGTCTCTTCGCCTTCGGTTCCATTCTCGAAAGCCAGCGATCGCACCCATGGTTGCAATACTGTCTCGTAGAGTATGGCCTTCTCCAGTATCTTGCCTGGGAGGTGGATTCACGTAGCTGGTCTCATCATCGTACGACATCGAGTCGACACTCGGTCTTCTCCTGTTCGGTGGCCGTGTAGGTGTCATTGGCGGCGCGTTTGTCCGCGGATTTCTTCTCGCATCGTAGGGCGAAAACGGCGCTTGGCCTGCCTCGACTCGCGAGACGTCCGTCTGGCTAGGCCTACTCAAGCTGGTTTGAGAGCCTACGTACTCATCGTCGCGTCTCTTCTTGCTTCCGAAAAGGCTCTTGACGCCCTCAAAAGCGGCAATACCAGCACCAGCACCCAAAATGCGATCTCGCCAGTTGCCTGACGTCCTGGGTGGTCTGTTGGCGTACTTTTCGTCTTCTGAGTCTCCTTCCCATGACTGCGGCGAAAGAACAGTCTCATCGTGTCTTCGACTCCTGTGGCTGCCCCGACTATGGGGTCTTGGTGCCGGATTGTACGCCGCAGGTGGTGGCACGCTTCCAGATGGCCCATATGCGGGACCTGGTGTTCCTGGTGGCGGAGGTCTTGATGCAACAGATGAGTCCAAAGGGCCGGGGGGAGGGCCTGGAGGAGGGCCTGGGGTTCCAGAACGGCGCTGTCGTCTTCGCTCCATCTCCTCGTAACGGCTCTCCTTCTCGTCGAGCCTCCTTTCTCGTCGATCTTTCCACCACTCATAAGCGCCCAGCGCGCCAGCCCCGGCCAGAATATCCCGACCCCAATGCGACCGAGATCTTGACCTATCTCTCCTTCGTCCATCCTGGGTGAGCTCCGTCTGGTCTCCGGTGACATAACTGCCAGAATAGTCTGAGTAGTAGTCCGATCTTGCAGCGCTGCGAGGTGGTCCTGTTCCAATCCTCGGCTTGTTACGATACTCCAATGTCAGATACGCACAAAGCAGTAGAGCTCCCCACAGTGCATACAGGATGAACAGAGCCTTGGGAGAACCGTACAAAGTGAGGCCAAGGGCAATTTGCACGAAAGCCAGAAGTGCAATCGCTCTGCCGAACAGTCTGTGTATGTGCACCTTGAGAGGAATCGTAGGATGCGGCCTTGTCCTCTTCCTCTCCACTCTTGCCCACCACCAACCATAGAGGAACTGCACCAGGATGCAGACATAGATTGCGACTCCGATGCCATGGTGTGGATTGCTCAAGCTCCTCTCCGGTCCGACGGCGAACCATCCTAGCACCAGCACCACAGTCGCCAGGAACACGGTTAAGATCTGCAAGTAAACATGCAGCTTTAATGCCCACCTGCCCTGCACATGGAAGAACCTAGCAATGAAGATCGCGGCAGGTAGCAGTCCAAGGAATGTGATCGCAGCTATTACTCCGTGGCCAGTAATGAGGACGTGATATTGCGGCAGGTCTCGGAAGCGGTTGCCCATGCCGTTGTATTGCATCGTTGCGAAGTTGAGGCCTTGCAGGTTCGGCAGGAGGAAGGTGTTGCGTTCGCTGTCCCATGTCCCATCGCCGACATACATTGTACTGCTGTCATATGTACTTGTGCCCGCCGGCGACAAGCCACCGTTGGCCGACATGTTTCCCTGGCTCTTTTGTTGATATCTATAAAGATGGTGTAACTTTTCGTTGCGCTTCGAGCGCCTCAGTCTGATTTTGACGCCGTCATAAGGGCATGATGGTCATGGAAACTTGCCGAGGAGTCAGTCTTCTGGGAGTTGACTCTCCCGTCCATCAACGAGCGGTCGATGATTTCCTCTTGGCGGAGTACACTGGCGGTGTTGTCGCTTTCCCAGCGTTGCGCGCAGAAATGACGGGTGACAGCGAGGTCTGCTCAACTGCAGGCGGTGATGTCTTTGCGAGTGGTCGGGTCAAGATGGGTGCTGTCTGGGCGGAATCAATGATGCGACGAGACTAATGCCGCAGTGCAGCTCCATTGCAGCTGAGTGGACGGAGCTTCCAGCGAGCTGCTGCTGCTGCCCGTGTTTGTCGGCAATCGCCAGGAGCAACCACCGAGTCGGAGGCTTGCCGACGTGAGTCGCGTGGATACTTTGTTGGACGCATTCAACATCCTACGGTCGAACTTGCAGCCAGGACTAGGAGCGATGCAGCTCAGTCGGAAAAATGTACGTCTCGGTAATTCTTCAATGTGAGGTCACTTCCGCATTCCTCGACGGACCCGGCAGCCGGAGGGCTGGAAAGCCGTTGCCAGCGGCCCCTCTGTAACCTGCCCTGGGATTCTCTACAACGTCAAGCATCACGGAAACCGAAACTTAAAATCAACACACATTGGAAGCAACTTCGCATATATTTATCATGCTCATGGTTCGAAGCCGCCTGCGAAGCTCGTTCGGCAGCCAGAACATGGAGCTGGCCATTACAATCGCTCCATCACGACATATGCTTCTTCAGTCCCCTGAGCCTCTCCTTCGCTTGCTCAAGCACATCGTCGTTCTTGCAAACCGCGAATCGCAGCCAGTCCTCCACGATGTGTGCATTGGCGTCCGTGAAGAACTCGGTCGGCGGGATCGCAGCAACGCCGAACTCCTTGATCAACCACCAGCACAACTTGAAGTCTCGCGGTCTTGTCGCCACATGCTCAGGGAACGGGTAGTCTTCTGGCAGCTTGACCTTTGCCATGTTGACCAGCACGAAGTAGCCTCCCTCGGGATCTGAGTATGGAAGGCCGAGCTCGTTCCACACCTGGTTGAAGCGGTCCATCTTGCTCTTCATCTCCGTCTTGGACTCTTCCCAGAAGTTGTGCGCATCTGCCTGCTCAAAGGCAACAGCCGTGGCTTCTTGCAGTGGCGATACGGAGCTGTAACAGATCCGCGTGTGTGCTGCGGAGACGTATTTGATAAGGTGCTCTGGGCCGATCAGGTAGCCCACTCTCCATCCCGTCGCGTAGAAGTTCTTGCCCGCAGATCCCACCGTGATCGTGAGCTTTGCGATTTCAGGCGATAGAGTAGCGACACGGGTGAAGGGTACGTAGTATAATCTGTCGTAAACTTCGTCGGACAGGATGATGATGTTGTGTTTTACGCACACGTCGCCAATTGCTTGGAGCTCTGTCTTGCTAAACACCTTGCCAATGGGGTTGTGCGGGCTGTTGAGTACGATCATGCGTGTCCGATCCGTGATTGCCGCCTCGAGCTCTTTCATGTCGATGGTCCATTCGCTTGCACTGGTGGTCTTGACTGCCCCGTCTTTGGGTGGATGCATAGGGACGTACACCACTTTTCCACCAGGCATCTCAATGTTGCTGACGTATTGGTCGAAGAACGGTTCGAACACGATCACTTCGTCTCCCTGCTCCAAGAAGCCCATAAACGCAGACAGCATTCCCTCGTTTGCGCCGGTCGTGATCGTCACCTCAGTATCTGGATTCAATTGCTTGCCGAAGAATGGCGAATACGCCTCTGCGATAGCCTTCTTTAGGCGCGGTCGTCCCTGTACATTTTCTCTCAATGTCAATCCCCACTATCGACTCTCGTTCCTCCAGCTTACCTTCGTCGGCGAGTACTGATTGCATTCAACCCGATCTAATGCCTCCTTTGCTGCATTGACAACGAACTGCGGAGGGTTGTATCCAAAGAATCCCTGGCCCATATTGACCATGGGACTCACGTTACTCTGTTGTGCCGCCTCATTCACAATGCTCCAAACATCTTGTCTCTGGCCCGCGACCCGCTTGGCCGGCTTGAAGGGGTCTTGGATGACCATTGTGCTCGTGAAGGACCGCGCGAACCGTCCGGTGGTTTGTGGAAAAAGTCTCGGTGCGGAGAGTCGATGTGTTGGCCGCGCGAATGCTTTCATGACTTGATCAGAGTCATACCACATGCTCTCGTGTCTTTTGACTACCCTTGGCCGTGGTCGGCCGTCTCAGAAGTTCGCGCGCACGCCATCTCGCGCTTGAACTTTTTGCCGGATTTCTTAACGCACAAGGCAGGAACATGAGAGTTCCGAGTTCAGAAGCGACGAAAGCTTTCTCGTCACATGCGATACGAGATGAAAGGAGCCGGAATATGCCTTTGCAGCTTGTACAGAAGGCAAGTATGGTCTGATACTAATCACTCACTTGGCACAAGAGTCTGGCCTGCATATCATCTCCGAGGCTTCACGATAGATATCGTACGGTCAGCGAAGCTCGAAGGAGAGCCTGCGATGTTTGCCGAGTGGAAGCTCATAATGTCCCCGGGCCCCATCTCTCTACTACACTACATGTACTGCAATACTGTGACAGGCCCCGGAATGTCATCATCACCACCACAGCTCGAATTGCTCGCCGAGTTTTTGTTAGATCCGTTCCTTCCGCGAACCGAAAATGCTCAGTCTTCCGCAATCATGATATTCAACTTATTTCGTCTCTCTGTTCTCTAGTCTCGAGAGAGCGAGGACCCTCAATCGGCCGTTCAGAACGATTGAAGGGCAAAGGCTGGACCGGCACTCCTCACACTTCCAGGAGAGCTTCGCAATGTAAGCTACGAGCACCTCGCCCTGGACACAAAGACCATCGGATTCCGAGAGGTCACGATCCTCGCACATCCATTGGCGCAGACCAACCGACAATTCCGACGGGACACAGTGGAGACGACGTTGCAGGTTTGCTATCCACCCGCAGCAAGCCACGCGTTGTATATCGAGGCGATGCCGTACGTCTTGACAGGTGGGGCAGGTCACGGGCACACGTCGGCAGGATATCAGCAGTTTGAGAAGATGAGAGCGGCGTCATCAGTCGGAGATATTGGCAGATGAAGAAGAGTAGAGCTGTGCATGATCTCGCGTGACCTTGGCGAAGCTAGTTGGGAGCCAGCAAGTTTATTAGAAGAATGCGTTCCCTCTGGTTGACGATGAGACTGATATGCGTTTCGTCCACCATGTTGAGCTCAGGACTGGAGCCAAGTCGCTGCTTGATGGCCTCTCCCATGACAGGCGGAACGTTCTTATATCTTCCTTGACATACCATAGTGTGATGGGAGGAAAGTCGATATCTTCGAGACGGAATCCAAGGTCATCCATTGTCGAAAGCCGTCCTTCATCTACAAAGGCGTCATGGCCTTGCTTGAAGTGTTCTCCTACCGAGGGAAGCAGATATCCCAGGAAAGATCCATCGGCAAGACCCTCGATGTTCTTGGGACAAGCTTTGTTGGCCCGGCTGTCGAGCTGCTTTCCAATGCCTCAAGGAGTTTACAATCTGGTATGGCGAGTTGTCGGGAGACAGAAACGCGCACAAGCCATCGCAGGAGGCTGAGTGTATTCCGTGCGGTGTAGTACACGATGCGATTGCCAAGATGCATACCGCGCGAGCCAATGTCAGCTGTGTCAGGGAGTCATAGATGAGCACAAGCATTTGCTATGCCTTCAGGTTGGCCGGGAAATGCTGTTTCGCGCAGGCTAGAGAACATGCAGTTTTTCGACCACTGACTCCAAGCGTCTTCCTGCAGGAGGTCAGATAGCCCTTTCTTTTGTATCTTTTTTCCGGTGTTATCCTTCCTCTTCTTCTTCAAGACATGTCTTTGATGGCATACCACTGTTGTAAGCCAAGCTTCTTTGCTAGGTATTCTACGTCTCTTGCATGATCGAAGGGAAGTTCTGTTCGGTTGAGGTGCGCTCAAGCCGATGCCTGGTCGGTCGATCGAGATGAGATTGGTGCCGGACTTTGAAGCGGGATCTGAGAAGACGGTAGTTCAAGCCGCGAGCCTGGGAAGCCGTAGAAGTAGAGGACAGGAGAGCCATCGGTAGCACCAAACTGTGCGCAAGTGAGCTTGCGGTTGTCAGGTAGCGTGCTGGCATCCGTGGATGAGTCGCTGGGCGAGAGGCTGGAGTACGCAAGCCGCCGAGCGAATGAAGGCAGTGGGCACGATGGGCGCGTGCGAATGCGGTTGGAGATAGGCACGACGCCTACTCGACGCGTTACGTTGCTGTCGACCCATCCGACAGCTGCTGCCATCAAATGTGCTGCCTGTCACCGCTGCTCCATCCTTCCATCGCGTTCCGCTAGTTATCAAGAGCTAGATGACTCCGGCAGTACTGATGAAGCTCGAGTGCTGAGGAGTCCAGCAGCTGAGAACAAGTGTCTCCTCCGCCATGTCCGCTCACGTCCTCGAGCTGTCTGTTGATATCCTTCCTTGCTCTGCACTGGGAGCGAGCAGTGTACTCGGAGTAGGTGGGCGACGGTGAGAGGTTGTGCACGTACGCGTGGGCAGCGTGCGACAGTTGATGAATGCGACGTCCTTCTCCAATCCTGGGCGGTGCGACCAAGGAACTGATGAAAGAAGAGCATGCAGAAGCATGAGGTTTGCCAGCAAAAATTGCGCCGTGGCAGCCCCCGAAGGAGATGCCTTAGAGCCTGTCACCGCGCTGTGCAATGCAGGACATGCTCTAACCCTCACCAAATCGTGAGCTGGCTCGGGACAACAAGGTAAGTATGAAGAAGAAAGGAAGAAGAATTCCAAGGAGCAAAGCTCGAGTTTTAATGTTGCGCGAGTTGGCCCAAGCTTGCAGCTGCTGAGTCATAGGTCAGGTGATCTGAGGGATGAGAACTGCAGCTGTGATGAGATGTTCCTCGGAGATTCCCGCCGCGGCAGCTCCCGGGCAAGCTCAACTCCTGCCAGGTGCTGAAGTGAGCGCCCAGAGGCATTAAGTCCGACCATCATACCCATAGCACACGATGAACTCCATTCGTGTCGCCCGGAGCGCTCTCAGAGCTCGCCCAACTGCTTTCAAGGCGGCGAAGCAGCCCCTCCTGCGCAGGACCTACGCCGATGTCGCGCCCGACAAGATCCAGTTGACTCTGGCTCTGCCGCACCAGGTACGCATTATGTCGAAGCAGAAGGGAAAGAAGAGCAGAGAATGGAACAAGCGACGGGTTGTTGGCATTTGACGAGAGGCTAATGATCGTGCAGGCTATCTACAAGTCGCAAGATGTGTACGTCCCCAATCCTCTTACCGAGAGGCCGATGAGAATGCGAAACACGACAGAAAGAGGGAGTCCGAATACTAATGGACAATGAACAGCGTCCAGGTCAACATTCCCGCCGAATCTGGAGAGATGGGTGTGCTCGCAAGCCACGTGCCATCTATCGAGCAGCTGAAGCCCGGCCTTGTTGAGGTTATTGAAGAGAGCGGGGGAAGCAAGCAGTTCTTCTGTACGTCACATCAAAGCATCCCTGGAAGCAATCGAATGGAGTGGCTCTGCGGATGGGTCGGTCGGGGAAGATGAGGAAGCGCTAACATGGTATCTCAGTGTCGGGAGGCTTCGCTACTGTGCAGCCCAACTCCGTCCTCAGCATCAACGCGGTCGAGGGATACCCGCTTGAGGACTTCAGCGCAGACGTAAGTCCTAAATATTTGTCTTCAAGGTGGCGCGATGTTGATTCATGTGACAGGCCGTGAGAAATCAGATCGCCGAGGCCCAGAAAATCGCCAGCGGTGGTGGCAGTGAGCAGGATGTTGCTGAGGCGAAGATTGAGCTCGAGGTAAGACATGTGATATCACACAATCGTGGTTGATCCCACAAGGTGTACTGACGTCGAGACAGGTCTTGGAGAGCCTTCAGGCCAACCTCAAGTAGAGACCCAGTGCATGTACATACTGTTTACCATCTGAGTGCGTGAGCTTTGAAGCCAGGAAGGAGCCATGGACTAGATCGTAAAGCGATCTCCCTTCGCCATTGCCTCATACCTTTGATCGAACAGCAGCATCCTTCTTTCCTCTACACGAGCGAATCCTGCGTCTCGTTTCACGCGGCGAAGTTCCCCATTGTTTCAACACTGCTGACACGCTGCTCTTCTCGATTTCCCGTTTTTCTATCTATTCCTTCTCAGCAGTCGCTTGCTTCGTTGAACTCTCTCCCAGCTGTTTTGCCCAGCCTTACTGATCTATCCCTTCGTACCTAGATGCTCCTCGATGCTGTCTTGGTTTCGCTGTTCCGCGAGCGAGCTCGGCGATGCGCATCATCTTCGTCTGGAAAGCAACATTCTCGGGGCACACCGCAGATCGCAGAGCTTTGTGGAGTCGAGAGAAGAGCGAAGAACCAACCCTGGTAAGTGAGAACCCGGCTGTGCTCGCAAGCTGCTATCGCTCAAAGCTGCGTAGCACAATATGAATTCGCGGCTCTCGTTGGAGAGAGTCAAGACAGCGCCGGCGGGCTTGAAGACGAAGACTGTCTTCAACAAGGCTCGAGACAGGGACAGCAGCGCAAGCAGCAATCGCAAGGCGAGGAGCAGAGGTTCTCCGGGGACTCGTGCGTCCAGGCCGCCTTCCGTTGCGACCCCTTACCCTTATCCAAGAGACGAGTCCTCAGAACGGACAACTTCGCCACCAATGTGTTGTCTGCCCCCTCCTCCTTCCAGCTCCACAAGCATGACAGCCATCAACCATTCATTGTTGGGCGACGTTGTTCAAGAAGTGCCGAGAGTACGCCCAGTGAAAGAGTGGGAGAGCCCAGCGCTCATGGTGGATGGCAGCGGAGATGTAGCACGCAGAGGAACGACGTCGCTGCCCAAATTGTGGAAGCAAGCTCGGAAGGAGGCCAATGCACGACGAGAGGATCGACAGATTTTTCGACTCAGGAGGGAATACGCGGATCTGATGACCAGCAGATCGAAGAACGGGTCAGAATCACCCTCGTCGATGCAATATCTTGGTCAACACAAGTTCAAATGCCCTCATTGCATTCACTGCCAGCACTCCGAACGCTCTGCAGAGCCCACGGCGCCATCACAAAGTCAGACCCCGAAGATCTATCCCCAAAGTCGACCAAGGAGCAGTCGTTCAACTTCAGATCTGAAGCACAAACAGAGCAGGAGTACCTTGGGCTCCAAAACCAGAATGCCACGTGCAGTCAGCTTGATGGCAGTGTGGAGCCGCCCTCGGACACACAAACAACGGAAACTGTACAAGAGCGGCTCAGACGAGAGGATCCGAAGGGCGTCGGAAGCGGCGCTTTACCATCTACGCAGAATTCCAACATCGGCATCAAGTCGGGCCTAAAAGTCGCTGATCGAATACGGAATTTTGAACAAAGGGCGGTTCCTTCGATGTCAGCCAACGCGGCGACGCGAGACAAAAAATTTCAGCATGCAAAAGATTCTTCTGGGTCTGATCGGAGCCGCACGAGCAAGGGCGAAACGCCACTTGTCTTCCCTCTTCATCTAAAGAAGTTCCGAAGACGAGCCAGCGGTGCAAGTCCATTGCTCCGGGCAGAAACACCGCTGTATCGATCCCAGCCGGAAGGATACCAATATCTTCATGCACCTCTGCCGCAAAGACGGAGCACGCTGGTTGCGAACACACCGCCAGGAACCCCACCGCCACTCGAAGCGGGCGAGGACCTAGCTGAATTGGCCCTTCAACAAGCCAACGACGAGGCCGCAAAGTCAGGGAGGAACAGGGAGGAGCAAAAATCCACGCCTGACACTTCGAATGATGTCCTGTCATCGACTGCACCCAGCATTTCATTGACAGAACCAAACAAGACAGACCCGGAAGACATGTCCCCTGAACCCGCTTCCCGTGCTGCATCACAGCAGTCAGTCAATACCACTGCGGATCCACCTCCAACTCGTGCATTCCAGCAGCCAACCGCCGGTGGCAAAAGGACAGCCCGGGCATTGCAGCCTCCAGCTCCCGTCGCTTCGAGCAAATTTCTCTCACCGACTCTGAAACAGCGCATCAACCCATTTGCTCACTTTCACGGAACTCGTGGCACCTGTGTTCGACATGGAAGAAAGTACGGCAACGGTAGCCGGGAACAACGAAGCGCGCCAGCGGTGAGGGAGATGTTTGTAAAAGGCAGAAGTGGTGCGTATCTACCTGTTGGCTTGCCGGAGCGGACAAATGTGGATGCGACTAGTCCTTGGAGATATCTGACGAATCGTATAGATGCCTCCAAGTCGTACAGCGATGCTTGCCCAGATTGTGTGGCCGAGCTTCACATTCGAAAGAGAGAGCTTGACCAAAGTTCGGAAGGATCCGTGCAGCCTACGGTGCAAGCGGTGAGAAAAATTGCAACAAATGACGGGAGCATGAATCCAATTGCTTCTGGTTTTGCAACTCTGTCTGTGCCAGCAGACCAGTCGAACTCAAATCCACCATCTGTGATCGAGAAGCAAGGGGTCACGGAATCGACAAAGCCTGCAGCGGAGACTCCAGAGGAAGTGAGCGTTCCTTTTGCAGGTGACAGTGCTGGTTTGTCCAGGGGAGACACCTTCGGCTCTACTCTCGTGGAGCCATCCTCAAGCCTGAGGAGCAGTCCGTATCCGGTCTCCGTGGCGAGTAGCAACGAGAAGGAAAAGACTTCGTCCATGGATGGAGACGGGCTGGCATCAACTCGAGCAGGGTCAGAGGCTCAGTCTAGTTCCGGCTCTGTCAGGGAAGAGTCTTACCCGGCAGATGGAGAGCAGCCTACATCGCTCGGACCAAGAACAAAATCTGTCCATTTCCGCGATCCGCCTCCCACCATTGAAGGTGGACAGCTCGTCATCTCTCGTGATCTCGGGGAAGGCTATGATGCTATGATATTGGAGCGAGGTGGACGTCTGGAAAGACTGGTAATGAATTCGCGTCATGGCCAGCCGAACGCAGAAACGATGGCAAGGATTGCTCGCGAGCTGCTGATGGTCTCAAGCGCTCTCAGTGATGCTCAAGCTGGTCTGTCTCCCGAAAGCTCCACTACAAGCGAAACGGACAGGACTGTCGTCGTTGACAGAGGCTCTCACGTCGAGTTTGCGCAGGAAGTCTCGGATGACGAGGTCATCAGTCTCTTCGACGAGGCTACTGGTACTCTCGAACCCGGGCTTGCGCACCACACGCCCTCACCCATCCCGCATGCTCAGCATCCTGACATTGAAGGGGAATATGAGGCACTTCAGGAACATTTTGGTGTCAATGAGCCGTATGCATCCTTTGCCGAGGCTGGTGATTCTCTCCTCAGTCGCCAAGCGCTTCAACCGTCGCAGCAAAGCACTTCGCGCTGGCCAATTCCTCTCAATTACTCCTTCGGATCCACACAATCTCTCATGACAGACCGCTACAGGAGCTCCTCCGACGACTCACAGCCCCCAGCCTCCATCAGAGTCAGCTCGCGCAATTCCAATATGGGTTCAGAGGAAGTTCCGATTACAACTTCCTCACCCGAAGCCGAGCAGATGTCGTCCTCCCCTACACTCCCCTCGCATGTTCTCCGCGCCGAGGATACCATGTCTCCAACTCTCCCGGAACCGCATTCTCCGCTGTTCTTCACGAGTTCGACGGCGCCTTCTCTTGGTGAACCGAGTCCCATCTTCGGAAAGGTTCTACCCATCTACCCTGAGAATCCAATGTCGTCTCCACTTCCTGGTCCGCCTACACCGACTGCCGCGAGCCCGCAGGTTGCGCCGCAGTCTCCTCCAGAATCTTTCCGTGAGTTGAGTCGCGCTGATTCGAAAGTCATACGGCATGTGATGAGGATGGATATTCAGAACAAGGCTGTTCAGGAGGCTGCGGAGAAAGAAAGGCAGGCGAGAAGGCAGAGGAGCATTCTGGCGGATGCGAAAAGGGCGCTTGGGATTCATTGAGGTTGGTTGAGATGGCTTGTGCAACCCTGAGCAAATTCCAGAAGATGAGGTGATCCCTTTTTTCTTTACCTGAGTTATGTGTTGGGTGGCATCACTGCCTCCTATATTCTTTTCCCAAATGTATATACACCAATGGAATGGACCACCTCATTTCGTCCCATCTGCCGCTCCCCCGTTCGCCTGCGCCTGCTCGGTCTGCTGTTTGGCCTTAGCATTCAACCTCTCCTCGGCAACAAGCACACTCCGCCGTCGAATCCTCTCCGAATCCCCAAAAACCTTCGGAACCAATTCCTTCTTGTTGATCTTGCCCATTGCATTTCTCGGCAACTCTTCCACGACCTTCATATCCTGCGGAATTTTATAGGCTACCAATTTGCCATGCAGAGCACGTCGCATGTCCAGCGCACTCCATTCCTTGCCACCCTTGCCCGCGGATTTGCCCTTTTCCGAGAGAACGATGACGGCGGCTACCTTTTGGCCCCATGCGGCAGAGGGAAGCCCAACGACAGCGCACTCGTTTACTTCTGGTAAAGAAAGCAGTTCGCGTTCGATTTCCAGCGCGGAGACTTTTTCGCCCCCGGTTTTGATGATGTCTGCGGATTTCCTTCCCTGGATGAACCAGGCTGGTCCTCTGGCCCATTCTCCACTCTTGCCCAGTCCGGCACCTTTGACTTCTCTGCGAAGCGCGATGTCGCCGGTTTTGAACCAGCCGTCGTGTGTGAATTCTTTGGCGGTGGCTTCGGGGTTGTTCCAGTATTCCTTGAAAATGGTGGGGCCTTTGAGTTGGATTTCACCGGAAATATCTTTGCCTTCGGTGGATATGTGATCTGTGATGTCTTCGTTGGTGTCGGTGTCGATGAGGCGGGCTTGGACGGAAGGTAGAGGCCAGCCGACGGAGCCGTCGATGCGGTCGGAGTCATCTAAACCACAGGACAGTGCCATGCCGGCTTCTGTCATGCCGTAGCGTTCTAGGAGGACATTGCCGGAGGAGAGATCTGTCCAGGCCCTTTTGGTGGGTGTTGGAAGGGCCGCAGATCCAGAGATGTTGAGACGAAGGTTTTCTCGCTTGATGGCCTGGTCGCCGGCTTTCTGCAGGTCTTCTGGTAGGCCAGGATGTGATTGCAGCATTCGGGCCCAGATGGTTGGCACAACGGTGAAGAAGGTGATGGGCTTTCTATCCCCGTTAGGGAGGAACGGAGCTGCGAAGCGGTTCCATGCTGCATCCACGTTGAAGGGGAACATGAACTCGATTGTGCTGCCGGCGAGGATGGGCGTGAGCAGCGCGTTGACTGTGCCGTGGATGTGATGAAGAGGTAGAACGTGAAGTAGATGGTCCTTGGGGGTGTAGTCCCATGCTTCAAGCAAGCTTTTTGCCTGAGCAACGAGCGCTTTGTGTGGCAGCAGAACGCCTTTCGGCCTTGCGGTTGTTCCAGATGTGTAGAGCATCATTCCACCTTCTGCCTTGTCAGCCTGTCCAGTGAGCTCTATCTCCTGCTGTGTTCCCTGGTCTTGAGATAGAATCTTCGCCATTGCTACGCGGGCGGGTGGTCGCTCAAGTCCTTCTTTGAGGATCTCATTTGCCATCTTCTCAAACTTCCCTGAGTGAAGGAGGGCAACAGCCTCACTCTGGTTTAGACTATACCGAAGTTCTCCGGGAGTAAAAGAAGGTGCGAGGGGAACGGCAATGGCATTGGACGCCAGACAAGCAAGAAGGGTCACTACCAACCGAGATATCAGCCTACGTCTTTTCCGTTGCAGTGAGTAGTTGAATCTGACAGTCGCGCACCTACATAGTCATAGCTGTTCTCCACCAAAAACGCTATCCGCTCCCCTCTGATGCTCTCCTCGCTCTTGCCTGTCGACTCCAACAGCGTGTCTCTGGCAGCAGCGATGTCCTGCAACAGCCCCCCATACTTGAACGTCCGCCCCGACCGAGAGTGTACCACCGCTGTACTCTTCGGGTCATGCTTCTGTATGGCCTCAGTAAACGCAGATCGCTGAAGAGCTGGCATTGCCGATCTCGTTGTGGTCGAAAAGGGAGAGGACTGGTAGAGGAGGGGAGCACGCGATGGTATCCCGACTCTTCTGAAGATCTTGCTCGTAGACTGTTCGGTGAAGATGGGCCGCAAGTGTTGCACATGTGGGGTGGAGCAGCGCGGCGGCATGCTGGAGAGCCGACGGCATTGGGGGAGGCGATATCGTGGTCTCGGTCAACGACTGTTCCCCCGTCCGGTGGAGATATCGTGCGATACCAGATGAAGTGTGGTCATCGGGCAAAGGGACACGAAATCCCTTTGGATTTGATTAGTTCGCATCCATCAATATTTTGCGGGACCCCGCCATGGCTGAATGCCGAGGCATCAAATTGCTGTAAAGAGCTTGGAAGAGACCGGAAACTTACACTGCCATACTCGTAGCAGGCCTCTGACCGCCGTGGGCAGTCATGTACGAGACAACTGACTAGATTCGGTAAGCCTCCCTATGTGGACACAACTAGAGACATTGGCGAAAGAATAACCGCAGGTGATGAAGCTTGGCTTGGTCGCTCGGATATCGCTCTATTATCTTTCTTCCTCTTTCCCCGTTCTCGCGTTTGAATTGAACAACTTCAAAGGTCAACAGTCTACGTTCAGTAGCTCGTGGATAGTAGGACCATTCTCCTGTGTGCAAGGAAACATGAAGTGATGTATTACGAGGATAGACAATAGTGCGTCATCGCGCTTGTGAAGTGCTGCCGAGTCCCTGCCCGCTCGCAAACTTAAGTTCAACGCTGTAAGAAAGTGCCGCTCCCATACTGAACGACGCGATAACAACCACGACACCGCCGCCCTCCGCCACGCTCACCACGCGCCAGCACGCCATTCCCGGCACCTCCGAGCTGCAACTAATATTTCTTTCCAGAACGAAACCTCCCCTCTTTGTCACCAGCATACCAGACCTATAGTGCAGCGAAAGCGTAACGCCCAACCGCAGGCAGCCAACCGAAGATGGTGGTAGATACCGCCTACTACGATGCTCTCGGCGTCAAGCCAGACGCAACCGAGATAGAAATCAAGAAGGCCTACAGAAAGCTTGCCATCAAGCTTCACCCAGGTATGGACTGACAGTATACGCAGAGAGACTAGGTGAGATCACCAGGCGGCTGACCTCTCTCAGACAAGAACCCGGACGACCCTACAGCACACGAGAAGTTTCAGACCGTCGGCGAGGCATATCAAGTCTTGAGCGAGCCTGAACTGCGTAAACAGTATGACAAGCTTGGGAAGGAGGGCGCGAAGCCGGATTCAGGCTTCGAGGACCCAGCTGAGTTCTTTACCATGATCTTCGGCGGAGAAGCTTTCCAGGACTGGATTGGCGAGATCTCCATGATGAAGGATCTGACCAAGAGCATGGAAATCTCTATGAAAGAGGAAGAGGAGCAGCCTACTGCTGCAGCAGACGATGTCGCGGCCTCCACCGAGGCCCAGGCCGAGAAAGAAACAACCACTGGCACCACGCCTGCTGCCGGCGCTACTCCACAGGCTCCAACGGCACCCAAAGCTGAGACTGAGCAGGCCACGACGGCCGGCGCTACCCAAGAGATACCAGTACTCGACTCAAAGCCTGTTGGTACCTCTCCCGCAGCTTCAGGTACTTCCACACCGCGTCCTCATGGAATTCCCACCCGCCTTGCTATCACAGACAGGACAGAAGAGGAGGCTGCAGCTACCGCTGCTGGCATGACAGAAGAGGAAAAGAAGCTCCGTGAGAAGGAGAAGCGCAAGGGTGGCTTGACCAAAGAACAGCGGGAAGAGCTCTATGCCTTCGAGATGGAGCGCAAGAAGATCAGAGACGAGCGTGTGGAGACTCTGTCTAACAAGCTCGTCGACCGCATCAGCGTATGGACCGAAACCGACAAGGGCGAGGACGTCACCAAAGCCTTCAAGGAGAAGATGAGGCTGGAGGCTGAGAACCTCAAGATGGAGTCGTTCGGTATCGAGATCCTTCATGCCATTGGACAGACCTACGTCACCAAGGCCAGCACTTTCATTAAGTCTCAGAAGCCTCTGATCGGCGGTGTTAGCGGCTTCTTCAGCAGACTGAAAGACAAGGGCAATCAAGTTCGCGACACTTGGACCACCGTCTCAAGCGCGATCTCTGCCCAGATCGAGATCGAGGAGATGGCCAAGGCGGAAGAGAAGGGCGGCGAGGACTGGACAGATGAGAGGAGAGCTGAATACGAGAAGCGTGTTACCGGGAAGATTCTTGCTGCCGCATGGAGAGGCAGCCGATTTGAGATCACCGGCGTGCTCCGTGACGTTTGCGACAAGATTCTATACGATAAGAAGGTCAAGCCGGAGAAGCGCCTTGAGCGAGCGGAGGCATTGTTGATCGTTGGCCAGATCTTTGCTAAGGCGAGTGTAGATCAGCGTGTAGGCGGAATCTTGCTAACAGTATCGACAGGCTGAACGTGATCCTGAAGAAGAGGGCGACTTCATGGCATTCGAGCAACTCATGGCGGAAGCAACGGCTAAGCGTGAGAAGAAAGAGGACAAGGAGAAGGAGAAGAAAGAAAAGAAGCACCGCTTCGGACACAAGCACTCAGAGACGACTACTGCTGATGAGAAGGAGAAGCCGGCTCACTAGGGGGAGTCGTGCACGAATGCCTCCTCATCAATGCCACAGAAAGCGAGCGAAAACGAAAGCAAAGCAACATCTCCCGTGTCCGGATCTTCAACCAAGCACTCTCCCACCTCTGAGCCGTCGAGAAATCCTTTTGAGTATGGAGCTCCCGACGGAGAATCAGGTTTAAAGCCTCCATCCCCTTACCTGCCCCCTGTTGGACGGTATTAATCGCTTCTCAGGTCGCAGTGGAAGGTCGGGCATGGTTTTGCTTCGATTTGACGACAGCAGGCCGGATGCGTGGGTGCCAGCAGACGTCTTCTACGAAGTTCTTGATCAGCGTCGAGGCAGCGAGGGAATCGCCAGGGGACAGTGGCAGGAGCGCTTCGATTACAAGTCAGTTGACGAGCAGACTCCGGACGATTCGCGATCGCGCGGAATCTGGCTGTGGATGGAATCGGTGCCCTTGGTGGACTCCCTCTCGTCGGTCGCTTCGCGATGCCGACCGGCTGCTGCCTTGTGAGTACTCGAGCCCACCTGCCGCGCCGCAAGCCGGAAATTGCCAGCCGCGTCCTCCTGATTACCTCCGAGTTTACCGACTTGCCTGTGGAGCGGTCGACTTTGGCACCGCCTTGGCAAAGTTCGATAGACCTGTATAGAATCGTCTTCTTCCCTGAGAATGATACTAGACCCACGAGTATCACATTTACCAGCATATCTGATCGATGCCTGCTCGTCCCTTGCGTGTCATGGCGTCTCTCCACAGCGAAATGCCATTGTCTTCCCGAGCATGCTAGCGAGAACCAGGGCAACGGCGAAGTCGGATAGCGCAAAATCGGCGGTAGCAGCCGTCGACATGACACTCCGACGTGCGAAGATGCTGTTGCTGATCTTCCTTCCCCTGCGCTTTCCTCTGGATCTCCTTCTCGTCTGCGTGTCGGGGAGAGAAGAATTGGTCCTTGAAGAAATCATCGCTTACGCGTGAGTGGTCATGGTTATCGTGCAGTGCTGCTCATGGGTTGGCGAGTATTATTATACATGTGCCTGATGATACTCTCGATACCGATATTCTACACACGAAATGTGTCTGTAACTTTAGAATTCTATGCAAGTTGATCTTGTAAGAATTTTTTTTTGAATACACCCTTGATATCCTTTCACTAGAACGCAGCATATAAGCAACTAAAATAGTGGATTGCTTAGCAAAAAAAAGACGGGTTCAAAGAGCGCGAGCAAAAAAAAAAAAGAAAAATATCGGTTGACTACCAGTGAGCTAGTAGTGTCACATCTTCGACGACAACGGCAGGATTCGAACCTACGCCCCCGAAGGGAATTGATGAACTTATTTTCACACATTCAGCTGTTGTGAAATTCTAGTCAATCGCAGTAACCACTTTGCTACGTTGCCTGTGTGGAATCGCTGATTGGATGAGCTAATGTCACTGGATATCGTATATGTAGATTTTGATTTTTTTTTGAGCCTGGGGGCAAGGTGTCGTGGCTGAGGTGCGGAAGCTTGGCTAATCACTACTACTGCTACGCACAGACAGACTTCTTTAGTCTTTTCTTCTTCTTCTTCCTTCTTTCTTCTTTCTTCTTTCCAAAAAGCTGCCTGGAAGCCAAAGCCAAAGCAAAGCAAAAGCGAACCAAAAAAAAAAATCCTCCATCCATTCTACGATACGATACGACCTTATTCTTAGTCTTTGTCTTAATTTTATAACATTCCGGGTGCACGGATCCTTTGCTTAATCCATCTATATTCGATCACTAGTGAATACGAGAAGCCTTTTTCGGGATTCGAAATTAAGAAGAAAAAGATTTCATGGTGTCTCGTAGCTGTAGATAGATAGGATAGTCTACTCTCACTTGGCCCCCCTTTTTTCTGGGGGTGGAACCTCCACACACGGTCGATCGACTCGTTTCCCTTCTTCCCGATCGGAGGACCTGCGATCTTGCTGTTTCTTCCCGGTCGTTATCATCGGGAGGGACATTGGGAAGCCGCGATCGGGATCATATATACATAGCAGTCCGAAGCAAGAAAGAGAAAAGAGAGGGAGAGAGAGAGAGAGAAAGAGCGAAAGTCTCATTCACTTCTCCCTGACAGGTTTCCCCTTCTCATCCGCAATCTCCACGACCAGCTTGTCGAGGAGATTCGCATGTCCGACGAGCATTCGCAATTTGTGATCGCGCTGGCGGGCTTCATAGCTGAGTTTCGACCGAGCCGTCCATGCGATGTAGTAGGATTCCGTGGGAGGAGGAGGAGGAGGGGCTCGGATTTCGGACGCGAGGATTTGCTTCTTGGCCGGGGTGGCGGCGGAAGAGGAGGAGGAGGAGGAGTTGACGGGCTTGATGGTGACTTCGAGCTGCTTGGGTTTGCTTGTTGGAGAAGTCGTCGGTTTGCTGGGAGAGTTGGGGGCTAGTGCCATTGCTGGGTAGCGTCCTGCGCTGTCTGTGGTGGTGGTTGTGATGGTGATGGAGGAGCTGAGTCGCTTTTAGAAGATGGAATGCCGCCGCCCTCGAAGGGCTCGAAGGATTCGTTTCCGCTCGGCTCGTTCGAGAAGTGGACGGAGACACCAGAATAAGTTGACTTGTACGAGCATGGTTATGTGGAAGCCGTGGTGAGGTGTAGTCGTAGGGTTGGTGCTGGTGTTGCGTAGATCGTGATGGCTACTTTTCCTCTGGATCAGGACTCGAACCGGTCAAAGAGACAACAGTCGGAGCATACAGAAGACTTGAGAGAGAGAGAGGGGAGCGCGCCGGAGTAGAGATTACTATCGGCTTGAGATGTGTGAAGATGATGGTTGTGAGGAAGACAGACCAGGTAGAAAGGGGGTGATGGAGAAAGATATAGCTCTTCGACTTCACCGATCGCATCTGCTCCGGACGCCGTCGTGTATCGTGGCTGCTGTCCCAAAGAACAGCAATTAAGACTCCTGCAATGAAAGCAGCCACGGAGAGTTTAGCAAGCCTGCCAGTGCATTTCGCTGCAGGGGCCGACTATTGCAGCGGTATCGAGAGTTTGACAGGCCATATCATCGTCCCTGCAGTGGTTCGTCCGGCAGATAATCTTGGCAGTAGAGACGGAGTGACGCGTCCGTCATACCCAATTCATTCCTTGCGCGGATCCGGTATCGACTTGGGAGTCCGGGGTGATCCACGCCTAGGCGTCTCCAAGCTTCTGGGATCGATCAATTGTCTGATTTCCGCAAGGACCGAAGTCGTTCTTGAAACTTGTCAACGCGCTCAACCACATGTGACCGTCAAGTTCGGCCGTCTATACCTTCTCTGAATCATAAATTGGGACGCAACCGACCCAAGCACGTAATGTGAGCTTCCATAACCGTGGGCTTGCACGGAGGGCATTCATGTGATGGGTACCCTACCCAGGTTGAAATCACAGCAAGAGAGATCCAGGACCGAAACCTCGTTACAAGATGAGTAAGTGCTGGAGGCTCAAATTTCAGCTGACCACGAGCAGGGCGAAGAGAGCCGTGCGAGAGCAGCAGTATGGATCCCATGGTAAAGGAGGGACAGTCCTGAAGCATAATTAGACTGCCGCCGACGGTGCGGCTTTCGAATATAGGGTCAAGCCGAGCAGCTATTGGCCCAGACCTGTTGTCCGAATATGTCAGTGCGGCGCGTTTCGTGAAGGTGTGGCAGTCTCCTCTGAAACGCGTCTCCTGTGGCACAGGAGGTTTGACATCTGGCACGGCCTAGTGCGACTCAGTTGACCGAAACTTGGCAGACGGAGTGGTTATGTGGCTTGGCAAGTGCTGCTAGTCATGTCGTGGTCTCCGAATGGAAAGTATCCGGGTTTAGAAATCTTCCAGAAGGTTGCCGGAAATGAGGATACGTCCTTACTCATCCCCAAAATGACCGAGATCCATGCTTGCGACGTTCACTTGCTTGAATCATTGACAGCGGCACTCCTGCATAAACGACCTCACACGCTTGGAGCTATTCTGAGAGATAGCTTTTTGCTCTGGCGGCCATCTCGAAGGTTTGCCTCATTCCGCGAGACTGGCGGTGCCTGTCCGTGCATGCTAGCAAAATAGGAGAGTGAGAATCCGACCGCCAGTGCGTCCAGTGCGGCGTGGCATACGTGTCATCAGCAGGAGAAATGAGCAATATGCGACTCCTGCGCAAAAAGTCGGGCACCGTCGTAGTGATTCAAATTTTAAAGCACCGCCGAGGAAGCTTGCCGATGTATTTCGATTTTCGACAGCGTAAGAAGTCGAATACAGGGCGAGACCCTGCATCCCTTCCCAACTGTCGGGAAGGGCTGATGTCGAGCTTAAAAGAGGTTGAATATGGGTATGCCCCAGCCACCATATGCGCCACAGCAGGCGGACAGAGAGTCAGGCCATCCGGAAAGCTTTCGTAGAGGATTCAGTCGTATGTTGGTGACGAGCGGCACACCGCGCAGCAGTCGTCGTGGGTTCTGGCTCTTCGCGTCCTCCATCAGACCGATTCGGCCACGTCTTGCGGTGAGGCGAGGTGAGGTTTGCGGTGAGATAAGGTAGCTGCCAGTACCTGTGTACCTAGCTCCAGAGCTCCACAAGTACGGTAGATACCGCAGGTGGTCCCTTGATGAGCATATCACCAACCCCAGGAGCTTCTGCATTGACAACGCATAATTACCACTCCTCATCTCATGCGGCAAAGGACACCTACGTTTCAGACGTTCTCGACGACGCCCATCCCCATAATTCCCCCTTGGAGCAATGATAGTGCCTGGAGTGGAAGGTAGCTTCAGAGCCGCAGTGACAGCAGTTAGAAAGACAAGACGGGGGTTGAAGCAGATGACAAGACGTAGTAGAGAGGGAGAACTGATGCCAAAGCAAAACGTAATGACCATTCGATGCTAAGCCACTAGAAAACAACACTAGGCGCGCAATCCGCTGCAGCAGCCATTGGGGTATATCATCGTCGTTCTTCCTAGCCAACAAAATATTGCGCAATATCCCAAACAGCCAACGCCTCGATGCGTGCCCGAGTGGTGGCACCAAATAAAAGTACATTAAAACTCATTGCTAAGCGCAGTCCATTCCGTGCATCACGGCTCTGGTGAATACGTCGATGAAGAATCCAGTATAGTAATACATGCCGTCCAGCAGCTCCATAAGGGAAAGGGTAGCGAGGTGAGGGAGAGAAAGTGGTAAAAGGTCCGAGTCGAATGAAGGAGGTATTATGGCGCACGAGCCGGATGTGGTGGGTGAGGGTTCCCAGGGGTGGAGATCGTGCAGACCGAGATTAGGAAGTGTGGAGGGATGGATGAGGGGTGCATGACAGCTCATGCAGTCCTTCGAAGAGCGGGCGTATCGAGTATAGTCCATGTGCAAGTCACGAGAGGTCCAGCTCCGCTTCGTTTGCTGATAGCGTTGACGCCCCGTCAAGCGAGGCGTGGTGATGTGCGTAGTGTGGTGGGCCCATATTGTTTCGGCGTTTCCATGAAACGAAGCCGTGCGGTCTGAGGAAGCGACGTGGATGATGGTCTTGGACGGCTGACCTCGCTCATTTGGTGGGAATGGGAGGCAGAGGACGGGTTGGTGGAGGTCCTGGGCAGGGAGGAAACTGAGCGCCAGGCATTGTGGTTGTGAGGTTGGTGGTGGAGGTGATGGAGGTGGTGGTGGTGGTGGTGGTGGTGGTAGTGGTGGTAGTGGTGGTGGTGGTGAAGATTGGTGTCGGAGACGATGAGCTCGTTGCGGGAGGTGCGATTAGTTGATCGTGGTATCAGAGTCAGATCTGTATCGTTGGGTTGTCGTAGTAGTCGTGTGAAGACGTGAGGCCAGCTAGAGGGAAAGGTCGTTGGTGAGTAAGGAAGGAGTGTGAGACCGGGCGAGCGAAGTGCGGCAGGAGCAGTGCTTATATATATATATGTGTGTGTGTGCGTGTGTGTGTGTGTTGGAAGGAGTGGCAGCGGGATATGGCAGGCTCAGGCAGACCATGTCGACGGGTCATTTCCTATCATGAGAGAGATGCAAAACTAGGCAAAAGCATAGGCCGCCCAGCCCGCGAGCATCCTGGACCGCCGGTGAGTCTGTGCCTGGCCTGACGAAGCAAGCAGCACACAGCTCTGCTCCCCCTCGCAGCTGCCGTTCCGGAAGCGGTGCGATGCGGTGTGCGGTGTGCGGTGCGCTGCGATGCGATTCGACGCGATGCCTGCTTGCCCGGGCGGGCGGGAAAGGAGCAGAGACGACGACGCAGCGCAGCAAAGGCAAACGCTGGCTTGCTTCGGCCTCACGCCTCGTCTCGTCTCGTCTCGTACAGCCAAGGCAAAGCTAATTTGGCTGCATGACATGACTCCATGTGTGCTGCCCGTGTGTACCGTCATGTGCGCCGTCCAAACTCAGCCCTGTCCCGTTCGCCTTCGGGCGCCGACCGATCATCTTGCTGCTCGCACTGTCCTCGTATCACACCTGCACCTGCCCCAAGAACCCCCGTCGCCGATCCCATTATTACGACATGCAGCCAGCGTACATTCAACTCACTTACACAGTCATACGTACATACTAATAGCAATCAACCTCCCGCACTGCTAATCCGCTCGGCTCGGTCGCGGCAAATGCGCGCGCGCGGGAATCCTGCCTGCCCATACCGCCTCTCATTGCCGTCATCACGTCCTCACCCATTGAATGCCCATGCCAATGCCAATGCCAGTGCCAGTACCAGTGTCAGTACCGCACGCCTTCTTTTCTTAGAGCTGTGCGCGTGCTGCCTAGCTGCCTCCTTTCTCCTTTACCGGCAGCGGTGCGGCAGCCCGAACCACCGGACGGGCACGCGGATATCTCGCCCTAGCGCCTTCCCGCCAAGATCCGCGGAACGCTTTCTGGAATCGCGAGCAAAGCTTCCAGCGCACCGCATCATCTCATGGCGCTGCCACAGGGGTGATCAAATTAAGATAGATTGACGCTAGTTGCTTGGCATTGGTGTCTGCATACTATCTCTACCAAATATCATCCTTTATACGCTGTCCACCATTCAAAGTGAGTTGGTAGCACCTCCATTGCATGCTCTGTATTCTGTGTCTGATTTGATCTATTAAAATCTTATTCTAGGCACAGATACAGGCTGCTTTGAGAGCTTGATAGTCCATCTGATATAGTGACTCCCTATACATCTTTTTAAGGCTCTCTTTAAGCAGTAGCTACACACCTTTAATTAGGTTAAGGTTAGGGCTTTATGCTAGGTACTAGTAAAGCTGGATTAGCTGTTCTTACCTTGTCTTTTCGGGTAGATTGTCCTTTGATCTGTGACTATATAATAGATCACTATCTTCTATCAAAATAGTAGGGTAGCCTTGATTCTTTATCTATTTAATCTATTTAATATGCTTTAGAAGGATATGCTCTATATAGTAGAGCTAGCTCATTGAATTGCCCTTCTTCTAGGTGTGTAGGGGCTCTAAATTGGCCTATTCCTTTAACTCTGCTTAATACTACTCTTCTGTCTTCTACCTTCTGTTTCTTCGTAGTTTTTGGCCCTTCTAGATTTCTGTAATATGCCTATGGTTCTACTATTTATCGTTATAGAAGACAAGCTCTAATTTATGCTACTAAGAGACAGAGGCAGTGATATAGGCTACTAAATAGTTAGGCTTAGGTTGCTCGTATACTATCCCTTTATAATTGCCCTTCTTACGAAAGATTCGTTAATAAAGAGATATAGCCCGGTCAATATAAGCTTCGTCTGTCTAATAGATCTATTACTAGAGGCTATCTACTGTCTCTAACCTATATTAGTGCCTATATTGAATCCTAAGCCTCTTATTGTTGTTAGAGATCTGTGTAGTACTCTGCCTCTTACTATACAGTATCTGTGGCTTCCTTTCCCTTATCCTTCTTCTTAACGTTAAATATAAGGCTTCTATATGCTTTTGGAAGAAGGTATAGTCCTGTTTCCTTAAATCTTAGGGGCCTTTAGCTATTATCTTAATCTAGTAGGATATATCCTTCTTTTTAGGTCTAGGGGCTTCCTTTCGTGGTAGTCTTCGGGTAGGGGATAGCTCAGCTTCTACTCTAAGTTCTATACGTTAGTAGAGCTATTTGCTAGCTATTAGGTAGGTAGGGTACCATTCTTCGTGGTCATACAGCTAGTAGAAGTATTTGAGTGTGTATTGGTCTCTAGATGCATCCCAATAGTCAAAAAACCGCGTCCTTTATAGTGTCTTGAATTTCCCTAGCCTCTTTGACCTTTGTAAATGATTTCTAAGCCTTGGGGCCATAGTGGTGCTGGTGTAGAGACTTCAAAAGTGTGTTGGTAAGGAGGTTTGGTATGCCAAGCAACTAGCGTCAATCTATCTTAATTTGATCACCCCTGTGCTGCCGTCCGCGACGTGCAGGGGTACGGGGCGAGGGGAAGGAGCAGACTTCGGCATGGCATGGAGACGGGTCACGGGAGACAACGTGTGTGGTGCCTGCCTGCCTGACGAAACGGACGCTGTGCTGTTTCACGTCTGCCGGATTTTTTCTTGTCCGTGAATCAAAATTCCAAACCACCATCTGGTGGCAAATTGAGCGCTTGTCCAGACGGTCACGCAGCCGGTTTGCCTGCCTGCGACGCTTTCATTTCGCTTGCAGGGATTAAAGGGCGGAGGAACTTGAAGCATTACACATCTCACCCCGAGTCCGTGATGATGACTCTTCTGGAGTCATGTTGGCATCAGCACACCTCATCATCATCAGCAGGTTTGCAAAACAGCCTTGCTCTCGCGCATTCTCTCATCTTGAGACAATCGACTTCTTTGCCGGGCTCTGCGCCGCGGCCACTCCTGCGACGTCGTCATCAGCTCCGATCGTTCGATAGTAAAGATACCCGGACAAGACAGCACAGAGCTCGTGCTTCCGCGGCAGGATGGACTGATTGCTCGCCATCTACCGATCCAATCCTGCCGCTTGCAACCCGAATCGAGCGCGCGCTGCATGAGAAGCGTATACTGCTGTGTGCTCCACCCCTTCTGTTCGAGCACGTGGCCATTCTGACCCAATTGTTGCACCGTCAAAATACTTCCTCGGTACTCAATGGAACGAGGTGAACGGGCTACCAATCTTTGGCCAGGTGACGGCGGACGGCTGGCGCGGTCGGCCTCCTCGTCCGCGCGTCGCACAGATTCTTGTTCGACGATCCGTGAACAGGAGGTTTCGTGCTCCTGATGAATACATCGTTGGCTGTCCAACGTTGCGTTGCGTGTGCAAACTCAAGTGACGGTGTCGCCATACTTGACACACACACAACCACGACGCCAAACCGTCAACGGCTGCGTACCTGACACGTACCTGAATGATCGCCAGGGGTGCATCCTCGCGGTAGTTGGACGCCCATGCGATCAACTGCAATCCGCCTTTCCAACCTTGGTACGACTGGAGCGCTTAGCGCCGTCAAATGTTGATCGATTGCAACTAACAAGTGTCTCAATTTGGGATTCATGTCGCACCTGGCACATCAAAATGCCTGCCGCGACACTCGCAGGTGATCAAACCGTCTCCGCGTTTCCTGTACGAGTGTATCGCCTCGTCGATTGAGCATTAGTTTCATTCTGATGGTATTCGGATGGCAGATTGAGCCACACTGCTACAGTCGCCGTCTCGCTTCATTCCCTGTCGTCCCCGGCTCCAGGAACAGATCTTGCCGAAATCGTTACCAATCCGACGGAATCCGCGACCAGCCATTGCAAGGAACAGGGAATTGCCGTGACTGTGTGCCTGGCGTTGGACAGACTCACCTCATCCTGGCACATCAGGCGGACACGCGGCTGTCAGACCACTCTTTCTGACCATTCATTCAAGAGCTTGCGCTCCATAGACCAGCTGCAGTATTCCGCTTGCTTGCAGCATGCTGGCTCGGTTGCCACGACATTCGGAGCGCCCGAACAATGCCGAGCAAAGATTCTCGACGACATCATCAGACTTTGATGACAGCCTGGTGATGCAGACAAATTCTGAACACGAGCGCCTTATTACATGCCGTGCCCACGCAAGGCGTCCAATGCCAGTCCGCCGAGCAACGCCGTCCACGTCTTTGCCACACGTGGAACTTAAACGGTCTCCGCTGCTCGTTCCTGGAGGCAAAGAAGCTTTCCCTATGAGGCTACAACTGCTTGTCTTGGAGCCAACTGACTATGGTGCATTGCCAGCTTTGTGAGTTTGGCACTTGATATTCACAAGAGAGCAGCATCAGCTCTTGTTGCAGAAGAATTCTGAGCCATACGCACCCGTACAACAAAAAGCACACACAACACCCGCCAAGCCACTGGTTGTCATCATTACAAGTCACGAGGACATGGGACGGCCTGATTCGGCCACAGCTGCCGGCCTCAAGCTACAACCTGGTTCCTTGCCTGCGAGGGAAACTTTAAGCTTCCGCCCTTCATCTGAACGACGAGGGCCTCTCCTTGTCGTTGCTTACCGGTGAACGCCGATGCATGCAAAGTTTGATGTGATTTGGCAGCTTCAAGCTCCGGAGACATCGATATCCATTTGGCTGGTACTCAATGGCATGCGAAGGTCGGAAGCCGACTCTTTCTTTTCGTCCGTCACGGCCTTAACTTTAACCTTGGTAATGGGTGCCGACGAGTGTACTTCCGTACAGATACCTGGTAAGAAATGTCACACCGTTGTTTTGTCTCCGCGACGAGGCGCAGTTCCGACAAGATATACGAGAGCAGTGATGGCTCGGGTCAGTTTTCCGTTTCCCGCAAAGCATTCTTTTGCCTTCTCCGGTGGACACCTCACCGCCACCGATGCCACGAGGGTGCGAACAGATCTCGCTCCACCGCATCTTCAGGCGGCCGAGCAGACGCGATAGTCGTACCGAGTCTCACGAGCCTTTCACAGGAATTGGGCAGCAACAGACTGCTTGCGATTTTCGCTTCCACATGCCGATGGTGTCTTACCAATCACTGTATGGTACGATCAGCGAATCCCTTGACCCCCTGGTATCTACTGGACAGTCGATCGACGAAGATCGCAGTCCCTTCTACTGGGCCATCACGGCCTTGCTGTTGGTACAGGAACCTCGGACCAGACGCCTGGAGATATGGTATGGTGACGCGGTCCTGAACTCTCAGCTGCGTTTGCTGAGGCGCCACGGCACAGGCTGCGTGTAGAAAGTTAATACTGTCGGTGAGCCAGCTGATCGTCTGCAAGCAGTGCGTCCATTGGAGACTCTTGAGTTTCGAGAAAGCTTTGGAAGGATTTACGCATGGCTGAGCGGCACAGTGCTGACTCCCGAGGTGTAGCGTCCGTCACAGCCACTCCTGCACGCAGCAATACCGCTCGTATTTTATGCTTCGTAACGGCGTGCGCGATTCTCGTAAACTGGTTTTATGGCATCGTGCAAGCCGTGTGTCGTATTCGTACGAAGACAGGGGTCGATGTTACAGAAGGATGCAATCTTCGTGAAGCGGTGCTCGCGGCCAGGATCAACTCAATCCTAAGGGTAGAAGCTGCATTGGCTTCTTGGGTTGGGCCCATTATTTTTCAACCTTCGTCGTCGCCAAGAATACCGGCTTCTTGAGCGGCCTGGGTGCTGACCCAATTCTCCATCATCTGGCTCCCACCAACTGGAGCAGCTGTGTCTTTCTTGCCCTTCCTCGTGACGATGAGGCAGAGAATTCGCCCATAGATACTGAAACCGTCGTATGAAGTGTCCATATTCAGCTTCTTCTTATCATCTGGCTCTTCGGCTGGTTCGACCGGAGGCTCCTCTGTGACCGTGTCCCGGTTTCGTTTCTTCGAAGACTTCATACGTTTCGCACGCTGTGTCGCAAAGAACTCTTCGTCGCTGGAGCTCACAAACAGAGCATCTGCATCTTCTTCGTTCATCTTGCGCTTCTCTCCAGCCTTCTTCATCGTCGTCGCCTCCGGTATGTCTTTCAACTCTACTACCTCATCCTCCCCTTCCTCCCTCAGCACCCCCGGCACCTCCTCATCCTCCTCAATGCGAATCGGATTCGCCACATCGTTCCTCTCCAGCCACCCCGTCAATTTACTCCCCGTACTCCGAATCCTCGGCTGCTTGTCCCGAAACTTCTTCTGCTTCGTCATCAGACTATGCCGCGTGCTGTTCTCTTTCAAAAAGATGGAAACTTCGAAATCCTCCTGCACGGCGACATCTTTCGTGATGCGCTTCTTGCGACCGGCGCTGCTCTTCTTCTTTGCGTTTTCGTTCTCCTCGCGTAGTTTCGGGAGCACTTTGGGGCGGACTGCGTGGATGATGCGCTCGAGGACGTTGTCGCGCGAGGAGAGCAGCCAGGAGGCGTCGGAGGGTTTGTGTAGGTAGATGCGCACTTCGAGGACGGAGAATTTCGTTATGCGCAGGTATCTTCGGATCGGCGCCATGCTGTGTTCCTGGTTGGTATTGACGGCAAAGGGAAACGTGGGTGATGATGATTGTTGGGGCAGGCAGGGGAAAGGAAGCTACATGTACTAGCTAGTAGTGTTTCATGTGAAGGTGCTGGCTGGTTGGCTGAGGCAGGTACGGCGAGAGCGGGAGACCCACTACTCGGGACGAGGATCGGAGTCGGGATTCTTCGAGGTCGAGGTCGATGTCCCGTCTAACCTCACTTCTCGCTCTACGCACTGCAGCAGCACGTGTCGCGAATGTTCAATCGCGTGGTACAGGCAGCGCTCAGACGGCCATTGTCACGAACGATGGCTACGTCTCCGACGCCGATGGAAGATGCCGTACGGCAAAAGGTAAGACTGATGATGAGTGTACATCGACAATTTCACGAGACAATCGTTGACATATATGCTGATGAGGGACCGTCAGATTGGAGAAGCGTTTGCACCCACATCGCTGGAAATCTTCAACGATTCTCATAAGCACGCGCATCACAGGGCGATGGAAGGGAGTACTTCGAAGGAAACGCATTTCAGGTAGTTCGATCCTTTGAACCAGTCTCGAACGAACGATGCTGACCCCCCTCCCCTGCCATAGGGTGAATATCGTTTCCGACGCTTTCAAGTCCAAGATGCAGCCCGCGAGACATCGCATGGTGTACGCTTTGCTCAAGGATGAATTAGCCGCAGAGGGCGGCATCCATGCACTCCAACTTAAGACTCGGACCGTTGAAGAGGAAGAAAAGGCCAAAGCCAAAGAGGCTGGAGCTTCCTGATTTGAACGAATTTGATTGCCCTCGAATCAAGCTCGCTCGGGCTCAATACAGCTCTGGCTACCGTTCGCCAGCCGTATAATCCAGGTCTACGCAATGCGCCGTGTCATGTCACTGGGATCCGCTAAGATGCAAAGTAATGTACAGAGACGCTAAAAGCACCATCGAACCCGCCACTCGCGACTGAGGTGTTTAGGAGAGAAGCAGATTGTCGGGGAGATGCGTCGAGCTTATGACGGTGGGAGGTCAGGCTCGGCCGAGTGCGCTCCACTAGGCGCACTGTTGAGGTAGCTCAGGTAGCAGTTCCAGCCTGTGACCATGTTAGCATTATTCCAATCTCTCTTCCCGATGTCACATTCTCATACCCAGCGAGATCACATTCACAAGCAACACCCGGTGCTCCAGTGGCACGAACTTGAAGTTTGTGAATTGGACCGCAGGCCACACCATCCAGTTCTTCTGCAGCGCCGTGCCGTAGCTCTGCTTGAGCTTCTCCGATGGATCCGTGCCCTCCATAATCGCCATTGAGCTCAAGAAGCAGAACAGGTTTGTACTAGCGAACACCGTCTGATCCGTGAGGACTCGTGCAACGATCTCGAGGTTTGGACGCCCGGGGATGACGACCTTGCGCTGCAAGAAGCCGAACCACATGGTTGCAGCTGGCCCGAAAACACATCCACCGTAGAGCGCCATGCGACCTGATCGCGCCCACTCCTGGTTCTGTATGCCGCGCTTTTCAACAAGTTGCTGAGCCATTGTGTCGCCGGTCGCGAACAGGACGGCGGTGGTGATCGATTGGGTGAGGAGGGGCCGCGAGGCCAACTTGGCCTGATACCTGTGATGGTTCGATATCAGCGCCCTTCTCAGTTTGCCTCTGAATGGCGGAGAGTATACCAGCGCAACATGCTTGCTAGTTGCTTCTGATAAGGTGCCGATGAGAGCTGTGAATAGGGAGTGCCGGGCGCGAAAAGTGGTCGACGAAGAGCATCCAGAACGCGTGCTCTTCTTGACGCGGAGGTAATTTGGAATGACGGTGAAGAATTCGAAGTGTTGTCGTTGACCTCACCGACGTGCCCACGAGAAAAAATAGTGCTGATAACGTTACCTCCCCAAAAAGAATCCAGCGCAGCAAAAGCTCGTGCAGGGACTCGACGACAGGGGTGACGTCGACCTGCAGCTTGCCGATCGGCGGTGTTTCATCTCACGGATCTGACGGACTTGCCTAAAGCAGGCAGGAACTACTTCACCATTGCGAATATCCACCTATCGAATATCACCACAAGCTTGCGACTCGTTACATGGCCAAATCAGCGGTAATAGCCCTGAGCACTCAATTCTCTTGCAAAAGTACCGCGGATGAAAATACGACTAGCACAATCTCGAAATTGCCATGGCTACCCCCTGAACGCGTCTTGTCGCGTCTCCTGCGCGACTGCAGCCTACAGCTTCAAACTATCCGCCCATCCTGATCATGTTCGATGCTGAATTTTCGCATCGGAAGAGGCCACTAACAACGCACTCCAATCTGTACAGCGATGACCCGCAACGAAGTGCCCTCCTCCGAGAGACGAACTACGTACGAGATTGGATACTACAGTACTGCCATATCCGCTTCTGACAGCGCATTGGCCCTGCTCGGTGATGAGGGCAAGAAACGAAAGGGAAGCCACTTGGAAAGCCAACGCATGCGTCCATATCTTCGAGTACAAGCACGCTCCCTTGCTTAAAATGGATTGCCAGAGATTGAAGAGACTCTTGACATCCAAGAAGCCGAGCAGGCCGCATTGGAAACCTGCAATGGCACTCAGAACATTGCCGCAGTCCGCAGTAGTCTAATGAAATCACCTGCCGAGGCTCAAACCGCAGCTCTACGTTAGATTCCTTGAGCTGAGACGTGATACTTACAGGACTGCAGTCGCAACATTCCCGAGTACTTCAACGTGGGCCACGATGCTCCCGCGTCACTGTCCAACAAAGATCTTCTGAAAACCAAGAGAGATACAACGTCTTTCTGTTTCGGCGGGGGCGTTGGAGATGCTATGGTAGGAACCTCCTTGCAACACGCATTCTCATCTGGTCCATCCGCTGCTGCTGCTGCTGGAAAAAAATACGCTCACGACGAGACTCTTCACTTCACCATTGTAGATCGCAAACCTGCGGTCGTTGCACGCGATCTGCTTATCCTACTGATGATTACTGAGATGGCTAACAGTGTTTGCCGATCCTGCGAAGAGGAGATTCGACGGGTTCAATTTTTCCCCGTGTTCATGTTACACACATTCGGGCCCGGTCATGCTCGATTCTCTGCACCAGCGCTTATACAGATCCAGATCAAGATCAAGATTCGCAGGCTTTATTTGGGATGCTGCAAAGGGCAAATTTACGATTTCGCTCACGTCCCTGCACGCACCCACACATATGTTTCGCGATCTAATACTCAAAAGTCTTGAAAGAGTGGTAATAAAGTGAGGTGGGCGAGGAGTATCGCTTGCAGCAAGGAGTTGATTATTAGAACTCGAGCGATTTACAAGGGCGAATCGCGCACTGTGTCCTGCAGCAATACGTACGGAGATCGAGCCGAACAAGTAGGAGTACACTCCTCCAGCGCCAGAAGGATGCGAAGTCGGAGACGCGTTCTACTGCAAGACTGAATTTCTGGTAAAATGAGATGGATGCGCCAGCCATCAGCTACTTGGTTGACGATGAACTGGCACAGAGCTCCGAGAAGTGCGACTGTTTTTGGCCAAGGAAGGACGTGCCTTTGAGCGGTTTGTGGAATTTTTTCAAGAACAAGAGCTCTGGGGTGGGTATATCGATTTGGAGAGCGGAAACTTGGCTTCGTCAGTCTGGACCGGCACCTTTGGATGGTGTGTTGAGGACCTCGGGTCTTTCTTTGGAGATATACTGGGTCGACTCAACCTCGCAGAGCCTCTGACGGTAAATTCTTCTTGGGCAAGCTCATACGGACAGAAAGTGTACTCTCCTGCTTCGAAAGGAACAACACTGCTGCTGCTGCTGCTGCTGCTGCTGCCGCCGCATCCAAAACCTCCGAGAGGTACAACAGCAGCACAAAAGAGGGCACTACCGCCGGAATTGGCAAACGTGATCAGAGTTCACTCTAATTCACACTCGCTCGCTAAACAATTTTCTAGGGCTTATTCGCAGATCACTCTGGCCAAAGCCAATCTCGCAGACGTCGCCATCGAAGCACAAAAACCAAGCTTGGGTATCGTGGCCGCATTCACCAAGAGCTCGCGCCCCGAAGTCTTGCCCATCGCGGGCTTCTATGCGATCTCGCCAATCTTCTCTTGGCTCTATGCAGCTAAACAGCGCCGCCAGCCGCCAATTTCCATTCTTCACGGCTAGCTCACCAAGTGGAAACAGGTTTCTGGGAACTGCTGCGCAGATGAGATCCTGTGCCTCTGCCCAGCAGTACGCCTAGACTGTCTCTTTCTTCTGTTGCTTGTTGCTTGTCACAGTGCGAGTATGCGCCTTCTGTAAGACACTGGGCCTTGGTCATTCTTGGGCAGCCAGCGGCCTAGACATGATAGCAAGTAGCATCTGGGGGACCTCTTTGGTCTCAGATGCTGGAACCCATTGCCCACAGGCGAACTGACTGGAATCCATCCGAAGGGTCTGCTGTTGCCAACGCTGCCTGTGGTTCGGCGAATAGTCGGTTCGGAAGATTTAGAAAGGTAGCCGACCTTTAAATACGTCGTGCTGCCGTATACTTGATCCTCAGCTTGATTCACCAGTACGCTTCAGGAAGAGGCCTCTCAGCTCGTCACCAATGGCCCTGCATGTACCTGACCATTCTGCAGCTGGTCGTAGAAAGCCTTGCAAGGCTCATCCAAGAAGCTGCCAGGATATATGAAGTCCAGCAGGACATTCCGAACTTGCTCCCAGTACCGGAGCTGCAAGTCCTGTAACAATCCCCACAGCAGTTGTTGGAAATGTAGCAAGTGAACGGTCGAGTTGCATGTTACGCTAATGATGAACAGGGACCAAAGCGCTGCCTCGGCCGATTTGGGCTCCTTGAGAGCGTTCTGGTCGAGTACAGTAGCTTCAGACCAGGCGGCTTCGAGGCCAAACGAGTACTTCTGATCGTGCGCGAACGCCATGCCATCTGCTCTCTGCCCCTGGAAAATGGTCAGGCATGTACAGGCGATGCGGAGATGAGACTGGATCGAATGACCCGGCTGAGTGGTGTTGGCCAAGGTCGCTGTTGCAGAGGTCATGACTATGTCGAAGAGTAGCTCATGTAGCCTGTTTTCCACTCCTGGACTGGCGAAGTCAAAGCACGCCGTACGGCTGATGATGACCAGAAAGGCATCCGAGATCGCTATCCGCTGCTGCAAGTTGGCGAACCCGCGAGGAAGCGCGACTGGCAGTCGGCGATTGAAGAGCCCGCCCGAGATTTGTATGGACTCCATAGCGGAGCCGCTGTGTGCAAGGAAACCACCCGCCGTGGAGAGGACCTCACTGGCATTGCCCAGCTGCGGCCGGCCTGTGCTGGCAAGAATGGCAGCACTTGCTGCGAATGAATTGGCCGAGAGGTGCAGCACATTGATGATCCAATTCTTCAACGGGGCCAGCGGGCCCTCTTCCTCGGAGCTCTCCTGATTGCCTGATTGATCCTGACTCTGGTCCTGGTCGTTGGCCTCCCGCTGACTGTCCTCCTGTGCGCCAGGGATATATGATCGGTTCTGGACATTCGGGTTAAGTGCGTTGGGCGACTGGACGTTACGCGGCGGAGGAGGGCTGTTCTCAGGTGGCGACTGAGGACCATCCCTTTGATGTCGGTCTTCACGGTTGCGAGCTCTGGTCTCCCTGCTCTGCGCGGCGCTCGCCCGCGCGGCCTGCGCACGGACGATCCTGCGAGAGGCTTCGCTATGTCTGCCTCGCTCTGAGACGATGACGAGTGGCGGATTCCGTCGAGGCCCGCTCGACCTCGAAGCCTCGCCGTCACCAGACGACGCACTCTCTCGCGGCGGTGTCATGTGGGCAAGGCATGCGTATGGCTGTCGGGAAGCCACAGTACGCAATGGCGGTCAAACGGTCCCTCGCGGGTACGAGAAGGGTAAGAGGGTGTCTCCCAATTCAGGCGGCGATATGCAATAGGGCCAGCCAGAGGTGCAGAGGCGTGATAGCTTGGGGATGCTGGGTCAGGCAGCTGAGTGGACGTCAGGGCGAATGTGGTTGTTTTGGCCTGCTTGTTGGCGGTGCAGAGGATATGGGGGGACATGGAGGGGGGGAGGGGAGTAATAGTATGTCAAGGGTAAGAAGCAGCATGGCATAGTGTCATACGGAACCAGGGGCCAGCGGACCTGAGGCGACTAATTGCAGATCCAGACAAGCTCTGGTGCTAGCTGGAGTAGGATCCAGCAATGGCAAACTGGAAGAGCGGGCATTGGGTGCATGAGGCGCGAGGCTCTGCACACTGCGGCCGGTTAAAAGACACCGATAAGGCCGGGGATTAGGGGTGTTTGGTGTTTTCCCAGCACACACACAGTGTGCAGTGTTATGGGCGATCTGTGAAGAGGCAGCTGCCCAGAGAGAGTCGCACGGGTGTCGATGACCTCGGCCACGGCGCGAATCGCCGCAATGAGCAATACATCATTGACCATGTGCAATCCGCCAACGTCAATGGCAATGCATGTCAGGCGGCGGGAGCGAATAACAGATCGCACATACGCAGGACAGCGTCGTCGGATACCATGCCGAGCCGAGGAGGCCGGCGTGCTATGCCGATGCCAAGGCCAAGGGCAAGGGCAAGTGCATTGGACCTGCGAAATAATGCATTGGACCATTTAGGCAAGGACCATCAAGGACCCATTTGTGCATTCGTCTGAGGATCCTCCTTTGCGGGGCATGCTCCTCACATCAGGAAGGAGCTCCCACGTCATCTTGCGCTCATCTGTCCTGCGCCGAGCCGGACATTTCCAGCACTGCTCCATCTGTGATCTGTCATCTGTGATCCACCATCATTGGCCCGGTCATGCCTATCACCGACTATCATATTCGGGATCTCGATATGGCCCGGAGCTGCACACGCTGCTGCGGGATTGTTCGGCTGGCAGTCCGGGCCGGAGGTGAGGCGGGACTATCTGAGTTCGGCATGCAACGTGAGGTAAAGCAGCAGAAAAGACTGCACCGTGTGCTGCGACATGCAAGATCAGCTGCTCTTCAGCCTTTCAGGCATGCGCCGTTGTACGGCATGGGGAATATGCGGATTGGCGAGCGACGAGCCGATGAACGGCAAGGTACCGACCGCTCTGCTGACGTCGTTGCAGCCAGCACACACCACACACCACACACCACACACCACTCATCACCGACGAGCGCACTCGTGACCATCACCACCGACCACCGACGCCTTCAGGTTCCATCCCCACATCCTCCATTCCCCCTCCTCCATCCTTCATCCTCCGTTCATCGCCTCGGCGATGCCGACCAGCGCATCAGGTGATGCTAACGCTCACGTTGACTCCTGCTCTCGCGCAGCTTGTGCCATGCCCTGGAAGCGAAGCAAGGTTGCTCCTTGCGCGTGTCTCGTGCGAACGAGGGGGACGACAAACACAGTTCATCACCACGCCCGAGCTGCTGCTGCTTCCTCCCAGCCCGCCCCGCTACTATCCGACAACACATCCCCTTCCCTCTCCCTATCAATCATCATCATCATCATCATCATCTCTTGCACTCATCATCGCACACCCGCTGCTGCCTCGCTCATCTCATCATGCGCTCGGCCGCCGTGACGGCTGTCGCAGCGAGTCTGCTGGCCGGCCTGAGCTTCAGCCTGGCTTCGACGCTGACACCTCCTGTGCTGCCACTGATTGTCCGTAATCCATACCTCTCCACCTGGCTGGCCAAGGCGAGAGACGAGCCATGGACCGAATGGCCTATGTTCTGGACTGGTGGATCCGTATGTCTTGCTTCCATCTACCCTATGCGCCTCGTCATGCGCCATACTAAAGCTCCACTGCTCTCGTAGATCGGCTTCGGCGTGCTGGCATCGCTTCCCGAGACATCCACCGTCTACCCGTTGCTCGGCAAACCTCATGATTCCTTGGACCGCGATAGCAGCCATTACAGCATTGCATTCCCAGAATACCTCGGTGCTCAGTACGATGCCTCCACTACCAACCTCTCCTACGCCATACCATCGACCAAGTCCTCCAACGGCAGTGTCGAGCTCGTCTTGTCCTTCCTCTCTCCCATCACCCCCACCTCGACTCTGCGACAGTCGATCCCCGCGAGCTATCTGACCGTCCATGTCAAGGGAAACCTCGACATTGATCTATACGTCGACGTCAACGGCCAATGGGTCAGCGGCAATCGCGGTTCGCACATCAGATGGAATCTGCTCCAGAGCCAACAGGAGAGTGCTGGAAAGCTCAAGACATGGAGGGTCCGCAGGAGCAATGAAGAGCTGTTCACTGAATGGGAAGACCGCGCCGAGTGGGGTACATTGCATTTCACGGGCCCTGCTGACGCAAACCATGAGAGCGGAACTTCAGCCATATTGCGCAATAGATTCTCCAAGACCGGAACATTGAATAATGAGGTCGATGACTCCTTCAGGACCATCATGGACGAGGAGCCTGTGTTCGCGTTCAGCAAGTCGTTCAATCTCAGTGGTGGTGCATATGGAGATGAAGCAGTTGAAGACAGTGTCATGTTCACCGTCACTCACATCCAGGATCCCGTGACACAATTCGCTTCCTCCAGGGGCCTCACCATGATGAGGCCCTTGTGGATGTCGTACTTCTTCTCCGACGAGGCCCTCATCTCCTTCCACTACCACGACTTCAAGCATGCGAATGCTCTGGCAGCGGATTACTCTGCGCAGCTCGCCAAGGATGCCTACCGCAGCGGCAGCGACAACTACAAAGATATCGTAGAGCTCAGTGCCAGACAGGTGATGGGTGCTACGAGCTTCAGTGGTACTCCGGACAACCCGATCTTGTTCCTGAAGGAGATCAGCAGCAACGGCAATTGCCAGACCATCGATGTCATCTTCCCGGCCTTCCCATTCTTCCTCTACACCAATCCAAAGTGGCTCGCCTACCTCCTTGAGCCACTCATCGAGCACATGCTGAGCGGGCAGTACCCGAACGACTACGCGATGCATGATCTTGGCACCCACTTCCCGAACATGACCGGCCATTCAGATGGAAGAGATGAATACATGCCAGTGGAAGAGTGCGGAGACATCTTGATCATGGGCCTCGCACTTGTCAATAGTCTGCAGTACGGCGCGACGCATGAAGCTGGCTCTCCGTGGAGTGCGCTCGGAATGCCGAAGGACATCTCGACCTTGGAAGCTCCGGGCAGTACCAGTCCGTTTGCTCTGCCGGCGACGCTGGAGACCAGACAGGGCATCTTTGGACTTGACGATCAATGGGGTGGCGTGACTTCTCAGCGCCAAGCCGAGAAGTGGCTCTCCCGCAGCTACAAACTCTGGAAGCAGTGGACTGGATATCTGATCGAATTCTCCCTGCATCCAGAAAACCAGCTTTGCACAGACGATTTTGCCGGGTGGCTGCCGCTGATGACCAATCTTGCACTCAAGGGCATCATTGGTATCAGGGCCATGAGCGAGCTTGCTGAGGTTATGGGCGAGAAAGAGGAGGCGAAGCACTACCGCAACATTAGCGACTCTTACATCTGGGTATGGGAGCAGGAAGGCATGGCTCACGATGGTGGTCGCGCCAAGCTCGCCTACAACTGGCAAGGAAGCTGGACGACTCTGTACTCGCTGTACGCTGACGCCCTACTCTGCTTCCATCCTACTCTCAATTCCACTTCGGATGCCGTGGACCATGGCCGATCGGGATCTCAAAAGCCTCTGATTGCGGGCGGAAGAAGCAAGTCTAGTGACCATTTCATTCCGGACCATATCTATACCACACAATCGAGCTGGTACAGTGTCGCCATGCAGAAGTTTGGTCTACCCCTGGACAGCCGACACTTCTATACCAAGAGCGACTGGGAATTCCAGGCTGCTGCTGTGGCCGGGAAGAAGACGAGAACTCAGATTCTCGACAAAGTGGCGTATTGGTTGAATGAGACCGTCTCTGATCGGCCTTTTACGGACTTGTATGAGACCGAGGGAGGTGGAGGGTTCCCTGGGCCAAACTTCTTCGCTCGACCGGTTGTTGGGAGTCATTTCGCGTTCTTGACGCTCGAGAGGGCTTGTGGTGGAAAGGGCAGTGCCGCTTTCGATTATGACTGAATAGGAGGATGGAGGAACGAGAGGAATGAGAGGAATGAATAGGGTTGTGCCCTTTCCGAAGGTTGAAGGCTACAAGTTGGTCTACAGCTTTGCATTGGCACTGCGGGTTGTAACTACTACGCTGCACGGTGATGAGGAGGTTGGTGAGGAGGAAGATAAGAATGACATCAGAATGTGTAGATGCATGCAGACTGTACGACCGTACTTCCCATGCAAGTGTGCTCATCTCATCATTTGCTGCGAATTTGGCGGACACTAGCGGGTGTCTGCTGGGAGAGACACGGGTGAAAGACATGACACAACGCATGGCCGTTCATAACACAGCAGCACTATGCTCTCTTTCCTTTTGTCTAATCTCACAAGTCCTCCCTCTCCATCTGCACCCACTTGATGACCCCTGTCTCGGGGCCACAATTCACATATTCCATCGTCGCTTCTCCCGCCTTGAGAATGAACACCTCATGCCACGTCATGAACTTCCTGTCCTCCCCGAAGCGTTTCGCGTGAGCCATGGCGCCGTTGAAGATGGCCAGATGGGAAGGATGCCGCGAAGACCACTTCTCGAGATCGGACCAGTTGCGGAAGAAACCCGCACCGCACGTCTCCCTGAGACGACGCTCTTCTTGGTCATTGGTGGTGTTCTGCAGGAAGCGTAGGCCGAGAGTCCCCGTTTCCCGCGGGTGCTGCCAGAGGTATCGCATCCCGTCCATGAGTGCGATCTGCAGATCCTGCTCGTACGCGCGACGTTCCGCGTCTTCACACTGGGCCCACCATTGTCCGGAGCGGATGTGGCACATGTGGTCGTAGTTTGTGCCCGTGAGGTGTTGGCCGTAGCCGCGTGGGATCTCTCCGAGGAAGGGGGGTGGTTTGGGGAGATCGGAAGGGGTGGGGAATTGGTCCGTTGCGGAATCCGGGATTCGATCGCGGCCGGCGCCCCAGTATGCGGTCAATTCGTGGGCCGGCTGGGTTGTGTTGGGGAGTTGGGCGAGGCCTGGTTTGTGCGCCAGACGGGAATAGTTTGTTTCCAGTCGCGAGATCGGGGCGGTGAAGTGTTCGATCCAGAGGCCGATGTCGGGTTTGGAGGGGAGGGTGTTCCAGATCCGGGGGAGGTTGAGGGTTTGGAGGGTGGAAGTGAAGGGATCGGGATGGGTGAAGTAGAGGGCCCAGACTTTGGAGTCGGTTGTGTCGAAGCCTTCGGTGACGCGAAAGGTATCTGTGGCTGGGTTGGAGGAGGTGCTGTTGTTCAGGAGGGTCGAGATTGTGTCTTCTGCTTTTGTTCGAGCTGTGGTGTTCCCGCTGTGGCATTGGACTCCGATATAGAGAGTGTAGAGGTGGGTGATGCTGGAGTCGTGGAATCGCAAGGACCATCTTGGTACTGGAGGCTTATGGCCCGCTGGTTTCTTCAGTGGATATGTACGCTCTTCTGGCGAGATGGAGCCCATTGTAGAGGCGGTAGTGTGCTGACGCCGTGAGCAGAATGCTTGATGTCGCTTTTCTTGGGAGCGTGCCGTTCTTTTTGTAGCCTGAGAGTAGCAATGCAGTCTACGTATCATAGCTGAGGATACCTGTTGCTTGTGTTATAGACATTCATCGTCACTGTAGCTCAGATGAACCTTGAGGGGAGCTCGCTAGCCGTCCCCTCTTTTCGGCAATTCATGTTGCTCTGTCATAGAGTTTGGCATGCGGCTTGCGTCCACTGTGCGCAATGTCAGCGCAGGGCGTGTTTCTGCGTGTAGATACAGAGAACCGGTCATCTTGTCGTGTAACAAGCAGACGGAGATGGTGTGAGGTCGAAGTGGAGGTGCACGGCCGCACCTGCGCACAGAGCGGAATGCCAAGCTTTCCGTCTGGCAAGAACATGAATATGAACAGGAACATGAACGTGATCACGAACACGAACATGGATCGGCAGCACAGATTCTCGTACACTGCGGCGTAGAGTGCATGACTTGGCGAGAACTCGTGAGGTTAAACGGACCGACTTTCGCAGCTGCGCCATCCTGACGGAGCTCTTGGCCGCCGTGCTGAGTTCGCCTCAAGGGGGTGTGGGTCTACTGCATGCTATCGTTCACATGGCCAAGAAGCAAAGGAGACGGTATCCAGGTGACATTCCGTATCAGAGTTTGATACCTCGTCCAATTTCCCCTATCGCAGCTTCGGCTACTGGGCAATTCTTGTGATTCACAATCAGCGCTTCCTGCTTTCAACGCCAGTGCACACTCGTTTGCCAATTACCGCCACATCAACACCATCAAGCAAGATGTCGGTTCACGTGGTACCCGCAGAAGACACGGACATGGACAGGATCTTCGAGCTTGCATGCCTCGCTTTCGGACGCGATGATCACATGTGGAATGCCATGTGGCCGGTAAGTGACCGTCTGAGCTCCCACTGGCAAGAGGTCGAATCAAACCCGCATACTTATTCCATGCCAGAAACACTGGACCGAGAAAGGCCGAAAGGATGGGGCGGAAAGAATGCGCCACAGCAAGAACACGGATCCCAATACCGTATACCTAAAGGCAGTCAATCTCACCTCTGGAGAGATCATGGGCATGGCCAAGTGGAATTTCTACGTCAACGGAGCTTCCCCACCGAGTGCCGAAGTCAGTGCGCATTATTGGGACGATCCCAGAGGCAAAGAGTACTTCGACAAGGTCCTCCCACTTTTCGTAGCTAGGCGGAATGAAGCAGTCCAGCGCACCGGAGGGAATGTGGTTTCTCTCGACATCCTGGCCATCGATCCAGCTCATCAGCGGAAAGGCGTGGGCGATGCTCTGGTAAAATGGGGCGTCAAGAAGGCCGACGAGCTGGGTCTTGAGTCTGTCGTGGAGAGCAGTCCATTTGGGAGAGGTTTGTATGCCAAGAATGGCTTCGTCTTTCAAGAAGACTGCAAGTTGGAAGTTCCCGAATTCCCAGACCATCCTCCTCCTGAGTTTGCGTGGATGACTCGACCGAAGCAGACGACGTAATGACGGGGGTAGGATTGTTGATCGTTTGCGGCGAGTGGAATACAATCACCTGGCCAGACCTCATCGCTAAAGCTCGCAGGGCTGCCAGGGCATATGACACATAGAATGCACAAATCGACAAGCACACGGCACATGAGAGTCTGCATTTCAATGTCTCAGGGCAAGTCTTGCTTTCGACGTCGGCGCTTACTCCTCGTTGAGGTCGGTCAGCGATCATGATTGATCTTGCCGCCGGCCATGCATGCACACATGTAACCTCACCAAAGCATCATCGTGGTGTACGTTGAGCTGGCGAGCGATGCACTCGACAGTTTTGGGAAGCAGTCGCAGGATATGAGAGGCCAGGAAGAGTCTCGCTGCCAACTAGAATGTTGCTACTTATGCAAGCAAGGCGAGGTCTGAATTGGGCTCGGACGGCATCCTTGTGCTTCCGCCCTCCCCGGAAGATGGATGAAGGGGAGGAGTGCGAATGAGAGCGTATGCGGGCACACCATCTTTCTCGATTCCGGATCATGTGACCGTCGTGTGCTGCGGGTGCTCCAATACAGGCGCCGGAGAGGTGGAGTCATCACACGGCTGCGCGAGCTGAGTGGAGGATGGCATTCGGCCGATGAGAGACCTCGTGAACGTTGGTGGTTGACTGACAGGCCGGGCACCAGCGGAACGGCTCATCATGGCGAGACGATGGACCGGGGAGCCTCTTCCGTGCCGTCGCGAGTTGGTATGTATTATATTATTGTCACTGCTCGATGCATCATCACCTTGGGCCAGAAGCTGCAGGTCGTCTAGGGAGATTATCCTGCTGCATTCTACAGGAGGACGGCAGTGTTTGATTTGTTCGCGAAATTGATTGACGGCCAATGAGGGACGTCAGCGCGGCCTGGCATGTCTGAATTGGAAGACGCGACGCGATGGCGGATGGGACGGGCCACGGAGCGCGGCAACATCGATTCCGAGCGGGGCGGCCCGTGATACGCGGCAGGCGTCTCGTAGAGCTCGGTAACGCAGTCTTGGCCGTGTACGAGAGATGAGAGATGCAGGCCTTCAGTCCGCCGACGAATTGCACCCTTCTCTTGCCACATCTCACCGTGACTGGCCTGCTGCTGCTGCAGGCAAGCCTATGGCGACGCCCTCCCCATGGATATTACCCCCCATGCGAGCGCCGGCATGCTAAGACGATCCTAAGACACTCCAGCTGTTGAGACGCTCGACAACGGCCCTGACGCGCTCTCAGCTCAACCGTAGACGCATCGCCCGATGAGCATGTCGACGCCTACCTGGTGTTGTCCGTAAGCGCCACCATCGCAGGCGTATATACAGCATCGCCAGGTCAGCGCAGGGCCGATTGAGTCTGTGCTACGACGCTTCCGCATGACGCTCGCCCAATGTCTGCGGAACACGTCGCACGACAGCCTTGAATGCCCTGCACAGTGCTGCACCGTGCTGCTCCCTCATCAGTGGCGCTTCGGCTTTACCCCCTCTCGCCCTCTCTCCACACTCGGCCTCTCCGGCCGACGGGCGGGCTGCCGTGGCTGTGCGCTGCAACTCGTCTGCACGGCCCTGCAACGACGGCCCATGTCCACGGCTCTACCGAAATCTAACGACGACCTCCATCCATCTATCTACTACTACCAAGTCAAGGTGCCTACAGTACTACCCTTTGCCTCTGCGCGCGTCTTTGCTTTCCTTTCGTCATCCTCTTTTCCCCTTCACCACATACTTCGTCAAGACTCGCTAGCGCTGGACGCTGACGCCCGCTTTCCTCAGACCCCACTATAACACTTTCGCCTCGATGTCCCGTGACCATCTTAATACTTCCCGAATACGAGATCACGAACCCGCCTACGCCAGCACATGCCCTGATGAGTCGCATACCGTGTTGCAAGCAAATCGCATACCCTCCTAGTCCAGAGGGGGTGTTGCGCCTCGACGCAGGCACCCGACATGCCCTCTCTTCACTCACACTTCCACCACAGCCGGCAGCAACATGATCACCAATCTTCGAACCAGCCGCAGAAACAATCCAGTCGCATCCCTGCCAACAACCAATCGGCCAGTGCTGAAAGCGGCAAGCCTGGTAGACCGGTGCAACATGTCTCGAAACTGGCCAAGCGAAGTAAGAGCGTTAGATCTCCCGACAACAGCGTCAAGAGTAGCACGACGAGAACAGCGACAGCGGTGACAGCAGCGACGCGGATTCCTGTTGGCACGAGCAAAGCAATTCCTATACCACCCTCGCGTGCTACGCCATCCTCAGCACCGTCGAATTTGCGCACTCCATCCCTCGTGTCGGGATCTTCTGTTTCGACTTACGACAGTCCACGATCGGTGCTTCGCCGGAAACCGTCTGGCGCGATCGACCGATATGCTGCTCAAAAGCGAACGCCATCTGCAGGAGGTGGAGAGCTGGAGAGAGCGAGGTCGCACAGTCGCAACGGATCCAGTCGCGACATGTTCCATGACACTGTCCTTGGCATTTCTCTACCTTCGACGACGGCCTATGCGGAATCTGACTTTCCTTTGGAGCTGTCACGAAATGCCTATGAGAGGAGATATCCGAAGGACCTCACACCACCCGTCCCAACAGGCTACGCTCCATCTGCTACGCCTTCTACAAGATACACCGATTCTCCCTTCAGTCTAGTACCCACCCCGAGCTCAGCTTCGTCTTACTCTCCTGCCGTTGTGTCCACCAACAGCAACGCCCCGCCACCGCGACAATCATACAGTCCTACTCGGGGCAGACCTCCACTTAGCGGGCGTACATCTTCGAAAGATGACACTCCGAGGCTGGGCTTGCCTCTCGTTCGCAAGTCGTCGACCTCGTCTTCGACTTCTACCGTCCGAGCGGAAGCAAGGCTGGCTCAGGCTAGAAGGGCGCCTCCGGCTAAGATTCCTGAGGTTTCTTTAACGAGAAAGTCAACAGATGCCAACAAGCCTGCGTCACGGCCTGCGGAGTCGAGGAAAACGCCGGTCACCCCGCTCAATCGGGATCAGGTACAAGTGCCTCCGGAGCTTGCGCATCTCAATGTAGACATGTCGTCGCGTCCTAAATTGGCCATGCAAAAGTCACCTCCGCCAACCAGACCAACTCGAGAAGGGACCTCTACAATATCGGACATGAGTCGTCCGTCGCCTGTAGTGCAGAGTGACCTGCCGCCACTTTACACGACCTACCACAAGCGAACACCCTCTCAGGAGACACCTGGCTCCGCAAGCTCAACCAGTCTCAAGAGCCGGTTCGGATTTTCCTCTAGGTCTTCCTCGAGGAATGAGTCGCTCCGCATTGATTCTGCGGTTTCACCTCCTCCTGCGGCAGGGCGCTTCCATCGGGGTCCTTCGCCACAAGTTCCAAGTACGGGGGGCGCCAAGTTACGTAGGAAAGACTCGCCCGCGGTTGGTTCTGGGCCAAGCCCTGCGAAGACCTCACGGTTTGGAATCTTCTCGCGCAAGCCAAAGAATGAGCCTCGCGAGTCCCGTGAGCCTCCGAAGGTGTTGGAGAGGCCGAGACGGGCGCCAAGCAAAGGGCCCGTTGCAGGGACTGGCCATGAAATCTATGGAAGGTTTGGCGCTCGTGGGCGAAGTGGTAGTGTGTCGAGCAGTGGAGATTTTCGATCTCCCAGTGCCGACAGTGGCTCGAGTTATGCAACTCAATCTGCGCGACCGCCACCACCAACGCGCAGAGAGAGCAGTACGGGAAGCCAGGATGGCCTCATGCTTGACAATTTCCTCGAACAACGCCTGAACCCTATCATTCTGCGTGGCAGTGGTAGCACAGCAGGCAATACAGCATCGAGCTCCGATCTGGCTGGAACCAGCCTTCAACCGGCTTCGTCGAAAATATCTTCACTGGATAGACCTAGCCAGCCTCACTTACTGCCCTCCGCGATTCAGAAGCCTTCCAAGGGGTCGCCTGTGAAGCGACCGGCTCTAAGACGTCGGTCTTCAGCGGATAGCTCAGAAGGTGATGTCACAGCTCGATATCTTAACCTGGCCACTCGTCGCTCGCTGACACGCCTATCTTCCACGGATAACAAGTCCCCGGTGCGAGTACCGCCGCCCATCAACACTGACATCCCTGTTCAAAAGACGGTGGTCGATAGCTACGATACTGAAACCTCAGCATGGCCGCAGACCGACACCTCTCTGCCGCGAACCGAAGAGTCTTTAAACCGCGAATGCCTCTGGTTGCGGTCACCCCAATCAGAGTCGACAGTAAGACCACCTCGGAGATGGAATTTCTTCCAGCGGGCAACATCCTCACCGAGGTCTAAAGGCAAAGAGAAGGTCGTTGAGAACAACGAAGTCCCCGAGGTTGTTGCTCATCAGTCGCCTTACAGAGGCGTCGCTCACTACGCCATGTCGAGCTCAGTCCAGCCTATCGGGCTTGCAGAGGTGGAAAGAATCGCCCAGGAGTATGACACATCTGCTGAAGACTCGATGTCAGAATCAAATGCGCCACCAAAGATGATACCATATGAGAAACGACGCAAGCATTTGCTGCCTTCGCCACCAAAGCACTATTATAGCAGCGATTCAGACTCCCGTGCAAGGCCGACTCCGTCCAGGATCAACGTCGAGAGACAAGACTCCTCGGAGTCAAAATCCCCTGAGGTATTGCGTGCGCGACCAGCTTTCGCACACCAAGCCGCTCAGGCCTTCGATATACCTAGATCACCTGCGGATGATCAAACCCGTTCCTTGGCCGTCCCTCCGGCCGACGCACCTGAAGGGTCTGCCGATGTCACTAGCCCGCAGCTTCGGCAGGCTGGTTCTGGCACTCCAGAGCAGCTCAATGACTCTCCACGACAACCAAGGTTATCCCCTGTCGGCCGAATTCCAGCCGTGGTGTCAAAGCGGGATCGGGACCGGAAACTCTCTGACAATTCCTTCTCTCGGCCGTTCGCCCGGGCTCAACCTCGACCGAGCGTGAAGCCTCCATTGAGGCCTGGTTCAGTATATAACCAGATCCGGGATATGGCTAGTCCGAGTGAGTCCGGCTCGCAACCAGTATCGAGCACGAGCACAAGGTCCGATGCGGAACCCAAAAGCAGTAGCAGGTACACCAAGCTACCGAGTGATTCCACGAATCGAACGAGTATGGACATTCACAATCAATATGAATTCTTCTCATTCCCACCCCGCAAGGATTCTGAACAGTCCTATCAATCTTACCCCAGCAGCTCGGGCGATTCAAGCTGGATGGCAGGCTTGTCCGTCCAACAGCCTCAACTGGAAGACATCTGGAATGAGTACAATGACTTCATGGACGAGACGATGCCGCTCAAGACTCCTACGACCGGCTCTTCCCTGGGTGCGCCGTTTCAGTATTCGAGCACGCTATTCGAAGGACACAACTATCCGTTTCCTGAACCATATGCCATCAGCCCACCTCCAACGGTGGGTCTGCCGCCGCTGCCTGCTCACGCACTAGAGAATTTTGGTCCGTCTCCCTTAAAGGTACCACAGCAGATCTCAAGATTCTTACGGCCTTCAATGTCTCCCACCACACCTGATACCCTTGCCGGTTTTGTTGAGGGTTATGGAAGCCGCAGTACCAGTGTCCTATACGGCCAGAGTCATAGTCAGCACCGAGCAAGCATTCGGCCGCCTCCAACGGAGAAATCTGCAGGTGATAGCGTGGCTTCTTCGCGCTACAGCAAAGGTTCGCATCATTCGAGATCGACCTCTTTGCCTGAGGCCAATGCTCGTCTGTCGCAGACTAGCTCCACTCCCACTGCGCGCCAGAACCGTGACACAGCGCTGGTGGATATTGCGGAGATACCGTCGACGAACAAGGATACCAAGGCTTCTCCTGGCTTGCGATTCGGAGCTCTCATGACAAGTAAATGGCTCTCTTTCGGTCGCGTCCTTTTCAGTCCTGCGCACAACGAGGTGCAATTGGCCAGCGAATCGAAAGTCCTCGTTGTCGATGGTCTGAGCAGTGACTGGTCCTACTATGTTGCTCTCTCCTACCCGGGCGCGGAAGTCTACAATCTCAGTACGAACTTGCCCGGCTCACCATCTTTCTCCTGGCCCGTTGAGGAGGATGAGAAGCCCCCGCCCAACCATCACCAATACAGACTTGCCAACATTGAGACATTGTTTCCGTTTCCAAAGGGATTCTTCAATGCTGTAGTCTTTCGGTTCCCGACCGCTGCGACCGAAAACGCATACACAGCTTGTATCTCAGAGTGTAAGCGGGTATTGCGACCTGCAGGCTTCTTGGAAGTGGCGATGCTGGATCTTGACCTGATGAACATGGGCATCCGAGCAAGAAAAGCCGTGCGAGATCTGAAGACGAGGATGCAGCTCCAGGACCAAGAAGTGTGTCTCCGAAACTTGAGCGATATCCTCGTCCAGCTCATTGGTAGGAGGGGCTTTGAAGGCGTGCAGAGGTGTATCGTCGGCGTTCCAGCAGCGGGGCGTATTCCGAGAAGTCAAGATCTGAGCAGTGCGTCCGGTTCTTCTGACGGTGAAGGGATGGGAAGACCAGGCTGGCTGAGAGAAACGAAGCATTCGAAGAGTCAAGAATTCAGGCTCGCGGACCTTCTGGAAGATGCGAAGAGCAATGGATTTGGAGCACCGGGCAAGAACAACGACGAAAGTATCACCAAGATGGTGGCGAAAGTTGGAAGGTGGTGGTATTCTACCTGTTACGAGAAGATGTTGGAAGACCAGAGTATTTTCAAGGATTCTGCGCTTTTGAGGGAGTGCGAGAAGCAAGGGACTTCTTTTAGGATGTTGATTTGTCATGCGCAGAAGCCGGCGCAGTTGAGAAGGAGGACTGTGAGTGTTTGATGGATGACCGGATGACCCTTGGGATGCGAACGACGAGGAGAAGACGGACGCCGGAATTTGGGATGAGGAGAAGAGGAAAAGACGACAAATATCGTCTGACACGACATATTTTTCTTGAAGACGAAACGTGAGGAGACACAAGAACGGCTGGACCTGGTAATGTGTGCATTGGGACTTCTCTGGGAACGGAAACGGGAGGGGAGACAGGAAATCTTTGATTTCCTATTTCCTTCTCTCTTTCCTTCTTCATTTTTCCCCCCCTTTTTTTTTAGCGATGTCCCCTGAGCGTTCTAGCAAGCGATATCTCTCTTTTTCGCCTTTCGTTTCTGATCATCATCACCATATCTCTTCTCTGCTCTATATACCATTTGTTGCTACGGAAGAAAGGAAGAAAGAACGAAGTGTGTGTGCATAGCAGACCAAACGACAGAAGAAAGACGCATTTTTGTGGCCTTTTCCGGGCTCACGACGGGCTCACGCTCGGAACGAATATAGTACGCGCAGTGCTTTTTTGGGTGGATGAGTCATGCATGATGGGTAATGCTTCGGATAACGGGCGCGATATGCGTATCATACAGTGTGCATAGCAGGCGAGAAGCGAGATGGAAATGAAGATATGTGCATTGAACTTTGGATTCCCGCAATGTCCCGTCACAACCATGGATGAGAAGATTTGAGAACTTCAGCAGTCTATAAATATCAAGACCATGGAACTCTTCATCAAGCTGTTTGTGAGGCTGTCAGAGCTAAGCTACTGTTCAGGAGCAGCCAGCTTCTTGTGACAGCATCAGAGCAGTTTTCTGGTGGCACGTCGATTCTAGCGGCGCAAAGCGAGAACAGTACAAGTCGTGTAGAGAAAACCGGAGAAACGGAAGGACAGGAGATGAGCGAACAGATCGGGATTCCTGTTCTACTACACAAGTTGACCAAGTCTGCGTCCGATTTCTTTCTCTCTCTTCTAGAAGCCCCCCATACCAATCGAGGCAGAAGTACCCGGCACCCGGCACTCAGCACCCAGCACTGAGCACCCAGCACTCAGCACTCAGCACTTAGCACTCAGCACTCAGCACTCAGCACTCAGCACTCAGCACTCAGCACCCAGCACTCAGCACTCAGCACTCAGCACTCAGCACTCAGCACTCAGCACTCAGCAACATCGTCCAATACCTTAAGCCCGCAACAGGCTCCCGCCAACTAAGAAGTGGTTGGTCATGTCGGAGGTTGGGTGGATGCAGGAGCTCGAAAAATATCTAATATTGCATTACGGACGCAAAGGCAATGTCCCGTGCTCGCCGGGAGAAGAGAAAGAAGCATTTTGCCGCCTGCACGTCGATCCTGTATCGTCGCTGTACCATTCTATCCCCAATCATCCTGTAAGTTGCCTCATCAATCTCGCACCAACCTCCAACAGTCTCTGCAGACCCTTCCCAAGGACAGCAGTCGCCCTATGCAAACCGCCGGCCCTCTGTACGCCAGCCGCAGCCATCAACGACAGCACAGTCACAGTACCTAGGACGGTCCTCATCATCCTCCAGCCTCCAAGACTTAATTCCTTCTTCCTCAAAATCCCCTTCTTGTCTTGGTACTCGTACTCGAAATCCTTGCCCGGGATGAAGACACTTCTGAGCCAGAAGAAAAATTGATACTGCGGGTACATGGCGATGTTCATTCCCGTCTTCGGATCCAGTGCCCAGGACGTACAGCCCGACGCCCACACGAGCTGCTTGAGACGGGCCTGCATCCAGGTGCTGTCCCAGACGGCAGATTCGGGTTTGACGTCGACGGATGTGTATTTTGGAGACAGCAATGGCTTGTGGGGAGGGGTGGTTTTCAGGATTGGATCCAGGAGGCGGAGGACAAAGTTGATCTGGCATTCGACGGTGTATATTACGGATAGGTGGCCAGTCACTGTGTTGGGGCCCATCATGGTGAAGAAGTTCTTGAATCCTGGAATGCAAGTTCCGAGGTAGGCTTGAGCTGCACCAGAGTGGGCTTTCTCCCTATACTGGGTATTAGTCTTTTCAAAAGCAATAGGTGCCTACGCCGTGATCGTACCAATAGTCATTCAGACTGACGCCAGTTTCACCAATGATCTCCATTGGGAACAACATTCTGAAGACTTCGAATCCGGTGGCGAGGATTATGGCGTCGGCTTTCACGACTCTGCCGCTCTTCGTACGCACTCCGTCTTCGACAATCTCCTCGACAGGATCATCTGAAACCAGCTCCACGTTGTCTCGGTGGAGAGTAGAGAGATAATCGGTATCCATGACTTTGCGTTTACAACCAATTTCGTGCCTTGGGATGAGCGCGTCCCAATACTTCTCTGGTGCCATACGTTTGATGTATTTCTCATTCTCGTCTTTTAGCTCCTGCCTAATCTTGGCACCGGTTTCAATGTCGAAGCCGGCGAAGTCTTTCTCCATGTCTGTCAAACGTATGAGTAGGGCGCAATCGATGGGGGGTAAAGAGACCTACCAGCGTATAGCTTGAACCGATACAAGCGCATCGCGAGGGGGACATATTTCATCACAGCCTTGAACCAAGGTCCATAGGTTGGGTTGGGTCGCTCCGCCAAAAAGTGCGATTGCCGTGTGACCTGCGTGAGTTTGCGAGCCTTCTCCGCCATTACAGGCACGAACTGTGTTGCAGAGCATCCATTGCCCAACACCACAACATCTTTCCCTTGCCAGTCGAAACTGTGATCCCATTGCGCGGAGTGGAACAAGTGTCCTTTGAATGAGTCTGCTCCTGGGACTTCGCATCTCTTGGGAACAGACAAGGATCCCACTGCTGAGACTACTATCCGTGCTCGTCGAACGAACGTCTCTTTCGTGTTTGGATCCTTTATCGTCACTTCCCAGTACTGCTCGGATTCGTTCCAGCGGGCGATCTCGACTGTCGAATGGAAGCGGATGTGCGGGATAAGATCATATCTGGTGATAGCTTGTTGACCCACGCCGCATGTGTACGGATTGAGGTCAAGACTTACTGCTCGGCCACGCTTCGGAAGTAGGCTTGTATCTCAGAGCGCATAGAGAACTTCTGGCTCCAGTTGGGGTTCAACGCAAAGCTGTAGGAGTAGAAATGGCTCGCGACATCGCAGCCGCATCCTGGGTAAGTGTTGACGAGCCACGTTCCTCCAACGTCGCCCTAAAGCAAGCAAGAGAAGGTGAGCGCCTAATCTGGGCATATATTGCTGGTGCGCAACAGCTAGCTTGACGTACAACTTTCTCGTAGATCTGAAATGATCGCCACCCGTAGTGCCGGATGAGCTGGATGGCTAGACCCATGCCACTCATTCCGGCACCAATTATAAGTACATCGGTATCAAGAGACATTGTGGAAGCCTGAGCTTGCTGGAAATTTGGAGACTGGGAGAGGATACTTGACTTGACCTAGATCGATGGGTGAGGCGGTCTCTTATGGAATCTCGTTGTTGACGCCATGGGGACAGGGTCTGCCATGGTCACGGCAGAACTTTCACATGTCGTCCTTTGCTGGTATCGGTGCGACTGTGAGCGAGAGGGGTGAGGGGGAAAGAGATAGCGGAGCCCCATGGAGAGAGCAGAGGTAAGGATCAAGTCAGAAAGTGTAGCGACCAATAGGCTGTCGGGAGGAAGGTCCTCCGAAATCACGTGCGCGGGGCGTTTCCTTCAGTCTCACGATTTCCCAGACCTCCCTCTTCCCACTTCATCCTCCAGACCTAATCTGGCGTCCAGCCTCGTCTCACCTCATCCCATCGGCACCATCGTCTGTCATCACCATGCCTCGCGACGGACACGCGATCGAGCCGTACCGCCAGGAAATCACCGAGAGAACCGAGGCTGGTGAGAGCTGCGAACAGGTTGCCGACGCGCTGCGCGCCCAGGGATTCGAGGTCAGCAAGAAAACCATCAGTCGCTGGCGCGTCACATGGGGTCTGCGCAAACGCGCTCCCAGCTCAACTACCGGCCGCAAGTACCCTGACCGAAAGCGCCGCACGGGAGAGACAGGTACGGCCAAAAATGCCAAGATCAGAGGCCAGGAAGCTCGCAAGCAGGAAATCATCGAGCGTACCCAGCGTGGCGAGACTGCCGAGCAGATCGCTGAAGCATTGCAAGCACAGGGCTTCGAGTTGAAGTCTGGCGCGTCCACGATATGGCGACTCCAAACGACCTGGAAGCTGGTTCCGTATGAGAAAGATCGCGCTCGCGGCAAGGGCAAATACGATAGGAAGAAGCAAGCGCAGAGGGCTGCTGTCGCTGCCGGCGTACCTGGAGCTCAACCAACAAGACCTCGTAAGAAGAAGGAGATTATAGCGCCCTCCAATCCTGGCGAGGTCCTCCATTATCCAAGCAACCTTGGCCATGGACCAAAGAAAGGCGCCGCTACGAGCGACCCGTTCGAGGCAGCACCGACAGCGTATTCCAACTACCAATCTCAGCCCATGCAGCTCGCAGGCGACGATGATGCTGGTGCCGCGAATGGTGCTGGCCACGTGCCCGTGAACACCGCGGCAGACCTCATGTCAGCGGAGTTCCTCGTTGATCTCGCAACCAGTACCCTCACAGCTGCCAACCGAGTAAAGGAGCTCTATCTGGCTCGCCAGAGCCAACGCCCAATGCCGGACTCCACGACTCACCTCCCACCCACAGAAGAGGACATACTTGCGGCAAAGCAGAAGGTCCGGGAGGCAGCCGCGGTGATGCACGATCTTGCAATGCCAACGGCGACCACATGATGAGTGCGCAGTGAACAGCACCAAGAATTTGTGGTATCTTCCGATGGGCAAGACTTAATTTGTACCGCTATCACCGATGAGTGGACACGACTGTGTGCAACTCATGAATGGAAATGTGAGGAACCACTCCTGTGTCGCCTCTTTCGCCTTGCTATTCGAAACTCGGACAGCTGGGCAACGGCGGTGAAGGTTCAACATGCCACACAACCTCGGGCATCCGGATGTTGGAAGGAGTCTCCTGGTTGAAGCGCTGCGGCCAAGAGGCGCAGCTTCAAAGGCACAGTCAGTGAGTCCAGCATGGTCTGAAAACCTAGCCCTCACGGCTTTGAAAGGCTCGCAAATAGGGATTGGCAAAGAAAAATTTGCCTCTTGATGGGAGCATGCAAGGACGAGTATACTCAAGATGACACGGATACCAAGTATGAACAGTCGAGGATTGAGAAGAGAGCGTTGTATTCCTACACATGCTTCCGAGGCAGAGGGGTCACTTCACGCCGCTGCTAGCCGCTCTATCGCGACAAGCTACCTTGTCCGCTCGCGTGCCTTGCGTTTCCTGCGCGATTTCCTTGAACAAGATACCGAGATATTCGCCGCGGCGAAGAAGTTACACAGTGCTCGCTGTTTCGCATTGTGTAGACAGCTGTTGGATTGGCCTCGACAAGCTTGCCCGGCGAGACCTCCGGGCTGGTCGTATTCATCCTCTCGCTGTGCATCCATCGAAATTACTGCGAGTCTGCTTGCATACGTTCTATAGGCAGAACGATCGGTTTGTCTCAGCTAAGGCGACATGGCGTCCATTCATTCGCCGTGTATTCGAAGACAGTATTGACGCCGGTATGGGATACTTGGTGTTATAAGGGCTCTAGAAGGATTCGCTCCGGGCCGAGGCTAAGTTTAGGACGTTTGGAAGAAACAGCCGAGTGGAACAGCCGAGTGGAACGCGAACGCCGTGAATCGCAGGAGTGTACCTACCCAAGCATCCGCAAAGTTCTCGTCCTAGTAGGGAAGACGTGGGTTAGAAGTTCTGACGCTGGGGATTGGGAGAGCAGGCAGGAAAGGCGGGTAATTGTGACATGAATGCCGGTAGTAGCCGGGTGATTATTAGAGTGAGGGAAGTGAGGAAGGTCTTACGGTTACAAACCGGCCTCTCTCGGGTCGGGGTGGGAGAGGTAAGCAACGCGGGTGAGTAGCTTGGTAACCTTGGTACTACTGTATCGTAGATTTGGTACTGTCATCGGTAGCTGCGCCGAGTCTCATTGGACCGACCGACGCAATCATGTGCACATTACATGTATTTATGCAGCGGGATGGCGTTGCTTCTTTGGTGGTGCCGTGCAGATAGATGTGCTGCCTCTCATCAGCGGGTGCGGCAATGTGCGATAGCAGGTGCAGGATCGGGCATCGGAGCAGGTGACGTCGCTGGTTATTCCTCCAAGCTCTTCCTAGCTCGGGCTCGGCGGAGTCTTGAAAAAATTTTGACTCTTCGCCGTGAGTCTTGCGTCGGTGGATAGAGGTGTCTCAAGAAGGTCCAGTCGGTCTTGCAGGTTCTTGCAGGTCTTCCTTTCGGTGGACGCTGTTATCGCCAGCCAATCGTGGTCCAGGCGGCGCGGGTAACGTAAGTCGCCCTTGCAATGGCTGGCAGCGGGCTAGTCGCTTTTCCCAATGCGCGCGCGCACCGTATCCACTCCGGCGAGTGCGAGTGCGAGTGGCTCCATCGCGTGCAAATGCTTCATTAATAAGGAAGCTTTCGGCTCACGACCCGCTCCTTGAGCCTTCCAATCTGTGTTCTACGGTTCTTCCTTCGTCGTGTGCACTAGTCTGTCACTGTGTGTGGTACCTTCCGGACGACCACCCCGCCGCGACCACCTACAAAAGCCTCCCCACTTCCCTGCATTAACAGACATCACCGCGCGAACCTTCTCAGCTTCACTTGCACTTGCACTTCGACCTCGACTTCGACCTCGACACCTCCTCTCGTCGCGGGACTCCAGGACTTCATTCGCCATCCATCTGGTCCCCTCGTGCGCGAGCTCGTCGAGACATTCCCACATGTCGGCCGTTGACAACTACGGCGCAGTCCGCGACAGCGGCTACCGCGATCATTCCGACAGGATGAGCCCGACCCCCGAGAAGGCATCCAGCGATCTGGCCACAGATTCCGAGAAGAAGTATGGAGAGGCGTACGATCTCGAAGCCGCCCCGACCGTGCAGGTCGAGAAGCCGGACAAATTCAACAGCCTGGGTTGGATCCAGCTCACCGTCTGCCTGATTGTCGAAGCCATCGCTCTCGGATCCCTCAGTATTCCTTCGGCCTTTGCCAAGGTGGGAATGGTCGCGGGAGTAATATTGTCCGTGGGCTTGGGCTTCATCGCAATCTATACCAGTTACGTGGTGGGTCAGGTCAAGCTGAAGTACGACCATGTACACCACTATGCGGATGCGGTCAGACTGATCTGGGGCTGGTTTGGATACGAGCTTGCCTCGGTCATGTTTGTCCTCCTCCTGGTCTTGCTGGTCGGATCGCACGTCTTGACCGGCACCATTGCTTGGGTCGATATTGTCAAAGAGCCCGGGGTTTGCGCGTTGGTCTTCTCCGTCGTGTCCGCCATCATTCTGTTCTGCCTGGCCCTGCCGCCGACATTCCATGAGTTCACCTGGTTGGGCTATGTCGACTTCGTCTCCATCATCCTGGCCATCGGCATCACAATCATTGCGACGGGAGTGGAGGCTTCCCAGAGCGCAGGTGGCCTTTCCGGAGTGAACTGGAGTGTGTGGCCTCCGGAGGGCGTCACTCTCGCCGACGGCTTCCTCGCCACCACCAACATCATCTTCGCCTACTCTTTCGCCGTCTGCCAGTTCTCCTTCATGGACGAGATGCACACCAAGACGGACTATGTCAAGTCCATCTGGACTCTGGGTCTGGTGGAGATCTTCATCTACACCCTCACCGGCGCCATCATCTATGCTTTTGTTGGTAATGACGTCTCGTCTCCCGCTCTGCTGTCGTCGGGCGCCACCATGTCTCGGGTCGCCTTCGGCATTGCACTTCCCGTCATCTTCATCTCCGGATCCATCAACGGCACCGTGGTCGCGCGATACCTTCTTGACCGTGCCTTCAAGGACAACGCCACCATCAGGTACATCCAGGGCGTCAAGGGCTGGTCCGTCTGGCTCAGCCTGATCGCCGTCATCACGATCATCGCCTGGATCATCGCCGAAGCCGTTCCATTCTTCAGTGCGCTCCTCGGTCTGATTTCCAGCTTGTTCATCTCCGGCTTCACCTTCTACTTCCCCGCCCTGTTCTGGCTGATGCTCATCAAGGAGGGCAAATGGTATTCCAGCCTGCACAATATCGCCCTGACCATTCTCAACGTGGTCGTGCTCGGAATCGGCATTGCGTCGTTGGGTCTGGGAACGTATGCTTCGGTGAAGGACATCACCGACCAGTATGCTTCCGGCTCGACCAGAGGAGCTTTCAGCTGCGGACAGTCCGGTTACACATGATCATCGCGATTCATCACATGGGCATTGGGACCTCCGGGAGTCCTTCGCATCTTGGGTTTCGCGTTGTATCCTCGAGCATTTGTTGAGCGTTTTTGATTGTTGTCGGGTCCAAATGCAGAACCCAGGGAACCACCAAAGTTGACGGCTTTCATGTCCCAGACAGACGAGAGAAAAAGCAAAAGAACTTTTGAAAGATTTGGGGGAAAAAAAAGATGATGGGTGGATGATTTGTAAATATTTTCGAGGGCAAAGGGAAGAAGAAGATGTATCAATGAAATATGAATGGAATGAAGAACGTTCGTCGCTTTACTCCCACCACCATTACCACCAAGTCCTTTGTCAGCTTGTCTCTCTCTGCAGTCAGTCAGATAGATAGGCGTTCCCCGGATAGGCGGAAGCTTTCGGCTCATGGATGGGGAGATAGGCTGGAGAGATAGGGGCACGGGGTTTTTATCACGGCGCGCATTATTATAGAGAGCCGGGGGGACGAAAAGGCGAGGCGAGGCGAGGCGAGGCGATGGATGAGCGGGATGGATGGATGTATATCTACAGGTCCGTCCCTTCTCCCCATTTCCGTACAAAGTTCACGTTGTCTTTGTTGATGACTTCAAGGAAACGATATAGATTAAGCCTTCCGCTATCGATCTAGAGCGGCTAGTAAAGAGAAATAATACGAGCCGATTCGATTTAATAGGAAGAGCGACGAAAGCTAGAGAGGTTTGTAGCTACGTATTAGAATAAGGTAGGAATGTATTCGTTTTCCGGAAAGCGAGATAGTCTACTACGTAAGTAGTAATAGCAAACTTTAATGTCTACCTAAATACGTAGGCGTGTACCTAGTTAACGATAGGAAGTGTCGAGTGGTCCCGACGCTCGTGAGAATATTGGACTGGCTCACTAGCTCGGTTTACGGCAGTCGCGGCTGGGCGCTTTGATTACCACCTAATGCCTACATTACCTTTCCGGTCCAGACGAATCGAATCCTACCTCCATCCAACAAGCCCGACAGACCCAGACCAGAAAGTCGAAATGAATGTAGTGGTACAAGGGAGGAGAGGAGTCGCTGCGCGCGCCATCGACTACACGAGCCGAGTCCATTGTCCGATGCGCCGAGAGGAATAATAAAATGGCGAATGCTCCCTGGCTTCCACGGCGTCGATGGCGCAATCTCACTTAAGGTACTAGGTACACTGTATGATCTCACCTGAGGGGAGGGGTTGTTCAGGCACGTGACCAGTGACCTCTGGTCTACAAATCCCTGCTTTCCCTTTCTCACCTCTCACCTCTCACCCAACTGAATCGAATGAACAGAGTTCACACCCTCAATCATTCAACTCTTCTTACTCATGCCCCAACACGCCAAGCGTAGCAGAAGTGGGACGCGCATGGCATTTTGGAGGCCTCGCACTCGCAGTCGGTTCGTCGTCTACATCGCCTGACCCTGGTGCTGGACGGCATTAGGCATGGCATGCATTTCGGTGACGATGGCAGCTGTATCTGTATCCCAGCACTCCCTCCCACGCACGCAACACTAGACATCGAATGGACCCGGTGGGCGCGCTGGAATCACGCCTTCCCTGCTCCGCATCGACACACGCTGCACGCATCATCACCACATCTGCAACTCCACCTGCATCATCAAGCCATTGACCTGTGAAGCCTCTACCAGAGCTGCAGCCCAAGCTTTCCCAGCTTCCCGAATCCGTCCACCATCCCGCATTCCGAATGAACCTCCTCTCTTCCTCACTGGTCGCAGCGGCCGAACGACTCGCCGTACTGCCACGTCGCAGGTCCATCCTGTTCCTCCTAGTCTCTCTCATCTCGCTTGCGCTGTGGTTCCTGTCCTCGGGCTGTGGCATACAAGATGTCCTCTCCCTCACCGGTGCCCAGTCCTGGGCCAGCCCCAGCTGCCCTGCTCCCTTTTCATCAATCATCATGAGGGTTTGGAGGGGTTGGGACTTCGTTGTCACTCTCCTACTCGGGTCCTCGTCAAGAAAGGCAGTGGCCACAAGCACAGCATTGCTGCCGTCTTACCCTCTCGCGGTCAAGAGCCCCTACCTATCAACCTGGGTGCCAGGCGATCAACTGTCGGACATCGCGACCGCCGGGCCACAGTTCTGGACCGACGAGGAGCTGACATGGCCTATACTGGCAAGAGTCGATGGCACTACATACGCCCTCTTCGGCTCCCCTTCTGGCTTCACGAGCGACCTTCAAGCAGCCAAGACCGAAAATGTCAGCTATAGCTCTTTGCATACCTATTTCAAGCTGAGCGCAAAAGGTGTCAACTTTACACTGGACTTCTTCAGTCCGGTCTATCCCAAGGCAGAGGATTACGCCTTGCATTCGCTACCCTATTCCTACCTCACCGTCAACGCCACTACGACAGGATCGGACATTCGGGAAGTGCAGGTCTTCAGCGCCATAGATTACACTTGGACCGCGCAGGACGGTGCTGCAGACTTGAACTTCACAACGACTGGAAATACGAGTTTCTTCTGGTGGCACAACCCAAAGGAGATACCCTTTACCGAGAGTAGCGATCAGGCGACCTGGGGATCTGTTCTGTTCGGGACCGGGTCCACTTCCGACTCGTACGAGATTTCGCATGACTGCAACACACCCAACAGCGTCTACTCCAGCTTTTTAAGCACGGGCACACTGAGTGCGTCGAACAGCAGCTGTTCCGGCACGTATCTCGCGGCGTTGTCGACGGACTTTGGTCGTGTGACGAGTAATGGGAGCAGCATCACATTTGCTGTCGGTTTCGAGCGCCCGCAACTGGTCAACTATCTGAACCAGACGCAGACTGGCTTTCACCGCACGAAATGGCCCAACATTCCCGAGGCAATTTCATACTTCCTGAGCTACTATTCTCAAGCGCTTTCACGCTCACGAACCTTTGATGCTATGGTCCGTTCCAACACTGAATCTGTTTCGAGCGAGTGGGGCAGCCAATATGCAGATATTTGCGAGGCAAGTGTACGACAGGCTTTCGCTCCAGTCGAGCTTGCAGTAAGTGCATGCTCCTCAGTCCTGCTGTCCGCCCGCGAAAACTAACCCTCGAAAAGGTACCAGCGGATGACCTCTCCGCAGCTCCCAGCGCATTCTTGAAAGAAATTTCCAGCAACGGCAATATGAACACTATAGACGTAATCTTCCAGTCTTGGCCGATCTTTATCAATCTAAACCCCGAATGGTTCATCTTGCAACTGAAGCCTTTGTTGGAGTACATGAAAAGCGGCCGATGGCCTAAAGCTTGGGTCATCCACGATATGGGTCTGCATTATCCAAACGCTACGGGACACGATGATGGCGAAGCCGAGCAGATGCCTCTGTTTGAGACCTCGAGCATGTTTATCTTAATGTATGCTTACCAGAAGCTCTCTGGCAACGACTCTTACACGACCAAGTATAGCGACCTCCTTCCCGGCTGGGCGCAGTATCTTGCAGACAATGGCCTCTATCCTTCAAAGCAGCTCATAAGCGTGGATGCTATTGCCGCGACACCAAATCAGACTGCGCTCGCCATGCAGAGTGCCATGGGCCTCAAGGCTGCCGCTCTTCTGACCGGCAACGACAGCTATTCCGATATCGCCGATGACTTTGCAAAGACGATATATGACGATGGGCTTGGACTGAACGACAACAAATCACACTTCACGTACAATTACGGCGACAACGACAACTGGAATGTAATCTTCGCATCCTTCTCCGATGTCTTCCTCAATCTCACAACGTTCCCGCAAAACGCTTGGGATCTGCAGGCCCGATGGTACCTGTCTGAGATTCAAGAAGCTGGATTAGCTTTTGCGGGACCTGTCTCGGACAGGGGTGTCGACTGGGCTCTGACTGATTGGAGTAAGTCCCGAATTTCCCCAAAGAATAAGACCAGTCGCTCCAATGACTGACCCTTCTGTGCTACTACAGACATTATGACAGCAGCCGCTCTCGGATCCGAAGATTTGACACGGGAAATCGTCAATACCACTCACGCTTTCCTGACCAACGGCATCAATGAGATTCCTTTCGGCACGAAATACTACGTCTCGGGCAGTGATGCTGGAGTGTGGATTGCGAACAAGGCACGCAGTACTGTCGGGACTCACTTTTCAATCGCAGCTCTCCAGCAGGGATTGTGGACGTACTAGATCTTAACGAACGAACGAACAAACAGGCCGATGCGACCAGGGCACCCACCACCTAGAACGAAGAAGCATGAAGAGACGGGAGTTCGGGTTCTTTTCTTGTTGCAACACAGCGCGCATTCGCATTTTGAAGGCATTAACCATGTTCGACAGACAGAAGCGTTTCATCACGCGTTCTAAGGTAGATGTCCATCAAATTTTGTTCTCGGTAGAAGTCGTATCGACACCTACTCATCGTACCTGTGGGGGCGCGGCGCGGCGCGTCGTCTCTAGCCTGTGCGAGCTCCATGGTAGCCAGAGCCACGGAACAGATCTTTACAACGCGTTCTGGTTTTTTGTTCCAGTTCCAGCTCGCCTCGCCGGACAGATGTCTTCCAAAGGCATCCATCCATCCATCCGCCAGACAAAGAAAAGGTGATGCGATGCGAGCTAGAATTGCACCCCGCGTCGTGGTTGAGTTAAGTTGTTGAGGAAAGATCTTGGAGAAATATGGGTCCCATTCTGGATCCAGATGGCGATCTCGACTCTTGTCGTCGCGTCCGGAAGGAATCCAGCCAGCGTCCTAGGACGCCAGACCGGGAGGCAGCAGCACGCGTCAATAGGCGGATGGATGGATGGAACATGTTTGAGGCAAGCGGACGGACAAGAGTGGTTCGTATAGTCGAAGAGACGAGGAAATTGGAGCGCTGTTGTCGCGCTTTTCCTACCACTACTGAGGGTGGCGAAGTGCACAGACGTCCGCGCTACGGGTCATCCCGCCCGTTATAGGGAGGTGAATGTGAATACTGACTTACGGTCTACAGCCCAAGCGACGTGAAAGGTACGGTACGAGATTCTCACAGAGTACAGGATGTTCTGGATCTACGAATAGATCTGTTTTGCTCTCTGGGTAGAAGAAACAATAGCTTATTAGGCGATTTTTTTTTCCCAAGTGCGCACGGACCCGGTCGTCAGCTGCTAGGTAAACACCTGTGACATTGAAGTGATCAGTCTGCACTTTTGCGCGTGTCCATTCATTTGAAATGAGTTCTGGGGGCATCTCGTAATAATCGTAATGGTTTTACGTCTGCAAGAGAGTTGTCCAGTCGTACGAAATCTGCAAGTTCATTAAGGTGTAGTAAACTTCTGCATTACTAGTGAGACATGAAAATCTCATTTAACGAAACACGTCCCTAATCTGTCGCACCGATTCGGATATCATCCCTAATAGTCCCCGCATATACACACTTGAAGAGAGCAGCCTCGCGTCACTCATACAATTTTGCCTCCGATCTCCAAGCCAAATAACAAGTTGCGATCACATCACATCACAAGACCAACTCCCTCAATTGTCCCAGGGCAACTTGCACCTTCGGACTCGGACTCCTACCGCCGGTCAAGATCATCTCCTCCTCTTGGAGGCCCCTCTCTTCCATAACGTCGTGCACACTCCGTCCATTCTCGTCCCGTGCGGAGAGATCTGGATTCCCCTTGGATGCCAACAATCTCAGAATTTTCACGTCACCGTTGTCGACGGCTTGGAGGACTGCATTCCAGCCTCTGTACATCAGGTTGAGGTCCGCACCCTTGGCTAGGAGATGCTCAATGTATGACATGTCGTCTTCTCGATGACGACGGATCGCCTTGATGATGGGCAGGTGCTCGCCGGGGGCATTGGGATCCGCGCCGGCTTCATCGATGAGGTACCGGAAGATTTCCTTGCGGTTCTCGCGAATGGAAGTCGTCAGAGGACTGAAGACACCGCCGTTCTTCTCTTCCACGTCCACGCCTTTCTGGATGAGCAATCTGACGCTTTCGAGTTGGTTGGCGACGACGGCCATTTCTACTGCTCCTTTGTTGATGCGAGAGGTAGGAATGTGAGGAAGCAGCTTGGCAAGAATGGGAGCCGTCTTGACAGCCATGGAGATTGGCCAGTCTTGACCGCGAATGCCAGGGTCCGCGCCGTGAGACAGAAGTACATCGATCATTTCCATGCGATGCTCGCGAATGGCGGTAGTCAAAGCGGTATGGCCGTTCTTGTTGCGCACGTTCGGGTCGACCTTGTGCTCCAGGAGCCAGAGCATGGCGGTCGTTTCATTTTGCAGCACGCAGTGCTCGACGATTCCCTTGGGAGTGTGCAAGTCTGCGCCAGCCGCAAGAAGACGAGGAAGGATGTGAGACCGGTGGTAGGTGACGCACTTGTATGTCGGGAACTCTAGGGCCGTGAGATTTGGATCGGCTCCGGCTGCAATCAACAACTCGACAAGGTCCTCGTGGTTGTCCCGGATTGCGGAACATAGTGGTGTGTAGATTCCATCCTTCTTGGCGTTAGGGTCCGCGCCGTGCTTGAGCAGCAGATCGATGGCTTTGCGAGAGTTGATAGACGTAGCCAGCTCAAGCACACCGGGCGCGCGACGGAGGTCCGAACCACGCTCCAGGAGAATCTCAAGGATTCGCGAATGATGAACAGCGGGCCACAGCATGATCTTCGGGCCCGGCAGGTTGGGATCAGCGCCATGATCAAGCAGCATGGTGACGAGATCCAAGCGTTCAGCACCGATGGCTTTGAACAAGGGCGTTTCTCCACGGCCGTTTTTGAAATTGGCATCCGCGTCGTACACAAGCATAGTCTCGATCAAGCTGGCCGGTGTGCTCTTGTTCATAGCTTGCGTAAATGGCGTCTCGTTATTGCCCATGATAGCGTTGGGATCAGCGCCGTACTGAAGGTATAGTTGCGACAAGTGAGACTTGCTCGGAGTCAAAGACACCGCAAATGGACTTTCGCCATATGGGCCGGCGGAGATGTTTGAGTCGCCACCATACTCGAGGAGCAGCTGAGCGGCTTCGTAAAAGGCCGAGCCGGTGGCAGTGTAGAGCGGAGTTGAACCGTCCTTGTCGACGATGTTGGCATCCGCTCCAAAGATGAGCAGCATGCGGACGCTCTCGAGATCATGGTTGATGACAGCTGACCCGAGTAGGTTTGATTCCGGGACGACGCCGCAGTCGAGGAGCTGTTCCACCATCTTGTGATCTTTTTGTTGGATGGCACTGGAAAGTGCCCCCTTTGAAGCTTCTGATCCCGCATGAGTGTTGTATCTGGGTTTGCGACGCGGAGCTCTGGTAGGATCATCTGTGACTCGGATGGCAGTTTTTGGGACCTTGTCACCAGGAAGGTGGAGTTGTATGTTGTCCATAGTATGCGCTTTCGACATGATAGAGGTGACGTCGGTCTCAGCAAAGGATTGCCGGTCGCTGAATACGTGTGTCATTGGGGTCATCTTGCTATCAGAGCTTCCAGTGGGACGATGGTGGAGGCTGGTGCTCTCTGTAACGCTTGGTGCGTACATGTCGCGTAGAGGTAGCGAAGAGATCCGGGGAGTGAACGCATCCGGGACTTGTAAAGCTGATGGCGAAGTTGGAGAGGATGGTGCTGGGGGCAACGGCCTGCGGTCGGGGGAAAGATTGGCGATGGCCTTCTCTGTAGGAGTGAGTGGAGGGGAGGTCTTAGGTTGTGTAGGGTCGGAAGTTTCCAGGATAGCAGCTAATGCGGTGTAGCCTATCCCAGCGGCTGGCTCAATCTTTTGGTATCCCATTGTGGAGGAAAACATCAGCGCAGAGATACTCAAAGCCGCTCGGCATTGTGCCAGCGATATCCTCAGGCGGTCGATTTCACTTTCCGTGAACATCATCCGGAAGTTTTTGCCCAGCTTGCCGAAGCCGTTTTTCTTTTCGCCGCTGAGCAGCTTGTTAACCATCTGGTCCATGACAGTGAAAGCATTTCTCGTCTGGTCGAAGCGCTCATAGAGCTCTTGCGTGACGTCGGCTGGAAAGTTGGAGTTTGATCGAGATAGACCAGCTCGTGCGGGAAAGAGGGCTCGACTAGCTTCCAAGAACTCGATAGCCAGCTCCTTGAAGCCTTGCTTTGGATGCTTGGAGATGCTCAGGTATTCCAGTGTGTGGACAGCGATGCTATTTCCCAAGGCGATCGTACTCTTGCAGAGCTCTAGGAGCGACTCCTTTCCTTTATTCGGGGCCATTGCGTCAACCGCCTAGAGCGGAATCCCAGCCGTGCCAATGCAGGTAGTTGTTGATCAGCAAGATGTACAGAAAGATCCGATGGTCTGCAGGTGTTGCGATCGTCGAGGTTGTTAGAAAAGCAGAAAGACAAGGTAAGGGACGTGTGGGTGTGCCCCCATTGCCATAAATTGCAGACATGGTCGGAGCCGAAATGAACAAAGGAGGCCAACAGTCCGGTCTCGACAGAATACAAAGACGCGTCCGTGAGTCTAGAGCGGACTTCCACCGTGAGGCGCCGTAGATTTGGTCCCATTTGACAGAGCATGAATCGCGCACCTGTAGTGGCGTCTCAAGCGATCGCCCACGAGTCGTACCTGCATAATCTTCACGCACCACGTGGAGATCAAGAGGCACATATTGCCATGTGAGCCAACTACAATACCGTAGCAAGCCAGTTCCTCTCTTTGACCGTTTTCGGAAATTTGTGATGCTGTCGGGCGATCGGTGATTGGACTGGAATGCTCCATCGACATCTTGTGGCAACAAAGTTCCTTAACACCTTTGACGACTCGGGCCCAGACAAGTGCCAACGATGAGTGGAGGACATTCTCGGCGTTCGCCTGCTCCCGAACTGTGGCATCTAGATGCCAAATACGAGTCGCTCTTTAGCATCTTCGCGCAACCCGCGCGCGAAAATTCGGACTTTTGGTACTTTTCCCAAACGGCATCCGAAACGGGCATGTACACTGTGCCTGAGGCAAGAGTTACGCAGCAGCTTCGGAATGGAAATAGCTGCTGCAATGCACCAGAGTAAGGATCAGGTCCTGCCAGGCAGTAGTCCATTGATCGATAGATTTGGCCCGCCGCCGCCGAGCTATTCATGTCTCCAGGTTCGTGCGGCAGTGGAACCGCATTCGAGCGTGGATCAGATTTGTGTCACTTGTTCGGCTTTGGACACGCCAAACCATCTCGTCAGTTCCTGCAGCAGGCGAAGCAACATGCCGTAGTAAGAACCAATTTTACGCGATCCATGCAAGTTACAGAAGAAGAGCACAGTGGAGAACTTCGAGCACTGTAGCGGTCAAGATAGTTGCAAGACCGAGTTCTCCGGAATCGACATCTCGTGGATAGCGTTTGGGTAGTCATCTTCCCAGAAGAGCCGCCAGGCGAGGAGCTCCCGGAGCAGGCCAAGATTACGCTTTATGTTACGCCGAATGCTCGCATGTGCGGCTCCGGATTCCTTCGTGAGGCTAGCAGACTCCTCGAGTGTTCGCTTGTCCGTTTCGATTTCGGGTCACCAACAGACTTCTGGGCGGGAGCGTAGTATCAGTTTGAATGTCTGCATAGCAACGCGACTAACTCTTCTCTGGGTAGGGTTTGGCCATTGCGCGGGAAGCGCCTTTTCTCTTTTTGACAGGGTGTTGAATACAGACAAGGGATACCAGGCAGATCCACAAAGACGTCTAGTAAGTGATGCAGCAATGGTGTCCCCTCCGGAAACTGGCCAAGGTACTTGATACACCGACGCTCTTCGAGAATGGACATTCTTCGAAGCAAGCAAGGCATTCAGTATTAGTTTGCTCGACACATTGAGCAAAACATCTGCGTCGTGAGAAAGATCCTTGTGGTTGTAAACTCAACAGACTGGGCTTAGAAGCGCGGCCGACACTTGTGCTTGGCTCTTCGTCCTTCCACTCAGTATATACAGCAACTCTGTACCGGTGGCCTCGCCATACGAATGGAATGCGGCTGATGCAGGCCTATCGTGCAACTGGCAGTCCCGATGTTCTGAGGAATTAGGCACGCCTATAAAGTCAGCCTTGCGAGCAGGACGTAGGGCCTAGGCTTATCAATCAGCTTCCTTGCTGACGGTTGCGGCACTTGATATCTTGAACTGACGCGATCAGGCTGTTCTCAGGCTCAAAATGCTGACAGTTCGTAATCCATCGCGTCTTCCAAATGCTGATTAAAATTGCGTAATTCTGAATGTCTGTACATCGCCAGTGTAGGTCTTGTTCGGCCGAGAGAGTGAAGCCGAGTGGATGACCACTCCGCAGCCGCTGCTTGAAGTGATAGTTTGCAACGCCGGCGTCTGAGATGTCCGGCAATTAGCACTGATGACACCAAGTATTTCCTCGTTCATGATTATGCAAATACGGAATGGCAGCTTAAGCCATGAAAATCCAGGGATTCATCCGTAATGGCAAGTGACAGCGCCCCACAGGTGGATCGAGATATTGAAACGGAGAGCGAAGGGCAGAGCCTCTTCCGCAGATGGTGTCCTGCTACTGTTCGTCGCAAAGCAATACCGGAAGTCTTGCATCGTGTGCTTTCAGTTACGGAAATGCTGGCGAAAGCTGTGATTTGTTGCTCCGTTCTGGATCGCGGGAACGTCAGGCATGACATCAGATGTTCTGGAGAATCTCGGGTATGGGCGCGCAGGGGACATACTCCCAGTCGCATTCGAAGTCGCAGAAAGCAATGGTGTTGGTGTTCCGTTCATCAGTGAGACTCCCGAGGAGTCTCGGAATCGATTTCCTTCGGCCATCGGGGTTAGTCAGCGGACTTTTTGCGGGGATCCTAGCTCGAGCGACCGGAGCTTCAGTTCCATCAAGCAACGATCCACCCATACATTTGACCTATACAAGTCTAACAACAACCTCACGAGTTCGGCAACGTGCTGCTTCTTCTGAAAGTGCTCTCCTCAGCTTCCGCCAAGATGTCCGCCCCAACAGCCACTCGTATCCTTCGCCAAAGCACCAGAGCCATCACCAAGAACCTAATCAGATCCCGCCAGCTACAATCGCCAAATATATGCCTCCGACCCGCTGCGATCACACACCCATCAAGTAGGAGATGTCTCTCGACCGTGCGACCTCTCCGAGCCGGCATCATGCCCGACAGCGAAGACCCTAAGCCACCAGTCAACGAAGCAGCTCAGGGCAGCCACATTACCCAACCCACCGAGATCTCTGATGAAAAGTACCATGCGCTTGCCGATGAGTACCTAGACGCCGTACACGAGAAAGCAGAGCAATTGCAAGAGGGACGAGAAGACGTTGATGTGGAGTATAGCGTACGTTTATCGCGTCAATCGCCTGCAAGTGGAGGAAGTATTCCTGGACTGACCTGATACAGTCCGGCGTGATGAACATTACTTTTCCTCCCAACGGAACATATGTGCTTAACAAACAGCCCCCGAACAAACAAATCTGGATCTCGTCACCCATCTCCGGCCCCAAGCGATACGATTGGGTCTTATCAGGAGAGAGCATGCATCAGAAAGAAGGCAGTGGAAATGGAGAATGGGTATATCTGCGGGACGGAACAGATCTGACGAGCTTGCTGCACAAGGAGCTTGGGATTTTAATCGACCCGCGTGCGGAGGAGATGAAGGAGAGCAAGGATCCTGTGGAATAGTTGCAGTGTTTAAGAGAAATGGAGACATTGATGTGAGGGAGTATGCGATGTGAAGCTTTAAGCTCTCGAAATACATGCGGCATGTACAATGTGTGGTTCTGTCGGGTTGCATGCTGCTCCTAGTACCTAGGATTCTGGCATACGGGAGCCGCTGGACGACTCTCTGTATACTCTCTGGCTGTTCACAGATGGCTGCCAAATGTACCTGCCTTCATCCCCTGAGTTGCTTTTCCAACTCTGCACACACTCTCGTGTTGCTTCGGAGGTAGCGCGCAATCGAAGATCGTACCGCACTCGTCCTACCAGACAGTAGGCAGATGGCCTCCTCTCATCTATGTGTTCTCGTCCCGGATTCCTTACTTGCGATGGCGTTGAGGCTGCTTCATAACAGTAGCTGATTTCGACTCTTCATCACAAATCGGCTTGCAGATTGTCCATTCCGTAGCCAAGCCCATAGCATTGACGCCTGTGAGCAATTGTAGCCTCGCACTATACGCCTCTTGCTTCTTCTCACTCCTTGCGGAAAATCAACATGACAACGTTGAACGTCTTTCAAGCAACAGCGACAACCTTCTGCTCTGTAACAGTCTCCATCTGCGGTGGAGCCACATCCTCCGGCGCAGGCAAATCTTCTGGATCGAAGATTACTCGTATTTGTAGCGAACAACTCGGGCAGACAGCGACTTCTTCTCCATCACGGAGGTCCTCGATGTTGATCTCGAAGCGATCGCCGCAAGGGCAGGGGTAGTGGTAGATTTGGAGTTGAGGGTCGTAGGTCATGTCCTGCACGGAACTGTTAATGAGGGGTCTTCGGGATGGAATTGTGGGTTCGGGTCCTCGTCAATCAGGCGCGTACCTCTATTTCGACTTCATCGTAGATATTTCTGTCGTCTGCCATGTTGGACGTGAGAAGACGACGGGTTGCGGTTGGCGACAAGAGGGAAAGATTTCGAGGTGGAAATTGTGAGTCTGGAGGTGGCGGCGCGCTTCTTTCCAAGACCCGACAGCGTGGTTCACCAGGAAGCTCGTGCGTCACAGTCCAGCACTCACTTCTGCATGTGATTCCTCTGTCTAGTCCCGAACTCGACACCATCGAATTGTTCCAATCTAATAACAACAACAACATGTCCCTCGTCCCCGCCCGAAACGGCGCAAACGCGCCACCAACACGCGCCTCAGAACTCGTCGACAACAATATCTTCAAGACGTCCACCAAGGGCAAGCTGCCTACTGGCTATGCCGAGGAAATTGCCATATCAGAACACAGCTTTCGAAACCTCCATCGCGATGTACAGAGATCGCAAGCGACAGGAAAGAAGCGGAAACGAGAGGCGAAAGGCGACAGCAGTATTGTGTATGGTGCAGGCGCATACAAGGGTCCTTGGGCCAAGTACGAAGAGCACCGGATAGACAGCGACAGTGGGGAGGAGGTCGAAGTCGAAGTCACAGATGATGAGAGTGGAGGAGAAGAGGTAGTCTATGAGGAAGATGCTATTGCTGCGAACCCGGGGAGAGGAACACTTGCTGGAACGAACTACGATGAAGTATCAGCGGAGAAGGAGAGTTCCAAGTTCGAGGGCAGTCAGCAGTATGATTACCAAGGACGGACGTATATGCATGTGCCGCAAGATCTGGATGTCGACTTGGTGGGCGACTTTGAGAACATGAATTTGAAGTGCTATCACCCGAAGAAGTTGGTGCATACCTTCAAACCGGCGAGTGGTGGGAAGAATTCACATGAGAAGGCTCTCACAAGCCTGAAATTCTTCCCATCTTCTGGACACTTACTTCTAAGTGCGGCTGCAGATGGGAAGGTGAAGCTTTGGGATGTTTATCACGATCGCGAACTTCTGCGCTCGTACTCTGGGCACACCAAATCGGTCGTCGATGTGGATTTCTGCCCCGATGGTACGCGATTCCTAACTGCATCGTACGACCGCCAAATGAAAGTTTGGGACACCGAGACAGGGACTTGTCTTGGTCGATACTCAACAGGCAGCACGCCGCACGTCATACGCTGGCAGCCTGATAACAGAACAGGCCAAGAATTCCTGGCTGGTATGCACGACAACAAGATTGTGCAATTTGACACCCGGTTACCGCCTGACGGGGAGAAGAAGAACCCTGTGCAAGAGTACGACCACCATCTAGGACCGGTCAATACTATCACATTCACCGATGAGAACCGCCGTTTCATTACCACATCCGACGACAAGAGCTTACGCGCATGGGAATACAACATTCCCGTGCCCATCAAGTTCATCGCAGAGCCCTACATGTTCCCTATGGTCAAGTCCGCATCTCACCCGACCAAGAGCAGCGTGCTCCTGCAGAGTTCAGACAACACCATCAAGGTTTACAACTCTGGCGAGAAGATTCGTCAGAATCGGAAGAAAGATTTCCGCGGGCATAACAACGCTGGCTATGCGATTGACATTGACGTATCGCCCGACGGAGGCATTGTCTGTTCGGGAGATTCGGGCGGATTCGTCTGCTTCTGGGACTGGAAGACGTGCAAGATGTGGCACAAGATCAAAGCCAGTGACTCCGCGATTATTAGTACTGCGTGGCATCCGAGGGAAAGCTCTAAGGTTGTCACGGGAGATTTGGACGGCGTGGTGAAGTATTGGGATTAGATCGTATCATAAAAGACCTCGCTACCCTGCAAGGCCGTCGCGCGCACCTGTTGCAGAACGTGTTGAGAAAGATGCACGATAAGGTCTTCTGCAATGCTACAGTATCATCAATTAACGGCTGCACGTAAGTTGGTAAGACAACGCACGAAGGATCCACTGCGTGAGGCTGAGCCTCGGGTTTCCCACCAAGGCTCACAGTGACTCATCCTCACTCACAATCCAGCCATAGCCCATCATAAAGCGCCATCTTTCTCCCGCCCATTGAGATTCGTCACTCACATCAGGTCATCCTACGCCTACACTCTCTATTCACACCCGTCTTTCGCGGGCCTCGGCGTACAGAGGCAGCTGATTTAGATCTCATCATCATGGCAGCCGCAAGCGCAACAGCTGTCTGCGTCCGATACCAGCGAACTCGCTGCGTATACCCTTTCGACAGACTGGCAGCAGTTTGTTGAGTTTCTGGAGGGGAATACGACGTCGGCAAATGATCTCACGCTTTTCGATTTGGAAAATACTACTTTGGACACCACTACCATTACTACGACAACTTCGGCTGGAGGTTATGACGCGTCAACGACAATGCCGTCGCTCGACTCCTTGGGTCAACAGAACTATGGACAGTCACCGGCGGCATGGAATGATTCCTCGGACGACACCTCCATGGCCGCATTGACGGAGAGCGCGCCGAATGTCTCACCCAGCTTTTGCGATCAGCATCACCATCATCAGGAAAACGACCAACCTCCGCCTTTCAACGATTCCATTCTCTTTCCTCCATCATCAGCATCGGCCCAATCGACCTCAAGTCTTCCAACACCACGCTCTGGCACCGACACAAAACGCCTCTCTCCTTCGTCTTCCGGAGGAGAACACACTTCTCCGGACAACAAGATTCGCAAACGACAACGCAATACCGAGGCCGCGAGACGTTACCGACAAAGGAAAGTCGACCGGACGACGGAGTTGGAGGAAGCTTTGCAAGCGATGACCAAGGAGAGAGATGAGTTGCAATTGAAATTGGCGAGGAGCCAAGCGGAGGCTGATGTTTTGAGGGGGATGGTGAAAGGCTCATGATGCCCTACACCGGATAGCTTCGTATCACTTACTTAATGACCAAATTCGAGGTCTCATTGACGCGCTTGGTGGGTTGTCATACTCCCTCTCTCCTTCTCTCCCTCCCTGCACGCACGACACTGAGTCTCACCCACCCCGAAACATCGATTGCCGCGCGTTGAAAAGGATAGTTTCAATTCGCACTATATGACATATACTCTCCGAACCACTGAAAACCAATACGCTAACGCCCACCGCCGATCAGTTTCCTGCATTAACTGACGGAGGCTGGTAGGGAAGGGGAACTTAAAGCTTCATAGCCTTTACTTTCCCTTTCCTGCTCCACAGTCGCCGTGACAGCCGCCGTCACCGTGTGGAACGAAAGGCGAAGGTCCACCGAAAGTAGTAGCTGGCATTGTTCTCTTGTTGCTGAGGGTTTGTGGTGAAGTTGGTAGCTTGTGTTCAAGGTGAGGAGGAAGAGAAGAACAAGAAGAAGGAGACTAGGGCAAGATTCTTATATAGCTGGCACTGGACGTGTTCACAAGTACAGGAAATGTGGAAAAGCCTTGGTCGCAGAGCAAGAGCGTACGTCAATCGTGGCGTGTGTCTTGTGACCCTTGATAAAGCAATGGTATCGGTGAACAAGTTTAAACGGGCTCAATGGCATGCCTAATACCTCCATAGCGTAGGTAAGGCAACATGTCCGCGTGAATGACAAGAATGCGAAATCCCGGGTTCTGTTACGCAATTCTCTCGCGGTAGGAGATGAGGCCTTCGGGATTCGTCTGCAGCAGTAGGCAGGCTTTCGAGACCCGTGGAAGAGCATCCAGCGCTGCGCTTCTTGACGAGAGTGAAGCTACGTACAGGAGTTCATGGGCTCGACAAGAGAGCGCTCCAGCTTCAGCTTCATAAACATCATATAGAAGGCTTGAATTGGTTAGTGGTCCGGAGGCCTTCCAGATATTGCCGGTGAATTCGCATGATATGGATCGCAGTGCACCGATGACTCGTCGTTAAGTACTCTTCCTCACTGCTATGCGCATGTTGAAGCAAGCCAAGAGGAGGCGTCTGTGGCCCCAATATATTCCGAGGATCCTTTATCGATGCAGCGGGCGAGAGAGCGAGCGATGCGAAGGGATATCTACAGCCTCCTTTCTCCCGCTCGAAGCAGGGGACTTGAGCGGCTGACACCTAATCTTATACAGCAATGATACTCTCAGCTTCAATGCTCGGCGTCTACTCAGACCATCAGTCGCGTAGTTTGGTGTCCAGACAGATTATTGATGCTGTAGGCGACAGCTTAGTGCGGAAGAGATTCCCGAATACATGTGAAGCTGTCCGAACACAGCTGAGGGTAACTTCCGTTTGTATTTACGACCTGCCAGTGCATTTGAATGAGCCCTGGTAGCTCATGGAAAACTTGTCGTTTTGCCCAATAGCTGGAGGTCGCTGTAGATTTGCTTCTTATGAACCACAATCCGAACCAATCAGGAGATAAGCCTGCTCATCAACACTTCCAATGCTGGTGTCATGACGTCGAAAAAAATATCTGAGCCTGTGCCAGGAAGAGTGCAGCCTTGACGTGGCCGATGGCGAGCTTGTGAAGTTGTGGTGTATTTTAGTTGAACTGGAAGAGGAAACGAAGTTGATGCCCTGGCCTTTTCCGCTGGGATGTCTATGATGGCGGCGGGCAGTGCCGTTCCTTTGACGTCGCAAGCTTGGAGCTTCATTAGACTGCAGCGCTCAGTACCACACACCACACCACCAACACCACTCTCGCCTTCCACACCGGTACTCGACTAGCTGCTAACTCTCCAGAGCAGCTCTCCTCGTACGGCGGCTTTTTCATCGCCGTTGCAGCCGCCATCGAGCTCGAGTAGACCAGCTCCCATTCCCACCTCCCAACCACAACCATGGCAAAAGGCGAACATGTAGACCCGCGGATGATGTCCGTCACGCCGCGCATACGATACAATACCATCGGTGGTGTCAACGGTCCTCTGGTCATTCTCGAGAATGTGAGTGGAGGACGCAAAGAGCTGGTGAAAGATAGGCCACTGAAGCAGTGAAACACAGGTCAAATTCCCACGATTCAACGAGATTGTGTCCCTGACGCTGCCTGATGGCACCGAGCGGTCTGGTCAGGTGCTGGAAGCAAGAGGTGAGCAAAGCACTGCGCATATGAAGATATGAGCGGAACCAGGAGCTGAGACGACGTTTCAGGCAACCGCGCTGTGGTGCAGGTCTTCGAAGGAACATCTGGCATTGATGTCAAGAAGGTATGGCTATAGGACAAATTGGATCCATGCAGAGCACGTCTAATGCCAGGCAGACGAAAGTCGAGTTCACGGGCCACAGTCTGAAGCTCGGCGTATCGGAAGACATGTTGGGTCGTGTCTTCGACGGATCAGGACGAGCCATCGATAAAGGTCCCAAGGTCCTGGCTGAAGACTATCTCGACATTAACGGATCTCCCATCAACCCATACTCGCGAGTGTACCCCGAAGAGATGATCTCCACAGGTATTTCGGCCATCGACACCATGAACTCCATCGCCCGTGGTCAGAAGATTCCCATTTTCTCCGCCGCTGGTCTGCCTCACAACGAAATTGCCGCCCAGATTTGTAGACAAGCAGGTCTCGTGAACCAGCCGACCAAGGGCGTTCATGACGGCCACGAGGAGAACTTCTCTATTGTTTTCGGAGCTATGGGTGTCAACTTGGAAACGTCTCGCTTCTTCACCAAGGACTTCGAAGAGAACGGCAGTATGGAGCGTGTCACGTTGTTCCTGAACCTGGCCAACGACCCTACCATCGAGCGTATCATCACTCCTCGTCTCGCCCTGACCACTGCCGAATACTACGCATACCAACTGGAGAAGCACGTCCTTGTTATCTTGACCGATCTGTCCTCCTACTGCGATGCCCTCCGTGAGGTCTCTGCCGCAAGAGAAGAAGTGCCTGGCCGTCGTGGTTACCCGGGTTACATGTACACTGACTTGTCCACCATCTACGAGCGAGCTGGCCGTGTCGAAGGACGCAACGGCTCTATCACGCAGATTCCCATCTTGACTATGCCAAACGATGGTACGAAGCCACATGTCCACGGCATTAGCTCACTCCGCTGACTTGCGACAGATATCACCCACCCTATTCCCGATCTAACAGGCTACATCACGGAAGGTCAAATCTTTGTCGATCGTGGTCTCGACAACAAAGGAATCTACCCCCCGATCAACGTCCTTCCATCCCTCTCGCGTCTCATGAAATCCGCCATCGGAGAAGGCCACACCCGCAAAGACCATTCCGATGTCTCGAACCAGCTCTATGCTAAATACGCCATCGGTCGAGACGCCGCTTCCATGAAGGCTGTCGTTGGAGAGGAAGCCCTATCCAACGAGGACAAGCTTTCGCTCGAGTTCTTGGAGAAGTTTGAAAAGACATACATTGCACAAGGAGCGTACGAGAAGAGAAGTATCTTTGATGGATTGGACATGGCGTGGGAGCTCCTGAGGATTTACCCCAAGGAGTTGTTGAACCGGATCCCGAAGAAGGTGCTGGACCAGTACTATCAGAGGCAGGGAAAGAAGGGCAACAAGGATGTGCATGATAATGGAGAGCAGAACGGCGAGGAACAGACGCAGCAGAACGGGGAGGCACAGACGCAGCAGAACGGGAAGCAGAGCGAGAACTTGATTGATGCATGAGGAAGTGCATAGCATAAGGTAATGGTGGGTTTCTTGCGATGGAGTGGATAGCAAATTGTTGTTGAGTATACCGGTATGCACAGAGCGCAGCAAAATGGTTCGTACGGGTCATGTCGTGTGTATTGTCAGGATTGAAAGGGGTATATGATTGGTGTCGGTGAAGGAATGGTATCGAATTTATATATATGTACGAAGGCATCGCAACCGTAGCCAGCCTTGACCTACCTTGGAGACCTCCAGCCATCATCCGTGGATCTGCGTTGTCGGGACTGTAGATTCCCAACCGTCAGCGATATGCTTCTTCGAGTATGCAGTGTATAGAGGAAGTGTGAGGTTGTACATGTGGGTCAGACATCCAAGGAAGATTGTGCCCTCATCTGCCGTCTAAATAGGTTCGTAGCGACGGCTCGAGTGAAAACTGCGAATGTGGAAAAGATTTTCATCATCCCCAACGACGCGTGTTGCGCGTAGTTGTGCTGGTTGAAGGAGTTTGTGTGGTGTGTACTGACCTTTTGGTGAGGTGCCTCTCACGCCGTGCACCTATCAATGTGCTGGCGGTGGGAGGCGATGGTTGCCAGCATACATGCAAAGCAGGGCGAACTGTCGAGATCTCTTCTTTTCTTCTTCTCTCTGCCGCCGCGACCGAGTCGCGCGCCGTGCGTATGCAGCAATTGACTTTGGGTGCCTGAAGACCTGAGACGTGCGGATGGCGAAAATTTCCCTCGAAAAGGGATCGAGGCATGTGTCAACGACCTGTCAAGAGCGATAGTCAGCACTCAAGCTCAATCGACTGGTGGATGGAATGCGGGTGCGTGTAGGATGTGGATTGTCAGACAAAGGTTACTGGCAAGTATACATCCGCCCGGCGAAGGGCAGACGAAAAGACTGATTTCCTCAAGGGCGAATCGGCTGGGAAAAGAAGACATATGTTTTCGGTTGTCATCCTTCAAGAGGGCAGGTGAGGGTATGAAGAGGGGGTAAGACTGACCTGGGAGCGTTAGGATGGCGTGGTGGCGAGAGAAGTTGTGGTAGTGGTGGTGGTGGTTGTAGATGTTGTCGCGTGAGAAGATGTTCACGGGCGAAGTCGAAATTTATCGGGTGGATCGGCGACGGGATGCAGGGAAGAGCCGCGAAGCTTACCGTCATCGAATATAGTCGTGGCTCGGAAGCAAGCGAGGGCCCGACAGCTCGGACCGGTAGCTGGAGAGGAAGTCGCGATGGAGTTGCATATCCATTCTCCTGCAGCCCGTGGGGAGTCGCGTCGATCAGAACAATCGCATTCACCGAGGAATACTGCCATACCACAGATACGGCCTCCCAGATGACCTTTACACGGGTCTAGCCGGCCGTGGGGATGGAAATTCGGAGGCTGGTCGATTAAGGTACAGTCTGGGAAACAGTGCCGAGTGAGCCAGGACTAGTTGGCGCAACGCTCCCACTCGCGGACCGGTTTGGGCGCATCTCCCTGATGCTTGGTCTTGGTCCCTCCACTCCACCGCCGACGTCCTCGCTCTACCCTCCGCTGCGCTGCTCCCTCGCCCGCCCTGCCAGCGCACCCCGTCCCCGACTGTTTCCCACCTCACCAACGCCCTGCGCCGCCGAGCCTGACAACCACCTCACTACCGACCATCCTCCCGTCTCTTCCTCCCATCCTCACGCCTTTGCGCAGCCTCCAGAATTCCGCCTACCCCCCCCTCCCCCCCCCCCGGGGACGAGCCCGTTGCAACGCTCCCGTGCGCGCTCTGCTGCCCGGCCTCCCGCTTCGGACTTTTGTCCTTCTACTCCCACGCGTGATTACTTCTTCCACCTCTTGTACTCCGGCCTCTCCTCCCTCCCACTCGCCTTGTCCTCCTTGACCTCGCGCGCGACTCCTCCATAGCCCTTCAACGCTTCATCGACCTTTCCCCGGACGAAACATCCCTCAGCTCACCCACTATCCGGCTAGAGCACGTTGCCCTCTCTCTCTCTCTCCATGTTGCACTCGCGATAGGCGCAACATTGACCTATGCATCGCGTGGGCAGCCTTGAGATAGCTGTTCGACCATCAACCGGCCGGCGGCTTGCCCTCGCGACATCGATATCAACAACTTCGCGCCCCATATCAGCCTCCGCCCGCGCAGCGGCAGTGCTTAGACTGAGGAGCGCAACAAGATGATGGCCGCCTATCAACCCCAGCCCGGAGGCGGAGGGCATCCGGGTCCTATGCATGGCCATCCAGGCATGGTGCCGACGCCGGGGGGACATATGGGACAACCAATGCAGATGCATCCCGGCATGTCTGGCGCACCGCACGTGAGCCAGCCTGGCGCAATGGTTGGTATGCAACCGGGAGCACAGATGGGTCCCGGAGGCATGGGCGGACAACACCACCCGGGCATGGCCATGCAGCATGTGGGTGGTCAGAGTGTACCGGGAGGAATGCCCAGCGCACAGGCCATGAGCCATTTGACACCGCAACAGATGATGCAGCAGCAAATGCAAGCTCAAAGTAAGTTCTGTCCGCAGTGAGTGCAGTGCGCGTATCCCAGAGGATGGCTGCTTGGGTGTCTTGCTAGTGCTGCGCGATGTGGATACGCTCCAGAGCACTGCCTTAAACAAAATGGAAACAGTGACTGATATGGATTTCATAGTACAAGCGCAAGCGAACCCACAACTAGCTCAGCAACAGCACATGATGCGTCTGCGGCAACAACAGATGATGCAGCAAGCCCAGCAAAATGGCATGATGAACATGCAGCATGGCATGCAACTAACACCCCAGCAGATGGCTCAGCTACAACAACATCAGCAGCAGCAGCAGCAACAAGGAGGACAGGGCGTCCAGCTTCCTCAGCATTTGCAAATGCAGCAAATCGCTCTCCAGCAACAGAGAATGCACGCGGCGCAAGTACATCAACAAGCCCAGCAAAATCAGGCCATGCAGCAGCAAATGCAAATGCAGCAACAGCACTCTCAGCAAAGCAATCAAGGTCAGCCGACGCCGCAGAATCCCCAGGGCCAGCCAAACAATCCACAGCAAATGCGACCGCAGTCCAGGATGGCAAACCCGAACGAACAGTCTCAACCCGCACAACAGCAACATCCTCAGCAGGGACAAGGTCAGCAGGGCCAGGCTCAACCTCAGCAGACACCACAGCAAGGACAACAGGGAAATCCGCAACAAGGCCAGCAGCAGGTGACGATGCAACAACGGAATCAGCATATTGCCATGATGCAACACAACCAGCGATTGCAGCAGCAACGCGCTATGGCGCAAGCCCAGGCCCAACAAAACCAAGCGGCGCAGCAAGGAGGCATGTTCATATTGAGATTAATGAGCTTCAACGACCACCTAAGCAACTTCAACGAAACCAACGGAAAGGACATATCGATCTGGCATGAGTTCGTGGAACGGCATTTCGCAAACGAGGGGCGTCTGATTCACAGCTTTGACAACAGCCAAAATCCCGCCGGCAACAGCAGAGGCAAGATCTTCGAAGTCTTACGGCCAACAATAGCGCGATATTTCTGGACATATTTTGATTCTGGTGCGAGCTCCATACGACTGCACACGGAGCGAGCGCGAGAGGTCCCCCATCCCAGTGGTAGCCACCAGGTAGTTTGTCAGCACGCCATCTTCTCCGTGTCGTACCCGAACGGAGCTCGTCTGGAGATGCTCGGCTCGCTGCAAATACTATTTGCCGCTGGCAGTGACTCCATCGAATGCTTACAATTCACGACGACGGGAACGGAGGAGATACTGTCAAGGTCACAAATCGAAAAGGTGCTCAATGAGTGGTCACCGTCAATGCCGACGAAATCGCCCAAGATGGCCAAGAACAAGCTGCCGAAGGCTCAGCAGAAGATGCAGGAAGAGCAGAATCGACTGACAATGGATCACTTTCCCAAGACGCCCAAAGGTACCTTCGGAATTACCTCCAAAGTGCAGCATTTCCTCGAGGTGAGCGACGGGATCCGAAGACCCGACTGATGCATTTGTCTTGGCCAATCGATCTAACGGATATACAGATTGGCGAGACCATGAACCTGATGTCAGACCTGATGTGGTATTCGATTGAGAAGAAGACACGGCCCGAACAAGCATTAGAGTCATTGAATGCACAATACGACTCGCAGAATGGCCAAGCTGGTCAGCAAGGCGGCGGCAATGCGCAGATGAATCTTCCGCCGAACGGAGTGCCGCAGCAGGGCGCGAGAACACCGAGCATGCAGAACATGCAGATGCCCGGTCAGAACGGGCAACAGGGCAAGTTTTCGTCGCCTTCCGTCTCGAACATGAACCTGCCAATGCAAAACGGCATGAGCGGCTCGCCACATCCCGGCAATCTGAGTGCGCCGAACATGAGCATGTCGAATTCCCATACACCTTCACCGCACCTATCGAACATGGCCGCGCCGCACATAATGCCTCAACACAGCCAGCAAGGGACGAATAGCAGCGTCGCCAGCGCCAACACGAGCCCGAATATGAACAACAACAACAAACGGAGACGAAGCACCGTCAAGACCGAAGGTCAAGACGGCGAGGGAGCGGACGGCGGCAATCCGAACGCCAACCGTGTCAAGCCCAGTCCGAGGATGACCAAAAAGGCGAAACCCTGAAGAACATGATGCGCTTCCTATGATACTGGCATTCGCATCGCATTCCGTGGCGGCGTTCTCTGGCTGGCTGGCTGGCGGTTCCCCTTGAACTCTTGGCATTGGTTCGGCATCCTGGTCTGGTCTGGCGTGGCATCTTGCTATCAACTTTTTGCATACCCCCTCATCGAACTCTTGCAGGCCTTGATAAACCTTTTCTCTTACTAGTACTACTACTACCACCGTTACTGTTACAGCGCGGCGTTTTTGTTTTTTCCGTCCGATCGACGAGTACCCACTTGCTTTGCTTGGCTGTTGTGTTGTTGTTGTTGTTGTTGTTGTTGTTGTCGTGTGGACCAAAAGAAGAGAGACCAGCGGGGAGAAAAGTGCCAGGTCTTCGCTTGGCTGGTAATGGCGTCGACATGGAACGACGACGAAGAAAGAAGAAGAAGATGAAGAAGAAGAAAGAAGCAGCAGAGTCTCAGAAACGCAAGGCGCAAGGAAATCGGATGGATGGGGCACGATCAAATGGATGGACCATGGGGAGTTGCTCTCTCTCTCTCTCTCTCTCTCTCTGAACTGAACTCAAGAAGAAGTATAGCGGAGTAGAGTGCAGTGGATAGGGTATGGTATGGTATGGTATGGTATGGTATGGTATAGTCGAGCCGAAATCTGTACGAATATTCTATTACATTATTTGTTCGATGTTGCACTACGTTCCCTGAATCTCACTCACTCACTCTTCTTGGCAGGTTCCGTGCGTCTGTCTGTCTGTCTGTCTGTCTGTCTGTCTGTCTGTCTGTCTGTCTGTCTGTCTGGGAAGGAGGCTGAGATGGGGCCCGTTGACCCCTACTACGTACCTTACCTAAGTAGGGTTATTTATTTTCTTAGGGTTTCTTGGGGTTAGCACACCTTAAACTGCTGGCACTCGCAGAGTTGATTTCCTTGGGAGCAACTTCCATGGACGATATATCTCTCCTGTAGGTCCTGCTTCGACCTCTGCAAGTGTCATTTTGGCTGAGCCCCTATTCTTTGGTAAACGAACCGGTTCTTCCGTGGCCTTGCTCCGTGTCGCGAGACTGCTGCCTTCGCAGCCTGTCGGTGTCTCCACCATGTCAGAAAGGTTCGGGTAAGCTAGTTTGGGAAGACGCCATTAGAAAATAGGGAAAATGACAGGACGATGCTTGGACACCAGAGTGTCAATCTAGGTCTTGTCTGTCTTTATCTGTCTCTAATTTATCTGGGTTGTCGTGCCCATCCCGTGCTATGCATCACTCATCATAATGTCGTCAGGAAGAAATCGCCTAGGTGCCGTACATCATAACCCCAGTACCAAGAATGCAAGCTGCAGGTCCAATGGACGAATGTCCTTTCCATCATGCCTTCCTCACCTACAACTCCCTTTCATTCACGCCATCACCCTGGGAGGCCAACTCCTCCGCCAACTCAGCACTCTCATTACTCTTGATTCGCTGCAGCTGATCCTGCACGTATCGGTTGATCGGGTCATCGGGGTCCTCCGCTCGTCCAGCGTTGGCATCACCGTCTTCCTTGTAGATGGTCCACTGTCGACCAGGCTTGCCATTGTTAAGGGTATCATCACCGTCGGCGTCGTCGGCATCGTCGTCGACTGTGGTTTGATCGTCGCCATTCGTTCCACTCCAGTCACTACGTTGGCCAATGGAACGAGTACGGGTCAACGAGCGCTTCAGGCCTGCGGTCGGAGTACGAGGTCCGAGGGAAGCACGGCGTTGACGGCTAAAGGTATCGTCGAAGTAGTGCGATGCCGCGGCTGAGGGTGATCGAGGCGTTTGTGGAAGGCGGCAGTTGATACTGCGGACTGTCAGCAAAGGCGGTTTTTGGAAACGACGAGGAGGTTACTTACCCAGTGTCCTGTATGATCTTGGCCATGAGACCAGTCCAGCCGCACTGGTGAGTTGCGCCAAGACCACGTCCAGTGTCACCATCGAAGTACTCAAAGAACCACAGATAGTCCTTCCAGTGTGGGTCGAAGTCGAGCATGTCGTTTCCGTCGTGTATGGCGCGTCGGCCGACATGATCACTAGCCATGAGATGCTGTAGTCTGTGCTGGACCTCCTCTGCCACATGGCCCAGATGCATATAGTCGCCGGAGCCAGTGGGGCATTCGACCTTGAAAGTATTGCCGTAGAACATGTAGAAGCGGAGGAGGGACTCGATTAGCAAGAAGTTGACAGCAATCCAGGTTGGTCCACGCCAGTTACTGTTGCCACCGAAAAGGCCGCTGTCTGAATCGCCTGGAACGTAGCTGACGGAGTATCGCTGACCGTTGACGTCCATCGAAACAGGATGATCCTTGTGGTGCTTCGACAGAGAACGAATGCCATAGTCGCTGAGGAACTCGTTCGGATCCAGCATGTATCTCAACATGGAGCGAAGGCGGTCCTCGTTGACCAGAGATAAAAGTAGACGCTCGTCCTTTCCTCGTCTCGTCATGCTGGCGATATTGCGTTCCGACAGGTCGTGCTTGTTCTTCATGAACCATTCGAGTCGTCGCTTGAAGTTGGGCAACTTGTTAATGACTTGCGGTTCAAGCGTGAGCGTCGCATACATCGGGATCAAGCCGACCAGAGAGCGGATTGGCATTTGATGAGACCACGGGCCACCCCATGAGATCGCATCGTAGTAGAAACCGTCTTCATCATTCCACAGGGAGCGCGCTTCGTCACCATGGCGATACTGCATGGCGTCAGAGATGAGGACAAAGTGCTCAAAGAACTTGGTCGCAATGTCTTCGTAGATGCGGCGATGTTTGGCGAGTTCGAGGGCAATGTTGAGCATGCTCAAGCAGTAAAAGGCCATCCAGCCCGTCGCATCGGCCTGTTCTAGTGTACCACCAGTGGGCAGTGGGTCTGACCGGTTGAAGAGGCCAATGTTGTCGAGACCGAGAAAACCACCCTCGAAAACATTCTTGCCCTCGGCATCTTTTCGGTTGCACCACCATGTGAAGTTCATGAGCAGCTTCTGAAAGACACGCTCCAGGAAGTCAAGATCTTCACGACCATACATCTTGCGCTCAATCTTGAACGTACGGAAAGTCGACCAGGCATGTACGGGCGGGTTGACATCGCCAAAGTTCCATTCATAGGCAGGCAACTGTCCGTTGGGATGCATGTACCACTCTCTTGTAAACAGGTCGAGTTGCTTCTTGGCGAAGTCTGGGTCGATCATGGCGATCGGAATGCAGTGGAAGGCACTATCCCAAGCGGCGAAGAACGGATACTCCCAGGAGTCAGGCATGGACAGAATATCATCCAGATGCATGTGCTTCCATTGGGCGTTTCGTACGTGTTTCCGTTCCGGTGGTGGAGGGGGCATGGCCGGATCACCGTTTGCCCACTGATCCCAGACGAAGTGATAGTATTGTTTGCACCACATCATACCCGACAGTGCCTGACGCTGAATGTTGCGGAGGTCGTCGGACACTGGCATCGGATTGACTTTGTAGTAGAACTCATCGGCTTCAGCAAGACGCTGTTCCATGACGTTGTCGAACTTCTCCTCGTCGAGGTAGCCATCGTTTTGCTTGGTGGAGATTCGCATACGGACGACGGCACACTCGCCAGGAGGCACACCTTGGTTTTGATCAAATGCGTACCAAGCCGCGCTTTTGGTTCCAGTCTTCTGAGGATTGACGGCCTTCTTGTCTCCATGAACGATGCGCTCATGGAACGCGTCCTTGACATATTGTGTCTTGTTGGATTTGGAGCCCCAAAGCTTGACGTAGTTGGTGTCATTGTCAGTGAAGAGGAACTCCGGCTCGATGTCGGACTCCGCTCCACAGCTGTTTGGAGAAGGAGAGCACTGGAAGTAGCGCTGGCCAAGCTCTCGATGCTTAATCGAAGCGCTGAGATTGTCCGTCTGCTTGATCGTGGGCTTGTACGAGTCGTAACCCCAAGCCCATGTGTTGCGGAACCACACATGAGGCAAGATGTGCAGTTTTGCCGGTTCTGATCCCCTGTTGTATGCCGTGACACGGAACAGCAGCTCGTCTGGGTCGTCCTGTTCCTTGGCGGTCTCAATGAAGATATCCCAGTATTTGTTGTGGTTGAAGATACCGGTGTCCACGAGGTTGTACTCTCGCTCTTGCCGTGACCGTCTGGCGTTCTCTTTGATCAAATCTTCGTATGGAAAAGCACACTGAGGTAGCTTGTAGAGGAATTTCATGTACGAATGGGTGGGTGTGTTGTCGAGGTGAAAGTGGCACTCCTTGATCGACTCGCCGTGCACACCTTGGGGATTCGAGAGACCGAAGAGGCGCTCCTTGAGGTGAGGACTGCAAGCAAATCAGTGACTGAGCAGCAGTTCAAGGATGTGACAAAGGCTCACTCTTTCTCGTTCCAGAAGGCAAAGGCAATGTTCATGCGACCGTGAGTGTCCGAGACACCAGCAATGCCGTCTTCGCCCCAGCGAAAGGCCCGAGAGCGAGCCATGTCGTAAGTGAAGGAGCTCCATGCGTTGCCATCGGCACTGAAGTCCATGTCAGCGACTGTATGCCTATCACCACGGTTTAAATGGGAGCCTCACGAGTAATCCTCACGGACAGTGGCCCATTGCCGTTCTGCGGTATATGGTCCCCATTTCTTCCAGTACTTGACACGATCACGGTCCTCCTTCAGTCTCTGCTCTTCCGCGCTGGTAACTTCTCTGCCGTCGGCGATGACCATCTTGACGGTCTCGTGTGGTTGTCGATTGGGTGGTGCTCAAGCGGAGCTGGCTGCGAGCTCGCTGGTTGAGAGGCGGACAGACTCCCGAGCCTGCGAGATTCGCCGGATATGGTTCAATCGGTTGATGGGTGGAGAGGCAGGTGTTTGTCGGGATGAACAACAATGAGGAATCGAACAGCAAGACAAGGCGTGAGCGATGGGGTATGGTACAAGAGCTGGTGAAGATGTTGCGGTATGAATGGGATGGGATGTATTGGAGGAGGGGTATGGGAGACAGGATGAAAGCGATGGTGGTGTTTACAAGAAACCAAGATGAGGTCCTCCCACCGCAGGAGCACAAGAGCAAGAGCGAGAAAGGACTCTGGAGGCTCTTTCTTTCCCGGGCCATGCGATTTTCAGGCACGTCCCTGCCACTGTGAGCCTGCATGGCATGGCATCACGCTTGCCCCAATCCGCACCTCAACCATTCCGGGAGGAGCTATCTCACTTCAGATCTCGTGTGACCGCCACCCCCGGGCATCTTCCATAAGGTACTCCATCTTCCTCTTCACAGGCGCGCTTGAATTCGGTGCCATTTCATCTGCCTGCACAAGTGCAGCTTGGTCTTCTCCGTCGCTATGGATGTCTGTCGGAGATGCGCCGGCCAGACGCATTCACTTAGCCCACCGCGGGGCCCCGAATTGGGGTTGCTATCGCCGCGCCGAGGATCCACTCTGCAGGTGCTGTTGGGCAATGGCATCCCGTCCCGGTCTGAGCTCCGCCTGTCCACGCAACTGGAAGTTTGTGACCTCCACCGTCTTCCAAGTTCCTTCAGCAAACGGACCGAGCCGTGGGCTGGCCCCAGACACATACTGTACATGTACTGTAATAGAGACTGCGACTGCCAATCTACTTTCCGATATCGAGAGCACCTCCATCTACTTACATCTACATCTATCCGCCGGCAAGATGCACCTTCGCCGGCTGTGCATCCGCCGCCTCACTGGCAACACCGTTGACACTGCCCTGTACGGAGGTTGTCCCTTGTTGCTTCTCCCAGTGGTACCTCTCCGCTTGCTCGATGCACCTCATGCTTCCCAAGGATTTGTTGATCGTCTCCTCGTACTCTTCTCCCTCGTCACTGTCAAACACAATTCCGCCTCCAGCTTGAATGTACGCCACCCCGTCTTTGGTCAACATGGTCCGCAACGCGATACACAAATCCATTGCACCTTCGCCTTCCTGCCCATTCGAAGGGTCGATGCTGTTGTATCCAAAGTACCCAACAGCGCCAGCGTAGATGCCTCGCTTTTCGCCCTCAAGCTCAGCGATCAATTCCATAGCCTTCACCTTGGGCGCGCCAGATACAGTGCCGGCGGGGAAGATTGAACGGAAGGCGTCGAAGCGAGTCTTGCCAGGCCGCAGCACGCCCGACACTTCGGACACCAGATGCTGCACGTGGCTGAACTTCTGCACAATCATGAGCTTGTCCACACGAGTGGAGAGTGGATCGCAAACGCGATTCACGTCGTTTCGAGCCAGATCGACCAGCATGACATGCTCCGCTCGATCCTTGATACTGGCATGCAGAGTGTCGGCCAGCTTCTGGTCCTCCTCTGGTGATGCGCCTCGCTTGATGGTTCCGGCAATGGGGTGAGTGATGATTCTGCCGGCATCCTCCTTTACCAGTACTTCCGGGCTGGCTCCAACAATTTGGAAGTCCTCGCATTCCAGATAGAAGAGATATGGCGATGGGTTGACCTTGCGCAGATGCCTGTAGATGTTGAAAGGGTGGAGACTTGTGGGGCGCGCAATCCGCTGCGATGGGACAGCTTGGATGATGTCTCCCTTGACAATGTGCTTCTTCAGCCGCGTCACATGCGCTTCGTATCCTTTCCGACCGATGTTACTCGCATACTCTTGCTCGAGCTTGATCGGCCCTTGAGGTGGCAGAGGCAGGTCCTGACTCTCTAATACGCGCACCAAATCCTCTATCTTCTGCTTGCCATCATCGTACGCCCTCTGCAACGCATCTTTCCCGGCTTGTTCTCCCGGCACATGCAGGTATGTGATGACAATCGTCTTCTGCGAGAAATGGTCGAGAGCGACCACAGTATCGTAGAGCATGAACAAGCTCTCCGGCAGCTCCAACACATCTTTCATCTCTCGCTTGGTCTTGGGCTCAAAGTACTTGACGCAGTCATATCCCACGTAGCCAATGGCTCCTGCAGTCAACGGTGGCAGGCGGAGAGACGGAATGTTGGCGACGCGGTATTGGGACAGCTCCCTGTCAAGTTGCGGGAGAGGATCTGCTTCGAGGCCATGCCTGGGACCGGAGAGCAGCGTCTTGCGTGGGTTGGCGCCCACGAAGCTATATCGTCCGATGGTCTGTGAGGGGGATGCGGACTCGAAGAGAAACGACAGTCTCGATCCAGCACTGGGAAATGGTTAGTGGACTGCAAGATCCAAGTCTGGCGGTGAGATGTCTTACGCGACTTTGAGGTATACCGAAGCAGGCGTCAGGAACTCCGAGGGTGTCTCAATGCAGAGGGGTATGAGATTGGGCGCATGGGGCCAGTCTCTGGTCTTCTCAACTATGGATTGAATATCTTCGAGAGATGGTCGGACCACCTAGAGGCCACATATCAGTCATGGCACCGAGTGATCTCCCCCTTCGGACTCACATTGGTTGCCATCTTTGCGGGAGGGTTACGGCACCGGCCTAGGCGACGTCAGAAACACAAATGAGCTCACCGAGAGCAGCATGTGCACTGACTAGAAGCCAGCTTGCGTGGGAAGAAAGAAGGAGCCGAGATGGTTAGTGTGACTGGAAGAGAGGAATCTCACTGTCAGAGCGAATGGCTCCGAGAGTTCGGGACGTTCGGGAGGCACCGACTTCCGAACCTGGGAGCGGACTCGTCTCCGCTGTCTAACGTCGCGGTGGTGAACTGGTTCAACGTTGATGCCTCGAGGTCTACCTGTGCTACTGTTTCACCCATCGTAGCAGAGAGGAACGGCGGGAGGCTTTTCTGCATATGCCCGGCCTCCAAATCACAGGACGCGACCTCACTTTCGACGTAGTCCGGCGACAAGGCAGGCGTTTCACATGGCTTATTATACGAGGATGTGATTTGGATGCCAATGCGTCGGCGTAGTTGTGATCCCGCCCGCCGTGACATGAAACGGAGCGGTCGGCGCAGAAAAATTCTGGGTTGGCTAGCGGGCCAGTCGGGCGGGCGCAGGAAAATGCCGTGTGTGCGTGGGCGTGGACGTGTGGCCGTGGGCGTGAGCGTGAGCGGGAAACGGCTTTCGTGCGCAATTCTGCGTCAGCCAGCCGAAACTCTCTTTCCCAGCCCACCACCTCATCGCCCACTGCCGCACAGAGAGGTTGCGCTGTGAGTGGCAGGGAACTCGACGGGCACGGGACTTGGAAAGCTTGGATAGCAGACGTTGCATTGCGTATTCCCCGCTGCAGCTCGTCCTCCCAGCGCGGCCATGTCGCCGTCGAGTACACCGCACCACACCTCCTCACTGCCCCCGTGGCACTTCCCCTTTGGCCCTTCCTCGCGCTTCCACGAGCGCGAGAAGGTCCGTCCCCAGCACTCGCGCTTCAAGAGCGCATACACCCCCACCGCCCCGGTGTTGTCGACCGAGGCCCGCGCCCACCGCCGAGCCCACACCAACAAGAAGAGCATCAGCAGCATCTCGAGCACCTCCAGCCCGTCCGCGAGCGAATACTCGCGCAGCCCGCTCTCCCGCTTCTCCAGCTCCAGCTCCGGCAAGATGCCGAACTACAGATACGTGAATGTGGTGGAGCAGCCGACCACACCCGCCAAAACCTCACGTCGCGCATCTTCCCTCCAAAACTCACCTTTCTCCGACTACTTCACCGACGACGCCCGCAGCATCGACAGCACAGTTCCCTCCACCGAGACCAAACAACTTCTCGTCAGGATGAACAGACTGCAGTCGCAACTCATGCGCGACCAGTCCGAGACGGGTCGCGAGGCCATCAAAATGGTCGGGAAGACTCTGGATACTCTGGAGAGGGATCTGGCAGCGCTGTACACCCAGTCGCGCGCGCCGTTCGGAGTGGACGAGAGCGTGGAAGACTCGGCAGTCTTCATGGACGAGGAAGAGCCCGAGAGCAAGGCCGCTCTTGCGCCCACTACCAATGTACAAGTTGTTTCGGAGCCGTACATGCATGGACTGAATCGCGGCAGCGTGGAAGAGCCGCCAGAGCCAGTCACCATTCAGCAGTACAAGGCCGAGCGCGACTGGTTTGTCCTCAACATGCAAGACACCCTCGAGCGGCTTCGGCATGCGCATACTGAACTCGGCCAGCGCTACACCGAAGTGCGCGAGGTCAACGAGTACAACATCGCGCAGATTGAAGAGCACGAGGCTCAGTTGGAGCAACTGCGAATGGAGAACGAAGGGCTGCGGAGCGACTTGGGCTTCGAGTATAGCGAACTGCTGTTTCTTAAGCTGCAGATGAAGTCGATGGAAGTGGATGTCGACGCCATGGGTGAGGATATGGGGATCTCCGCAACAAGCGCCGCCGGCTCCGGAAGACAAAGCAAGAAGAATCGCATTCTGTCAGAGATGGATCGCTGGCGGTCTGACTGGCAAGACGTCTACGGCAGATTCAAGCGGCGGAGGAGCAAGTACGGAGTATCTCCGGATCGGCGCGACAGCGTTTCCAGCGCCGGCACTCAGGACATCCCCGGAAGTGGCGAAGGAGTCGAATGGCATCTGGAAACCGTAAAGGAAGGCCTCGGACGAGTAACAAGCCTGACTATCCGAAGAATGGATGGCAGTTGTGAATCTATTCCCGCCGAGGCAAAGTCAGCAGACGACCTGGCAGGCTCAGAGGAATTCACGCCGCTCCAGGACTCAATCGCCACTCTATCACCTTCATCACAGCAACCAAAAGACCTAGATGGTCAACCCCAACAAACAATTACGCAAGGTCCCAGCGAGCCACAAATCGCAAACCAGAAATCTCACATCTACACTTACGCGGAGCAAGGAACCCAGACCGATCCACTCCGATTAGTACTATCGCAGGACGAGGAGAAAGAGGAGGAACAAGAGGAAATCTACGAAGATGAAGATGAAGAAACTCCCAACGCAGCAGACACTACTACAATATTTCCTTACAACAGCAGCACCCCTCAATCCCCACTCCCCAACCCAGCCGACGAACCAGGCCTCTCCGACGAGGAAGAAGAGGAAGAAGAAGAAGCAGAGGAAGACGACAACGACAGCGACTGCGCCATCACCACTTCCTCTTCCTCCGAAGCCGACGATCTCGACCGCGAATACGACTCCGAAGACGCCATTGACGTCGAGGAAGCCGACGAAGACGAAGGCACGATCCTCGGCGAGAGCGTCACCAGCATGAAACCTCCCAAGACCGCTTGGCAGGAACTCTGGGACTCCTTGGCGAACCTCTCCGGCATGGGTGAGGAGGATGAGGATTGAGAAAGAAACAACAAACATTCCCACCACCACCACCACCACTACCACCACTATTACCGACCGACTAGACTGGCTGAATTTTTTTCCTCTTTTTTTGTTTGAAATTGTGGATACTTCGATTCGACCTCATACCCCCTTATTTTGGGCAGTGCTGCCCTGCCTTTTTTCGCGCTTTACTTCTTTGTACGTTAAATTTCAAAACCTGGAACACTTTGCTGTGCGGTCTGGGGAATGGAATGGAAGGATTTTCATCTCTTGTCAAGGGTAGATAGATAGCGCTTAATCTCTTGGAATCTGGAATGGGTTCTTTTTTGGATCAAGTTTTCATTGTCTGCTCTTCGAGGCTTTGCTCGTTCATGCTATGTATGCTACGGTACAGGCCGGTGCGGGCTTTGCCGCTTGATCAGATGCTTTGACTGTCTCAGTCAATGAAGGCCCTCGCTGGCCGAGTTAATGCTGAATCGCAGTCTCCGCCGCATCACCAACTGCTCATGCCGGACGGGAGAGGTGTGGGCCGGCTTTGCGGCGTAGTCGTGGTGATGACAGTGTAGATTCAGTCCGAGTCCGAGTCAGAGTCGGCGATCTCGCATTCGTCAATGTCCTGCTCGGGCTTGCTGGGTTTGCTGGGCTTCCGGACTGGCTGCGGGCTGCATCAGTGTTGTGTCAATCTTTGACTTGCATCGAGTGGTTGACTTACTGCTTTCGGTGCCTTCGCCCACCGCTTAGACCCAGGGACGTTCGTGACGGTGGCCGTGGCGCGACGCGCGGTGCTCGCAACCGAGACCGTGGTGGACGGGCCAGCGGTAGAGGTCGAAACGGTGTTGTAAGACTCGCTTGGAGCAGTGCTGAGGCGAACGCCGCCGGTGCTGCCGCTCGTACTCTTGAGATAGGTGCCCGCGCCGCTTGCCGTGGGGTTGAAGGCCGTGGAGCCACTCTCGATGTCCTAAACATCGGTTAGCACAGTTGAGCGGAAAGTGTAGAGCATCACGGTCTTACGGTGTCGATAAGGTAAGGCTCGTCGTCTGAAGCATCTGAGGAATCTTCACTGTCGTCCCCGGCGTCACTGTCATCAGCGTCTGGTTCGTAGTTGAGGCGCTTCTGCATGCACTTCTCACAGACCTGCAGCATTGTTAGCTTGACTCAGCACGACCACGGTGAGGTGACACAAACCGCATCGTCCTTCTTGCGCTGAGTCTTGTTGAATGCCGTGATGGCCTTTGTCACGTCGCAGACGGAGCATTCACGCTCGTACGCTTGCTGGCCAGTGCAGCCGATGCAAGCGATGTACTCGACAAGGGTGGGGTCGAAAGACTCCTTTTTGGTCGCGCTACTTCGCATCTTGTCGACCAAGTCGTTCTGCCGCTTGTTGGAAAACGCGTCCTTGTTCTTCACCTTCTTGCAGCTATTGCACTTGATCCTGTGAAGCTTGTCAGGAAAAGTCCCACCAATAAAGCAGTTAGGATGTCGTAGGAGATGCACTCACTCGGTCGGGACTGGGACATTCTTCATCGTGTTCCATCCTGCTCCTCCGCCGTTGCGCTTGTAGACAGCGCCTGGTGCCATTGTGAGTGCTGATGTTGCTTGAGCCGAGTCAATCTTTGCGGGGGCGTGTGCGCTTGTTGGTGTTGATATGTTGTGTTGATGTTGATGGTTGGTGGTTGGCAGTGGGAAACAGTCGCAGTCGAAGAGAGAATCCGAGTTTCAGGTTTGTATCTAAATGAAAGCACGAGTGAGGTCTGTGCGGCGATTCGCGACTGCACGCGTTTATGGTCGTCAGATGTGGAAGCCTCGACCGAAGTGGAAGGCACGAGTGAGGGCCTGTGTTGGCTTCGTTTGCTGGCAGCTGAAAGTCTAGGTCCGGGTGCCGATTGCGGGATTAAGGCTGCTCATGAGTTGAGGCATCCATGTTACGGCCTTGCAGCAGTTTCTGTGAAGCTTGTGAAACACCAGCAATTTGCATGTGATACTCGCCAATACGCTGGCCTCAGGCAGCAATCGAGTGTGACATGAGATGGGAACTTTGGACTTCGTATGATGAGCATTTTAGAGGTGAGAGGAGCTGATACAGAGGTCTTCCGTTGACCCAACCCTAATGCAAGCAAGAAGAAACAATGCTGAAGCGAACTATCGTGAGCTCGCTGAAACCCCGTCCCGTTGTTGCACGCCGTCGCAAACTCAGGACAGGAATCTAAGGTCGGTGTATGTAGTGTTGTTACAATTTCGAGGTCGGAGGTGGATTAGAGCTTAAGATTGCCACCATTGGGTGGCTACTGTTGGTCGTTTACTTCGTCTCGTCCCGGAGGAAGGTGATCAGGTCATTCCTGTCCTTGCCCTTCTTGAGACCGCCGAACGCCATCTTGGTGCCTGGGATGTACTTCTTTGGGTTCTCGAGGTATTCAAACTGTTGCCATTGTCAGCTGGCATTCCCACAAATGCTCTCCATTGTGTTGCCTACCAGAGTGCTCTCCTCCCAGGTGATACCCTTCTGCTTGTTGGCGTCAGAGTACGAGAAACCCTCGACCTGACCAGTCTGACGACCGAAAAGCCCGTGAAGGTTAGGGCCGATCTTGTTGCCCTCACCTTCCTTCAAGTTGTGGCACTGTGCGCATCTTGTCTGTTCCCCAAGTCAGCCGCCGCTCCTGCTATCGGACCGTTCCAGTCGAACGTCGAGCATCGGCGCTCGGCTCAGGATTCGTGATGCGTACCTTGAAAAGGTTGGCGCCCTTCTTGGCGTCACCTAGACTACGTCAGTATGAATCCCAATCTAAGTAGCGTGCAACAGGCCCAAAGGGAGGATCTCGGCGGGAGCGCAGAGGCATCGTATCTCGCGCCCTGAGAGCGCAGACGCCAACGAAGACATGAGAGCAGTGCCTAACGGGCTCGATGCTGACGAGATCCTCGCGCATCGCCTAAGAGACTCCTGCAGGATGATGTCGCTGATGGGGGGGCGATGAAGACATACCGTCCTTGAACTCGTCCTTGCCCATTGTGTCTGGAGTATATGGAGTACTGGAGACTGCGATTGAATCCGCTGTTGGTGGCGTGGGATGGAAGTGGTAGGTAGGATGCTGGAACCGGAGATGGAGGAAAGGGAGCGGAAGAAAAATGTTGGAGAGTGATGAGATGTTCCCGGCGGCTTTATGGACCTCGCTTAATGGGCCAGTCAGGGCTCATGTTTATTCATTTTCGGACGGCGACTACGGCTCGCTCGCTCTCTCCCGATTTACTCCGACGCTTCATTGCAATCTCGACGTCAACATCGCTTCCCTGTGGCTGTGGCAACCGCTTCTTGTTCTGCCGCCCACTTCTTGTCCATCACAGCCACAGGCCACCAGGACAACGATTCCGCCTTGTCGACCGTGCCGCATCCGTTGCCGCGAGAGCTCCGGACAGCTCCATGTGGCACCAGCATCGTCAGTATCGTGAACTCAATCTGGCTTCTGGAAATGTATGACGCCACTAGCCGGTCGACACCTCAGCGCTCCAGACTCTGGACGCGTGATGGAAGAACAATACCGAATCCAAAAGTCGCGCCGGGTTTGGACTCGCATATGATCATGTCGGCCTTACAATTATGCCAAGCACCTACGAGGACAGAACGTTCATCCTCCCAGCGCATATCAAACCTATTGACGGTGAGTGGAGGCGCTCCTCAAGCACCGCCACCTGTCAGTGAAGCCGCGTGACGACCACAAGGCAAGTTTCATACAGAATACAATGATAGCATCTGCACAGAGCAGACTGAAGAATACTATTGCCAACCTCTTTCGAAGGTCTGGCTGTCCACGGAGACTTCGACATATATCCCATTTAAAAGAACGTCGACGTTTGGGATTCCACCTGTCATTGACTGAAAGCTCTCATGCCCTGGTGCTCCACTCACCACTCCAGCAAGGTCACATCACGTGCGTCTCGCTCTTTGTTTGCAGGCCGGATGGTGGTCTTCCACCCACAGACCTGTTGATCCGAACGAAGGATGCTGTGGTTATTTCGGAAATCAGTGGGGGGAGACATGCTGTGGTGCCAAATCCTGCAAGAACCGAGGGGGAATCTTTCGAGCCAGTGCATTCCCATGATATTCTCAAATTGACGTCCCAACGCAAAATCTCATCCCCTCGTTGACGAGATGATCTACAGACCGTGGAGGCAGCATTTTCCACTTTGCGAGACGCATGAAATCTTCCATTAGTGACCAAATATCCAAAAAGAGCTTTCGGGGCGCTCCGAACAGCTATATCTTCTGCCGTCCTAGAAGCAATCTGACCCCATCAGATCTATCGAGGCCCGTTGCGACTCGAACCTCGTCAATTCAATCACCAAATGACAGCACCCAAGACTTGGGCAATCATAGGCGCCTCCCGGGGTATCGGCAAGGAATTTGTTGACCAGCTGCTTGCGCGAGGCGACCAAGTCATCGCGACAGTCAGGGAGCCAAGTCTAGCGCAATCCAGCGCGGATTGGCAAGGTCAGGAGCGATGTTCGATCTACACCTGTGATATGCTAAGTGAACAGAGCATTGATGTATAAATTCATCCTTCTCTGACTTGCGTTGCTTAGGCTGGCTGGCTGGCTGGCTAATTCTTGGATAGGACTTGGCTCAGCAGTTGCTCGAAGACTCTACAACACGGATCGACTATTTGGTCTTGAACGCTGGCGTGTTGAAGTATCCGAACGTAGCTCCCACAACCACTCTGAGTTCATGATAAGTACTAACTGTTTCCCAGCGAGCAACGGAAATCTCCTATGATGACTTCACCTTCCACCTCCAAACCAACACCATCGGACCCATCATCTGCGCTCAAAGACTTCTCAAGAGTAACATCTCCATTGACACCATCACTTTCATCTCCAGTGATTCCGGGTCCGCCCAGAAATTTCGGGAAATGGAAGATGGGTTCGCGGCTTATGCCGCATCAAAGGCTGCGTTGAATCAAATGCTCCGCCATATGGCAGCGGAGTTGAAACGTAAAGGAAGCAGAACGACTGTGATTGCTCTTCATCCTGGTGAGGTCAAAACAGACATGGCAGATGTGGATCTCGGCTGGGATGTGGAGGGCCAGATGACGCCTACGGAAAGCGTTTCTGCGTGTATTGCTGTGGTTGAGAGCAAGACGCCCGAAGATAGTGGTACGTTCTGGACTTGGGAGAATGAGGTATGTCGGTCTGATGTGAGTATTCGTCTCCGGCCGTGCTGACTTTGAGTAGCGTTATCCTTGGTGATTGCCTTGCTTCCTGAGCGGACGTGTGATTGACAGCTCGAAGAGACATGGAGTCAGGAGGACAGGTGGAGGAAAGGAGCAAGTCAAATATTTTATGCCGAGCTTTTGAGGTCAAAAGCCGGTGCTACCGAGACCTGCTGTACCCCTGTCGTACGAGATCTTGTACTGTCTATCCCCAGCAGCGTCAATCGATCGTTTCATGGTCAAAAGAATGGACCTTGCAAAGTGAGAGCACGCCCAAGCAGCAACAACCGTTGTGCGCTGAAAGATCCGTGGCGAATGCCTCCATACTGACCTAAATGCGAAATCATCACGTCACCTTGGTTGACCTGCCTCTGCATCACGTCTCCCATATCAACGGCGACCCGAATCCCTCTGAGCACCAAGCTACGCTCATCGTGCGTTCCTCAATCCCAGCAAACCTTCCGCCACTCGGCCTTTCACGATACTACTAGTGAGCTCCTGCTCGTCTGATCGATTGATCCTCGGACTTCTTGGAGTCGTCGGTGGAAGGCCTTGAGGCAGTTTCTCCGGCAAGCCAGCGGGAGGGGAGCTCGGTATGTTTTTTCCGTACGCCAGCCGGCTGATGTATGGCGTCGGGCGTAGAATTGGTGCGGATAGGAGACTCGGCATCAGGGCCGGTGCTTGTTGGACCATCCTTCGCTTCCAGTCTTGCACAAGATCGATGGTTGTGTCGGGCTCTTTGGTCTGCGTGGCCTGTACGGGAGATGACTTGGGATCTTCCAGTTCCGAGAAGGGGACGTTGATCTGATTTGTTTGAACCTTGTACATTGCCACTCTCAAGCGAAGCTTCAGTAGCTCTGCGTGCGAAGGCTCATGGACCACCGGTCCCGAATTCTGGTCGGTTGTTGGCGCCGTCTGTGATGATGGATCGTAATTGATCAAGGATGAGAACGATCTGCGCTCCGCTGATGAGGCGTCCTGGTCTTCTTCCTTGAGCGAGGAAGCTGGAGTATTTGGCTCTGTGGGAGCAGCATGTTGAATCTTTGGTACAGCGGTCTGCAGGAAGCATTAATAAACATCATGTCCACGACATCCCTCCACTCACTTCTTGCACCGGCATCGGCTGGATCACGCTTCTGTCGGCATTGCTAGTCCTGCTGCCGTTTTCTTCGGTAGGTGTCGAGACCTGACTGAGCGGACTCTCCCAAGAGTGCTTCCTTTTCTTTAGGTAGAGAAAGCCGTCATCCCCTTCCATTGCTGCCGTGAAGTTCCGCTTGAGTGGACTGCCGAACAATGACTTGTCCATAGGGACATGAGATTGGACAGCCCGCCGTACATTGGGAGACTTTTCTCCCAGCACAGGACGTGACATGTCGTTTGCTTTGGAGAGAGCATCTGCAGGCGAGGCTGCATTCGCATCCGAATTGTTAGACATGCTGCATGAACGCGTCTCGATCGCGTCGTGTGGACCGAATTCCCAGGACGCGGCAGGCTGGAAGCTTCTTCCGGCAAGTATGTCAATCACGGATGATCAAAGGTGGAAAGGAGTATAGGAATATGAAGTTAGTGTATCTTGATTGTTGTTGACGGAGTGTCGCGTGTTTGGGAAGGTTGATGTGGACATTGGCATTGGCTGGACCACTACCCAGAGACCGAAACCGAAACCGATATAGATCCGAGCTTCGATGCCCTGTGCCGTCCAACTCCTTCCTCCCTAATCACAATAGTCCTTCAGAACCCTTTTCGTGTATGCGAAAGACTTCACATAGCGAAGCGCACAAGTCATACCGAGACTGCCTCCGAGAAGTCTACTGGAAACAGATTGCAGGCCGCGGACCAATTCTTCCAAGCACCACGGATACCACTCGTTAACACGCTTTTGCAAGCTCATGGTATGCATAGGGCTGTGCGTATGACACTTACGCTCACAGAGTGGAGCCGGTCGAGCAGAGGTGGTATATAGTCTCTTCTTCCTTCCTTCGATAATGCAGCACTTTGTCCGCACCGTCACATCCACAGCTCTTTCAAGATGCTATTCATTCTGAGCGTGCTTTTGGAAGCGCTTCCACAGCACTGGCTTCAGCAGCGACACCACACGAATGGCGAGGGAGATCAGTAAGACAATCCTGACCGATTGATTCGCACGGACAGATGGCAATACTAGTGCCTCGTGCAACGTTGCCCCGAATGAATACTGTGGCGGCACCTGAAAGGGCATTGAAAACAACCTGGACTGCATTCAGTACTTCTCCTCCTCCAACCCAACCTTCTACTATTCCGTTTCTCCCCCATGCAGAATCTCGCATACACCTTGTATCAGAATCGTAACATGAGCATCGACAGCAATCCTTATGAGCCCTTCCTAGAGGACCACGAAAATCCATAGGTAGCGTGGCAAGATCCCGACATTACCGTTGCAGCCAATGCAATCGCCGGGACAATCCTCACGGACGGGAATCCAATCCTTTGTCAAGGTCAAGAATAACACTTGGACGGAGCAGACGATCCGGGTTGCAGGGAGAAGCGATGTGGTTGGAAGATCATACTTTCGCTCTTCTGGTGCATACCACGACCTATTTGAATCAGATCCGATAGTAGATCGTGCAGCATATGTTTCTTCCATTCACACTTCCTGACTGTGAAGCTAATATGAGGCGTTCTTTAGACTCTGATTTTTATACTGCCAACCCCCAAGACAACATCGCCGAACTACCAAGATGACCAAATGTTTTTGTGGAAGGACCTCGTACGCTCTGTTCTTAGTTTTGCTGGAGAGAGTCAGTCATGCGACGTTCGGCGCAAGCTTCACAGCTGGAGCTGAGGTCGTGGATTTTTTAAGTTGCGAGAGACACTGTGCAACTGATTCTGGAGAAGTGACAGCTAATATAGTCCGAGGCAATCCCGTCGTCATGTCAGAGAAGGCTTTCGTTGCGGAAAGTGGAATGTGCAGAAGGTAGCCATTTTTGGATTCCAAACAGCTATATGAGGACTGGGAGCGCTGCCGAAACCCTTTCATAATGCGCTTGCATCCCCATCAGAACGCCGTTTCTCATGATCTCACAAAATACGCCAACTCGGGACCTACTAGTACTCCTGAGCTGGGGGTGCGTCCTCGCCTCCTTCCTCTGGCTGCTGCTGAGCATATTGCTGAGCTTGCTGAGCAGCCTTGGCACCGTAGTCTTGCGAGCTTGGTGCGAGGATGGGTTGCTCCTCCTTTGGCTCGATGATGGTGACAGAGTCTGGAAGACCCTTGCCGCCAGCCTTCTCGCCGGCTGGGTCGTTGGGCGAAGAGGAGGCGCGCATGATCTTGACCTTGATACCGAGCACACCTTGTCGGAGGAGGACGTGGCGGGTTGCGGAGTCGATGAAATCCTTGGCTGGTTGACCAGAGTGAATCATGAAGCCATCAGTGAACTTCATCGATTTGGCACGTGCAGCGCGTAGCTTGCCGGAGACGACAACCTCGCAACCCTTGGCACCAGACTCCATGATGAAGCTAGAAATTCGTCAGAAATTGCACTAAGGGGTGTGCTAGTAGTGTATACGTACCGGAGCACACCGTAGCATGCACGGCGGACAGCGAGACCGTTGAGGAGCTTGTAGCGGAGGGACTCGCACTGAGCGACGGCAGAAAGACCACGAGACTGGACCTTGGCGGCGTAGAGGGAGACAGAGTCCGGAGGGAATCGGAAACGGTGGGTGATCAAGCTGGTGAGCTGTGGTATTGTGAGTATGTGCAATCCATCTCCTTTGCCAAAGTACACTCTTACCTCACGAATGCGGCGACCTTGCTCACCGAGAACCTCCTGGGTGTGCGTTGCGCGGATGATGATATCGGTGACGGTAGGAGTAACGCGGACCTCGACGCCGGAGTATCCCTCCTCGGCCAGCTCGCGCTGGAAGAACTCGTTGAGCTCGGCGTAGAAGACACCGTCAGCGACGAACTTGCGGCGCTTGGAGATGTTGAGGCCGGACATGGCCTGGGCCGGGGCGGTTTGGCTCTGCATGTTTGCGGTGCGGTGCTGCTGTACAGATCCAAGTCAGCAACCTGCTGCCATGCCTTAAGATCTTGAAGTGCTGCCGCTGGACACCTCCGGTGCTGTTTGCCATGCGTGCCCCGAAGAAATTGCTCTCAGTCTTTCACGCTCCATTCTTGTTCACATCAGATTCGCACCGTCTCTTTTTCCCATTCTGTCATTCCAGTTGTCGCATGACTCCAAGCTCTTCCATCACTCCTTTCTCTGGCAACAGCACCCAGTGTCGCAGCATGATCGAGTTCCAATTGCTTACCTTTGATTAGTCGGCGATGTCGGGGAAAGCAGGCGCAACAGCAATGCGGGTAGTGAGAAGACACCTGAAGTTGAAGTGCTGCCAAAAGTTCAGTGCCAAGGCCGTGATTTCGCGGTGGGCTGTTCGGAAGCTTGCCGAGCGGCAGTCCCCGGAGCAAAAATCGTGACTGCCAGAGGTCATGACATTATTGACTTCTTTTCCTTCCTACAGAGCATCACTACGGCTTTTGCCCATTGTCCCGTCGCCAGGACCGCAGCGAGCCAGTAAGCAACACAATAGGCGTACGGATTACCGAGATAATTCTCCGATGCGGCAGAGTGACTACCAGCGCATTCTCCTCGAACCTGTCAAACTTTTGTAAGATGATAAGTGAGCTGTGCTTACTGCCTTGGGCAACGGCGAAGCAAAAGACTGTAAACGAGCCATCATGGGATAGCCAACATGAATGACCACATGAGCTCTGGCCTGAAAGGCCAACAAGGAAGTTCTGCTCGATACTGCTGGCTGACCGCGGTACTCGAAGTTCGAACCTTGCTTCACGCTTCACGACGTGTATGCAACATCGTCTCGTAACTATCCAGACCAGACCAATTCATAGTCAAGATACGACTTCTATCCAAATGGGTACAACTACTGACAGCTGCAAACTTACACTGACTCTTTGTTCACGCGTGTGAATGCATCCACTGAGCACCACAAGTGAACAAATGATGGCTAAGAGGTGAGAGGCTGTCGAGAAGTGACTTTACAACATACAAAGTATTGTAACCATTCTTGAGTCTTCAATAAGGACTTCAAATTCTTTTGCACTTGCAGAACATCTCACACAACGCTTACTACCACGACCAACATCTGCGCTGACACTCTCCAGCACAACCTCACCAAACAAACGACAAAATCGAGAAAGAAATTACAAAAGGAAGACACAAGCAACCGCGCACCGCAGCGATGACCTTCGGCAAGGGCAAAGAACATGACGGCGAGGAGCAGCCCCAGCTTGCCGACCTACAAGGGCAAGGGCAAAGCTCCCATGCGCCTCCAGGAAGAAAGGAAACACCAGTTCCAACTCCCAGACGCCAATGGATGGCACCGCCTCGACCTCCCAATCAAGCGTGAACGACGACAAGAAACTCACTCATGCCTCCTACGCCACCGCTCTGCAAGGCGCCAAAGCACCACAGCCAGGCACCTCTTCCGCAGAAGCTGTGGTGGGCCTTCTCTTCAAGAGAGGCTTCCCTACCCCACCTCCCAGAACAACAAGATCCAAGACGAGCAGAACTTCGGCAACGCACCTTCGGATGTTGATGCCAACGACTTCTACACTGCTCGCTTGGAGAGCGCCAAGTGGCAGTTTTAGCTGAATTCCGAGAGGAGAAGGACCCGCTGGTCACGGCTACGGGAGCACCAGTCTACCCTTCCAGATGGAGGCATCGTCAGACCGCTCTTCTCTTAGCAAGTGCATTGCAAGAGTGGCAGTGAAAGTCTGCAGAGGTACTGTTGAGGCAAGTAGAGTTTCGAGGCCTGAAGTGGTTGGCTCCTACGAAAGGAGTGGCGTGCGCACCTGCGTCGTTCATTGAATCATTCTCGCGTCTCTCCGATCCTTCTGGTGCTTGGTGTGTTGTCGTACGCGAGGTTTAATACAGGATGTGCTTAGCCGGAGATGCCCCCAGCGAAGCCAAGCGGCTTCTATCGCGAGATTCTCTTCTAGGCAAGTTCGTTCGGTGGATGCGCTGGTGATGTGTCGTTCAAGTTCCCTCGTCTTCATCGTTGACACGAATACCATCATTTCGCATTTGATGCCCGAGTGCTTCAACGGACAGCCTCAATTCTGCAAGCCTTTCATCGGCCTGAGCGTCGTACGGAGCGAAACGTCGTTTCGTGTCCATTGCAGACTGCCGCACGTTTTCCGAGCGGATGCTCACAGCACTAATGACGAGCTTCTCGACGTAGAAAGTGACCATGAAACAGGCTAGAGTTTGGAGGATGAATGTGAGGGAAGAGAGCATATTGCAGCGTTGAGAGAGGTACAGTGATAGTTTTGCAAGATCAATGCGTATGGCAGACGGGAAGAGGAGGAGTAGGAGTCTTATAGGACTGCTATTATTGCAATGTGTGGCATGCTGACGGGCTTCCTTCAGAGCTTTCGGTCCGGACAAGTCCGGCAACCGAACTATTGACGCGAGGCGGATTCCGTCTTCCTTACTCTGCTCATCTTCGGCATGTTGGTGAAGCAAACGTGAGATGAATTATCCGGAAACAAAGAAAGTGTCTGTTGGCATGTCGCGGAAGCGCCTCAGACAGGACACATATATTCGTCTACCATTTTCGTGTCGTAAGGGATCTGGCGTAGGGCTCAAACGACGGCTTCGGAAGCCGTAGCTGAGAAGCCGCAACTGCGAGGTCGAAATCGCGTCTTTCAATGCTGCCGAAGCGCATCATACTGAGCAGTGGGTGGGCGCATCAGTCGAGATATGGATGGCCGATGAGAAGATGAGCTGAGATGAAAGCTGGACGACTCGTTTGAGAGAGATCGTCCAGCTGATGAAGTCGCAAGTGAAGGTGAAACTCGCGCTAGACCGATAAGCGCGAACCTTGCTCGGCGTGATTCTCAAAGGCTCCGGGATTCGGGCTGGAGTTGCACAGGACGGGCAGTCGCGATCTCGTCGCGGAAAAAGCAGTGACGGATCTGTCCGAAACCGCGTCTCGCCTCACGTAGAGATGCGGGTGCACCTCATCACAGTCAATGGCACTGAAAGTGGATGTGGAGGGAGAGAGGAGAGAGGGAAGGCGCACAGGGATTGGCTCAGTCAGCCGCATTGCGCCACGAACTAGCGGCGGAATTGGCGAAGTGGGGGAGGGCCGCACGGACTCGCGAGTTTTTTGGGATAAGGTCTGCGTTCGCCGTCCAGACGTGGGAAGCACTTAACTCCATTGATCTTTCTCTCCTACGCTTTTGCCTCAACAAGTTAACGCCTCTGCTTGCCCTGGGCCATCAGCTTCCTTGGTATGTATCATGCCCGCAGCGTCCCCTCCGCCCTGCTATCGCTGGCACGGCGAGCTCGGTGTGAGGAACAGGCAGGTCGCACTGGGCTGCCGTCGCCGTCGCTGGTGTCGCTATCGCAGCTGCCGCGACCAGGCAGCAACAGCCGCACGCACGCACAACTGGCTGCGCGAGGACTGGCCACAGCGCCCGCACCTGCCTGCCTGCCTGCCTGCCAGCTGCTCTGCTCTGTGCTCTGCTCTGCTCTGCTCTGCTGCACCTGCATTCCCCGACCAGCCTCTCGCCAAGCCCTCCCCCCCCCCCCATCGCGTCGGCCCTTCCATTTGCTCGCTGTCGTTCCCGCATTCATCAGTCGCATCGCATTGCACATTCCAGCGCCGTGGTATTGACTGCTTTCTGTACTCAGACCCAGACTCAACTCGCACATCATCCACGACACCGACTCAACCTTCGAGAAGCTGCCGTCGAAGCAGCGTCAAAGCTTGGCGCGTCTCTACCGCCCTACCTTCCACCACCTTCCCAGACCTTGCCCATCCCGATCGAGTCTACTGCTCCACACGCGAGCCCAAAGCAGCATAGCCCTTGAGAGCTACCTCACACATCCTCGACCACCATCCACTCCACTCGTTCACCATGTCCGCCGAGATCGTCAATCAAGATCCCACCAACGACCACGAGCAGGAGGAGCTCGAGAACGGCGGCAACGAGCCCCGCGGCACCAAGAGACAACGCACTTCCACCGCGAATGACGACGATGACGATGACGACGACAAGCCAGGTCGTGAGCGACGCAAGATCGAAATCAAGTTCATCCAGGACAAGTCGCGTCGCCACATCACATTCTCCAAGCGAAAGGCCGGTATCATGAAGAAGGTCAGTCCGCACAATCCATCGGCGCGTGCTCATCAACAACATCACGCGCGTATCACTCGACTGTCCATCAAAGGCTAACATCCTAGTTTCAGGCGTATGAGCTGTCAGTCCTCACTGGCACCCAGGTGCTCCTTCTCGTCGTCTCGGAGACTGGTCTCGTCTACACCTTCACCACTCCAAAGCTTCAGCCGCTCGTCACTAAGCCTGAGGGCAAGAACCTGATTCAGGTATGCCTGTCGCATGCAACGAAGTGCTTAAGTGTTCGCATGCTAACTTGTTCCAGGCTTGCCTCAACGCCCCAGAGCCGGCCGACTCCAATGGCGTCGATGGCGAATCCGCGGTAGACTCACCCGAGGAGCAACATTCTGCACCACCACCACCAATGCCTCAGAACATGCAGCCACAAGGCATGCCGCCTAAAATGCCGCAGAACTACATGACTGCCGACCAACAACAAGCTATGCAGTACCAGGCCTACCTCCAGCAGCAACAGGCAGCTCAGCAGGGCGCGTATCCAATGGCACCGCAGCAGATGCACTCGCGAGGCTAGGAGCCGCGAGCCGACCCCATGGCCGCCTCCATGGGCCCTGGCATGCCGGAACCGCCTGGGGTCGACGCCAAACCATGATGAACAGAGGCGATATGAATCACAGCAGAGGACGGATGGGAAAAATGATTGGAGCGGACAGAGCCCAGTGGACACGACTATGGATCGGAAAACATCTTTTGCGTGCGTTTCGGCGTTTTGGGCGCTCCTTGCTCCCTCACAAGCGGCGGCAGACCTTTTCCCCATCAGTTAGCGAATCGTCAGAGGGTGTGTCCAAGTTCTGTGCATCTATATTCGCTTGTTGCTCCGTCCCTTCTCCGGCACAAAAGCTATCCCGAACACTACACGGCGGTTAAAGGTGCGAGATATGGGACAAAGGGGACCAAAGACAGGCTCTTCATTTGAGTTGCTTGAGTGATGCTTTTAGCGGCAAGCAGGCACGGTACCGCAAGACAATGAGTGGAATAGCTTCTCTGTATCAAATGCGAAACCATTTCCCGTCGACCATTTCTGCTTTCCACTGCGTACGAGTGGGTGACAGTTGAAGCCCATTCGCTGCAGCCAGGCCCAAATGTTGTCGAGATAACGTGGCAGAACATAGAATTTCGCATTCGAAAACATGGGTACTTTCTATGCCAGTGTTGCTGGTGGCACGGCACATGACAGGGCAAGCTGTCAAGACCATCAGGAGCTTCTTCAACGTGTCGTGTCGCACGCAGAGCTCGCAACAGAAACAAAGCAAAGCGCCCAATCACATGTCAGCGTGTCTTCAGCCGCTCCTTCCACTTTCGGAAGTCGACTCGGTGGAAGGAATGAGTTCGAACACCATTCAATCTGACAATGCAAACGCTCTGGAATCCCACAAACATCATCACCACCTCTAATCAAGAGGGGCGGTCGCGTCTTGATGTACCTCCCTTCTCGTCTCATTGAAAGCCTCTCCATTTATCATCCCATCCATGCACGGAGGCTTCACCAACAAATTCAGAATGCTCTCGATGGGAGGAGTGGGCAGTATCAAAGTCTAATTTTTTTTTTTCGAGCTCTGCGCTATCGTTGCGCCAGCGCGAGCGAGTAAGGAGGATATCCGGGATTGTTACAAGCCGCAAAAGTTCTTAGCTGCGGCTAGGCCGTCTATGCATGTGTCTTCTCTGTGTATCCGCCAGCTTTGAGCCATCGAGCTGGTATATGATATCCGCAGTCGTTGGAAGACATTTCTTCCAACGGCCGTGTCCAGTTCGAAGCCATTGACCGGGAGCGGACGTGACATTTGTATAGGTGGCGAGCAATTGGTGGATATCCACGTTCTTTGTAGAGCGATCTCGTGAGTCCCAGTCGTCCTGTCGGTCTTCATCAAGGCCTTCTTCAGTTTCATACTTCTGTCGTGTCGTAGGGCGGGGGGGGCTTGCCCTCAACGTAGCGTTTCAGCTTGAGTGAGACCAGCGCGCCTTCAGCTGCGTATGCCCATCCGGTTGATCCTCCTTGCCCTTGAGTTTTGGGGAATTTCGTGTTGATCGTGTCCGTCATAGAAGAAGCCATCCTCGTAGCGAGTGCTCAAGGCGGAATAAAATTCTACCTACCTTTGATTCACTCTCCACGGTCCAAGAGAATTCCACTGAGCTCCACAACAAGCCAGAAACACACCTGCATTACTTTGTATACACGGCTCATTCTGCGAACATCAACGCCATCATGGGGGCTGTTCTACGCGTCAGCGCGTACCACCGACGCGACTTTGATCTCGCAGCCATATCGTTCTCCCCTCAAGATTGTGCAGACGCGACGACAATGCTCTTGTCGCCTGCTCTTCCGCCCACCGTTACACTCGGCATGCTTGACCACTTACCTGTTGAACTCTTGAGCGCCATTTTGTTGGAACTAGACTTGGCTTCCTTGATCATCTTCCGCCATGTCAATCGCCGAGCAAGAGAAGTCCTCAACTCCTTACGCGAATACAAACTCATTGCCACACACGCGAGCAACTGTGTTTGCGCAATGCTACGGACGGGATCGGCCTCCGGTATCACGCTATCGCGTCTTTACCACCTCATGTGTCAAGAATTATGCTCGACATGCCAGCAGAGCTTCGGCGATATGCTCAACCTGCTTACCTGGCAGCGCTGCTGTTCCGCTTGTCTACGAGCGGGTAGCTCAGAAGTCGCGGCTGTGACTATGGGAAGTGCCAAAAAAGCTCTGAGATTGTCTGCGCCCTCGATCGGAAGGCTGCACACATTGAAGACAAAACCAGGAAATTACACGATGAAAGAGAAGCCATATAACAGATCGCTGCACATCACTTCGCTCCAGAGTGTTCTGTCACTCCACCACGCCGACCACGCCGGTTCAGAACTACCCATAAGCATGGCAAGCACGCAACCTCATCTAGCGTTTATGTGCTGTACCACGTTTCCGCTCTTCAATCCAAGCACGGTTCAGATACAATTCGGCATGTCCTGCGCTGGATGTCAACTTGCGATAGAAGAGACAAAGTCTCCCACGGATGCGATGTTCAAGCATCGAGATATGTTTTACTCTCCTGCTTCATTCTTGCGGCACTACGAAACTTGCAAGCCAGCGCAGAGAATATGGGAGGCAAGCAACAACGGCAGTCGGGAGCCTCCAAATCTCCCACAACTCTGTAGACAGGGTGGCTACTCCAGCTGTAGGATCTGAGGGCAGCAACGCCGCAATGTCAATGGTTTTGAAGGCTTGAAGGGATGATTGCGAACTCAATGCCCGCCACCGCTCATCAGCTCAGCTCTGCACTATCGTTGTGCCAGCGCGAAGAGTACGACATCCAGGATGGTCACAAGCCGCAACTTTCTTGGCGGCGGGTACGCCATCTATATATGTATCTTCTCAAGACAACGGGAACGCTGCAGCGGTCGAGAATGCCAGTGAATGTCGCGCTCTTTGGCTTGAGATGGCACAGAGGCGAGGGATTCGGTCAGCTGTTCGGGAAGTGCGAGTCGGCGCGACCAGACGACGCATTGGACTCGTCCGAGGAGATTCCTTGACTACTACGGAGGCACAGTCGTATAGAAATGATCTCGGCGGTGTTCAAGTCGCCACGTTTCGGCCCTCGCTTGCATGCATCGGCGCAGATCCAGATCCTCTGCCAATGCGAAGGCGGTCTTCGGCCATGTTTTGTTCGATCGCTAACGAGGGTACGCTAGAATTCGTCTTCTGGCAGCTATGCCTCTGATGAAGAGTCTGTGTATCCGCCAGCTTTGAGCCCCTGAGCTGGTATGATATCCGCCGGACTTACCGAGCCATCGACCGGGAGCGCACGGCTATCTTTCAAGGAGATCTCCCATTTTGCTTGTCGGCTGCCTCAGTCCATTGCCCGGCTCACCCATGAGGAGATCTGCGTGTACCGAAGAGATCGGTAGACATGCTCCAGCAAAGGGTTGTCATCGCGGGAGGTGTGGCAGGAATTCAGCTCGCAGGGTGGCCTTCAGCTCTCGGTGGGAGCATTGGGTCAGGTCGGGAAGATGTCTGCAGCTCATACCGATGTTCTGGCAGCCACCAGCAAAGCAAATCTCCCAACGCTGCCGAGTTCCGCGTCTGTTCGGGTGTGAGGTCCAAGTCGAAGATGCTTAAGATGCCTCAAATGGGTTGTTAAGAAGTGTAAAATACGATGGCAGGATGATGGAGGACAGACCGGGATCACTTCGGCTCCAGATTTCACGGTGGTCCAAGCTTTGGGTGCACAAAGACATCGACCAGGTGAGATTGTCAGCGACCTCACATCTTTGGGCTTCATCGCAGCCGAAAGACATCCTGTCCAGACATCGTGTCCGGGGTGGATCATGACAACCATCGACTCGCAAGACGCGATTTTCTGGCTTCTGATCAACGGACATGCAAGAATGTGCGATCATGGAAATCCAGGAAAGCGGCTCTCGAGGGTTCTCTGGACCTATCTCATCAGTACCCGCCGCAGGCTGTCGATATGAAGTCGTTTCAAAGAAGGCCCAAAATTCACGAGAGACGACAGAGCGATGCATTGGCTTCATCGCAGCTTGCGCCCCTCGTGGTTCGACGCGTGGTGTGGTCCTGTGTTGGCCTTTATGAGTTTTCACGTGTCGTGAAAGTCCTTCGAGAGAGCATATCGCTGAGAGGAGCGCCTGAGGAATACCCGCACGCGGTGCAACAAGGCGTATTTCTCAAGGCATGAATGTGCACGGGACATTGGATCTTGCAGCGTGAACTTCTATTCAACTACTTCAGACCTGCTTCGTTCGCATTGATGCGAGATACCATCCGGGTTCGAGCTTCATCTATGTTCTGATCGCATTCCAAATGTGCGCTGCTGATGATTGAGCTGCAGCTTGCATAGTCTCGGATGTCGTACCGAGGCCAGCTCGCTCCGTCCTACTTCACGCCGTTCCGTCCTTCCCAATGCGGTATACGCGTGACTCGGCTGCCGCTCTTGTTTCTCCATGTCCGCCAGAGATCTGGGACGACGATGAACGACCTCTGTGCATAGACCTAGGACTATTGGCTCGTTTCTTCCATCCCGGTCGAACGGCACGACGAAAGTGCTCTGTACAACGATGGTGCTAACCTCCCACGCCATCTTGCATGTGATTCCCCCGCGAGACGCTACTGTACCCCAGACGCCAACGGCCTACGAACCTGGGGTAGCCATTCAAGGGCCTAAGATCTACAGCATCCAGAGCGTCAGACGTAGACCAGCCCTCCGGTATTTTGGCAAAAGAGGCAATTCTGCTGTCGATACCGCTTGAACCCTTGCCTGCTAAGGCTCAGATCTGAGACTTCCACAGGAGATGGTGGGTTGTCGGGTACGCACAACCCACCGCCCGATTCATAATGGATCTCCTTCTCGGCATCTGATACACTTTCTCCGGAGATGATGTTCGTCCATTAGAGCTCATAGGATTCGCTTACCGCAAGCCATCCTCAGAAGCGTCGATCAGAGGAGTTGGGGCGCGCAAAGCAAATATCTGTCCGTCTCTCGGCGCGCGTCAGCGTCGCTTTAATGCCTCTCTGAGTTCCATCTCTCACTCGGTTACTGATTTTCCAACTCCTCGCACAGCATGGAACACGAAAAGAACCCGCCCACCCCTGACGGCTCTGACGATAGAATCGAGGATGCCGACGCCTACCGTGTGGATACTCACGATCCAGGAAGGACAGATCACCGTGCCGACGACGACAGAGCGGATATCGCTCGTGGGCGCAATGCAGACAAGATTGGGAGAGAATACTGGCTCTCGGTGAACTTCATTGGAACGCTCTTTGCTGTGGGGTGGGTGAACACTCTCGCGCTTTTGCCGTTGAGGTTGTTCTTTGCTGACTTGGTGTATCTTATAGCTTGGCTTTCATGGGAGGAATCGGAGGTCAGTCAAGCGCGCGCGCGAGCGACCAACTTGTGCTGTTCTAGCAGGTGCTGACCACGAGTGTTGCAGGTTTCGGATTGATCGCTCCCATTCTCAACACGATCAACGAAGACATCGGTCCTTCGCCCAACATCAATTGGGTATCGCTCGCAAATATCGCCTGTGGTGCTGTCTTCTTCCTGCTCGTTGGTTCATTGTCGGATATTCTGGGCAGAAGATGGTGAGATTTGGAGAATCTACGAGGATTCGGCAGCAGTGGAAGTCTGACAAGCAACTCAGGTTCTTCGTCTTTGGATCGTGTCTGGCTTTGATTGGCAGTATTGTCGGTGCTACTGCCCAGAGCGTGAATACCCTCATCGCTTCCCAAGTGTTGATTGGTATCGCTGTTGCTTTCCAGCAGTCGTTCTTCTGTAAGTTGTCGAATCGTCTCGCCGTGAGAGCAGCTGCTAATGGCCTCGTCTTTGCAGGGGTTGTGGCCGAGATTGTACCCATGAAGTACAGGTCAGTCGTGTCGAATGCTGTCCACGGCTATTACGGGCCACGACTGACACAGATTTCTGCTCAGATACCTCGCCAACTCCTACTGTTACCTGATGTCAACGCCATCAAGTCCTCTGGCCGCTCGCGTGGCCTACTCGTTCCTTAATTACCCGGGTGGATGGCGTAACTCGTACTACTTCCTGATCGCCATCAATGGATCTAGCATGATCGCATGGTATCTCTTCTACCGTAAGGAGTTCACATGGCAGCTGGTAGTTCCGTTACTGACACCTTGCCGTTCAGATCCCCCGACGTTTAGCATGCTGCACAGAAAGCGAATGGCAAGAGATCTTATCCTGCACTTTGATTGGATTGGCTTCTGCTTGTACAGCGGCGGACTTCTTCTGTTCATCTTCGGCATCAACTGGGGAGGTGTTCTGTAAGTATCATCTTCGCGAGGTCCATGGCCTTTCCGCGCATCCGCAACATCAGCCTGTTATCCATGGACCCGAGCTGACTGGACTGTAGCTACCCATGGGCCTCAGGTCATGTAATCGCCACGATGGTGATCGGAGGTGTCACACTGGCAGGTATTCTGCCCGCTTATGAGATCTGGATCACCAAGCGTGGAAAGCAATCATACCTACCGATCCATCTATTCAAGAATAGGAGTATGTGTCTTCAATGCAACACCAAAGACGTAGCACACGCGGTGACTGACTTGACCTTTTTTTTTTTGCAGGATTCATGGCCGCTGCGGTCAACAATGGTCTCGCAGCCGGCGTGTACTACGGCTTCTCCCTCGTGTTCCCAATGGTAGTGACAAACCTCTACTATGCTCGGGGCGAGATCAGCATGTACGACGTCGGTACACAGGCCGGTCTCGCACCGATGGGATTCGTGTTCGCTCAAGTCTGTCACGGATTTGTAGAATGGGTGACGGGCCCCAAATGGGGAATGATCGGTCCGTCAACCTCGTCGTCAATTTTGGAAATGACTGCTAACGATCGTAGGCTCCTCGATCATCGGTGCAGCCTTCCTCACCTCCGTGTCTGCCAACCTCGACGACCGCGTTCAGACCGAAGCAATCCTGGTCATTGGTGCTTTCGCCATGGGTCTCGTTGAAGGTCTTGCAACAACCACCGCGACATTTCCACTTCGCTCGCAAGAAGAAATCGGACAAGGCGGTGGACTCACTGGCTCGATGCGGAATTTCGTTTCCGCCATCGCGACTGCAGTCTATACCGCGACCCTCAACAATCGCTTGACGCAGACGACAGCGGAGTACGTCAACCCCGTGGCCACCCAGATGGGCCTGTCGCAAAGCGCCCTGCCCGCTCTGGCCAATGCGCTTGGAAACAAGGCTCCCTTTAGTTCCGTGCCCGGGATCACGCCCGCCATCCAAGCCGCAGTCCAGGAGCCCTATCGAAATGCTTTCCGGGACGCTGCCAAGACGGTTTTCCTGGTGTCACTGGCGTTCTCCGGCTCGGCCGTCATCCTTTCCTTCTTCACCACGAACAACGACCAGGCCACGATGAATTATGTGGCCGGCGCGATCCACGGAGGCAAGACGGAGAAGGCGTATAATGCGGAGATCAAGGAGAAGAAGAGGTCCGATGGGGACGGTCCGGAGGCTAAGGCTTAGTGGACTTGGACTTGTACAGGCGGCAGGGTGAGTTTGCTAAGCGCGCTATCTGCTGCTCGGGCGTAGCGATGTCCCATGAGAGGCGTCTGGGTGGCTGAGAGCGCGTGATAAAGCGTGGAACAGGCCTGATTGACTTTGTATAGGAAGTGGAGCGTGGAATAGCGCACTGCTCGGAATCAGGCAAGATTCTTACATTCATGTCGATGTTCTCCACCTCACGTCGTCTGCCCTCATTCCTGTCTTTCTCATTCATATTAGACGGTCTGTGGCTGACCCGAGGACACTTCTTATCCGCGCCAAGGCGAATATATATTCGACGATAATCAGGCGTGATTTTGGCGGCTCCAAAGTAGGCTAGTCTAAGCTTCTTTTGGAAAGCAATACCGAGATCTAACGTTACAACGAGATATCGTGAACTTGGTCTCTAACACGCATTTCATTTGCACATCCATCTTCGTCTTCCTCGATCGCCCCATCAGACTGTCGGCATACTTGCTTGCTGCTGGTCGTCGTATGCTTGAGCAGATAGCTGGTGATGTCTTGTCTTGTCCGCATACATCATGCTGCACCAGCTCGACAGGGATCCTTTATCTTCCCATCCCCATTCTCCATCAATCACCAAGCATCAGGAACTCGGCGACACGCATCACGCAGCGAGATGGAACAACTTGCGAATGCCAGGACGTTCATGGAGAGCAATCTCGGTGAACTTGCATCATTCCTACTCAAGAGCGCAGGAAAGGTCAATCTGGACCTCGCAGGCTTGCTCGTGCTCGCAGACCTCCAAGGCGTCGCCCAGTGGACGGCACTGACCGGTACATCCGCGTGGCTGGACATCTTCATCATCGCGCCGGGACTCCATAGACAAGCTGCCGCACCGGATCTCTGTAAGGGCGAGTATCCGGCTTGCGCTGCTATGACTACCGGCTACGTCTTCCGCGTTGAGAATCCGGCTACTGTCTCTTACCTGCAGCGTGTTGGTCGGCCGGGACATCTCACCACACTTTCGGTGTGGAATACCGCAGAGAGAACCGGTGCTGCTCGCAGATTCTTGTCTAGCATCTACGATTTTGAGGAGGGACGGACTGGGCCTACTATTGCGTACTTTGTCGCTGTAGCGCTGACGATGGCCGTATTGGACGCCCTGATTCTCGTACGGGATCTTTGGGGCATCGCGACGATTGCTACTCTAATGCTGGTCCGTTTCATCAACGTGGCTATCATCCGACGCAGATCCAGGCCTGGCTGGTTTGGCGCACCTGAGCCTGGTTTCCGAAGCGATCTGCTCGTCTTGCTCAGCCAGGATCGCTGGATACGCATCCAAGGACTGACGGACGATGTAAAGGCTGTCACCTCCGGCGCATGGTTTCAAGAGTGCACACTCCTCCAGAATGTGCTTCTTACCACCGCCACTCTTCTAACGTAAGTTCTGAGCCATGAGCTCGCAGCGTGTCTTGCTCAACGGGCACACTAGGTACTTCGACGTTGTCATGGCTGCAAACGCGTCTCAGACCGGCAAATTGCTACTCGTGTTCCTCCTCTTGGCTAACTCGGGCCTTCTGGGTCTTGTAAATTACGCTTCGACTTCGATGACAGTGCATGGTCGAGCAGTGACTGTGAGCTCTGGCCCGAAGAAATACGATCGGAGACTCACTCTCGCCAAGGAGCTCATCAAGGAGTTCGGCAGAACAGACTGCTTCGTTGGCATGGGTATGATCCAACCGCATCAAGCCAAAGACGCGAAGAAATCCTACCAAGGGGCAGTGACAATGTAAGATCGATGTGACATCCATCATGATTACTGCCATCCCTAAACATACATCGTTTCCGGCCGTTCAATCACATCCACGCCACGCTAGCTTGCAAATTCGACAACAAACGATGAATCTATGCGACCTGTGCTCATTTTTCCTGATCATGCACCGTGGCGACTCCCGCGTCTAGTACTCATGTACATCTCCAAGGCACTGCCGTTGCTACTCGACGCCGTGTGGCTGGTGGCCGCACTCCTCCTGGCGACCCTCGACTCCCACGCCATGGGCCCTTTGGACGGACTTTCCAATTCGTCCAGGTCTGGTACCGGCGAATTGAAAGCGCCGTTGGTTTTCAGGACAGCCATCAGCGCAGCCGACAGTAGAGCGTTCTGCTTCTCCAACGCTTCAAGCCGAGCATCGATTCGAGACGCTGCGCGGTTCGTCGCTTTGAAGCCGGTATTCCTTCTTTGTGTGGCGACATGCGTGAATTTCTCTGGGTGCTTGGATGAGGGTTCGACGGGCGACACGTCATGCGAGTGCAGAGTTTCCAGCTCCCTTCCGCTTCCAACGACCAACTTCGCCTTGCTGTTGGCTTTACTCTGCTTCTCGGATCCCGAAGCTGGCGGCGTCGGTGGCAGAGCACGAGTCGGGGGAGGAGAGGGCAGCGGCGGAGCATGGTCCACCTCTTCAAGCTTTCTGGGGCTTTTGGAGCGAGGCGAAGAATGTGTGCTGCTGCCCTGCACACTCTGTCGACTACGCCTCTGCACGGCCGGTTTAGGAAGCGATGCAGATCGAGGCCGAGGGGCGTACGTTTTCTTCCCGTCTTTGAGAATGAGTCGGGCTGGTTTGGGCGTGACCTTTGTCCTGGGAACGGGGACTTCTTCGGCCACGAGCATGACCGGACTAAGTTCCATACCGGCTTGCGCGGCTCTGGCTTCCGCAGATGCGCTGGGAGAGATGGGTGTACATCCAGCCCTGTCATCTTCGGAGAACTCACTTGCTCGGGACGGCACCGGTGAAATGGGAGTCTGAGTCGACGGAGTGATTTTCCTCCAGCTGCCTGCGCCCGATGCACTTACTTGGCTCGCCGCGGAAGGCGCTCGCAATGGGTACGGACGAAGATCTGGAATCTGAATCTGCGGTCGCATCTTCTTCAGTCGCTGCCGAGTTGCTTGCGCCGGTGCATGGACAACCGAGTCGATGGTTCGGCTCACGGTCGGCCGGTCTCGAAGCTTGCGAACGCGCACTCGCTCTTCTCGTTCCTTTCGGTTCATTGGACACGGTCGGCGTTGAGGGCTCGAAGTCGTATCCTTGTTCCTTGACTTTGGCCGCTTGATGGGACCGGTACACTCGGTAGTGACGGTCGCCCGGATGGGCTCTGCGCCAAAATCGAATTCGCTCGCAGATCTGATGCTTGGCGCAATCTTGGGGGTAGACTTCCTGTCACCATTGTTGTGTTCTTTGATAATTTTCTCGATGGTACGAGGATCCCGTCGAAGTCTCAGGGGGCTTCGCGGCGGTGGTGGACCAGGGCTGTCTGATACACTCCTTGACGTTGGATACAACGTTGAAGCAATGCTGGATGCCCGCTGCAGCAAGACCGGATGGCTTCCCAGCCGACGTGGCAGAGGATGTCTCATCTCAACTTCCGTCTCTGCGCTCGGATGCTTCACGGGGAATTCTTCTCTCGGCAGCGAGATCTTTGGCATCATAGGTGCTCCCTCTTGAGCGTCACTGCCCGGTCCGGCATGCACAGCATCGACTGACATGGCGGAGACGGGACGATCCTGGAATTCGGTCTGGTAAGAATCTGCCATTGAAATGGCGGAATGTGGCTCCGGCGTGGGAGGATTGGAGGCAGCAGGCCGGACGGGAGTCGGACACCTCCTGGCTAGTCGACTTGCCACTTCCTCGTATGATACTGCGGGACGATGGTCGTTGTCGTCGGTGGACAGTCGATCTTGATGAGGATCAACCTGTTGCTTGCTCAATGATGACAGCCAACTGTCCAAAACGTCGACGGACTGAGATTCCTCGTGGAAGCGAATCGATACCCGGGATTCCAAGATATCCGGGCTGAGTATCGATGGTCCGGCCAAGTCTTCCACACGGTCTCGTTCCTCTTCCTCTGCGGGAGGGACCAGTGCCAAGTAGCGTTGTCCTGGCCGTCCATTAGTAGATGATTCGCCGGGCATCCTGTCGTCAAGTAACACACGTACCTTTCGACGACACCTTCTGTTCCACGTTGGGTGGCAAAGGCCTCGCTGGCTCAGCATGGGGAAGGAGCCCACCCTCGTCGAAAGGGTCCTCGCGTAACACGCCATTAAGCCTAGACATGTCAGCCAGACCAGAGAATACGACAGATCGCAAGCTCTACATCATTTTTTAGGAGACAAAGAGCCTTACATACTTACCTATCATGGGCTCGCTGAACTTTTCTCCTCTCACCGCTCCCGAGCTTCAGAAACCTCAACGCGTTCTTCGGTGCACTCACCGCTCTCCGCGGCTGTTGCTCCAGTTTCGTCGGTCGACGGTGCGGTGAATCTACGGGCCCGGTTGTTCGCAGGAACCACGCCAGATCCGCCGACTGGTTCTGACGCGGCACATGCAGGAGACTCGTCGAGGTCATCATCCTGCTGTCCAGTTCGTTGCGAGGAAGCTTCTGCTGCTGCTGTTCCTGCCGCGGTGGCGGCGAATAACAATAGGGTGCCTGGTTCGAATGAACGTACTGCATGGACCGGGAGTCTTCGCTGGATCCGGCAGGCACGGGGACGTCTTCCACTTCTCGGACGATGGAGTCTTCACGCAAGATTGCTGAGCTGCTGGCCTTGATGTGATGCCGCTGCTGGGCGGCGGCGGCGGCAGCAGAGGACGATGATGAAGAGGCTTGGCCCATGGTGGGCGAGTTGGTATGGAGTGGGCCGGCGCCAGAGGTCATGTCGCCCGCGGCACCGAACATGTCGGAGGGGGACCCAGCAGCCAGACCAGCAGGAGATTGCGAGGGGTGGGAACTGCTACTGCTGCTGACGGCTGCTGCTATCTCCCATGTGCGTGGTGTATGGTTGGCAAAGGTCGGCACGCTCGCTTTTCGCCTGCTGCTGCTGCTACTACTGCCGGGCAGCTGCAGCATTGGGGGTGGACAAGGCAGCACACGAGCTCCCTCCTTGTGCCGCGAGAATGTCCGCCGAGCCAAGCTTCGGACTAGATATTTGCTGCTTCAGATAAGTCACGGGATCCGGGGGATACCCATGCGTCACTCACGGGTGCAGCAGTGTTCGCGGGCGCGTGGCTTTCGGGCGGGCGAGAATGCCGTACAGCTAGCTTGAAGGTGGTGTCGATCCAATCTGTGTGCTGCAGGAGAGTTGGTCGTGATCGTGATCGTGAGATGCCGGATCCTATTCCTGATCCTAGACCTGATCCTCAAGATAGGAGCGCCAGACGGACAAAAACGAGAAGATAAGAGAACAGCTTGCGAGGCGAACACTTACAACAAGAGGAGAAAGGAGAATCAGCCGGACGCCTGCATTTGAGACGGGGCGGACAAGGAAAGAAAGCACACATCGATACCATAATAACACATGGTGCGCAAGGAGCAGAGCAGAGCAGAGACGGCGAATGTGTACGACGCGGGAGGAGAGAGAGAGAGTGGCAAGTGGAAGCATCAGCCTGCACACGGCAGATTTCTGCACTTGTGCTGCCGTCGCTGCAGGCTTGACTGGATCCACGCGGAGACCCGTAGCTCTGTGCGCCCATGTGATGATCCGGTTGTCTAAGACAGAAGAAGACGCGCGGAAGATGTCCTTGCTGTGTGCTCATCAGCAGCCGCTCTGCTGTGTGAATTGAATGTCGATCCGCGGCGTCGAGCAGGAGAAGAAGCAAGACGTGTTGCGTGCCTGTCTTGTCGAGATATTGTGTTATCTGCCTCCGAGTCCATCAAGGGGTGAAGAGATGAAAGTCGTGCCAAGTGCAGGTGAGGTCGCACGACGTCCTGCACGAACAACCGTTTCATGCATGTGAAACCGCCGAGCCAATGTAGCCTGTACGACATTGCATGCGGAAACGCCCGGGGGGGACAAGAGCACACCAATGATCCGCGCCGCAACGGGGTATGATGAATGTCTACTGAGGCGTCCTGTCAAGCACCTGTGGCTTGCTTCTCCGTGCTCCAAAGGGACAAGCAGCAAGCATCGAACACAGCACTTTCCGCCAACAAGATCTGACACAGACAGGACTTCAAACCCGGACGGACGCAACGGGTGACGACGCCCTCTTCCAGCACACAATGCGCGCACAAGGCCAGTGCTGCTTTTTTCACGAGCGACGGATATCCGCTTTGCACGTTACGGCAGCTTGACCAATTCATCATCCCACGATCCGTCCATGGCACAAGCGCACCGACACGACCGCGGGCAACTACTCATCGGAGACATTCTGTAACCGCGCACGCATTGCTGACAGCGGATCTTGACGAATTTCTCTCGGCCGTGGGAGACACAGCTCGCATAGCACAAGAGCAGCTTGGAGATGCAGCGTGCAAGGCAGAGAGCTGTACTGCACAACATCGTCCGACTCATCTGCCGCAGCAAGGGGTTCATTGCACCCCAAGAATCGCGAACCAGGAGCACGGGAAGCATCCTACATCTTCACTTCTAAGAGCGAAGCTTCACCAGCGGCCGTGTCCGAGAGCACATCCACTGATCATACGGGTCTCCTCATCACGCAAAGTATCTGAGCTATCTGCTCTTCTCTAATCGAATCCATCATGACGTCCTCGGTACTTCCCGCGAGACGACCCATCCTGTTGCGTGATGCTGGTAGTCAAGACCGGGATTGCCAATCACTTGTTCGACCGCCTACCAAGATTTCTCCTCCCTGATGCTGTTTAGCGCATGCTCCCAGAGCCCTGCTGTGGCTCAGCGCCTTTTCAAGGATGGCCGACACTGCCGACAGCGTGGCGGTTGGCCCATGGGCATTGACCAGCAAGCCGCAGGTCCTCACCACAATTATATATCAAAGTCGCCTCCTTCGTCCTGGCTCCAGCGCTTCTACCGCTTCGCAGCAGGCTTCTTGGGCATGAACAAGCTGGGTCCAGGCTTCTTCTTGGGAGCTGACTTGGGCTGTTGCACCAGAGGCGCTCTCGCCTTGGACGCACCCGCATCTCCGTTCGCATGCTTCTGCTCTCCGTTCGTATGCTTCTGCTCTCCGTTCGGGCCCTGTTCGCTGGATCCCGCCGAGAGCGGAGCGCCCGTTCGAGAGCGAGGTGCGCTCCGACCGTTCTCAACGTCAGCCTTGCCAGAGTTCGAAGCCGGGGTGGCCGAGCGGCTCTGTTGCTTTGGTGGCAGTGTGGTCTTGGGGCTGACATTGTCGCCTGGCGTCTCGTTCGGTCCGTTAAATCCTCCAGGGCCTCGCCGTCTACGCTCCTCAGAGGCCTCGTTCTCATCCAGATCCATGGCTGATGCTGTACGCTTCCTGCCCATGCGGTCTTCAAACTTCACCGTCACGCCATCCATCCTATCAGAATCACGGGACATTGTCTTGTCTGTGGCTGACGTAGGCTTGTTATCCCCGCCGACAGAGTTCTCACGCTCCCATGCCGCGTCCGTCATCTTGTAGTCGTTGAGATTCTGCTCAGCAGCCTCGGCATTCAGCATTGCATGATGATTGATAATATCGAGCATTGCCTGAGTGTTCGAGGAAGTGACGCTAGCCCGGAAGTTGGAAGATGGCTGGCGGAGCATGCCGAGTATGTTGCCAGTGGTGTAACGGTCTGTTGAGCGCGCATCATCCACCATCTTCTTCCAGTAGGTGTGGGTGCTTAAGTTCTCAGAGCTTCCCAGGATCCAGAGACTAGATTTCGCACGTGTGAGACCCACGTTCATACGGCGAATATCCTTCAAGAAACCGATACCTTGAGAGGCACGCACGCAAGAGAAGATGATGACCTCTTTCTCACGGCCCTGAAAGGCGTCGGTCGTGTTGAATTCGACGTGCTCCTCGACGTCGGTGCCGTACTTTCTGATGAATCGGTTCTTCATCTCTCTGTGCTGCGCCTTGTATGTTGAGATGATGCCAATCTGGGCGCCGCCATCCGCGTCATTGAATTGGAAGAGATGTTTGAAGTCTATCATCAAACGCTCGTACAACGCCATGGCGTGTTCGATTTCGTCGACGTTAATCGAGGACTTTCCGACTTTGGTCTGCCGTCCACGAACATCGAAGAATCGGTACGGCGCGAGCAAAGCACTGGCATGCCACGGCCGCACTCTAGCTTGCGCGGTGATGCCGTCCTTGAGCAGTTGGTCGTAGAACGCGGTGCTTGGGAATGCGCTGATGGCCGGGTGCATTCGATACTGAGTATCCAGCAAGTGCACGTCATTGGGCGAGTTCTTCTGCATACGGACGAACAGGCTCTGCTCATACTGGAAAGCTTTGGCCTGGTCCGAAAATATGGTAGGTGGCAACTGCTTGGGGTCGCCGACCAGGATGCACTTGATGCAGCCATACTTGAGGGGAATCAAGGTGCTCATCTCCACACACTGAGCTGCCTCATCAATAATGACGGTCTCGAACTCGATGTTGAGGTTGGAAAACATGTCGTGTCCGCTCCCGCTGAGCGTTGCACATATCACATGCGCCTCATCGAGGACCGCCTGGCGTGCTCGTTTCGTGTTCATCTCCTGCTCTCGGCCCGCTTCACGCTCCTGATCTTTGAGACGGTCGATTTGCTGTCCGAGCCGAGTCTTTTCCTTCTTCGCCAGAACGATGTCGTCGTCAAGCTTCTTGCGCGCTGATGCCACCATGTCGTGCTCACCTTTCTCGTGCGCATCGCGGATGTTGTAGAGCTCCTTCAATTGATCTGATATTTCCTTGTGTTTGCGAAACACCTCGCTCGATTGCTCACGCGCCTTTTGGTCTTTCTCGTTGCCGCTGCCTTGCTTCTTTGCAACCAACTCGTCCATAGTCACATCTTGGACCTTCGCATTGATAGCATCTGATTTACCAATACGAACAACATTGATCTTGTGTTCTTTGCCGTCCTTAGTCTTGATGCCATCCTTGAGTCGTATCACAATCTCGTCAATCGCAGCATTGCTGGGAGCACACACCATCAGCTTTTTGGGAGCCGTGTCTTCGCTGCCGTTCAGTCTGCCATTGGCGTTGGGTACAGCGATCTTGGTAGCGCCCTTGAGGCGGCTACCCAAAGTCTGAGTCAAGAGACCCCCAACAATGGCTTTGATGGTGCCCGTCTTGCCGGTGCCCGGCGGGCCCTGGATCAGAGAGAAGCCCTCGTTATCAAGTGCAGCATTGACGGCTTCACACTGGGCTCGGTTCAGCTTGTAGACATCTTGAATCTGGGATATCTGTTTGTCGCTGTAGTTGAGTCGGGGCGAGGGCTTTCCCTTGACGATCTGCATGTTGAGATCGTAGAATTGTAATGCTTTCAGCGCCGCGTACTCGCGCTCGAGGGGAGTTATGGATTGGACCTTCAGACCATGTATAATAGTTTGCATCGTGAGCTGACCAGCCAGAGTCGAACCAGGCATGACTTGGTACACCACCTCAAGAGTGCCCTTTTGACGCTTGATCCGAGAAATGCGAGCAAGGCAATGTGGCGAGTCACCATCGCTAGCAGGCTTCGATGATTTCGAGAGCAGAACAATGTCGCCCTCGTGTAAACCCAGCTCCTTGTTCTCCTGCTGACCAAGCATACTGCTGACTTCAATGAACCGGTCGACGTTGCCACGATTCAAAATCTTGATCTCGTATGGCTTTGATGTGTTCTGCTCCTTTTCTTGCGCCATGGACGACCAAGCTTCCATGATTAGAAGCGGTTCAAATGTCTGACGATATGACTCGTGTTCCCAGAATGAGTTGGAGACCTGTGAGAAATCGCTCTCGGAATACCCAGGGGGGTAAATGCCCTCGTGAAAGTAGTCCCACCCTAACATGATGTGGTATAGTGGCGACAAATCTTGTTTAACTCGAGCCCGAAGATCTTTCGCCGTGCGGGTGATTCGCTGAATTCGAGTAGGGCCTTTGAATTCCGGCTTCAATCCAACTGCGCCCGAAACGTCGACTCGTGGTATGGAGCCTTTCTTAGGCTTGCTGCTGGTGCCGAAAAGATCATCATCCAGGTCGTCATCGTCGTCACCCTCTTCCTCTTCCTCTTCCTCGCGATCCAGTTCGTCGTCATCAATCATGACTGTCTGGCCAGTTGTTGAGTGGTCTTTGCCCAGGTTGCCAATGCCAGCAACACCACTGCCTGCGCCAAGGTTGGCCTTTTCGATTGCGGCTTGCTTTTGCTTTTGTTGCTCTGCAAGGGCCTGTTTACGCTTTTGCAAGAAGTTCTTCTGGTCCGCCTGCTGCTGAGCCGCAGCTTTTTGTTGCGTCAAACTGGGTACTTTTTGCATTGGTTTGGCACCCTCTGCCTTTTGACGATCTGCCGTCTTCGACCATTCATCGACATTAATCACATTCTTCGGCCTTGCGCCGGATACTGGAGTGGATGAACCAGACCTGTCATCATGTCCGGTCCCAGGCACCGCCCAGCCTTGGAGGGAGCTTTGCTTTGTGCGGCTAGTAGTCGTATTGACGTTGGTGCTGGCTAACGATTTTCCGGTGTGCTGTTCAAGAGCGCGCTGAAGTACCGCCTTCTGATTCATGTCGAGCTTGGATTTGATCTTATATTGCTTGTCCGAGGTAGCCACAACATCCTCGACGTACTGAGCAGACTCTGTCGAGATCTCGACACCGACCTCACGCATCCTACCAAGTAGCTTTCCGGTGAGGTCGACAGCCTTCTGGATTAGATAATCGTCGCGCAGACGCAGCCACTTGATGACGCTTTTGAATGCGTTGTTGGGCTGTTGCAATAAATCTTTCCCCGATGATACAGAGCTTCGATCGCCGCGCGCCGTCTGTAGAGTGCTAGCAATGATAGAGTACTGATCAAAAACGAAGTCTGCAAAGTCCATGGTCTCTCGACAAAAGTCCTTCATGTCATCCTTGTTGTGGCCCAAGCTGCTCCACGACTCAGTGTTATCGAATATGGTCTGAAGCATCGTCCAGGTGCGCATCCAGAGTGTGCGCAGCGCTGTGGTATCATCCTTGGTGAATTCTGTCTTGCTACGAAGTATACCATCAGAAGTATCGCAAAGGCAGCTAAACACGTCTCGAAGGAGCTTGAGCATGTTAGAGCACGGACCGAAGACCCGAGCATCATTGATGTCCCGTACTGAAGCTCCAGCAGCTTGGAGAACTGTGCTGAAGAAGAGCCTTATTACGTGCATCAAGCTGTCTCGTCGGCCATCCTCGCCGCTGAGAGTCTTCAGCACAGAAAGTGCTCCGTTGTGGATAGCGTTGTCGCCACTGAAAAGCAGTGACATGATACCACGAGCGGCATGCTTGTCAGCGAGAACATCGACTAATTGATCGGGACTGAACGCGTCAAGTCGCTCCAAAAAGTCGGCGGTGACATACTCCTGGACTCTGCCAAGCGCCATATTGAAGCTTTCACCCGCCTTTTGCGCTACTGACACGGACTTCGGAGGCAGTGTATCAAGCGGCAGTAAGCCCGTGATGCCAGAGAGGATGGCAATGACGAAGATAGGTTGGCCTGGCTTGACATGCCGCATGCAAACTTTCCAGATGTTCAAGCTTGACGCACCAATCTCGTGGTCCAATTCGCGCTTCGTCTCAATCATCTTTCGGTCGCGAGTCAGACTTTTCAAATCGAGAGCCAGGGCGCTCTGCAAGATTTGTAGTTCAAGACTCTGGCTCTTGGTAACTTGAATCTCTCCCTTTGATTCGATGCCTTCCAGATCTTGCATGATGACACCAAGGTGGTCTTTGGCGATCGTCTCAAGAAAATGCGTGTAGACTGGCCCACCTTCGACTGTCTCCTTGAGCGCATCACATGCATATGACACACAGGATAGACCCACTTCCCACGCTACACTACTGGTTGAGTGTGGATACTTTTCTTCCTGATATTTGTGCAAAGTCTGATTTAGCACAATCCGGAGAGGAGCCACAATCAAACTTGGCTTGATGCTCCGGATGAACGCGTTCACCCATTCCATTCTCTCAGCGATGTGCGTTTGCTGCCCATGGGGACGCTCCTCCCTAGTAAGAAGCATATGCTCGAGACCTGGAGCAGCAAAGATTGTGTTGATGATAGGGGGCGCTCCATATGATCCCATGGCATCCCAAAATTCCGCTGGAGCCTTGTCAAGAAGCATGCGATAGGTTGCCAGTAGATCCTCGAAATGTGGCTTGTCGAGTTGAAAGTGTTCCAAGCCGATGGTGTACAAGTTTGCATCCATAGCGCGGAAGTTATTAGCAATGAGGGATCTGTCCAGTCCGCGGACAATCCTTCGCGTTGCCTTCCAGAATATAGGAAGGAACTCCTCCTCTAGGGCTGTGATGTAGACTCTTCCAAGAGCAGGCTCCAGAAAGGGCTTTACGCTGAATTCAAATTCGTTTGGTAACAGAGGCCGCTTGATCTTGTCGAAGTTTTTCTCGGCCCAAGAAGTACGGACTTGCTCGCTGGAGAACAAGAAGGCTACCATGCCAGGTGCGTACTGAGGTATCGTGACTTTCTTCTTGACCTGTACCATGCCAAAAGGCTTGTCGAACCACGCCTTCAACAAGTCCTCGTTATTGATGAATGGCCTGCAATTAAGAGCCTCGAACATTGCGTACATGCCTTGGTCGCCAGCTGAAGTGATCTTGCGGTCCGCCGGGGGAAGATCCATGAGCGTCTCGGTCATTGTTGCGAGACCGGATATTATCCTCTCATTATTCATTTCATCGTACTTTTGCATGAATTCCCGCACGTCATCCTCGGGATACTCCTCCTCCAGCTGTGCGCGTAACCATGCCCGAGAGCGATGATACTCGCGAATGCATATGTCGCAGCGGGTGAGCTGCTCGGCGAAGCATTTTATCAATTTCTCCTGATACGGTTTGGCATCTTGTCCATCGAAGGCAAGAATCTTGGAAGTGAGTAAAGCCTGCTCTCGCCGCTCGTTTGCCAGCCGGTTTTTAGCTTGTCTCGCTTCCTTCTGCTTCGCGGGCTCTGAGGCGAGGGAATCCGTGAGATCCTCATCGAAGTACAAGTTGGCGTCCTCGGCAGACTCGCGCGGGCAGAACCAGTGCAAGCCGCTGTCCAGCTGGCTGAGCTCCTCGAGCTGCTGCACGATGTCCATGATGCTGACGTGCCGGGCTCACGGGCCCGGCTCCTTGACGGGATAGTGTCTGCTCAATTGCAGTCGATAGCGAGTGATTGGCTCGGAAATCGTCCGTTGTGTACGGCCCCTCTCAAGTCGACTCTCGGCCCAAGCTCTTTGTTCTGTTGGTGGCCCCGGAAAGGGAAGTCGGCACCGGCGGGAAGCGAGAGGACAGTCGTGGAGATGGATATGGATGGCCGGCCGCAGTCGCTTGTCGAACCAAAGACGCCGAGTTGCGAAGGTGGTGTAGATCACGGTTCAGGCCGATGTTGGTTGTGCTTGTTGTTGTTGTAGAAAGGAAGCAATTGCGAAGGAACGCGGCCCTTGAAAGATTGGAAGGTTCTAGGCAAAGCTAGTTAGTGCATGTGAATATTACGGTAGCATCCGCAAAGCATGTGAAAGTGGCCGCTTCCCCCCAAACGCCGTGTCGAGCCCATGTGAAGTTGGTGAGCGGAGTGCTGTACAAGGCGAAGGTGCAGTGGTGGTGACGACGAGGAGTTGATGAGGGAAGCTTCAAATCCATTCCGAAGATTCACCGATAGACGCGACGCGCCGCAGCGCCAACCTTCCAAGTTCCATTAGCTGAGCCACAGCGTTGATAATGATATACAACACATTGAGCTCCGCCGCTGGACTTCACATGCTCTGGACACCGATTATCGACACATTTGACATTCGTATGAAGCTGTAGAATTATACATCCCACTCCTGACTCCGAGGATGTCTGAAGACCTATTTGCAGCCTTTGGAGAAGAGCCTGTCAACGGTGCGGCAACACGAACAACTCAGAGACATACAGCAAGCTCTTGGGAATCTGGCATACAAAGATCTCCTCTGTCCGGTGAAGGGCAGCCGGATCCTCACAGTCTCAGATCTGCGGGTACCCAATCGGCTGTCGAGGAAGATGATGACGATTTTGGCGATTTCGAGGATGCTAACGACTTCGAAACACCTCCAGAGGACCTCTCCAGCGAACCCAAGGCTACTCCTCAGAAGACCGAGTCTTCTGAGCCCCGGCAGAATGCATCATCGGCAGCAGCATTTCCTCCAAAGGCTCCAAAGGAGGCTGAGCAACACACCCAGTCCCAAGACTCCAAGATCGGAAAACATCCATTTGCGGGCCACATGGACTTTCTGTTTGAGGCTGGTGATGACGAATATGATGCTGGAGCGGACGATTTGGAGAATCTAGCCAACAATCCTGAAGCAGCAATGGCTTACTCTAAGCGGCTGATTGCTGAGCAACAGGCACAGTTCAGTAAATTGACCAAATCGACGGCGGCAGCTCCGTCTTTGAGAGCACAAACAGCAGGACATTCCCGGGCAACGTCTACAGCCTCCACACATAGCTCGAGCCATGCACGTATCGGATCACTAGGCAAAGCGAGCAAGCTCACCAAGATTCCACCCAAGATTCAAGGTAAAGCAGTCTCGCATGCTCCTGCCAATCCTGCGCCTGCAAGGAATAAGCTGAAGAAAAAGTCGGGATATGCTCCTGCGAAAGATCCCAACGTGTTGTTCGACGCCGATGACCCGTCGGAGGGCGACGACGACGACGAATTTGGAGATTTCGAGGGCGGACCTTCTATCTCCGTCGCAAGCGTGTCGACCGTGACACAAACAAAGCCAACACTTCAGGCTTCAATGCCAGACATTGATCTACTTGGCTTGGATCAACCTACTCCGAAGTCGCTCGGTCAAATTGGCAGAACGAGAAGCGCTTCCATGAGAGCGGCAGATCAGATCCTCGGTCCTCCAAAGCTCCCACCGTCCAACTCGCCATCTGGAAGAGAAGGTCAGTTAATAGACGACGATCCGTGGGCAGACTTCGAGACTGCAGCTCCCAAGCCGACCCAGATATCAATTACGCCCGCGCCAGTAAGCATCGGTGCTGAAGAAGACGACGCATGGGACGACTTCAAAGCAGCGGATCCAAGTAACATGCCTGCTGCGGGCTCATCGGCTTCCACGCGGTATTCGGTCGGAAAGCAAGCGGCATCACCTTCAAAGCAGGCCTCAGAATCCCTGGTGCCACTGACAAACATACCTCCTCCTGCTTTGTTGCTCTCAATCTTCCCGTCGATCTTCTCTGCTGCCCAGGACACCCTTTTTGTGCCGATGTCAAGACTTGAGCCTTCACAGCGTCACGAACTCCTTTCGCACCATGCAACCCACCAGTTTATTCGTAGCTATCTCGACTCGGCCATCGCTTTGGCGCACATTATTGCTGGTCGTAAATTACGCTGGAAACGCGACCAGATCCTGTCTCAGAGCATGCGAATTGGGCCTGCGGCTGCTGGTGGCAAGGGTGGAATGAAGCTCGCCGGCGTCGACAAGTCAGAAGTAGCAAAAGAAGACCGAGAAGTCTTGGATGTCGTCAGACTGTGGAAAGGTCAGGTGGGAAAGCTTCGAGGCGCTGTAACAACGGCATCTTCGACCGCAGACGGCTCTGTCAGATTTCCATCGGTCCCCGAGATCAGCGAAACGATGCCAGTGAGAGCTCTCAAATCGGTCGAGGGCGGCTTCGTAGCTCCTCATGCATGTGCTCTCTGTGGCCTTAAGCGGGAAGAACGTGTCCAGAAGGTGGACGTCGATATCGAGGACAGTTTCGACGAGTGGTGGGTCAATGGTATGGACACGCATGTCACTTGTAGGAACTGGTGGGAAGGGAACAAGGGCAAATTGCGTTCCAGGTAATCGCATAGCTTCCTTGCGGCCTCGGTCAAGGGAAATATACGGTACGGGCACGCTCGAGTGCTATCATGATGCTAGCATGACTTAGCTGTCGTTGCTCGTTGCCATCATGACCTCAGGGTTCTCGAGCTCTCAGTCTTCCCGGAATACTCCAGGAAAGGAGAACGGCGCGAGGTGTTTGGTCGCTACACAGCACCTCGCCGCAGCTCTAATACTCTCGCGAGACTTGATGGAGCTGCATCGTGGCCCACGTGGCTAGCGTTGGATAAACTTTGATGATCCAGTGTTCTGGATCCCGCGAAGAAGACGCCTCAGCCAGCCCTCGACTTCACTTCCTCACTTCGGCCATAACATACACAAATGAGGCGAGCAGGATCGGCCTTGCCGGAAACGCTACTGTAAAGCGCTTAAGGAGCTCACTGACACCCAACCACTTCCTGGCACCGCACTCGGAGCGCCGAGAATGGTCACGGTGTATGCAGGGCCTCGATCGCAATGATAGTCGAAGTCTCTCGTCTGGCCTGCATCATTGGTCCAGCTCTGGAATTCCAAGCGAGCTGTATGAAAATCTTTCCACCTTTTCGGGAGGGTCCAGCTCAGTTGAGGCTCTAGTCAGCCAGCCATGAGCGCCCTCGATCCTCATCGATTGCTCACAGAATGTAACATGTTTGTGTAGGACGTTTATTTCCTGCCCTCAAATAGCACAATAGTCGGTATCTCCCCGTCCTTCCTTGCACCTCCACTCCCCAATCACTCTGTTTGCTCTTCACCTTGGCAAAGAGATAGCAAAGATGTTGCTCCCCCTCGCAAGTCTCCTCTCACTCTGGACTCTCTCATCAGCAGCGGCAGCTGTTCCCGTGACAGATGTCGTACAGAAACGAGATGCCTACTCCACGCCTCGCAATCAAATGTACATCCAGACATTCAAGAACACCACCGGCGGCCAGTTCTCCATGTTACCGCTGATCCAGAACCCAACACAACTTACGCACCTCTACCTGGCGGCTCTGCATATCAATGATGACCCCAACAACATCAATTTGAACGACGACAATCCGAACAGCACCGTCTGGAATACGATGTGGAACGAAGCAGCTCAGGTGCAAGCCCAGGGCGTCAAGGTCATGTTCATGATGGGTGGAGCTGCCGCTGGATCCTATCCTAGACTCTGCGGAGGCTCCAAAGGGACGGCTGTGGTGAGTAGATATGTAAACCTGCCAGCAATGAAGTCATGCAACTAAACTTTCTGGCCTTAGAACATGACATACTACATGCCTCTCTACTACACGATCAAATATCACAACATCGACGGCCTCAACCTCGACATCGAAGAACAAGTGGTATATCAGTGTCCTCTTGCACTACTGCAACAGTTGAACAAAGACTTTGGTCCGCTTCCCTCTCGAAATCGTTTCCCTCTGAGTATCCAGCTAACCAGTTTTGTAAACCAGGCCCGAATTTCATTCTCACCATGTCCCCCGTCGCCTCCGAACTCCAGCCCTCTGGCTCCGGCCTCGGCGGCTTCTCCTACAAAACCCTCGACTCCAAAGCCACAGCCTCCAGCAAACCCGCCGGAAAGCTGATCAACTGGTTCAATGCCCAATTCTACAACGGCTGGGGCGACGCTTCTTCGACCAGCGGCTACACCTCCATCATCAAAAACGGCTATGCCGCCAACCGCGTAGCGATGGGCATCCTCGATTCTCCCAACGACGGCGGAAGCGGTTTCTACCCTATCGCCACTTACCAGAAGACGATCAAGAGTTTGCGATCGACGTATGGAACGAGCTTCGGAGACGTGGTCGGTTGGGAATACTGGGATGCGGGGATCAAGGACAATGATACGTATCCTTATCAGTGGACGCAGACCATTGGAACGGCCTCGTTCAACAAGAGAGACGTGGAAGACGAAGAAGAGGACGCGGAGTTGGTGGAAAGGCAAATTCCTTCCCTGACGCCAGCTGGAGATCCGACGTCGTATGGACCTAGTCCATGGCCAGCTTTGGCGAGCAAGTTGGTTGGTGCTGGCGTTCTGCAGATTGCAGCTGTGAGAGCGCTGAATATCAGCAATGGCGACTTGCACGGGGCATTGGGTGTTCTTGGACTGCCCACCAACTTGTTGGGGGGCTAGGGTCAGGTCTCATGACGCTTGTATAGAATGTAACAAATATGCACCCGGTTCATGTCATGCTTCGAGAGAATTTGCGCACAGAGCAGATCTCCTTTCCCCCAAGAAATTGGCACAACGCGGGATCATCCAGAATGAAGTCGACTCGAGGGAACGATCTCAAAGGTTGAAAATGCCCTAAAAGCAGCCAAAAAAGTGCGTCTCTCTACGCAATGCGCACCATGATATCGGCAAGTCGGCATGCATTGCGGCCATACAAATCTAGTAGGTCATTCCTTATGTCGTTAGTTGCCATGCTCGCAATCCCATCATTGCTGTCTCGTGGTGCAAATGAGGTCTCCAGGCTGCATTGCTCTGAGTGTTTTGACCGTGCTTTGGAAGCCAGCATTGCAGATTGTCCACGTGAGGTCTTCGATAAATCCTATTGGACGGTCGCCGAGAGGCGATGGTGGTTGACGTGGTCAGGGACGTGCTGCTTGCGCCGGAGTGCGACTACGGTATGTCCCTCAGTGTAATCGATGATAATGCCATTGTTGTTCCAAAATGGGACACCTGCGTAACTTCTAACACTGTCCTCAATGAAACCTAGCAGGGAAAGGCGAGTACTTTTGATATTGGCCTCATCTATAGAGGCTTGTAGTGAAACATATTAAGCTCTTCGTCTACGAAGCCATGTCTCAACTCGGCGCTGGCTCGTCGGATTGTATGTCCCGCTGTCGCATCACACGCCTGACCCTCCACTGCTTTGAGACCCGAGCAAAACAAAGTCGGGCGATGCCACTGCGTGTACGTCTGGCCGGGTTCCCGAATGAGCTTGAGACTTTCTCAAACGCTCCGACATATCTCCAGAAGATCTTCCGTTGGGTAGAAGCACGGTTCCCAAGCAAACGCGACGGCTCCTGGTACCGGTTGGTATAGCTCTTGGACTATCCATCGTCGTCCAAGGTATCTGCTTCCCAACAATGCACCCAATAACATCTCTATATTGCTGAGCCAATAATCGAAAGGTCGTCGGCTCTGATAGTTCAGATCCAGTGCTGTCTCAGACGAGACCTCAAGCGTCGGGCTCACCAGCAGTGGTGAAAACAATCAACATGTCCTGATGAAATGGTGTGGTGTTGTTCAGCGACTTTGCCACTATCTGTTTACGTGTGGACGGTGGCGTGATGCGAACCTGAGCCAGCTTTCGCGGGTGGCGTAGGTCCAGAAGCAGCCATTTCACGGGTGAGCTTCCACATCGCCCAACCTGCGTCCTATACAACGAAAGGAGAACCAAGTGCTTCAGGCGAGGGATGTAAAGTAGATATCGAGGAGTCAGAAGTCGCATGCGCCATCAATCGTATTCGCGGAAGACTCGGGTCAATCATGATTCCACAGCCTTGCCATCCTCGCCTTTCCTCTTCTTGCTACGCTTCTTCTTCCTCGCCCCGTCTTTTGCATTACCTTCATCCTTCGACATGGCGGCACCGTGTCCAGCAGGAGCGCCGCCCAAGATGCGCTCGAATCCGCCGGTAGGCTCGTCGATCTGCCCAAAAGTCTCTTTCCGCCACTGCCTCAGCCTTGCTTTTTTGGAGAATTTCTTCTTATCGCGACGCTTCTTCTCTGGGTCTCTGAACGCAGCCATTTTCTTTAGACCAGCATACTCATTCAGTCGGGCATCGTCTGCAAACAGGATATCTCTTGCGCTCAATCCAAAGGAACTAGGTGATGTCTCTCGATAGCGGAATCCAACGACTGGAGCTTTCGATGAAGAGGCCGCGGTGATATTAGGGTCGTGCAGAGGCAGAGACGCATCGACCATCTCTTCAATCTTTAGACGTTCTTTGCGGGCCGCGCGCTTCGCTTCAGTCTTTTCCTTTTCCCGATCTTTCTTGGTTTTCTTCTTGGGTCTAACTGCTGCTTCGTCCTCAAGAGAGCCGGCTGGCAGGGGAGCTCCGCCGTCTTCTTCATCGGAAGAAAGAGTGATGTCTGGCTTGTCTTCAAATTCCGGGACCAGATCCTTGATGTCGATATCGTCGTCCCATTCAGGTTTCTTGGGCTTGCGAGACTTGGACTTCTCATTTTCTTCGTCATCTGACCCAAACCCGGCGTCGTCTTCTGCATAGTATCCTTCACCAAACCGCCGCTTCATCTCTTGTTCCCATTTTTCGTCATCAAAATCACCTTCAATGACATCTCGCCACTCATCCAGATTCAGTTCTTTACCACGCAAGCCAGCGGCTTCCTTGATACGCTTGACCTTTTGCTCGGCTTCCTCAACCTTCAGCTTCCGTAGTCGCGCCCTGTCCTCCTCACGTTCCCTTTTCTCGGCCTCTTTCTGCTCTCTTTCACGCTCTCGAGCCTTCTGTCTACCACTCTTGTCTTCTCTTCGTACACCATACTTGCCAACATCACGAGAGAAGGACTTGAGCTTCTCGTTTGCGGCGGGGTCTTCGAATCGTAGGTTGTAAGCCTCTTCGAATTCGTCGGCTTTCTTTTCGTCTTCGCTATCGTCGGACTCGAGAGGCTGGAAGCGTGATCCTTCTCCAGGTAGCCAAGCTCGCGCAGCCATGAAGTTTGAGAGGAACGTCTCAGGGTCCTTGTTCGCTTCTTCGATATCCTTCTCTGTGATCTTCTTCGTCTTCTTGGGCTTCGATTTAACAGGCAGGTTGTCGTGAGTTTGCTTCTTCTTCGCGACCAGCATATCGTCTTCCTCAGCATCATCGTCTTCGGAGTTGGCCAGAGCATGCATGGATCCGACCAGTTCTCGTCGCATCTCATCCTGTTCTTCTTGGAAAGTCTGTACTCTCGGCTCTTCCTCATCCTCTTCCTCGACCCCAGCGTTCCCGGCCAACAGATTCTGTCGATGGTAATCCGACAGGTACATGGGCTTCTCTTTTTTCTCTGTGTCCTTCCCAGCAGTCTCCGGGTCGAACTCTCGATAGAACTTAACATTCGTGTCATACACTCTTGGGTCTTTGCTCTTGATTGCATTCAATGTCGCCATGATCTCTTCGTCCACGTCCGCAGTCGCCAACTCTGCATCGTCGTCCTCGTCCTCGTCGGTCGATGATTCCTCTTCGCTACCTTCATCGTCGCCGCGTTTCCGCTTGCCGGAAGAAGATGCGCCATACTTCTCCTCAAGTTGCTGCTTCTCCTCGCGCTTCTTGTTATACTCGAATCGTTTGGCGAATTCCTCGTTGATCTTGAAGCCATTACCAGAACCGGTCTTGACTTCGTCGTCAGAGCCTTCATCGAGTAGCTTTGTGCGCTTCGCATGACGCACGGCGTCAAGAGACTCGATTCTACCCATTCTGAAGGTGCGAGGAGGTGTTGTGTGGTCGCAAATGCTAGAGGAATTTCAATTCGAAATTGTCTAGAAAATCTTCGGCTCTCGGCAGAAGGTTGTGCCGTCCCGAGTCCGACACTCTGCTAGAAGCGAGTGGCGCTCAAAAAATCTCGAACTCGTAACAAGCCAAATATTTGCATTCACACGTAACGACATGGAGCGGCCGACGAAGAGAAGACGAGTATCACAAGAGAGCGATGAAGTCCCTTCTTTCTCGGACTCAAGCGAGGCCGGAGATGGAAGTTTCGCGACAGCAACTCGAACAGTGGAGAATATCTCGCGAATAAAATCGAAAACGGCTGTCGCGAAGCAGTCTGGATCAGACGGCAACACTGGCGGCGACGACTCCAAAAATCTGGAGAGTCTCCCAGCGGCTATTCAGGACGCCATAGACAAAGATGATGCAGCGACCTTTGCATCAATAGGCGTAGATCCATGGCTGATTGCCTCACTATCTCATATGGCCATCAAATGGCCGACTCGCATTCAGAAGGCTACAATCCCCCAGATACTGGCTGGAAAAGACTGTATAGGTGGAAGCCGAACGGGCTCCGGAAAGACGGTTGCGTTTGGAGTACCTATCCTGCAGCAGTGGGCGCGAGAGCCTTCGGGTATCTTTGGACTCGTCCTCACACCCACGAGGGAGCTCGCTCTTCAGATATATGAGCAGTTCCAGGCTATCGGCGCAAGCCAAGGAATCAAGTGTGTTCTCGTGACTGGAGGCGCAGACATGAGGACGCAGGCGCTGGAGCTTTCAAAGAGGCCACACGTTGTGGTTGCTACTCCTGGAAGGCTAGCGGACCACATTGAGAGCAGTGGGGAGGATACCATCTACGGATTGAGGAAGGTCAAGTTTGTGGTTCTGGATGAGGCCGATCGGCTACTCGCGAGCGGCACGAAAGGTAGCATGTTGCCGGATGTCGAGACATGTCTTGATGCCCTCCCTCCCGCTGAAAAGAGGCAAACCTGTCTTTTCACTGCTACAGTCACGCCGGAAGTACGCGCCCTGAAAGAGATGCCCCGGGGCAAAGATCGACCACCAGTATTTGTATGTGAAGTTGATATCGACTCACTTGCAATTCCACCCACTCTGGATCAGCGATATCAGCTAGTCAATGTGCTACACAAAGAGAAATACCTCCATATCCTGCTACTGACACCGGCCAACGTCGAGAAAACCACAATAATCTTCTGTAATCGCACAGATACTGCGAACTTGCTGGAGTACTTACTACGGCTTCTCGAACATCGAGTCACGGCCCTGCACTCTGGCCTTCAGCACGAGCAACGAATATCAAACCTAGCGCGCTTCAGGGCACGAGCCGCTCGCATCCTGGTTGCCACAGACGTCGCCTCTAGAGGTCTGGATATCCCAGATGTCGGCCTTGTGATCAACTATGATCTACCTCGAAATCCAGACGATTACATCCATCGAGTTGGTCGCACAGCTCGTGCCGGCCGCAGAGGTACGGCGATATCTTTGGTCGGTCAGCGGGACGTGGAGCTTGTGCATGCTATCGAGCAAAGGGTAGGACGGCAGATGGAAGAATACAAGGAAGACAAGGTCTCGGTCGAGAAGCGCGTGATTGAGACGGCACTGAATGTTGTGGGCGATAAGAAGAGAGAAGCCATGCTAGCGATTGAGGAAGGCAGAGATGTCAAAGGAAAGCGAGTGAGGAAGATGGAAAACGCGAAGAGGAAGTTAAAACAATGAGGCAGACAGCTGTCATCACAGCAGATCTCTGGCCTATCTCAGCTCGACAAAGCTCGGAAAAGCCGATGTCCAGGTATCTGGAACATTGATCTGTTCCTGCAACCTCGAGATCAAGGGAATCAATTCCTCGTTCCTTTCGGCTTATCTTATTGTTCAATTGAGAAATTACCTCGGCCTTGCCCCTCACCGTCAATTTCCATCTTGTCAGCCTCAATCTCCTTTCAAACACGTTCTTTCGGCGGGAGCTCAGCATATCCACTCCAAATTCGGCACGCTGCCTGGGATACGACGTGGATGCGTGTCAACGGCACTGCTGGTATAGTTCGCTTGAGCGAGAAAGCCAGACCATGTCTCGAGAAACGATCAACTAACAGCTTGACGTATTCGTCAAGATCCCTCTGCATGGCTTCTAGTCTTTCGATTCCAGTCCGATCGTGCAGAGGAGTGGGACACGGCTGGTTCGAAGCGCTCTGAAAACTCGATTCTTCTCCAGGCGCAGACATTTGTACATCCTGAAGCTCGGATCGGAAAATTGTCGATATCCATGAGTGTTGAATTGGGGGAGTTCAATGACTCTTGTGGACTTGACATTGACCTTGTCGCTGGCCCCTGTGGGAACGTCTTGCATCTTTTCGGCCCTTTTTCTGCTAGGTTGGGATGCTGTCTTGATTGAAGTAGTGAGGTTGGCGCTGCTTCTCTGCTTGCATCTTGGATGGCGGCCATAAGCAATTTGGATATCGGTGTGAAGCCTAAAAGCTCAAAGGGACTGTCTGCTTATGAACGATATCATGTTTGCTACCCTTGTGAATGGAAGACGAGAATACTCTTGATATCTTAAAACGACTTTATCTGCTTTAATACTGATGCTTGAAAGTAGTTTGTCGTCCATAAGCTCTTCGAACGACACGAGTGACAAAGGAATGGAAACCGCGCCGGGCTCGACGGTACCCTTGCTGGGTCAAGATAGCCGATGTTACCGCTGCGATGTCGACATAGTGTGCACACGGGAGGCTTTTTTCAAGCATCGGATCGGTACACGACGCCGAGATGACTCAAGAAGGACTAATCTGATACTTCAAGCGCCTCTTTCAGACCTTTGACATCCCAATAGAAAGGCCGGATCTCCGTGATCACTCCCCGCACTCGGTCGACTCTCACAAACTGCGCCAGGGGCCGTGCCCATTCCTTCCCATTCTTCTTCACCCGCAACTTCAAAGTCGAATAGACTAAGACGGCATCGCTGTCTTTCTGCTCAAATATCTGGGGATCGGTGACTTCGAGACGGTTGAAGTATGATGCCATCGTTTCGCTCCATTTCAGAAATCCGGAGTGGCCCTTGAATTCGCCTCCCCAGGGTAGATCGGGGGATTGGTGAAGTTCAAGGTCCGGGGCAAGTGTGCTGGCCATGCCGGCGAAGTCTCGTTCAGATGGTGCAGAGGCCATGTAGACTGTCTCGGCGGCGTAGAACTTTGGAGCTGTTAGGGAGGTTTAAGATGTCACGCAAAGAGGCTGATGTAGGTACCTTTTGCAGGATTTCTGCTGGCGTCGGAAGAGAGGTGGAAGCCATCTTAGTGGCGTGAGAAAATTGATTGTCGTTTGTCGTTTGATTTGCACACGCGGTTCAGCGCATTGATACAGATATGACTTTGAAAAGTGGTCTCGTCACATTCCGCTTGAAGGATCGAATTTGTCAGCCGGTCCATTGGTCATCCAGTATGTAGTGCGGAAGGAACAATCACACACATCGTCTCAGGAAAGTGCTTCACACGTGTTGGCCTCCCATGGCTTCGAGTTGGAAGCGCGGTACGTGGGTCGGATGCCAACATCTCTCGTCCTAGGAGGTTGCTGAAACCGCAGGCTGCTGAACCCGCCTGCTTATTGTACAGCAGCAAAAGCTCGATTCCGATTACGAGCAAACGGGTCTCAAGACTCCAACGTCATCGTCCCCGTGGCAGAGAGGTTTTAGCGGTCGCTTGTTCATCAACATTGGTCGTCTTGCTCGTGAGTTTGTCGATTTTGCCCTGCAGCTCTGCTCTCTGTTGCAGAAGTTTCCGCTTCGTTGCCTCCAGCGACTCGATCTTCTCTGTTATTGGATATTCCCGAATTGTTTGTTGCTCCTATCGTAAGTGTGAGTTCAAAGTCTGCCAGGAGGTGGACATGAGGAGGTGGACATGAGGAGGAGTACCTGCTTGAATTCTTGCCTGGTCTTCAAGCCGGCTCCGTACCAAGCTCCCGTTGCGGTAATCGCAGCCACTGATCCCGTGAGAACGTAGGTACGTATTTTGTTGGTGGACATGATGGAGCTCTTGGTGACTTCGGATTCGATGAATGCAGAGTGAGAATGGCTCTCTAGTGGACGAAGAACGGGGGCAACAGGCTTTGGCATCTCGGCGAAAAGCTTTTCCCCGCCGCGTCTCTCACTGGACTGGTTCTACGCGTCAACAACACGTCTTCCTGACACCTCACTCAACTCACCTGCCGTACATCCATACGAGCCGAAGCAAAATGTCCAATCCTACACGCACGCCGGGCCCATCAGGCTCTCACGCATACAATTCACGCCGCTCCACCGTCGCTACGTCCGGCTCCAAATCGCGCCAGCTCTCGCACCTGCACTCGCAGCTCGCGCAGTTGACAGCCAACATGTCAGACCTCGAGAATTTGCTGCGCATGACTGCTGTGCAGGCCGAGGGTATGAGAGGACTGGGAGGCTATGCTGGTGGGATGTGAGTACAATCGACGATCTTTTGCAGTAGTGACAGGCGCAGCACTAATAGCCTGGACAGGTTCATGGCTGCTTCGAAGGTGCTTGGTGAAGAGACAGTCAATGGTGGTCCAAGCACTGGTGAGGAAGAGCGCAAGTGAAACGGTGCGAAGAAAATTGGGGACATAGGTTGCGGATGGACTGTAAAGCGCAGTGGGGTGTGGTATATATCCCGCGTGGAGACCATTTCGACGGACAGAGGCCTCGATCCTTACGCTCGCGTTTAAACGAGGAACGCGGTCGACGAACCACTCGTGGGCTGTCACATGCTTCAAGCCGCTCAAGGCCATGCCCGGAAACCACCTACCTTCTGTGCCGACCGATGTCCTTCCAACACGACCGAACATCAACGACTCCTAGAGAGATTATTCAAACTTGGCACAATGGAGCCTGTCTTGCCGCCAGCCACGAATACCTCTGGAGAGCCACAATCACAGCAGCATCCTACAACTTCTACACCCGCAAGCACAGAAGACTCACTTGTCGCTGAGCAGGCCAAACTCAAAAATCGTCTCCTTGAGCGCAACATCCGTCTAGATGACGAACGAAACCAACTCATCAGCAAGAAAGCTGGGCTTGTCAACTCCTACCACTTCTAACAGCGTGATAATCTGATGGAGATTACGGACCTCAAGCAAGAGCTCGCAAAGCAAGAGGAGTTGAACCAGAGATTGGCATTTGAGTTACAACGACAATTGGAAGATCCGCCAGAGGACCTCCAACAAGAAGTTCTAGAGCAGCATCAAGACCACGACGACATGATAGCCTGCGTGAAGGAAGAGGATAAAAGGTGCGTCCTAGCAGAAGAAGAATTTCGACGCTGCAGAGTCTATCCAGTGCCTATGTCACAGCCTTCACCTTGGAGATAAGCTGAGTTTGGCCAGCAATGACCAATCTACTTCCATCCTTTTCGTCCAGCAGAACGAGGACATCGACGAGAAGCATCCTCACCCATTGGTTTCGAGCATATTGTCTCTCTCTCTCTGAACTACCGATCTCACACCTCTTGTTAGCTTCGCCGACGACGAAACACCTCCACACGCGAGATCGAAGATGTGTCTCAAGAAGTTATGCAGTCCCTCCTCGATTCGATGGAAGGTTATTATGACCGCCGCGAACGTTTGGAAATGTCATGAACGTTTGGAAATGCCATCGACTCGGCTTACAGTACCGACATCTCCAGTCAACTGCGGTTATATGTGGACGTTTGGTCTTGGCTCTCGCATGATCTGGACGGTTCATTGGCCCCGACACTTCACCTGCAGGACCTGCTTCAATAGACGCCGGGCATGCTTTTACTATCACAATGGGGAGTAGATCGTGCTTCCTTTGCCGCTACAGGTACGTGACGACAAATTCAACCACCGCGAGACTGGATTCTACACTTACGGTGGTTCGGGTACAGCGGACAATTTCTCGGGTGTTTGGGATGCTCCAGAGTATCTCACGCGGAAGCGGTTCAAGGAGACATCAGAGGGCTATTCGGCGGCATAGATGGGATGTTCTCTCAGAGCTATCATCTCGACATCGTTCAGGGCCCAGCATCTATTCCAATTCTACAATCGCAAACTCCGATGTGAGTTTGGGAATGCTGTCCTCTCCGGGCTCCGACACGATGCAAAACCGCAGCAGGTCCATGCCCATGGAACGCAGAGACAGGATGACGTCTTCGAGATACCATCCAGTCTGGATCGCCCAGTCGCCTAGCGGGCGAAGGACATACTTCTGGTCGCTGGCAGCTCCGATTCCTGGGGAAAGCAGTCGTGCGGTGGAATCGATACCGTGCAAGGTGCCATTGAGCATATGCATATCCTAGTCGAGAGCAACTATTAGCATGGGAACGAGGCAAGACCTTCTGGAAAGCTAATGCGATGACTAACATGATCTCTTGCCGTGCTTGTACATACCCATATATTGATCTGCCCAATACAAGCTACGAGATCAGGTCCCAGAACTTTCAACCATTTTGCTAGCGGTGTTGCGGGGCCGTCATCCAAATGTGCGTTGAAGTCTGTTAGGAAATAGTACATTGGAAGGCTTTCGTGGCGGATTGCGCGACATGTGAGAGTCAGAGGGTGTTGATGGTGTCTGGTGGGAGAGGCTGGCGGTAGAGTGACGGCGTAGGGTGATGTGAAGGCGTGTTCGTAGATGAGGTTGCGAAGTTCAGGCGAGAGACGGCTCAAGAAGAAGGAGGAGGATCCCATTGCGTACCAAGTTTTCAGAAGGTATGTAGGAGATAAGTAGCGAATCGAATGTCCGACTGACTGATGTTGATGTGGGTTGATTGCGGTGCCGGGAGACCGAGGTGAGGTGAAGTGCGTCTCAGCGGAGAATCTTTCTACCGTGCCGTGCCGTGCCGATGTGAGCTCAGATGAAGTATTGACCCGATCGACTTCGACTTCTAGTTGGACTTCGTGAACAGCAAAACCACCACTCATCATGGCGTCCCCGTTGCGCTCTCGGCTCCTGCGTCCGACAGTCTCCAAATGTCTCCAGCATCTCTCGCGACGACATCAATCCACTCGACCCTCTTTCCTCCGACGCAACCGCGCCAACATCATATGGAGTACCATCTCCTTCGCCTTTGGCCTGGGAACCGTCCAATTCGGCCTGCACATGCTCGCTCCCCCAGCCTTACCAGCACCCGGCTCTCACGAAGACAAAGTTCTCGTCGCAGACCTGAACAAGAGAATAGACGAGGAATTCAAGGTGAAGGTCTTGAGAGGGAAGTGCCTCGGGGTCACCAAGACTCTGAAGGGAGAAGAAGCCGGCTGGGTCGAAATCATACCAATGCAAGCCGAACAAGGAGAGAAGCGCCAAGACAGATTACTGGATCTTCTTCAGGGAGCGAAAGGGCTTGGAGTCGAGAGAGTCTTTTACAACAGGAGCGATCACCAACTCGTAGCAATCGTCTACTTCGGTCCCGACCTTTCCGGCTGGCCCGGCGTCACCCACGGCGGCTTACTGGCCACCGCCCTCGACGACAAAATCTCCTTGGCCAACTACCTATCCACGACTTCGGACTTGTCCACTCTGGCCGCGGCCGCTCCCCAAAGACTACCAGGCACGGGCGACCACGCAAAACTCCCCTTACCCTCAACCCCCATCCCCAAAGAACCCGCACAATTGTCAGTCGACTACAAAAAGCCCACACACGCCAACGATTTCTACGTCATCCGCGTGTCACCCGCATACCCGGGGGGTGAAGATGTCCGGATCCCGATCCAAGGACACGAATATACCGCTACACTGGAGAGATTGGATGCCACCATCTGCGTCCGGGCGACTGCCAAATTCGCGCCGCGGAGTCAGGCTGAAAGGGTGAAAGACAAGGTCGGTGAGAAGTTCGGTGGTGGCAAGGGATGGAGCTATGCCGATTTCAAGGAGTGGATGTGGCCTAGTCGACAGAAGGAATCGCAGATCGGATGAGCGAGGACCCACCACCACGATTGTAGAGACTTACACGCGAATGTATCGCACATGCTGCCCAACCCGAGCTCCGGCTTCGCTCATCTAAACGTTGTATGCTCCATCACAGACCCAGATACCGGGGTTTAGGGCGCGCGCGAGGGAACAAAATGGGAGTAATACTGCAGTGCCCAGTCCTCCTGGCAAGCATCAAGAGGAGGGATGCGAACGCAAAAGTCGAAGGACTTCGTAGAGCAACTGCTGCAATAGTAGATGGGCAGAGGAGAACCACCTATCGCCGAGAGATAGCATCAGACGAGGAACAACGTAGCTACTAGCGGAGATGCAGTGAGAGAATCGTACAGCACGAAAGCCGTACATATCTTCATTGAACTCATGTCGAAAGTCATGGCAATATTACCATATTACTCTTGTATCTCCGTACCATGCTATGCATTGTGGTTACTCCTTCCGAATTATCTAAATGCCGCCCTGTCTTATGGTTGGGCCTCTGTGTCAGTGAGATGGTCGTGGTCATGGCTATCAAAGCCGGGTTATCATCATTTCGTCAAAGACACCCCATTTCCCACGCAAATGCAAAACAATGCTTCAAACGCTCTCCCATTCGCCTTGCGCCATGCTGTTTCAAATGTGTCTCAGTCGTCCCGCCATCTCGGAAACTCCAGCCTCGGGGCTACGCCTATTCCTTCGGGGTCACTTCATCTGCGTCCTTTCGATCCTTCTCCTCACTCCTCGTATTCGTCCTCGACAATGCCCATTCTTCCTGCTCCTGTGCTGGTGTCAAATGATTGTTCCTGCCATACGCCAGACCCAGCATCGAATTCCGCAGGCTAGGCGGCCTTGAGGAATCTGTGTAAATTGCATCATCGGAGCTCAGCTGTTCCGAACTCCTAGAGCCTTCGGGGATGTAGCCGTGGCTGCTGGATATGCTGCGCGCCGCTTTTCGCGAGCCTGACGTGCCTGCACGAGGCCGCACGGTAGGCGCGGGAACGTTTCCAATGGTGTCCCGGGTGCTGACTTCGCCGCCGATGCGAAGTGAGTCCATGCTCGGTTGTGGTTGAAGCTTGGTCGGGAGAGTTGCGCTGCGAGAAGGAGTGCGACTGTGATTTCCGGCGGAAGGTGGCGGTGGCAGCACAGATTCCTCCTCGATAAGAGTTTGACTCATGTCGATGGGGGTACTTGGGCGCCCCGCGGCCTGTGGCTCTACCGGAGTAAATTCCCGGAAGTCTCTCGTGCTCCAGCTGGGTCGGTGTGGCCGCGCTCCGTATGGCAAAGTCGTCTGGCTTATGCTGTAGGTGCTCATTGCACGACTGTTAGCTCGGCTGCGTTCTACAGGTGTGCCAGTGTTGCTTCGTATCCTTGTCGGCGTGTCCGGGCCTTCGCGAACGCTTGCGTAGGACGCATTTGGATTCATCTCGGACATGAAGTCGCCATCTTCATCTTCGATCTTTGCAATCCTCCTCACGCTTCTCATCTCAAATCCATACTTCGCCTCCTCCGGCTCGACCTTAGCGGGCTCTGGTGGAGGAGATGGCGGCGAAAGATCATTCACAGCCCGGTCCAGATGGTCGAAGTACTTTTCACGCAATCCGTGCCACTTTCTAGGTCGGAAATCGTCTCGGTTGCGAGAGACAGACATGTACGAGCTGACCGCCCCTACAACGATTGCAATCATCGTGATGATGGTGAGAATGCCTTGAATCACGATAATTACAATTCCGATAACCGTTGTTGGGATGCGCTGCAGACTGAATTGCGTTGCAAAAGCTGCCGAAAGGGCAACGGTAGCGACCTTGCTGAAACCGAGGCAGTAGATGACGAGGACGTTCAGGCGTTGTCCCTCGAAGGGTCGTGCCCAAACAATGAGACCGAAAGCAGCGACCTCAATAATCAGGAGACCGAACACCTGGGCAAGAGGATTTCCAGATGCACCACCGTAAAAGATGGCACGAAGAAACTCGTAGAAGAGCCAGGTCGCGAAGAACCACCACCGCGTGCGTCTGTATCGAGAAGCGAGCCATCCAAACTTCGTTGTGTAATCGTCGTCATCGTGGATGCTCTTTTCCTGGTTTTCCCGGTCGTATGTCCTGCTGTACCGGAAGACGCGCTTCCAGAGTGACTGGCCATCGCGCTTGTTCTCATCTGCTGAATGCTGCGCATTGACTTCGGCGTCGCTAGTCTGCGCAGTCTTCTTCATGCTAAACTGCGGTATCGGGTATTTGCCTCTGAGGAGCTTGTTATGCTCGAACTTGTTCGCTGGCGTGCTGTTCTGGTCTGTCACGTTGAGCTTGTACCAGTACGCGTAAGCTGCGACAGCCGGTACACCGACCAGAAATATGATGAAGACGATTGCTGCAATTCCGATCACGCCGCCGCTCGCATTGTACGTGAATTGAAACATGGTGAGAAATAACATCATGAACCACGCGATGAAACAAGTGCGTAGCGCGACGACACCCGTGTAGCCAACCCAGTGATCGCGGAAGAATTTTAATCGATCCTCTTTGGCCCACTTGTAGCGGACCATGCCCTCGAGTATCCACTTGAACGCGATGACGGAAGCCACCATGAGCACGAGCAGAATGAGGAACCACAAGAAGCCGGTCATGAAGGCATTGCTTGCCAGAATATTCTCCTCTGCTAAGGTACCAGCGAAACCGGAATAGTTTCCTGGTAGCGGGAAGCCTTTGCCGACAGGTTGACCATACCAGTGGTATCCCTCGCTGGCATCGACAATGGTGTTGTCACGAGCTTGCAAAGCTCGCTCAACGGTGCGCTGAACGATGTCTCGCTTCAGGACGAGGCTCGCATCGCGGTTGTAGATCTCGGAGGCGATATCGCGAACCAATGGACGATTCGCACCACGCTTCAAGCCAGACCCGAAGGCTCTCTTGTAGATGGCGCTGATGTCGTAACCGCCTCCGACGCCCGAGTTGGCTGATCCGGCTTGAGCTGCACCAACCTGTGAGGTGTTTCCGACATTGTTTCCAATGAGGTTGTTGATGCTCTTCTGCATGCTTGAGCTGTAGATCATGCCCGCAGCCCATGCAAAATTGCTGTACCATGCGACCAAAACCGACGGCCAGTTCATCGAAAGAGCACCACTGAAGAAAATGTGCTGCCAGACAGCAAATACAACGCCGACGGAGAGCGAGTGAGCGTAGTGCAGACGCATAGTCGGTACCGCTTCTCCATAGATGGCCGTTGCGAAGGATGCGACGAGAGCGACGAAGGTGAAGACACCAAGGACCGAGCCAATTCCGTCCGGGTGGCTGAACGTAGCACCATTTGTCACGACTGCAGAGTAACATGCGATCTCCTGTTGTGTCAGGTTCGAGAAGATGCGCAAGATGGCTTCTCCCTCAAAGTCTGGAATCGACAGTGCGATGTTCGGGATGTTGGCGACATCTGACGGAGCGACTGGAATGATGCCTTCTGCAGTGATTGGAATGCTGCTGTTGATCGGACACAGGCTACGAGATTGTCAGTATTTTGTGTCTCGGCGTTCCACGAAACGAGCAGTTCCAGACCTGTAAATGTTCGCATTGCAAGGGTTGAAGATCAAGTCGAATCGATCCTCGCCATAGGCATAGACCCCAATGTACATCATCAGGCTCTCGTTGTAGAGAGCGGAGTTACCAGCCAAGTGGAACAAGACGGTCATATTATCCTTGTAGTAAGCAGCGTCGAACCGGGTGACATTGATGCTGCTTCCTCCCAAACAGTCTCCAAAGTTTCCAGTGTAGAGTGACGGCCTTCGATTATCTTCCAAGTAGACAGTCTCGCCCTCTGAGTTCTGGTATGTGATCCACCTCGTACTGCTTGCGCTTGCCGCTAGGGTGTGTTGCAAGCATAACAAGAACGCAAACAGGGCAGCCAGGCCCGTTCGTATCGGTGTGAACATTGCGGGGCAAGAAGCTCATCCAGTGGTAGTCTCGAGCAGGTGTCGTTCGCAGTCGAAATTCTTGGTGGATGTCGTCGACCAGCTGAGCGTTCAGTGCGCCTGCCGGAAGTAAAGTTGAGCAGGAGCCGGTGCTGCGGAAGACATGTGATCGATGGAATCGGTACGGGTGAGCAGTGTTCTAGATTTGAGCACTGTTCCTCGGAGGTGGCTTTTTGCGCAGGCGATTTGCACACGTGAATAGCGGTGATGGTAGTGGCTCGCTTTCCGCAACGATGGTTGAATCACGCTTTAGTGGAGATCGGTAGAGGATGGCATGGCGCAGTGTCGTTGGCTATAACGACGGTGTAGGAAGAGGAGGGTCGGTGGTGAGGTCGGAGGAGGCAAGCGAAGGTGAGGGTGAGGGTGTGAGAGGACTGGAGTGTGTGAAGTTGTGGGCGTGAGTGATATCAATTGGAACCCAAACAGCAGTAGCGAATAGACTTCATGCACGTTGGCTGGCGCCTCCCGCTCTCGCTGCCGCGCGCGGCCAGACTGGAAACGGCTAGCACGCGGAAGCCGTCGGCCTCGATATATCCTACAGGTACGTACCTCTTCCCTCCTCCATTCATTCATTCACTCACTCACACCTCCACCGCGGCAGTTAGTACGGCCTTCCCCCAACTTCCCCGCGGTATCAGCACCCGGTTGCTTTAGAAGTCCGATGCATTCCCTGCGACCGCGCTGCATTATTATTACACAAACCCCCACCCGCATGCACGCCAAGAAGCTCCAAGGAACTTGGCTGCAGGTCTCCGAAAAGACTATCGTATTGCATCTCAGATCCTGCTTCAGGAACACCATCCAACGGCTTGCTTTGCTTCAGGCTTCTTCTATACGTCAATGACTCCTCTTGACCTTGACTGTCGACCACGACATGCTCAGAGTCTCGCGGGAAGCCGGGAATGCCATACCAGGCCTGGCCCGCCTCGTATTCGGTAAGCGCTCGGCAGCTTGCCAAAAATACAGATCCTGGCCACGGTGAATGAGGATGTGACATGCTCATGTCCCTCTCCTACTCTGACATGAATCCAGCGATTTCCCAACGCTGGCCTTGTGTAGATGCGTACGTACTCCCGCGTCCTTTCTGTACAATGGAGCTACCAAGCGCGACTTCTGGCGCCTCCAGTCAGCAGGCTGGAGCTCGGCACGCGGCTTCCATGCCTTCCACGCCACAACGCTGTCCTAGATTCGCTCCCGCGTAACTTCGCACCTGCATAGAGTCGCTGCCTGCAGGCCGCCTTCGACCTCACCTGCCACCCACCACCTTGGACCTGCTCAAGAATTGTGATCCTTCCGACGATGCCGAGCTGCGTAGTGAGACAATTGCATTGCGGAGATGTAGCGTTGCCGAGAAGGGGCATGCTCGGCTATCACTGTAAACAGCACCGTACATGCGGATTGCCCATTTTGCAACATGAGACTAGACCGCGTGCACGTCATCATGATCTCCAACATTATCACAAGGCGATTCGCAACCAGGACGTCAGTTCAAAGCAAAGCAAATCATTGGCAGGAAACAAGTAAAGGCAAGTAGCAGGTCTAACAATGCCTCGAACTACGGTTCGGCCACAGTCTCCGCCAGACGGTTCAACAGCAATGGAAGCGGCTAGCAGCATTAGGAATGCATCTGCATCTGAGGCCATCGACATGGATGATGAAAGACACTCGGCAAAAGGCTACGAAGATCTCGAACAAGCAGGAGCAACGCAGGCCGCGGTCGACTAGGATGAATCTACAGACGAGCGACTCCAAAAGACAGCCGCCAAGTGATCCTCGCCAAAGCGAACTAGTGCAGAGCCTCATCAACGGAACGGAGAATGCCTCCCCCAGGACTTTCCAAGCCAAGGCGCTACTCACTCATCTCCTCAACATCACACTGTCGAACACTCCTATTACGCAACTACTGGCAGCCATACATATCTCCTTGTTTATCGAAAAATTGCCGGCGTCGCGACTTGTGCGACACCGCATAGGCGTTCTGGACGACAGTGGCACCTTTCATTGACCCGAAAAGCGGGCACGGGCGAGCATGGGACATTCTGGAACATGTTGAGCGAGATGCGACGGAGGTCAAGATTTCTGCCGTTCTAGGCGTGGCAAGGCTGGACGGCAGAGAGAGCATACTGATTAGAGTAGAACGCAGGAGTTGAGGAGGACTAGGACTAGGATTTCAACGACTTGTCGTCGTCGGTCTACGCTTGCTGTCCCTGTCCATCATCACCTCGATCTTACTTTTGCGACCAATACTCTCCCTGCAACGGTAGCCTTCAGATCCATCCTACAGGAGAGCCCGCCAATGTAGACACATGTCTGCTCCAGGAACATTTTCCACGCTCTTCTCTGGATCACAAATGCCTCTACGCGGTAGAGTTCTTGGCGCGTAGGGGTTCAGCATGTTGCTGGACCTCCTATCAAGTGCTACGAAGCTATGAAACAGTGCTGTACTGTCTGAGACAATCGCATTGTCGGGTATATAGAAGGCTACCGCACGAGCTGGAGTCTGAGAGTATACCACATGCCCTCACTGCTATAGCCCCCATCTTTCGATCCTATACGCACCTTCTTCCCCGTCTTGCAGGTTAACGCATTGTCCACTATTGCCCCGGGTGGGTAAGTGGGCGTGTGTATTTCCAGTCAGCCCTGCACACATTGAGGAGTGAATCGAGCTACAGTACCTGGCAGTGAATTTTGCAAGCTTCGTCAAATTTTGATTTAACTTGACGTGCTTACCTTACATGTGAAGTGCGCGCTAGTAGCGCTAGCGCGAAAGTCAATTCTAGCGACTATTTGAGAGCTTCCGATTTCCGTCTTCTGCCCCAACAAGAAACACTCACGACAGAAACACCCACGACAGAAACACCCACGACAGAAACCCGTCGAACTTCTATCATTCGCCACTACTCATCCACCCTCACGCAATCTTACATATCCCCGAGAGACTGCGCATCCCATACACACACACGTACACACACACACACGCACATACACACCCATCACCGCACTGCGCTATGGCGGAAGCCATTGCTTTCGCGGCGGTCGACCACTTCTACCACACCACAACAATCACGATGCCTAGCCCCAAGCGCATCCTCAAGCGCGCCGCCGAGAAGACTGCACCCGCCTCGAGCACTCTGCGCGAGAAGACGAAAAGCGCCTCATCCTCCCTCCGCGAGAAGACCAAGACTCGCCTCGAGCGCCTCTCTAGCAAAGCGCGCAAGGAGAAGCAGGTGTACAACCAGCAAAAGGAGGAATCGCGCGAGTCTGCACATCTCGACGCGCAGCGAGGACTCCGTGCTGCTAAGCAGGAGAATAGCGAGCCGGTGGAGGCTTTGAGGAAGGCAGAGAAGGAGATTTCCGAGCGCGAGGATCGTAAGGTGGAGGTGGAGTTGAGAGGCCAGCGGGATGCTACCCTCACCGCCGTCCAGGAGCAAGAGACCGCAGCTGTCCACCGCGAGTCCCTTCTGAAGCAGGATCTCAAGCAAGTCCGGGCTCAGCTCGCGACACAGACGCAGGCGGCTACCAAGCTGCAGACTCGACTTGAGGATGCCGAGGAGAAGAATAGGATCACCGAAACCAAGTTCTCGCGCTTGCAGGCTCAGGTAGAGCTTGACAAACGCGCCTTTGCTGCGACGGCCGCCCCCACCCCGAGAACCCAACAGCTCCAAGATCAGTTGAATGCGGCGCAGGCTAGTGTCAAGGGCCTACGAGCGCAGCATCAAGACTTCATCAAGCAGATTAAGGACCTGCAGTCCGAGAACGCGAAGCTCAGCAAGAGTTTGAAGTACTCGCAAGTCAGCCCCGATGACCTCCATGAGGAGTGCCGGCTCGACATCAAGTGTGCTCAGGGCGGCAAGAAAATGGCGGAGGAGAAGTGGGAGAAAGAAAAGGTCGCCCACCAGGCCACCAAGCATCAGCGCAAGGCTGAGATGCTCAAAGTCTCCAACGAGAAGTGCCACGTGCAGCAAGACCTGGCTCTAGCAGAGCACAGACTCAAAACTTTCAAGGCGCAGCATGTAAACTGCCCTACCAAGATCTCGGAGATTGCAAAGAAGCGGGATCAGTACAGGGCTGATCTGGAAACGACGAAGCAGAACGCCGATGACCTCCAGAAGAAGCTCGATAGCGTCGCACTGGAGCTCAAGGACGTAAAGGCGAAGCTCGAGACAGCACGAGAGGATTTCGAAGACATGACGGGCGCCAGGGATCATCTTGCCCAGCTGCTGGACGACAAGGATGGCGAATGTGATCGCAAAGAGGAGAAGTGCGATGCTAGTGGTCAAGAGCATGAGCAAGAGTCGGTAGTCGACGAGGAGAATGGATCAGGCACCACTGAGGATAGCCACAGCAATGTCTCTTCCGAGAACGCCGGCCCAGGTGCAGGTTATCAACTGCTAACACCAGAGATGGAATGGCGGCTTCGCGCTGCCTTGGGAACGATCAATCCAGGCCCATCTACGCCCACTGCCGCCGAAGTTGCTGATCTTCAGTCGCAGCAGATGATGGCGTCTCTTCTCACGCACACGCCGGATCTGCAGACTGTCCTGACGCAGCTTTCCCCAGTCCAGTCGCACGACGCCGGTGAGAGCCAAATCACGTACGGCGCGACCGAGTATGATCCAGACTCTCCTGGGCTGGCCATGCCATATGATCCAGCATCGCCGCTCAATGTCTTTGAGGATGAAGAAGCAAGCTATGGAGCTGATGAGTACGATCCGGCTTCTACAGCCGCGTACCAAACAGAAGCTCCATTCGACTATGCTCTTCATTACAAGCAGCAGAGCACGCGCATCCTAGCGGCTCGCAACGAAGCCTGCTATGAGCAGCAACAAGACAACCACGAGTGCTTTTACTGGCGTGACCTCGCCTACATGGAAGACCTGAACACCGGCACCAGACTCCACGATGAGACCTGCGAGCGCGAGTTGCGTGACGCCCATGGATTGGAGAAGGCTGCCAGCAAATTTGCTGTGCTCGCGGAGAACTACGCGCAGACTCAAATCATGCCTCGGCTTTTGGTCGAGCAGTCTGGAGATCCTAAGCCGAATCCCAATCGGGGATTGCTTTGCGACCAACGCGTCTACACCAAGTCGAAGATGTCGTCTATGGAGAGCCCGGATGATGAGGACCAGGCCGAGACTGTGGCTAAGCAGGAGGTCCTGTCCAGCTTTCCACCTGCAGAGAATCGCTGGAAAGCTCCAGCGGGCAACGACTGGGCGGATGAGGATGAGGATGATGATTTCGACATCCTCGCAGATGCTGCTAGACGTATGGCGGCACCTCCATCCACCACTAGATCTACAGGCGGTGCCTCCGGCACCATCTACGACCAACCGATGGACGAGGAAGTCGACGAAGAACTCGAAGATTGCAACAACAACGACGTCGACTCGCTCTCCGAGGGCTCCATCACCAGCGCTTCCGAAGAGGAGCAGCAGGTGAACAGCTCATCCACATCCTCCAACATCACTTCTGAGGATGAATCCGGGGCAACTACCAACCCGACATCCGAAGACGAAGATGAGTCTGAGAGCGGTGAAGAGTCGGATTGCGAGACCGACGACGAGGAGTACGGCAACATCGATCTGGGTCCCAGTGCGGTGCCGTCCGCCTACAAGCGTTGCTAGGGGTGACGAAGTGGCCAGAGGAGGTGCAGGGAGTGGGGACGATGGTTAGCGCCGTGTTTGCCCGGACTTGGGTTTTCAGCAGCGATGAGTGGAATGGGAGATGTGTTATCCCGGCGTTTGGCGAATGGTCTTGGTTTTGAAGATATCCCGGGGAGAGCAGTGGCGGCGAGCTTGTTACGGCATATGGATGGTGTTCTTCGCTGCATTTGAGATACCCAGAAGCGCTGTTGAACCAGGCATGAATGCGGTATGGACAGCATGAGCATGATTAGCATCATGCATAATCCGCAATGGAGATCCCTCACTTACATATTAATTCCCCTCTACCTGCTTTCCATTCTCCGAAGAGTGACGAAATAGTAGTCCCTGTATGAATCCAGCACCTCTCCTCCTCCCGCAACCCGAACATTCATGTTTGCCACGCCGGGTGATATCCCTACACATTTTAAAATCGCTTTGTATGGTATCTAATACAGCTTATCAGCACCACACCCCAATCCGAAGTGGAGATGTCGTGTAGTCTTTGGTATAGTAACACATTCGAAGGCCCTGATCGCCCATCCTTCCCTGAGCCTCTTTTGCGCACCGTTCAATGCAAATGCCTTCAATGTACACACACCGCCGCCGAAACAAGTACGACGTCTTACTCTATACACCGCCGAATCCAGGAACGACTCAAATCGATGGCGTCCCTGGTCCCTCTGATTTGCCGTTGTTTAAGCATGGCGTTCTCGTCTTCAGTCATCGCGGCCTTGTTGCCGGATGTAGTTCTCGCTGAATTTACTTCTTGTTCTTCTCCGCTCGCTCCTTCTCGTACTTCGCAATCAGCTCCTTTTGCAATTGCGGAGGTGCAGCAGCATAGTGGGAGAACTCCATTGTGAATTCACCCTTACCCTGCGAAGCAGCACGTAGTTGTGACGAGAAGCCAAACATAGAGTTCAACGAGCAATCGGCCGTCAATGTGAACTCCTCAGGTCCGATTTCAGTATCGTTAATAGTCGCATTGCGCTTGTTCAGCAGACCAACAATGTTACCTGGAAAGCAAATATGTCAGCAGCGGAAAAGAAGAAGAATGAGTGTAGGTTCTCATACCTTGAAACTCATTCGGGGCCGTGATGACAGTCTTCATCAACGGCTCCAGTACCTGTGGTCCAGCAGCCAAGAACGCCTTGCGGAAAGCCTGTTGGGTCGCATTCTTGAACGCCATTTCACTAGAATCTGTCATGTGCGTTGCGCCATCGTTGATGACCATGGATGCACCAAGTACTCTGTGACCCAAAAGAGGACCGTTTCTGCAAGCTTCTTGGAAGCCTTTGTCGCAAGCAAATAGATACTTCTCCGAAATGGTGCCACCAACAATTTGCGACTCGAACTGGTTGTCGCCGAGCTGACCCGTAGGCTCCATGTATCCAACGACTCTGGCATAATCACCAGCACCACCAGTCTGCTTCTTGAGTAAGTGATCGAAGGGAACATGCTTCTGGATTGTTTCTCTGTACGAGACTTGTGGCTGTCCAGTGACGACTTCGACCTTGTACTCTCGTTTCATACGCTCAACGTAGATGTCAAGGTGAAGCTCACCCATCCCGGAAATGATAGATTCGCCAGATTCAGTATCGACATGAACACGGAAAGTCGGATCTTCGCGCTGAAATCGAGAGATGGCCTTGCTGAAGTTGGGCGTGTCCTTGGTGTTCTTTGGCTTGATCGAAAGCGAGATGACAGGATCCGGAACGTACATGGAAGTCATGGTGTAGCCCAAGCTTCCATCCGCAAAAGTGTCTCCTGAAGCGCAGTCGACTCCAAACACAGCGCAGATTTCTCCAGCACCAATTTCCTGCACATCTTCCATTTCATTCGAATGCATCCGCACGATCCGGGGAATCTTCACCTTCTGACCAGTGCGAGCGTTTGTGACATTCTGACCTTTGCGGAGAGAGCCTTGATAAACGCGAATGTATGTGAGCTGGCCGAAGTTAGACTCTTCAAGCTTGAAAGCAAGTCCGACAAACGGCAGAGAGTTGTAGGAGACAAGCTTGACAGGCGCTTCAGCTCGCTTGCGGTCCAAAGCCAGGTTCTCGACTTCTGAAGGATTGGGCAGGTAGTCAACGACAGCATCAAGCATCGGTTGTACGCTCTTGTCCGCGAGTGCAGAGCCCATAAGGACAGGCGTGAATTTGAGACTGATTGTCCCTCGTCGAATGGCTCCCTTGATCTCGTCCGGTGAAGGCGTGCGCTCGTCCAAGACAATGTCGGCCATCTCTTCATCGACATCTGCCAGCGTTTCGATCAAGACTTGTCGCTTCTCTTGTGCAAGCTCTTTCAGATCGGCTGGGACCTCGTCTTCCCGAACGTCCTCGCCCTTGTACCCTTCCGAGTAAAGAGCTTTCATCCTAATCAGATCAACTACACCCTTGAAGTCGTCTTCCATGCCGATCGGAATTTGCACAGCAGCGGCGGCTATTCTCAACTTCTGGTTGATGCCCTCCACAGCCTTCCAAGGGTTCGCTCCTGCTCGGTCCATCTTATTGACAAAAGATATCCTGGGCACGTTGTATCGCTTCATTTGCCTATCCACTGTCACCGTCTGTGATTGCACACCCGACACGGCGCAGAGAATCATGACCGCACCATCCAGCACGCGCAACGCTCTTTCGACTTCGATTGTAAAATCAATATGTCCGGGAGTATCGATCAAGTTGACATGGTATTTCTCGTCCTTCAGCTCCCCCGTCACAGGGTCGGGCGTCTTCTTGATCCAGTCACAAAATGTAGCAGCAGACTGGATGGTAATACCCTTCTCCCTCTCCAGGTCCATGCTGTCCATTTTTGCGCCCACATTATCCCTACCACGTACTTCGTGAATATCCTTTATGCGTCCGGTATAGAACAATACTCTTTCTGTCGCCGTCGTCTTTCCCGAATCAATATGCGCCGCAATACCGATGTTTCTAACTTTATCCAATCGAGCGGCTTCCTTGGGATCCAGGTTGTCAACGATTGCCTGCTGAGAAAGCGCCGCGGGATCGTGAACCGCAGTCTCCTGCACAGCAGCTGCTACACCTGATTGCATTCGCCGTGCCTGCCATTGCTGGAAGTGAGGTATTCGCTCGTGATTCTGGCCTCTAATCGTTGTGGCGGAGGTAGGGAGAGTAGAGGTGAGGAAGGTTCTCCTTCCTACATAGCCGCTGCGCAGCGCCGCATTGCGCAACGAACATCGGGCGAGGGTTGCGGCTCGCATTGTCGACTTGGGAAAGGAAAAACACACGCGGAAGTGAAGGTAGGCAGTGGATGGGAGTGAATGAAAGCCGCGTCGCATCGCCGTGATATTTTCTGGACCTTCGTCCCAAAGTGGAAGTCTCCGCAAGACATGGGGAAAACTTCGGCTGCTCCCGGTGGACCGTGCCCGCTGTACTACGGGAAGACTACCATCGTGCCGACGATAAATCACATTGAAGACATCGGACACTACATCTCTGGAGGCCTTCATCGGGTCCATCTAGGCGACACTTTCTTTCCTACCGTCTGAATTGCTCGACACAATCACAAAATATGTCGTGGAGTCTTTGAACCTTGCGAAAATCGACCAAGATCTGCTGAATGGCGACATGACTAACATCGATTTTGGCGTTTTATTCAGGACAAATACTCCATCTGCGGATGGTAATGGCACGCCAGTTGACTGCCAGGCACCTGAGCTGTTCTTCGACGGTCTGCTAAGCAAGGAGTCGGATACATGGGCCGTGCCGGTCCTCAGCTATTCGCCGCCTAGTTTGATTCAGACGACGAAGCTCTTGGAGAAATCTTGAAGACGTCAGGGTCGCTTCCAGAGCCCGGGCACAGGAGATGGAAAGAGGGATATCAACCCAACGAGAGCATGACCCCCAGCAGCAGTCCGTTGCTATCTCGAGTTCAGGAAGTCGGAACCGAAGATAAAGTAAATCCAGACGAACCTGACGATCGAGTTAAGTCTGATCTATTCGAAAGGCCGCGGGCGAAGATTCCAGAAGGGATAGCCGTACTCATGGAAGATCTATTGAGAACCCTTCTCAAGTGGAAGCCTGACGATCGTCCTGCTGTCGACTGGATATATGCGCATGCTTGGTTCAAGCTCAAGGGCTTGAAGGCGTCACCATCACGGCAAAAGCTCGTCTACTTCTTAATTGGATTCTATCTCTATTCGAAACGACCGTCATGAACAGCCACAGGAAAGCATTTTCGCACATTCGAAGGTTCTCCCGTCGATCCTCTCCCCCTGATTGGAATACTCCGGAAGAGAATGAACTTTCGCGTGCAATGACGCCCTATACATCTTGGCCTCTTGCAATGCGATATCAATGAGCAAAACGGAAATCCAGGCGCTTGTTGCCCTTGTCGGTTGTTGTGGCGAGATACTGTTCCCTCTCTTCTTTCGACATGCTGTTCCAGATCCGCTCTCTTCGTCTAACGAAATGTCAGCATAAAGGTCAGTGGCGAGATGAGGGTTCACTAACTGGTTTGTCCTGACATAGAATACCTTCACACCCACGAAAAGAACAATGTTGTAGCATACAATCGATATCAACACCTTATTACCTCGGTAGTAATTCGGTTTGTCGTCCGTTCGGTATATCTAAGAGGAGATCAGCAGTGTACAGCACTGGCCCGGCTCTGACTACTTACGTTTGTCCCTATAATACTGGCAGCTTGGACTGACATGTTGTAGAATGCTGAAGCGACTGTCCGGGTGCGAACCGATCCAGCATTCCTTGACGTGATTGCGACAAGCACAGCGTGGATGTACGGCTGTGCAACGAGCAAGATCGCACAGGCCCAGCCTGCCCAGCCACTTCGATCGGGTGGCAGCACGATCAAGGCTATCAAGACCGGCAAACACCACCATTGACTTATCGTCGCCAGGAGGAATCGCTCGTTGAGTTTCTCCGACAGCCACGTGAACAAGAGCAGGTTGATGATAAACAGGACGTACGCCGGGATCGAAAGCAGATTGGTCTCGAAAGTTCCGAATCCAAGCGACTTCAGCTGCAGCGTCAAGTAATTGTCCATGGGCACGGACGGGAGCCCCCACGACAAGCCGATGAGGTAGAGCGGCCACATGTGGTAGTCTTTCAGGCATTCCCAGAACATACTGGCGGAGAGGGCTTGTCGGTTGTGCATGTCGCCTTTGCTAGGATCGTCACGCAGAACTCGATTGACCATAATCTTCTCTTCGCGCTCGGTAAACCAGCCATTCTTTCCGCGAAGTCGACTCGCGGTCTGCGTTGGAGATGGAGGGAGATAGAAGTACGACGCGATACCAATCAGTCCGGTCAAGATTCCTTCAAGCGCAAAGAGCCATCTGTCCTGTATTAGCGACCAGCAATTACGCATCCACTGGACCATTCACTTACCGCCATCCTGCGAGGCCATTGATGCCACGCATGTGTAGGATACCATATGCCATGAAAGCCGACACAATGCTCGTTGCTTTGAAGGAGACCCAGAAGAACGAGAGCCGTGTTGGTAGTTCCAGGCCGGTGTAAAAGTACGAGAGGTACAGGATATTATCCGGGATGAAGCCGCCCTCGATCATTCCTAGCAGAGCGCGACATGCCCAAAATGAGCTTCTCCCAGAGAGGAAGGCCTGCATGCTGGCGACTAATGACCAGCTCACCATCTGTATTGGAATCCAGTTGTCCGGGCCCAACTTCTTGGAGATCAGCTGCGATGGCATCTCGGCGAAGAGAAAGGTAAGATAGAAGATTGTCTGCCCAGTGTTGTACTCATTCGTCGATAGTCCGAGGTCGTCCAGCATGTTGTCGGAAAGCGCCTGTTGGATATTGCCTCTGTCTAGCTGGAGCGCAAAGAACATGAAGCACACCCACGAGCATATCCGATAGTCGATCTGGAGCTCTCAGTCAACACCAGACGGCCAAAGAGAATCAAACTGGCCGACCTACCCTTCGTACGACCCTCTTCTCTTCCTTCTCTTCCCATTGGAAATCAGGATCATAGCGGTGATAGCCCTCATACGACTCTATTGGCTTGTAGAACGACTCCAGAGAGTCGGTCTCGAAGGTCTTGCCACCCGTACGCTTGAACACATTCGGCTCTGTAACAACAGGCTCGGGAGATATCTTCAAGTCCTTCTCTTCCCGATCCGAGCTGTCGGGGCGATGATCCATGTTCAACATCGGGGTGTTTTCAGTGAGCGGAGAGGAAGCGGCAGACATTCTGCCGCGAGGAGCCCAGGTACTTTAAGATGGCAATGGTACTGCTCCAAAACATGGATCCACAATCCCAATCGGCTACGCCAACCGAGCATTAACAAGGGACTGGTGTGGATTCGAAACACTTGCTCGGAGATGCCTCTGAGAAAGAGGTAGATCGCAGCATTGCAAACCTTAAAGATTTGCACTTTGCGCGTCAAGCGAAGCACGAAATGTTCTGTTGCCAGACATCGTTCGGCCCTTGGAGGGACCTTTTGATATCACGTGCTTTTTAGACTAGGCTCTTCGGCCAATGGCAGGTTCGGTCTTATCCAGCCCTGCCAGCACGCCATATCGACTTGACGTTGGTCGATGGGTGCATCATTTTTACACATCCCTTAAGACGTCTCCAAATGCTTGCTTACTTGGCCCTCTGACATATTGCCCCGGTCCATTGACAGTCCCCTGACCTTGGCTATTTCGGGTTTTTGACCGCCATCTGCCGACCGTTCCGCCCGCTCCGCCCGCGCTAGTCAAATCCTCATGTTATCAAATGTCGAAGGATAAAGCGCAACAATTCCTTTGTCCTGTGATGATGCGATGGATAGATATGCGATGCTTGCGACAGGCCGATGCAATGTCGACGACGAGCCGGATTTGCGGCAACGCGTCGCCCACGTTGTGAATTGCCGATGCATGTGTCTACCCCACTTGGGAGGAGCACAATCACGAGCTCTCGGTTTGTACGCGGATGTGGTGGTCGATCGGGCGGTCAGCTCGATATGGGCACCGATGCCGGAAAGACGACATTCGAGGTATATACAACGTGAGGTGCTCGGACCGGCCTCTTCTTTCTCTTTGTTGTTGTATTGTATTTCTGTTGATTCACAAAGCTCTACGCTTTCACCTCCTGGACACCTGTTCTCTGCACAAGCATCAATAATCCATCATTCCAACACAAGTGATCATGGCTCCAGCACTCATCGAGACACCTACCGCTGCGCCAGACCATACAATCGATAAGACAGCCGAGGATACCTGGAAGAAAGACGTAAAGCAGGGCGTCAATTACAAGGAAGCCTTCCAACAAGGTGCTGCTACCACCAAATATGACGTGGAACTCCACGGCACCGAGAACCACGCGCCGGCCAAATACCCTCACTACCTTCCATACTGGGACGATGTGAAGTACCCTCCCTACGAGCCCTTCGAAGCCGTCGAGCACGGCAAAGACGCAGACCCGACTTTCCCCAACCTTCTCGGCGCCTCGGGAGCCCAGGTCAAGGACTTGACTGCCAACATCGGCGCCGAAGTCACCGGAGTCCAACTCAGCCAGCTCAACGATGCCGGAAAGGACGAACTCGCGCGTTTCGTGGCGGAGCACAAGGTCGTCGCCTTCCGAAACCAAGACCTCGCAGACCTGCCCATCGCCCGAGCGCTTGAGTTTGCAGAATACTTCGGCCCATCACACATCCACCCAGCTTCAGGAGCTCCCAAGGGTTTCCCCAAGGTGCACCTCGTTCACCGCAGCGCGAGCGATACCACCGCTCGCGACTATTTCGAAGAGAGAACAAACAGCATCACCTGGCACTCGGACGTCACCTATGAGATGCAACCACCTGGAACGACGTTCCTGTACCTGCTAGACGGTCCCACGGCAGGAGGCGACACGCTCTTCGCCAACATGGCGGAAGCCTACCGTCGCCTCTCCCCCGCCTTCCAGCAACGTCTCCACGGCCTCAAAGCCGTCCACTCCGGCCACGAACAAGCCGCCGCAGCCCTCGCCCGCGGCTCCCCCGTCCGCCGCGACCCCGTCTCCAACGTCCATCCCGTCGTCCGCACCCACCCGGTGACGGGCGAGAAGGCCCTCTACGTGAACCCTCAATTCACCCGCCGCATCGTCGGCTTCAAGAAGGAAGAATCGGATTTCCTGCTGAAGTTCCTGTTCGACCACATTGCCCTGGGCGCGGATTTCCAGGCGCGACTGCGGTGGGAGGAAAAGACGGTCATTGTGTGGGATAATCGGGTCACGTCTCACACTGCGATTCTGGATTGGCAGGATGGGCAGAGGAGGCATTTGGCGAGGTTGACGCCGAGGGCGGAGAGGCCGTTTGAGACGCCTTTTGAGGCGAGGGAGTAGTGGATTCGGATTGCTCGCGGTGCTTGTGAGATCGTAGCAGCTAAGCGTTCCTGGCATCGATGATTCACTAACGACTCCTCTTTCTGACACGTCGCGGTCAATTTGATCATGTAGCTTCAAAGATAGACCATTTCACGAACATTTCCTGGACATGTCTCATCTGATCCATTCTCCCTTCTGTCGGAGTGGGGGGAATTGCAGAGCTCCACAATGGAACGAGAGAAGTATCCTGCTGCAAGAGGGGAGTACGTGTAAAAGGACATGTTCAGGTTGCGGAGAGTAGGAGAAAAAGGCCGCTGTTCGCGAAAGAGAGAGAGAGGGGTGTATAGCCGCCTTAGTATATACTGGGATTCAACAGATCGAAATGTGTCTAGACGTTGGACTCACCTTCTTCGACGTTGGAAAACATTTTGAGACTCCTGAATTGGGAGCGATTTGGCGCGCTTTTCAGGCTGAAGAGCGTATATCTAGTCAGGATATGACCGCTGATATCTGAGGTTGCAAGCATGAAGCGTAAATGACTTTTCGAGCGCAAGAAAGAAAACAGTCAGATTGCCTCTTATGCTTCCAACTGTTGACATTTCGTGGTCTGGCTGTGATCGTGAGTGCCGTGGTACTCTTGTATCCATCGATGACCTCGGACTAGCACAAGTTTCCCCCGTCATGAAAGAGTTATCGATTGTTGGGTGCTCTTTTGTTTTCGTAGGAGCGAGCAGAGTCGATGAGACTTCTGACTCTCGGTTATAGGTGGTCGGACAGCGGGTCTTGGGTGTTATATGTTTGTCTCCGGGGCGATACTTTTGGACTGCCTATAGAAGCACGCTACTGTTCAGCACAATGAGAAGTTCTCAATCGGAAAATTGTCTCTTGTAGTCTGCAAGCCCTTGCAAGCTTGCATTACTGCCGCCACAGACGACGATTACAACCCGGCTGTCTACGTTCAGGTCGGGTAGGTATTGCTTTACCTTGCCAGTATAACATGCGGCCAGACTGACTCCGCAAGAGGGCTCGACCAACATTCGTTCGTCGTCAGCAAAACGCAAGCAGGCGTCAACAGCTTCTGCGTCCGTCAAGACGGCAGTGCAGACTTTTTCACTTTTGCTGGCGTATGCGAAAGCTTGGCGAGCCACGGTACGTGCTCCGAGCGTGGTAGCGATACTCGTGATTGCGGGTAGTGTGACCAGTTCGCGCTTTTGCACGGCCTGGGCAAGAGAGTCTGCGCCGACGGTCTCGACAGCCAGGACTTTTGTCTTGCTCGTGGGAGCGCACGTGCTGAGACCTTGCATGACGCCGCAGAAGAGGCCTCCGCCACCAACACTACACACGATCGCATCGGGTGCTGTTTCCTTGGAGGATGCAGATGTTGGTTTGACGGGATAACTGCGCTCAGCCACGGGTAGCTGCTTCACGATCTCTTCCACCATTGTGGCATTTCCAGTCCAAATGTCTGGGTGATCGAAAGGAGGCACGTATACGGCGCTCTCTCCGGAAGTCTTCGCCTTGGGCAGTAGCTCATTCACGAGATGCTGATCAGCCTCGAACCATGACGCGCCAATCTGGATGACCTCCTTAGCACCAGCGTCTCGTAGTTTGCCGATCATGTAGGCATTCGTTGTCATAGGAACGACAATGGTGGAAGGACATCCCAGAGTAGCGGCCGCATGCACGCAAGCAAGTCCGGCATTTCCGCCCGAACTGCAGAAGAAGTGAGTGCTGGTGACGCTCTCTGTGTGGCCATTGGCTTGAGAGTTGCTCTTTGGCAGTCTTTGCTGCATGTAGTGCCCGATGCCGCGGCTCTTGAAGGCACCCGAGGGCTGCGTGTTCTCCAGCTTCAGGAAGACATTGCATCCTGCGGCCTTGGACAAGGTGCGTGACCAGATCAGAGGTGTTTCAATCCACGGCTTCTTGGTTTCGGAGTTGTCCATGATTACGACTGCAGTCGACCTGGAAGGATTGAATGTGGAAGGTAAGGAGGACTTTGCTCGTGACTGAATCTTGGTTAAAAGATTAGCCAGAGCTTGACGAAGCTTCACTAGAGCTCCCAACAGACTCAATCGAGTGTCCATGTGCAATCGATGCAACCGAAAGTCACGACCTTCTGCCCACGATACCGCTTGAGGTGTTCACATCCGAAGCACGCCAAGAAAGGCCAGTACATGCACATATATCACGGGTGTGAATGTCCGAGTCCGTGAAGTCTGGACGCGTAAGGTACCTTATCGTCGCCACCTCCCGCCCGCCGCGCCGCGCCGCGGGCCAAGAACAGATCCACACGTGGGGAAGTGATGAAGCCTTCTTGGTCGAGCACAGATGGAGCCGACAAACGGGACGACAGACGGCAAGCATGTCTCACTCCACGCACACGGCCTCCTGCCTTCTGCCTTCGCACAACAACGTCCACACTCGTTTGGAACTCTCGGTCGCTATCCGTCACCGCCCACCGCCCACCGTCGCTTCTAGAACCCAGGAATACCACTCCATACTGCCGGACACTGCAACAGGTGATCGCTTGAGGATGCGCTACCAACGTTGAGCAGCGTTGAGCTGGCGCCGGGCGGCGATGACGGGTGTTCGTGCTGGAGGAGATGGCGGTAGTAGCGCGATCAAGGGCGAATGTCACGACCCTCCTCGCAGAACTAACAATAGACTGCAATCAGACGACGACGAACGACCGGGCTGCTTCTCCCGCCACGTCAAGCAACCCGCGCAGCTCCTCTACCAACGATGCTTCGTCGAACTCGTCCTGCGTCAGAAGCCGCTGCCTCCCTCGAAAGATGGCCGCAACGTGCCCTTGCGAGTGTCCCATCCCGAGCTGCTGGTCGACGAGAGGAAGGGACATGCGTACATCTCGAACACCATACGATCCAGTCGCTACACTCCGTGGGATTTCCTTCCCAAACAATTCCTCTTCCAAGCCACTCGCCTACACAACTTCTACTTCATCTGTATCGGAGTACCGCAGGCCATTCCGGGCTTCTCGACAACGGGAAACTACACCACCATCCTCCCGCTGACGTTCTTCATCTTACTTACCATCGTCAAGGAAGCATACGACGACTACAGGAGACATCGTATGGATGAGGTGGAGAACAACCAGTTCGCGAGGGTCTTGAAAGTGAAAGACGAAGCAGAAGAATCGCTGGTGGTCAAAAGACCATTAATTCGAGCTTTCTCGACGCTCTCCCGGTTGTCGATTCTACCGTGGTCCAGTAAACAGGCAGACACTGAAGGGTGCGAGGAGAAAGAGCCGGATGAGGACGAACAATTTGCGTGGAAGAGGGTCAAATGGCACAACATCAAAGTGGGCGACGTGCTCAAGTTGAGACGAGATGAGCCACTGCCTGCAGATATCGCATTACTCCATGCAAGCGGGGAGAATGGTGTCGCTTTCATTGAAACAATGGCGTTGGACGGCGAGACCAGTCTCAAGAGCAAGCAAGCTCCGCCAGCGCTGCTTCATTCATGCCGATCTGTTAGCGACATCAGAACCTGCGCTGCCGAGTTCGTCTTGGAGGATCCAAACAAAGACCTCTACGAGTTCCAGGGCAAAGTCATAGTCGAGGGCAAGACGCTGCCCTTGACACTCAACGAGGTCGTCTTCCGTGGCAGCGTGCTGAGAAACACCGATTCTGTCGTTGGGATAGTAATCAACACCGGAGAAGAGTGCAAGATCCGCATGAATGCGAGTCATAAACCCAGTGCTAAGAAGCCCCGTCTGGAGAAATATGCAAATCAGGTTGTGCTCACTCTGATCTTCTACGTGATCATCCTTTCTGTCGGGGTATCGATGGGCTACCTCCTCTGGCACAGCAACTTCGAGACGGGAGCATGGTACCTGAACGATGCTTATGTCCCGTTCCAGCAGATCATTGTCGGTTTTCTGATCATGTTCAACAATGTCATTCCATTGGCGCTATACGTGAGCTTGGAAATCGTCAAGATAGGGCAGATGCTCATGGTACAAAGCGATGTGGACATGTACGATGAAGATTCGGACACGCCGACGAGATGCAATACAAATACTATCCTAGAGGACCTTGGTCAGGTTAGCTACGTGTTAAGCGACAAAACAGGCACCTTGACGGAGAATGTCATGCGGTTTCGCGGTATGAGCCTAGGTGGCGTGGTTTGGATGCACGGCGAGGAACCAGACCTACAAGTGCAGGACGATGCGTCAAAGCCTAGGATCTCTTCCGATTATCGACCAAAGGCAGCGGCCGACAAAGTAGACCTGGATGATGCCGGCTTCGTTGTTGAAGAAAGAGAGATCGGAGCCTCGATGCAGCGTGTATCGAAACCTCGATCGTCGCTAGCTCTTTCGAGACGATCGATGAGCCGGCCCAGGCTACCAGAGACACAGCGAACCACAAAAGAACTGCTCGATCTCATTCGCCGGGACGCCGAATCTGTGACAGCGCGAAAAGCACGAGAATTCTTGCTTGGCCTGGCTCTCTGCCATACGGCTCTACCCGAAGCCAAAGATGGCCAAGTCGATTTTCAAGCTTCTTCGCCAGACGAGGTGGCTCTGGTGCGAGCTGCGCAGGAACTCGGATATCTGCTTATTGGGCGCTCGTCTCAAAAGATCGAGTTGCTTGTTCCCGCCGCGGACGGCAGTCAAAGGAAGGAAACGTACCAGATTCTCGAGGTTATTGAGTTCAGCAGCAAACGAAAGCGCATGTCCATCGTCGTACGCTGTCCAGATGGTCGAATTTGGCTCATCTGCAAGGGCGCCGACAGTGCTATCATTCCACGCTTACGACAGTCCGATCTTGCGGTGAGGAAGTCCACTGAAGTTCGACGCAGCATGGACATAGGTAGGCACTTGCAACGAAAGAGCGAAGCCAACGAACCAAGGAACAGCTTTGGAGCTAGACCGAGCTTGCACGCGCGTGGCCGAAGCTCAATGGACATTCGTAGATCATTCGGCATTGGAAGGGCTACGCTTGAAGTTCCAAAGCGTAGCTACGAGGCTCGCAACAGCTTACACGATGACCTCGCGCATGTCGAGAACGCCGACGACGCTACTCTCTTCACGCGCTGCTTCAAACACATTGATGATTTTGCCACTGAAGGTTTGCGAACGCTTCTGTTTGCGCACAAATACCTCGATGCTGAACAGTACAACGGCTGGAAGAAAATCTACCAGGAGGCCACCACTGCACTGACTCACAGACAGGACCGCATCGAGGCTGCGGGTGAGACGATCGAACAAGGCTTCGATTTGTCAGGAGCATCCGCTATTGAAGACAAGCTTCAAAAGGGCGTACCAGAGACTATTGATCGACTTCGACGAGCCAACATCAAGATTTGGATGCTGACGGGCGACAAACGGGAAACAGCCATCAACATTGCGCACTCAGCACGGATTTGCCAGCCGGCGTCTTTGGTCTACATCTTGGACTCCACGAAAGGCGATGTCCACGGACAGATGAGCGAGATTATGCATGAAGGTGGTGCCCATAGAGTGGTTGTCATCGATGGTCACACGCTATCTCTCGTATCCGCCACGCCCGATCTCCGACATCTGTTCTTCACATTGTTGATGGCGGACATCGACTCCGTCATCGTCTGTCGTGCGTCGCCGGCTCAGAAATCTGACATTGTGAAGGCCATTCGTGCAAGACTCCCAGGCTTGACATTAGCCATTGGAGACGGAGCCAACGACATTGCCATGATTCAGGCAGCGCACGTCGGAATCGGTATCTCCGGCAAGGAGGGCCTCCAAGCTGCGCGAGTGGCGGACTACAGTATCGCGCAGTTTCGCTACCTACAGCGCCTACTCCTCGTTCATGGACGGTATCAGTACGTCCGCACTGCAAAATTCATCCTCCTCACTTTCTGGAAGGAAATGTTCTTCTACATGATGCAAGCTCTGTACCAACGCTACAATGGCTATACCGGTACCTCTCTATACGAGTCCTGGTCCCTCACTGTGCTGAACACCCTCTTCACCTCACTTTGTGTTATCATCCCTGGAATCTTCGAGCAAGATCTCCGGCCCGCGACTCTTCTCGCCATTCCAGAGCTATATGCCTACGGCCAGCGCAATCAAGGCCTCAATCTGAGAATGTACATTGTCTGGATGGTGAACGCTACCGCTTGTGGCATGGTTGTGTGGTTCATCATCTGGGCATCTTATGGTTATTTCAACGTCATGGGCGACAATGGCCTCTTTGCTCTCGGAGACCTGGCTTTTTCATTGGGTATCGTCTGGACTAACTGGAAGATCTTCATCATTGAGACGCACTACAAAACGCTTGTTGTCATGCTTTCTTTCGCCATTACTGTTGCTGGCTGGTGGGCTTGGAATGGTTTCATGAGTGCGATCTACATGAATAATCTGTCTCCATATGATGTCAACGGCGGCTTCAGCGATACTTTTGGCGCGGAGTGGAATTGGTGGCTGACGTTTCTCGTCGGTTTCAGTGTCCTTGCGACTGCGGAGCTGGTCTACGGAGCCACGAAGAGGAATCTGATCGCTAGTGGGGCGTGGCCGCCGTGGAAGTATTTGCCTTTCAAGGGCGTGCGGCACAGCGAGAGTATGGCTGAGGATATGGATTTGGAGCTTTGGCAGGAGATGGAGAGGGATCCTGCTGTCAGGGAGAAGCTGGAGATGATGGCCAGAGATGAGGTTGGAGAGGAGGTTGGGGGCGGGGGAGAGGACTGTGAGAAGTAGGAGTAGAAGTAGGGTTAGGGTGAGGGTGAGGGTGGAGGACATGTTTGGATTCTGGTGATACCCTTTTGCTCCGAGGCTTGAGAGGTGGGCGTTTTGGGTTTCTCTTGATTTGTAGATAGGTTTCAGACTGAGATCGATAGAAGACGTGATAATGAATAATGAGAGATATGGACATGGCTTTATTGTGAATGTCTCTCCAAAGCGCGGCTGATATGTGGGGCGCCGACCTGGTACGTTACGTGACCCTATTATCTTCCCCAAGGTGTGAATGATCCGATCGACTGAATAGTTAGATGAGTAGTATATATACCTTTGACTTCGTGTCGAGACCACTCCTGTCCCTCGATGACTCCGTGATTGTGAGCATCACCGACTAACGTGTAATTGCCTGCTGTCGTTGCTCGAAAGATGAAAGGAAAGAGACATCTTCAAAATCAGGTAAACGACGTCGCCTGGTTGGGGTGGTCTCTTGGGACCCAGACGAGCCATTTGTCTTGAGACTAATGCTGAAACTTTTCGGTCTTCCAGACCATCTGATACTACCTCCCATTGCGCGATAGCTATAGCGTCTGCTAGCATGCGGCATGTCTGGTACCTTCGTCGGAAGTTACAAGGACGACGTGGAAGTCTTGACAGCCAGAAAGTGCAACGCCCGGCTGGAGAATTTTTTAGCAGTCGTTTGCTGTTGCTAGATGTGTCTGAATGGATTCACACATCTCTTGAGTACCAAGGCAATGCGGCATTGGTGAGGAAAGTCGTCTATGTTCTCAATTCTCGGCGTCTTTTGGGCAGATTCGGCATTGTCCTTGAATTCCTTCACGCTCGAGGGGGATTTCGTCTTGACGTGCAGTCGACCATCGCCACGAATGTAGTATATCGCACCTGGTGTCATGGGCGTCGCTGAGGGTGTGGAGCTTTATCCGCGCACTAGGCCATGAAACGAGTATATGAAGCCAGTTGGAGCCGACCAATGTGTCATCAATTGACGCCCGAAGCTCGCCTTCACGCATAAGACAGTATTACACTGGCAACTCCGGCAACTCCTCAAACCCATATTCCTCGACGGGAATAGCCTTCGGCTCCCATGCGGTGAAGTAGCCCAGTAACCCAGTAATCCTGGTCCAGCAGATGAAAGCAAAGACCGCTCGCATAACAAAGATACCCCACGCGGTCTCTGGATTCATGATATGTGGTGTTCCGGGAGGCAATCTCTGCGCCTTGTCGACCAGAGGTCGCATTTGCTTCTCGTAGGCGTCGAGAGCCGCGAGACAGTCATTTCGATGCCGGCTAAGGGCGCCGGCAAGGTGATAGGCTCCGTTCAGGGCTAGGGTGGTGCCCATGCCTGAGATGGGAGAAGGGCAATAGCTGTGAAGAAAGAATGTTAGGGACGAAAAAGTTCAGCTTTCTCACACACGAGACTCACCCGGCGTCTCCAACCAGGACCACTCTGCCTTTTACCCACTTTTCCATCTTCACCTGCCCGACCATGTCGTAGTAGAAGTCTTTCGTCGCTCTCATCTCACGTATGATCCGGTCGCATTCCCAGCCTGCATCTTGGAAGTACTCTGCCATCAATTCCTTCTGTGCATCCACTTCTTCGTGACCCTTTCCTGCCACGTCGACCAGTCTCTGATCTTTCTCGTTGATGACGTACATGAACAGAGTCGTCCTGTGCCTCTGCAAATCTGGCCGCAACATGACACCCCGTCTGCCGGGCGCATGGAACCACCTTCGCCAGAGAGTATCCGTCTCCTCGCTCTTCGGTATGCTGAAGAAGGCGCCATACATCCCCAGTCGCTTCACTCGTTCGCGGTCTTGTTCGGCTCCCCAGACGAGCTTCCGAGTCGCACTCTGCAATCCATCTGCTCCCACCACCAAGTCGTACGTCCTTCGCTCGCCGCTCTTTCGGAACGTCGCATGTACCTTCTCCCCATCTTGCTCCAGCTCTCTCACACCATCGCCAAAGATGAACTCCACGCCCTTGCCACCGTGCTTCTGCACATCTCCACTAACGCCCCGACACCTCTCCAACATAATCTCCGCGAGGCGTCCCCTCATGATTTCGATATCGCTCGTGCCGCCGCTCGGTCCCGCTTCGCCTTGCGCCCAGACGCGATTGTCCCGATCGACGAACTGCGCGCCGATCTCGCCCGTCGTGGAGTCGCAGATGACTTTCTCGAGCCCCAGCTTGCGGATAATGGTCACGCCGGAGCCTCGAATGTCAATATTCTGGCCGGACTGGACTTTGAACGACTCCGGGGAACGTTTCTCAAGAATGGTAATGTGGGGTTTGGGATCATGGGGGGAGAGCAGCAAGAAGGTCGCAAGCGTTGGACCTGCGATGCTGTTGCCGATGATGAGGATGTTCAGAGGTGCCGCCATGTTGGATTGAAGGCAGGTTGGGAATCGTTGAGAAGTGTTTTGGTATGCTTGTGAGAGTATGGTAGTGGGTAGTGAAGAGCTGGGGAACTGACCGTTTCGCAGGCGTTTTTATAACGAAGCTCCTCGTTGACGCATCCCTGACGACATGTTTGTGAGAGGGGGAACAGCAGCAGTTGCTCGATGTTGTTGACGATGTTGATCCAATTGTGTTCCTCATTAGGATCGGATGAAGTTGAAATGAACCAATCATGAGCTCCAAGACCGCGGGCTCTCGGCTTCGAATGGTCCCGAAGGCTCCGTGGCCCGGATTGGCTATTCTCTCCTCCTTCCCGTCTACTGTCGCCTTGCAGCGACACTTTCACAACACACCCAAAGTATCCATCGTTGAAGTTGTGGCTGTTGCTGTTGCTGTTCAAGAGATTGTTCAAGAACAGGAACTTATGTGCATTCCCCGTCCGATTGGCTTTGGCGGACCTGTTGCTAGCACATGGAGTCTCGACAGTCTCGACAATTTTCGCAATTGCAATGGACTGGAGCACTCGCGAAGAATGGCGAAAACTGATGGCAGAGAGAAAGAATAGATCAGAGATGGTTAACTATGGCAAAGGCCCGATTACAATCGACTATGCGGCATCCTCTCCGTGGAAACAGGCACCAGCTCCCTCAGACTTTCAGACTCGTCTGATGCCAGCTCTTCATCCCGTTCTGCTGCCTGCTCCACGACTCTGGTGACTATGATCGCTGGCGGTGACCGAGGGCCACCAGAAGCCTTGCTTGCGCGCTCCGTCTCGGAGCTCTCGGCATCTCTCTCCTTATCCATCATCTCTTTGAGATGCGGTCCACCGCCTCCTAGCTTTCTTCCCAATCTTGCCATCCGTCCGCCTGGTGCTCTGACCTCTTCCTCAGGCTCGTTGGCCGTGCAGCTAGCATGGGAGACGCCGCCGCCGCCGTGAAGCTCCAATGCCTGGGTGTGGCGTTTGCCTGCTGCTCTGCTGCTCCAACTTCGGCTCGAGAAGAGTGTTGGGAAGTAACGCGTCACCAGGCCTTTGAGTGTCGGGAGACAGCTGCAAAGAATTCCCACGTTGACTTCCAGTGAGCTCCAGATTGCTGCTAGAGGGTTGTCCCAGGAAACGTCTGAGGATTTCGAGATTGCGTAGAGAGCAGAGAGGCGGAGAATGGAGATGACACAGGTGACTCCGCCGAGGCCGAAGACGACCATCAGTATGATCTTCTGGCGCTTCGGAAGGTTGAGTGAGTTCAGAACCGGCAGAGGGAGTAATGCGGTCATGATGTCGGTCAAGATGTTGAACGATGCGTTCGCAAACCTGGAACACATCTGATCAGTTGCTAGGGATGGACAGGGAGAGATGCCAGAGCTACTTACCAAACCGCCAGACGATTCAGACAACTCGCTGGAACACTCTTGTCCCAGAAGCTTCGAATTGGTTGACAGGCGAAAAGAGCACTGAAGAAAGCCCACAACGTCCAGGCGACGATCAATCCCATGAGCGCATAGCATGCGATACGAACGTTTCGTTCGGGAAATATGCGGAGATATTGCAGCAGGATGGAGAGCTTGGTGAAGCATAACGCAGGATAGTAAATCCAGACGGAGGCCCAGAACCAGACGAGATTCTTGACGTTGTCCTCGGTGGAAATGGTGTCATCGTGTCGACCCATGCCGTACTTGACTGTGATGGACGTCAGCATGGAAGACTGCCGGACACTCTTGAGCGGGAGCGGAAGGCATACCTTGCTCGCCCATGGTGACCGTCAGAACGATCGAAAATAACACCGCCAATGTGATGACGAGGTCGTCCAGGCCGACTTTGCGAACGATCGAGATTCGAGTTATGAGGCGCAAGACAGTCACCACAAACGCAACGACAGTAAACGCGACCGTCACTCCCACGACGGAAGTTGAAGAAGCATGCCCGCTGGTCGCCATTCTGGGTCGCCACCTCTCCTACTTCAACACCCGTAGAAAGTTCATCGAGGAAGAATGAATCTTTCAGATAATAAAGAGCGTGCAGGTCGAGAGATGAGTACACAGAGTAGGAAAACTGTCGGACAGACTCTGGGCGTTGAGACCTGGTCGAACACTCGACCAAGGCACACCCTGCCATAACTCCTGCATTAGAGGAGTGCCTCATTCCGCCGTGTCCATCGAATGGCCTGAGGTGTGACGCAGCAGCGGACACGAGCCTCGCACGTGGCCAAGGACAAATCGGATCGTAGCTCTGTGCCCCAGCGACCCATTTTTGATCTTCACTATCGGATTCTCGGTTCCGCTTGTGCGGGCCTCGCCCTCTTCGGGGTCGCACAGTCGTGAAGATGGAATCGCAACGCTTGATGAAGGTTGCTAGTCGACGCCCTCGGAAGCTTGAGATGATTCCCGCTGGTCGAGAGGACTCGGCATTGCAAAGAAATCTTCCACTCGTTGCTCCAGTCTACCTGAGATGCCGAAAGTATCAAAACTCTCATAAAGGCGAACTGCGTGATGAAAAGGACATCACAATCCGACTGGTCTCCTCATCCTTCCGAGCCGAATGGAAGCGAAGTTTTCCCGTTCGTTCCCCATCGTTCGAACTCCATCTGGCAGAGATCTTCTTCAAGCGTTGGAGGCACAGATTTTAGCGCCACTATCGTTTGACCTCTGCTTAGATAACCAAAGTCTTTGGGTTTTTTGATTGTTGTTGCGAAGATGACGATCTTTTCACAGATGGCTAATAAGGGTTGGCCGGAGTTGGGGCTCCTGTGAAAGCGGCTGTTGTTGTTCAGGACCTAATAAACTGGAGTGTATGTTGCAGAGACTTTGGTAGTGATTTCAACGGGTAGACTGTGGTCGTCAGCTGCGGGAGTCATCAAGCTTGCCCCGGTCTGTCAACCCCAGAGGACTTGTTTGCGCGTGGAGAAGAGCATGTCCGAAAAGCAGAGCCGACTCGTAACTTTTTCGGTGGAGCTGATACCTGAAACAACTAGTCCGTAACACGCCTCTGTGCGCTTCTCGAAGGAATTCAGCCGTGGTACGCAATGAAGATTACCTGATCAGCCGGTCGCGCACAGACTTTGAAGTCACATGATACTGGCTTACTGAGGTTCCGAAATACCGTCAAGTACGATGAATACAGATAGGAAGACTACAGCTTTTGTGAACACCGGGTGGCAATTCTGCCCACAATGGCATAACTCAACAGCAGCACAGCATAATACGCAAGCTAAAGGAGAGGGTATCCAGTAGAACAGAAGGACAAACTCCAAGCCGCAACAGATAACACCGAAAGTCGACTTACCATCACTCCTCCATCTTCAATTCTTCCCATCAGACCACGAACTCGTCCTCTCCCGGTGATCATGCGCACTGTCAACCTTCTCCTCTCCCTCCAACCCCTTCGCTGCATCACCAACACTACTCTGCAGTAGCTTCTGCACCTTTTCTTGTTCTTCCTCCTTCGGCTTCCAAATCAAATGCTCCTGAAACATGACCGGCAACTGTTGTCCCGTGCGCCTGCTGACACGATAGTATTCCGTCAACAAGAACGGTTGCGCAACAGTAGGCATCGGATCTCTCCACTTCCAGATCACGTCCCTTGTCCCTACCAATCTCTTCATATGTTGCGCCCAGACCCTCAACGTGGCGGTTTTGTGCTCCCACATGAGCATTCCGGCTGCCACTTGGGAGTGTGATTCGCGGTTGAGCTTGGATTTCGGAGGCCGAATGGGGCGTTCGATTTCTTCTTTCGGTAGGGTGCCTGTGATTGCGCGGGCGAGGAAAGGGGTGTTCGACCAAAGATGGAGGCCGGATGTAGAGCGGGGATTACACTCGATCGCGACGAGACGGTCTTGTGTTTCGATGAAATCGAAGGCGATTTGGCCGCTCCACTTGCCAGGTAAGGAGGCGACGAACTTGTTGATGTAGTCATATATTGGGCCATGGAAGCGTTGCTGGAAGAAGACGCTACTGCTACCATCGATGGTCTCCAGGACAGGATAGAGGCCAGTAGCTTCGACTCGCCCCGAGCGGACGATACTGTAGCTGCAAAAGCGATTTCCAACCAGCCATTCCTGCGCGATGAAGTGGTTATGGGGACCAATGTCAATGTCTTCTGGAATCGGTTCCCCAGGTCTCAGGTGGTAGAGGCCTGAAGCTGCACGGCCGAAGCAGGGCTTGAGAGCCATACCATGTTGATATCTGTCCAGCGGAAGATTCATGACATCGTCCATGCTCTTGCAGAGATACGCTTCTGGAACATCGAAGCCCTTCTCGTCCACGAGTTGAGAGAACCCATACTTGTGATGCAGCCTCACGAGCAGGTCAAATGGCGGCGCGAAGAGTCTCTCAAGAATCTCTGGCTCCGAACAGCCTGCGAGGACGAACACCTCTTCGTGTATCGGGATGATCATGTCGACTTTCCATTGCAGCGTCCACTCTTTCACCGCCTGGATGTATCCTTGAGGATCGTCATGAGGAGCGGGGACTTGTCTGCTTTGTGACACAGCGATTGAGAATTTGCAGACGTGGTAGTCCATCGGATCGACGCAGTGCACGGTATGGCCTGCCGAGTAGAACTGTCGGGCCAGGTCGAGGGAGACTGGGAAGCGGCCATTCGTGATCAGGATTCGCATTCGGGGCTGCTCGTGCGAGAGCGAGTTGCCATTTCGATTCTTCTTGAGCGGCATTGCGGATGCCTCGCAGCCAGTAGCAGGATATACGGCGTCTCGAGACCAACGACGAACTGGAAGCAAACAGAAGAGCTTATACAACCTACCCGGCCCATTTACTTACGTCGTCCTCTCACCACGAGACCCACGGGCCCAGGCGGACTAAACAGACGAAGCGTCTGACGGTACATGTCGAAGAGTAGAGTACGAAGGCGTGTGATCGTTCGGTGATGTAAGTTGAAGGTTGTGCGAGTCCAGTCGGAAACGTGCGGCGGAGGACGAGCTAAGAAATACCCGGCACACCGGGGTGAGTGGATGACTAATCTGCCCGTGCACGCTTTCTCCTCCTCCCGTCGGCTTCCTCCTCTTTCCCTCTTCCGTTCCTCGACATCGGCGAATCTTTTGTCACAATTCAACGCGGTCGACCAGCAACTTGAGACGATGCGTCCCACGCCTTCGGTGATGGCGCTCTCACCGCCACTGGAACAGATACCATGAACCGAGCTGCTAGCCGAGAATCCGAATTGATCTGCGAACTACAACCAACCGGAATTACTGAATGGAAACAACCACCTACCAAAGAAACTACTCCAAGACTACTCTCGGGAAACGAACCGAACGCAAGCGAGCCTTCGAGTGCTCGTTACGTGGACCCTTCCTTTCCTCCGCTACGTCCCAATGCCCCGGAGATTTATAGCACGTTGATGACGCCTTAGCGTCTTGCGATGTCTAGATTCTGCGCCGTCAGGCTTCAGTCAAGACGATCAAAGAGCCTCTCAAAAATCACTTTTCATTTCGTCGGCATAGAGTAGATTACGACCCTTTCTCTCAGCCGTAGCCTGAGACGAATTCAGGCTTTGGCGGTCGGGTGAACGTGGTCCAACGACATGGCGTACTGACGTGAAGGCTTTGCCTCTACTTACAGGTCGAGTGAGAAATCGCAGCTGTTCCTACACCTTATATGTCGAACGGCTGTCGTACAGAGTTCGAGCAGCAACATTGTCGAAATTCGACGCAGGATTGCTTCGCCGCTGCGCATATTCGACTCTGGACCCGCATCGCGCGAGGCTGAAACCAACTTACCAGTGACTGTCTCAGCCTCACGTGTAGATTGGCAACCGGCGTAGTCCTATTGTGTACGTCTTTTCCCCCATTACGGGCAAAGACATAAACAAGATGGTTGCATGTGAACGAGTGAGTACGAGAACACGCCGAACTTCGGTCTTTCCTCGGTATCGCTCAAGCAAGGCACTGTGCACCTGAAACTGGAAACGTCGTTAGTCCTTGTAGCATGTGACATACGAGCAAGTGAATGAATCAACCTCAGATACCATGCGATTACCTCCTCGTTCCTGTCTGTTCAATGCAGACGCGGTTCTAATTAGAACCAACGAGAAGAGGTTCCGCCGGTAGCTTGTGAAGATACCTCGGCGCTACCAGAGCGGGAATGGCGTCGGGAGGATGCGCCAACGCCACAGACCACGTCCACCTCCTCCTGCCACCCTGAAGTGCCTGACACCGACGTGACAAGAGATATACCGCCATCAAAACAGGTGAAAAGATCCGCCAAGAGTATTCCTCTCCTCTTCCGGATATGCGTCGATGATACTGGATGAGAAGAATTCCCTCATTGGCCCGCCGTGGACCATCATGATGCTCAATGCCCTCTCCAACAGGTCCTACAGGCTTGGCTTGGCCGCTGCCGCAGGGATCCTTACCATATTCTTCTTCCTCTGGGGTTCGGGCTGGAGGACAGAGACGATACAGAAGCCCTGGCAGAGAAAGCCCTTTGATCATGTCGAAATCTCGGAATATGCCCACCGACTGCCCTACGCGGACGCCTTCCTAGGACACAACGGAAAGGACGAAGGGGGCAAATATATATACGGTCATTTTGATAATGTCACGATGCTGCCTACTGTCACGATGTCGGAAGCGAAAGCGCCTTGTCATTGGGATGATCCGTCCAAGGTGAATTTTGCTTTCGGTGAGGAGTCTGGATGGGGCATGGATTTGAGCTGGACGACTACGGATCGAGGAGAGAGGGAGTTGAGGACTATGCGAAACCAGATTTACGACTTCATCAGCAATAAGAACAACAGTCTTATCCCTTACGACTTCTACGCGGACCGCTTCGAGGGACGAGGAATTGTCATCGTGGGAGGTCAAGGCCGGAGTCTGAAACGAGTGCGGGTCATCTTGAAGCAGTTGAAGCACCTGGGATGCAAACTGCCAGTCGAGCTCCACTACTGGGGCGCAGAAATGGACACCGCCGCTCGCAAGGAACTGTCCACAATGTGGCACGACATCACCTTCAGCAACATTGCCAACCCGGCCAACATCATGGGCAGCACGTACAACCGCATGTACGGAATCCACTACCATCTCAAAATCGCCGCCCTCATCAACGCCCGCTTCGAAGACATCCTCCTCCTCGACTCGGACAACATCCCCGTCATCGACCCCGACCAACTCTTCGACTCCCAAGTCTACAAAGAATACGGCACCGTCTTCTGGCCCGACATCCAACGCACCCGCGCCAATAACCCCCTCTGGCCCATCACAAACACCCCCTGCCGCAGCGTCGAAGAATGGGAACTCGAATCCGGCCAACTCCTCGTCAACAAGAAGAAATTCTTCTACCACCTCCAGCTCGCCGGCTGGTTCATCGACCCGGACACCGAACACGGGAATTACTTCCACCACGTCATGCTGGGCGACAAGGACACCTTCCGCTTCGCCTGGCACGCCCTCAAGACCAAATTCGGCGTCCCCTCGCGCTGGATCACCAGCGTCGGCACTTACAACGACGGCTTCTACTGCGGCCACACCTTCGCCCAACACCATCCGGACCCAGGCGGCCCCGTCGCCTTCCTACACGGCGGCCTCCTCAAGACCATGCGCCGCGAAGTCGTCGTCTGGCAGAAAGACACCAACGGCGGCATCTTTCAGTACTACAAGCGAGATCCCCACGACGAGGACAAGACGAGCAACACCAACGTCGGCATCAAGTGGGACGCGCAGGCCTACCTGCCCAATAAACCAGCAGGCATGGAAGCGGGCTGGTGCACGGATTTCTTCGATCTCGAACCCCGACCCTTCTCGGAAGTCGTGCCGGCGAGTCAATTTTCGGATCACGTGTTTGAGGAGATTGGGGGTTATTGGATGATTGAGGATGACACGCCGGTTAGTATTACGGATGGGAATCTGTGAATTTAAAAGTTTGAGAGACGTGTCGTCGGTTCACGTGTATAATAATTGCTTTACTTCGCAATGTACAATTGGTCTTCCTGGTCCGTTAGTTGTATCGAGAACTTCATCAGAGTCGGAGCGAACGTGCTCCTAACGATCAAGCATAGATACATACTCTATACAGAACGAATGAGTCGCAGGGCGCCCTTAGAAATTCCTCTCTTCCTCATTCTGATCCTGCTCTCCCTTCTGAACAACGTCGCAATTGTCCTCGTCTTCTTCCGTCCGCTCATCCTCGTCGCAGAAACATAACAACTCGAAATGACCAACGTGGCAATGAGCCGGATCCACAGAATCTGGAGGCACACGCTCCTCGATCCACTTCCCAAACCGCTTGCTATCCTCCAGAGAACTCCACCCGGAGAATCTCAGCAGCGTGTCGGGGTTCCGCTTGCCATCCACCATCGGTCCGCTCACGCATGGATTCCCTCTCTTCTCCAGCTCGCCACAGACCTGGTCGTTGAATTCGAGGCATCTCTCCGCCGCGCCCTTCATGTCTTTGAACATCATCACATCGATCCGCATGAGGTCGTGGGGAAAGCCGAGTGCATTGCGAGTCCGCGGAATGGCAATGCCAGCGACTGACGCTGGCTTGACGATGGCTTTGTCTACAGAGGACTCGCGCAGCTCCTTTGCTTCGAGTTGCTCGCACTCCGGATTCAGCTTATACGAGAAGTTCTGGATGCCATACTTGACTTTCAGCTCGTGCACCTGATCCTTTCGCTCGCCCGTTTCGTATTCATACAGGTCGATCAGGTAGAAGTTTTCCGGGTCTTCAATCTGTCGATACTATCGTAAATGCAATTTTTGCCTCCTTGGGGTTCGATCCTGGAACCAGGCGTTTTCACCGAGGAAATATTCGAGAAAGTCGTCTCTCTTTACTCTCTGGTGAAGTTGAAAGGCCCACATGGTTATGATAGGTATTATTCCCTTGTCCTTCTTGGTCTTCGTCTTCTTCTTCATGCTTTTGCCTCCAGCACGCGAACCTTTGGGCCGTCGCTTCTTTCTCTCGCCTAGCGGAACGAGCGCTGGAATCTCTTCGCAGAATTTGGTTCTGGCAGCGAAGAGCGTGTCGATGAAATACTTGAAACGTTGCTCCGTAGTGACTTTCAGGCAAAATCTTCCAAACAACTGCTCTGGAGAAAAGCACAACGAATGGGCCGTCTTTTTCGCCTGCTTCTTTTCATTCTTGGTAAGCAGGTGCATAGGATTGCAAGCTGCCTCCATCAGCTGAGAGATATCCCGAGCACGGCGTCCATTCAGAGCGCTGAATCTTTCCAGCACTTCGAAGATTCGCGGATCCCCGTATGGTCTGATGTTGTTTTCCGGGTCATCGATTGCGGCCAGCAGGTCTTCAAAGTCTTTCTCCAACCATATCCTCTGTGCTTCCCCGTTCTCTTTCATCGCGGAGAGTATGAAGTCCCAGTCCTTCTGGTCTTCACTCGGCTCTTCTGGGTGATCGGTCTGTGCAGGAGACGCGCTGCGGGTTGATGCTACGGAGTCTCTGGGCGGAGCAGCGTATTTTTCTTTGGCCGCTTTCTGCGCATTGGGACCGTGCTGCGGAACAGTATGCTCGACACTGGCGGCTCTCTGCACAAAGTAGTCTTGCTGCGCAACACTGTCCAAAGAGGTGGGTGAAGGCATGATAGCTGACGGTGGAAGTACTGCAGGCGAAGCGATTGGACTGTTGTGGGAGATGTTGAGGCTCGCCATCATTCGACAAATCTCCGTCATGTTTGGAGTGCTTGCCATATTGATGGATCCTGGAAGACGAGAAGATAAGTATGTTGTTCGTTGAGCCGTTGGACGGATGTTGGAGGAAGATGAAGATATGGCCGCCGTTGCAGAAGCAAAAGAAAGAAGGAGGTAGCGTAAGTCCCGGAAGGCAAAGGGGAGACGTCGCCCTTGCCGCCTTCCTCGAGTTCACGATAATGCCTTCCTCAACTTCATGTTAGTGCCTTCCTCAATTCCATGTTAGTGCCTTCCTCAGCCCTCTCATCGCATCCCCCTATTAAAAGAAAAAGCAAAAGCAAATCGACTGCCCTGCCCATACCTTATCGACCGGCAACATCTCATCCAGAATCGGACTAGCAATCATGATATGTACAGGTCTGGGTCAGTATACAACTCCAGAGTTGGAGTGGACGCCGGGGCAGTGCCTTTCAGAATTCCGCTGACAATGTGTTGAAAATCTCCAAGCCATGCCACGCCAGATTCCGACACAGAAAAGTTCCAGGCTGTAGATCATCCTCCTGGTTTGGACCTTGGTATAGTCCCGGCACTCTCCAAGAAATCATATGCTGAGCCACAGAGATATGGTGGCACCGGGGGAAACAGTAAGACATCTTCGCAATTCTTCAAACGCTATACTTTCTGTCGATATCTTCTTCTGTCAAATCAACCATCCTCCTTCTTTACACGTATCCATCTTCTCCGCCCACTTCTTCATCCTTTCAGGCATCCAGCCCGATTCTATCCCCTTGTACCATTCTCCGAGATTCGGTCTTGTCGAGGACATGCATCGGTCATCCGAGCTGAGCGCATACTGCAGACAGCCTCCATCTTTCTCACATATCTCTGCGCATTCTGCAAGCGAGGAAACGGGCCCTCGGTCTTCGTCGGCGTGGTTGTACCAGTCTTTCTTCGGTTCCTGGATCCGTGGGAGGATGTATTGTGTATACATTTCGTGGTGCCGCATGGCTTTGGAGGGGTTCTGTTCAATCTCCAGATCAGTACGCTTGCTTCTAGGAATGTGTCTCTTCCACGAACTCACCTGCTGTTTCGCAATCCACCCCTGTTCGAATTCCCACAGATCCTTGACGACACCCGGTCCCAGATGATGATAACTCACAGTCGGGAAACACCACAAGCGATGTCCATCGACTCTTCCATAGTTCATATTTCCAATATCATCGCCCTGCCAGATAGGCCATGACATCGTCATGGGACTCCCGCTATCTTTCATTGCTTTTCCCAAAACACAATCGCCAGCCCAGTGTCCATCCGTGAACGCTTCCCACTCTTCCTGGTTTTCCTGGAACATTTTGACAACACTCTTAAGTGCGGGCTGAGAGACCGCAAACCCCGTCCCTCCATGCGCGAATTGTATATCTCCGATCCAGATCTGTCCGCCGATATAGTATGGCTTCGTCCAATCCACTGCCGACAGGTAATTCAGAAGCGTTTGCCAGAGAATGTAGGTATCCGTCTCCACAAAGATATACCACTTCTTGTCCGGATATTCCATCAGTGTCCTGTTTACCATTGGCATGAATTTCCATTTGTCTAACTTCCAACCCGGGTTATCTGGTTTTCCTGTCGCGCTGTTTGGTCTGGAGATGGGACCACTGAGTTCGGAAGGTTTGAGGGCTGATCTTCCTCCTTTTTGGAGGCGACGCCAGAGATCGAAATCGCCATTTTGCGAACGTGTGGAGGGTGTCGTGAACTCGAGTGCGTCGTAGATGTGTTCGCCGTGGTAGGTCTCTTCGTAGTCGGAGAAGATGAGGTAGTTCGGATAGCAACGTAGAGTGGTGTTGAGATGGACTGGGAGTTTATCCTGCAGCTCCGTTGAGCCGGTCTTGAGGATCACGACGACATCGCTGGCGCCTGGGAGGGAGCGGCAGGGTAGATCATCGTTCTTCGAGTTGGTGATGGTGGTAGTTTCTGTATTCTTCGACTTGCCAGAGTCGGATTTGGGGAGAGAGAGAATCGGTTCCCTCGCGCGTGCCGACGAGGTGCTGTGATGTGTGATGTAGAAGAGGAATATTAGGAGGAGAGAAGCGGCAATGTAGATTACTCGTTGCGGTACTCTGCGGCGCAGGTTGGGTTTCATGGCCGGCCCTGGGGAGCGCGACAGGTATGCCGTGTGGACCTTTTCGCTGTAAGCCATTCCCTGGCGTGTCAACAAAGAGTGTCAATTACGAAAAGGAAGTCATGGTAGTACTGAGGAGGGGTAGAGTAGAGAGAATGGATACGAATGAACAAAGAGAAGAGGGTTGAAAGGCAGTGGTCTGCAGCGCGGTGTATAGACAGACGTGTCTCTCACGGATCGTCTGCAACTCACGGCCAGTGGATTAAGATTTCCCACGGGGTCAAAGGGTCCCCGGTCTCGTCTGTTCTCCTGAGTGGAATAATGCGCCACTTGTGACTCGCCAACCTGCAGCAGCTTTCAGCTCCAGGTGTCATTCGGCCAAACTCGGTTGGTGCAGACGTCTGCAGCTGGCCGAGCGCCAACGCGTGCTGTCGTGTGAACAAGAAGTTCCGAGTCGACAGGAATATTACGCTTCTTCTGTATCGTCACCACGATATTTCTCCATTGCCGCGGGCATGTTTCTGTGGAGCAAACGTTCCAAGGTTCCCACCTGTGCACGTTCCGTTGTGAGTGGGCGGATCGCCGTTCCGCGTCTGGCGTTTCGACTTGATTCGTGTTGATGATGATTTGTTGGAAGTAGATGAAAGGTCCGACCGCCGAATCCTTTGTCCAGCTTTTTTAGGGCTCTTGGCGGACAGGGGGGCTGCTATACTGAATTCAGCAGGCGGTGGAACGACAGGAAAGCGCATTCTGCCAACACCCTGGCAATATGAACTCCGTCGACCCAAAGACAATGGCTTAACCAAGTTCTCTTCTTCATTGGAGTCTGCACGGATCCGGACCATGAACTCAACTGCATGCCAGGCGGGGACCGAAAGCCTCAACAGAAATCCCTGGATCTACGTCCACAATATGGGAAGTATAGCTGCTATGGCTTAGGGGGATGCGAGTGCACCAGTTCCATCCAGATGTCCAAGTTGGCTGCTGGAACGCGTGTCACGACAATACCTGCAACGACCGGGACGACGTCTACTTTTGCGGGTGCTACAGATTCGACGACGACGACGACGACGACGACGACGACGACGATGACGATGACCACCCGTTCTAGACCCGCTGCTTCCCGTACGAACAATCCATCTCCAAGCTCAGCCAGGCTTTCAAAGTCCAGCGCCACCGTGGGAGTCCGCCAAGACACACCAATACATCACTGCCGAACTATATGGTAAATCCAGTCCTGCGCGATTGGATGCGACGATGAGTCCACAGGAGATGCCTGCTGAGCGATGATAGATAGGATACAAATCATCCGTTCTTCTTGAAATCGCCCTTCACTGTGGATTCAGCGAAGGCGTTCAGCATGCATAGGCTCCTGCGCATCGAATTGTACATACTTCGAGGCCATATTCCGCTCCACAACATCTTTCGACAAGTATGAAACGAACGGTAACACATGCCTTCGAATCGACAACGCCACGCATCGGTGAGTAGGGAGCCGTGAGTAGGCGGCTTGCATGCACCTATCCGCTCTGCCCTCGGTTCTCACTGTGAGGCTGACGTGCAGTTTGAAATTAACGAGGAGCATCAGCGGTTTTGGGGGGGGGGGACGGGGGCCATGAAGACGCCACAATACGGAACCCCCCATTTCCACACCGCATCCAACGCAGAATCGAGACCGGAAAAGATCGTGCTAACAGGAAGAGAACAAACAAAACAGGAATCGACTTCGGTCCCGAACACCAAAAAAGCCAACCCGTCGATCCTTTCTGGATTCTACGCACTGCCCCAGGATCTGCCACGGAGGAGCGCAGTCTAGAAGAACATTATTGTTGGTATTAGACGCTATTCCTGCCTCAGATACGACGAGAAAAAATCCTTATGGCGCTGCATCCTTATGGCGCTGCAGCGAAGGAACAGGCGGGCGGCGTCGCGCTGTAGAACTAGTACTTAGCAGTATTCGTCCCAGCCCAGCCCTCGCGTAAGTATCTACCTACATACTCGTATCATTTCCCTTTCCCGCCGTAGGCGAGCCTCTTCGTCCTCCTCGCCCTTTCTCTTTCTCTACGCACCTGACCTCCCGTGCGACAGCACGTTCTCATTATTCCCGTATCGCAACGGCGACGATGGAACTCTCGTTCTACGGCCTGGTAATATCGACATTTTTAATCTCATGGGGAGCAGCGCAGACAACGACCCATTTACCTGCACCGCCAACCTATACGGACGGCAAGTTCACGAACCCGGACACGTCCAAGGCGCAAATCTTCACCGATGGCTCCGAGATGAATGTGACGTGGACGACCACGTACGATAGCGTGACGCTGTGGCTCATCTATGACGGACATTATAATAATCCGACCTTGCTCATCAGTCAGTACACTCACCTTTTTCCCGTCCGTCTTCTTCTCGGACCCGACCCGACCGGACTCATTGCTGATGCTGATTGATTGATTGCGCGTATAGGCGGTACGACGCAAGACTGGTACCTCTGGACCGTCAACGACGACAACAACAACACGCGACCTTTCAGTTTCCGAGCCGTGAGTACGGACGGCACGCAACAGCAGCAGCGACAGGGAGGTTTCTACACGGGTCAATTCTGGATCCAAGACTCGAGCAATCCGGGCAGGGGTTCGAGTGCCACTACCACCACCACCGCCACCACTTCAGCAGCCTCTGTTATCGGCGCAAGCACCACGCCGCTGTCAGCATCAGCACTCGGCAATGCTGCCTCACAGACTGCGAGCTCAACCGCTTCGCCCTCGAGCTCCTCTTCTGCAACTTCGTCCTCTTCGAATGGAACCGCGATCGGCGTCGGAGTCGGCGTGGGCGTGGGCGTCGCTCTGCTCATCATTGCCGGATTCGCATTCTGGTTCATTCGCCGTAATAAAGCCAAGAAAGCTGCTGCCGCTGCTGCAGCACCACGGTCAGATGCGCATTGGAGCAACACCTACGCTCCTTCCGAAATGACGCAAGCTGCCTCGCCGCAGCCTTATCACAGTGGTATGAAATCACCTCAGCCGTCGGAAATGGCTGGAAATTATTGGCCTGCGCCAGCGGTAGAAGCCCCGAATCTGCAAGAGCCAAGGGAGTTGGAGGCGGATACTTCTGGAGCGGCACTTGCGGGGCCTCCTGCTCCTGGAGAGAATAAGCCGCCGACGGAGTATCGATGACGAATGTTCGGACTGTTATCCTATGATTTGACGATGACGAGGTGAAGAATATCCGTTGCATTGTACATCTTTGTGCGCGTCCTTGTTGAGTGACTAGTGAATTTGAAAGATACCTCGATGCTTTTAGCATGCCAGCTAGGCAGTACTGGTTGGAAATACAAGAACAGTCCAGTCTGCCCACTGCACTTCAGGTCGCCATATTACAGCACTGGGTCGCGTAAGTGCCAGTCGTGGTCGTCCATGCGCAGGTTGTCCTCGGCTTCGGATCCTTGGCCTCCCCATGGTCCACAGTCCGCCGAAATCAAAAGTAGGCCCTCAAGCCTTCCTCATCCGAGCAGTCACCATACAGCTGATCGTCCATACCGGCGAACATGGCTTCCATGAATTCAAGCTGCTCCAAATATCTCTCTCGATCGGGCCACAATTTATCGGCCAGACACTTTGCCTCGTCGACAACTACACCTAGGGTAACTTCTCCTGTCACCTTCGACTCCATGATGACAGGGCAATCTGGAATGGCCAGTTTCAGATGCAACGGTGTGTCGGAGTAACTGATCAACATTTCTCGCCAGGATGCCTTCTGTTCATTGGGAAACTCTTGCCGGAGACGGTTGTAAGGCAAGACTTTTCTGCGTCTCTCGTTGGTCCAAGCTAGAGATTCCGGATTAGCGACTTGCGCGTCTGCTGCATATCAGCCTGTCACCATAGCTTGCCTTTGTGGATTTTGATATGGACACCACGCCCGGTGCGATCGGCGTAAAGCTCCAGATGGAAAGGCGCCGTGGCCAATCTGAGCTTCGATCTGGACTTGGGGCCAAACAAGCGGTTGAGCTCTCCACGGACGAAGTACTTCTCGTGAGGTATCATGAACATGTGTCGGCGGATGGAGATGGATCTCCAAATGAGATCCCGGAAGAGCGTATTGACTCGCTGTAACGGATAGAGCTGGAGCGGGGGTACGTATTGGAGGATACGCTCCAGCATCTCCGGCAAAGCGAGACATTGATCCATTGCGCTGCCCTCGTACACCTCTTCCTCGTCAAAGTCGGCCAACGACACGGCCGGCAATTTGACTCGGGGCTTCTTGACGGCTGCCTCCCCATCATGACTGGGATTGGACGCATTGGCACGAGAGTCAGCGAGAGATGTCACCGGCGCCTTCCCTTTGCTTTGAGCGACAATTCTTGGCTCGACAGCATCGAAGTATTCCTCCGCATCTGAGAAGTCGAATCCATCGGATGCCATGATGTTGATGATGGGTGGAGGAGAAGAGTGAAAGGTCCTGTGCTGGTGACGGTGGAGATGTCGTTTGCGGGTCGCGTCTCGTCGCGCTTGATCGACGTCCGGGATCTCGCGGAGATGCGCCTGAACACGTGATTGAGAACCAATTAATAAGCATTTTACTGCCTCAGGCTTGCACATGGGTGTCTGGGATATTCATTGCAATTGGCCCCTGGTGAATATGGCTCAACAATATGTCTGCAGAACTTTAATGGACGATTGAGTAGTTGGACTAATCAAAAGCTGCATCCAAGAAATGCCGAACGATAAAGACCGGAACAGCAAATGAACGAACGTTGATGAATTTGCTACTGCTAGGGGTATCCATGCCTCTTTCCTTCAGATCATGCCCTGACCCTCTCCTATTAGCCTGCCACTACTCCTCATACTCCACCATCAAGCTCGTAGGAGCAGCCACCTCCTTAGCATTGGCATCCAAATACTGCCGGATCTTCAACCCCGCGACATCGTTCTCCACAATCGTAAAGCATCCCTGCTTCCCATTCGCCCTCCGGAGCCCCTTCAACTTGAACACCTCCCTCAACATCGCCGCAATCGCAGGCCCGACCACTTTCAGGTCCGGCAGACTGCTGCCAAAGACGCTGTATAACTCTCGCGGACGGCGAGGATTCAGTTTCTCCGGCTCGGCGAAGAGAGTGGGGTCCATCGCGGCTCGCGACGTGCCGATGAGGACGGTCTGGCCCTGTTTGAGTTGGAGATGGCCGGCGGCGCCGTCTTGGATCGTGGTGTCTCTGGAGACCCAACGTGGGATGCCGGGAATGGCGCCGGCGTGCCGGATACCTTCGAAGACGAAACCTTGGAGTTCTTCTTCGGAAGCTGCATCGTCTCTGTGCGCGAGTTCGATGATACGTTCTCTGTATTCGCTGTAGTGTGGGGTGAGGAAGAGATCGATGAGGAGAGAAGCTTGCTGCGTGATGGTGGCTGCGATGGGTGCTGCGAAATCGACGCATGCCTGGACGAGATTTGCGATAGGCTGCTTCGTGTCGTTGAGAGCATGGTAGAGCCTGTCTGCATCAGGTCCAACTTCGAATGCCGAGCCCTTCTCCACGAAATCGACGATCCTCTCTTTGAAGCCGGACTGAGTCTTCAGGTGCGTTTCGATGATTTTCTTGAGGTTGGCGCCTTTCGTTGTCGATGCCTCGCGCAGTTTCCATTCATTGATGGGTAGGATGTTCTGGTGGGAGTAGAAGAAGATACCGAGGAAGATGTCGAAGACTTGTGGGATGGAATAGATGCCTCGTGGCGACTCCATCGTTTTGATTGGGATGGCCAGCCGCTCTGCAAGCCAGCGGACCGGTGTGGCGTTAGTGACATCTCGCACGATGTCGATGGATCTTCTGGAGCCGGGGTACTTGAGAGAACGGGCTTTGATCAGCTTCGCGGCATCAGAGCTGAAGAACCTGGTTATTTTGGCTTCGACACCGTCCTCAAGGAAGACCTTTTGGAGCGACGGCGAAGGCGGCTTCTGTCCATTCAGTATTCTGAAGGTCTCGCGATCTTCAAAGACGTTTTTGCAGCCTTCAGAGGTATGCACAGCCGCTAGCGACAGATCACTGCGAGGCCTCTTCGTGTCGTACTGACCCAGGACCTTGTTTGCTTTCAAGATTTCTTTCGCTGCTTTCGGGGTGTAGAACTGCAGGAGAGCATAGGATGATGTTCCCGTGAAAGCCGTCGGAAGACCTGTGTATAGTAGTCTAGGGAGCATGCCGCCGTAAGAGCCTCCCGGGAGGACACCAAGCTTTGAAACGCCATAGTTCGTGAGAGTATTGCTGTTGAAGTCGTAGCTGAGGTAGCGATCGCCTCGCACAAGCGCAACAGCATCGTCCAGAATACCACGGCCAGTCGTTTGGCCAGGGCAAACACCACTTCCCGGCATTGCAGGCTTTGTACATTCAGCCATAAGTCCAGGGTAGAGCTCCAGATTATCGATGTGGCTGTACAGCAACTCAGCAGCGCGAGCAGTCTCTCTATCTTCGCACCATTCCTCGAAGCTTTCGTATGGCTTCAGGTTGAGGTATTGACGGAACCTAGCAGTCTATCAGTCCCACATCGGAGCATGACTATGCCCACCCATGTGAACTTACTCGTTCATAGTGCAAACGTTGAACATATTGCGCGCCTGCAATTGACCCATGACGTCCACAACCTTCAAGCTGGCCGGTGTGCCGTGAGCACCGAAAGCATGGGCAGGCTCCTCGATACAATCCTTGAGCAGTTCCGCGAGCTCAACATCGTCGAATCGCCCATCCGCTCCACGCTTGTACTTGTCAAATGTCCAGCGTGGTGGACCACCCGGCGTTGATCTCAGCTTGACCGCTTCTGCCTCGACAACTTTCCTAAAATGTAACGGAGTCATCTCGTCCAGAGACTTCATCTCCGGGTTGTGCCACCTGATCAGATCTTCCATCCACTTGGCATCTGCTGCACTCAAGGCGGCGTGCCAGTGGTACAAGACGGCGAATTCGACTGAGACGACATTGCCTGTTCCTCGCTCTACTCGTTGTCCTGCGTTTTTGATCTCTTTTCCAAGGTCGAGCGACCACGTGGAATCGGCGCGAGGCGTATTCAGGATAGCGGCCACGTAGTCTTTCAAGACCACGGTCGCGAAGAAGCCGACGTTGATGTTTCGCCCGATTTGAAAGAGGTCTTCATCTTGCCTGTCTTGTATTAGCCTACTCGCTTTCCTCGTACACCTTTCGCGAAAGCCTACCATTTCTGCTTCTCCTCATCCAAATGGTCCCAGGGCTTGTACTTGCCCTGCTCATTGACGGACAACAGATTCTTCACAATGGCGTTGTGATTTCTCGAGAACATGACCAGCAGTGCAACGACACCAGGAGGCATGAGCATGATACGATCCGAAGCGATCGCATCCGGGTACAGCATGCCGTCCTTATATGTCCTCACGCGTGGCTGTTCCTTCTCCGTGTTTCCATATAGCGTACTGAGATCCACATAGCTGGATGTCTCGTTGATCCATTGATTCTCTCGATTCGTCTGAAAGCATTCGTGAATGACAATCGTGGCGAAGGAGAAGAATAGCCTGTTCAACCCAGAAGGGTGTTCGCGGAACTTCTTCTCATCTCTCTTGAGCAACTGTTCAAATACCAACTCTGGATCGGGAAGGTTGGGCCCTTTCGGCTTCATTGGCGGGACATTTCGAGCATATGGTGTACCAGCCTTGCCCATTTCTGGGTTCCACAGGTTATTGTTGCCACCATCGTGCCTTCGATACCTCGCGGTTGGGCCAGCAATCGAGGCCGAGGGATGCGGAAGGTCGTTGTAAAGCATCTTAATGAAGCCATCTGAGACGGTAGAAGATAGCCCGCTCGTGGGCGGTAATGACTGCAGCATTGAAACGCCATTTTCAAGCAGTAGCTCTTTGTCGTTCATAGGTTCTCCAGAAGCCAGAGTAGTCAAAGCCTGAGCCATGAACTTCTTCTCCTTCAAGCTTCCATGGACGATATCGTGCATGATCGAGGTCTTCTCGATCTTCGCGTTCGCTGCTGCATCGTCGTCCGTCCTACGGTCCGGGGCCGTCGTTGGCTTCCTCCTAATGGAGCCGATGAGCATCTTGATCTGCCCTGGCGCCATGATCGCGGTGTTGCGGTCTTAGTAGACCAACGTGAGAGATTGACTAGGATAGCAATTCCACAACAAAAGTTTCGAAGCTCGACGAAGAAGACATCGATTGATGAAGAAAGAAGCTTAGAGCTTCAATCCACCCGGCCGAAGCTGCGAGGCTGGCTGAGCCCGTCGTCGCCCATGCATCCCTCGCACCACCACCACCACCGTCGCCACAACCTTTGCACACCACATCGCTCTCGTGTTGGGACTGCTGTCGTGTGGGCGTCGAGCATGTCCGGCTCGGCCAGTGATCGGTTTGCAAGCCCCTGCCGATCGACACTCCAGTAGGTTTACCTCCCAGTGGAGGTCAGTGCAGCACACGAGAGGAGTGTGGAGCATGCACGGTATGATCCCCCATCACGACGTTGCATGAACAATGCAGACTTCGCATGCGTCTGCAGCTTCGAATGGGTTGGAGATGATGCAGCTGTCCACGCTGTGCTGGTGCGAGCGTCGTCCCCACCCGATCAATTGTATATTCCTTTTCGGGTCAAGTGTGCCAGCCTCCTCATCGACGCTACGGCATGTTTGTATCGTGTCGTACCGCGTACCGGGTCGACGGGCCGGAGCTGCTCTTCTCGCTCGTGCATATACTCAAAGACATGCAGGCGGCAGGCGAACGACACCATCCACAACGCGAACGACACGTCACTGATACTTTCCGCGATCCTCTTGCACGGCCTTGACGGATTGCGCCGCGTTGATAGCCACTCGTTCGTCCCTCGAGCCGTCCCACGACGGTGACAGACACCAGCGCAAGGCCAATGCAACGAGAGTGCGGAGAATCGTTGAACAACTCTAAGCACGACGACTAGCCGTGGCACAATGCCTGTCCTGCGTCCTCTGTGTTACTTTTGAACGTGGTGACTTTCGCGGTCATTCGAGCTCGTCCCATGCACTCTGTTGCGACTTCAGCATATTGCATCCATCAGAATGAACAGGAATTCATGGACACCGCATTCTTACCCTGTACAGGCACCTCCCGAGCAGTCTTTCCATGCGCCTGTCAAGTTGCCGCCCAAGAATTCTTTCTCGTCCTTCAAAACGACAGCTGAGACAGCTGATATGGAGGACTTTGATCCAGACGCGCCAATTCCTCCAAACCCACTTCCTCCAAAACCAGTTCCTCAACTTCCAAGGAACATGCGCGCAGTAAGAGATGGCATCAACCACAAGTCGCAAGGCCGCACGATCATCATTTGCCTGGACGGCACGGGCGACAAGTTCGACGGAGATAACAGCAACATTGTCCACTTCGTTAGCTGTCTGAAGAAATCTTATCCCAACCAGATAACCTACTACCAATCTGGAATTGGGACATATAATGGCGGTGGTCTCACCAATGGAGTGAACGCTGCATTTGATATGGCAGTCGGCTCTGGTCTCGGCGTGCACATCCGGGATGCCTATAAGTTTCTGATGCAGAATTACCAGGAAAATGACAAGATCTGCCTGTTCGGTTTCTCGCGAGGCGCTTACACCGCGCGCTGTCTTGCGGGTATGCTCCACAAAGTCGGCCTTCTTCCAGCGCACAACGTTTCGCAAGTCCAGTTCGCGTACGAATACTACAAGGACGACACCGTGAATGGCTGGAAAATGAGTGCGGATTTCAAGAGAACTTTCTGCATGAACATCAACGTGTACTTCATCGGAGTCTTTGACAGCGTTGCCAGTGTCGGCTTTATTCCCAGGACACTCCCCTTAAGCAGCACGCCAACGAACAAGTCAAGGTATTTTCGACATGCGATGGCATTGGACGAGCATCGCGCGAAGTTCAAGGTCTGTCGCTTCCAGAGAAAAGACCACATCGACAACGACGCGAAATGGAAAACTGCTGCAGAGCTGCACGAAAGGCCAGACGCATTGGTGAGGAGGTTCAGTCCCGGTCTTGGATTGAACGAAAAGCCCGAGACCAATGGCGTGAATGGCGTCCTTCCGAACGAAAAGAAGGCCGCGCATGATGATATAGTCGCGGAATCCATGCAACAGGCGGAGAAGCGCCAAGAGCAGCAGTGGGATACGGATGTGCTGGAAGTCTGGTTTGCTGGCTGCCATTGCGATGTCGGCGGCGGTGCTGTGAAGAACGAGGAGCGGCACAGACTTGCCCAGATTCCACTTCGTTGGATGATTCGACAGTGCTTCGAGTGCAACACCGAAATTATTTTCAAAGCCCATGTGCTCGCGGAAGAAGGGATAGATGTTCATACCCTGTATCCCCAGTACCAGAGCTTGGAGATACCTTCGGTAAGACCTCCTCCACACATGATGGACAAGTTCGAGAAGGGAGAGGTTCCAAGTATTAAGAAGCGGTCGTCCGTTCTAGAACCTGTCAAGAAGGAAGAGCCGCACGGATTCCAAAACATCAAGCTGTGGCAAGACAGCGAACGACAGCTCCTAGCCGAGCATTGGGTACCGGAACAGGTCGAGGATTATTTCGACGCTCTGACTTCGATCAACGACCAACTCGCCACAGCAAAGGGCTGGTGGGTGCTAGAGGTATGGCCTGTTGAAATACGATATCAGCCCAAAGATGCGGATGACTGGCGCAAGAAGACCGGGATGAATTTGGGCAGATTTCGAGCGGTGCAGGAGTACGCGCCCAATCTGCACTGGACAGTGCAGGCTCGCCAGGAAGCCAAGGGTTACAAGATCCGTACTCGGCTGGACAGGAAGTCCGAGTGGAAACTCGTTGTATAGTGACATTGCAGATATTCCATGTTGTGATTGCACGCAATAATAATGTTTTTGTGTCTATGTTAACGTCGTGCATCGCGAGTTGCGGTGTCAGAATATGTTGTCTCGAGGCCGGTGTTCCCGAGAAGTTTGAGGCCAAGTCGATAGTATGCTGCAGGTGAAGCCCGGTCCGTGTGCCACAACGGCCGAACGGTGGAATAGCTGTAAATGCAGGCGAGGGCCAATGAGGCGAAGCAGATTATCTGGATATGACCGCGCTTGCTCTAGTGGCGTTCATCATTGCACAGTCCCACCCACCACCCACGCACATTCGCACTGTGCGTGGTACTGGATGGTGTGCGCGAGCTGACCGGCGGGTTGGGCGGGGTGTTTGTAAATGTGTGGATGGGTGTTGAGCTCGGACATGCAGATCGAGTTCGTTGAGACATGTTGTGGAGTTGATGTCTTGCGGCTTCACTTTGTGAGCTTTCTTCTCGCCGACAACCTCAGCGCAAGCGATCATGGGCATCATCAACAAGATCGGTGGAGTCTTTGTCGACCTCTCAGTAATCGCTTGGGATAATGGCATTGCCCTGATGAATCTGTTTACGCCGAAGTTGAAAGATGGCCAAGTCGTACCAAAAGGAAGTCCTGGCCACAACCTCACGTGGCCTGAATATGTCCCTCCAAAGGAAGGCGATTCCAGATCAGCCTGCCCGATGTTGAACGCCATGGCAAATCACGGCATCCTCCCTCATGATGGAAAGAACATCTCCTTCAAAGAGATGAACCAGAAGATTCGCGAGACGTTCAACTTTGCAGCATCGTTTTGCTTCTTCGTGCCCAACTTCTCAGCGCGATTCCTGAACAAGTCATACTCCAAGGACAAGTTTGATCTCGCGGATTTGAGCTTGCATGCGAGCAATGCCATTGAACATGATGCCAGTCTTACCAGGCAAGATGTTGCGCTTCAGCCGGACCAAGGAAAGCCGGATCTTGATCTCGTCCACGACCTGTTGAAAGAAGCGACTGGGACGATGCCTGACGGTTCCCCGAGACTGACCAAGGCGGATCTGTCGAGAGCGCTGTCAAAGAGGAGGGCAGACGCAAGGCGTACGAACAAGGAGTACTCCGAGAGCTTCTTCCATAACATGTTTGGAAGTGCAAAGTAAGTCGAGGCGGATGCCTGCAGATACGATGGATGCTGACATTCTTGAAAGCTCCTCGACCATGTTGACGATCTTCGGCGGCTCCGTCTCCGACCTGACACCCATGCTGACCGAGGAGCGCTTCTCCGAACATTGGGAGCCACGTATTCTCGACAAGTACGGCCTGACTATGGCCAAGTTCAACGGGACGGTCATTCCTGTCGAGCGGGCTGTGGATCCGAAGAAATATGAGAAGCAGAGTGAGGCAGCAAAGACAAACTGAGGAGCTTATTCGGGAGCTTTGGGGGCTTGTGGGGGATTTGAGGAGACAATCTTCAACGCTCGGAGTGGATTTATGGCGCAGAGCGCGGAGCTGGAGTCTTGTTTGCCGGATACAGCATGCTCGGTGTCATGTTAGAATCCGAAGGTGGGCTCAGACTGTTGGATAGCCGCAGGTGAATAGTCGGCGAAGTCTGGCTGGCGGTTTAGTGGCCATCTTCCCCGTGTCGTAAACCATCACTGTCACTGTCACCATCACTCCATACCTCCCCATTTTCTGCCTCGAAATTGACGATATAATTGAGGATCCCTTCTAAGCTCGGTGTGTGGTATGTCGTACCTCGGTCGGAGGCAAGACCCGTGTGTCCAAGCTGCACCGCGAGAAAGATGCCATTGTCGTGTCGTGCTGCCAAGTGATGTCGATGTCGATGTCGATGTCGAATTCATGATGGAGAAGGCAGCGGAAAGGCAGAAAACGGTTCTCTCCGCTCCTTGGCATTCCTCTTGGCGGTTAGGTAATCAGACCGACAAGGAAATCCCGCTGCGGGAACTTCCTTCTCAGAGGCAAATCTTCGGACCGGTCGACGCTTCCGACCCCCAACATATCGGTCCAGCTGGTCCAATATACAAAGCTGTCATTCTACTCCGACTATGCATATTCCTTTGGATGCTCATAAGGAACCTTGCTCCTGGTGTCAAGACAATGTGAATCGCCTTGAGCCTTCCCTCCGCCCTACTTGAACGTGGGAAGGAAGAATCGAAAGGCCGGCACCGCAACCGATTCGTTGAGGCTCTCTTCAGCAAGAATGTCAAGTACCAGCACAACGACCGTCCAGAGAGCGACGCGGGACCGACAGGATGGAATCAATGTCCAGGCGCAGAAAGGCGTCAAGTCACCCCCGGCATCTCTGCAATCAATTCGTCACCCAACACAAGAAAACCACTTTCCGGATGAAGATGGCCGGGCAGAGTCTCCGGGTCGGACATTGGAGCAGATGCTCTACGAAGAACCTTCTTCTGGCAACGAGGACAGTCACCGTGTCTTCGAAGTCAAAGAGTCCTGGAACCATCCTCGCATCAACATCTACCGCCTCGCAGCCGTCTTCTTTGCCCTCTTCAATCTTGGAGTCCACGATGCTGCTTATGGACCACTGATCCCTTCATTGGAGACGTATTACGGTCTCAACTACACAACTGTGTCCCTGGTATTCTTGGCCACGTTTCCGGGATACGTGCTTGCGGCTCTCTCCAGCGACAGGCTGCATCTGCGGTTTGGAAGACGAGGTCTGGCGGTATTCGCATCGGCTTGTCGATTGGCCGCATATATCGCACTAGTCTGCCATCCACCATGGGCTGTCATCATCGTGATGTTGGTCTTCTGTGGGTGGGGAAACGGTCTGCTTGATGCAGGATGGAATGCCTGGGTGGGAGATCTCAACAGTCCAAACGAATTACTGGGCCTGATTCATGCACTGTACGGACTCGGTGCAGCGGTGGCGCCTTTAGTCGCATCAGCCATGGTGGACAAGTATGGTCTGAACTGGTACGACTTCTACTTCATTCCTCTCGGTCTGGCTTCGCTGGAGCTCCTCAGCGGTATGGCTGCCTTCTGGAAAGACGCTGGTGCCGACTTTCGAAGTAAGAATACCGATGCCGGAAACGCAGGTGGACGGACAAGAGCTTCTCTGAAGAGCAGAGTCACTTGGACAGTTGCCATTTTTCTGCTCGTGTATGTCGGCTCTGAAGTGTCGCTTAGCGGATGGATTGTGACTTTCATGCAGCGAGTCCGGGGCGCCCAGCCTTTCGACTCTTCGCTGACTTCGACCGGCTTCTGGCTCGGCGTGACTCTGGGCCGTGTGGTACTGGGATTTGTCACCGGACGCATCGGCGAGCGCTGGGCCATTGTGGGATACCTGCTTCTCGCCATGGGCCTGGAACTGATCTTTTGGCTGGTACCGCAATTTGTCGTCTCAGCTGTCGCTGTTGCTCTGCTGGGCTTCTTCATCGGCCCAATGTTCCCGGCTGCTGTTGTGGCATTATCAAAGTTACTACCGAAGCACCTGCATGTTGGCGCCATCAGCTTCGCGGCCGCTGTAGGGATGGGAGGCGCGGCAGTGCTGCCGTTCGCAGTCGGAGCCATCGCAAGCGCCGCTGGCGTGAAGGTTCTGCAGCCCATCATTCTGGCCCTTCTGGCGATGCAGTTGCTCATGTGGCTCTCATTGCCTAAGTTGCCGAAAGACAAGCACAATGACTAGAGACGACACAGTCAGCGACGGAGACACAAATGGAAGAGCAAAAGCGCGCGCACCTCGTCGACAGGCTCCCACAAGAGCAACGATAGAACGTGTTGTCGATGATAATCCAGAGAAAGCATGACTCTTAATTCGCATGCTTGAGGAGCCAATTACGCTGCTATGCGGCTTTCTCGACTACATCCATACTCTTGGTCTTTCTTCAGGCTCCGTCTCCAAGAGCGGCCCCTGGCCCTCTACTCTCATCAGGGACATCTTGCTCACAACACACACCGAAATGCGTTGGTCTTCCTAGATCATTCAACTTCGACAGGCAGACGTAGGAAGAAATCTTAACGAACTTAATAAAAAGCTCGCCAGCTTCAACAAGAAGGCCGCACAAGGTGTTCTCTTCTTCGCGGCTCATCAAATCTTTGGGAGTCTGCGGTAGGATGGGCCACATATAGCAGAAGAAGTTGTCCACTATCCAATCTGCAACCTCGCTCATGGTGGGGCCAGCGGGGTTCCTTTGCGGGGGTGCAAGTAGCAGAGCAAATACGATGAGTTCAGCGACCGAGGAGGGAGATTTTGCGGTGCGGGTTGATCATTGTCATCACTCGCTCTTGCAATTCGAGTTGGGACTGCTCATTGGCAGCGTGGTCAATTTGCGCATATTGCGAGCGCATGGTCCCACTGAGCGCTGTGTGTTCCGGCCGAGTGGTCGTTTTGCCGACGCGTATTGGAATTCTCGACGCGAGAAGACAGGGAGTCAGGAGCTGATGTTTTCCTCAATGGCGGTTAAAATTCGGCTTGTCGCACGGATCCCTGTTCGTGCCTGAGGCGACAAGCATGTGAATGCCAAGGCCAAATGAAGTCCCGCAGCCCGCTGCCCACGAAAGAAGTCATAAGCACCGCAACTGGCCTTTTGCGCAATGTCGTTGCAATAAAATTGGGCAGCGGCTGCCATTGCCATGCACTTGCTAGCAATGCCGTACCCAAACTGCCGGCGGAGCGGGAGCCAGGTGCGTGACCTCGATATGGACTGATCCTAACTCCAATCAGGCGCTTCGGAGAAACCGATCAAGCAAGCTTACGAGCGGTCTGTTTGGAGAGAGGACTGCGGTCATTCCATACGGGCCCAAGAAAAGAAAGCCTCCAGTCACATTGTCAGCAAAACCTTCCAGCCAGGCTTCATTTCCACCGCACCAGGCTCTACGATGTACTTGTCAATCACTGGCAGTCACGACGGATTTGCACCAGGAAGTAAGCGTTGTACTGAAACTCCGAGGCGGATTCTAGCCTCTGAGAACAATCTGACTATCGAATTAACTTGAATGTGGGGTGCATCTGGAGCGATCGCACGTCCTACAACCACGTGAAGTAGACAATGGTGCGTACAGGCTTGCCCCGAACCACTTCACAACTTCCAACTGCTCGGTCAAGCTGGCCTACCTTCACAGGAGAGTCTCCATGCGGCCATTTAGTTTGGGGGTTTCCCCACAGAACAGGTCGCGATCTGCGTTACTTGTTGCAGATCAACAAGCAACTTTCCGCACATGGCAGCTCAAGCCAAAGGACCCCTGCAGGTGTATATCGCGATCTACTTGCAAAAGTCCTTTCCCCGCGGTAATAAGATGAGCGGCAGGGTCGTAACAAAATGATCGCATTCAGGCCTCGGCTCGTTGCCGAACTCGCAGCCATTTCTCACTTCCTACTTGCTAGCTTCAGCCTCAGAGAAGAAGGTAGGATGTGAAAAGCACAGCATAGCCTTCGACTCCGTCTTAGCATGGCTGCAATACACTCTGCGCGGGCTTGGAAATTAGCAGGGATTCTTTCGAAATGCTCAAGCCACCGAGGCGTGCTGGATTTCACGACCTCCATGATACTAGGGATGAGAAGCATATAAGTAGTTGCTGATTTCCCCAAGAGAGCAGACAGCATCGTAGAAAACAGACTAGGCCCTCCAGTTCAATCACCACAGTCATCATGCTGTTCTATCTTCTCCTCGCTGGCTTCGTTGTCTCGGTCCTCGCAGCACCAAACGCCAACCTAGACCCAGCGGTTACTCCTGCACCAGGGGTTCGTCTAACAAGGAAGGACACCTGCAACGTACCATGACTGATTCCATATGCAGCTTCAGATTCGACAAGACGAGATTGGTGGTGGCATCGCTGGAACTGCTGGAGGAGCACAGGGCACTGCAGGCGGTGCCCTCAACGGCCCAACTGGCGCCGCGGAAGGCTGCCTTGGTGGTGGCTACGAGAGCAACGGTATCACCGAATGCGCTCCCGTCGCGACTGCTCCAGCTCAGACCGCTGTACGTTCCGCAGCTTCTCGGCGTTTTGATCGTCACTGACGAAGTTGATAGACTGCTTCCCAAGCTGCAGGCGGCAACGCCTCCGGTACTATCGGCCCAGCATCTGCTTTCCTGGACTCTGACGGCCTCTGCGGCGGTGCTGCTGTCGGCAGCAGCGGGTTCACTACCTGCCTTGTCCCTACCTCGAGTGCTTAGGAAGACCTCAATGTTGTGCTGCTTATTGTTCCATGAAGCATGAAATTGATGAAAGGTCTGATTGCAAACCACATGTCTTCAGGTCTCTTCGATGGCAACTGACTTTCGATATGTCCGGTCAGGCATCTATAGCTATGGAGATACATTGGGAACTCTCGAGTTATATGTCCTCATGCAGCTGTATCACCACGGCGATCCTTCATTACCGCATTAGGACGTCTCTTTTTCAGCCAAACAACAACTCACCTCTCTACTGTTCTTCGGAGCACATGCCTCTAAATCCTTTCTCCAACCCTTATTGCGCATACTCCAGGCACCATCTCGCCCCTAATGTGCTCATTCTTTCAGTCATTACTATAACTGTAAAAGGGCGCAAAAATATAAGAGTGGCCCTTAGTTTGCTGTGCCCCGGGATCATCAACCGCGTTAGCGCATTCATGTGCTACGCGCGTGCCATGAGCTTTAACTCGTTTCAGAATTCTGACTTCATCTCGCGACATCTCCTTCCCGTTGATCAACCAGAAACGCGACCACCGGACATCGAAATACGTGGAAACAATTCCTAGCTGTGAGATGAAATAACAGGTGCAGTGAACCAATCGACATGTTTGTTAAGAAACGTTCTGTCTTCTAACCTATCAAGGCCCCCAAGCAGCCATGATCCTCGGTGGAAAAGCCGCCATCACCCGGCGCATCATCTCTGGACTTCACAACGCTAAAGTTCAAGCGCAACCATGTGGCGTGGATCTATCGCTTCATCACGTCTCGAAATGGACTTCGGCTGGCATCGTCGACTTCAGCAACCAACACCGCGCGAATGCAAACGTGGAGAAGATGCCGTCCACGGCCGGGAAACTGCATCTGAGCACCGGCAATTATTTGGCCATGTTCAACGAGACCGTCGACATGCCGCTGGATATCATGGGCCAGATCTTCTTGCGAAGCTCGCTGTGGCGATGCGGAGCGTTGCTGAGCGCTGGTGTGATGGACAGTGGATACAGAGGGGCGGTGGGAGCGATGCTGCAAGTGGTCAACCCTCACGGCATTACGTTCCATGAGCATGCGAGATTGGCACAGATGGTGTTTCATGAGATGGATGAAGAAGTAGAGGGCTATGATGGGGTGTATCAAGGCGCGAGTAAGTTATAGACTGAGCGGGAGAGGACGGGAAGAATGGACATCCACTGCAGGGCACCTTTACGAAAATGGCAAGGCAGGCCTTCTAGCTGATGAAGTCTCTGAATTGACGTGGATTCGTTGTTATGCTGTTCGTTGCCAATTCAGATCACCGACAGGACGACGATATTTGACCATTTGAAATCTCAAATCGCATCGAAAGCACCGCTCTCCATGAATATCAACTTTGCCTCTGTCTCCGCGGAATTTTCTTCGTTAAACCTTCCAGGACAATCTTTCCGCGCTGGGGGACACTTCCTTCTGATACGAATTTTTGATCCACGCAATTAACATCAACCGCAGCTTTGATCTTCTGAAGATTCGTTGGGTATCATATCCCGGCATGAGCCACTAGTAGAGTCACTGACCACATATTCTGAACCCTACGCGATCTCCAAATGCCGTCAGAATATCGACTTGTGCGGTCATCGCGCCCTCTCCCACATGCGGTTCCATCAAGAGGCGCAAGCTTGTCAAGAAAGTACACGCTTGTATCAAAGCCTCAAGGCGGTAAATGCGGTATACTGCAAATATAAATGCGCCGAGATGGTCTTGTGATCGCATTGATCCCTCTCTCGTATAGCTCGTACAGCTGACATGGAAATCTTATGTCTTTCTGCACATCGGAGCTACAAGCGTGCCTGCAAGCTCCTCATTCGACGTCAAGTGAGGAAGGCGATGACACTGCAATGGTGGAACCAAAAGGACACGGCCATGGTGTCTCGTATAGTGTGGGGTATCTCAAGGACTGATTGTCGCTCAACTGGGCGACTCTGCCTCTTCGTCCTGCTCGCTGTCATTCTCGTCCGGATTTAATTGAACCCCCCCAACAGCATCTCCTCCCTCTTCGCCGTCATCATTTTCATCTTCACCGTCGAAGCCTTCGAAGTCGTCCTCATCCTCATCCTCGTCCTCACCATCTTCATCGGCTTCTTCGCCGGCAGAAGCTTCCGCCTCTTCTTCCAGCTCTCGCTTCCTTTTACCGTGTGTCAGACCCAGCATGGCATCTCTGCCAACATCCTTCTCATCTTCTTCGCCTTCTTTCTTCGGCGGCGGCGAGAACCAAGGAATCTTCCCCCTCAGAAAATCGTTCAAGACCATCTTAGCCACGCCGTCAAGATCAGCCTCCCCACCTTTCAGCAGGCGGCCTCCCTTCCTCGCGAGCGCTTCCAAGAATTTGATACCCTCCTCAGTTCGCTGCTTCTCAGGTTTCGCGGGGAAATCAGTATCGGGATCACTCGACCAGCCTTTTATCTCATACGTCCGTTCAAGATGATGTCGCCTGCATTTCGCTAGGACAGCCGGAATATACTGTGCTGGGTGTTCTACGTTTTCCACTCGTACGACGCCGCGGAGAAGAATGTCTTCTGGCGTATCGGTAACGGACGGCGGCACAATACCAGGACAATCAATGAGATATATGCGTTTCATCAGTGTGATGTACTGCCAGACCTTCGTCTCGCCAGGTATAGGTGCAGTCGTGCAAACTTTCTTCTTTCGAAGCGTGTTGATGATAGATGACTTTCCCGAGTTCGGATAGCCTATGAAACCGACCGAGATCTGCTTGCGGTTGCTGTGCAATGATGAGAATTGGCGTAGTAGTGTGATTAGGGTGCCCTTTCCGAAGCTGTTCGTCATGCTAGCGTGAAAGGCGAGCGTTGGGTAATCTTGCGAAAGATGCTTCACCCATTTGGACTGTAGAGACGAGTCAGCGTTCGTCGCCATCGTCGTCAACGGGTCGAGCAAGCTGCTTCGGCGAAACATTCACGAGAAGATGTGGATGTGTGTCCCATAACTAAGCTGTCCATCACGGGGAAAATTCCGGATCGCTACTCAAACAAGACACGAAAGACTCCAAAGGTGACCATGCCAAAACGGCAGGGGGTCGGTAGGCGTCGGTTTGATCTGCCAGAGACGTAACAGATTCCATCCATTGCGGTGCCACAGAGGCGGGAAGAAAACTTGACTAAGATCTCTGGCATGCGAACACGAAGGGCATGGGAATGCAAACGAAGGGTTAAAAGAAAAGTGGATAGACATACCGCAACGCTGGTCGGGATGAGGTCGCACTTGTTTAGCAAGAACACCAGATGCTTATGCGGTGCCTCCTCCCGAATGTATTTCTCCACACTGCGACATCTGGTCCCGAGCGGATCTCGTGCGTCCAGCACGTGTATTACCACGTCTGAACTGTCAATGACTTTGTAGAGCTCGTTCCAGATTCGCTTCGATTGGCCTTTCGAAAAGACGGGTTCTCGGGCAGTCGCGATCTCTCCGTCAGCCAACGTCGAGTTGTCCACGCCTGAGTCCTGTTGGTCCTGGTCGCCACCTCCTGCGAGCATCCGTGCCTCAGCTTGCCTCTCCTCGAATGTGCTGTAGTCCTGAGTAGAGGCGTTCGCAAGGTCTTCGAAGCTCGATACGGCCACGCGCGGTCTCTTTCTCTGTGCTTTCGGTCCAAATGTATCTTCAAACTTTTCACTCTCAATCCGTATCTTGGCTTTATGTTGCACCAACCCATCCTTCCGCTCTTTATCTTTGTTGTCATTGATCAAGCTCATGGGGAGCTTGTTCTGCTTCAACAGATAGCTGTACGGATCCTTGCTCTGCGCCTCGACTGCACCACGGAACGCATCCAGGGCATCTTGTGAGATGACTCTGGTGTTGGTGAACCACTTCCGGTTGGGTTCGACGCGGGCGGTGGGCTTCTCTTTGCTCTGGTACGAGGCAGCCTTGGTGATGTCTCCGCGGGCATTGCGCTCGGCCTTGCCGTCCTTGAACATATTGAGCGTCTTGACCCGCTTCGCGCTGCGGTAGAAGTTCTCGCCTTTGGTGTGGACGTTGCCCATGCCATCGCTGGTCTTGCCCTGCCGTTCCCGGCGGGCGGCTTCCTTCTTTCCGGAACCCATGCGGAAATGTATGTATGAGAGATGTGGGACAGTGTTGTTGGTGGAGGGGAAAGTTGGAATGGAAGTTGGGAAGATTTTCTTGAAGATCGCCGACAGCGCCAAGACCTCGCCTCGGGACTCCCGAACTCCTCCCGCAAGACGAGCTTTCTCACCAAACTGCACTCAAACATCCATTGAACGCGATCTCTACCATACGATGCCTCCCAAAGCGCCATTGCCATCCGCGGCAGCCTGGAAATGCCCACAGTGTACAGTCAGATCATTCTCAACGTCTTCGAGATGGATGGCAGTCGGCCCAGAGCATCCCAAATACATCGACGTCCCTGAACCTCCCCAGCAGACGGCACCATACAGACCTCCCGTCAAGGGCGTCCTCCCCGTACCGCGCGACGTCTTCGCCGGCATCGATAGATCCAGAACGGACGATCAGATCATCGCGGACTCAACACAGTCTCCGACGCGGGCCAAGACACCAGCAAAGGGCAGTAGGGAAGAATGGAATGCCAAAATGAGCGAAGTCAGGAAGCGAAACCTGCGAGAGGGAGTCCAAAGTCTACGAGCGCGGCAGCAGGTACAGCAGAGAACAGCCTCAGAACGACAGGCTCAGAAATATCGCGAGCGCGAAGAACTACTTCACCGGCCAGAGCGAGATGACGAACGTCTTACCGCACCCAGCAACAACTTCGATGTGAAGGCACTGCTAGGCAGAAATCCAGTCCCTGACCCCACGCGCGAACAACGGATCTTGGCGAAGATGGAGAATTTGGAAAGGCATGCGGGCCAGAAGAGGGAAGAACGCATGTCGGCGCTACATGATCTGTATATGAACGCCCGCGACTTCATTGTCACGCCCGAACAGCTCGATGCTGCTTTGGACAAGGCGTTTGGCACACCCGAGAATCCGGTAACGTTTGGTACACCCATGTACGCCGGTGACCAGACATCAGGGCGCTCCATCTGGGCCAAGGGCAGGCCAGAGAGGATTTCGGACTTGCTTCATCGCTCACAGGGAGGCCGTGGAGCCACGTCAACGGACGGAGCTACTGATCAGATCCATCTCAATGCAGAGAGGATCAGGCGGATTGCCGAGGCACTCACGGGTGGAAAGATGGACACAGAGGTGCGATAGTGATCATCGCTGGCGGGAAGAACTGTATGTATATACTGTAACATCGTCTTTCACTGTGTCAGCTCTGGTATTGCCTCACTCACCGCTTCAGATCGCTATAGGTTGACTTGTTGCAGCTTTGTCACACGATTGCGCCCAGACATCATATCGGCTGTCATTACGTCTTCGCGAGCCGCCGCATCCTCAACCATCTATCAATATCATCACCAATGTGACGCAATACTAACACCAGGCACCTGCTGCAGTCCGGCAGTCTGCAATCTCACTCCAGTTTCAGAGTGTCTTCGAAGCTCATCTTTGCGGTACTAGCACCCTCATTCCTGGCCTGGGCCAGACTGACAGTCACCAAGTTTGAAACAGAGTCATAGACAACCTCCTCGACTGTGCCCGCATTCAACGCAAGATTCAAGGCCGCGACATGAATCCTCCTCTTCACCATGTCTTTCGGCTGCACACTCACCGCACCACTGTTGCCGCGTCGCCAAATTGCCTCCAAACGAGACCCACCCAAAGCCCGGATGATCAACAAGATAGGTACACGTGCCCAGAACAACGCTCAAAGAATTGGTACCATAATCGCCCGGTGGCGAAAGCCTGTCGCTGCGCTTGCCGCGCACTGGCACCAGATGAACGGCTCTTGCGCTCGAAACCTTGGAACACAAGCATTGCGCACACGGCTTTGACATTATGTTCAACCCTACTTATGCAGACAACGTCGAGCGAGCTATCGATGCACACCTCTTCCACAAGGGCAAGAGAGACGACAAAGACGAGACAATGGCGGAGCTTGTTGCGGTGGTACGCAGTCAAGCGATGCTCCTCACCTAGTCGCGATTGTCGTGACCAGTCCGTGTTCATGAGGAACACAATCGGAGCAACATATGTATCTTAGTGCAGGTAACCATGGAACTTCACTAATATATGTCATTGCTGCTAGCCTTGCAGCAACATTCTCTCTACCTGACCAAGAACGGCGTTATCTGAGAATCCTGCAACGCCGTTCACGCCACTCCCTTCCTCAAGCTCCCTGTACCTTCTCCATATACTGATCCCTGCAGGGTATCTTCGCAAGCTCTCCTCAAGTGCTTCTTCTGCTAGGTCTCTCCGCGAGAAAACTCCCAGAACGAAGTGTTTAGAAGGTCGGTGGCTAAAGTCGTGTAAGGACACAACGTACACCTGTTGGCTTCGATTTTGGAATGGTCTCATAGGAAGTGCAGCAGCAAATCGAAGATACCTGCTCAGATCACTAAAGAGGCCGAGAGCTGAAGTGGGATCCATTGAAGCGCCAGATGTTCCATTCGCGGTATAGGGACTCAGCAATAAGTATGAAGTTCATTGTCAGTAAAGCGATGTTCCATAGGGAGCGTACGTTCCTAATCAATTGCTAGCACGACGATCGGGGCGCAAGGAGATCATCAGAGACAAACAAGGCTGCCATAGAACTCCGCATTCGATAACGTCTACAAAATCGGCGGTATCCAGAATCTACCGTACTATAACCCCTGGGCTGAGCCGGACCAATATAGCCTGGAATGATCCAGAGATGGTCGCTCATTGTCAATCGAATTTGCTTTACGCGATGGTACTTATTAATCAACTCTATTGTTTCTTTGTTCGTCTTGCATTGATGTGTCTCTAATGATGCAAGCCTTTGTTGTAACGAACGACAAAAGGAGGAGAGGATACCCTGCCATTATTATCCATACGACCTTGATGACCATCATGAGCAATACTTTCCTATATACCCAAAAACTGCAACTTATTCCGCTATGGCTATGTTCTTGCATCATACACAATCTTGGTCTTTCCCCTCTAACATTCACTCCCATCATGTGAAGTATGCACGGACCATCACGAGCTAGCGCCGCGCTAAGAGTCGTCCCGCGCTTTCCCGTCACTCCATTCATTCTTATTGTCCACGACAATGCTTTGTCCAAAAGTTTCCACAATTACCTTTAAACACCGGTCGCCGCTCTTCTTCTTTCTTTGCAACACCAAACACTCTCAGTCCCGCACAACCTCAATACCCAAACATGTCAAGCAGACCTTCGGATTTATTGCTCCTGTTGCCTGCGTTCGCGATCAGCGCCGCTACGAGCCTCTTTCGCGATGCTCTTCGGGCTAAGAGCGAGAACTACGAATATCACCCGGCCCCGCAGACCTCAGTTGTCACGGAGATAGTTGTCGCCTCGCCCACCCCATCTACCACCCACACTGCGCCAGATGTCGCAAGCACCACCACGCCGCTGTCAGTAAATTCCCTGCCTACAGCATGGTATTATTCCCTCGAATTGGCCCTCCTACTGGTCTACCTCTTCATTCTTCTGTCCAGCGTTATCGTCGCGCGGGCAAGATTCACCAACTCGGAGGAAAACCGCCCATTGAATCAGGCGGATACTAGTCCAGAAGAGAGTGGCTCCTCACAGTTTCTCGAATTTTCCGCGATTACCACGATCGAGACGGTACCGGTATCGCCTCCGTCAAGCCCAAAGCCGACAAATTGCACCTTCTCAAAAATTACATCGGTCGACTCCACGCCATCCGCCGAAGACGAGAACAGGCACGCTATCTCCGAAATCACTGCAGTAGATTTTCCACCATCTAGCCCTCCAGTACCTCAGCCGGAAGCTCTCTGCTCGGGATTCCACGACATGGCGCTTGTCACGAGCTCCATCTCCACCTCATCTGTCTTGCCCTGTGAGGCAACCTCATCTACGGACGACGAAGCCCTCTCCCAGACCGACTCGAGCGAAGCAGATGAAGAAACGCTCCAAGAGCGGATCAATGCTTGGATCTTGGCACCTGTACCGCCACTGAGCATAGAACTTCCAGAACTTGCTCCAGTACCTTCTTCCCCTCGGCCTGCTCCGCGTCTCCCCATACAAGCACTCCGCCTGCCACCAAACGTCGCACGAGCAAGATTTGAACACTGCGTTGCCTATCCGAAGCCGCGCCTCATTTGGCCCACGTTCCTCGAAAAGAACCCCGTCGATGTCGAAGAGTACGAGGAGCTCCTCGAGTTGAGACACAAGGAACGAAGGGAGAATCCAAAGAAGCGGGCTCGAGGCCTCCGTACTTTTCAAGGCAGACATCTGTCGTACAAGCTCATCAAGGCGGAGGATGACGAAGCTCGGCAGAAGATCTGGGACCAGGCCCAGGTGAAGAAACTGAAACACAATGAGCAGAGTAGAGCCAGCTGGGCGAGGAAAGATAGAGAGCGGAAGGAGAAACAACAGCAGCAGGAGCAAGTAGAGGAGGAATAGTGGCAGCGGGGAGTGGCGAATTCGCCAGCTACACGCTATGGATAGCGATCATGGTCAGCTGTAGGAGGAAAGTACGCCTGATCCGTCGAGGGCATAGATCTCAGACGAGCAGCTGCATGCAATGTCGCTGGCTATTGTGGCGCTTTATAAAGCAGCCTGAGCAACGTGCAGATTCTTTAGCCCTGAGAGTTAGCTAGGCAATACGAAGAAGTCTTCCATTGACCGGTTGCATAACCTCAGATCTGAACACGCCGCCTGATAGTCATATTTGCACTTACTTCTGTGACAAGAGCGCAGCTATCTTGATGCAGAGATGCTAGTAAATTAGTGTAACGCTGTATCTCTTCCAAATTGTACTTACAAACAGTTACTCACAATTAGGTCCTCTCTCATTCAAGCCCCGTACAACATCCTTTCCATCATTCCTAGATTGCCAGTTCGATAAGCTTCAAGTCCTTTCGACGAATTTACCTTCTCGATTCAGCGCCCTTTTAGGCTCATACTTCCAGGACTCGTTGAAGCGTGGAACTTGCATGACCTCGTTAGCGAGAGCAACAGCCCGCACCTTAGTGTCGTAAACGCCGACCGTTTCGAATTGGCTAGTTGAACGATTCTCTTCAGGGCAAGTGACGGATACAGTCCAATAGAACGAAGGTTCGGTTGTCGTTGTTGACATCGGTCGTTGTGGAGGTATGCCGCTCTGGGTCTCTTGTGTGGTAGTGGAGCCCGTCACAAGGACGCTACTAGATTGTCGAGAAAGGAAACCGGTCGGCATGATTTTCTTGGAGGTCGAACCTTCTGGAACATAATCTCCGATGCACTGTAGGTTGTCTGAGTCGCTGGCAGCTAAGGAATCGAGTGGGAGCTCCCGCAAATGTTATACCTTCTTTGCTACTGTACACGCAAGCGCAAAGGACTGAACCTAGCCTGTTCTTGGAAGCGGAGAAGTGTTTAGCATAGCATCGCCTTGTGTGTGAATCCCTCCTTCACGCTCGCTAGTCACGGGTCTGGCTTCAACAAAGAGGAACAAGCCGTAAGCAGCTTCGTGCGCGTGTTTTGTGGACGGAATTGTTGGCCGAATGGAGGGAAACTGTTCGAGGCACTTATTGATTCTTCTAGGTTCGGCCAGAGTGATTCGTTCTCAGTATATTTGAGCTATGATTCAATGCCCTTAGCTGTGAGAATCATGTGTGTGGATGAATGCCTTGTCTGAGGCTCGTGTTGGATCAAAATAGGCGCGATAAGCAGGTCCAGGGCCGAGAGCTCGTAGCATCTGAAGCGTCGTGTCCGTGAGAACGAACTAGCGACTGGTACGTGAAGCCGAAATAAGCCTTATGGCCATACATTCACCAGTCTCGTGGTAGTAATAGAGCGGCGAGAACCCATGAGAATTGGTGGAACCACCTACGAATCACGCGGCCGATCCCGTGCATCCCTTGCAGAGAGATATAAAAGGGCTCCTGAATCTTTCATTTTCATTCCACTTACCTTTATCTCTGAGCCAGCAAACCGTCCAGCAACCGACGAAGTACGCAATGGAGAGTCAACCACCGCTGCAGCCGAGCCTAGCTCCACGATCACCGGCCAACTCCACTACCGCCAAGACCGAGCAGCCACAGGATCTCAAGCAGGAAATTAGTACCATCGTCGAGCCCTACCGCCACCTTCGTGAGAAACCTCCCTTCTCGACGGCCGAGCTCATCGTTATCGCTGTGGTGTGCTTCAGTGGCCACCCAGCGGGCGCCACGGCCCATGACCTCCTCCACTACATCATCCATGAGTTCCGTTACTTCACCGACAAGCTGATCGAGGCGTACACGAGCAAGGAGTTCGACCGGATCTTCGAGGCGATTGGTAAGCAAGATGAGTACCTCGGCGACATCGTGGAAGGTTTCTGGAGGGCCCTAGGAGACTACGAGGTTCCCCTCACAGTGAATCGGTACCAGGACGGAGGCGAGCACAGTTACAGATACACCGTAAAGCTCTCGGAGGCCCGTGTCTTCCTTCGAAACATCCTCGAGCCGGTTCGGAAGGGAGTCTTCGACTTCATGGAGCTTCCGTCGGAAATCCGCAACACGATCTGCGAGTACATCCTCGAGCTACCAGGCAAGGACGGCTTGACCATCGTGTATCAGCGGAACGAGCCCTCTTACTTTTGGCGCGACTGGAATTGCATGTTCTTGGTCGGTATGCGTGCGAATGGATCGACAGCTCGGATCTCTCCAGGTCATTCACCCACTACGCGGCTTGGCAATCCCAATGACGGCACTATTGGAATCTGCGCTCCGGCGATGAAGGACCTACTCGCTATCCTTTCGGTCTGCAAACAGATCTACCGTGAGGTCATGTCCATGTTCTATCGGCTGAACCATGTGCGATTCCACGGCTTGGGGGCTATCGAGATGTTCTTGCTCAAGGGCCCGTCCACACGCCTGCAACATCTTACAAGTGTGGGCATCACCCTCAACACGCCAGGAGACTTCACGACCTTCCCAGCGACAGTCCAAAAGCTCGCCTCGCTCTCTCATCTTCGAGAGCTGACGATCGGAATGTACTCAGAACCTGAGTGGTTGGACATGTTCCCTTCTGACCGCCGAAGCCTTGGCTGGAGAATCAAGCGGAAGTTCCGAACCTTCGACGACATTCCTGGCATGTTGGATCTCGCGGAGCTCGTGTCCAACCTGCAGGTGTCTCAACATCGAGTGCATATCCAGGGCAACTGCGGGAACTTCAGGGCGTTCATGGCTGCGCAGATGGCTGTTCTGCAAGCGCAAGTGGGCGGCACGGCTACAGAGAAGCGAGCTAGAGCCAAGAAAGCCGCGGCTAAGGCAAAGAAGAATGGCGCGTGAAAGGCAGCCACTGGAGGTTCTCAAGTGGAAAGCATCCATGTGAGTGTTATTGAAGCCTGGTATTGAAAATAGGATTGCTGACAGAGCTTCCAGGGCATCTTCTCGCTCCTCGCTGGAGCATCAGAATGACGATTCCTGCACCCAGAACAGATGACCAGGGCGAAGTTGGCGCGGGTCTGGAGTTGGCGAGATGGATAGCCGAGAGTTCTCGAGGCCAGTTTCCTCCCAGGACACGTTTAAAGCTAGCGTTTCGTCTTCCGAATCTCGATACTAAAGAAACACAAGACCTTCATGGAACTCATACTCTCGTGTATATCCCAATCCTGGCATTCCGGGAGCGCAAGCTCGTCGACGACCATACAGATGCGCTCCAATGGTATGGGTCGATGCGGTCATATGAGCGCCAGTCCTACCAGCATTCCCAACGTGAAAACAATTCGAGGGCCGAACGCGACACGATACAAAGTAGTGTCCAGGCTTTCATTCACCAGACGGTATCAGCATGTTTCACGAGCAGACTCAACAAAGGTTTCAGGAAAAACTGGGCGGTGAGGGGCGCCAGGAGTTCGATGGTTGATATAGCAAACCTCGATCTGCACGGATTCCTCAGGATAGCTATAAGTAGCACTTCGCCCGGCAGCGTACGGACTTGGTCCCTTTGGCAGATGTTTTGTATCAAAATCTCAGACGAGAAGCACTCGATGAAGGTGAGAATCCGCCGATGGTCACACGCCGAGGCCTTTCACACTCGCATGTTTCTCCTCGAAAGTGAGTGCTGTGTTGATTCATATCCTAGATGGGATAGATATGGCCAGGAACAGAAGCCGCGGCGGTTGTTACTGCGTCTTCGCGCATCGGGAGATGATCTTGATGGCCGCCACCGCTAATTTGACGCGTTCCAACTTCCAAGTAGCTCTGGTTTCTTCTAGGATCTCGGAAAGACGATGTACCCCCGCCGAGGAAAGATGCTGTAAGTCCACCCAGATAGACCTGACTAGCCCGTAGCTGGCACCTGAGAACGAAAGATTCAAAATGCACACTCCGTGGTGTTGGAAGGTTTCAACGAGAAAGAGAGAATGAGAATGTAAATTGGACGGAGGACGAGATTCGCGTTTCGGCTAGCGCTTCTCCGAGCTCGGATAATCTGCAGTATTCATACGGGGCACGTGATGCCAAAACTACACATCCGGTAAACATTACCAAGTACCCCCCAACAAAAGGATGATCTAGAAAAGGCCTCGACTACAGAGAAGACGTGCCGTCCCCCACATTTCCCCAAATAAGCCAGCCTACTTGAGCAGTTCGGGAATGATGTGCTTCTCATTGAAATCCCAAATCTCACTCGAGACGTGCGTCCTCCATGCTGCGCCAGTCCACCAAGTGTGCTTTGCACCCTGGAGCGCCTGCAGCTTCTTGTAGAAGCCGGCGGCAATCTGCTCGCCTGTAACAACGAGCTCATAGGGCTTGTGATCGTTGAGCTCCGAGACCGTAGTAGGCTGCTGAGGCTCTGGCAATCCTTGGGCCTTGCGAAGTTCTGCGCACCTCTGGAGGATCGCAGCGATGACCTGCTCCTTGGACTGGAATGAGTAGCTACCATAGTATGCGGAAGAAATACCAGGGATGTTGGATGGCCGGATGACGTAGACGTCGGGCAATTGAGGGAGGAGTAATGTCTGGAGCGAGCCGACGTTGACTTGGGTGACGTTGGCGGGAAGGCCGGTGTTCTCGACAATAGAGTCGTAATAGTAGTTGAAGGTGAAGGTAGAGAGGAGTTCCTTCTCGCTCGCGTCGAGGTCGAGGAATCCGAGGTTGGAAGCTAGCGGTGGGATGGCGATGAGCAGCTTGCAGGCCTTGATCAGCTTCGTACCCGTCGGCGTAGACACGTAGACTTGGACACCGCGTTCCTTTCGAACGATGCGGTAGACGTGAGACTGGAGAAAGACGTTTGATCCCAGCTCAGCCTGGACCCTGTCGTACAATAGCTGGTTGTTGTCAAGACCGTTGGCGACGAAGCCACCAGTCGAGATGGCCTGGATCTGTAGTGCGTTGAGGGCCTTCATTATGTACAGCGTAGGCAGCGCCAAGACATTGCCAATCTGGTTGTAGAGCGAGGCCGGTAGCACCAGAGCGGCGAGGCCATACTTGTTGACGAAATCGCCAAAGCTGATGGTCAGGTCTTCTGGGACGGGGTCAGGGAGATCATACGTGTCGACGATCGAGGGATACTTGGCGAGCTGGGCGCTGTAGTTCTTGAAGGCAGCTGCGAGGAGTTCTTGTTGATTGGGAACACTGTCAGGGAAATCCGAATTGTTTGCGAAGTTGTATAGGTTTTGCGAGCCTCCTTCACTGCCCGCGCCCGCGGACACAAGCGGGATGTCGAAATGCTCGAAGAAGCTGGTCGTGGCAGTGTTGTTATAGAAGAGCTGTACACCATAGTCGTATGTTTGACCGGTCGCTGGGTCTTTGTATGTGTTGACATGGCCTGGACGTTTGGTCAATTTCCGTCCGCGTAACAGTAACACTTGTATCGGGACGTACCCCCAAGACGATTTTCTCTTTCGATCAGAACCACCTTCTTCCCAGCCTGCTGTACCTTGATGGCGGCATGGGCGCCTCCACCTCCACCTCCAATGACGACAATGTCGCTTTCAACAACTTCAACGGGGCTGTCTGTTGCGGCAGACCAAACGAGCGGAAGAGACAACAGAGTCAAGAAAGGAGCGATCATGTTGAATCACGTGTGCGAAATGCAGCGAGAAGGAGAGTAGACCAGCTACCCGGTGCTTACAGCTGCCCTCATTTATAGACCGTGATTAAGTGTCCAGGGAAGTAAGGTTTGGCGGATATTATATGGGCAGGGATGCTAGGGTCCAGAGCAAACGACGAGCCATCTCGAATGGGAATAATGCCTTAATGGTACGGATGCGCTAGGACGGAACAGCCGCAAGGCATGGATGGATAGTCGTTGGAGTTGGAGTTGGAGAGCTAGGCGCAGAACTTCAGAAGGCCAGGATATCGCCGCCCATTTCGTGGACAGTCGCATCTTGGGTAGAAGGGCTCCTCTACGATTGCGCTTCGTACAGCGCTTCGTACGGCGCCTCATACAGGCCTACTCGTGGCCATGAGGTGTAACGAGTCGTGCCTCGTGATGGTTTCAAGAACTGAGCTTGGGACACAACAGCCGGGATGTCTCAAACTGCTCATCATGGAGGAAATGAGGCCATTGGTGGTAGCGCCGTAGAGTGAGGTACGAGATGGTCCAAAATAAGACCGGCAGATTGGCGGCACATAGCCAGTAATAATCGATGACTCTTGCGCGACAAATACCCCACGACTCCCGATCCCACGGACACTTCAAGTTCTGTCAGGCCTCAGGCTTTCGCTGGAGAAATCCGGATGCAATCAGCTGACAGGCGCAGGCACAGGGCAAGGAAAGGGACGGAAGGAAGAGAAAATGGAAGGGGAAGGGAAGTTCGGATAAGTCTCCGAGGAAGGAGACGGAAGCTTACCTAACACAACCTTACTCATCACGGACGGCCGGGTAGCCGGGCTCTCCCGCGGACGGATCTGCCCGTCTCCACTCTTTCTGACCTCATGGTAACCGGACCGCGATGCTTCGACATTGACGCCATCCAGACCTACAGCTCGTCAGTACGTACACGAGGTCAATGAGTACAGAGGTTGGTGCTGCTGCTTCTCCTTCTCCTTCCCCTTCCCCTCATGTTCCGCACTCCTCTCTCGCGGCTACACCAAACCGCATCGCATCGACTCAGGACTACTACTACTATTCCCCCATCGACTGCATTCATCGCTGGCAGAGGCGTCTCCACAACAGCTCCGTTGAGACAGATCGATACCATGAGCGAAGAACGACCGAGCGGGCTGATCGCCAATAAAGGCCTGGAGCTGCTGACCTTCGGCACCCCCAACGGTGAGGCGGAGATTAAACGCAGGCGAGTGCTGGGACTGATGGCTTCGGCATGCAGGTCACAAGGCGAGCATCATCCTCGAGGAGCTGAAAGACGCGTATGGGAAGCCGGACTACGTCTTCCAGAGCATCAACATTGGACGGAACATTCAGGTATGGACAACACGAAGGGGATCCTTGGCGGTCGTTCTGACAAGGGGTAGAAAGAGCCATGGTTCACTGAGAAAGGCCCCAATGGCCGTATCCCCGTGTTGATCGACCACGATAATGGCGGCCTTGGTATCATGGAAGGCTCGGCCATTCTGTCCTACTTGACCCGGCACTTCGATCCGGACCACAAGTTTTCCTTCACCAAAGACCCAGAGCTCTCGGAGTGCGAGCAATGGCTCGCCTGGCAGCACGGCGGCCTTGGACCGATGCAGGGCCAAGCGAACCACTTCTTCCGTCTCGCCAAGGAACGCATCCCCTACCCCACGCAGCGCTACGTTGGCGAGACCGAACGTCTCTATGGTGTCCTTGACATCCGTCTCAAGAACCGCGAATACCTCGTTGGCAACAAGTACTCCATCGCAGACATTGCCAACTACAGCTGGGTCAATGTTGCCTACTTTGCCGGCGTTGATCTCGAGCAGTTCCCTAACCTCTACAAGTGGTGGCAGAGGATCAATGCACGACCTGCCGTGCAGAAGGGTGTTGCTGTTCCAAGTCAGCCAACCATCACCAACGACAAATATCAACAGAGGCTGAAGGATGAGCCGGAGTTCGCGCAGAAGGAGAAAGAGCTGCGGGAGATTCTGCAAAAGGCAAAGGAACAGTACAGTTATAAGTTCTCCGCGCCATGAACGTATGAGAGTGGGTTTGGGATACGTCATAATCGAAAAGTCAATGAATTTTTCACACTCCAGACTGCAACGCCTCTCGAAGCCGTCATACGGGGTCTGTACGCGATTGAGGATCACGCAAAACGTCTCGCCCGGCAAGTTCGAATTCGTGCTGTGTCTGGCGGATGCTTATGCTTTTTTCTTCTCGGCCACGCCAAATCCGTCCGGCTTGAAAACCTCCACTGGCACTCGATGCATCCTCGCTTTTGCAATCGCCCTTCTCTCGAACTCTCCTTCCCACCTCAACTTTCCACTGCGACACAGCTTTCTCTCGACTTTACCCACAAACTCCATGTCTTTCCCATCAGTCTTCTCCATTGCTCTAATGACAGCCTCTGTGAATCGCGATCTCTTTGGCTGAGGAGTTCTGTAGTACTGATCGATAGCGTCCATACGAACACAGCAGCGAACGTCGATTGCTTTGTGCCTAGCGGCAAGCTCTTGCCACCAGTACCAGGGGAACGAAGCAGTCGGCATAGCAAGTTTGGAGCCGGGACGAAGTCTCTCGACGCGGGAACGTGGAACCGATGCAATGGAGAGGCCGGTGATGGTTTGCCTGCTGCCGTGTGTCCCAGGAACGATCGTCGCTGGAGCCGGAAAATTGAACGTAGGACTATGAGAACGTCAGGATCGTTTTACCAATAGCGATAAACGTCAGGAGGGGCTCGTACGTCAAGCAAAAGAACGGAATCAACAGATTCCGCCCACACTCGAAACATTCCCGATGCGCGGGATCCTCACACATGTAGCATCCCATCTCCCCTTCTCTCTTCCTCCGCGCACACTCATGCCTGCAGAGCTTTCCGTCGCCCGTCTTCTCCGAAAGCAACGCTATGCATTTCCCAACCCCGACTTTTGCAATCATCTCGGGCGTATTGTCTTCGTAATACTTCACCAGGCCCTCCACCATCCCCTGTCGTTTTCCGTCGTACAGCTTCAGAGCGTTGTCATAGCAGCGCGCGGTATCTTGGTGGAGGGCCCTGCTCACGCAGCGAAGGCTGCTGCTATGTGGGACGCGCTGCACGAGGCTGTCCATCGGGCCCGCCTGGGTGTAGGGGTCCATAAATACGAAAGCGTAAATCATCTCGCGCATCTCGCCTGGGAGAGAGAGGAAGGGGGACTCGTGGGTAGCAGGGTCGGACATTTTGCGTTGGGGATGTTCTGCTACTGTTGGTGGTGAGATTTCTGAATGTGTTAATTTTGGATCGCCGGCGTGAGATTGCGGATGTTTAGGGGTGAGTATTGTGTTGTAGAAAGTGAAAAGGGACAGGTCGAGGAGTGCGACGTGCGGATACTAGTGATTGCGAGTGATTGTACCAATTCGGCTCTATTGTGTTGTATCGTGTTACAATAGAACAATCTTAATGATCGGCTCGGATGCCTATTGTAGGAAGCTCGTGAATCAAGAGCTAGCGTGAGCACGGACCACTGTGGTAGTAGTAGTTGAAGCCGGTCGTACAGTCAGATTCACTCTGGACTGTCGCTATGCTCTTATACCTGACCGCGTGCCTTTTCACTCGGGACATCTTTATAGAAATGCCTAGGCATATTGTCGTAATACTGCACAACAATTCACTGCTAACAACGTCAACACTATCCATCTCCGCCACTGTCATCTACACATTCTTATCCTCCGTCGCGCCGACCATGCCCAGAGTCGCTGGACTAGTAGGCTTCACGCTCACGATCAAGCTGATCAAGCCCCTCGCGCCTTATGTCTTTCACCGCGCTCTCAATCCCCTCGTACTCTCCAACTTCTTTTATCCAAACCCTTGTGCGACGACCTCATACGCGCAAGCCTTACTCAACTGGACTGCGAGCCTTACATCTGTCTTCCCCTGATATATTGAATCCTGCTCAATAACACTCACGCCCCACACGTAATTATTCACACCGACAGTAAGGACCTTCAGCCCGTGTCGAGCGATCATGTCGAGTTCTTGGGTCTAGAAACGCGCGCTCTCGTTCCCGTGAATATTAACGACGAGTCTGCCGGGATCGGCTATTGCGGCGCCAATGCTGTAGCCCCAGCCATTTCCCAGGAAGCGAAGATATTCAGGAGGTGTCAAGGCTACTTTTGGATCAGATTGTGGAAAACGCAGGTGGTGTGGTGGTCAGGTAATGACAAGTTTGGATACAGGAGTCATTTCGCGGGAAACATTTGGCCTTTGAGAGCAAGTGTTGGCAGAAGATACTCGCATTAGAGACGATGCCAATGTTTACGATCAACATCTTTGCTATCGCCGCGCCGTCGAGATCAACTTGTGTAAGAGTTGCACTTTCTGAGACCAGCCTGACTGTGTACACGTCGGTGATGAACTTGCCTGAGACAGAGGAGCAGGATGCATGCTGAACTGTTCTCTGTACAGTATCTGTACACTTATCCTCACAGCGAGACCTCCACTACTTGATCTTCTTCGCCTTCAACTTGATGGTCTCATCATTCACAAAGATGCCCTTGCCCTTGTACGGCTCAGGTACTCTCCAAGCTCTTATTTCTGCAGCAAACTGCTTCACCACTACTTTCTCCATCCCCTCCAGCAGTATTCTCGTCGGCTGTGGTGTACTTGCTTTGACGCCTTTCGGGACACCAAGTTCAATAGGATGTGAGTATCCGACTTTCAGAGACACAAACTTCTGTCCGGGGTATTCCGGCGATACGGTGGTAGCCGTGTCTTCGATGGAAGCACGATACCCGACTCCGACAAGTCTAAGAATAGCCGCATGACCTTCTGATACGCCAAGAATGAGGTTCTGAAGGTATGCGCGTATCGTTCCTATATCACGGAGGCATCAGTACTTGGCTAGCTCACCGAGGCCATCGATCGATATGGCTCACCCCACATAGCTTTCTGCTTCTCATCCTCCTGATCCAATATAGAAAGCGTATACATTCTGGACTCGCCTGTGCTTTCTATGTTGATGTAAGGAGGTATGTCTATGCTCATCTCTCCCAGCGGTCCCTTGATGTTCACCACCGACCCAGCCTGTGTTCTGCTCATCCGCTTGGCGACCTTCGGCTTCGGCGGCTGAAGTATTTGAAATGTGACCTCGGGCGGTAGTGAGAGGGGCGCGCGGCCGATCTTGGATGCGCATCGTGTGGACGTGGAGAATTGGGATGTTTGTCGCTGCGGCTTGGGCGCGAATGCTGGGACGAGGAAGGATGGCAGCGTTACGTCGCAAACGCTCGGTTTCGAAAACGCATTGTATATTGCTCGTGAAGAGCGTATGCAATGTTTTGTTGACCCCATTATGGCGAGACTATGGTATGGTACAAAATGGTCGATGTCTTCAATGTCTACGATCCTGCGGAGGTGCTGGTTGGCAAAAGTTCCTGGTCCGTGCGCCGAGGCATCCCCGAACGGCGGTGGCCTGAGCTTACAAATCCGCAAAATGGTTTTGCCGGTTTTGCTACCGCACCACCACACTCTCACACACCGTAATCGCAGTGGTTAGGCACTGATGTACTCGCTATCGACTCGCAATCTATCTATTAGGTCCTTTATTGTCTACTTTGTCGTTATACCGCCTTAGGCCCTCGATTTACAGCCCTATCGGCTCTAGATTAAGCTTTAGATTTATACTAGATATACCTACTAGCGAGTCGTATAGAGCCTACATAATACTAAGGGCATTCGCTACGGTATTAGAACTCTATAGACACACTTATCGCGATAGGGAGTAACTACTCGCCCTCGAATTAACTATAGTAGTAACGTAGTACTAATTAAGCGGATTACCGAGCTATTCTAGCTATATACTATTAGCGATAAGAAGAGCTATACTATACTACGGCTTAATAGCTATAATATCTCTTTAAGGTAGTATTAAGAGCTCCGCCGTACTTACGGCCTTAAGCGTCGACTAGAACACGAGGAATTAGAAGTAGCTACTACCTACGTCGATAAGGTGCTTCGAGTAGTACTAATTAATAGGCAAACCTAAGACTTTAGCTATCGTAAGCTCGTACGAGAGTTAAGAACCTACTAGTATATTATAGGTAGGTAGGGAATCGACTCGTAGCCGACTCGTAGCCCTCTTCTTACTATACTAATGCCTACTAGGGACCGTATCTACCGGATTTCACGGCAAATTAACGCTCTACTATATAAGCTTCGCGAACTACGTAATCGCTATCCGAATAGGCTACGGTACGTACGACTAAAAGCTAATAGGCCTAACTACGTCTAGTTAATTAATGCCTTCTACAAAATCGAGCAATTCGGCATTTAGATTTACGCCTATATTAACGTCTACTTACGCCGGATTATCTAGTTCTACGTTAGCCTAATAGTAAAGACAAAGTACTTAGTGTTTTCGTAGTACTATACTATAATTAACTATATCTAGCGAGTCCCTTAGCGAGTCCGCTCTAATTAAGGTGTCGAGACACCTATACTAGTAGACGCCTATCTACGGCTTCGAGAGCTTATCGAGGGCCGTAATATCGACTTTGTTAAGGCCTTCTTATATACTACGAGTAAAGGCAATTAGACTATTAAGTACTAGTAGGGCGAGATAGCTAAATTAGCTATAAATCGCTAGAGAGACCTATTTAACTAGTATATTAACCTACACCTTTTCGAGGCCGCTAAGCTATCTAATCGACTCGCCTTCCTCGTAATCTATACTCTAATTATACGCTATATAGTTAGTTACTTTGTCTTAGAGTAGAATCGGCACCCGGTACGAGTACAAAACCTTAAGAGCTATATTAGTAGTATACCGGATTTGCTCTACGAGTATCTAGAGCTCGAGGACACTACCTAGCGTAGGCATCTAATTAACCCTAAGAGTCTAGCGAGTACTACTCTTAAGTAGTAGATAAACCGGATAGACGGCTATAGTAAGCTCCGCGGGTAATTAAAGAGCTTTCTATATTAGTACTAGGTAAGTAGCTCGAAATTGGACCGTACTCGTAGCCAATTTAGCTGTACTCGTAGTCACTCGCAGCTCTAGCTACCCGCCTATAGAGTTACCCCTCTCTTACTCCTACGCTAACTACGCCTCGCTATATATAGACCTTAGCTTATACCTGCCTCCGACAACTCTATAATAGGTAAACGAACAGCTCGTACTCGCTAGCTACCCGTTAACCTTTAAAGGTAGCGAACCCGGATTCGGTAATAGGCCTAAGAAGCTTTATATACACGCTTATTAGTACCTCCGAGGAGTAGCTAAGTAGTACCTAGATACTAGTAGACGACTCGCTAAGTATATCGCGCCGACTCGCTTAAATAGCCTCGAGCCGTCTAATCGTACGAGAACCGTCTTTACTACTACTAGGGAGCCTCTATAAAGCTTCGTATATACTCGTAGTAGACTCGTAACGTTACATTCCTTAATACTACGTCTTATCTTTCTATATACGTCTATTATAGCTTCTTCTACTAACTTCTAGGAAGACTTCTATATATCTAATAAGGTAGATTATACTCTTAATTATACTAAAGAGTATAGCGATAAGCCCCGCTATAGTAAATGCGGCCTTAGGAACCCGTTCTTTACTATAGTAGACACTAATATAGCGAGTCGCCGCGAGTCGACTGTAGGCCCTTCCTTAATACTAGTACCGGATCCGATCGATTCCCCTACTCTACGGCGGAAGGAGCCCGCGTCTATAAAGGGCTATAGTAGCTTTACTAGACTCGCTAAAAGCTTATTTAGCCGTACTAATGCCGTTTTAGCCGCTAATAAGAAGTAGCATATCCGCCCGCTTAGTAATATAGGTATTAATCCGTTATCCGGAGAGGTATAAGGTCCTCGTACTAGTAAAGCGAGTCTATATAGGAGCACGCTAATCGCTACGAATCGACTTAAGGCGGGTAGTAGTAGTAGTACCGAGCTACGAGACGACTCGTAGGCCGACTCGTAGTCGTAGAACAAGGGTAGTAGACCGAAGAAAGTACTAAAGGGCCCTAAGCTTTACGTTATAGTGTATATAAGCAAAGTAGTAGTTAATGTAGTTAAGAAGGAAGGCTAGTAGAGGTGGACGGTTAGAGATAATCTAGAGCTAGTCGATTACTAGTCTATCGTAGGCTACTAGAGCGACTTTAAGGCCCTACTACTCGACTCGCCGCGTACTCGTAACTAGCTTTACTACTAGGCTTTATACGCTAGCTATATTAAGGTTAAGAAGGTTACCGGCCTATAGTACTACAAACGTCCGTTTATATATACCCGGTACGACAAAGAGTAGAAGCTCTTAATTATACTAAGCTCGAACAGTAGAGACAAAGACGACCTTAACGAGCAATTACTACTATTTAAGCGTAGGTACTAGGCAAATCCTACGCGAAAGGAGGTAGATATTAGGGTCGCTGTCCTTGTAGCTAAAGATAAGCGGTAGAATAGGCTTCCGAAGGACTACGGCGAGTCTAGCGAGTCTACCGACGACAGCTCCTCTTTAGATCCGGATCTAATAAAGAGCCTTAATAGGCGCTATCGTAGTAGGCGTCTAGGTTAGAGGCCTAGTACTAAAGCTAAAAGAAAGATAGCTAAGGAGGTAGTAGCGAGTGTAGTAGCGAGTATAGTAGCGAGTACTAGCGAATCTAAAGTAGTGCCTTCTACTAGCCCTAATAAACTAGCTAAATTCCGCTAGCCTACGAGTCCCTCTACGAGTGCCTAATCTACCGAGAAAGAGGCCTCTACTAGTCCGCTAGTTAGTTACAAACGTTAAGCGAGTCGCGAATTACCCTATCGATCTACTCCTTCGTCTATATCCGGTACCTAGGGATTAAGCGCCTATAACCCTATCGATATTATTAACCTTACTAATAATAACGACGACGACGAGCCTACGTACGTACGAGTGCCTAAAAGCAAGCTAGTAGTAAAGTAGGAGGCACGTATAGTAATAAAGAAGGAGCCTATAGATTTAAGTACTATTAAAGAAGGAATAGAGATTACTCCTACGGATTTAGTAGAGCGAGTCGCTAGCGAGTCGCCGGTAGCGACGGAGATTTAGGGCGATAGGTAGGTTACTAGCTTACCTAAGGATACTAAGGCTACGAGTGTACTAGCGGAGCCTACGAGTACGCCCCCGAGCGGACTAGCGAGTACTACGAGTGTACTAGCGGAGGCAATAAGGAATAAGAAGCTAAGGAAGGAGTATATAAGGATTCCGGAGTTTTAAAGGGTTATAAGGGCGTTAAAGAAGCTATAGCGAGTCGGTAGCGAGTTAGTAGCGAGGCTTTAAAAGGATAGAAGGGCGTATAGGGTTAATAGTATAAATATAATAACGATTAAAGGCTTAGAGATCTCTAATATTAACATTCTCCCGACTCGTAGGCTAAAATTAGGTAGACTCGCGGGCGATTTAGGGATTCTACGATCTCTAAGATTCGTAGTATTATAATTTGCCCGACTCGTAGGCCTAAAATTGCTAGATTCGTAGGCGATTTAATCGCTCTAAGATTCTATATATCCTAAGCTACCCGACTCGTACGGAATCGTAGGCTAAAATTAGCTATACTCGCTATAACTCGTAGGCTAGAATTAATCTATACTATCTACTAAGTATATTTGCCCTTATATTTAGCTACGAACTACTCGCTACCCGGTAGCTACGTAATAAAGTCTATTATATAGTAGAGCTTAGCCTCTAGATTATTAATACGCTTATAGGCAAACCCTAAACCCTCCTTAAGCCTAGTAATCTTAGTTTAAAGACTCGTAGGCTTCTACGAGTCGCCTATCTCAGCCCTAGAGTTACCTATAGTAGCCCTAGAATTACCTATAGTAGCCTACGAGTCCGGCTTAGGCTTTAGCGAGTTATCCTACTTATCCTTCTACTTCTCGTACTTCTTCTAGAGCTTACTATTATAACCTAGGCGACCGTAGCGCTTATAGAACGCGTATTAAGTATATTCCTTACCTTTATAGATAATATAATCTAGACCTCTCGTAGCGTACTACTTACAGCCGCTAGGCTTAGAAGATAGTATACCTACGAGTCGATTAGATTTTAGTAGCGAGTCTATATAAATTAGAAAAAGCATACCTAGATCCGTCTCTATTATCTCGCTAGCGTAAGTAAACCGCCGTAGGCTATTAGCCGCGGACTTACGAACCTACTTATTACTAGATTTAAGATTGTTTAAATAGCGCTACTAATCCTTATCGGAGATATACTAGAATGTAGTCTTATCCTACGTCTCTAGTTTACGGTAGGACTCGCTAGACTCGCTAATTAGCTTTTACCTATTCTTTAGGCTTCGGATAGCTTACCTTAGGGCCGATATAGTTACTACTAGGGCGCTCTCGGGCGTAGACTAAGGCGGAGGCGAAGGAGTAGGTTAATAATTAGGCTAGTATCGGTCGTAGAGTCGTCTATAGATAAATGTAAGAGTCTCCTAGTCGATTAATACTATAAATTGTCGATTTACGAGTCTACGAGTACGATCTAGGTAGGAAAAGAGGTCTAGGTTCGCTAGATAAGAATGCCTTCTTATAAAATAGCCTACTTATTATTAGTAGCTACCTTATTGTTCGATATTATAGACTCGTACTTATAATAGTATAAGCGCGACAATAGCTTTTAATTAATATAAAGCCGCGTACCGCTATTAACGGGTTTAATATAAAGCTAAAAGCTGCGCCTAACTTTATATTAACCGTTTACGTCGACAATAGCGGTACGCGACACTCGTGGAGCCTTATTGTCGCCGTCGTAAGTTGTTATTGTAGTGGTAGAGTGAGTCGCGACTCACAGCGAGTGCCGCTTCGGCAGTCGGCAAAACCATTTTGCGGATTTGTAAGCTTAGGCCACCGCCGAACCTCCGCAGCTGTGTTTGTTGACTTCACCTCGCGAGTTGCTGCTTTCCCATTTCCCTTCACACGCGAGACAACGATCAATTGCTTTCTCACCGCCACGCATCTCGAGCCTACCTTCATTTGATCTGACCTCGCAGCTGAACTCAAGTCCCGAACCTGGGCAACGTATTGAGACTTGAGCCGGCCAAGCCAGCTCTCCGGTTCCTATCAACGCGAGCACCTCAGAAAAGATCAATCTCACGACACTGTGAACTGGCTACACTTACCCTGATACTGTCCCAGCGTGCACTATCTCTTCAGCAAACGACCGATACAGCCGTGACGGGAGTATCTGCCCACTCTCCGCCAGCGCTTGAGCTTCGGGAAAGCTTGTGATATCACCGTTCGCACTTTGCTGGATTGCTCCTTTGCACGTGCAACGCTGAGACTCGCAACATATCTCGCTTTACTGGAACCATCAGTGTCGCAGGCTTGTGATCCGGACTATATGCACGTCTCCGATGTCGCACGCGATTTGCCGGTAAGTGAGGAGGTCGCGAGTCTTGGACGGTGCTTCGGAAGCACATGCAAATTGCCAAATTGCAGCTCTGCAACGTCACCGGCGATCGACTCTTCTCTTCTACGCAAAATACTTCTCTTGAAAGACAACACCAACAGCAACTGATGCAACGGTCTTCATTTCTTCCATCCACAACGACAATATCTTGAGGGTGTTCAACCACACCTCAAAGCCATCAGCCGGCCTGGTGTCGATTACAACAACTCCACGCTCTGCGTCGGCATTTGCTCTATTTGAGTGCTTGCTACAGTCGTCGACATCAAGATGTCGATCCTCAACAAGTTCATGCGACTGCTTTCAGCAGGCTCGATGATGTTTCTACTCACTACACTACTTGAGAGCAACATAGTACAAGGTGGGTCCAGACTTCTGTCTAAATGCGCGCAGCATTCAAGGTCGTGTATTGACAGCATAACAGCTAAAGGTGTCGTGGGCTTCTGGCGCTCCTCTCAGCATGGACCTGCTCTGGAACTCGAGCCGAACATCACCCTTCCTGAGTCCATTATTGAGGTGCAGAAGATTCTCTCCGAAATCGACACCCGACCACCATGCCAACGCATGGCTTACAAGAGGCACGCCCAACTTTGCCGAAGCTTCGACGCTACCCAATCCGGCACCTTCAGGCGCGCCGAGGAAGTCGTAATGGCACAGAACATTTTCGCCATTCGCATGACTCAGTGTCAACTTGAACAGGCCGAGCAGACATTACCAGACGTCTGTAGTCCCATTCTTGAGCTGGCAGTCGACCACAGCATGCCCTCGAACCACGTCAAGGCCTGCTTGAATGGAATTTGGCGTGAGGGCGGAAATCCGTGGACTACATATACGCAAGAAAAGCAGAATGGTCTGGTTGTGTGTCAGGCCATGCGCCCAGATATGGACAAGGCCGAGCACACTCGTTTTTTTGGACTCCTGCTTGCAGCATATGGTGACCTGAACCAAGTAATGCATCAGCACAAGGACGACTTCCAAGCGCTGCAGAAGAACTTCCGAGCCGTGCAAGAGAGCATGAGCTCATTCAACGAGGGTCTCCGGCAGGATCATGAGGAGCTTCGGGCCGCAGTGCAGAAGTCGGTCGAGGAAGTCTCGGGCAAGCTCGGAGATACGAACATTGCTGTAGAAGACATCGTACGCCGCATATCACATGCAAAGGATCATCTGGCAGCTCACGATGCCGCAGTCAAGACAGCACTTCAGCGCGCCACCGATTTGAGCAAAGATGTGTCAGTGATCAACGATGACGCGATGGCTGGCCTGCAGATTGATCTCGAAGAGATGCGGAACAAGTACATCTTCGACCAAAAGCAGATGCTCGATGAACTCACCCAGCAGTTTCTCAAAGTCTCGAATAGTGTCGAGCTGGCAAACGATTGGTCGGGCCAGGTAAGAAGTAATCTTCAGCTTCTCAGCACAGATCTGGACATATCGGTTCACAAGGTCGGCATTCTCAAAAACGGGATGGTCGACGCTACGCAGCAGCAACACCGGATGCAAGGTCAACTGATAGACATGGGTGTCAAGATCAACCAGACCCAGGAGTTTTTTGAGGCCGCCCATGAACATCTCAGCGACTGGATCCCTTTCCTTGGAGGCATCGCCGAGTACGCTTCCACATTCAAAGGATATTGCTCTGCGTTCGGCATGTTCGCGCTCTTCATGGTCTCTTCCAGCCTTGTGTCTGCTGCATTTCTTTACGAGGCTGGCTGCTCAAAGGGCTTCACGGTTCTCGCCGCGACTGGCCTTGGCATCAGTAAGTCCCAGAAACCTATTCGTGCTAACTCCGCATTGTGCTAAGATGTTTTAGTGACCAGCACAATTCTGAGCTTCGCGTTAGCGCATTTCTTGCCAGCGCTTGCCGCCGTGCAGCCCATCATGGACTCATTCAGCCACGGCGGTAATGCCACTCTAGTTGGCCTTCTCGTCATCAGCGTCCTCGGCAACCTCGCAGCAGTCGCACGCTTCCTTCGAGAGAAGCGCCTGTACGACCCAGCCAGTCCTCCAACAGCTTAACACTCTGGCCATTTCTCCAACAACACCGATGACCAATTCCCCGACTTACGACATGTAATAATCTACGACCAGACTCACCACCGCAGAACACCAGAACGACGACGGACGGAAATATATGGCATTCTTACGACCGAACAAGACGAATACTGGAGCTATCGAGCATTTTTACGATGAGGAGAGCATGAGCGATATCCATGAGGAAAAGTAGGCAATGCTTTGCTTCTTTTGGAATTTAGCGAGGAGCTACATGGCCATGGTATTTTTGATCAAAAAACGAACAAGGAGAGTTGAGGAGGATACAGAGAAATTCTTTGCTAATTAACTTATGGCTCAATGTATTTACTTTGCTCATGAGAAAGAGGGCAAGAGAGGGGAGATGGATATAGATATAGAGACACGTGGACGATGCCTTGCTCCAATTACGAATCATTTCTCCGAACCTACCATCTAATCTTCTCCAGGTTCCGTAGCAGGGCTCAATCGGAGCGCGTAAATGGCAACAGGAGAAAGGGGCACATACAGCAAGTGGGACTGCAATAGTATGTATTCAGCGACAGCGTCTCGAGCTACTCCGATATCATCCGACTAAGATAACGCTGCTGAATGGGTCTTCTACTCAAATCCACTGCCCCGTCTTCCTCTCTGGCTCACCCCACCTTTGGCCTTGTTACTCTGCGAAGAATACAGTGGCGGTGGAGGTGGCAAGCTGAAATCCAGCAAAGCGCCACTGCTCTGCGTCTCCGTCCTCTGGAAGCGATGCGACTTCTGCGTCATGGAGGAGCTCGGCGCGGGGATAGGAGAGCTCGACAACGTCTCTTGCCAAGCCGAGGCTGACTGGTGAGGTTCGTCGTCGTGGGCAGGAGAAGAATTCGGTCGGCTGCTTTCGGCCTGTGTGTCCAAGACTGTGCTGACTTGGGAAGGGTGGATCGATTGCTGTAGCTGGGCGGGTTTATACTTGGATGGGGTGGGTTCTGGCTGTTGAGATTCGTAGCCAGTGTCGTCCACCGGGTCGCTTGGCATGTGGGAGTCATATCTGGGGTCGACGTGGATGGGGTCCGAGGGGAGGTCAGGTTCTTGGCCGTTTGTCTCTTCTTGCTGACTGGATGGCACTTTGTCCTGGGAGCCATAGCCGGAGTCATCGAGATCGCCAGTATAGGCGGCCTGTGTCTGACGCGCACCATTGTCTTTGCAGCTTTTGTCGGCCTCCAGGGTCATGTGTAGGTCCGCCTCCCGCGGTTGGCTTGATAGGATCCCTTCTAGCTCCTTCTGAACCTCCTTTCCTTCAGCCTGCAGTTGCGTCTCATTGTCTTCGTCATATGATTCTTCAAAGTTGTCCACGAAGTCTTCGGCATTTAACTGTGTCTCTGTCTTTCCGAAGCGCGCCGCGTCACGCTCCAAAGCCGCAGCGACTGGATCGTATGTGTTCTGTACGTATCTGTAATCGTAATCAGGGTCCTCTTCGTCTGCGTCTGCGTTTGCGTCTGCCATGTAGTATCCGTCGTTATCGTTTTCTAGGTCATCTCCATGAGGGTCCACCGTCTCAGGGTCAATCTCTTCCGAGGTATACTCGGAAGCAAAATTCTGGCCTTTCGGGAATGTAGGAGAAGCCTTCGGCGCCGCATTAGGTGAGCTCAGCCCATTCTCATCCGGCTCGAACTCCTCACCAAGCTCCAAGCTCTTCTCGGATGCCCGAGCAGAAAGATCCATGTCACTGCTCGCAATTTTCGGGCTATTGGTCGCCTCCGGACATTCAATGGGATTCTCTGCTGCCTCAGGTGCCTGCACCACAATCTGTGTAGCGCGCATGTTAGACCTGATACCTGATTCAAACGGGCTAGGAGTCTGTAAGGAGCCTTCCTCGGAATCTTGAACGACGCCGCTCTGTCTCCATGAGCCCTTAGGGGGTTGTCTCGAGACACTCACCATAGAGGGACTGAGTCCTTCTCCTTGTTCTGCCATTGGAACATCAATCTCAGCGTTCTCGTCAACGTTGTGCAAGTCTGCGAAGTCTGTGTGGCCGACCCGGGTTTTCCTGTCAAAGAAGAATCTGTGTTTGAAGCTGGGTAGAGGAGGTAAGTCGTTCAGGTCCATTTCCTCGTCATCCGGCTCTGACTCCTGAATTGACGTTACTCGATCATATTTACGAGGCCCTCGGTCCTTCTTTGGCGTATATGCAATTGCGGCACTCCAGTGTCCAGGCTGCTGAGTAGGAGCCTTCTCATCTTGAATCGGAATCGAGTCCTCGCTAGTCTTGGAGTTGGCATCTGCAAAGCTTACTTTCGATTTGAGCGGCAAAGGATGCTTCACGGGGCTGACATTGGCGCTCTTCTCTTTCAAAGGTGACCTTAGACAATGTTGCACTCGTTTTGTAGACTCGGCTGACGTGTCCATGACGGGAGGTGTTTCGGAAGAAGGTATGAGTGTCTTGATAAAGCGTTTGGGTGTTTGAGGGTGGAATTCCGAGTCTACTGTAGTAGGCCGGGTGCTTTCCCTCCTAACAACCGGAGATTCGGCAATGACCCTCTTGGGCGAGCGCGGAGAGCTGTTAGGAGATTCGATGCTTTGCACTGCTTCTTCATCTCCCTGTGTCTGCACAGATCTGCCATCGTTGTCCAAAGATTTTCCGCCGGATTGCACTGTTGCTTCATCATCGATGAATCCCATAGGACCATCGTCTTCCTCGAGCAGAGCTTCCGCCTCGCTCTCCTCACTATCCTCTGCTACTCCATATGTTCTCCAGTCCCATTTCTGAGTAAGAGTAGACTGGCTTTTCGTCTTCTTAGCAATCACCTTCTTCTGCTTTGGTGGCTTCCTGGGCTTTTCATCTCCACTGGTCTTCCTCCTCTTCTTCGGCCTTGGAGCGTCTTCATGTTCGCTCTCCCCATCGCTCGAATCTGGTACCGGCTCGCGTCTACTGCTGTGTGGCGTGCTGACATAGTCGATCTGTGTCAACGTGGACTGTCGCTTCGCCAGCGTGGGAGGCGAATCTTTGCGGTGGACAGTCGTGCGCCGGGCCGGGAGGTTTTGCTGTTTAGGTGCGGGAGCTTCGCGTTGATGATATGTTGTCCTCCTCGTTGCCGGCGCCATATTTCAGGAGATGTTCGATTTGGCGGGTTGGTTTCTCGACCGAGTTGGCCGGAGTGGTCGCCCTCTGATCGCCCTCGATCGCCCTGGATCGTGTCGGGAGAACGCGTCGACGACGCGCCGGGATTCCTTGGCTGACGCAA